AACATGAACACGGACGTCATGGTGCTTGGTGACTATGCCGGTCCCGAGAGTGTCACGTGGCTCAACGACGGTATCAAGTCGCTCGCCGTACGCGTGTCGCTGCCGTCGCAGCAGTTCACGGTCATTCGCACCATCTCGATCAACCAGATCTCGCTCTTCTTCACGCAGCAGACCGCGTACAACCCGCCGTCGAGCTCCAACAACACGCAGTCCGAGTTCTTCCTCCCCTTCAACTTCCCGGTCGACATCCAGCAGGTCGGTGGTGGCTTCATCGCCGGCTATCAGGGTCAGGACATGGCCGTGCTCGACATTCCGCTCTCGCCGTCGATCACCGACGTCACCGCGCGCATCCTCACGCTCATGTTCAGCAACGTGCCCTTCGCCGTGTACGACAACCAGCACCCGAGGTTCTCGCAGTTCTTGGCCGACACCACCGCCAGCAACCAGGTCACCTTCAACCTCAACGGTCGCGCCAACACCAAGGCCAGCACGGCGGCAGGTGTGGTCACCATCAGCAACATCCCCTTCAACGTCGACACCAACCTGTTGGGTCTGCAGAACCTCAACGCGCGTCCGGCGGTGGTTTCGAATCTGGACGTCTTCCACGGCTACCCGTCGTACCTCCAGATCAACGTCGACACCACGCTGTTCAACCCGTCGAGCATCACCATCGGCACGGGCGACGTGACCTTCCAGGTGTACTTCCTGAACCGTCTCATCGGTACTGCCGTCATCAACGGACTGGTGCTGGTGCCCGGCACCAACATCGTGCCGACCCAGGTGCGTTACTCGCCGCAGGGCGCCGAGAACACGCGTGCCGGTCAGACACTGCTCGAGAACTACGTGCAGGGCATCGTTTCGAACGTCATCATCCAGGGTACGCGCGACACGACGCCCATCGACTCGCTCAAGCAGGCGCTCTCGGGCATCCGCCTCAACGCCGACATCCCGCCGCTCAGGCAGCTGCTCATCACCGTCGCCAGGCTCGTCATCCCGCCCAACATCGCCCAGACCGGTATCGCCCAGGCCAACTTCGACCTGCGCAACCCCTTCACCGCGTCCATCAATCTGCTCAAGGTCAAGGCCGATGCGTCGTACCAGGGCATCTTCCTCGGCGAGATCAACCAGGACCTGTCGAGCAACCCGATCCGTGCGCCCGGACACACTACCATCACGTCGCGCTACCTGCCGTTCAACTTTGACCTGGACCCGAAGAACCTCATCCGCTTCGTCCAGGCCGCTGCGGCGACGACCGGCACCGATCTTGGCCCGCTCCCGCCGCTCTTCGCCCAGGTGCTCGCGCAGGCGTCGACGCAGACGACCATCAGCCCGTACCCGGACTTCAACCCACCCAACTGCAGGTCGGGTCAGCAGTTCGACGTGCTCGGCGCTGTTCTGCGCACGCTGCAGGGCCTCACGACCACGCTCAACGTGCAGTCGAGCGACAAGCTGGACGACTACTTCACCAACCTCAACTTCGTCCAGCAGCCTGTGCCGACCGAGACGGACCGCACCGCGCTGTACCTGCTCGGCCCCGCAGGTGCGCCGATCGTGCAGAACATTGTCGACCAGGCCGTGCTCACCGTCGCCATCGCCAACATCACCAGCGTCACCAACAGCGGCTTCGACGTCTCGCTCTCGGGCTCGCTCACGGGCACCGGTCCGTTTGACGCGCAGATCGAGTTCACCGAGCCGCTGACGGTCACCTGGCAGGGCAGGAACATCGCCAAGCTCACGCTGCCGCCCATCTGTGCATTCGCCAACGTCGGTGTGCCCAACCTGGTCACGAGCGGCCACTTGACCATCACCAACCTCGGCGCGTTCACCGACTTTGCCATCTACATTCTGGCCAACCCGGGCTTCCAGTGGACCGTCTCGTCGAACAGGCTCACCGTGCGTGCGCTCGAGATCATCTACTCCAACGTGATCATCTCGAAGAACATCGACTTCCGCGCATTCAATGGCCTGCCAGGCGTGACGACGTTCAACTTCGACGTGTACGGCGAGACGAGCAACTCGCTGCTCATCCGCACCGGCGCCTCGATCCCGAACCCGGCCACGCTGGGTATCCAACTCGACACGGCCAACTTCGAGATCTTCTTCATGGGCACCGACATCGGTCCGGTCAGCTCCGCCAACCTCTTCCTCGCCGCGCTCGCCACGACCAACACGACGCTGCAGGGTCAGATCACCGCCAAGTCCGGCCGCGACCTGCAGAACACGGGTATCCTCTTCACCAACTTCTTGCAGGGCAAGACGCAAATCCTCCAGGTCAAGGGTGTCTCGGTGGTGACGCAGGCCAACGGCAACCAGCCCGTCAACTGGCTCAGCGCTGCATTCCGCACGCTCACGCTCAACGTCGCGCTGCCCGGCCAGATTTACCAGATCATCTTCTCGATCACGCTGTCGGATCTCACGGTGTTTGTCAACGGCAACCCGGCGGACTCGTACACGGTGCCGTCGAGCTCCAACTCGACGATCGCAACGTTTGCCAATCCGTTCCGCTTCAGCCTGCAGCCGATCCAGGCGTCGCCGCACATCAACCTGTCGTACGCCGGCGGCAACACGGCGTACCTCGACCTGCCGCTGTCCAACGTGCAGGCCGGCACGTCGCGCGGGCCGCAGGACTTCCAGGCGCTGCAGCTCATGTGGCGCAGGCAGAACATCGTCGCGGTCGACAGGCCCAACTTCCAGGCGTTCTTCGCTCAGCTCACCGACACGCCTCGTGGCCAGTTTGACCTGCGCGGTGGCACGGACGTCGTGGCCAAGACGGTGATCGGCAACATCCCCATCGGCGGCATTCCGTTCAACGTGACCACGACGCTCGCCGGTATCAACAGCTTCAACGGCGTCGCGACGCTGTCGCAGGTCACGGTGAGCAGCGGTACGCCGGCGTTCCTGTGGGTACCGCTCACGGTGGCGCTCACGAACCCGTCCAACCTGACGGTGTTCACCAACGAGGTGTTCCTGCCCGTCATCTTCTCGGGCACCTTCGTGGGTCGCGCCGAGATCCCTGTGCTGGGCCTGATTCCGGGCGACAACAGGGTGCAGTCGTACTTCTACTATGCGCCCGTCAACGCCAACGACACGACGGCTCAGCGTCTGCTGCAGCAGTACGTCCAGCCCGACGAGGCGAACGGTGGCAAGCAGATCTCTCAACTCACCATCGACGGTTCGCAGAGCCCGGTGGGTCAAGGCAACCTCACGCCGTACGACTCGCTGCGTCCGGCGCTGGCAGGCGTCAAGCTGACCACCCAGCTCGAGGGTATCGCCTCGCGCATCGTCACGCACATCAACGTCTATCTCACCGCGCAGACGCTACTCACGGGTCTGGCTGGTCTGCTCAACCCGGCTGCTTCGCCGCCCATCGTCGAGATCGACGTGACGGCGATCAACCAACTGAACACCAACCTGTACCTCGTCGCGCTGCAGACTTCGGCCAAGAGGACGGGCGCGACGCCACGCGACGCGACGAACCCGGATGCGCGCGTGTCGTACACGTTCCCCAACGGCGGCTTCGAGATCCCCGTGGGCGGAGCAGAGGTGACATCGCCGAGGGTGCCCAATGTGGTGCTGCCCAAGGGTCTGATTGCTTCGCTGCCCGTGATTGGTCAGAACCTGGACATCTACAACAACCTGCCCGTGCGCATTGGTCCCTCGGTGGGCGACAGCTACCTGGTCCCGGGTCTCAACTACAACGAGTTCAACATTCCGACGGACTACGCCTTGTCGTTCGGCGGAGTGAACATCCCGCTGGGACCGGTGGAGGACATCTTGGGCCTGCTGAACCAGATTGCGGCGGCGGGTGTGGATCTGACGCAGATCCTCGGCTCGACGCTCACGCAGCTCGCGCAGGGCAATGTGATTGGCGGCTTGAGCACGGCGGCGCAGGGCGTGCTGTGCGAGATCACCAAGCTCACGCCCGGTCTGGGCTTGTCGATTCTCAACCCCATTCTCAACCAGGCCAAGTGTCCCAATGCGCCCGGCTCGTCGTCGTCGGCGGTATCCGCCTCGTCGACCGCCAACCCGGTGGCGCCATTGGCAGCGGGTGCAAGCTCGGCGGTCTCGTCCGTTACCGAGGCCGCTGCCGGTGCGGTGAGCACGCTCACATCGGCTGGCGGCGGTGTAGTCAGTGCCGTCACGCAGGCGCTCGGCGGCGGTAGTGCAAGCCCAGCCGCTGCCACGGCGTCGTCATCGTCGAGTGGCGGCGGCGGCCTTTTGGGTCTCGGCACCCTCATTCGCAGAGCCGAACCCACAGCCTCACCACACTATCTCTAGACCACCCACTTTCCTTCACTTCTTTGCTTCGTCTAGTCTCTCTTTTCCCCCCCGGTATTCTATAGTCCCCGCCCAAACCACACACACACTCACACACTCTCTTCGGATCGCGCCTGCCATATCGAGGCGGGCATCCCACACACACTCTCTTGTTTTTCCCACATCGCTCTCTCTCGTGTGCGCGCTGCACCCAGGTGTAGGCCCCCTTTTACCCAGTTCGGAATGCTAGGTCTTGTTTCAGTTCGATAAGGCGGGTGTGTGTGTGCGACTAGTGCGCGCGGTCCAGCCCCGTGTGAAACGTGCGCGACACCTTGGCGCTTTGTGTTGCAACGGCTGCGAGGTGCCGCGGTTTTCGTGGCGCCAGCGGCCGCGCTTGTGCAGTTTGACCCAGCAAAGCCCAGTGCTGAGGTCCCGCAGGCTGAGGCACACGCTGCCAACTTAGCGAGCGCAGCCACCAGGCTGGCCACACGCAGCTTGTGCCGGCCCAACAGCTCAACATCGCGATGCGCACCAGTCGTGCTGGCGCGGCTCGCCTGCTGGTGCGACTCACGACATGCAATCCCGATGGTGGCTCACTGGGACGCCACAAGCACAAATGCCAAAGATGGATAAAAGAGCGAGTTTCGTACAACAGCGTGCAGACAGGCGATGGGGGCAACAGAGGGCAGCGGGAGGGAGGAGACGTGGCGCGCAGCTAGCTCAAGCGGGACGAGCGGGATGCTTCAGTCGTCGAGCAGCTCGTCGCCCTCGGGATCGTCCTTGGGCGCCGCCGACTTTTTGGCCTCGGCTGCCGACGCGGACGAGCGAGCACGTTCGCGAGCCTCGGGCGACTCGTCGCCAGCATCTGGCGTGACAGCCGACTTGGGCGCGGCAGCGGTGGAGGCGTTGGCGGCCGGCTTGGAGGATGCCTCGGCATGGGAATTTGCCGGACGCGAAGGCACGTCGTCGTAGTCGGCGGTGCCGGTCTTGGCTTCGAGCTCACGCACGCGCGCCTCCAAGCCGCGAACGCGACCTTCCCACAGCACGCGCTCCTCTCGCACGCGACGCTCGACCGTCTCCTCAAGCACACGACGGCTGGACTGGAGCGTCTGAAGAAGCGTGTTGGAGCGCTTGATCTGGTCCTCGAGAGTCGCCTTGAGCGTCCTGCTGTCGTGGAGCGAGTCGTAAAAGTCGGAAAAGAGCGAGAGAAAGTGCGCTTTGGACGCTGGCGGCGAGCGCAGGTGGTCAGGGAGGCGGGCGGTGGGCGGAGGATTGTATGCCTGGCGTCCGCCTGCATGGCCTCGTGCGAATTGGGTGGTGTGATAGGCGGGAGAGGGCAGCGTGGCCGTCTGAGGCACATGGCCACCGGCCAGACGCGACGACGGAGGTTGGCGCGCCAGTGGATTGGCGGTGTGCGGCATGTCGGGCATGCGGCCGTCGCGGTGGCCGATCAGTTCTTCGCGCTCGTCGCGGCGGAAGGGCTCCAAAGCCTCGCGCGAGCCCGAGACCAGGCGCTGCGGGGGCTGCTGCTGGTGCTGTTCGGATCGCGGATGAGGCGAGGGCTGCTGGGCCAGCTGCGCGGCATGTCCGGGACGCAGGTTGGATTCGCGCGGAGCCTGGTCCTGGGGCATGGGATGGTCGCGACTGTCAAAGCCAAACGAGAGCTTTTGTGGCGGCGCGCTCTTGGCAATGCCGCTGGACGACTTGACGAGAGCGGCGGCCTCGAAGGACGAGCCGTTGCCCGTGTCAATGTGGAGACGGCTCGCCTTGGCCTGGGCTGCGTCGCCCCTCCTTCGTGCGAGACCAGGCATGGAGGAGGAGTGGTCTGGACCGTCGTCGTAGCTGGAAGAGGAGAATACCGAGGGACGATGCGCGTCCTGCATGGGGGGCAAGGGGCCGCCGCCCGAGGCTGGGCTATGTGCGGACCTTTCAAAGGGGGAGAGGCCACCGTTGGAGCGGCTGGTGTAAGGAGGGTTGTGTGGCGAGCGCAGGTCGTCGGCGTAGGCGTCGCGCTCGTCGAGGAAGCGGTTGCCCGAGTGAAGAGCGCCATCGGCTCTGCGGAAAGGCGGGGAGCGTCCGCCGGAGACGGGCTCTTCGCGTCGTCGATCGTCGCGATCGAGGGCTTCGCCGAGGCGTCTGCGTTTGAGCGCGCTTGCAGCAGGGTCGTCGCGCATGGCTTGATCTTCGTCGGCGAGGGAGGAGCCGTTGACGGGCAGTTGGGATCGTGGAGTTGCGGCTTGGCGTGCGGCGATGGATTGGGAGGGGATGGCGGAAGGAGGCAGCGGTTGTGCGTACCTTGGCTCGTGCTGAGCCTGGCGCGAGGGGCTGTAGCGGCTTGAAGGGTCGTGGGAGGATCTGTAGCGTGGGTCGAGCAGTTCGTCCCTACGAGCGGCTTCTTCTTGCTCGAGTCTGCGTTTTCTCTCAATCCACAGGTCGCGAGAGCGGTCGATGGGCTCCTCGTGCATGCTCCTTCAGGTCGAGGTGAGAGGCTTCCAGGCGATGAATTCGGGATGGAGTGGTGGAGGAAGCGGTCGACGACGAGCTTGGAAGATGGGTGTGAAGAGTGGATGGTTGTGGTTAGGAAACAGGGCGGGATGCTAGCCTCCGATGGAAACGCTTGGTGAGATGGTATGGAGCCAGAGAGAGGGAGAGGCGGAAGGAGAGGGATGGAGAGTGATCCGCGCTATCGTAGGTGTAGCCGTTGACGCGCTAAGGGAAGGAAGCCGAGGGGCGAAGGTGCAGATGAGAAGGAGAGGGGACGAGGACGGGGCGAGGAGGGCGATAGTGAGCTCGAGGGTGCAGTACGCGGGGGGCCGAGAGGGAGCGGCGGTGATGAAGCTGCACGATGGCTAAAGGGGGGCCGAGCGAGCTGGAGTGCAGCCAGGGCGGCGGCGCCAGAGAGGCAGCGCGAGCGCGTATTCCAGGGCAAGGGGAAAAAAGGGCAGTCGTCGCGGGCGGATGGACGGGCTGGCTGGATGGCTGGATTGGGCACGGGGCGACTCGCAAGACGGAATTGCATGGGAAGAAGCGGCGTCGGGCGTCGAGTGTTGGATCTGGCTGCTGATGCTGCCGCTGCTGAAGCTGCGACAATGCAGCCCAAAGCCGAGGAGGTCAAAGCTCGAAGGAGCTGGCTGCTCTGGGAGGAGGCGACGCCACGCCAACGCCTCGCCCTGCCTCGCATTGCCTCGCCACGCCTCCCCAGCCCACGTCCGGAGGGTGATTTCAGCACCCTGCACGAGCTGCAGCCAACGCGGGAAAAAAGAGATCCCTCTCTGTTCTCTGGCGCTGGCCATGGCATCACGCCGCTCGGACCTGCAAAATCCAACCCAAATTCAAAAGTAGAGCTCCATCGACCCACCGCCGCTGCGCCCACGCCTCGGCCGCACCGATGGCAACCTCAAGCGTACGCTTTGACTGCAGAGCGGATGCAGCCAGATGAGTTCAGAAAAGCGATCAGAGCAGGCACTTGCTGTTGCCCATTGGCAAACTGTGGGAGGCGCTGGAAAGGGCGATCTGGATGTGGCAAGCCTACAGCATCGCCGAAAGCAGCCGGACGCCAAAAATAATAATAATACCGAGGCCGACCCACGGCACGACGCCCGAGGGTTCCACTTTCTTTCTTTTCGTTTTTCTGCTTCGGAGCTCAAGCGGAGCAGCTTTGGCTCGACGCCGAGCGTTTCTCTTTGTGGCCCGCTCGTCGAGTGCTCAGCAACAAGAGCTCAGCTTCATCTGGGCCCGCGCCTCTGCAGCCGCATTTCGAAGCGATGGTGGGGCGTCGACCGACAACACACACGCGCGCGCCGACCGCATTCAAGCCCGCGCCGCCATTCATCGGTCTCCGCTGCCGTCCGGAAGGTTGTCCGGAAAGACGGCGTCGATCGCCCAACGGAGCGCGAGAGTTGACCGGAAGCTTCGAGGCGTCAAGGTCGGCAAGCGCAAGCTTTCCATGGTCCTGTCGTTGCAACAAGCATGCGATCGACGCTTAGCGAGCGCAACCAGCGCAAGGGCACCTGTCACGCTCGGCGAACAGTCTTCTGCAGCCTAGCCGAGCCACGCCTCTTTTTCGACCGTATCGCCGCGCGTACCGCTCTGCTGCGCCATTTTCCTTCACCGGACCCATCGGGGCGCGCACCGACCCTTCGGCTCACATGGCCAGCGCAGGCCAGCCTTTTATGCAGCTCGCTCGCCTGCCTCGCAGATCTGGCAGCGGGCCGCAGCCTTCTTTTCTGGCTCGTCGGCCGCGAATTTCCCAACACTTTTTTCTTTGTGGCTTGGGTTCGGACCTAGCTCGACTCGAGAGACCATAACTTGACCTGATGCGGCAAGCTCACACCGCTCGCCCCGACAATCCGCTTTCGGTGGATCCGAGCCCTGACTTCTACCCAACATCGCCGGAGCTTGCCTCTGCTTCTGTCAACGGATGGTCGGGATCAAAGCTCAGCAGGACCGGGTCCCGAAGCAAGACAGGGGCTGCCTGCCGCCCGTCCGTCGTACATCTACGACGGCGCGTCGTGCGCTGACGTGACGTCCTGCGCCGCCGCACTCTTTTCGCATCCGAGACACTTTCCGAAACACCGTCGGTCAACGCCAGATCCGCGCTCCTCTTGACAGTGGCAATCCCCGCACGCGCCTATCGGGTCCAGACCACCTCATGTCGGCCATCACTTCCGCACAGTCGAGTCTCGAGCGCATGTCTTTACGGGTATCTTCACATTCGAGCGCACGATGGACTAGTGGTAGTGCCGGCGTGGTGGCGGTGTGGGCGCATACCCAGCCCCACCCATGGCTCCGTCGACAGGCGCGTATACATGCTCACCGCCAAAGTGCGGTGCCACGCCAGCCATGTACCCTTCGTTTGGCGCAATGACCGGCGTAGGATAGTAGTTGACGTTCGGCGTGTCGTACATCCTTCCTGATGGCCGTTGCGGCGCTTGTGCATAGTTGGGCGTGTACGGCGTTACGGGTACGGGTAGTGCGCGTCGCTGCGGCGACTGCAACTGACACGCTTCGAACGAGCTATCCGGCCCTCTCGCTGGTTGATGGTACGAGCTCCTCATCGCTCCGGCCTTGACTGGACTCGAGACCGGCGTCGGATCCCAGCTATCCATACCGCCGTCCGGCATCCTTGCGTCGTAGTCGCCACGATATCCGTGTCCCGGCCGGCCAGACTCGCGCACTGCGTACTCGTGTCTGTCTTCCGCTGTTCGGCTGTCGTGTGTCACGTACTCCATCGCCGCGTTGGCATTCGAATCCGCGTGTCTTCTGCTCGTCACAACACTGCTGAGCGTATGCCTCGCCGCTTCTTCCATACCCTCCTCCTCCGTCGTTGCGTCCAGCTGCTGGTACTTTCGACTCTGGTTTCGCAGCAGCCGATCCGTGATGGTGCGCGACGAATTGCGCGTCAGGCGCGACGACCCGGTCGTCTGGCGCTGCAGATGCGAGAGCCCCGCATCCGACATGATGCCGCCGCCCATCATTAGGTTCATGTTGGGCTCGTTGCGATACACTGTCTGTGGATCGTCCTCGAGGTCGTGGAAACTTGCTGCGTGCATGCCTGTTGCCGCTTGCACGTAGCCCCGATTCGATGGTCCGGAGAAGCGTGGATCGTTGACGCCCGTCACGCCGATCGCATTGATGATCGGCGCCTTCAGGTGGCGTGCACGCACAAATGCAACCAGCCCCCACGCAGCCGCTAGGCCAACAATCGCTCCCGAGATCGGCAGCGCATACTTGAGTGCATCCGAGGTCGAAGAAGAAGAGCTGTTGGCAGAGTCGTCTTTGGCGGATGCCTTGCTGTCCTTGTCGTCGTCTTTGCTCTTGTCGCCATCTTGGCCCTTGCCTCCGTTGTCTTTACCCGAATCCTTGCCAGACGACGAGGCAGAAGCTTTGCCGTCCTTGCTGTCGGACGTAGACGAGTCAGAGGCGCTCATGAATCCCGGGTAGCCAGGAATGCCATCGGCACCTGGATCAGAGAGGATCCTCAATGGCGCTGTGCTTGTTCCGAACGCCGGTCCCGAGGTCGAGGACGAGTTGGCGCCCGTATAGACGAACGAGGTGACGTTTCCACCTCCCGTGCCTCCCGCACCTCCAGAGGCGCTTGTGAGGTTGAGGCTGCTCAGACTCGCGCACTGGACGGCAAACTGCTTGATCTCCTGCGAATAGAAGCCCTGTTTCTTGTACTCGGGCGTGGTCCAGTCGATCGGCCCACCTGCCCAGTCGATGGTGCCCTCGGGGTTGGTCTCGTTGCCGCCAGCCCAGGTGCTGAACTGAATGCGAGCCGGCGATCGGGGATACTCGGCACCTGCCTGATCGCGAGTGAGCGTACGTACGACATTGCCGTCGATCGTCCACTGCAGTTGAGAGCTTGTCCAGTTCAGGCCGTAAGTGTGCCAGTCACTGACATTGTTTCCGGTCATGTGGACGTCCGTGCCATGGTCCAGCACAGGCTCGCCCATGTAGAAATAGTTGGTCTTGGCCTCGGACGAGTTGGCGCCTGTCCACTCCCAGTCGATCTCGTCTTTGACATCGGACATGGTGATGAACGCCGCTACGACGCCCTGACGAGCATCGTGCCGCAGCGTCGCCTCGACGTAGCCGTACATCAGGTAGTCAGTAGTGGAAATCTTGGCCTGCTGTGCCGCCTTGAGCTGCAGCAGCACTCCCTCGGGTCCAGGTCCGAGCGAGCCCGAGTCGAGCGTAAACGCTGCCTTGCTCGCGTCACCGGCGTACTGCAGGATGGGCGTGAAGATCGCCAGGTTGTCGAAATCGCCCGGTTGGATCGTCATATTCCGCGAGCGGCACACGGGGTTCGGCAGGCACGACGTTGGCTTGAAGCTCGCCAGTGGGTTGCAGCCGCCTGCGCACTGCATGGCGCCGGAGCCACACACTCCTTCTGCCGAGCAGCATGGACTAGACGATGGACACTGAGATGTGGCACTGCATGTAATTCGTGTCGACTGGGCGGCAACTCCTAGCCCCGAGCCGTTTTTGGAGGTAAAAGTCGGGCTTAAAAGCATCAGCCATGCTCCCAGCATCGCCCAAGCTAGCCGCGATACAGACTTTGGCCGCACCCGAGTCATGGTAGCGGATATCTTTCCGGTTCGAATGGTCCTTCGTGTGTGGTACGGTAGAGAGTAGGTATCGGTACGATCTGAAAGGATATAGTCGAGTTGTTTGGGTAGTGTTAGCGTTGTGGCAGAGATCAAGGTGTAGGGATGGTAGCGGTAAAGCAACACCAGGTGCGGAAAGCAGCTTAGTTGTCGAGGAGCATCACTGCGCACCAAGATCCGGCAACTAACCGGGCTGCCTGACTGCTCGTGTGGGGCACATACGCAGGGTTCAACGAGCGTCGAGGCTGACCATTGATGCCAAGCCAGGTAAGGCGAGGCGGGAGCGGGGCTTCGGCATCGCTCAACAGGCGCACGTCGACTCAAGCGGCGAGCATCAACTCTACTCATGGATCAGGGGTCCCAGGGGTCCATCAAGCCCTGTCAAACTCCGCCAGAAATAAGAGCCTACCTCTCCCTTCCACCGCTTCTCCACTGTTGACCGTCGTACCCCGGCTTCACACCACCCCTATAGTGCGGTGCTACAGTCGCTTTCGTGAGCCCTACTTGGATCAAGCAAGGCTTTGGGGGTGAGCTTAGGCTGCGCCCAGTTATGGATCCGGGATGGAAGGCCAGACAGTCTCGGATGACGATTCTCGAGTGATGTTCTACACACCATTTTATGCGGAGGCTACCCGGTCTGACATTTCCCAAGTGACGGCTCGCTAAGCTTTGGGCGACAGGGGCTGCCAAAAAAAGACCAAAATCGAATCGGCACTGTGGGGACAAAAGTGAAAAAAAGGAAGGGGGCCAACCCGGAATCGAACCGGGGACCTCTGTCAACTTAGTGCGACCTCCCGAAGGAGGCAATGCCCTAAGACAGCATAATAAGCCACTATACGATTGGCCCGCTTCATGTTTGCCGAAAATTGAGTTGCGTATATAGATAGTCCCAAAGATTTAGGCTGTTTTGTGTGGGTCCCTCCACCTGCGGTCCCCGCGTGCGGACCGCACAGTCCACAATTTGAGCGTTCCTTGGCAAGTGACTCTCATCACAGCTACGGTCTTGCCCCACTGGCGCGACCCATCATCGATCATTGAGGCGAACGAATAGCAGGGAGCGCTTCCAACTATTTAGGTCTTGTCCGAGCCCCCCTACAATCATCAAGACAGCGTCTGGCGCAGGACATCAAGTGGAGAGCGATGCCGTGGGACGACTGGCGGAAAGACTTCAACAAGAAGCTGGACGACTTTGGCGAGGATGCGAAGCACAAGTTTCGGCAGCAGCGCGAGGCAAACGCCGGTGGCTCGTCCAGCGGCAAAGTGGGACTGCAGGACCGAATGAACATGCTCAAGGGCGAGAATCCACGATGGAATCGCGATGTAGAAGCGAGAGCGGGGGGCGAGGATCATGCCTCCACCGTTGTGCCGGAACGAAGCCGTGTGCCGCCCGCACCCCCTTCGGCCCTGAACAAGGGCAGACCACCTCCTCCGCCCCAGCGCGGGTCGCACAGTGCGGCGACAGCAGCGCCAGCTCCCGCTCTACCACCACGAATGCAGAATGAAGACGGCACGAATCATCCACCTCCTCCCTACCCACCTGCTGCTCACGCTTTCCCAGCGAGTGACGGAGCGGGTTACATCCAGTTCTCAAAGTTCTCGCAGCAAGACAAACATGCTTTCTTCAGCCTTCTTGACGAGGTAAGTCTGTCATTCCGGACTTGGCAAACTCATCACACGTTCTGACCGCATCGACTTGCTCTCTGTGTCCGTCCATCAACAGTACTTTGAGCAGCGCGATTATCGCCAGCACTGACAGCACCTGTGCCTAGCCTTCCAATATGACAAGGTGTCTCGTGTCGATCCAAAAGCTGAGGACCTCGAGATCTTGCCCGTGTGCCAATGTCGATGTTCCGCTGAGATAGGAAATGCACGACCACGAGGCCAGCAGTGAGGGGTGTCAACCGGAAGCTGTGCAGCAGTCTCAGTCTTTCCACGTCCTTGCCGCCGCCTATGCGCCTTAGCTCAATTTCGGCATCGAAGCATCGTCCTTGGTCGGCTCCCAGGTGTGGCGGACGCGCGTGAGCAAAGCGAGCAGATCCCTCGCCGAGCATGCTTCACGTGCAGCGCCGTCCTCACCAAACCGTCCGCAAAAAGCTCTCTCTGCAGTCTACTACGGCCGACGACGCGATGAAAAGGAAAGCGACTATTGCAGTGGGAGAGATGGATGGTTACAAGGAGGAGAGAAGAAACAATGGCTGGCAGGGGGGGGGGGGAAAGAGAATGCTTGACTGTGATCCAGGACGCATGTGCAGTGTCATTCACGGCGTCGGCGCCGAGGGCCGACTGGATCACTTGACCTCGCGGGAGCGCTGTCGCGCTGCCGTGTCAGCGGCGCCTTTGGGCGAGACGGGCGAGGTGATGTCGTTGGCGAGCTTTTCGAGTTGTCTGTCGTCGGCAGTGTCGGTGCCCTCGAGCGCCTCGCGGATCATGCTGACCGTCGACTCTAGCGAGCGGCGACGGTTGGAAGGACTGGACATGGTGGTACCCAGACTGCTTGTCCTCGAGTGGCCGCGGCGGTGTGCGCCGGCAATGGGCGAGCTGGGCGTAGCTGGCGATGCCGGGCTGCCTGGCGAGGTGATGTCCTCGAATGCAGGCGAAGACACGCGCGCGCCGTCGGCAGGCGATGCTGGACCAGCCTCATCGGCATCGATGAGGTCGGGCGGCAGACGCTCGTTCTCAATGTCGACCTTGCGGGCATCGTCGAAGTTGGCGATGGCGTCCTTGATGCCCTCGGAGCCGAGGACGAGAGTGCCGTAGGGGAGCTTGGCGCTGGTTTGCGACGACTTGAGCTCGGAGACGCGTTCGGCCTCCTCTCGCAAGAGCGCAAAGACGCGCGACATGCGGCCGACGGCGAGGATCTTGTTCTTGATGATGGTCCTGCGTTCGGCCGTCTCCTCCTCGGCGGTCGAGGTGGGAGTGATGGGGATTTCATCCTCCTCCTCCTCTTCTTCAAGCTCTTCCTTGCTGCAGACGTTGAGGATGGCGATGAGCATGTCGGTGATCTTTTCGCCGACGAAGGGGAGACTCCAAGTGAAGACGTCCATGAAGTTGGGGAGCCAATAGGGGTGGGGGGTGCAGTTGAACTGGCGGATGTTCATGACGTTGTTCTCGTACTTGAGCACGGCGGCCTTGTTGTTGTAGACGTCGAGGTAGTTGGGTGCGGAGAAGATGGTCATGACGGAAGGGAATCCGGTTGTCTTTGTTTTGCGGTACATGCGGTATCCTGCGTCCTGAGCCTCGTGGGCTCGGATGATGGAAAGGAGCTGATTGCGTTCGAGGAACTGGCATGCGGCGTTGTAGGTGAAGAAGTAGGAGCAGCCTCGGACGTGATTGTGGATGAAGCTCTCGTTTGTCTTTTCCGAGCCGAAGTCCTCGAGCGGGTCGGCCCAGAGGATGTCGCACATGATGCCGTGGGTGGGAGGTTCGCGGAAACGGTCGATGCTGCGGAGGTCGTCAAGGGTCTGGAGCTCGGGTGAGAGGCCGCCGTGGATGCAGAGGAACTGCTTGTTCATGACGGCGGCGAGAGGGAGGGTGCAGAAGGACTCCATGCAGAGGTCGTAGATCTCCTCGGAGTACTTGTGCTTGCATTCGAGCTTGAAGGTGAAGTAGTCGGTGAGATGGCGGCACTCGTGGTTGCCGCGAAGGAGGAAGAGGGTGTCGGGGTACCAGATCTTGAGCGCCCATAGGTAGAGGACGCACTCGATGGAGAAGTAGCCGCGGTCGACGTAGTCGCCGAGGAAGAGGTAGCGGGTGTCTGCGGGGTTGCCACCGACTTCAAAGAGCTTCATGAGATCGTAGTACTGGCCGTGAATGTCGCCGCAGACGGTGATGGGCGCGTCCACCTCGAGCAGGTTGGGCTCCTGCCGAAGGATCTCGGTGGCTCTTGTGAGGATGAAGCGTGCCTGGTCATCTGTGAGACGGCCCTCGCGGTAGAAGTGGTTCTTGAGGAAGGCGATGTCGGGTTTGGAGGGATCCTTCTGGCTGAAGAATTGCTCGTCGGTGGGTTTCTGGAAGGCGGGTGCCTGAACGTCCTTGATGACACGCTCCTGGGTGCTGACCTGGGTGCCGTCGTCGGTGGTGTGGATGGTAAAGTCGATCTCGGGGGGCGCGGGCTTGTTCGTGATCTGACCGATGGCTTTGACCAGCCTCTGCTGCCTCTCTGCCTGGCCAGGATTCGACATTTTGCTCTAGAAGACGAAGATTGCAGGGATACCAGATGAGGGTTGTAGCCGGAAATTCTTTCGAACTGCTGTGGCGTACGGAGGTACGTTGCGGGATGCAAGAAGGTCAGGGCACAGAGGATGGGCAGTGGAAGCGATGGTGCGAGAAGAGTCAGCGCTTGCTTCGTGAGCTAGCATGGGCAGGCGGCGGAAGGCAAGACCTAGGCCAGGCTGCGGTTTGCCGTGCCAGAGTGGCGTGAGGCGATCACACGTACCAGATGTGCGAATCGAGAGATGCTATGCAGCTGGCGCCAGGGATGGAGAGTACGTCGATGGAGAGACGCGAGACGGCGTGCGGGACGATGTCGACGAATTGGATGTGGCTGATGCGGAAGCAAGGAGATGCTCGCTCTCGTCGAGAAGGCGTTCGAAGTGAGACCTGAAGAGTGCGGGGTGACCAGCACTTGGCGCGCTCCTCTGCTGCAGAAGACGATGAGATGTGCGGGGGCGCAAGGACGTCTCTCGAAGATCAGAGGACGAAAAGCAGAAGGAAGCGTTGCTTGACGGCGGCGGAGGAAGGAGAGAGGAAGTCGAGGGGCGAGTGACAGGAAGATGCACACGAGGCTCACGACTGCATTGCACGGACGGGCCGTGGAGCTGTGAGACAGACACCGGCTGAGGCGACACTCTGAATTTCGCGCTGCTGGCTCAGTCCCAAGTCACACTTCCGCACCTCACGCACGCGGGCGGCTCGGCGTGGGAGCGAGCGTGTGTGTGTGTGTGTGCGTTGGTCGTGCGTGCGTGAGCCTCACCACCTCTGCGCTTTGGCGCGCCAGCCCGCAGAGCTGCCAGCAGGCGGGTCAAAAAATTCCCAACCACGACCAGCAGACGCGCGCACACCTCTCCGCAGCCTCATCAAAGCTTTGGATGGCCAGGGCGCGTGCGCCGATCCGTCATCGGATAGGAATTTCGGTCTAACACTGCTTGCATCAAAATTCTCCACCTACACCATACCGGCCCACCATGCTCGTCGAGATGCACCACGAGGTGCTCGCCGAGGGTCTCCCCGGTGACAACGTCGGCTTCAACGTCAAGAACGTCTCCGTCAAGGACATCCGCCGCGGCAACGTCTGCTCCGACTCCAAGAACGACCCCGCCATGGAGGCCGCCTCCTTCCTCGCCCAGGTCATCGTCATGAACCACCCCGGCCAGATCGGCAACGGCTACGCCCCCGTCCTCGACTGCCACACCGCCCACATTGCCTGCAAGTTCAACGAGATCACCGAGAAGATCGACCGCCGTACCGGCAAGTCCATCGAGAACAACCCCAAGTTCATCAAGTCCGGTGACGCCGCCCTCGTCAACATGGTCCCCACCAAGCCCATGTGTGTCGAGTCCTTCCAGCAGTACCCCCCTCTTGGCCGCTTCGCCGTCCGAGACATGCGCCAGACGGTCGCCGTCGGTGTCATCAAGGGTAAGTCTTCACTCACCACCTCATCCTCCATTCGTCGACATCGTACTGACCTTGATCACCTTGATGCTTCTTTGATGACTCAACAGAGGTCAACAAGACTGCCGGCAAGGGTGGTAAGACAACCAAAGCGGCAGAAAAGGCTGGCAAGAAGAAGTAAGCGCGCCGATCTGGCAGCTGCTGTCTTGGCCGTTACTGGTCAGGTAAGATGGTGGTGGCAAAACGCCATCATCGTCTCTTCGTAGGCACGCACCCGGCTCAGGTTGACCGGGTCGCGCCTGACGGTCAGCGCCGCGATCGTGACACAGATTCACGCTTCTGCTGGACGCCTGCTGGCTTTACATCGCGGTGCTGAGTATGTGCTGGATTGCTATGCTGTTGATGCGAATGAAAGGGGGCAGGGGCTCATGCTTTGTTCTTGTAGCTGCCCTCGCCGCCTTGCTCGAAGGCTTGGGCGATCAGCTGCGACACTGCGCCGAGGTAGCCGTCGTTGGGCTCGTTGCGGAAGAAGAAGAGCAGCGATTCGCTCAGGCGCAGCACCTCGTCCTTGGTCAGCGACGGCCGTCCGTCCGAGTGCAGCTCAAAGAACCACTGGATGTTGGCCATCACGTCGTCCTGATTGAACATGACGGCGTCGAGTCCCGTCACGATGTCTTGCAGCGACAGCGTGCCTCGCTTCTCTCGGTCCCAGAAGCGGAACAGCCGCGCCACCGTTTCGTGCTCGGGCACGCGCCTCTCGATTCGCTCCTGGAAGCCGTTCGACACGACGTACTCGTCGCGCGCCCACGTCGCCACTTCGCCCAGGAAGAGCCGGAACGTCTTGAGGTCGATGCGCATCTCCTTGTAGTCGTTGAGCGTCTCCTCACCGCCCTCGGCGTTGCGATCTCGTGCGAGCGCCTTTTCCATCACCTCCTTCGGATCGTTGGCCACGATACCGGCGTTCGGACTCGCCTTGGTCTCCAGCGTGGCTCCCGGTGCGTGTCTCGCCCGGTAGATCGACTCGACCACCTGATCGTAGACGAGGCCGATCTGGTCCTTGGTGAAGCGGCCGTGGTCTTTGAGATTGCGGATCGCGCTTCGCTTGGCAAACAGCTCGATCTCTTGCACGATCTCTTGTCGGAAGCGGCGTCGTTCGCTCGCGATCGTCTCGTCGGTCACCACGCCAAACTCTCGGAACGCGACGACGAGCAGCTCCTGGAAGTTGGTGATCTGTCGGTGTCGCGGATTGGTGCTGTTCGGATGCGCGCTGTCGCCTAGCGATCGGAAGTAGCCTCTGATCAAGCTGATAAAGGCGCCGTCGTCCGTCACCTGCAGCAGCTCCTCGCCGTTGATCTTGAGGATGGCGAGCCCCACCTGGAAGAGCACCTTGGGCCCCATGGCCATGAAGCAGTCCACGATGCGGAAGGCAAAGATCATCGGCATCGAGTTGATGTAGAGCGACAGGAACCACGGCAGAGAGGCGACGCTCAGCTGGATGTCGGTCTTGACAAAGTGCTCGTGGATCATCGGCAGCGTACGCTGCACCAGGTTTTCGAACACCTTCTGGTCCAGCAGCGTGCCGGACATGGACTGGGTGTAGTAGCCCGGCAGCAGCCTCTCGCACAGGGTGTCGAGCAGCCAGAAGCACTGCTCCTCACTCATGTAGATGAGGATGGCCGCCACCACAATGTTCATGGCCTGGCAGTAGCCCAGCTCGGGATTCTTCCAGCTGTACGCCACCAGCACGCGGCGCAGCGTCTCGATGCCCTCGGGCGTCTGGTAGGCCGGGTATTCGGGCAGGCTGCGGTTCAGATCCTTCTCGATCTCCTCGGTGCTCGTGCTGGTGACGCCTTCGTATCGCTTGAGCAGCGCCTGGTACTCTCCCGCATGCGCGAAGCGGTTGTAGATCGATCCTGATGTCAGCTCCCAGATTTCGCCGCGAAGTCGGTTGGGCAGGCCGACCTGGACCAGGCGAAGGAATTGCGGGTAGCGCAGGAGTGTGAGGTTTCGACCGTGGGCGAGAAAGTAGTCTCGCCAGAGCTTCAGCTTGCTCTTTTCTCTGAGCTTACGCGCGTCGCCGGGGAAGCCGAACGTGGCACCCAGTCCCATCTGATACTTTGGCTCTTCCTTGTCGGCCGGTGCCGTGAGCAGCGCCTTCTCGTCCGTCTCGGATGCCGGTGTGTCTGCGGTGCCTTCCGCAGCATCTGTAGCGACGCGCTTGCCCTTGGGATCCGGTACGTCGTCCGTGATGAGGAACTCGCTGTAGCAGCCGGCAAGGAAAGGCTTGAGCAGTTTCATATTGCCGAGCTGCGCGCGGAGCTGGTCGCGGAGCACGGCACAAAAGTGCTCACAGGAGGGACGGAGCGCGTTGAGTTGCAGGATGACCTTCATGCCATGCCACACGACCATGCTGAGGGCGAAAACGGTGCCACGGGTGTTGAGGCGCTCCACGCGGCGGACACACCAGAGGGGCAGGTTCATGCGGCAGCTTCGGCCTCGGTCGCCTTGGCTTGCGAAGCAGAGGAAGGATTGTGTGAGCGTCAGCCGTCCAGCGTACACCTGATCCTCCTGCAGGCCGTCCTTGGTAGCAGCCGAGAGCGACAAGACGGCAGAGGTGATCTCTGCATCCACGATAGGCGATTCGCCGGCAGGCAGCGAGAAGGCATGTGCGAAGAGTTGTGGGCGAGTCGGCGATCGATAGTCGCGCAACGAGTGCGCAATCGTCGACATCCTGTACGATGACCACCCGGAGTGGACGACTCGCAACGGTTGCTGATGCGGACGAGATAGATGGAATAGGGTGGTGATATCAGCGAACCCTGGTAGCGGCACAGCACAGCATTCGAACCAACACGCTGCTGCTGCACCGTCAGCCTCAAGCGGCCCGAGCGCGCACCTCATCCAGGACCGCACGGCGTGCCCACGGCTACCTTCGTTATGTTACATCGCCATCTTACACATTTATCACAAGTTTCCCGGCTGTTCGACCTTTACTTCTAACAATGCCGTGAGGTTTCCGCTCTAACATCTGAAACGGGCGCTCCTGCGGGGACGCCATTCTTCCCAGGCCCTTTGCGCCAGGCTTTCCTTCGATCCAACAAGACGGGAGCGCTCCTTGATGGCGAGTACTCATGCTTGGCACATGAAGGGCCCTGAGCGCTTTGAAGGCAGATCTTTAGGCGGACTCTCGACCGAGAAGGAGAAGTGGGCTGGATCTGCACTGTGCGCACGTTGACCGTGGCTGGTCGGACCTCCCGAAGGCCTTGGAAGGGCTGTCAGTATCGATTTGGGATGCGCCATGCCCTGGTGGCAAAAGCTCTGCGTGGGTTGAAAGCCGACGCAAGAAGAAAACGGAAGCTGACTCGAATGTCTCTTGTCGGCAATGCCGCGACGCTGCAGGCGGAGGGCGACGCGAGCCAGGAGAGCCAGCCGAGCCAGGGTTCAGCGGATCACGCCTTGTCCAGCCAGTCGTTGAGTCGAGTCGTTGGCGGGCGCTGCCAGGCGCAGAAGAGGATGCGGACGCAAGGGCGGCAGACGACACATATTGGGTGCGCCTCAGCTGATTCGCCCTTGATTGCGGGTCGCGATCTGATTCGAGGCAGTCCAACACTGGTTGCGGGAGAGTGCGGGCGCCCCACCGGCGCAGGCGGAGCAACGCTTTCAAGAAGAAAATGCAAAAATCTGCTCGCTCGATCATTGGCTGGAAACGTGCGTCGCGCACACTCGCCCGCCGCCGCCTCCTCACACGGTGCTAGGACCAACAACCGACTTGACCGCTCCTCGCCTGTCGGCCAGCAGGAAGAAGAAGAAAAAGTTGACAGGAGGCCAGCAGACGACACTCGCCTCAGCCTGCAAGTCCCCCAACGTCTACTGTCTGGCCCTTCCAGCACGGCACCTCCGACCGTGGTCCTAGCGCGACAACGTTCTCACGCTCCCTGCCGGTCAGGCCATCTTGGGCATCCACGGCCCAGTTTTTCCTATTTGACCCCACTTCTTCTCGCCACGCTTCCTTCCTTCCGCTCCCACACCATCCACCCATCCTCCCCCCTCTTCCATCCGCCTTCATCCACACATATCCGTCCTTGTTGCGCTTTACTTCGCACTCAACAAGCTACACTTCTTGACCGTTCCCACGTCCGAGAAGTTCTCATCGCCTTCCTCACTCTTTCCGCACCATCCGTCTCCCCCGCTTCTCCCCGCTTCGATCATACAAAATGGCGTACGTATCTTATCCAGCTTCGGCTCCTCTTTCCGCGAGGTCTGTCCAGTTGGGTATCTGCCATTCTCGTGCATGTTGCTGACCATCTGAACCATTTCGTGCACACACGACAGTACTTCCGCCGTCCTCGGTTACCCCCGCATTGGCCCTCAGCGTGAGGTCAAGAAGGCCCTCGAGGCCTACTGGGGTGGCAAGACCTCCCAGGAGGAGCTCCTCAAGATTGCCAAGGAGCAGCGTCTGCAGACCTACAAGTTTATCAAGGACGCCGGCGTCGACGTTGTCCCCACCGGTACCTTCTCGCTCTACGACCACGTCCTCGACGCCTCCAACACCTTCAACCTCATCCCCGAGCAGTACGCCAGCTCCGGCCTCGATGCTCTTGACACCTACTTCGCCATGGCCCGTGGCCACCAGAAGAACGGCGTCGACCTCCCCGCCACCGAGATGCAGAAGTGGTTCGACTCGAACTACCACTACCTCGTCCCCGAGCTGAGCGAGTCGACCGAGTTCAAGATCAACAACACCAAGCCCATCGACGACTTCCTCGAGGCCAAGGAGGCCGGCTACACTGCCCGCCCCGTCCTCGTCGGCCCCGTCACCCTGCTCGCCCTCGGCAAGCCGGGCAAGGACGCCAAGGACGCCGAGCTCGACCCCGTCTCGCTCCTCCAGAAGCTCGCCCCCGTCTACGGTGAGATGCTCGCCAAGCTCGCCGAGGCTGGCGCCGAGTGGGTCCAGATCGACGAGCCCGTCCTCGTCCTCGACCGTGCCCAGCAGTACGCCGCCGAGTTCAAGGCCGCCTACGAGACCATCGCCAAGGCTGCCCCCTCGGTCAAGATCATGATCGCCACCTACTTCAACAAGCTCGAGTCCAACCTCGAGATCGTCAAGACTCTCCCCGTCGCCGGTCTCCACGTCGACCTCGACCGTGCCCCCGAGCAGCTCGAGGACGTCCTCGCCGCCTTTGCCAACACCGAGCACGTCGTCTCGCTCGGTCTCGTCTCGGGCCGCAACATCTGGAAGACCGACCTGAGCGCCGCTCTCGAGACCGCCCAGAAGGCCGTCAAGGCTCTCGGCGGCAACGCCAGCCGCGTCCAGATCGCCTCGTCGTCGTCGCTCCTCCACACCCCCATCACCATCGCCAACGAGAAGAAGCTCAGCGCCGAGGTCCTCGACTGGTTCTCGTTCGCCAACGAGAAGTGCGCCGAGATCGCCACCCTCGCCGCCGCCCTCCGCGACCCCAGCTCCGCCGCCGACGCCCTCGCCGCCAACGAGAAGAGCATCAAGGCCCGCCGCGACTTTGAGAAGAACTCGGACCCCGCCGTCCGCGAGCGCGTCGCCAACATCAAGCCCGAGGACCTTGCCCGCAAGTCGCCCTTCAGCGTCCGCAAGGAGGTCCAGAAGGAGCACCTCAGCCTTCCCGTCTTCCCCACCACCACCATCGGCTCGTTCCCCCAGACCAAGGAGATCCGTCAGTACCGCGCCCGCTTCACCAAGAACGACATCACCAAGGAGGAGTACGAGAAGTTCCTCGAGGACGAGATCAAGATGGTCGTCGAGAAGCAGGAGGCCCTCAACCTCGACGTGCTCGTCCACGGCGAGCCCGAGCGTAACGACATGGTCCAGTACTTCGGCGAGCTGCTCGACGGCTTCGTCTTCACCCAGAACGCCTGGGTCCAGTCGTTCGGCTCGCGCTACGTCCGCCCCCCCGTCGTCGTCTCGGACGTCAGCCGTCCTGCGCCCATGACCGTCCGCTGGTCGTCGTACGCCCAGAGCCTCACCAAGAAGCCCATGAAGGGCATGCTCACCGGCCCCGTCACCATCCTTAACTGGTCCTTCCCCCGTGCCGACATCAGCAAGGAGGTTCAGTCCAAGCAGATCGCCCTCGCCCTCCGCGACGAGGTCATCGACCTCGAGAAGGCCGGTGTCCGCGCCGTCCAGGTCGACGAGCCCGCCATCCGTGAGGGTCTGCCGCTCCGCCAGAAGGACTGGGCCGGCTACCTCCGATGGGCCGTCGACTCGTTCCGTCTCTCGACCTCGGGCTGCAGCGACGCCATGAACATCGCCTCGCACTTCTGCTACTCGGACTTCTCGCTCATCATGAAGTCGATCATCGAGCTCGACGCCGACATGATCTCGATCGAGCACTCCAAGTCCGGCGAGCACCTCCTCGGCGCCTTCAAGAAGGTCGGCTACCCCTCGCACATTGGCCCCGGTGTCTTTGACATCCACTCGCCCCGTGTCCCCAGCAAGGACGAGATGATCGGCCGCATCAAGGCCATGGCCGAGGTCCTCCCCAAGGACTCGATCTGGGTCAACCCTGACTGCGGTCTCAAGACCCGCACCTGGGAGGAGTGCACCGCCCAGCTCACCAACATGGTGGCCGCTGCCGAGGAGTGCCGCAAGTCCCTCGCCTAAGCGCGTCGTGGCATGCCGCCGTCACTGAGCACTCGTCTTTGCTCGACTCGCCCATGGACATAGCATCAACTGCTTCCGTCCGGGCTCAGCACGAGCATCGTGTGCTCTGTCTATCCTTTCCCCTCCCCCGCCTCTTGCTAGTTTTCTCCTGGTCATCCCTCGTTTTCTGACCAAGCCGCCTCTCCCTCGTCCCGCTCTCCCCTTCCGTCGTCATCGTCTTTTGCATCTTGTAACCCTCTGTATTCTGTACCCATTCAACATGATATCCCGCTCCCAAAAGCATTCAACATGATTCCAGTCCAATTCCAGCATTTCAACATGGACACCATCATCTTTCTCGTCTGTACATGTGTGGAGCCCGTGTGCGTGCGGCAAGTCGTGGATAGTCGGTGGTCGTACAGTATTAGCATCGTAGCCGTGAGTGCGTGTCAAGTGCGGAAGCAGGTTGTGTGGAGGGTTGACTATTTTTATGTGCCCGCGCACGGCCTCAGAGATTACGAGCCTCTTGATCCTTTGCCGTACCGCACGACCTTGTTTTCCTTCCTCTAACTCATCATCCTTCCTGCGACGACTCGAATTCGGTGTACAAGTTGGCGAACATAGGAGTGTCCGGTAGCGATACGAAGCAGTAAAGTCATGTTCTCCAAAGATCGAGCAAAGCCGTCGTCGTCATCCTTGGACCTCTCGTCGCTGCAATCCTACTCGCCCGGCTGGTCGCCTCATCTGCGACTTGCCACCTGCATCTCGCTCAAATATGCTGTTCAGCGGCACGTCGAAAGGGCTACTGCGCTGAGCCGGAGCGCAAACGCTTCAGCGACGTCGGCTGCATCGGGCAGCCCTTTCTACTCTGCTTCGCAAGAATGGTCAGACTACGGCGACAAGTTTCTGACCGCGACTTGCCAGCATCTCGGCATATCCGAATCATCGCTACCGCCAGGCCCGATCGGCCTAGAAGATGTACTTGCTGCAGCTCACGGCCGCTTGGAGCATGCCGACACTCGAGATCCGATCTGTCAAAACGAGCCGCAGTTTGAGTCGGGATCCGACCATGCACGCCGTTTCCCCAATTTGGACCTCCCGATCAAAGGCGTCGACGATGCGAAGAAGGAGCAGCTTGAAGCGTCTCCATCCGTCGAGAAGGCTGACGCGGATGACGCCTCGGTCTCTCTCGAGAATCTCAGGCTCGAGTCTTCTGCGACCCCCTCATCCCCTGGCTCGGATCACGCATCGGATCTATTCTCGTACGATCAGGATGCTCAAGAGCTTCCAGACTATTTCCGCAATCGAGAGGAAGCGTCCGAGCCCTCACAAACAAGCAGTGCTGATAGGAGACGGCTTCAACGGGCTCGCTCTCTTTCCAAGGCCACTTTGGCCTCGGCGGAACCGAAGCGCGTACAGGGTGCCATCGACCCTGGCTCCGGCCAGGAAATCGAAGTGGCGCACGAGCTCCTCCTCATCGCGCTCGGGCTTGGACAGTATAGAGCGCAGGATGGCACATCCACCGTCTTTGAGCAAGACTTTCTTTTCGGAGATACGCAGCTCGATCTTAAAGGCGCCGAGGTCGGGAACTCCGAAGCGAAACCTGCCGAGGCCCCTGCCTTGCCCCCGCGCCCTCAAAGAGGTGAAACTTCCGAGACGAGCTCGACGCTTGCCTCCAAGTCTCTAGCGCAGGTCGGCCCTACCGATACCAATGTCGGTCGCTCGGCGGGTGATCCGATGTCCAAGGTGACAGAGACTGGCCGTGTCCTGAGTGGCGCCTCGATAAGCGCCTTCAACTCGCTCAAAGTTGGGACTCTATCTGGCTGGAACAAGCTCTCGACTGCCAGCAAGGAGCTCGTCAACCCGCAAGCCTCGGCCAACCCGGAGACTAAGCCCGCCAACAAGGATGCAAAGCAGCCGGTCAAGCCGAACGAAGTGTGCCACTACGACGCCAGAGCTCGATCGCTGGTGTTTGTCGCGGTGACAGCCATGGGCATTCCGGGCCGACAGGTCTGGATGGCTGAAAAAGTCATGGCGCAGACCATCTACTTTATCATGAGCGAAGGTGATAAAGCTTCTGCATCAAAGCACGGCAAGGGCATCGTCGAGCAGCTACCTGCTGGTGCATCGCTCGATGCTCGCACGGGATCCATCACGCAAGCCTCGCAGCGCTCAGAGTACATGAACCAGCACTCTGGGTCGGTCGTGCAGCGCGAGCGGGAGAAAGTCTCGTGGGGCAAGTGGGCTGCCATGGGAGGCGGATTCATCGCGGGAGGTTTGGTGATCGGCCTGACCGGTGGACTGGCCGCGCCACTCATCGCGCCTGCCCTGGTCGGCCTCACCGGAGCATCGTTCCTCGCCACCTCGGGCGGAATCATCATGCTCGGCACGCTCTTCGGCTTGGGCGGAGGTGGCCTGGCGGGCTACCGCGTCGAACGCCGCCTTCGAGGCGTGTCCTCTTTTTCGTTTGCCGAGTTGGTGACCGAGGCACGCAAGGCGGGTGTCGCCATCCCGAGTCTGCATGCGACGGTCTGCTGCAGCGGTCTGATCCTCGAGGATGACCAGCAGGTTGTGCCTTGGAATCACGTCTTTGAAGGGGCAAAAGATGGACGCGATGCCTTCGCCATCGAATGCGAGGCCGAGATGATGCGGCTAGCAGGACAAGGGTTGCGCTCATACATGCTCGACAATCTGATCCGCACGGGCGGAACAAAGGCAGCAGAGGAAGTGGTCAAGAAGACGGCACTGGCCGGCATTGCTGCCATCACGCTGCCCATGACCGTCTTTAATGCCGCCTCAGCGACCCTCGATGGCGTCTTCGTCCGTGCCAAGACCAAGGCGCACAAGGCTGGTCTCATCCTTGCCGAAACGCTGCGGAACGAGGTCCAGGGCCACCGACCGGTGGTTCTGATCGGCACTTCGTTGGGAGCTGCCACGATTCTCACCGCACTCACAGAGCTCGCCAAGGAGCCCGAGCACACATCACACCTCATCGACTCTGTCATCCTCATCTCCGCACCCATCACTCCGTCGCCTGCGACGCTCCGCAAGGTGAGGACCATCGTCCAGCGTCGCTTCGTCAATGTCTTCTCCTCGAACGACATGGTGTGCGGAATCGCCGCTTGGCTGGGCTCGGGTGTTACGGTCGAGGAGCTCCGCGCTGGAAAGCTGCCCCGCGTAGCAGGCAGCCGCGCGATCGACGACGTGCCCGGTCTCGAAAACATCAACGTGTCCGACATCCTCTCGAGCCACTTTGAGGTCAACGATGCGGAGAAGCTCTCGGCCGTCCTCGCCCGATGCGGAGCGCTTGACGACTGATGTGCGGCTGTACCGGCATCTGACACTTGCTTTTCATACCTGCTGCCCACTTTTCCGTTGAAATGGTAGCATCTTCTTCTTCTCATGCCCCCTTTGCATCGGTGTGAGAAGCAACTTCGTTCGAGAGCGCTGAGCCGTCGGGTTTATCGTGCGAGAAAAGGGATGCCGAGGGAGAGCGTAATCTAGCGATTCATAGACTCACTGAGCAGCGGAAACTCCACATGCGCACAGCGAGGGCTCGGGGACGCGCCCGTGCCCGCTCAGCCGCCTTCCATGCGTAATGCGGTGTGGAGCTTTCCTCTGCCACAACCACATCGTCTTACTCCTCCATCCCAACAAAGTCTGCTGTTTGAGATTCTCCCCTCAATCTCTGCGCAACATGGCCGACTCATCGGACGCTGCTTCGCAGCTCAAGATCAACATCAAGGGACCCTCGGACCTGAAACTGAGCGTCAGCGTCTCGACGGATCAGACCGTGCGACAGCTCAAGGAAGAAATCGAAAAGCAGAAGCCCGACACACCTGCAGATGCACAGAGACTCATCTATGCCGGCAAGGTGCTCAAGGATGACGAACCGCTGAGCGTTTACAAGATCAAGGACGGCAACACTGTCCACATGGTCAAGTCAGCAGCGCGATCGGCCCCCACGACGGGCAACCCATCGGTTCCGGGAACGGCACCTTCGGCGACCGGATCGTCCGCCTCGAACAACGCTGCTGCCTCTCAATCGCAGGGAGTGCCATCCAACTTCTCTGCCGGCCAGAACTTCACCAACAATCCGCTTTCGGCACTCAACCGCGCCGACTATGCTGGCCCGCACATGGCCAGGCTGCTCAACGAGAGCGGTGGCGCCTTCGGAGGCATGGGCCTCAACCCGCGTGATCCCAACATGATGATGGGACTCATGCAGAATCCCGAGGTGCAGCGTCAGATGCGTGACATGATGTCGCGACCCGAATTCATCGACCAGATGGTCGCCATGAACCCGCAGCTGCAAGGCATGGCGCCGCAGATGCGGGAAATGATGCGTTCGGAGCAGTTCCGCGAGATGATCACCAACCCCGAAACCATGCAGAGGATGGCGCAAATGTCGCAGCTCATGGAGGGTGCTGGATTGGGAGGCATGGGTGGCATGGCAGGACTGGGCGGGCTGGGCGGGCTCGGTGCTGGTGGAGGCGGAGGCGGAGGTAACAACGGAGGTGGTCAGTGGCCGCCGCCCGGTGCCTTTGGCAATGCTGGTGACTCTCAAAACAGTGGCTCAGCAGCAGGTGGCAACTCGAACTCGAACAATGGCAACGGCGGTGGCCTCTTCTCCGGAATGGGCAATGACAACAGCAACGGACGCCGGAACGGCCAGGGCAACACGGGCATGTTCAGCGGCAACTTCAACGGGCTCGGCAACACGGGCGGCGCGGAATCAGGCGGACAGGCCCCACCAAACCCGTTCGCCGACCCTTCTTTCCTTCAGCAGATGTTTGGCGGAGGAGGCGCTGGAGGCTTCGGCGGTCTCGGTGGACTGGGTGGCCTGGGCGGGTTCGGCGCCGGCGCCCAAGCACCGCGAGATTCTCGTCCGCCCGAGGAAAGATTCGCTTCACAGCTCGAGCAGATGCAGGCGATGGGCTTCTATGACGGCCAGGCCAACGTTCGAGCGCTGCTCATGGCTGGAGGCAACGTGGAAGGTGCCATCGGCATCCTGCTCGACAACCCCAATCCACCGCCACGGGGCAACTGAGACGGCTGCCTACGCTCTCTCCTTCGATAAAGCAGAATAATTGCCCCTACATGTTGGTGGCGGCGAATCTAACCTGTTGCACTCGCGCGTCTCGCTCGCTTGTGTCACTTTCATCCTCTGAGCTGCTCTTCCCTCTCTGAAATCACGCGCCTGTGAAACAAACACGCCGACACGCATGCCCAAAGTCACACACACGCACGCACGCTTGCTCGCACGCACGCAGGCCCACGCTCAGGCCCACTCCAAGGACACGTCAATTCTTCCACCACCTTCCGAGTCGACCACCATTCAAGCATTCATCGACCGTACAAAGCAACCTGACATTCCGACTTCACCTTTAACTCTGTCTCCACTCCGAGGTCGTGACGCCAAGATGTCGGAGGCTCAAGACTACACCAACGATGCGATCGAGCACGTCGAACTAGACCAGGACTCGGAGCAGGACCATGGAGAGGACGAGATCCCCAGTGACGAGCTCGAATTCGCTGCTGAAGAAGAGCACGCCGCCGACGACGGCGCCGTCTCCGTCGACAATGCTCAGCCTGAGAGCGATCGGACCTCGTCGGAGAAGGAGGGCGGCGACCCCGCCGTCGACGAAGACGTCGCGCCCGGAAGCGACCGCGGCTCGTCGGAGAAGGAAGCCGAGGATCCGACGGCAGATGATCCTGTTGACGAGCTCTCAGCCGATCTGGCGGATTCCACCAGCGACTCCAAGCTCTCGGCTCCATCTACGCCATCCGCAGCAGCTGTGCGTACAGCCAAGGTGGCTGCTACGCCGGCTTCTGTCCGCAAGCTCGTCGGAGCCGCCGCTGCCAGCTCAACAACAGCAGCCCGCAGGGTCGTTGCTGGCGCACGACCTTCAGTGACAGGTGCTGCTGCTACGAGAGCCGGTCAGACTACTGCTGCAGGTGTGAGCCGTCCCGGCGTTGCAGCGCGACCCAGTGTTGCGGGACGACCGAGCGTTACGGGCAGTAGCACCACGGCTGCTCGACCCACCGCCACGGCTACCTCCAGGCCCGCAGTGGGCACTGCTTCCACGGCTGTACGTTCGGGCGTCGCTGCCCGGCCTAGCCTTGCAGCCGGCGCTCGTCCAACCGCCGCTGTGAGGCCGTCCGCTGCCGGTACCGCCTCCAGAAGTGCTGTCGGCGCCGCTAGGCCAACCACCACTACTGCTTCCACTGCGACCGCGACTGGTACAAGGACCACGGCGGGTGCCGTAAGGCCGTCCGCTGCTGCGACCTCCACAGCGGCGGGTGCGGCTGCGCGACGCGTTTCCGCCGTGCCGCCCTCCCCCGCTCGCTCCACTGCAGGTGCAAGCACAGCCACCGCCGCCCGACGTCCTCCCGTCTCATCTACTGCTGGCACCACGGTTGCGGCGAAGCGTCTCTCTGCAGCACCATCGAGCGCTTCTTCGGGAACGGCAGCCCCCGCCGCCGGTGCGGCGGCTCGACGGGCCTCCATCACAAGCAACTCCACCAGCACCACCGCTGCCCGTCCGGCATCCGCAGCACGACCAAGCTTGGCCTCTGCCGCGCGGCCCACGGCTACGTCCACCGCTGCTGCGGGGGCTGTCCGCCGAAGTATCGCGCCGGCCGGGGCTACTTCTACCTCTGCAGTCAAGGACCTGCAGGAGAAAGTCACAAAGCTCGAGGCGGAGCTGGCCGAGCAGAGCGAGCAGCTGAACCAAATGAAGTCCGATCTCGAGTCCAAGGACGAGGAGCTGCAGGCCAAGACTGTGAGTCTGTCTGCAGCCGAGGCCAAGCTTGCTGGCTCGGACGAAGCGTCCACCGAAGCCCTCTCCTCGCAAGCCCGGGTCCAGGAGCTGGAAGAGCAGGTAAAGACGCTCGAGGCAAAGCTCAGCTCTTCAGCGGACGAGCAGGCGGAACATGGCGCGGACCACAAAGCGACCCTCGCTGAGAAAGATGCGCTCGTCACGGCTGCAGAAAACAAGGTTCAGGAGCTCGAGGCCGAGCTCGAGAAAGCGCGCTCGGCACTCGAAGAAGCCTCTGCGTCGAAGGACGAAAACGCCAAGCAGGCTCAAGAGAGTCAGGCAGCGGCTTTGGCAGAGCTTCAGAGGCAGCTGGACGAGAGCATCAAGCAGGGCGAACACCATCAACAACGCGCACAGCAGGCTCAGGACGACGCGGATGCCGCTAAAAAGTCCGTGGCTTCCATGGAAGAACGCCTCAAGCAGCTGACACTCGACCACGACCAAGAGGTGGACCACGCAACCAAGGAGGCCGACAGCAAGCTGTCCGAGCACCGCGAAGCCAACGAAGCGCTTCAGAAGTCGGCCACTGTCGCCGCCGAGGCGGCAAGCAAGCGAGAGGCCGAACTGCTCTCACACACGGAGAAGCTCCAGCAAGAGCTCGATGCAGCAAACTCTAAATTGGCAGAAGCACAAGACCAGGCACGTGAAGCGGGCACGGCGGGTGAGCAGGATGCCTCCGCTCTTGCTGCCAAGGATGCGGAGCTCGCTACCTTGCGAGAGCAGCACGAGACGCTGCAAGCGAAGCTTGAAGAGCTTGTCGAACTTCAATCGCGCAACCAGGAGCTGCAGGAGCAAGTCGCGAAGCTCGACGAACTGCAAGAGCAGAACCAGAGTCTCCAGGCCAAGATCGAGAAGAACGCTTCTGCCTTTGAGACCCGTCTCTCCGAAGCCGTCGCCTCTGCGGAAGCTGCGGCTCTCGAGAAGGCCCAGAAAGCCCATCAAGAAGAGCGAGGCGCGCTGGAGTCGGAGCAGGGCGAGTCCTTGAAAGCGGCCGTCGAGCAAGCTCGGGCGGAAGCCGAGCAGAAGGCTGCCGCTGTTCTGGAAGATGCTGTCAGCAGCGCCCGTCGAGAAATGTCGGATGCGAACGCAAAGTCGCTCGAACGCGCGCTCAAGGAGGCCGAAGCGAAGCACGCTGAGCAGAAGGCAACCGAGATCGAGGCTGCGAGGCGAGAAGCCGAGGAGAAGCTTCGAGCAGAACTCCAGCAAGGTCACGAGTCCTCTCTGGAGAAGGCAGTGGCCGAACACTCCTCGCGCCATGACGAGGAGCTTTCGGTCTTGACGGCTGCGCACGAAACGGCTCTAGCCAAGGCGCGTGACGAGCATCAGTCGGAGCTTGCCGCGCGTAGCGAGGAGGCCGATGAGCGTGTCAAAGCGCTGCAGCAGAACTTGGACAAGATCCAAGCCGAGCTGGCCAGCCAGGAGGCGGTGTATGCCGCGAAGGTCGCTCAGGTCCAAGCCGAGCACGACCAAAAGGTGATGGACGCCTTCGAGAAGGCGCGTGCGGAGGCGGGCGACAACCACTCGACGGATCTGCAGACGCTCAAAGAGCAGTCGTCGAAGACCATCGAGCAGATGCGCAAATCGCACGCTGACGAGCTGGACGCCCTTCGGGCCGCGCATGCCGCCGCTGTCTCAGAGGCGGATGAGCGTGGCGCCGGCGAGCTCAAGCGCGTGCAGATGGAGCTTGATGCGTCGCAGAACGATTTCAAGAAGCTCAAGGAGATCGTGGCGCAGATGCAGACCGAGAAGGAGGCCAAGGAGTCGCGCATCCGATCGCTCGAGGCTGAGCTTGCCTCGGCTGCCGACGAAGCCAAGCGCTCCGCCTCGGACTCGGCGGCGGCTAGCTCGTCGGAGGCCGCTTCGCTGCGGAAGCAGCTGGAGCAGCTGGAGCAGGAGCTTTCGGAGGTTCGAAACGCGCACAACCAGTCGCAGACGGCATTCGTGGAGCAGTTTGATGCCATCTCGACGCAGCACGAGGCTGACAAGGAGGCGCTCCTGCAAAAGCACGTCGACGAGATCGGCGCTCTGACGCGCAAGCACGAAGAGTCGCTCGTGCCCCTCCGCGAGAAGGGCCTGCAGGATCTCGGGAAGCTCATGGACCTGCAAGACCAGCTCAACGAGGCAGGACGTGAGCGCGATGCTGCCAAGAAGGAGCTGGCGCTCCTGGCGTCCAAGGCGGCAGCAACCGAGCCCACCACGGCCGCGAGTCTGCTGGACAGCCAGGGCAAGGAGAACCAGGAGATGAGCGAACTGGAGCGCCTGCATGCCGCGCACACCGAGAAGATGGCGCTGCTGTCCAACCAGCACCACGAGCAGCTCGAGAAGCTGCTGGCCGACCGCCGTTCCGAGCGCGACGAGCTCGAGGCCGTGCGACGCGATCTGCAGAACGCCAAGATGGAAGTGCAGTTCCTCACCCAAAGCCAGGAAGACGCCGACAAGCTCAAGCACGAGGTGGAGCAGCTCGAGGAGCGGCTGCGCCAGGCGACGTCTGTGGGCGCTTCCGCCTGAAGACAAGGCGTGTTGATATAAGGTCTTTACTCGACGCTTGAATACAAGTACAGTGATAGATGGATGCGAACGACGTTTTCGACGGCGTCCTTGGAGAGAGGACGGGAGTTGGCGACGTTGCGAAAGGTGCACCACGTTCCCGAGCACGTCTGGTTGTAGGTGGCGATGTAGTCGGGGTGGGTTTTGGACAGGCCGTGTTCGCGAACGAGGAGGGTATGGACGAGCTTCTTGATGAGATTGCGATTCGTCTTGTCTATAGGCTCGTTGCTCTCGAGCGCGAAGGGCTCTGGCGATGCGGACTCGACCTTGACGCGTGCGACGTCGAGCAAATCCGAGCTGTCTCGAGGGGTAGTGACAGGTGCACGCATCGGCTGCTTGCCAAGATTGAGGCGAGGGAGGTCCGAAAGGATGCGGTCAGCGTGTCGCTTGATGGCCTTGGTCGGCGATGCGTTGCGAGCATCTTGCTCGTCACTGACGTCAGCACCGTGTGAGGGACTACCAGCGACTTTTTGATCCGAGCCCCGGCGCCGCTTCTCACCCCTCCGCCCGGGAGTGTGGGGACCCCCTGTGATCGTGGGAGGGACCACGCTCGGCGAGCGTGCGGGCGACACGGCTCGGCTACGTTCCGCTTGACCAGATGATCGCTTGGAGCGTGCTTGCAAAAGCGCAGAGATGGAACCGCGCGGAAGCGGATCGTCCGGACGAGGAGCAAGGGTTGCACTTGGAAATGGCAAGCCACCCAGCATGGGCAGCGTCAGGCCGGCCTGGCTGAAGACATCCTGCAGACTCTGCGAGCCGATGCTCTGCTGGCGGTGGAAGCTGCGCGACCGCGAGAGGTCACGACTTGAATCGGCGGCGAGCGGCCTTCGGGTTTGTACAGTGACCCTCCGACCGAGGACGAGACGGATGGACGTGGACGGAGCATCTGCTGAAGCCCGGTCGCCTTCGGTTGCTCGTACTGGCTGTGCAAAGATGGCAAATTCCGAGTGGGGCGCCGTTGGAGTGTGGACGGTAGCGAAGGGATCGGAAGCGCCATTCTCTGCGCTGGGAGCGTGTAAGGATGGCTGGAGCGACACGGTGAGCACCTGAGCCGAGCGTTCGTCGTCGGCGTCTGTGAGAAAGTCGGCTTCGAAGCAAAATATGCGCTGGAAGAAGGCCCAGGTGGCAGACTCTTTCGGGTCGATGTAGACGCGGACTTCTCCGCTGGCGACCCAGTGTGTCTGTCGCTGTGCAGGCAGGGCTGTTTTAGCTTCGGGCCCGCGATGCTTAGCTACGGATGCGATGCGTAACGGCTGGTTGCGAAGCATCTCGAGCGCCAAGCACAGGTCGGCTTCCGCCTCGTGAAGGTTGGCGCGTGCTCCATGGTGTTTGCTGTCGTCCTCAGCTGGCTCGCCGAAAGGATTGGAGTAAGAGACTATGGCAACTCCCGGGAGTTGTGTTCCGTCGATCAAGACGAGGTCACTGCGCCAAAGCAGCCTGGCTTTGGCACGCGAGCGTCGGGGCGAATGATGACTTTCAGACAGAGCATGGACGCCGCCAGACGAAGAGGCGAAGCTCTCCATCGCCTCACGGTCGTGTCATCAGGTGAGGAGGGTGTGAGGATGCGACAAGACGAAGATGGAAGCATGTGTGTGGGAGTCAGGATGGGCGGAACGAGAAGTCACGCGTCTGGACGCGCTCGGCGGTTGTCCGTGATTTTGGCGTTTCTTCCTCCACATTTTGACGGTTGCGGAAACACCAACTTTTCGCCCCAGAAGTCACACTCGGTCAGGGTCCACCTAGAGATGCGGATGAGATGCGGAACGAGATGCGGACAAGTTGTAACGTTGGGTTTACAAGGCTACCTTGTGAAGTGTGACAGGGTTGGTCTCGACAGAGGTAATTCCGGATGCTAACAAATTGGCAAATGGGGATGCAAAGGAAGAGCTAATGTGGTGCAGACGGCTCTGGAACGTGGTCGCGAGACCCGAGCGGAAGTTGCCCGGGTCGAACTTGGTCACAAGGGACTGCGGGATTGAGAAGGCCAACAGTTCCAGTTCGGAAGCATGTGAGCTGGCAAATGAAGGCTCGCGTATCCACGTCACTCGGAACAGGACCAATGGCTGGGAGGCTAGACTGTTCTGAGGAGAGCTCGTGTACTCGACGTCGGCGTGCGGCAGGTCAGTCACTTGCAGGGGTCGGATGTTGTAGCGGAGGTTGTTGACGTCCGCTAGCGACGAGGTGTCATGCAGGCAGTATACCGCTGCATACTCCAGGAGGAAACCAGCAAGTGCAATCCCGACCAGCTGAGCTTCCGATTGCAGCGAGTCAAGCTCCATCGGCTCTTCCGTCGTGGGAAAAGGAACAATGAGCACGTCGGCGGGGCCGCAGGCAAGAACGGCGTCTCGCACAGCCGTGATGAGCGAATTGACATGTGCGTCCGGCTCGATAAGGTTGGGCGATGCATGCTCCAGTCTTGCGCGGCAGTCGACCCACACGGTTGGAGAGTTGGCATCCGTCCAGAGCTCCGCCCTTCTGCTCACAATGAACGTCTGCGAGGAGGGAGTGTGGAAGAGCAGGCAGACTTGGCTCAGCGCCTCAGCTTCTGAGTGGGATCCATCCTCGTTGACTGCCTCGAGCTTGGAACCGACAGCACGCGCTTGGGCTGGTGTGAGGCTCAGAGCGTCCACAAGAGCGGCTCTGCGCAGCCCGAACGCGGTCAGCAATACCTGCAGTGCCAGCTGCAAGCAAGACGAGCGAGACGGTCTCGTCTTCTTCCCCTCTGCTGCGGTTCGGATCGCGTCGGAAAGGTGCTGCGCCAAGTGCACCACCGCTTCCGCTTCGAGCATGCCGGACTCGGTCGGCCCCGCATCAGCGAGGAAACCTCTCGCCCGCTGGATTGCGATTCGCTTGGACATAGTGGTCGGCCCTCAAGGAGCAGCAGAGGAGACCGTCGGCTCAAAAGGAGAGCGACGGCCGACTGGTGGCTGGCGCCTCCAACGATGAGCGTCCGATATCAGGGATCTGTGTGGTGGGAAGTGTAGTAAGACTTTTGGAGAAAATGCGGGTCGAGCGCACGGGCATGTCCACACGCTCAGCAACTTTTCTTGCCAGCTTTCTCTACCTCCACCTCCACGACCAACACGATCATACGAATGAGCGCAGCCAAAGGCAAGAGTTTGCGCCTCAGCTTCAAGGGCGAAGCGCCCAAGAAGCGCAAGAGAAGCCATGAATCATCATCGGGCTCCCGCAGGCACAAGACAGGACGGAGCCACGCTGACCGCGGCGGCATTTCGGACGTGGAGGATGTGGGTGGGGATGAGCAGGCATGGGTCTCTGTCGAGTCTGAGCTTGACCTGAGCGGGCCTTGCTTCATCTTTACACGGTCGCGGCTCGAGCCGCACGCTGCGGTCCATTCTGTAGCCTTCCAACCAACCCTTCAGAGTGTCGAAGCAGCCGCTGTGCTTCCGGGATCGGGTCTGGCATCGAACGACGATATTGCCACATTGCACGCCTCCGACCCGAGGCTAGCAGAGGAGCTCGAGGGCGCCGAGATCGTGCCGTCGAACGAGTCATTAGGCATGGATACAGATACGATCACACCGCAGTCTGTCTACCAGGTCTGGGTGGCTACCAAGGTGCCAGGAAGCGAATCACCCGCGCGCTTCACCTTCAAGAGTGCCGAGGGCAAGTTTCTCGGCGCGGACAAGCACGGTACTCTCAGAGCTTCGATGGAAGCACGGGGCCCACAGGAAGAATGGACCCTGAAGACCGCTGCGGGGCCAAGTGGGCAGCGGCAATGGATGCTGCGCTCTGTGCACGGACAATACCTAGCGCTCGATCAGGTCGCTGGCGGCAAGACGGTCGTCCGAGCAGATGCGGAAAGGTCAGAGGCGTCGAGCGAGGATGCTTCCGCACTTTGGAACATCAAGGTCCAATGGAAGCATCGACACGCGGCCCGTCACGCTTCAGACGATGCTGATGCCCAAGGCCTTCGTCGCACAAAGGCAAACGACCCGACCGCACTCCAACACAACGCTCGAGACCAAGCCATCTCTCAGGAGCTCGACACCTTGCGCTCTCGTGCAGGCGCCCAGTACATGCCCTCAAATTACGGAGCGAGCATGTCGAAAGAGGAGCGCCGAGCGCTACGCAAAGCGCAGAAGGAGGGCAGACTTGCGGAAGAGATGCTCGATCGGCGCACCAAGCTCAAAAGCGACAAGTACGCCTGAAACATTTGATCGTAGCTACGACAGATGGTGTGCAATTGCAATGGCATTGCTCAGCCGTGCTGCGACAGATCGAACGGTGTGATCCACGCAGCGAGGTCTTCGTCGACCACGCGACCATCCGCACTGCGCTTGGCCAGGCGACGTTTGACTTTGGCCTTGAGACGGTGACGCTTGCCCATGAGTGCTTTGTCCTGAGCATCAAACGAGCCGTCGCCAGCGAGTCCGTGCTCGAGCAGGTGAAAGTCGTCGACATCCACATCTGGGTCGTCATCGTCGCCAAAGTGGTCCTCATCCCCCTCTCGATGAATCTCGGTCGAGCCGGAGAACCGAGAGGGTCCCGACAAGCTGAAGCGTGGATTTGAGGATGCGAGCGATGCAGTCGAGGCATTGCCCAAACCGCCCGTCTGCGACGCTAGAGCGGATCCCGCTGCCAGCATTGCCTTTTGCTTGCGCACAAACCCTTCGTCGTGCCTCTCGATGGCGTGGTGGAGGTCGCGCGGTGAGTGGCGCGCAGTCGACCCCGACGAAGGGCAAGCAGCGCTGAATGCATGGGATGCGTGTAGCACTTGGGCAACCTGCACCAGGATCACGGGCAAGGCAGGAGGTTGTCGCGAGAGTTGGATCAGTCGTCGCGTCGAGCCCCTTCCCGCGTACCAAGCGTCGAGACGCCGGGACTCGTGCTTGATCGCCCGATACGTGTCCGACTTGAGCCATGCACCTGCTTCCTTCGAAGATGCGGAGGAGGACCCCGACGAGACGGGAAGAAGCGACAGACACAAGGCCACGTGTGCCGGAGAAGGATGCTTGGGCATGCCAGCCGAAGTGTGTGCTGCCTTTGCATATTCGCCGACTCCCATGCCGAGATCGACCCTGGTCGGTGTGACAAACTCAATCTCGGCACGAAGCAAACATCGCCCCGGTCGATGTTCGCTTGCAGCTGCTACATCCTCTGGACTAGCCTCGACTCGGGTGTTTCCGTACCAAGCCAGTGCCCGAAGCAGGTTCTTCCACGAATGAGCCCGGATGACGTAAAAGCTGCCGGACGATCCATCGCCTGCGCTTCCTTGAGGGAAAGCGGCGTCAAGCCCGGCAGTATGGCTGGCCTTTCCTGCAGCACTCAGCACGATCGAGGCCGGAAAACGCGCCTTCTGCCCGGACACGGAGGTTGAGTGCGAAGACGTCGACAAAGTCGTGGACGACTGAGAAGGCGAAGGCTGAGCGGCCTTGTCCAGGTTCGGTGCGAAGGGGAGACTGCAGTAGCCAAAGTCGATACCAGCTAGAGCGCGCTGACCCTTCTGCTCGGGAGCTGGAGAAGAGCTGGCGACCCTCTCGTCTCTTGTCGCTGTCGAAAGTTGAGAGCTTACCCGCTTGGGTATAGAGTACGATGCCGGAGCGAGATCGGACGGATCGGACGAAGGATCGCCGGATCCAGCAGGCGTGCGAACAGCGTCGTAGGGGTTGTACCACTCCGAGGAAGGCGAAGGAAATTGATCCGGCGGGAGCGGCTCGACCGACTGGGATGGCTTGGAGCTCGAAGAGGACGATCTTTGTTGCAGAGCGGGGCGCGGTGGATCGGGAATAGGCTGTACTTTAGCTCCACCCAATGCTCCGCTCGTGCTCGGATCTGGTGCGATGTTGTGCAGGCTGTCCGAGTCACCCGGATGTGTTTGCGAATTCGAGCTGTCGCTGCGAAGCGTTGGAGTCTGTGGCAGAGGCCTGCGTGCGCGCGATCCAGACGAAGCCGGTCGTGTCTGAACGCGATGCTCTTCCAGAGAGGCTTGCTGCATCTGGAGCGCGAGTCGGTAGGCTTCGTCATGGCCGGAGAATCGCCAATATTCCGCTTCGAGATCGCCTGCCGCGACGGCTGAAGATGGTCTAGAGGCGGGTTCTGGCGATGCTGATGTTGAGCCAGGACGCTGGGGCGTCGGAAGCTGTGCAGCAGTGTCCTGGGAATGCCCGCGTTGCTCTAAGAATTCAAGCAAGGAACGTTCCGCGCTTTCGCGTCGAGCCCACTCTTCCTCCTGCTCCTGCAGACTGATTTGAAGAGCTTTGCGCTCGGCATCACGGAGTGACTCGATGCGTTGGAGACGTTGTTGCTCGTGCATCTCGGAAGCCATCTTGGCGGCTTCGAGCATCTCCGATTCTTTGATGGCGTCTTGGTCTCTTTGGCGCATGGCGTGCTGGCGAGACTCTTCGAGCAGTACGTCCTCGTCATTAGCGTGGCGCTGCGACTGCAGTTCGGCTTCTCGACGACTGTCCTCGATGGCTTGAAGCAGGAGAGCTTCCTCTTCCATGGCTAGTCGGCGCCGACGTTCCTCCTCCTCGGATGTGATGGCATAAAGGCGGTCGAGTTCCTGCTGCTCGAGAGGTGCGCGGCGGCGCGACTCTTCTTCTTGCTTTGCAGTCTGCAACGAGGCCTGGATGGCATCTTCCAATTCGGCTCGGCAGCCTGGACAATCGTCGAATTCGTGTCCTGGCTCGCCATGACTTGCTGTGGGGGCACGGCTATCGATGATGGGTTGTGACGGAGTCTCATCGCTTACATCTTCTGGCCGTGCTGTAGTTCGGTTCGGAACGGATCGAGTGCCCGCGATGTCAGTGTGGTGGGTCCTGTCTGGAAGCGGCTGCTGGTGAGAGTAGGGTTTGGGGTAGGCAGCAGGTGCATTGGCAGTGAAGAGCGGGTCACCGGGTCCAAAGCTGACCCGACCCGGAGCACTGCTCGAGGAGGGACTATGCACTGAGAGCGATTCCTGAGCTACGGAAGGCACTGTGAGATCGTGCGGGTTCTTGAGACGCGGAGGAAGGGGTGCGCTCGATCGATCAGCGGGTTCGGGTAAAGGTGCGGGTGCGGGTGATGCCGCTGCATGCCACCGGGGATGAAGACTGGGCGGTATCTCGTGAGCACTAGACGATGAAGGAGAGCGCTCCGTCAGCCTGCCCATTGGCGTTTCCAGCCGTTGGTAGGCTGGCATCGATGAAGCCGGCATTGATGGTGCCTGTGTCGGAACGGGAGGCAGAGCAGGGGCTCCAGCTGGCACAGGGATGTAAGTTGTGCTGTTCCTCATGGCGGGCGAACTTGGCGGCGCTTGCTCGTCACGCAAGCTGGTGCTTTGGTGCGGCGGCGGTGTGAACTGCACGTTGATCGATCTCAGAGAGCCTGCAAGACGATACGCGGCGCCATGACTAGAGAGGGAGAGATTGATTAGACGCGGGTCGAAGGTGCGATTTGCGTCGATCCAGCGCCTCTTGAAGTGCCGATCTGGAGTCTGTAAGCTGGAATGCCAGCACAAGACCTCCTCTAGGCGGCCTCCGTTGACCACGCCGGTTCTGAAGGTTTAGTTGAAATGATGATGGTGGGGTGGGATTGCGCTCAAGGCTGTGCTGACCGACCGCCAAAATGTGGAGGAGCCTCGACGTGCTGTGCAGCCAATTTGAGCGTGCAGGGTCCGAAAGCGTTCCGCGCCGCAAGGCTGCTCCGCCTTTCTTGCCTGCCGGTTGACCTCTCTCTCTCAATGTGCACATCTGGCTGGCAAGGGAGAATGCCGTTCTTCGTCTCGGACTTGCAGCCGCGGCAAGCGCAGGATCTCCAACGCGTTGCTCGTCGCACTGCCTTTGCACCGCTCTGCTTTTCTGTGTAATGTCTGGGCATTGCGGTGAGCGCTTTTGAGTCCTGTGAATGCGAAGGAGGAGGACTATGGGTGATGCACCGTATAAACGGCAGGGAAGAGAGTATGAAGTACAAGGTGGCTAGCAATGAAGGGTCAAGGATTGCAGTTTGCAGCATGCACGGTTCCGCACGGCCTCGGCTACGAGAGCACGGGCGCTTAGTAACCGTACGAGGCAAGCTGGGCGTTGACGTCCTTGAGCTTGTCGGCGGTGGCGGTCTGGGCGGCGGCGCGCTTCTTGGAAGCGGCGACCTGGCGCTCGTGGTAAGCCTGCTGCTTGACCTTGCGCTTGGCCTCGAGCTTGTCGACGGTCTCCATGTGGTTCCAGCCGACCTCGTGCGAGATGCGCTTGATCGTGGCGAACTTGCGGCCGGGCTTGAGGCGGAGGACGCGGAGAGCGGCGGGGATGACCATCAGCTTCTTGCGGTCGTAGGGAGGGGGGACACCCTCGTAGACCTTCAGGCGCTGGAGAGCGGCGGCACCACGGGCGGTCTTGTGGGGAAGCATGCCTCGGATGGCCTTGTAGAGGATGCGCGAGGGAGCACGGTGGTGGAAGGGACCGGCCTTCTTGGGGTTGACCAGGTGGCGCTTGTGCAGGTAAGCGTGGTACTTCAGCTTGTTGCGGAAGAACGAGCCCGAGACGTTGATGAGCTCGGATCGCACAACAACGACCTTCTGGCCGGAGAGGAGCTCCTTGGCCAGGGTGGCGGCGAGACGACCGAGGAGGTGTCCCTTGCCGTCAACGATGTATGGGTTTGCCTGCTGGAGGGACATCTGCGAATGTATGGGAAAGAAGGGCAGGGTGTCAGTACTGTTGCTTCGACCAGCAAGCACGAGTTGTTGTGGTTCCGCATGACCATCTCTACGCAATCGCTATGATTCCCAGACGACAAGATGCACACGGCGCTGATGAGCCAAGTCGGAGGGGCCTTCATGCCATCGCGTATCTGAATGCTTCTGCTGGGGTGTCGTGGTCAAAGCTGCCCAGTCGAACGGCTCTGCACACACGTCCACCGACAGCATAGCTGCAGGGCACTTGGCCGAGTGAAGTTGCAGTAAAGCTGGCGATGGAAGCTGTCGCGTGATGATGCTTTCGACGATGCAAGTTACGGGTCTCTGCGACGAAGCTGAGGCGGATGCGTCCTTTGGTCTTTCCGAAGTTGGTGCGCCATCTGCAACAAGCCTTTCCCTCCAGACAATGAGGTCCAGAACAACACGAAGGGACTCGCCATGGAAGTTGGACCATCAACCTGCAATCGTTCCACGCGAGTAGCAGCGCAACGCATCGCGTGGTATCAACAGTGATGTTTCGTCGTGGCGGATGACGGCGCATGCACATCCTGCTGCGGGGAATAAAGATGTCCGAGGCCTAGTCCACCATGGCATCTACCTCCTCCATCCTCCGAATGCAATGCGAGCTGTCGACATATGTGTGCGTGCAAATGATGCTGGAGTCGACGGATTCATACCGAGATTGTTGGTGTGGTCGACTGCGTGTAGAGTCGAGCGTGATGCGGAGAGATGGTCGGTGGCGGTATATGCGTAGATATAGATACAAACCTTGACAATATGTTTCTTGACGGTTGTGGTGGTGTCGAGGATGATGACGAGCAGCCAAGTCTCAAAGACGCACTCGCAGACGCAGCGCGAGACTCGAGACTCTAGCTTCTCATCAAGCCCCAGCTGCGAAGCCAGAGGAGGGTCAACCTCACATGCCCAACTCCATTGACCTGGCTGGTCGCCCACAGTCGCCAGTGGCCAGGCTCGCATCAACCTGAGGGAGCCTGCCTCCTCGAACTGCAGTGTCGAATTTCCGAGCGGGCGTACGCTCGATTCGGGGCCTACCAAGATTCGATCATGTGACCTCGGCCGAGCTCAGATTGGGTTGCGAAATTTCGAGCTGTTAGAAAATTACAGCGTGTGATTGCTGTGGCTCGACCCAGGCTCGGCTTCGTGAGCTGGAGGGGGTGTGCTCGAGGAGGGCCAGCACTCTGTGACAATTCGACGAGGCCAGACGCAGCAGTTGGTGAGGGAGTCTCGAGAATGGGGCGTCGAGGCGATGGGGCGAGGCAGCTGCTGAGCGTCTGGTGAATGTCGGAAGCTACTCGACATCATCTTGAATCACCACCATCCTCACCCGTCAAGAAAGGTAAGCATGCCCCGTCAGTCGTCAGCGTCTACAGCATCTATCAGCACGCCAGTCTCGACACACGCCCGCCCTCGGATCACAGCAGGCAGCCCGACATCACATCCACCAGCAGCAAACAATAAAGAACCACAACACGCTTTCATGTCGATGCGCCAATGCACCAGCCTATTCCGCCCTGCACGCAGCATCACTTTCGGACATCGGATGCAAAGTATAGAAGCCGCATGACCAGCATCAGGAGAGCAATCTTGCGCCATCATGTCAAACCGATAGCGAACGAGATTGGAGACATGTCATTAGGAAACGGTGCGGGGAGTCAAAATTCGCTATCACCGAGAAGACTCGGACTTGCATCACATTGCCATCCTCCAGGCCATCTCCCATGCCGACCAAGGCATGTCGGAGCATTTGGTCGAACGCGCATCCTTCAGACCGGCTGCTAAGACAAAGCAACACCGTCTGTTGCCATCTCGGCACGATCATCGCCTCGCATTCGCTTTTTGAAGAGGAGAGCCACCGCAGCTGCCTTCCGCAACGCAACTGTGTCCTACTTCTGCTCGGCTTCTGGTCTTTCGGACGACCTCGCTCTTTCTCACAACCTAAACCCGTACCAACATTTCGGCCATCCTGCCCCGCACGACTTGGCGGCATAGATAGCGAAAGACGTCGACGCATTTCCTCGCCGCATAGCAGACGAACTGTTGCTGACTTGAACGTGAACGTGACCGCTTTTCCATCACGCCATTTCTCGCCTTGATCAGATTGTCAAGATGGCTGCCACCTCCATCCCCATCGTCAAGAAGCGCACCAAGGCGTTCAAGCGCCACCACTCTGACCGATACCACCGTGTCGGCGAGTCGTGGCGCAAGCCCAAGGGTATCGACAGCGCCGTCCGCCGCCGATTCCGCAGCACTGTGCGCATGCCCAAGATCGGTTACGGTTCCAACAAGAAGACCCGTCACCTGATGCCCAACGGCTACCGCCGCCTTGTGGTCTCCAACGTCCGTGACGTCGAGCTCCTCCTCATGCACAACGGTGTCTACGCTGCCGAGATCGCCCACAACGTCTCGTCCAAGAAGCGCATCGACATCCTCGAGAAGGCCAAGGCTCTTGGTGTCAAGGTCACCAACGCCAACGCCCGCGTTCGCGCTCAGGAGGCATAAGCCTGTCGCTCGTGAACTCCTCTCACCACGCTGGATCCGTCGTCTCGTCCGCTGCTCCCGTGTGACGAGCCTTTGACATCCAAGCCCCTCCATCCTGTGATCTACCTCACGCTCGCATCTCCATGTACTAAAACCACATCACACACGCCCTTTTGCAGAGCGCCAGCTCGACCTCTGCGCAAAATATCAATCGCCCCCTAGCGCGGGCCCGATCGACCAGACATCGTTGCGTGGGATCGCTTGCGCACAGCCTCAAATATTGTCGGTTGTGACAAGCATTTCAGATCAGCAACGTGAACCTCCAGCTCGAAGGTGCGATCTTGCGGTCGGCATGCATGGTGAACTGTCGTGGGGCGAGAGCATGAGTCTGGTGTGGTGTTCAAGCCAGAAGCTCGGCTTCCGGAAATGGCACGCGGGTGTGAGTGTTGTGTGGAGCGGCAAAAGCGCGTCCGCTCCTGCCGACTGAGCTTTTCAAAGGGTTGCATTCGACAGGACCGCCTCAACGCTTTACCACCAGCTTTCTCGCAACGTCTTGGCATCGAGCGCCCCAGCAGCAAAGTCTAGCGATCGCGCTGGCTTGATTTCGTCCACGCTCGGTCGTGAGGTTGCTACACGCGCAGTTGGGACCAATTCGCGAGCTGGTCTGCACCCGATCAAGTCGAAAGGAGGGTGTTATACGACTTAGCAAGCCACTCTGACTGAGGTAAACCTCTGAATCGACATCATGAGCGAGGCAAGCGGCTCTGCGTCGCCCTCTGGAGATGCAGGAGCACGAGGAATTCGACCAAAACGTGCGGTCCGACCGACTGCCAAGGCTCTCTTGGCGAGAGAGCAGTCGCCGGATGGATGGGAGCATGGCGGAAGCAAGCGGTCGCAGCCATCGCGGCCCATCCGCACATCATCCGGTGCACGTCCGCAGATCAAGCTCAAGATGAAAGCTTCGGGAGGGGGCACCGCGGCTGGAGTAGGCCAGGGACCCAAGACGCAACCGTACATGCAAGGGTACGATCGCGAGCTGGACTCGGAAGACGACGAGACCGGGGAGGGCCTTGCCTTTGAGGAGCAGCTCATCTTCCGCATGCCGGAAGGTCCCGAATGCGACAAGCTGCGCGAGTCGATCCAGAAGCGTCAGCTGGGCGACGACGTCTGGTTCAAGTTCAAGGACTCGAGGCGCGCAGTTGTGCACGTCGGCGAATCTCTCTTTTCGGCCAAGCTGGTCGATCTGCCTACCATCACAGAGTCGCATAAGACGCTCGACAATCGGCAATTCTTCAAGGTCGCCGACATTGCGCAGATGCTCGTGGTCGAGGGCAAGATCGCGGACGAGTCGCAAGCGTCGTCGAGCGGCGCTGGCAAAGGATTCAACATTGAAGATTTTGTCTATCCACACGGCATCACGCCGCCCATGCAATGGGCACGAAAGCGTCGCTTCCGCAAGCGCGCTGCACGTCGGGCGATCGAGACTGTGGAGAAAGAGGTGGAGCGCCTGCTCAAAGCGGACAAGAAGGCAGAAGAGGTCGAGTACGAAATGATCGACGCGGCCGACGAGGGCGGATCGGACGAGGACGATGCGCGCGGCCAATCGCGTAGAGGCGTATCGTCTCCTGGCGGGTCCCAGGCCGAGACGCCCATGCCGGACGGCTCCGACGCTGGCTCGCAGGATGAGGAAGGGGATGACGGAGACGATGACGAAGATGGTCAAGGAGCACGACGCCGGGCTCACGCTGAAGATGGAGGCGAGGGCGGCTACGATGATGCGGACCTCGATGACGAGGATGACGTGGACGAAGATCTGGCGGCCGAGCTGGATGCTGCGCTGGAAGAGGAGGACGACGATGACGACGACGGCGAATCGACGCGCGGGGCAGGGAGCGAGGCTCAGAGTCGTGCGAGCGACCAGGAAGACCTGTGGGATGATGATGACGACGACGATGCCGACGACGGCGGGGACGAGGATGACGATGAAGAGGACGAGAACGACGAGGAGAAGGAGCAGCGTGTTCGCGAGGCGCAGCTGGAGGCAGAGTGCAGGGAGCTCGAGACGCTGGTGCGCCGAAAGCAGAGCGACGTCGACGGCACCATGAACCTGATCATCAAGAATCGGCATCAGCAGGCGTTGCGCAAGCTCACGACGGAGCGCGACTTGAAGCGGAACCAGCTGGCAGAAATCAAGCAGTCGCGCAAGGAGCGAAAGGAGGCGAATCTGGCCGCCGCAGCTGCAGAGGAAGCCGCGCACGAGGCTGCTGCTTCGTCGAGTGGGGCCGCCGCCGAGCATCGCGAAGACCAGGACGAACATCACTCTCCCGAACGACCGCATGAAGATGTGCAGCGACAGCAGCCGGTCACGGCGTCGTCGTCTGGGCCAATGTCCGCAGCCATCGCCGCGAAGGAATCGCAAGGTTCTGCTCCGAATGGCGGAATGCCCCCTCCCGCTTTACCCGCCAGTCGCAACCGTCCGCAGTCCTCCGCATCTGCGGCTCAGCCGGCAGGCGGATCAGCACCAGACCAATCAAGTATACCCAATGACGATGGTGATGGCGACGGCGACGGCGATGGAGACCTCTGGGATGACGAAGACGAGGAGGAGGAGGACAACGGGAACTGAACTCATGCGGATCCATCGAGCTGTTCCGCAACGGGCCTGTCTGGTGCTTTCAGCCAGCAGGCGTCATCGTGCTCATCCTTGCATGCCGCCATCAACCACCTCTGTTGTAATCGTAGCCTCAGTGGGAACAGACGTCGAAAGAGCAACGAGTGTGGGGATGCAGAGCATACCCGATCGATGTGAGCGTAGCCTCAGTGGGAACAGACGTCGAAAGAGCAACGAGTGTGGGGATGCAGAGCATACCCGATCGATGTGAGCGGCGGGACTACCAATCGGGGATGCGAGCGAGCGGCGACCGTCACGTCCGAGCTGAGCATCCGCGCAAGAACTCGACGTGCGTCTGGACCGTCCACAGGGCACAGAGATGTGGCGCACCACCTGCGTCGGGAGAGGTGCAGTTGAAAATCCAGCCTGGAACGCGCAGATGGCTGAACTGACCGAGTGCGGTCACAGTGCGTGCGAAAATGGCCTGTGCTCTGGCGCGGCATCCGAAATTAGCGAATCCGTTGCCGCAGTCGAGTCCTGGACGTGGCAACTGGCTGGTCTTCCAGGGCCCGTGCCTCACACGGCACTCCTCTCGAGTCGCGAAAGCTGAAGATTGTGGAAGCCGGCCCTGATCGGCGGATCTGCCAACGCGACACTGCGTGTGCGAGGCAGCACAACCTGGGGCACAAACTAGATCTACATGTGGCGGAGGCAGGATCGACCGATCCGACCAAGCCAGCTTGCTTCACAAGTTGGTCGGAGGAACGTGCGCAGCCGGTCGGTCCAACTCTGGCTCAGCCTCCTTTCAGTGCGGAACAGGGATGAGCTGGAGTGGGCGCTCTTCGAACGGAATGTAGCTGCAAGGACCTGCTCTTTGAAAAGATTTGTATTCGAAGGACAAGTGGACCTTGAACTGGATTTGAAGACAGTCACTGCGCAGCGAACGGGCGAGTGGCAAAGGGGGAAAGAGAGAGGTCCCGCACAGGAGACGCGGCCGGGCAGAAGGACAGTTCAGCGCTCATTGGTCGTTGCGCTTCTTCCAGGTTCAGCGCTGCGCAGCGGTCGAGCCGATCCCGCCTCTGCGCCCAATGACGATCGAGGCAGCAGACCAGTCAGAAATTCGCAACGCGGCCCACAGGAAAAATTTTCTCTGCCTGCGCGCAGCCGCGTTGGGGTAGTTTCCCTTTCTTCGAGGCCAGGCCTGCGGCCCCCTCGTGTGCGACAGGGCCAAACTGAATAAATGCGCTGAGCTCTCGTCGCCATCTTTCCTTCCAACCGCATACACCGTATCCAACACAAAACAAAAAACATCATTCAAAATGGGAAAGGAGAAGGCTCACGTAAGTAGCAAACAACATCACAGCCTTGATTGCCATTGTCGCCATCGCCGCCGCCGCCGTCATCACGCATTGAAGCGGTGGTCACCATCCAGACTGAGTCTGGTGGCAGTGTGGCAACATGACAGGATGGATACATGTCAACTGCATACAGCTTGCACAAAGCTGTGTCACAGGAATCAGCAGCTGACCCCAACCATCCCATTCATCTCTGCAGGTTAACGTCGTCGTCATCGGACACGTCGACTCTGGTAAGTCGACCACCACCGGTCACTTGATCTACAAGTGCGGTGGTATCGACAAGCGTACCGTCGAGAAGTTCGAGAAGGAGGCCGCCGAGCTCGGCAAGGGTTCCTTCAAGTACGCCTGGGTGCTCGACAAGCTGAAGGCTGAGCGTGAGCGTGGTATCACCATCGACATTGCTCTCTGGAAGTTCGAGACCCCCAAGTACATGGTCACCGTCATCGACGCCCCCGGCCACCGTGACTTTATCAAGAACATGATCACTGGTACCTCGCAGGCCGACTGCGCCATCCTCATCATCGCCGGTGGTACCGGTGAGTTCGAGGCTGGTATCTCCAAGGACGGCCAGACCCGCGAGCACGCCCTGCTCTCGTTCACCCTCGGTGTGCGCCAGCTCATCGTCGCCGTCAACAAGATGGACACCACCAAGTACTCCGAGGACCGCTTCAACGAGATCGTCAAGGAGACCTCCAACTTTATCAAGAAGGTCGGCTACAACCCCAAGTCCGTCGCCTTCGTCCCCATCTCCGGCTGGCACGGCGACAACATGATCGAGCCCACCAAGGAGATGGCCTGGTACAAGGGCTGGGAGAAGGAGACCAAGGCCGGCAAGGTCACCGGTAAGACCCTCCTCGACGCCATCGACGCCATCGAGCCCCCCTCGCGCCCCACCGACAAGCCCCTCCGCCTCCCCCTCCAGGACGTCTACAAGATCGGCGGTATCGGAACCGTGCCCGTCGGCCGTGTCGAGACCGGCATCATCAAGGGCGGCATGGTCGTCACCTTTGCCCCCTCCAACGTCACCACCGAGGTCAAGTCCGTCGAGATGCACCACGAGGTGCTCGCCGAGGGTCTCCCCGGTGACAACGTCGGCTTCAACGTCAAGAACGTCTCCGTCAAGGACATCCGCCGCGGCAACGTCTGCTCCGACTCCAAGAACGACCCCGCCATGGAGGCCGCCTCCTTCCTCGCCCAGGTCATCGTCATGAACCACCCCGGCCAGATCGGCAACGGCTACGCCCCCGTCCTCGACTGCCACACCGCCCACATTGCCTGCAAGTTCAACGAGATCACCGAGAAGATCGACCGCCGTACCGGCAAGTCCATCGAGAACAACCCCAAGTTCATCAAGTCCGGTGACGCCGCCCTCGTCAACATGGTCCCCACCAAGCCCATGTGTGTCGAGTCCTTCCAGCAGTACCCCCCTCTTGGCCGCTTCGCCGTCCGAGACATGCGCCAGACGGTCGCCGTCGGTGTCATCAAGGGTAAGTCTTCACTCACCACCTCATCCTCCATTCGTCGACATCGTACTGACCTTGATCACCTTGATGCTTCTTTGATGACTCAACAGAGGTCAACAAGACTGCCGGCAAGGGTGGTAAGACAACCAAAGCGGCAGAAAAGGCTGGCAAGAAGAAGTAAGCGCGCCGATCTGGCAGCTGCTGTCTTGGCCGTTACTGGTCAGGTAAGATGGTGGTGGCAAAACGCCATCATCGTCTCTTCGTAGGCACGCACCCGGCTTTCAGTGGCCAGGTTTTTCCTCTTTCCGCCCGCGTTTTGGGTTGCCGCGGAGTTGAAAACCCTCTCTTTCCTCTTTCCTTCTTTCCTCCTCTTTTGTAGTCAGTTGATCGTCAATGCGAACGCCTGCTGCAAACTTTTTCTGATGTGTGTGTGCGTTCCGGTTGAAATTGCGTGGTTCTAAATGGTTTTTATTCGACTGGCGCTCTGGCTTTTTTGTGAGCGAGATCTAAATTAGTTTGGCATTATTTCAATGGGAATCGAGTCGGGATTGATGTAAATTCGATAGCGAGATCGGTGACATGCACAGTGACTAAATAGATCGAGATGGTTGATTGACAAAGGTCCAAGACTGACAAATTCATTTTTCAAAGCCGGTAGACATGCACGCGTTGTTCGATAGCTGCGCCGCTTTTTTCTCAGTTGATATGATGGGTTACTCCAAACGACCGTCAACACGATCAGAAGGAAAGTCATTGAGCAAGTGAGTGGTTTCGAGTGAGATAGTGTCCGTGAGAAATCCACTATGCGATCTCGATTGGAAATGGGAGTACAGAGAAACCTGCTTTTTGCTCACGAGCCAGATTCACTGAATTACGGACATTTTCCTCAATCCATCTCTGTGGTCGTGGCTCCCCTCGCCTCGGCCCTCCTCGAGTTGCCGTAGCAAGACTCATGCAATGCTGTTGTTCGCCGAATGGACGGCAGTGATATTGAGCAAATTGAGCCGGAGGGCAAACATGCGCACGCCCGCCGAGATCGTCGGCGACGTGTGCAGAGCCAGTTGTTTTTTCGTGTTGCCCAGTGTCGAGCAATTTTGCCTGCGGCTGATTGCACCGTCGATCCACCGGTAATTGTGCGATGAGCGCATTTACGTCAGCTGGCTTATTCCCACGCCCCGTTCCGACCCTGAAAAGATGACTTACGAGTGCTATCCTTCGACGACAATGTGAAACCTTTCGCTGCGTTGTACGACAACGATACGCAGCGGGCAGGGCACGGTCTGGCTCCAGCTGCATTGGAAGACGACGCGCATCGGAGGCCCTGCGTTGTATTGCGTTCGACGGATCCGCGTCCCCTGCCTTGTCGCAGCGTCAACGCCACCCGAGCGAAGCGAGCTGTCAGATACAGCGGCGTGGACGCCGACCGCGACCGGCCTGTGTTTTGAATCCGAGTCGCGGCCAGCATGGTCGTGCGGAGCCAGGTGGATCGTTGAGCAGGGCCAAGTCGAACAGTGGTCTCTAACGACGCCTCGCTCCACAGCAGCATGACGAAGCGAGCGGCGAAGCGCTGCGTGTCGTCGTTGTGCCGTGGTGGAGGCCATGCGATGGTCTTCTCGAGCTGCGCCTGGCGACTGTTCCGCGTCGCCAGACCTCAAGATACTATGGCGAAACGCACTCGCCCCTCGACAAAGCCGCGGCCGCGTCGCCGTCGCCAGGCCCCGCCCAGAATCGTCTTCGTTTCCGAGAGCGAAGAGGACGACACTCACGACCAAGTCCCCACGCAGCGACGGCTGTGGACGAGGAGAGCTCGGATGGCTCGATCGTCGAGATCGAGCAGGAGCTCAGCCTCACGGCTCACGTCAAAGACGAGGAGGACGACGGCAACAACAGTCTCTCTGAAGACACTGCCGGCAAGTACGCCAAGTACATCGCAATCGGTCGGACCAATCGCGGGGATGATGACGAAGGCATGAACGATGACCCACAGGATTACGCGTGCGATATTGAGGAACCGTACGCCAGCTGTGATGAAGAAGAGAGAGAGGAAGGCGCGGTGTGCGATTGCATTCTCGGCGACGATCACGCCGACGCGGACGACGAGGACGAGCTCGAGCTTGTTGACAAAGAGGACGATAACGATGCCGTCATGCAGCGCGTGGCGAGTCAGGTCGTCGCCGCTGCGCCAAGCTCAGACGGTGAGCGTTGCACCCGAAAGGCCAATACCCGCTCCGAGCTTTCACGAGGCGGCCGTCACGCCGAGCTCGAGAAGACCATCGCATGGCTTCTCGACCCGATCAAGCGCCTCGAGGATCGAGATAAGCAGCTCGCGGACTTCGTCGACCCCAAGTTCCGAAATACGAGCGATGTGCCCAAGGGCACCGGCAAGCTCTTCTTGCGCAGGAGGGCCGAGAAATTCGCTTCCCTCGTAAGTACATCACCGCTCAACCAATCTGATCAGTGACCAACGTTCTTGATTCTTTATATGCTCTCGAATAGTTCGACCAGTACCGCGTCATGTCAAGGCTTGCCGAGATCGAGGAGCACCTCCAAAGGGTGTTCGAGCTCTTCATCGCCGACCTGACCCGCTTCGACCATGCGAAGGAGGCTTTTGCCGACCTGGTCGAGGCAGTTCCATGGGCAGTCGTCTCACGCTGGCCGGGCGAACCTTACAGACGCTGGATGAATGGCCGCTCACATGGCTTGCTCAGGCCTGTCAAGCACCTCGGAGTCCGACGCGAGCCGTTCTCAACACTCGCAGGCCCACTCGTCGACACAAGAGGCATGCGCCACCCATTCGCATTGCAAATGACACGCCTGCGTGAGACATGCCGCACGAGCGAAAACAGTCGTGCGAACAGACCCAGCAGCGGTCAGCCTCTGGGTCTTCAGGAGGCTCGATCGTCGATGCGAACGCCTGCTGCAGAGTCTGTGGTTTGTGCGTTTGCGGTCGAGAATCTTCTCCGTGTGCGAGTTCTGAGTCTGTTGTAAGAACTCGAGGATGTTCTGAGTGTGTAAAGTTTTGAGTCTGTGAGTGGTCGGATGAGTCTTTGTGTCGGTCTTATGAATTCGCGAGTGTCTTAATTCCAGCCTCGATGCCGCCAACGATGCTTTGCGCGACCCGAGCTCATTGTCCAGTGTGGACGACCACAAGCGCAGCAACGTATCGTCAAGTACAACACATTTGTTCATCATCGGAAACAGGAGCAATTGGAAAAGCAAAAAAGAAAAGACAAGGGGAGCTAGGATCTAAGCTGCAAGATGCCTCCCGTGACCAGCGACTCTTCGCGGGCGAGCACCGAGGATCACATAGCTGTCCGGGGAGAGGGGGCAAGGCTGACTCAAAGACGGTCGGTGGAGCTCTTGTGGTGACGCGCGTGCAGGCCGCTGCGTCGGAGCACGTCGTCGTGGCCGAGCTGCGAAGCTAGGTGGTCGAGGTCGCGCTCGAGCAGCGAGCTGTTGCGAGTCTCGAGCATCTCGTCGCGCTTGCCTGCGGGCAGGTTGGTCTTGGCGGCGACGGGCTGGCCGCCGATCCTGCCGTTGCCGACCATGACCATCTTGCCTTGGCTCGGCACGCCGTTGACGACCACAAAGGCGAGCGCAGGGCCAGGAGCGAACAGGTTCGGGTTGGGCGGCAGCTGGGCAACGTTGAGCTTGCTGCCCTGTCGAGTGGTCTCGAGCTCGATCATGCGTTGACCCATGTTCATACCGTGCGTGGAGAATCCGGTGCGCACAAGCACCACCTTGGCCTTCTGCGCATCTGCAGCCGAGGGCAGCGTGATGGAGAAGCCGTTGCCGCCGTACGAGAAGGTGCGAGGCAAGCCACCGTTGGAGGGACGCGGAGCATCGTAGAACTCGGGGTACCAGCGCTCGACGCGGTACTCGGTCTTCCACTTGGTGTTGGTGTTGTAGTCCGCGTTCGGGTTCGAGCCGGCGACGAGGATGGACGAGTCCGGAAGCAGCGTAGCCGACGAGTGGTACAGACGGCCGATGTTGGAGCTTCCGACGCGCTTCCAGCGGTTGCCCTTGCTCGCCTTGGGGTCGTACACAAGCGGCTGGTACGAGGGGTTGTCGCCGTACGACTCACCCACGGGGCGACCAGGAGCGTTGGGGTTGGTGTTGTAGCCAGCGACACCGGTGGTGACACCGTTGCCGAACCACAGCTTGCCATCGGGAAGCTGGATGAATTGACCCATGGATCGGCCCTGCGGCAGGTCATCGACGGCCTCCCAAGAGGCACCTCCAGCCATAGGGCTGATCTGCTCACACGATGTCGATGCTGGCAGCTGAGAAACAGCGATGGTAGGGCCACCCTCGTTGCCCCAGTTGGATGTCTTTCCGAGGCTCATGCCACCGCAGAAGAGCACGGTCTCCTTGTAGCCGTTCTCGGCGCTGAGCGGAAGCAGAGCCGATCCTCCCGAGGCAGGGTAGACACGAGGCGCACCGGGGATGGTAGGAAGGGCACGCTCGCTCTTTTTCTTGTAGTCCCACAGGATGGCTTCGCGACCCGCCTGGATAAAGACCTCACCCGACGACATGAGGTACGCGATCGGGTAGAGCGACAGCGGAACGGTGCGCTGGAGGATGGGCAGGTTGCGGCTGCCTCCGTCTCCCTTGATCGGGTAGAACTCGTAGGTGGGGTTGTTGGAGCCCTGGCTGGGCACGAAGCCTCCATCGCGCATGCCTCCAAGGATGATGTTGTGGCCGTCGGCAAGCGGCTCGACGGTGGGGTACCACCTTTCCGTGTTGAGCTGGTTGCTGGCTTGGTCGTCCCACTGGCACTGCTGGTTGTCGCAGGGCGAAAGGAATCGAAGCGCGCGTCCGCCGTTGTACGCTCCGTAGCCCTGGCCAGACTTGGCATCGGCACCGTTGGTGGTCACCGCCTTGTTGCCGCCCGTGACGAGCCATCGGCCATCGCCAAGGGTCATGCCACCGGCGCAGAAGGTGTTGGACCTCACCTCCATTGCGCGGATGTTGTTCGAGTTGATGTCGTACTCGACTCCCCAGGCCGGGTGTCCGTTGACCTTGAGCGGGTTGTTCTCGGTCTTGTCGAGAATGTACACTTTCTGTTCAGTGCCGAGGAACATCATCTGGGCCGAAACACCAGAGTTTCCGACTACCTGCATGGTGCCGGCCTTGCCGGCAGCCACGCCGCTTCCGGTGCCGACAAGCAAGAGAGCGCCGAGGACCACTCCCTTGAGGGCCATCATGGATTGGGAATAGCCAGCCATGATGAGTACGGTTGAGATCGATGAGACGGATAGGGTTGTTGATGCGCGATAGCCTTCAAATGGGTGCGTGTTGGTGTCTGAATGTGCTGATTATGGTAAGATGGCGCTGTGAAGGGACAAACGAAGGTGGTCGACAGATCGTCGTGTAAAGAGCGTAGCGGAACAAACCAGGTCTGGGGAGGGGGAAAGGGGTCGAGAGGGAGGGGATTGATGGTGGAGAAGGAGGGAACGATGGTAGGGATAGTAGAAGATGAGGCTGCAACAGCCTGCTAGGTAACCATTACAGCGGTGCGTTGAGGAGGTGCAAGCTGGCGCTTGTCGGCGGCCGGTGAGCATCGGATGGAAGAGTTGTGCCCATGCAGAAAGGCAGACGAAAGCTTGTTGACGGGCCTTCTGCGGCTTTGTGCGTACTGTACCCGCAATAGCACAAGCCGGTTCCTCAGCGCCACAAAAGGGATTGAAGGAGGGCAGCATGCCTTTCGGCAGGCTGAGACAGCAGACGAGCGACCGTATGATCCCTTACAAGCGGATGCCGAGACATGTAACCCCAAGGCAGGCGGACGCTGCGGCGGTCCGGGAAGCGAGCCGAGCTCGGCTCAAGCCCGGACAGGGCGGAAGCAGAGAAGCGAGCACAAGTTCAGGCACACGGAGTGGGGTGTGCAGGCCAAGGCAAACAGGCGGCACGACGGGCGGGTCGAGCGGGGCGACCCATTCTACAGTGAGACCAGAGCAAATCTGGGCTGAGGATGGGCAGTTCCGCTTCTCGACAGCGGACGAGGGCGAAACCGCTCCTGGAGGAGAAGGTAAGGGGCGTTGGTATGGGGCCCGGGCTGAGCAAGGGCAGGATGGGCGGCAGGACGTGGTTTGCTTGTGGCAGCGAGGCGGAGGAGAAATGTGACAGCTCGGAGCACGAATTCTTGCATGACGGATGGAGCCGACCCCTGTGCAGCATTTCAGTCTTGCATGCATTTGCATCTGTTCAATGGCATCAAGACACGACGTGAACGCCATTCAGACGCGAACAATGCACACAGGTGTCAAGGGTGGCCCACAACCCAAGGTCGAACATTCTTTTGCCGGCGAGGTCCGTGTCTGTTCGCCCACGCTGCCAGGTGCCAGACCAGCAACGGCTTTTCAGTCCGTGTGCAGGACGATGACCGACACGCCTGCCGGCCTCTTTCAGCGACCATGTCGCATGACGGCGTGTGGCGGCCAGGAGAATGTGCCACGGCGAGCAGATGGATATGTGACTTGTCTCCGCTGTCGAGTCGGGATGAAAAGATCGGGGGCACGCGCCGTCAGACAGCGCCAACCGCGCGATCCGACGCGTCGTCTGATCCCCGTCGCGAGAAGCGGGAAGCGAGATGCGAGATGCGGGGGCGTGCGCATGCGCAGCCGGGAGTGTCGCTTCTTGGCAATGCGCCGGTCGCTGCAACGCTGCTGTGTGCGTGCGTGCGAGTTGTTGACAAATTGCATGGACATGCACGGATCGGCACGGCATGGCACGGGTGCCGGTTTGCCCGCTGTCTCTGCGCAGCGCGGGAGGCACTAGCGGGTGCTGGCGTTGGTGCAGCGTGCATTCCTCGCAACACCAAGTCGGGCGATGCCTCCTGGCATGTCTCAATGATACCGCAGCCCAACTGCAACACCCTTTTCAGCCCCGCTAGCGCGCGGGCCATTTCTTTTTCCGTTTTTTTTTCCCCAAATTTGCTTCTTTCCATCCCCGATATCCCTGATGCGCATAAGCCGATCGATTTCGAAGCAGTTTGCGAACAGAGGTAGCCGCAACACCCTGGACATTTCGTTAGGCTGATGTCGTGGCGTCTTCTACGTTGGAGGTGAGCTCGAGCTCGCGCTGGTATCTGGCCAACGTGTCCGTGGGGAATTTGGATCGGCACGTGAGGCAAAAGGGTCGCGGTTGGCAGAACAGACTGAGGCAGACGCTGCAGATGTATCCGACATCGACGATCTTGCGGTGGCAGAAGCAAGCGGCTCGGAAGTCGATCTCTTCGAGTGTCGGCAGATTCATGGAGGAACGCATGGATCTCGAAGGCAGGTACGTCGTCAAGAGCGTCTGCACCAGCGCAGAACGCAGATCGATCGCACTTTCCTCCTGGCCGCCTGCGCCCGCCTGCTCGTCGCTGAGGCGGAAGTACGTCCCCGACGTGAGGTAGGATGCCTGCTGAAGGAACACCGTATCGTTCCCGAGTAGCTTGCAGACATCGATCGTGATGCCCTTCTTCTGCGCGGCAAAGATGCAGTTCATCATGGGGATGTACTGAGTCGACGCATCTTGTGTGACGCTGAGGATGAGGATGCGCGACTTGAAGCTGCCGAAGCCTCCCGAGCCGCCACCCCCATTTGCTCCACCCGAGGCACTGCTACCTCCCCCCGCTCTCGTCTGTGCCGTCGCAGCGATGCCACCGGTGACGTTGGCCGCGTCCGAAGCGTCGCTTAGCCCCAAGCGGTTGAGGTGGCAGAGTGCCTGCGACAGCGCCGACACGATACCCACGTTGACGGAGCGAGCCAACGCCCCAAGCTTGGCTGTATCGTTGTCCGCACTTGCCTCTGCGAATTCTTGCGTCTGCTTCGCGCGCTCGAACATGGCCTTGCATGTGTCGCGCACGCCCTGCTCCAGATGGTCATCTACGAGCTTGAAATGCTGGTACGTGTTGGCATCGGGCTTGTGCGTGCTGGATGAGGCAGCTGCACTGCTTTCAGAGCCAGCTTCTGTCGCCTTTGCGGAGAAGGTGGCAGTCGAATAAAGGAGCTGTGCGATGCCCGTGCCGGCAGCAGCGTAGATCGCAAGCCCATTCTCGTGCTGCATGGCCATGTGCGCGTTGAGCAGAATCATGATCGCAGAGAGCGCATCTTCCAGAGCAACATCAGCTGTGACCTGCTTTCCCTTGCCCTTTTTCAGCGCCTCGGAACGCCGCGTCCATGCGAGCGGATTGATGTCGAGGACGAGGACGAGAAAGTCGGGCGAGGTGCGGACAGCCGTGCTTTTGCTTGATTGGATATGCGAGAAGCCGGCGTTGGCGATCTCGACCGTCGACTTGGCCTGAGTTGTTGCAGACGGCATTTTGCGTCGCAGTTCTGGCTGCTGACCGGCACAGAAGTATAGCTAAGTGTGTCGCTGGTGGATTGACGGAAGCGCCTACAGAAAGTTGCTCAGCACTGTTGGTCTTTGGGACCGGGTGCGGAACCAAGTCTTGAATGTGGAGAAGCCACCTGCGGATGACAAATCAATTGTCAGCTGCACATTGGAATGGCCGACTCCCGGGCTGCGCTTCGGAGTTTTTGGCTGCAACAGACTTTTCCAGATTCTGAGAAAGGGTTCTCCACACTCTGCCGATCCACCAGCTCCGTCACCATACACTCCTCGCTGGCCGCCAAGCATCGTCAAGATGTTCTCGGTCAAGCGCTTCGACGCATTTGCAGCGTCATCCTCATCATCATCAGCTCCCGAAAAAGGACCTGCCGATTCCGCCAAGCTAGATGCGCTGAACGAACGCATTCTCAAGAAGCGCAAGCTCGCCGTCGGTGCAGATGCACCGTCTCCTGCGGCGCAGTCGAGCTCGAGTGCTCTGCCAAAGGTTTCGACCTCGGCCACCTCCTCCTCGGGGGCGAGTGCTGCAGCACCGGCCAAGCCTGCCCTCAACATCCACCCCTCACGCCTCAACGCTGCCCCGCTCCTCCGGCAGTCGGTGAACAAGGCAAGGACGGGGCCCAAGGAGAAGACCAAGGCGAAGCAAAGATATCTCAAGGCAAAGAAGGATCGTCGCAAGGCGAGGCAGCGTGCTGCGCCTAAGAAGCCAAAGAATGATCCTCAGCAGGCACAAGCAATCGCCGACAATTCCACCGTCGCACATCTTCCCGAAGAGGAGAAGCTGCAGCGACTAGAAGCATCAAGATCAAAAGGCGCGGCAGGTGCCGCGCGCAAAGTAGCAGCGTCTTCAGCTTCTGGGTCGTCTTGCAGCTCAGACTCGGACTCAGACTCGGACGCGGACTCGGATTCGGAGCACGATTCAGACTCAGGATCCGGAAGCGATGAATCGGAGCCGGCCTCTCCATCCGAGCCTGCGCAAGTAAACGTCAATGATGGCGATCAGACCACAGATACTACCATGCAAGACGGTACGAGCGCAGACAAGGAGGTCAAAGCACTCGAGCGTTTTCCGCTGGCCGGAGTCAAAGCCGCCGTGGATCGCAAGCTTATCAACTCTCTTGGACTTCCAGAGGGCCTCTCCAATCGCGTCGTTGTGAACCCAAGTCTTTCCCGGCCCCTTCCACCGCAAGCTGCAGGCAGCAAAGACCTCGCAAAGGCTCAAGACATTGCTTCCACCTCGACATCCGTTGCGAGCGCGAGCGACGAAAGCACCATTCGCGGCGACCGTCAGGACGACTTTGGCAACGTTGCGCTCAGCGACACGGTGCGCTCGCGCTTGGAGGCGCTCGGAGTCAGCGAGTGGTTTGCTGTCCAGGTTTCGGTGATTCCTTGCTTGCTAGCTCAGCCTCAGAGCCGGTCTTTGTACCGTCCCTTTGCACCGCCGCGCGATCTGTGCGTTTCCGCCCCGACCGGTAGCGGAAAGACGCTCGCATACACGGTGCCCATTGTCGAGGTGCTGCGCACGCGCCAGATTGTTCGCCTGCGAGCGCTCATCGTCCTTCCTACACGCGATCTCGTCTCCCAGGTCAGAAGCACCTTGGAACTGGTAGCCAAGGGATCGGGTCTCAGGATCGCCACAGCCACGGGTCATCACAGCTTTGCTCACGAGCAGACCCAGCTCGTCGAGGGGCTCGATGCAGGTGACGACGACGACTCTGTGCAGAAGCAGTCCAAGGTGGACATCCTCATCGCCACTCCCGGTCGATTGATCGATCATTTGGATTCGACGCCCGGTTTCACGCTCGCCCATTTGCGCTTCCTAGTCATTGACGAGGCAGATCGCTTGCTCAACCAGTCGTTCCAGGAGTGGCTGCGACGTGTCCTGTCCGCCACCGAGGGTGTCGCCAATGCTGATGGCCGGAGCAGCGAAGTGACTCTAGCACAAGCACCGTACGAGCTACTGTCGAGCGCATCATCCGGATTTGGGGCAGCCGCTCGGTCCACACTGCAGGAGGAGGCTGTTCCATCCGTGCAAAAGCTGCTGTTCTCGGCAACTTTGACACGCGATCCCGCCAAGATTGCGGCGCTCGGGTTGAGGAATCCGCACTACATCACCGTGCAGGACGACAACCCGGCTGCGGACGGAGAGGCCGGCCGCGCAGACAGGGCGCAGCACGAGCGATTCTCGCTTCCGCACTCGCTGCACGAGCACATGCTCGTCACCACTTCGGCCGACAAGCCTTTCCACCTGTTGTATCTTCTGCATCGTCCCGACGACGAGCAAGCCGCCAGCAAGATCAGCAAGGCGCTCTGCTTTACCAAGTCGGTCGAGTCCGCGGCGAGGTTGGTCAAGCTGATCGAGATGTTTGAGGAGCTCCGACAAGAAAGCGGATTGATCGCGCGCGGTGCGCGTCCCATGGTCGTCCAGAACTACTCGTCCGAGCTTAGGCCCTCCGATCGTCAACGCATCCTCGCTCAGTTCGGAAACGGCGAAATTGATCTGTAAGTTTGACTCTCCGTCCCATGGCGGACTCCCTGTGCCTTCGGCACGCTGACCCCTGACTCGGTCTCTACAGGTTGGTATGTTCGGATCTCATTTCCCGTGGTATCGACTTGCCTTCGGTTGAACATATGATCTCGTACGATGCTCCCGTCGATTCGGCCAAGTACGTGCATCGTGTGGGCAGAACTGCACGTGCGGGCAAGCACGGCGATGCCTGGACCCTCGTCGAGGAGCAAGAGGCTCGTCACTTCAAAAAGATGGTCCGCGCCATCATGCGTCAGACTCCAATCACCAAGGTCAAGCCCAAGGTCCTTCCAAAGACGGACGAGGTTGACTTTGTCGAGGAGGACGCACCGACACGAGAGATGCGCAAGCTGCGCGACGCGTACGAACAGGCTCTCGACCGAATGGCCCAGTTCTATCGCCAGCAGTGACGCTGTACTTCTTTGGACGAGTTTGCAGAACATCAATGCAATCCTCTCTACATGTGCCTGTGTTTGTGCAACGTGCGTTCAAGTCGTCCTTCGTGTCGACGAAGGCTTTGGCTGCTTTGAGAATCACACCAAGGCGGCAGGGCTGTGTTGCGCTGGCAGCTGTTTAAGGTTCGCAGTCCAAATCGTGCAGACGGCGGTGGGAACGCTTCCGTCGCCATGCGGACGTGTTCACACAATCTCGCTTTCCGCACACACTTTCCGCACGCATTGGGCACTCTCTGCTTGCAGCGCCTGCTTTGGGAGCAAGCTCGGCAGTTGATGCAGTGTCCAGTTGGCTCCATGGGCCGCACACATGTTCCGCACTTGTATCCGCACTTCGGCGAGCGTGCATTTAATCGCCTCTCTGCCCAGCGGGCTTCGCCCCCTTTCTCCATCAGCTTGCGCTACACTTTCTACCACGCACACCATTCTCCAGCATCCCTATACCTCGTATCTGCCCACAACCAGTACGATATCGTAAGTCCCACCCCACTCCACCCGCGCTCAAGGGCGCCTTACTTGCCGACCGAGGCGGCTGTAAGCATGGCGGTCTTCAAGGGCGGACCTGCCCTGCCCAAGCGCACCGAGAGGGCGGATGAGGTCGACGACGCCGTGAGTGGCAAGCGTCAGCGACGCACGACCGAGCTCCTGTCCAACCCCATCAACGAGGACCAGGATATGCCTGACGACGACAACTCTACGACGCAGCGCAACAACAGCCGCAAGGACGCCAACAAGATGCCGATGGTGATCGAAGGAGGCGATACCGCCAAGCCCGTCTCGGAGCTGCGCTCCACCATGGACGCTGAGATCGACGACGCTCGCGAGGGAAGCACCACCCCGGTGAAGGAGGAATTCGACATCCCCGCCCCGCCCACCACGCCCAAAAAGGCATCGCGCAAGGTCAAGGCCGAGAGGAATGACCTCCTCAAGACTCCAAGCAAGAAGGAAGAGGCCGGATCCAGCTCGGCCGCTCAGCGCTCGCCTAGGGAGCAGGCCCCGCTCGCTAGCGTAAGTATTTTGCCCGGTCGAAGTCAATGGTCATAGCTAATATCGATGTTTGCATCACGTTGACACTCTCTGTACGTGATCAACAGGCTTGGCAGCCAGAGCACTGGGACGATCTGAACTTTGCAATCCTCAAGGTCGTTCATGATCATGTAGGTCCCTTGCTTCGCAATGCCCGGACTCCTGCCTCGGCCACTGATAGTTACTGTGCGTGTCTTCTCTACCCAGGCTACCGAGCTGTACGACGCGAGCCCCTCGCTCGCTCCCTGGAGGATCAAAGGCCGTCTGCTCGTCAAGGTAAGTAGGCAAGCATACGGCGCATCTCACACAGACCTCTGATCACCCTTTGCCTGACTGTATACTTGCGGTACTCAACAACAGCTCCGACAGCTCCTGAAGGATGCACAGGGCGGAGACGTGGCGTCCAAGCGCTGGGACGTCGAGATGAAACCCAACCGCACTAAGGCTTCTCCCAAGAAGCAGCCTTAGCGCCACTTCGCCCAGCCGAGCATTTCAAATGCCCTCTCGATCTCGTCAAGAGCGACAATGCTCGACTTTCTTCTCGCCGCACACGTCTGCTCTAATTTCGATGCATTCGATTGATTGCTGTACATCCAGTAGGGTAATCGATCCCATCCCATCCATGACAACCTAGTCGTCCCAGCCCATGCCGAGCAGGAAGCTCTTTTGAATGTGCATGACGGCGGCCACGAACGCCTCGAGGTGGAAGATGACTTTGGATCCGGTGCGCGTTCGGAGCTCGTAGAACGCCGCCTTCTGAACAATGGCAGGTCGGACCTGGCTATCTACCTTTTTGACGAGGTTGTCTGTGAGATGCTTGAGAATGAGTGTAGGCGGAATGGCGTGCACCAGTAACTCGTAGAGTTTGGAGCGGACAGCTAGCAGGTTTTGTGGCGATGGATCCGAGAGGATGAGGTCGGCGGTCTTGGTGATGTAGATCTCCCAGTCCGGTTTGGCGATACCGATGCCGGCGGAGAGGTCGGGCGACTGCATGCGGAGCGCCTCGAGCACCAGCATGGCTTTGCGCAGATTGCCGTTGCAGTCGTCGCAGATCTGCGTCTGTACAGCGTCCGGAATGGTGAAGCGCTCCTTCTTCGCCACGTGTGTCAACACGGTTCGCATCTGTACGTCACAATACTCTCGTGTCAGCCCTTACGCTCGCGAAAAGACCCTCGCGGGCGGAATGAATACTCGCCTCATCGTCTGAAGGGGCTCCGACTCGAAGGAGCAAGCAACGAGATCGGATGGGCGCGATGATCTTGCTCGTGCTCGTCGCGCACAGCACCAGCCGCAAGTTGGCCATGTACTTCTCCATGGTCCTTCGCAGTGCGCTTTGAGCATCTCTGCTGAGCGAGTCGGCCTCGTTGATCACCACCACCTTGAACCTGTGTTTCGCGTTGAGATCGACGTTCTGGGTCTGTGCGATCTCCTTGAGGATGTCCTGGATCACGAGTCGATCGTAGATGCCTGCATCTGATGGAGTGAGTTCGATATGATAGTTGGATGAGACAATGTTGACGTCGATCTTGCGGTTCGAGGGTGTGACAAAGACACGCTGGTCGATCTTGAGCTGTATCGTCCAGAAAGCAAGAGGAAGATCGATGTGAGTGAGCCGAAGCAAGCGCAAATGCGGTCAAGGGGCAGCACAACAAACCTTGTATGTTCCAGAGCCGTAAAGCTCTCGTAAGAGACATGCGATGCGTGTCTTTTTGCCTGCTCCTGATGGTCCGTACATGAGGACGTGCGGGAAGTCTTCATGGCCGGCCAAGGACGAAAGGCGCTTCGACAGATCGTGGTGGTAGTGGAGCTCCGAGAGGGCCTTCGGCCTGTACTTGTCGACGAACAGCATGGTCGCCGAGTGATTTGTGAGCTCGGGCTTCGATCTTGTTGCAACTGGAGAGCAGAGCTGCGGCGTATATGGAGGGCGAGAGAGCGACGAAGGAAGAAGGATAAGCAAAGTGGAAAGCCAACCCCTCTAACGACTACAGTGGGAATTTTGTGTTGCGCTCCACCGACACGCGCGCAGCCGACGCCCGACGCGACTCTCGTCTCTGTCACTTTACGCGCTTTGCCGAGCCAACCTCCACAAGAACTCGAGCACGCACCGCCGCCTTCCTCGATATCACACCAAACGCTACACACGACTCGACCTCGAACATTACGATCTGCGCAAGGCTTGCATTACTGATCTGATGGAAATGATGAATGATCGCACACTGACACGACCGAGCCAACACGATGCTAGCGCAGGTGTCTCACGCGTCGAAGCGGTCTCCATACTTTAAGCGCAGGGCGACGAGGTCGAGGTCCTCGGAAGACGAGGTCTCGTCCGTCTTGCTTGTGCCAGAGGACACGGTCGGACTCAGCGCAAGGTCTTGAGCGAGATGCTCGCTTGCATGCAGGCCATTCGCGTCGTGGTGATTGAACCCGCGTGTCGGCGCAGAAGCCTTGCCGGCAGACGGCGCCACGCTGAACGTGGAAGGGATCGGATTGTGGCGGCCGGGGCCATCTTCCTGACCCCGGTCGGGCACAACGTCGTGCTGGTCGTTATCTTCCATCAAGCCTGAAACTTGCACAGGATGCATGTCGTTCACGATGTCTTGCACCATGGCCGCCTCTTCCCTCAGGATACGAGCCTCGCTAGCCTTGGCCCTGTTTGCCCTCCTCTTCTTCTCGCTGCGCAGCTTCTCCGCCGCCTGCTTGGCGATTTCTCGCGCTTGCGCCTGAGCCTCTTCCTGGCTCCTCCACGGCTCCTTGGATTTGGCAGCATGGCGTCCCTTCGCGGATGCGCGAGAGCCACCATCGTCAACTTCCATGAAATCGGCCACGTCCGGCGGAATGCAGAGATCCAGGAGCAACGGCACGTCGTCGAGCCGGGTCGGCGACGGAGCCGAGCCTCGTCCGTCGAAGCCCAAGAATTGCAGGGCGTGATGGAGCTCGCTTTGCCAGCGCTCGATGGATTTGCTCTTGATGTTTCGCGACGTGTTTCGATCGACAATGAAGGGGTCCTGAACCACCAGCTCGTCGCCAGCCCACACATCGGCCTCGGCGCCGTCGGCCGAATGCTCGCCATGTTCCGACGTTTCGTCCTCGTCCGCTGAGTCGAAAAGGATGTGCCTTGGCTGCGAGCTCCGTCGACGTTGAATAGGCGAACCGTTGACAAGCGAGATGGCTTGCGCTTTTCGGTCGAGCTGCGAGTAGAATCGAAGGAATGCCACAAGCATCTTTCCGAGCAGCCGATCCGCGCCGTCCGTGCTCGCAGAACTCGAAGCGCTCGCATGCGATGCATCATCACTCTGCTCCGCAATTTCAAGAGCCTTTGCGCGATACGGGCTCGCGTCGATCTGGCTCCGAACGAATGTGACGTCGTATGGCTTCGGAGCGGTGGGGTCCTGCTGTGCTCGCCAGCTGCCGTTGAGACCGCCACGGACAGCCTCGTCGGACACAGCAGTGGATTTCTTCTCGTTCCTGCGCCTCGGTCGCTTGGGCCTTGCGAACAGGAAGCTAGGGTGGATTTGTAGGCTGTTTAGTAGGGGTGGGGATTGCAGATTGGGCAGCACGCCCTCGACCTGGAGTACCTGCAGGGCCTTGAGTGCGATGGTGTAGCTGCTGAACGTCATATTGCCGGTCTTGCCGGCGGGGTCGTTGAGATCGCGTTGCGAATACCAATGCTTGAGAAAGAAGATGAGCGGACGCACCAGGCCCGGTTGCAGGTCGGCATAAGCGCTGATGAGCTGCGAGTTGAAGAGGCCGAAGCGCTCGTTGATGTTGATGTCGGCGGGGATGCCATGTTTGCTGTGGACCATCTTGACGATGGGCACGTTGGCTCCGCTGATGGGTTGGACAGGTGCAAACTTGTTCGAGTTTCGAAGTGCATGCGCCACTTGGTGCACGCTGTACCAGTCTGGCATTCCGGCAGAATGGCGCACGAATCCTTTGGGGCTGCCACAAAGATCGGGTGGGGTACCCACACCGTATGGTCGGGTAGGATCCAGCAGGACGAGATCCAGGTCGGAGGACGCGGTGAGCAAGCCCGTCACGCTGGAGCCGAAGGCCGCAACCTTGAGATTCTGTCCGGGCCACTTTCGATCGATGGCTCGTTGGACGTCTGCAACGACCTCGTCGCGGCGTAAATGGGCTGCGGCTGGCGGTCTCGAGTGATTCCAGAATCCTCGGATTTGACGACCTAGGGCGAGGTAGGGATCGACAGCATCGATCACCTGTGAAGCTGTGCTGGTGTCCGCGGAGGATTTGGCAGGTTGCAGATCCGAGAGCCACTTTCGGCAGGCTTGACGGTCCGATTCGACGCGAGCACGCTGACGGGTCCTCTCTTGTCGGATCGCCGTGATGCCGTTCTGGATCTCTTGCTCCAGTCCTCGCCTTCTGCGAAGCTTGTCTTCCTCGTCCCGCTTGGCCTGTAGCTGCTGCACTGGGGTCGCAGTTTCCATGCTGAGTGACGCGAAGCCATCGTCAATCTGTTTTTGGATTTCGAGCTTTCTTCGCACCTTTTCTTGCTCGCGCAGCTTGTTGCGGCGATCCACCTCGGCTGCTCTGCGTGCCCTGTCTTCACTATCCAAGTGATGGCTTGGAGCGTCGGTTCGCACTTGTGGGGTGGGGTTTGGACCTCTCGTTTGCGATGTGGCCTTGTCGCCGGCATCGATTGGGTCGCCACGGACCGCAGGATCGTTCCAGAGCTTGACATCTGGGAAAGGTGCAGCAGAGGGCAACCCTTGTTGCTGATGATTTCTGAATCGAGTGAAGGCGGGATGCGATCCATGACCAAGCGTGCTCATCGGATCCATGCCCGAGAAGGCGGTGCGCGAGGAGGTCGTGTATGGGCTTTGGTCGTGCGTGTGGGGTGCGGAGGACGTCGAGGGGTCAGAAGAAAGAGGCGGCCGAGGCGTTGGCGACGATTCGAGCTGCCCAAAGAAGCCCTGCGAGGCGCTGAACTCGATGGTAGGTAGACTGCCTGCCTCGCTCTGGTTGGTAGGATTCATGACTGGCAGGAACCCATCGACGCCTCCGTGGCTAAGGGCAGCGTATTGGAGTTTGCTGCTCTCCCCCTGCTGCGGATAGGCGAAGCCGTCCATGGCCGACCACGGCTACGTTCCCTGCGTTGAGTGCTCGGTCGACCGCCTGTGTAGTCTCGGCTGCTTGCTGTCACAGAGATACGGCAATCTGTGGGCGCATTGGCGAGCAGTCGGTCAGAAGGGTAGTTGGGGAAGGTGGATGAGGGCGGTGGCGGGCCTTTTTTGCGCAGAAGCGCCGCTCTTGCGCATGCAACTCAGCTCAGCCTGCAGGGCGCAAGAGCCTCCACAACGCGTCTTGTCACAACGCGGAATTCGGAAAACGACCTTCTTGAAGTCACAGTCACCAGTCCTCACCGAAATGAAAAAAGCGGCAATGAAAATGGAGCCCAAAAAAGGCCCTGTGGTCAGGGTGCAAGCAAGCACTTTTCGGAAGTCGGCCGATGCGATTGACTTGGACCCCTCCTTCTCAGGCCCGAGAGAACCTCGTTCGAGCGTGGACCACCGCACATTGCATCCGACGTTGCCTTCACACGAGCTAGGAGTGCTCTCCTAGGTTGAACCTAGGTCAAAGAGCCGAAGCCGCCGGAACAACACGCTCGAGGGGAAACCCGAGTTGGATACTCGCGTGATTCGCACGGCCCTCTCTGGCGCATCGGCACCATGGAAGGCTCGATAGGGAAGGATGAGATCGTGGCCACCACCAAATTCAAACCATCTTCCTCTTCGATCGCGGCACGGCAGAAGAAGCAGCAGGATGATGTCGTCGACGACTGGGACGCCGAGAGCAGCGACGAGGACACAGCTCCGATGCAGCAGAAAGATGCAGCAGAGACGAGCACAGCGCAGGTGGACGTCTTCCGCGCATCCAAGGACGAGTGGACCTCAGCGTAAGTAACGGCTCGCATCGCATCGCCAGGCTCAGGGACTAACATCGGGCGTCCGGATCGTCTACGCGCGATTGATGAAATGGCTCTTGCAGCAACTCACAGGCACCTACGGCCGTCCCGCTCGTCGTTTCGGGTCCAGGCCGAACACTGCCCGGGTCTGCCTACGGCCAGCGGGTGAATGCTCGCGGCGAGAACGGGTCGATCGCCTCGTCACCATACGCAGGCAGCCCTGCTATGGCCGAACCACCGCGGATCCTCCAGCGGCCCAGGAATGTGGCTCCAGGCGTACGCAGCGACGGAACATCGGCGAGCATGTCGAATTCGTCCTCCCAGGAGCGCAAGACAGTGGAGCAGCGCCAAGAAGAGTATCGTCTGGCGCGCGAGAGGATCTTTGGCACTCCCACCAACGCGTCTGGTGCGCCGTCCAAGGGTCGCCCATCGAAGCAGTAGCAGCAGGCCGAACGAGACCGGTGCAGCACAGGACGGCAGAGATCGCCGATTCAATATACCCCGTCTCACGCCGTCATGACCTGAGACCAACACCTGGCCGGGTGTGTTCGAATGAAGTGCGCTTGCCGAGGGCCAACCCGTAAGATGTCAGATCGACGAGCGGTGTTATATCGCTGGTCGCGACAGCAGCGGACAAGGTCAACCAACGCTGCAAGCTGGCGCTACCATTCGGGATGCGTTGATTCGCCAGCAGTCAGGATCCGGAGCGCCGAGGCGGGATAGCCGAAAACTTTCGTGTGGATATGGGGACCCCGTCTGACAGGATCGACGTGGGCAGCAGCTTGCCCTGGGTGACAGGCTGGCACTAGCGGTATCGCGCCAGTGGGGTTTCGAAGGAAACACCCGCTCAGGGTCACATCGAGCGCAAGTCCCGCTCGAGGCCAGTGAAGAGCATGGCGTCGGACCCGAGACGAGCCCAGTCTGACGGGGTTCGCATCGATCGGTGCTGCTCCGGCCTGTCGCTTGAAGCCGGAAAGTGACTATCGGGTTGAAAGGTGGCTGTAATGGCCGCAGCTACAAATTAGTTGCGATTTTTGTATTCCTCCAAAGCGACGCTGGATGTTCGGCCAGATCGATTTCTTCCGAAGTGACCGGCAAAGCGCACGCACGATTGATTTTGCAAGAATTCCCCCCTGACCTGACGCCTCGCCTCGGCGTTCACGAGCGACGGCAGCCACCGCAAAGCAGGACCGCGCACCGGCAAAAAAAAAAAAAAATTCTTCCTGGCGGGATGGGTGGCCGTTGGCATCATCGGTGCTCCGTCAAGCGCGGCGCTATAGCTGTGATTTGGACCCGCTGGTCTGTAGCATGGCCAGCTCCCTCACTGTTGGACCAAGAGCTGGCATCGGGTGTGATGTGGACATGTGCAATAGGAGACCTTTGACTATTCTGTCTCGAGATACAGCGAGTGCCGGAACGCATGTGGGAGGGCCAAGATCGCAGGTATCAGCGAGTGCAGCGTCGGAAGTCAAAGCCGCGCTGACCGCTGCCAGCTTGGCGCGGCGCCGCACAGAGCACCGAGCGAGCGAGGGCGGCAGGTTCGAACTTCTGGTGGTGCGTTTCTGCTCCGGTCCTTCCCTATCCAACGCACGATCTCGCGGGTGCGCTGGGCACTTGACCAGTGTGTGCTGTTGGTTCGAATTCACTCGGTGCGCACCAGCGCCTGTTGCCGCTGCTGGCCGAAATTTCGTTTTCTTCTGCTTTCGCCCGCCTATCTTCTCGTTCGCTCGCCCGCTCTGTGCCAGTGTGGCCCGCGCTGGCCATTGCGCGATTCAGGTCGGGCGGTCGGACGGACGGAGGGAGGGCCAATCATTCGTCGCCGTGGCCGTCCACCCCTGGCCCTCGCCCGCGCGATCCCCTTGAAAAATACCTGCCTTCGGCGCATCCCTTCCTTCTTACTTTCACCTACCTACCACCTCTCTTTCGTAGTACAGGTAAGCATGCCTCGTCCCATGGCCGTGCTTCACCAGCATCGCCTCAGGTTGTCACACATGCTCTCCGATACCCCTCCTCCAAAGCCTGCATATCCATCGTCGTCGTCGCCGTCGAGATCAGGAGCATACAAGTTTGCCGACGCTTCCGAGTGCCGATTGCGCTCGGAAAGTCGTCGGACTGCTGTTGAGATGTGAGCTGGGCATGCCGTGTGCTATGACTAGCGCCTCATCATCAGCAGAGTGTTCTTGGATACTCACGATCCTCGCCGTCGCACTAGGTTGTCGCTGCTTGGTCCGCTTCTCGGTGCATCTGTTGTGCAACCGACAATTATTTTTCGTAGCATCTGGCTGACAATCAACCCTTTCCCCTCTCACCTCAACCCCTTCAGTCAAAATGGGTACCGTCGCTGACCCCGCCAAGACCAAGAAGACCATGAGTGGCTTCGCCACCGACTTCCTCATGGGTGGTGTTTCCGCCGCCGTCTCCAAGACGGCTGCTGCCCCCATTGAGCGAATCAAGCTCCTCATCCAGAACCAGGACGAGATGATCAAGCAGGGCCGTCTTGCCGCCCCCTACAAGGGCATTGGCGACTGCTTCGTCCGCACCTACCAGCAGGAGGGCATGGTTTCGCTCTGGCGTGGTAACACCGCTAACGTCATCCGTTACTTCCCCACCCAGGCGCTCAACTTCGCCTTCAAGGACTTCTTCAAGTCGCTCTTCGCCGTCCCCAAGACCGCTCCCTACTGGAAGTCGCTCACGGCCAACCTTGCCTCCGGTGGTGCCGCCGGTGCCTCGTCGCTCCTCTTCGTCTACTCGCTCGACTATGCCCGTACCCGTCTTGCCAACGACGCCAAGTCGGCTGCCAAGGGCGGAGGAGACCGCCAGTTCAACGGCCTCGTCGACGTCTACCGCAAGACCATCGCCTCGGACGGTGTCGCCGGTCTCTACCGTGGCTTCGTCCCCTCGGTCGTCGGTATCGTCGTCTACCGCGGTCTCTACTTCGGCATGTACGACTCGCTCAAGCCCGTCCTGCTCACCGGCAACCTCTCGAACAACTTCCTCGCCTCGTTCCTCCTCGGCTGGGGTGTTACCACCGGTGCTGGTCTTGCTTCCTACCCTCTCGACACCATCCGTCGTCGCATGATGATGACCTCGGGTGGCAAGGTTCACTACAAGAACATGTTCGATGCCGGTCGCTCCATCGTCGCCGCCGAGGGTGTCTCGTCGCTCTTCAAGGGTGCCGGTGCCAACATTCTCCGTGGTATCGCCGGTGCCGGTGTGCTCTCCGGTTACGACAAGCTCCAGGAGGTCATGTTCGGCAAGGTCTACAAGGGCGGCTCCGGTTAAACGGTCCCCTGCGTACTCTTCGCTCCTCCTCCCCCTCCCTTCTGTGCAGTCGGCCCGGCCCATTCCCCGATGCCGGTCTTCATGGAATGAAAACTCAGCTTCTAGATCTGACTTTTTACGGAGCGTGTGTTCTGGATGTGGTCACTACTGAGAATCTCTTTTGAGGACGCCAATAAAGAAGACAGGGGGAATGCTGATGCGAATGCGGATGCGGATAGACTACAAATGCGACTGCGGAATTGGAGCTGGGAAGGAAGGTCGACGCTATGCGGGAAGGGGTCGGGCGTGGTGCTTTCAATGGTGGTTTGAGCGCTGGAGCCGGTCGAGCTCGCGCTGTGCTCGTAGCATGGCGTTCTCGTCGCGGAGACGCTCCATCTCGGCGCGCAGCATCTTGACCTCGGCGCGGAGCTCGAGTACGGCCTCGCTCTGCTCCGACTCTTCGGCCTTCTTGACCTGGCGTCGCATGCGTTGGTACTCGACGTTCCTCTGTGCGCGTCGACGCTGAGCTTCGCCTGGCTCGAGTACGGGCTTGCGGCCTCGCTTGCGCGGAACGCTCTGCTCTCTCTGCTCTGGCGCGGACTGCGCCGTACTTGCGGCACGAACAGCCTCGGCTCCTGCATGAGTGTCGACGTGGCCTGCTGTGGAGAGATCTTCCTCTGCTTCGCTAACGAAAGTGCTCGCGTGGGTCGAAGGCTCCTTTGCCTGCGGTCGATCCGCCTCCGTGGCAAAAGAAGTGGGACGCGGGAACAAGTGTGCATGCGGACGCGGGTCGCCTTCTCTGTATGATCCCCGCCGCGCAGCATCGGCAGGCGTTTGAGTTCCTGATGGCGTGCCCGAATGAGATGCAGCAACGGCCGCAGCTGCAGCGCGAGACTTTTCTGAAGCCACAACGTCGCGTACCGCCAGCGACCACGCCGAGGGCAGAGGCAGGTCGGGATTGAGATCCGGATTGAAGTCCGGGTCGTCCTCGTCCTCGTCTTCAAAGTCGAGATCGGCAAAGTGGAGCGGCCGGTACGCGTCCTGCGCAGGGATGCTGAACCCAACACCTGTTTGATCCGTCTGCGGATGCGAGCGGCCGGGAGCACTATCAGAGGCAACCTGCGTAGCAAGACTCGGTTGCGCAAAGTGATAGTTAGAAGAAGGAAAGACTTGCGCAGCTTGACCGTCCGAGCTTCGTCGTTGGCTGTGCTGCTGCTGCTGTTGCCGCTGCTGCTGTTCCATCAGGGTCTGGAGCAGCGCCGTGAGATCCTGCTCGCCGACCGGACGGCGCGAAACCTGCTGGTCTTTGCCCAAACGAGCGATCAGCGCCTGGATGAGCGGCTGAAGCGCCGACAGCTCGTTCTTGCTCCGAAGAGACGTAGAGCGTGACGGTCCAGCATGTGATGGGCCTGCGTGGTTCGGCGTCTGCGCTGGGCTGCTCTGTGGATGTGCAAAGGGCGATGGCGCAAGCTGGGACCCGGGCGTGGCCTGGCTCGCCCAGCCGATGGAGTCGGACGATCCGAGCACATGCGTGAGCATTTGAATCATGGCAGCGTAGAACTCGGCATCGTCTGCTCCGCCCGCTGGCGAGCGGCCGTCGACGCTAATCGCACTCGACGGCTGAGCGGATAGCGTAGCTTGAGGGTAGCTTCGCCGTGTGAGCCAGTTGGGGTCCAGCCGCTCGAGAAACTTGAAGGGCGACTCGTCGTCGTCTTCGTCCGCATCGGCGTCTCCATCCTCGTCATCCTCGTCTTCGTCGTCGTCGTTGTCATCGTCGTCATCGTCGTCCTCGTCTTCCGACTCTTCCTCTTGATCATCGTCGTCTTCCTCGGCGAGATCTTCGTCGTCACCTACGTCGTAAGTCGGATGGTCATCCTCCCTCTCCTCGTCTTCTCCGCGTCTCCGTCTCCCACTTCTGCTGCCACGCGATTCTGCGGTCCGCGCCGCACGCGCTCGAGGTGCCCTTGCTCGTCCGCCGCCTGCGGCTGCCATAGGTGACGACTATGACATGCAGTGTTTCGCTGCGAGAAGCGGCCGTTGGTCGGTCCAGAAAGATGAGAAAGGGAAAGGTGGCTGAGCAACCCGCACAAACGTCAGTGCGGAATCAACTCATGACGCGAGGGTGCAGACAGACGCGTCTTTCGTCGGGGGTGTTGGACTGCAAGCTCGACAAAAAGAGAGTCCTACGGGGATTGAACCCGCGACCTGCAGAAACCAAGACGGTGTACCTTGAAGGTGTCCTTCGACTTTGTGCCGAAGTCTGCCGCTCTACTGCTGAGCTAAAGACCCTGACAACCAGAATGGGTCAAAATGAGCGGTTGTGAATGCTCATCGAGACCACCCATATCCTCACTCCCCTTTTTTCATTTCCCCTTTTTGGTCTTTTTCTTCCGACTGCGGCAGGAGGGAGCACCGAAATTGCGCAGGTCGTAACCCTGCGCCTCTTCCTTCTTCCCACCACCATCAAAGCATCGAAACCAGGAAACGACCGCGCTTCGGCTCACCTCCGACTCTTCTCGCCTGTGGCCCTACGGTCTGAGCACGCTTGCTGTGTGGACGGCACTTCGCTCGTCATCAAAGACTCGCCATCGTGATCAGACGCTTCCGCACACCTTGCTGCTTCCGCCTTCCTTCTCTCTTTTCCCTGTCCGTTTCCCTTCCCCTTCTCCCGCACCCCCTTCCCTTTGAGTATCCTGCCCTTTAAAGAGTCCATTAGATGATGAAACCCACATCTTCTGTGACGGGACAAACTGGGCTACAGCAGCGAACTTTGCGACCTCGTGTCGTTGCATCAACCTTGTCATAACTATCCAGCTCGTTCCTCCTCTGTGGACGACTCGGCTGAACGACCTGGAACATTCCGTCCGCTGAGCTGTTCATCTTTGTCTTGTGTCGGAAACTGTCGCGCAATGTTCTCTCAATACAGCACAGTACATCACTTTTCGAACAGCGTGATCAGATCGCGAACAGAATGTGACCGGCTGTCATGGCCGAACGAATTGGACCGCTTGAGACCGGCAGCGTGGCTGTTGCAGAGCCTGTGTGCGATGTCCGGATCACAGACCTCACACAAGTGCTAAGCTTTGCCAAATCCTGGTCGAACTTTGTGACCTTGTGTCAGTCACACGCTACTCAAGTGTTTCGGATGTACGGGAAAGCTTGACGATGTGACCGACTTAGGCTCGGCCTTCGGAGTCAAAGCTTGGTTGGTTCAGTGATGCAAATCAAGGTGTCTCCTGAGTGGAACAGCACCGAAGGCGGGCGGACTTGATACACGTCTGTGATCCGTCTTGCAGGATTGCACAACGTCGAGCGTTCCGTTCGGGAGCCTGAGCTGACGATCTGACCTGTTGAAGCGGCTCAAACCACTTCCGCCCGGACGTCGACGAGGCGCTACGCTGCATTTTCCACTTCCGGATTTGACTGCATCGGAAGTCGGGACGTGGTTCGGCTCGGGAGTAACGACCCTGAAATCACGGAAACGTGGCCAAGTGTCTGTGCGGTGACTCGCTCCACTCGACGTGCTACCACCGTTCCTAGTGCCTTTATCTTCGTTCGCCTCGGACTGGAAAGACCGGCAGGCTGACATCCGCTCGTTCGCCAGTGAGCAGAGCTGGCTGCTCTCTACCATGCCGCCCAAGCCCAAATCGCAAGCGAAAGCAGCCGCCTCGCATTCCGACGGAGCGCTGTCTGCTTCGCCGCACTCGGCGGCCTCGCCGCGTCAAGCAGCTCCGCGAGAAAGCGCGGCGCTCGCATCCCTCCCGCACATCGAAGTCAAGCCTCAAAAAGCCTGTGTGCTTTGTCGCCGCTCCAAAGTCAAATGCATCCACGACGGAGCCCCGCCCTGCAAGCGCTGCAAAGACACCAACCAAGAAAGCCAGTGCAAGTTCCGTCTGCGAGCGGACGACGAGTCGTGGCGCGAGAGGACTGATGATGTCCTGTCGAGGCTCGGAGAGAGCGTCGAATGGCTCGTACAACAGCAGCAGAGGCAACAGCAGCAGCAGCAGCAGCAGCAACACGTAAGCCACGATGACCACCGTCGATCCGATGCGATTGGCTCCAGCAGCTCACCAATGTCCGCACCTTCCCCTCGGAAGGCACAGGCACACGCTGCTCTGTATCGACCGCCTCCGCCCTCGATGCGAGCCGCAAACGCTGCTCAGGGTCGAGCGACTGCGGACACGCCGGGCCCATCCGACCCATTGCTGCATCACAATCCCACTGGCTTTCACAATCGGCCCTCATCCACAACTTATCTTGGTTTCGACGGTGCGGCTGGCCTGTTGAGCCCAGGTGACTCGCATCCGCGCAGCATTTCATCCCCTTCGTCTTCCAGCTTTGGATCGACGAACCGAGCCTACCGCTCCCCGCCTGCCAGTGCACAGTCGTTCCGACCGCTTCGCAATCCATACCCTCCATCGCCTCCGCTGCCTGCCTCGACCCATGGCTCCTTGCCATTCTACCCGGGAAGCACGTCAATACACTCATCAGCTGCGGGCCGCTTTGGGCCGGATCCATCCAGTTCAGCTCGATCAAAGTACCCCTCGAACGTGCGGCAAGCGCACCACGCGCCGACGCTCGAGCCTGGTCAGACCCGCCCTTCCTCGTTGATCTATGCTGCTCACTCGTATGAACACGCCGCCGAGTCGAGGCAGCATTCCGCTTCGGACCATCAATCAGCATTCGACTCGCCTTACGCTGCGCCCACGAATCGTATCGGGCGGAACGATCCTCGACTCACGGTCATATCCATGGGCCTCGTGTCGATGGACCACGCGCGTCACCTCTTCAAGTTCTTTGCAAGGTACTTGCAGCCTCACTGCTTTGGATTCCCCGCCTACCCGGCCAACGAACACATGACGCCGCTCATCATCGCGTGCATCCTCATGGTCTCTGCGATGCACGAGCCCAACTCCCGCAAGCTTTTCGAGCGCCTCCGACACGAGGCCTTCTCCTCGCCTCTCTTGCTCGACCAGCCCATCGATCGCTCGGCTCCCCTCGATCCAGAGCTCGGGATTGGCGTCGAGGAGATCACGGGCGCGTGCATTGCGGCATGCTGGCTCGGTGGTCAAACCGCACTGTCCGTAGCGCGCTTGGCACGCTACTGGGCTATCGGCTATCTCGAGCACTTTGAAGTACGCTCTGCACAGACGCTTGGCGAGTGGATGACGATTCTGCCGCCTTTCCGCCAGATCGATCTCGTTGGCAAGTTGCGAATCTGGCTCATGTCGTACATCACTGAAGCACAACAGGCTGTCATCAATGACACGCCGAGCTTGTTCCCCGTGAGCGACCCTGCGCATTACTGCCAAGGCCTCCTCAATGCCAGCAGCCACAGCGTGGAAATCGCCGAGTCGCTTGCCAAGAACGAAGGCTCTGCTGAACCCAATCAGCCGCTCAAGGGTGGTACCGGCACGCCCAACTCGAACCACTCTTACTCTGCTGCTGCCCCTGCGGCGTACAATGACGGCGCGGGAGGGATGAGCTCGCTGGCGTCCGACCGTCAGCTGGTGGCGCATGCCCGCATGATGTCGATCCTGCTCGCAGCTCAAGATCTGCACCGCTCGGCGCGCTCTGCTGCGGCCTCGACCAATGACACTTCACGGGGGTCGAACCGGCCCACATCGCGGCCAGACGCCACGCCGAATGATGCATCACAGATGGTCGAGCGATGGCGGGAATGGCTCGAGGAGCTGAATCGGTGGCGATTGCTCACCTCGCAGCATTCCGATCTGTCGGACAGTTCGCTCGAATCGGTCGACCTCTCGCTTCTCTACCACCTCTCGCGCACGTTTTTGGCATCCCATCCGCTTGATCCCGACGTGGGCATCCTGGACGAGACACAGCACGCGCTCAAGGCCGCCTCCAACTCGAATCCGCCCAACTTTTCGCGGCTCGCTGTCGCCCAGCTGCGCACCATCTCGACCGCAAAGCATTCGGCTCTCTTTGCGCTCAAGCTCGCCACCACCGAGTTTGGCGAAAAGCTGTCGTATCTTCCGCAGTTCTACCACTGGCTGCTGGGCCATGCGGCTGGCCTGCTCCTCATGCTCGTGCAGCGTCGGGAGACTTTTCTCATGGCCAAGGAGGCCGATTCGCTGCTGGAAGTCACCGAAAAGTTTGTCCAGCTCTACGTCTTTCGCATCACCAGCCACTCGTTCCATTCCGCGGTAGGCGACAACGGAGTCGAGCCGAGCTTGCACAGAGGCGGCATCAAGCGATCCGCCTCGGGTGCCGACTTGCGCGGAGACGAGCAGCACGACTCGACTCGACCCCGACTCAACAATACCGGAAACGACGCAGGCTCTGCGCAAGACGGCGCTAGCGATCCGTTGAATTTTCAGTGGCCCTTTATGTCGGGCTTTCCGACCTCCGCTTCCGCTGCTTCGGCTGCGACCGGGTCCATACCCACGGCTTCACCCAACCCCATCCTGCAGCAGCAATTTACCCATGGGAATCCCGCCGAAAAGCACCCGGCACTCGCGAACGCGCAGGCCCTGGCGCGCGCGCTCTACCTCGTCAAGATGCAGGTCCAATCTCTCAGCGTGCGGATCTGATGCGGAGCGAGCAGAGTCCGACGTAGATATCATCAATGAAACAGATCGCGATGGAATAGGGTGATGGCTTGGAAAGAGAGTTTGAGGCACTCGTCCGTACTGAAGTTCGGAAGAATCGGAGCGACATGACCTGCCCTGATGCCGTCCCAGGAAACGAGGCGGCCATCCTCCAGCGTGAATGGTGGAGGTGGGGGAGCCGCGCCATGGCGCCGAGCGTGAGACAACTGCAGCTACGCACAACTTCAGGTAAACGGGCGCTGCGTGAACGGCGGTCGCGCAATTGCCGTCATCAAGCTTGAGCTCGTTCTTGTCGCCTGCTACTTAGACCGTCCTGCTGGGCTCGGCCCGGCCGACGGTACAGTACTGAGGTTGGCATCCTCGAGCTGCAAGGCGGCATTGTTGTCGTCGTTGTTGTCCAGCTCATACTCGTTGTCAACGTCGGCCAGCTTGCCGCCGAGGTTGCTCTTGCCAGTCAAGGAGCGCCACAGACACAGACACACACAGAGAGAGAGAGAGAGAGAGGGAGAGAGAGAGAGAGAGAGAGAGAGAGAGAGAGAGAGAGAGAGAGGGGGGGGGAGGGAGAGAGGGAGGGAGCGAGAGGAGCGGCACGGCGGTCCGTCTGCTCGGCGTCGTCGAGGCTGCCACGCTGCCTTGAACCTCTGCCAGTCTGGCCTCCCAGCCCCGCGCACACCACACCCAAGAAGCGCTCCAAGCACCACCTTCTCAAGACTTCGACCAAGAAGGGGGAGGTCGTATCCAGCTCCAATGCTCAACGTTTGCCTAGGGAGCAGGCGCCGCTGGCTAGCTTAAGTACCATCCTGCCTGGTTGAAGTCACGGTTGCAATGCTGCCTGTGCGCTTGACGGGGTCGAGAAGCCACGTGATAGTCTTCTTGAGCTGCGCCTGCCAGCTGTTGGGCTGGGGCTTTGTCCTGGGGGCCAACGCTGTGCCAATGCGGAGCCGTGATTGAGCCATCCGAGCTCTTGATGCCAACATCCATCAATGTGGGAGGCTGGCGTTGACAAGATCGATCCCCTTTCCCCACTTCAACTTGGAGCCTAGTTGAGCATCGGGTCCAAGGCAAGTTTGTTGTCGCTCCGTTCAGACGCTTTCAAGCGCCGGTCGTCCTGGTTCTTGTTGCGGTCCTCATTGTCGTCTCTGTTGCTACCATCATCAGAACTTGTGAAGTTGGATCCGTTGGCGCGGTGAAGCTGGACCCGTCGGCGCTGGTGAAGCGGCCAATGGAACGCAGAGTTAGACGTCTGCAAGTGCGCACAGCTTCCGGAGCCCTGACCAGGCTGGCAAGAGCTGCGAAGCGGTTCCATCCAAGCACCTCCTTTGGATGATCGAAGCAATCCGTCAGGTTGGCGATAAAGAGCTTGAACACCCTCAGGAGGTGCTTCTCCACCTTTGGAAGGTTTGCAACAATGCAGTACTGCTTGTACTGTTTAAGCAAGCATGTCAGTCTTTCATCGGCCCAAGTGAGTTGAGCGATGGGGAACTTACCATAGAAACCAACTTCTCAGCAGTCCTGCGCAAGAAGAGCTTGCTGGTGTTCTTGGGCACATCACTTGTCTTGCGGAACTTGGGTTCGACAAAGTCTGAGAACTGCCTGTCTCGGACCTGGAGGCGCTTGACCAGTTTGCAAAGCCATGATATTGTCTTCTTGAGCTCGGCGTTGCAGCTGCCGTGCTCCTCGTCCTTGACGCGGGCGGTGAGCTCCCTAAGTCCACATCCTTGATGCAAGCAGTGAGCTCTCCTTGTCCACGTCCTCAACGCGGGCGGTGAGCTCTCTTCGTCCACGTCCTCGACGCGGGCGGTAAGCTCCATGCCAGTTGCCATCGCCAATGGATGTGGACGAAGAGAGCTCGGATGGCTTGATCATCAAGATCAAGTACAAGCTCAGCCTGTTCGTGCGTCGAGGAGAGCAACAGCAGCAACAGTCTATTTGACGAAGCTGTTGGCAAAAACGCCAAGGATATTGCACATGGCTGGGCCAATTGCGCGGATAATGTCGATCTTTTTGATGGTCAGCAGGACTTTGCGGGCAACAATGAGGGACTGTACGCCTGCTGGCATGGGGAAGAGGAGGAGGAGGATCCGGCATCGTCGTGGACGGACAGGCGGTCGCCGCAGATGACGAGGACGAGCTTGGATCCGACTAGGCGCACACATCCTCGGCGGCGAGCAGGACGTCGCCTCTCGTTTGATCATGCTGCTGTGGACCGAGGCTTTGTTAGAGGGTGGAATGATCGTCTCTCCCCTCTTCGACTCGGCCCTGCTCAGCGGTTCATCTGGCTCCGCACGTCCATGCTGGCAAGTACTCAATAACCCGGGCCGGTTGCGGTCGGCGTTCATGCTACGCTGCCGTATCTGACAGCTGGCTTCGCTCCAGTGGCGTAGACTCTTGTTTCTTGGTTCAATCCATCGAAATTGCAGCGCTCACACCAGACATCGACCTTCGATTCCAGCAGCACGACCAAGTTCACAGACAGGGCGCCTGCTGGAAGGTGCCGAGGTGATACAATTGCGCCGGGAGGACCGGTCTCAAACTCCTCGTCGAACCTGACATCCTTGCCGCGCAGCTGTGGCACTCGCGCGGCCTCGATGTGTGGCCGATGTTGCAAGGAACTCGGCTCATGAAGATCCAAGAGCTGTCGATTTGCGCGAGGTCTGAACATGTCAGTTTGCTTGATCTTACAAATTAGACTCGAGCGCCACGTGACTGAAGGTGGCCCAGTCCGGAAGAAAAGGTGTGGGCGGCAAGAGGGCGAGTTCCGGGATTCCACATTTTGCTCGCCCAAGCCTTGTGCAAGTGCTCTCACTTTGATATCCACACCATCTCGACAACCTCCCAGCGTCGTAAAGAGACTGCCACAATGATCGCACGACTACCGACCACAGTGATGGCGTCCGTGAGGGCATCCAGCTCGAGGACCTTCGCCACAACAGCAGCCGTGGCAGCACCAGTCAAGTCGATTCCCAAGCCAAAAGGTAAGCTTGCATCGTCGTCTCTGAACGTGGTCCGTTGCAGCTTGCTAACCGGGCCCACGCCTAATTGACATGTGCAGGCGACATTGCAAATGCGGAAAAGTTCTTGACGGCGATCTCGCGCACTCGTCGGGACTTGGCGGCGAACTCGTCGCTGACGGGAGCGATCGGCGACAAGTGGTCCAACATCTTCACTGTGCGCACGACCGAGCTCAAGGAGGCCGGCGTCACCACCAAGGACAGGAAGTTCTTCCTTTGGGCACGCGAGAAGTTCCGCCAGGGCGCTGATCCAGCTCTCTTCATCACCGACGCCAAGCCAAAGAAGAAGGTCCGAGGGTACGTACACGCTCTCTTTGCCGATCCAGCTTCCATGCACACACTTGCTGATTCGATTGCTTGTCTTCCCGCTCATTCTACGATGCTGCTCTGATTGATTTCAGATGGGGCCCAAGAGTGCAGACGGCTGAGCGCATCCGCGTGCGCGGCGTCAGGAGGCCCGGCGAGAAGTAGAAATGTCCACCTGCATCTTTCCTTGTACCATATCTCAGCAATTACGACCTTCAAATCATTGGGACGAAAGGAGGGCATGGGTGGCATAGTGCAGTGAAGCTTCCGAAAATGCTGGGTCTATCGGCTCTGTTGCTGTTGGAGGAGCTGGCGTTTGCGGGCGGTCTTGACGAGTTCGGAGCGGCGGTCTAGGACAGCGAGCAGCGAGTTCTGAAGCAGCGTATAGATACCGGACGAGAGCCAGTAGACGACCAGCACACCGGGAGCCTGACAGGCGATGGGGATGAAAGCGATAGCCAGCACACGCAGAGCATTTGTGATGATGCGCACTCTTCGTGGCTCCTCCTCCTCTTGCTTTGCTGGCTGGGATTGGGATCCAGGGGCCAGCAGCTTTTCGGCGGTTTTCGTAGCCGCGTCTGCATCGCTGCCGGAGGTGGCCGCACGGATCTTGGCGATGGTGCGTCTACTCCAGCTGTTGAGCTCTGTGTTGGCGAGGGTGAGCATGCCAAACGACACGGGACCGAGCATGGTGGCGTCCTTGTCGGCGAGCGTGGGTCCGCCCATGGTGCCCTTGAGCTTTGCGATGGCCGCCTCGTCGAAGCCGCGGTCGGCGAGGATGGCGGTGCTGGCCTTGAACTGCGCGGCGAGCTCGGGCGAGGGCGACCACCACGGCAGCACCTCGGATGCGAAGGGTGTGGATGGATCCAGCGCCGACTGACGCAGGAGCGCCGTCATGAGCAGGAAGACGGGGATACTGACGGTAGCCGGGCCGATGAACGCCGGAAGCGGAGAGGCATTGTGCTTGCGAAGCAGCTTGGCGAGTTCCGCTTTAAGCTCCTTTTGGGCTTCGACGTTGAACTGCTCGTACGACATGCCTGCTCTGCGGCAGCGTGCGCGAACGACTAGTGGGATGCGCTCCTTCATGATCTCCCACTCTGGCAGCACCTTTTCGGTGAGCTTGCGTGTCTTGCTCCTCTGCCACAAAGTGACGGGCAGAGTGACCGCGGTTCGAACCGCGAATGCGAGGACAAAGATCGAGAGGGCGTGGGCATGTGGCCCAGAGAGGTGTAGCGTATCGGCAAGATTGTGAATGGTGGGCACCCATGGTTGGAGGAACTCGAAGCCGCCCTGAATGGCGTTGGGGTCAGCTGCAGATTCTGCGGCGGTGGCGCCTGCGGGTACTTCGGCTGCTGGCGATGCTGCTGATGGTGGAGCTGCTTGAGATGTGGAAGGCAGTGAGGACGGAGCGTTTGCGCGGCGTGTGGGTGTTGAAGCGAAGCCACGAGTACGGTGTGATAGGAGGCTATGGGTGACAGCACCGCGAGGTAGTGCGGAACTGGTGCACGGCAGACCTGCTGCTCTTGTGCGCACGCCGGCCGCGACCACGCGGAAGACGCTTGTAGAAGCCATGTCCAAGTCGATATGGGAGTGAGGTTCTTCTTTCCGGGCGTCAGAGCCTAGCTCAGCGGAGTAAGAATCAGCGAATAGGGAAAGCTGAGGTCGAGTGATGGCGGCCTGAGGAAGAGCATAGAGCGGTCGAGCCCGCCAGTCGGACAGATTTGTCAAGCTTCACACCGCTGCTTCCCGGCTTCCAACACTCCACTTTTCTTCCACCCGAGGGAGGGGCTATCGGCGATTCTAATCCCCGATCAATGATAGCCTCCACGCGACTCAAAAAAAAATCCGGAGCATTTTACGCGACGTCCGGCGCGTTGGGTGGGGAAGCGAGCGTGGAGGTGTTGGTTTTGCATTGAATGCACCTCCGCCACGCTGAGCCAAGAAGCAGGACCGAAGAAAGCAGCTGAGTTGGATTGGAAGCGGCGGTGGCGAGTTCATGTTGCTGATGGAGAGCGGGTCGGTAGCTTTCCGACTGTGATCGTCTGCAGCCCTGACCGGCTGTTCCGCACCATCCATCATCGGAACAGGCGCTCCAAAGCTCACAAACACAGACGGAACAGGACGAGGGCGAGCGCAAACTGCGGATGCGGAGGTGCGGCTGCGACGGCGTTCCCGCACAGCTGTTCCACTCTCGCCGGGCTCGAGCGGCACCTTCTGCGTTTGCTCACGACTGAACTCAGCCCCACCCTCCTTCCAGCTCTCATCCGCACTCAACTTCCGCACTCACACCCGCACTCGACTTTCCGCACTCGACTTCCGCACCAACCTTATCTCGCTGCACGCTCAACGGACATGCCCCCGCCCCGCTTCTTCCATCGCTACCACCTTCTCAGCCATATCCGGCACTTAGCTCATCTACCAACATCCTTGCTTGCCTTCCACACTTAATCACCAGTCACCGACGCCTCGCAGCATCCCAAGCATCTCCGAGGCGTCATCATGGCGAAGCCCGCGGACGACGTCGATGACATCGACGAGTTCGACGACTTTGGTATGGACGACTTTGATGACTCTGCACTTCAGCAGCTCGACCAAATCGAAAACAAGCTCATCAATCAGGTCGGCAACCCTTCGTTCACAACTACTTCTGCGTCCGACGCAAACCGGCCGATTGCGCAAGGAAAGGCTACCGCTCGCTTCCAGACATCGTCGTCCTACGTCGGCGCATCGAATGCAACTGCGTCAACGTCCGCAAAACCGTTGCAGCGCGTGGCGTCCGCAAGCTCAACGGGCCTCTCCCAGTCCGCCTCGTCTGGAGCTCATCGTCAGATGACCTTATTTGGCAAGCCCGCCGCACCCACGCAACCACGCGCTGCCAAGGTCGTCTCGTCCAGCCCAGGCCACATCACGCTGTCCTCTCAGTCTGCAACGCAGGCCAATGTCGACGGAGCCCGCTTTGGCACCCTCGAGGCAAAGGACACTTCCTCGTCCGCTCGTCCGCCTTGGCAACAAAAGATAGGCACAAAGACGTGGGACAGAGAGGCCTACCTGCATCGTGAAAATGCAAGGAATCGCGACAACGCTGCCATCGATCTTGACGCATCCGACGAAGACGACTCCCCGTCCGGCAAGGGCAAGCAGAAGCGCAACTGGGATGTGCACAGCAAGTACGAAAACGTCCTCCCGCCACCTCCACCACCGCGCCACGTCGCGCCACCACAACCCCAAAAATGCAAGATCGATCTCGAGGCTGCAAAGACCTGGATCTATCCAACCAACATGGAGAGGCGCGACTACCAGTACAACATCGTGCAAAAGGCGCTCTTCAACAACGTCCTCGTCGCTCTCCCTACCGGTCTCGGCAAGACCTTCATCGCCGCCGTCGTCATCCTCAACTTCTTTCGCTGGTTCCCCGATGGCAAGATCGTCTTCCTCGCTCCAACAAAGCCGCTCGTGGACCAGCAAAAGACCGCTTGCCATCGCATCTGTGGCTTGCCGTGGGACTGCGCCATCGACCTCACCGGCAACACCAACTCCGAGCGCCGCGCTGACTACTGGCGCACAAAGCGCATCTTCTACATGACGCCTCAGACCATCGAAAACGACATCCTTCACAATCGTTTCGATCGGCGCGACATTGTATGCGTCGTCGTAGACGAGGCCCACCGCGCACGCGGTCGCTACGCCTACGGAAACGTCATCGGTCAGATCATGGAGGTCAACCCGCACTTTCGCGTGCTCGCCCTCTCGGCTACCCCGGGCAAAGACTCGGACAGCGTCCAGGAGGTCGTCGATCAGCTCCACATCAACCAGATCGAAATCCGCACCGAAGAGGCCATCGACGTACAGCGCTACATGTTCCGCAAGCGCGAAGAGATCGTCAATGTGCCGCTCGGAAAGGATCTCAACCAGGTCAAGGACAGCTGGGCCAAGCTCATGCAGACCCAGATGGACCCTTTGCTCAAGGCAGGCCTCTTGCACAACCAGGACCCCGTCTTCCTTCATCCCTTCGCAGTCAATAAGATCAATGGGGATCAGAGCCGCGCTGCCATCCTGAAAAGCAAGCCCTTCCTCCGCGCCAACATCTCCGAGCTGGCACATATGGCGCTCTCGATGCAGTACCTCATGGAACAGTCGCCCACCATGTTCTACAATCGCCTCAAGGAACGCTCGCTCGGCTACAATGCCAAGGGCAAGAAGACGTCCACCTCCAAGCAGCAGACCTACGCCAATACCAACAGCACCTTCAACGAGATCATGCGCGAGCTCGAGATCATGCAGGACACCAAAGGCCGCATCCTGCACCCCAAGATGCTCAAGCTCGTCGAGGTGCTAGGCGAGCACTTTAAGCGGTGCCAGGAAGAGCGCATGCACAACGCAGAGGCGTACACCGAGAGCGGCCACAATGTGTATGGATGCACGCCCAAGTCTTCCGACCTGTCGCAGCTCAACAACTTGTCCCAGGCCGATACACGCGTCATGGTCTTTTGCTCCTACCGCGAGTGCTGCGATGAGATCGTCAGCTTCCTGAACGATTCCGGATTCAAGGCCACCGAATTTGTCGGCCAGAGCAAGGCCAAGAACGGCAAGAAGGGGATGTCGCAGAAGGATCAAGAGCGCGTCATCAACGATTTCAAAGCGGGCAAGTACAACGTGCTCGTCGCCACCTCGATTGGCGAGGAGGGACTCGACATCGGCTCGGTCGACCTCACGGCGTGCTACGAGGCCGTCAAAGACTCGATCCGCATGCTCCAGCGTATCGGCCGAACCGGACGCAAGCGCGAGGGCAAGATCGTCGTGCTCGTCTCGGAAGGCCGCGAGCAGCACAACTGGCAGCACTCCAAGGAAAACTACAAGTTGGTGCAGAATCAGGTCGACTCGCGTCTCTATGTCGAGCTGTTTGACGACGTCGATCGCATGGTGCCCGACCACATCGCGCCGCGCCCCATCCTCAAAGAGGTGGAGCAGCCCGAGTTCGATCCCTCGATGGTGTCGTCCGGCGTCAAGGCGAATGCCAAACCTGCGCGCGCCAAAAAGGAGCCCAAGCCCAAAAAGGATCCGAAGCGCAACATGCCCGAGGGCGGCGACCTGATCGCTGGATTCCGCAAGGCCTCGACGCTCGCCAAACGCAAGCAACGCAGCAGCGACATTGACGAGTCAGGTCGCAGCGACGCCGATGACCCGCCCATCAACGAGACGCACAGCCAGAGGATGCTGCGACTGCTCACTATGCCCGATGAGGAGATGGAAGCCGAGTTCGCCAAACGACACGCCTCGCTCGACCTCGACATCCGTCCCGTCAAGGAAAGGCGCCGAGCTGCCATGGCGAAAGCCTTCTCTCCGCTGAGCTCGCCGGAGATGGCGCCGCGCGTGCTCTCGCGCTCGTCGCGGGTGACGTCGAACTCCGAGTCTCGTCCGGACACACCGCCGCTCCCAGACGGGATCGAGACGCCGCCGTTGCCGTCTGCATTGTCGATGTCGTCGTCTTCGCGGCCGCTCGCCGCGGGAAGGAAGCTCGGTGTGGGTCTGCGACGAAGCTCCGGACGCAGCGCCACGAGCACGGGCACGCTTGCGCTTCGCAAGTCCAGCGACGCGCTCGACTTGACTGGCGACGAACCCTCAGCCTCGACCAAGCGCAACGTCATTTCGCCGAGGAGCAGAGGCATCGCTACGACAGTGATCTCGGACGACGACGACGACGAGTTTGGTGGAGGCGACTTGGCCTTGGACATGTCGATGGAAAACGTACTTGCACGTGTTGAGGCCGAGGCGGCTGCGAAAGTGCGAGCCGCCAAGGTGCCGGCCGTACCTAGCCCGGCACCAACGAAGGTGACTCGTCTCAAGACCGACCCGACCATGGTGGCGTTAATGGCCGAAGACGAAGCGCAAGAGCAGATTGAGAGCGCAGACACCGCCAGTGGCTCACGCAAGCGCAAGAAGGCGGACACGGCAAGCAACGGGCAGCCGACGCCGGCCAAGAGGCACGAGTCGCCAGGCAAGAGCTCCATGGGACCTCCCGACTCGGCACCTCGACGCGCCGGCGCAGGCCGGGGCAAGCGAGTGATCCTCGAGTCGCCTGACGGCGAGCAGTCCGGCGTCTCTTCGAAGAAAAGCGAGGAGCGAGAAGCGGAGCCTGACACCACATTGTCTTCGCCCATCAAGGCGCCAGTGCGGCGCGCTGGACGGCTGCAGAAAGCGACGAGCGTGCAGAAAAGCCCAGTAGCGGAAGGAGCGGACACGAGTCCGACGGCGCGCAAGGGCAAGGCACGCTTTGTGCGCGGCATGGTCGACGACGACCAAGGCGGCAGCAAGAACCTTGATGATGCGGCCGGCGATGGGGCTGGGGCGTCGCGAGCCACGGCCCGGGGTCAGAAGCAGGGTGCAGAAGGTAAGAAGGTCAAGGGGGAGAAGCGAAAGAAGCGCAAGATCATGAATTCACCGCGGTCGCGTGCGCTATTCCAGTACGAAGCCGAGCGGTCTACGGACGAGGAGGAGCACGGGGAGCGGGACGAGGATGATTCGGGGCTGGGCACGTCGGACGAGGACGATTCGGACCGGGAGGCGGTGGGAGATTTTGAGCCTACGCAGGCGCCGCGCGGCTACCACCAGCAGAGCGTGTACATGCAGTCGATGCTGTCGCAGCACGCGCCACCCGAGTTTGAGCGTCTACGCCACGGACCGTTCCCTGGGCTCGGAGGCCGATTCGGCGAGCCCGTCACACCCCAACGCGCGAGAAGGCAGCATGCACCGTCGTCGGAGGCAAGACCCATCCACCGCGGACCCATGGATTCATCCGACAGGTACTCGGAGGATTCGTTCGTGGTGAACGACGACGAAGAGATCGTCTACGACTCGGAGTTGTCGGATACGCTGCCGGACAGCAGCCAGTTTGGCCAAGTTTTCTGATCAGCAAAATGGCGCACAGGCAACGATGGGGCGATGAAATGCATGAATGCGCGTATGTTTGCGACGAGGGAGTGCGAGAGGCGAGTACAAATACAGACTTGGATGAGGCAGAGTGGCGAGCGGCGAAGGGCGATGAGGACGCTAGGAGTCGTCCATCATGATCTGGATGAATTCGTTCTGGCTGATCTCGCCGTCCTGGTCGAGGTCGAATTCGTCGATCATGGCCTGGAGTTCGTCGTCGTCGAGCGATTCGCCGAGTTCCTTTGCGACGCGTTTGAGGTTGCGCAGCGAGATCTTGCCGGTGCCGTCGTCGTCAAAGAGCGCAAAGGCCTTGCGGATCTCGTCCATGGGATCGCGTGCTGCGATCTTGTCGCTCACTGTGAAAGAAGAGGGTCAGTCGTGTCGTTACGAGGAGAGATGGCGGATGAGGATTGGGGGCAACGCACTGATCTTATTAAAGTCGTCCCATTCGAGCAGGCCGGAATTGGTCTTGTCGTGGTCGCGGAGGAGCTTGAGCACCTCTGCCTTCTTGAGGTCGAATCCGAGCGCGCGCATGGCGACCTTGAGTTCATGGTAGTCGATGGCGCCGTCCTTGTCGGTGTCGAAGAGTTCGAAGGCCTCCTTGATCTCCTGTCGCTGCTCGTCGGTGAGCGCGGCGTCAAAGTGGTGGTGCTGCGCATTGCGAGAAGAGGAGGTGGGAGTGGCGAGGTGGTTGTTAGCCGAGGTGGATGCGCCCAGGTTGGCCGCCCTGCGTTTGGCAGCCTTGGAGGAGGGGGTGTAGAGCGACATGGTTGTTGCGTGCGAGGGTGCACTGGGCGTGGTGGTGGAGGCAGGAAGACAAAAAGGTTGATGAGGGTACAGATGCAGATGAGGCGAAGTGTGACAGGCGCACAGACGGGGCAGCCCCACCAACACCTCTTCAGTCAGAGAGCACCAAAGCCAGCCTCGAACTGTCACAGACCAACACTTTTTGCTAAGCGCTGAGCGTCCGACGCGTGAAGAAGAGCTGCTGAGTCCAGTGGCAGGCCGGCAGCTCGACCCTTTACGCGCTCAACGGAGGGACGCGTCAACTGGGAATGTCGAGTCGCAGCATTCGACATTTGGTCATTTTTCTTCGAAAGGATCGGCGACTTTCTTGGCTGCTCAGCTGCTCAGCTGCTGCTGCGTGCTGACTTGACTCGAGCTTCGGCTGCTGAACTCCACTTTTTCCAGCAGTCCAAATCAGCCGGGTGAGAGCGCGGCGGATGCAACTCTTCGGTGGCGTTGGCTCTTCGGCTGCACGTTGCGCTGACAGGGACGCATGCGCACCAGCCCGTCCATGTCCCCTGGACAGCTTCGCAGGTCTTCATCTCCCACCATTCATCCCACTAGGCTTGAGTTATTGCCTGATACACCTATCTCAACAGTCCCTACATTCGGCGCCTGGTGCTCGGTCCTCAAGCACACCCTCACTCCGAGTCGGCACACTTCCAACGTTTCGATACCACCCGCTGATCATTAGCTCGACGCACCCGGACCCATGGGCAAGAGAGGACACGGCGGTGGCGGCGGCGGCGGTGGCCGAGGCGGCTTCAATCGCGGTCGAGGTGGCACACGCGGGCGTGGCGGTGGTGGCCGAGGCGGAGGCTTCCAGGCGTTTGAGGGTCGCGGCAACGTCCTCGGTGGTGCGCCCGGGACCAGCTCTTCTTCCGGCTACAACTCGCCCCGCGGCGGCTCGGCCAACGCAAGAGGCTTCCGCGGACGAGGTCGAGGCGGCAATCTTGCAGCTACCGGCCAAAATCGCGTCGGCTTCGACTACTCCGCTCTGACACGGGGCCGCCGCGCGGGAGACGACGACGATGATGACGACGACGACGACAGCGATGAAGATGACTTCGCTATCGAGCCTCCCGCAGGCTATCGCCACAAGATCAAGCCTCACCTCGAGTCGGACGCCCTCTCCGATCAGGAAAAGCCTCCAGCGAAGAACAGTATGCCCTCCGGCTCTTCCACGCCCCTACGCCCCCACGACAACTTTGCCAGCCCTGCTCCCAAGCCACGATTCACGCCACGCTCCAGCGCGCCCACCAACTTCCCCGAGTTTTACACCAGCCGCGGCGCTCACGGTGGCGCCAAGTTCCGTCCACCAGAAGAGACAGAAGACGCAAGGTATCTCGCAGGCATTCCCGGTCTACGCAGACCCGACCGCAAGCAGCGCAATGGCCCACGCTTCGGCGACCCCGCCGACCAGGCACAGAGCAACTTCCGCGTACCCGTCGCCTTCGTCAAGGCCACAGGCGAGTTTGGCGATCCGCTCAAAGGCAACCTACCACCCCGCGATCCAAACGAAGCACTTCTAGACCCCAACAGCATGCAGCAACAGCAGCCCGCAACAAATCCAGGCGAGCGTCACGCCGGCCTCGGATTCTCCAATCGCTCCCAGAAACCTCCCGGCGCCGAGGCTCCCAAGGCGCCTGCGCCTGCGCCTGCATCGACGTCACAACCACCTGCAGCTCCATACGCTCCCGCGCGTGCAGCTGTCCCCGCCTTTCCACCGACGACATTCGATGCGTTTGACTTTGACTCTTTCGCTGCCAACAACGTCGGAGATCACGACGAGGTCGATGCGCTGCTTGCCGCATTCCCGGGATCCAAAGAGCTCGCGCCAGGCGAATCAATGCTCGAGGATGAACCAGCTGCATCCTGGACGCTCCCCGCCTTTCAGCCTCACGATGCATCCGCACAGAGGCCATCGTCATCGGCAGCGCAACCGCCGTCGCGCACCGCCATCTCCTCTTCCTCCTCCGATGACGAAGAGATCATCCTGGTGCCTAACAGCGCTCAACCGTCAGTCGACGCCGCTCCTACCCTCGACGTGATTGTCGAAGCAAAGGCGGTTGAGGCGGTCGAGTCCATCGTCCCAGTTGAGGCCGTCGAGCAGGTCGCCATGCAAGAAGACCTGGGCTTTGTGATTGATCTCGACGGCGAGGATCCCGCCTCGCTCTCTTCCAACAACGAGCACATCAGTCCCACATCCTCTTCCTCCTTCCGAGTCGCTCTTGGCGACCAAGCCGCAGCTGATGGCGCCAAGACCAGCCGTTCGCGCAAGAAGGCGGTCAACAGGCGCGGCAAGCCACATCGCGTCCCACGCGAGGGCGATTCGGACCTCGACTGGGGCAGCGACGGCCCGCCCGGCGCGTCTGAAAACGATACCGCCGACGAAGAAGGCCTTGCCGCCGCTGCAGCTGGCATCTCGATCACGCGCACCGACGACACCAACGGCATCACCGACCCCATTCTCGTCAAAGCCATCCGAGCAGACCGCCACGAGTGGGAGTCGGATGACGACGACGCGCAGTTTGGCAAGCAGTCCAAGCGTCGTGGTGGACAGCGTGCCAAGCGTTCGCTCGCCGGCCGCGCCACCGCGTCTCGCAGCGCTGCCCGCAGTCGCAAAGCCGACCAGGACGCCATCGTCGCCGACTACATGCAGAACCTGCTCGACCAGGCTCAAGACGCTTCCGACTCGGAACAGGACGTCTTCGCAACCGACGACATGGTGGTCGAGACCGTCGACGGCGAGCTCCCAGACGGAGCTGCCGGCAAGGGCAAGGGCAAGGCCAAAGCACGCCGTCTGTCGAACAAGCTCGATGAGAAGACCGATCTGGACGCCATGATCCGCTTTATGAACGGCATGGACCCGCAGAAGGGCGGACGCCAGCTTTGCTTTGGCGATATCCAAGACGAGATCCACATGGACGAGGTCAAGGAGTGGCTCACCGAGAGCGAAGACGATAGCGATGGCGACCACGATCAGCAGGTCCAAGACACCGAGTCTGCCGCCGCTGTCGAGGCCGAGTCAAAGCAGGACCGTACCACGGCCTCTGACAACGATGATGAGGATGAAGACTTGGCAGAGCAGCTCCGCCAGATCCTAGAAGACGACAACGATGACGAAAGCAGCGAGATCTTCTCCGAGTCATCGTCAGAAAGCAGCGACGATGACGATGATGATGACGGCGACTCCGACGACGACGATGATGACGATGAAGGCATGTTCCGCGGCAAGCAGTCGTGGGCGGATGAGGACGAAGATTTTATCCGTGCCCTCTCGTCGCAAGTCGGTGGCGCCGGCATCGGCAGCCATGGCGGAGCGGCTCCCTCGTCGAAGCGAGCCCAGAAGAAGCTCTTCCACGCCATCTCCAACGGCGACTTTTCCGACCTTGCGGATCTCGCGGCCGCCGAGAACGAGATTGACTCGGACGACCCCGCGTACGGCCTGGGCTCGATCCCGACCGCTCGCAACGGCAAGCGCAAGGGGCGCAAGTTCACCGACGACGACCTGTGGGCGGAGCAGCTGCAGCAGCAGTGGGACAAGGACCGCGCGAGCAAGGCGAGCAAGAAGCAGCAGCGTCTTACGGAGCGGCAGGCGGCGGCGCTCAACCCGTTCCCCAACACGCACGGCAAGGCGGGGAGCGGCAAGACCAAGTCGACCAAGAAGATGGCCAAGCTGGCGCGCAAGGCCGAGAAGCGCGAGATGCGAGCGAGCCTCAAGGCGCACTCGAACAATGTGGTGGCGGCGATCCAGGCGGCGGGGTCCGTGGATGCGGTGGATGCTTCGCTGTTCACGTTCGGCGGCAAGTCCTCCGAGGTGTCGTCGCTGGGGCTCGAGGAGCGATTTGCATTCAACATGGACGAGCTCAACCAGCAGATCCAGCTGTTCCTCCAACAAAGAGGCCGCAACACGATGCGATGTCAGCCGATGGACAAGTTCGCACGTGCCGAGGTGCACGCGCTGGCGAATGCGTACAATCTGCAGTCCAAGAGCAAGGGCAAGGGTCGCGACCGATTCCCCACGCTCATCAAGACGAGTCGATCGGGACTCAACGTGGACTGGAAGAAGGTGAAGCGCATCGTGTGGTCGAATGCCGGCGCGACGTTTGGCAACGATGCCGGCAAGAGCGACTTTCGGGACAAGAACAAGCGCAAGGGCAAGGGCGCCGGCGGTGGTGGCGCAGGCATGTACGGCGTTGGCGGAGGCACCGTGCCCAAGAACAGGGAGGGCGAAGAGGTCGGATTCGGAGCCGACAAGATCGGCGCCGATAATATTGGGCACAAGCTGCTCGCCGCCATGGGCTGGACCGAGGGCATGGGCATCGGCAGCTCGCAGGGCATGGCCAACCCGGTGTCGGCTACCGTCAAGACCTCGCGCGGCGGTCTGGGATTCTGAGTGTGACTCGGCCCAGCTATACACACCCATCGTTCTGTCTCGACGCAATTCCAGCATACACGCAACTTCCGCAGAAACCGAGCTTGAGTTCGCTGTGCACACGTGGGGGTCAGGAAAGAGAGAGCAGGTGGATGCGCATCTAGGTGCTAGAATACAGGGTGTTGCGAGTGGGTGCGCGCGAGAGAGAGAGAGAGAGATCAAAGATCGGGCTTGTTGGCGATGGCGTGTTTGAGTTTGTTGAGGTTGGCGATGAGCGAGTCTACGAGCTCCGGGTTGGATTCGAGCGAGGCGTCTTTGGGGTCGAGGTTTGCCCAGAGCTGGTTTGTGCTCGCGACGAGTTTCTCGAGCACGCCCTGCTGTGCTGCTGCTGCTGCGTTGGCGGTGTTGGCAGCCGCCTCGGTGGCATTGGCCGTGACGGCGGCAGCGAGCTGAGGCGGCGGCGAGTTGCCGTAGACGTAGTAGAGTGCGCGCGTTGCGACCTGCTGAGCGTGGCGCGGGAAGTAGTGGATGAGCGAATACCACAGCAGCGCCGTGAGGGTAAACACGACCACAATCACCAGGAACACCTCCCAGGCCTCGAGCATCGACAGCACAAACGTCGCCTCGATGTTCCAGTAGGTGCGGAAGAGTGCGCGCTCGATGAGCTTGATCGGGTTCCATGTGCGGCCGCTGTTGGCATAGGGGTCTGGACGCGCAGCACGAGCGGGCTTGCCAGTGCCAGCATAGCTGCTGCTGCTGCCGCCGCCGTTGACTGTGGAGACACTTGAAGACGATGACGAGCCCGAGGTGGGCTTGGACTTGGAAGTGGTCGACGCTGCTGCCGCCGAGGCCGGGTGCAGATGGTCGGCGGAGGCCGCAGCCTTGGTAGACTTGCGCTTGGCGGGCATTGCGACTAGGGCAGAGCGGTGGGGGATCGCGGTAACGGTAGGGAAGGAACGTGTCGGCGAGGCCGGATGTGAGCGTTGAGTTTGTCAAACGGCGTTTCCGAACACGCCAAGCCGGAGTTCGAGCGGCAGCATCACGGCACTGCATTCAGCAGATGCGTTCAGGCTCTCCAAAATTTCCCAATCCAACACGCACTTCACATGGCTGCTTTGATGGCACATGTCAGCATGGCCGCATTCCCGGCTCGCGTTTCCCGCTTACTCGCGCCGCGGCAAAAAAGAAATACTACTGTTACGCCGCCACTGTCACTGAATTGCGACCGCGCCAAAATGTCGTCTGGCAGATGTGGAGTAAAAGCTGAGCTTTGGCACGCGCTCAGGTCAAGTCGCAAAGCAGAGCAGAGAGAGCAACACCTGAAATGCTGCTCCGCGCTGATGCTTCCATCCCACTTGCCATCGTCGATCCCAATCTCCTGCAACATGGCGATCACCATCCTCACTGGCATTGAGGACACGCTCGCCCTCATCCTCGAGTGCGGCAATGACATCGCGCGCATCGAGGCAAAGCTGCTTCCGGCACTCCGAAAGCTTTGCTCCAGCACATCCACCGACGCCGAGACGTCACGCAATGCGCCCAGCAGTAGCCGCAATCAGCAGGCCGCAGCCTCGGAGCATGTTCTGTGCGCACCGATCCAGGGCGATGTAGACCCACTCTCGGCGCTCGACCCGGCCGTTCACTCGCTCGGCATGCTCTACATCCTCGCCGCCCGCGCCACACACGACTCGGCTTCGCCAGAAAGAGCGACCATCCTGCTGCCGCACATCTCTGCCTTTGTGCAGCGCTTCGATCCGCAACAGGTCCGTCTTGCGGGAGACAGGGTCGTGCAGCTCGTGGAAACTTTCTCAAAGATGGGCGATAGCATCACCAATCCCGAATCAGCGCTCCAGCTGCTGCAGGCCCTTGCGACCAGGTTCTGGACTCGCTCAGAAAGCCTCACGGCATTGCATCCCATCTTGGCATACGTGGGTATCTCCATGGCTACAAGGCCCATTCGCGCGAAGTTTACTGATACAGATCCGTTACATTCCCCTTTGTTACCCTCGCAGCAATATCTCAAGACTTCGCGCTACGCAGAAGCAGCCACCATGCTGTTGGATCTGCCGCTCATCGATGCCGATACCTCCGTCACGCCACTCACCCACTCTGACGTCCTCCAGTACTTCTACTACTCTGCGCTCATCTACATTAAGCTCGAGCGCCTCCTCGACGCCATCGACGCTCTCGAAACCGTAGGTCGCCAATGCCAGAGGCATCTTGCTTTGCTCTCACTGACACCTTGCCCACCCGGCTCACATTTGGTGTGCAGTGCGTATCGAGTCCGGCAGTGGCCGTGAGCGCGATCCACATGGACGCGTACAAGAAGCTCGTTCTCGTGCAGCTCTTGGCGGACGGCAAGACCTCGCCCGTGCCCAAGTACACACCGCAGCCCGTCACACGCACCTACCGTACGCTCGCCCAGCCCTACCTCGCATTCACCGCGGCGTACGAGCGACACGATGCCAAGGCTGCGCTCGACCTTCAGCAGATCGTCGAGGAGAAGAAGGAGGCATTCGATAAGGTAAGTCCACCCGCCTCTCGACGGGCCCTATGCACTCGAAGATTCCGCTGACACCGACGATTGCGGCCTTCGTCATATGTTGCAGGACCGCAACCTTGGATTGGTGAGGCGGTGTCTAGCCTTGCACCGACAGCGCCGCATCCAGCGCCTCGCGGACGTCTATAGCGCGCTATCGCTCGGCGACATCGCCGTCATGCTCGAGCTAGGAGACGCAGATGCGGTGCAGACTGTCCACGCCGATGTGGTCGATATCGTGAGTCCCTTGACCCCCCTTCTCCCCTGCGCCTTGAACTTCGGCTGATGCGCATCGTTGTTGCGGCTCATCGCAGGTGCGTAAGGGATGGGTCCACGCCGACCTTGTCCCACCGTCCAGCGCCGCTTCTGTAGGCAGCCAGGTGGGCGCCGATTGGGTGGTGCGCTTCGACGCTTTTGGCGGCAACGCCTACACGTCGGCTGCATCCATCGCTCTGCTGGAAAGCAAGCTGCAGACGGCCAAGCAGTGGCACGGACTTCTGCAGAAGCGAGACAGACAGCTTGAGAAGAGTCACACCTATCTCACCAGAGTAAGTACGCCGCGCTGACGCCGGGGGGATCTGAATGAGGACCGCTAACTAACATGACCCACACCTCTTTGCACCGCTACGTGACAGGGGCTCCAAATTCGTGAGGCTAGGGCAGCCGGCGGTGACGCCTACTCCGGTGCGGACGAGTTCGATGACACCGACTACTGATACCGCTCGCACGCAACTCGCAATGCCACAGCGTGTTGGCATGAACGTATCTGTGAGCGAGCGAAAGCGGTGTTGAGCAGGTAGCGAGTGGCGGGCTGAGCAGCCAGATATTTTTCGGCCGAAAGGCGCGCGGGTGAAGCTGAGCCCATCAACGCGTTGAATCCCGCTGCCAAGCCTGGCTTTGCGTTTCGCTACCACTCGGCACGGCCACACCATCGCATCGCACCTCGGTATCGCTCGGGCGGTACGACTGATCGCGCGACAAGATGGTCAAGCGATCCGCACAATGCAAGTTCCCCGTGGCGCGCATCAAGAAGATCATGCAGGCCGACGAAGATGTCGGCAAAGTCGCCCAGGCAACCCCGGTGCTCATCTGTAAGTCCCTGCCTGCTTTCATCAATTCATCTTGAGGATACTCGCTGACTTGTGTTGCTTCTGGTATCGAACAGCGAAAGCACTGGAGCTGTTCATGGCGAGCATTGTCGAGGAGACGGTCAAGGAGACGCGCAGCCGCGGCGCCAAGAAGATGACGCCGTACCACGTGAAGCGCACGGTGCACACGAACGAGACGTTCGACTTTCTCAAGGATATCGTGGCCAAGGTGCCTGATCCGGTCGAGACCGATAGCGGCAGCGCAGCAGCCGGCGACAACCGAGGCGGCAAGAGGAGAAAGACGGCCAAGAACGACGACTCGGACTAGCTTGCCAGCATCCAGCTCCTCTTCCACGATCTTGAACCGCGTATGTCTTGCTGTTCTAGCATTCCCTCTGTATCTTTTCTATTCATGATCGCACTGCAATGTACTCTAGCTTCCTGCAAGCTGAAGAAGCGGCGGTATGCAGTGAGTTGAGTTGCCGGACAAAGATTCGGCAATGTGAGGTCTTAAATGCTACCATTGCGGAATTTCGCGCGCCCAACTTGGGCAGTGCTGACCGTGCGGTGCGACGGCTGTGGAGCCGTGTCAAGAGCCCAGGCCAAAGTTCGCGGTCAGCAAGGGGGGGATGGGCTGAGGCGAGTAAGTGTGGGTGTGCCTGGCTGGCTGGGACTGAGCGGTGTGTGTCTCTAATCTCGCACCGCCGTCTGCTGCTGCGCCACTCCACACTGCGACTCTCTCGCGAAATCACACGGCTGCACGCCACACTCCCGCTCGCCCTGACTTTTGGCATTCCCACTTTCAGCGTTCGTCACCCATCTCCATCTCCACCTCGTCCGTACCTCTGCACCTCACCACCAAACCCCTCGCTCACGAACCAACGCTACGAACTGTTGTCTGAGACAACTCCGCTCGCCGACGCCAGGACTGCATCGACCCAACAGCTGCATCTCGTCGACGACTCGAAAACGTGCATCTGCGCAGTGAGCTGCCATCGCCTCATCAGCAACCTCGCTCTCGACCTATACAACCACACAGCCGCAAAGCTTGCATAGCCATGTCTGCTCAGCCTGCCTCTTCGGCCCCCGCGGCCGCTGGCGACGCTGGTGCCGCCGCCGCTGCCGCACCGCAGAAGCCATTCCAGACGAAGCTCGTCCTTCTCGGTACGCATTCCTCTCAGCTCCCAAGCGCCAAAGTGATCCGACCCGAATCGGCCTGCTGAATTATTCCCATCCATTCTGCCAAACACACTGCATGTATGATTCGATCGGCTTGTCCTGCCGATGCTACAGGCGAAGCCGCCGTCGGCAAGTCGTCCGTCGTGCTCCGATTCGTTCAGAATGACTTCCAGGAGAACAAGGAGCCCACCATCGGCGCCGCCTTCCTTACTGTAAGTGTCTTCCTCAACCCTGCCTACCTCTCCTGGCTGCGAAAGCTTGCTGACACTCAAACTGCTTCCATTACCCCGAACCTCGCCCTTCGCAGCAAAAATGCCGTCTCGAGGACCGCCTGATCAAGTTTGAGATCTGGGACACCGCGGGACAGGAGCGCTTCCACTCGCTCGCACCCATGTACTACCGCAACGCACAGGCCAGCGCCGTCATCTACGACGTGACCAAGGCGAGCTCGTTCGAAAAGGCAAAGTCGTGGGTCAAGGAGCTCCAGCGCCAGGCGAATCCCAACATTGTCATCGCGCTCGTCGGCAACAAGATCGACCTGCTCAACGAGTCGTCCAGCAGCGCAAGTGCCAGCGCCGACGACAAAGACGACGACGACGACACCGCCACTGCCACCCCGGATGCTGGCGACTCGCTTCGTGCCGTGCCCAAGGACGAGGCCGAGGCGTATGCCAAGGAGTCCGGCCTGCTCTTCTTCGAGACCTCGGCCAAGACCGGCGAGGGCGTCGTCGAGGTCTTCACCGAGATCGCAAAGAAGATCCCCATCGACCTTCACCTCGCACGCAACGCCGCTGCGGCTGCCGCCGGCGGCAACGGCGCGCGCCAGGCAAGCGGCAACCAGGCCGGCGGCGTTGACCTTCAGAACAACCAGCAGGGCAACCGCAAGGAGGCTTGCAACTGCTAGCGTGGCTGCTCGTCGCGCCGCGTACGTCCAGAACACTCTCTACGTCCTGTCCAGCCCTACAGTTTGTCCCCTCGCCTATTGCAGATCCGTCTCGTCCCGACTCCCCCGCCACCCCTGCTTCCCCCGTTAGGATTCTCTCTGTTACATATACCTCCCCGCGTCGCCTTTGAACGTATACGTCCTTGCTTGCAGCTGCTTGCGCCGCCACTGTCTGTGCTTGGGACGTTCGTTGCGAGCTGAGTGTTCTAAAGCATGTCGGCAGCGCTCCCAAGCGTTCTGGGAGAAGTCGGGACCAAAAGTTGAAAAGTGTTAGAGCCGCGTTCGAACATTCCTGAATTTTTCTCAGCTGCCAAGCTGGAAGGCCGCAGGTTGCACGTCACCCCGACTCTAAATGGACACGTAGCACTCGACGAGTGCCTAAACGGGCGCTGAGCATGTTCCATGCATTTCTTCCAGCGTTGCAGCTGCTGGTCGCGAGAGCAACACCTGGCGCACTGTTCCAGTCCGCACGCTCGACCCCAGCCCATCCTTTCCGGCTACTACTACCACCACCAACCCTCGCCTCACTCCCAACAGGCCGTCACATCGCGTCTCGTCAGAGTTCGGAGCTCTGCAACGCATAGCCGGCAAGATGCGAGTATCGTCGAATCGCGGTCTCTTCCCGCGCGCGCTGAGCATGCTCGGCGTAGTTGCGCTGCTGGCGCTCGCGCTGCTCTCGACCCCTGCACGCGCCATGGGCGTCGTCGCCTTCGACTACGGTACCGAATGGATGAAGGTCTCGCTGGTCAAGCCCGGTCTGCCGTTCGACGTGGTGCTGGACCGCGACTCGAAGCGCAAGATCCAGTCCGCCGTCTCGTTCAAGAAGTGGGGCCTGGAAGAGGAGATCCTCTTCGGCACCAATGCGTACAACCACGCTACGCGAGAACCCAAGCAGTCCTTCTACGGCCTCAAGACCCTCCTCGGCCGCACAACCGCAGACGACGACAAGCCTTACCTCGACCTGTACGCCTCGATCTTTGGCAACGACGTCGTCAGCTCCGACCGCGGAACATGCTCGCTCAAGAGGCCGTTCGAGGCTGATCCCAAGCTCTCGAATCTTCCCGTGCTCTCCGTCGAGGAGCTCGTGGGCATGCAGCTCGAATACGCCAAGAAGCTCGCCGAGGAGACGGCGGGCGAGCGCGTCAACCCATCGCTGCCCGCCGGCTTCAACATCGGCTCGTTTGGCGGTCTGGATGCCGTCGTCACCGTGCCCGCCTTCTTCAACGCACAGGAGCGCCAGGCCATCGTAGATGCTGCCGTGCTCGCTGGCTTCCGCCCGCGTCTCGTCTCGGACGGCGCAGCGGCGGCGGTCAACTATGCACAGACGCGTACCTTTGCGCAGCCCGAGAAGCACCTCTTCTTTGACGTCGGCTCCGGCTCGGTGCGCGCCACCGTGGTCGAGTTCAGCACCAAGCCCGTCGTCATCGACTCCATCCTCTCCGCCGGCAAGAAGGAGGCGACGATCGTCGACGTCAAGGGCGTCGGGTGGGAGCGCAACGTCGGCGGTCTCCAGCTCGACCTCATCCTGCGCGACAAGCTCGTCGCCGACTTTGACGCCAAGCACGCCGCGCAGATCGGCGGCTCGATCAAGACCAACCTGCGCGCCATGGCGCGCCTGCTCAAGGAAGCCAACCGCGTCAAGCACATCCTCAGCGCCAACGACGCCGCCTCCAGCAGCGTCGAGAGCTTGGTCGACGAGATCGACTTCCGCACCATGATCCAGCGCCAGGACTTTGAGGACGCCGTCGCCAAGGCGGGTCTCTTGCCCAAGTTCACCACGCCCATCCAGCAGGCACTTGCGGCCGCGGGCATCAAGCTCGACGAGCTCAACTCGATCGTGCTTGTCGGCGGCAGCACGCGTGTGCCGCTGGTGCAGAACGCCCTGCGCGAGGCAGGCATCCCCGACTCGAAGCTCGCGCAGAACGTCAACGCCGACGAGGCGGCCGTTATGGGCGCCGCCTTCTACGGTGCCAGCTTCAACCCGCAGTTCCGCATGAAGGAGATCCGCGCCTACGACCTCGTGCCGTACGCGGTCAACCTCAAGGACGCCGACGGACACGAGGAGGTCATCTTCCCCGCGGCGTCGTACGAGACCGAGCACGTGGTGCGTCAGTACTCCAACGTCAAGGACGACTTTGTCTTTGAGCTCGAGTACGACGCTTCGGCGCAGAAGGCGCTGGGTGCCGGCACCGACCGCGCCATCTCCATGGTCGAAATCAGCGGCATCGAGGAGAGCCTCAAGGAGCTCAAGGCGAGCGGGCAGCTGGACCAGGTGGACACGCAGCTCAACCTCACCGTCGTCAGCCGTCCGCTGGGCACGTACTCGGTGGAAAACGTCGTGATGGTCGTCAAGCCCAAGGCTGGCGGCATCGCCGGTGCGCTCAAGTCGTTCTTCGGCGTGGCGACGCCCAAGAAGGCGAGCAACGCCACCAGCACCAACTCTACCGCCACCAACGGCACCTCGAGCGACGAGGCCGGTAAGGAAGAGGGTGCAGACGACGACGACGAGACGCTGTCGTCGGTGCCGGCCAAGGACAAGATCGTCAAGCTGACGGCGCGCACAATCCCGCAGAACGATGCGGTGCGCCCCATGTCCGGCGAGGAGATCAAGCGCAGCAAGGACAAGCTGTGGACGATGGGACAGGCCGCGACGCGCAAGGCGCAGCGCGAAGAGGCGCGCAACGCGATCGAGTCGTACCTCTACCGTGTGCGCGATCTGGTCGAGGACTCCACCTTTGCCGCGGTCGCCAAGGATGCCGAGCGCAAGGCGATCGCCTCCAAGACCGACGAGCTGTCTGCATGGCTTTCGGACGCGGGCGAGACGGCGGACACGGCGACGCTCAAGCTCAAGCGCGCCTCGCTCGAGTCGCTCATCAAGCCGCTCGAGACGCGCGTGGAGCAGGGCAAGCTGCGCACTGCGGCGTTTGCTGCGTTTGAGACGTCGCTCTCCGAGGCGCGCGCCTTTGTCGCCGAAGCGCGCGCGAACCTGACTGCGGCACTCGAGAGGAACGAGGCGAGCAAGTACAGCGTCGCGGAGCTCGACACGCTCAGCGCCACGCTCGACAAGGACGCCGAGTGGTTCGCCAAGGGCAAGGCGCTGCAGGACAAGAAGGGCGCCAACGACGACCCGGCGCTGCTGAGCACGGATGTAGATGCAAGGAGGAAAAAGTTCTCGGAGACCATCGCAAAGATCAAGAAGAGGCGCATCGCAAAGACGCGCCCGCAGAAGAAGAAGCCCGCCGCCGCCGCCGAGTCCGACAAGAAGGACGCCAAGGATGCCAAGGACGCCAAATCCGAAGCGGGCGACAAGAAGGACGAGCAGCCTCCGCGACACGAGGAGCTCTGAGCCGCGAGGCATGTCGACGTGTGAGACTGGCTCCGCATCATGCTCGCAAATGAGATCTAGATTTGTTGAACCTCGAGTGTGCCTTGGTGTGCGCAAAGGTGAAGCTACGACTGTGCTTGGTGAGAGTGCGGAAGGTGCTTGGAAATGTCAAGGGTCCGGCTGCGGAAGGGAATTTCCAGCGCTGGGCGTGCACAGGCGTGTACGAGCCAGCCGCACGCGAGAGCGCGGCCCGGCCGCCTATCTGGGAGCTTGGCTGCAAGTGGAGTTGGCGGGCGCGAAGAAGCTGCTCTCCCTCGCACCAGTCCAACACCTGCACGACATCGACCATCCAAACACTGGCACCTTCTGTCCTTAGACTCTGTGATCGCCCATCGCCATTGGACCGCGCCAACATCTGCGCCTGTGACCGACGAGGGCGACCGCCGCATTTTTTCGCCAGCCTTGCGCGAACCCACTCGGCACCGCCTAGAAAGACCGCCCGCAAGCTACGCCGCCATGCCTTCGTCGACCAGCTCGTCGCCGACTAAGCTCGGCGGCGCATGGGGATCGTCCCAGCGCAGCAACGGCGGCTCTGTGTCGCCGACGAAACCGTCGTCGGCTGCGGCGTCGCGAGCAGGCACTCCTTCTTCCTCGCGACCGTCGGCGTCATCCGGCACCGTGCGTCAGGTTCCGCCCGGCTGCTCGCACCTGAGCGCGCTGCTGCAGCTCGCCACTGCGTCCAAGTCAGCAGCTTCGGCGACCAAGATCAAGTCGGAAGACGCGGAGGATGCGCGCACGACGAGCTTCGACACGCTGCCCGCGGCGACGCGGACGTACGTGAAGCGGTACGTTGCCGGGCTGCGGTGGGGCGCGCGCATCCGTGCGGGCAGCGTGCGCATGATGGACGACGAGGAGAAGGAGGCGGAGCAGGCGGCTTGGAACGAGCGCGCGGCGGCGGCGGCCAAGCAGGGCAAACCGATGCGCAAACGCCGCAAGCTCGACTACCCGCAGTGCGGCGGCTGCCACACCGAGGTGCTGCGGCCGTTTATCTGCCTCGAGTGCGCGCACACCGCGTGCTTCTCGCCGCCCATCGACGACGATCCGACGGCCGTGACGCGCACGCTGGCCGACAGCCACATGGTGCAGCATCTGCGCTCGGCCAAGCACACGTTTGCGTTCGACCTGCTGTACGGGCACGTGTACTGCGGTGAGTGCAAGGACTTTGTGCACGATCCGCTGCTCGAGGCCATCCAGCGGCTCGAGACGGCGCGTGTGCAGCCGAACGGAGTGGGGCAGCAGTACGGCCCGCCCAAGAGCACGATCGAGACGCTCTTTGCGCCGAGCGGCGCTGCGGACGCGAGCTCGGCGCTGGCGAGGTTCTACGAGACGGACGCGGCGGGCGTGAGCTGCCGTGTACCGCGCGGGCTGCGCAACATGGGCGCCACGTGCTACATGAACGTCATCATCCAGGCATTCCTGCACAATCCGCTGCTGCGCAACTTCTTCCTCGCGGACCGCCACAACACGGCGCTGTGCACGGCGGCCAAGACGTGCCTCGCATGCGAGATGGACAAGATCTTCGCCGAGTTTTACTCGTCCGACCCGGGCGCGCTCGCCGCTGCCACCGCCCCGGGACCGGCAGCGGCGGGTGGTGGCGGTGGCGAGAACGGTGCCAACGGCGTGTTGGCCAAGGGCCCGCATGGGCCGACGTCGTTCCTGTACTGCGTGTGGGTGGACCAGGCGAGCAGCGAGCTAGGGCAGGCGGGGCAGCACGATGCGCACGAGCTCTTCATCTCTGCGCTCAACTCGATCCACACGGCGCTGACCAGCCGTGCGCTGGAGCGCTCGTCGCTGCCGACGTTTGCGTACGAGCACGCGGATGCGCTCAATCTGCTGTTTGACCACTACGACGGCAACGGCGGCTCGGGCCACCAGTCGGAGGACGAGGCGGGCTACGGCGGCACACCGGCGCTGCTGGGTGGTGGTGGCGGCGGAGGCGTGGCGGGATGCCCGTGTGTGGTGCATCGCACGTTTGCAGGCCAGCTGCAGTCGGACGTTACGTGCCAGCGCTGCGGCAAGGTCAACACGACGCGCGATCCCATGCTCGACTTAAGTCTGGACGTGCGGCCCGAGTCGATGCGGCGCAAGGACGGCTGGACGGGTGCGGCGGGCGGCGCGAACAAGGCCAAGCTGCTCAACGGCAAGCTGCAGACGACGGGTGCGGCGGGCGGCGAGGCAGACGAGGAACAGCATCTCACCATCTGCCTGCAGCGCTACTGCTCCGAGGAGAAGCTGGGCAACAACGACTACTCGTGCACCTCGTGCGGCGGCAGCGCCTCGGCCACCAAGCAGCTCAGCCTCTACCGCCTGCCGCCCGTACTCTGCATCCAGCTCAAGGTAAGTGCTCGTTCCCAACCCCAACCATTGGCACAAGTCGGGATATCTGCTGACTTGTTGTGTTTGGATCTGCCGACGTTGATGGGAAAAGCGGTTCGAGCATACATCGGCCGCAGCCAAGATCGATACCAAGGTGCGCTTCCCACCCGTGCTCGACGTGCGTCAGTTCTGCACCGCCGAGATCCGCGCACCGGACGAGAATGCGCCGCCTGCGGCCGTAGATGCGCGTTCGAGCTCCAACAGCGGCCTGACGCCCAACCCGGATCCAGAGTAAGTCCCGTTTTGCCTCCTGTGCCAGTGTTCATATCGTAGGATGGTGGTGCTGACATTGTAATTCCGACGGCAGAGCATATCTGTATGATCTCTTTACCGTCGTCGTGCACGAGGGCTCGATGAACACTGGCCACTACACCAACTTCTCCAAGTGGCGCGGCAGCTGGTTCCGCTTCGACGATGACAAGGTGCATCCCACCACCGAGGCGCACGTACTCCAGGCACGCGCCTACCAGCTGTGCTACAAGAGGAGGCTGCTCAAGAACGTCACCAACTCGCGCTCGCACTCGCAGTAGCCATCAGAGCTATCATGAATGACCTTGTATTCCATGGCACAACGAATCCCCATCTCATGTCGAAGGATGAAGTGGAAGATCGGGGGTCTGGGATCGCGTAGATCAGTCCGAGATCAGTCCGAGTCGAGACCCCCACGCGTTGGGCCATTTTTCTGAGCACGCCCGAGTTTAGGCGCGAGATGACGACAGCATGCGCCGATGAGCCCTGCATTTTTCGAACAAGGCGCGTTGCTGCCTGCCAAGAAAGCAGCCACGCACGCTCGAGGGGCCAGCCATGTCGGTCGGGCCGAAGTCGAGTGGGCTGCGACAAAAGATCACCCCACTCTCCGCACATGTCTCGGCGTGTTTGGGACGGTGCTTGTGACGGTGCTCAGCCGAAAGTGTAGTGCTGTAAGCGTCGGCAGCGCCGAGCGTCGCTTGAGCTGCACGGCGTTCCTGGAATTGCACACCGCACAGCCCGCCTGACGACACGTGAACCCATCTTCCTTCCCCACCGTTTCGGCAACTTCCTTCGCTGCTGCTGCACCATTCCCTACTACACTCTCCAACACCATCTTCTCTCGGTACCGCCCATAGACTACTTGAGATCATAATACTCGGATCATGACAGCCTAGATCAGCTGGAACATGGACAACCCACGTCCCTCGACGCCCGCTCGTAGTCAGAGCAGCGGGGCATCCCCGCTGCTCGCAACCCACTCGATCACACAAACCGCTTCCGACCCTGTCAATGCTGTCTCACCGTCCCAGTCTAGGGATGTCGCTTGCGAGGCTTTGTTCGGGGGTCACACTGCAGACGCGGACCGACTAGACAGTAAAGGGCCCAACGATGACACAGGCAGCGCCCCGCCTACCGCTTCGAGCCCGTCTCGAGAGGCATTTGCACAGCTGCATCCATCAGGCTCCAACCGACAGTCCGAGACTGCCGCCTACACCGCCGCCGCTGCCGCTCGAGACCGCAGCCTAGACAAACATGGCCGATTCGAAGCCGATTCCGACCCCAATGCACGCACTTCCATCGGCTCCTCGACATCTCCCGCAACGCTCCTCAAGACCCTGCCGGAAGCAGCATCCAAGACGCTCGAGACCACAATCACAGCGCCGGCGCGCACTTTCGATGCCATCAAGTCCAAGCTGCAGACACCTAGCACAACGCAAAAGAGCAAGAGCGAGATCCCCAACGCCATCAGCGAGGTCGAACGCGACATGAGCGGCAATCGCGACGCACCCGGCGCCTTTGCAGAAAGCGCAGACCCCTCGACTCCATCTCCTCCTCATGCAGCAACCCAAAAGAAGCCCACCAAGTCCGGCTCGTTCACCTCCTTCCTCCGTGGCCGCAACAACGCTTCCAACTCTACCTCGGCGCGCAAGTCACTGCGTAAGAAGGGTGCATTGCAGGAAGCATCGAAGACAGGCGACAACCCGGTTCCCCACGAGGAGGAGGAAGAGGACGAGGAGGTCGTCCGTCAGAGGATCAAGGATCAGCAGAAGCGTCTCGAGGATTTGGAAGAGGCACAGACACTCGGACTGCTTCGTACGCAGCAGGAGGCAGGCATCGAGCCTCCTGCGTCTCTCGCATCTCCCACCAAGCCCTCGAAGCTGATTGGACTGCCTCGCTTCGGCCACATCAACGGCTCGCCAAACGCTGCGGACGACGAGTCGGACCATGCCGAGGGCTCGTCGTCGCGCAGGAGCAGCTTTCATCTTCGCAGGGGCCGCAAGATGGAGCGCGATCAGTCCAGTGCGGCCGCAAAGGTCGAGAACGACCGACATACATCGGACTCAGCAGGTCTTCGTCGAGCCAACTCCGAAAAGCTCAAGTCCGGCCGTTCTTCCAGTCGCGGTCGCAGTGCACCACCACGCTCCGCTTCGGCCTCGCGCACGGGGCGCAGCCGCAGCAGACGACGCAACGATGACCACGGTGATACTCCTCGCCGAGCCGGCTCTGGCAAGTTTGCGCCACCACGTCGCTCGTCCACCACGTGGGCCTCGAAGCTGCGCACCAAGATCCCCATCAAAGAGTTCCCGCTCCAGGGTAGTGGGCGCGAGTCGGAATTCAATCAAGAGTGCCCCATCTGGGCGCGACAGCCGTACAAGTATCTCTACTTCACCTACTTTGGCCTCAGTGTCGGCTTCTACTACCTTCCACGATGGGCGCTCTCGTCCATGGTCCCTTCGCACCGCGGACGCCGCGACTGGAGCTGGAAAAAGGCCACCATGGTCAAGCTCTACCGCCACGGCACGCAGCTCACCTTTCGAACACGCACCAGTCTCGGACGCGATCTGCAGAAGGAGGTTCCGCACAGCAAGACGGTCCGCTGCAAGTTCACCTGGGTCGAGCCGGTGGCAGACGACGACGTGAGGGGCGAGCTCAGGCGCGCCATGCTCGCGCAGAAAGTGGACCCGCAACGCACGTGCGGCTTCTGGTACGGAGATGTGCCGGAGCACGCAAGACATTGCAAACGCCGCCGCAACGGCTCGGCCAATCAGTCGAGCGAGGAAACGCCCAACAGCGGCACAGCGGCACAGGAGCAAGGCGACCCCATGCAGGAATCCACGGCGAGCCTTGGAGGTGCTTCGCAGCGCACGGCGCAGAGTGACCTGTGCTGCGGCGTGGGTCGGCCCGCCGAGCCCGGCGAGAAGGTGCTCTACCACTTCCACGGAGGAGCGTACTGGATCGGTACCGCGCACGAGAAAGACGTCACGGCGGCGGTCAACACCGAGAGCCTGAGGTACATGGCAGAGATCTACAAGAAGCGCGAGGCGGAGCAGAAGAAAAAGTCGAACAGCAGCGGCGCCTCGACCTCGCCTGGATCCGAGTCGCAATCGGGTGCATCCGCTTCGGCGTTCGACGGCAAGCTGCTGCGGTCGTTCAGTCTGGACTACCGACTGTGCGTGCCCGGTCGTCCTCGCTCGGGCTCGTATCCTGCAGCGCTTCTGGACGCGCTCAGCGGCTACCTGTACCTCGTGCGTGATCTCGGCTTCGATCCCGAAAACGTCATCATTGCTGGCGACAGTGCGGGCGGCAACCTGGCGCTGGCGCTGTGCCGGTACCTGCGCGACGAGCGCGGCGAGGTGGCGTCGATGCCTGGTGCGCTGCTGCTCATGTCGCCATGGGTCGACATCTCGCGCTCGCACTCGGGCCCGACGCGCGCGCCCAACCTCGACTCGACAGTGTACACCAACCAGAAGTCGGACATCATCAGCAGCATGCTCGCCTTCCGCAACACGGCGGTCTCGGCGTTCCTGGGCGATCTGCCCGCGCGCGAGACGTATCGCAATCCGTACATGTCGCCCGTTTCGCTGCAGCTGCCGCTCGAGCGCGGTGGGAGTGCACCGCACTACGGATTCCACGGCTTCCCCAAGCGCATCTACATCACGAGCGGATCGGCCGAAATCTCGTACGATCAGCATCTGACGCTGGCGCACCGGCTGGCAGCGGGCACCAAGAAGGGCCGACCGGTGTATGCGGGCGACCGGCTGTCGGCGGGATGCAATGCGGTCGAGATGGCCGAACGCAGGGATCGTCCGAGGCCCAAGGAGATGCTGGATGTCGAGCAGGATGCCATCACCAACACGCCGCTAGACGAGCTGCACGGCTTGCACCTTCAGCCACTGACCAGCGACGACGCAGCGCAAAAGCCGCAGTCACCAGCAGCGGGGGACAAGAAGCGGTTCGCAGCATCGCCGCCGCCCGAGCCAGAGGGCAAGGAGGAGCGCGTGGTGATCTTTGACGAGGTCAAGGACGCGGTGCACGACTACCTGCTCTTCAAGTGGTTTGAGCCCGAACGCTCCAACACGTGGCGCCGCGTGGCAAAGTGGATCGACGAGGCGTGAAGCTAGATGCGCTGTGAGGTCTAGAGAATGCAGTGCTTTAATCTACAGGTTGGCCGCGAATCTACAGGTTGGCCGCGTGGTGGTAGCGATGTTGGGTATGATGGTGCGTTGGAATACAGGCATGCGGGTTCGGTCTAGGATGCAGCAGGGAACCAGTTGTCGGATTCGTCGTTCCAGTCGGCGGCGAGGTTGCCATAGTAGGCGGTGAGACTGGAGAGTTTGGTGCCATTGTTGACGTACTGGTACTCGATCTTGACGTCGGGCTTGTGTGGTGGGATCAAGTTGGTCTTGGCGAGGTGTTGGAGCTGTTCGAGATCCGTGCTGCGCGGGAGGTAGTAGGCAATGTTGGAGGTGTTGAACGCCGCTTGCACGCGCGCAAAGAGGTGGGAACCATCTACGGGCTGAATCGAGCTTAGCGAGTATGTAGACGGTGCAGCCGAAGGTGAAGCGGTGGGGTTCTGTGCATACCCGACGCCACCCCATGGTGGAGAGAGGAACACGGCTTGCACCGAGGCGATATCTGCGCGGGTAAGGTCCTTCCACACCTTGTCTTTTGGATCCGCTGAGGTGAGATTTGAAGCCACAAGCACGTCGAGAAGCTCGATGCTGTCTCCTTGGATAAAAGTGATCCTGTCCTCTACGCCGTAGATCTTTGCGTTCCAGCGGGCGAGTCGGAGCTTGAGCGGGTCGAGTTCGATGTAGAGGACGCGGTTGCAAGTGAAAGCGAACTGAATCGCATTTCCACCCGCACCGCCAAAGAGGTCGACGACAATTCCGTCCGTCGCACAGCGTTTGGCTATGCGGAAGGCCACCGATTCGGGCGTGATAGAGTACCACGACTGCTCGTCCAACAGGCATCCCGCTGCGTACGACGACAGCAACGTAAAGCGTTGGTGCCAGTATTTGCGCATGTTTGTCGGAAACATGGCTGGATGCACCAAACATTTTGGCAGCAGCTCCTCATACTCGGCCCGGTCTGCAGCACTGAGCGAGTCCAGGTCGAGTTCGGGATGGTAGGCACCCAGATTCAGCGCCGCCGCTTGCGTGCCGTCGTGAGACGAGGCGGGCTCGAGGTGGTGGACGAACGAAGCGACGCTGGTGCGCTTTCGCTTCTTGGCCATCGTGAGCGTACGATGAGCCTGTTCGCCACCGCGGGAGCGAGATGATCGAGGGCCTGCTGGGTCGTGTGAGGAAGGGAAGGCGGAAGCAGCGGCGCAAGCATGAACTCAAACCCTGCGCAAGAATTCTCGAGGATCTGAGCGGGAGTCGGAAGTGCAGAGTCAAGTGGAGGAGACCCTGGCAAATTTTCGGGAAAATGTACCAAATTTCGGTCAAACATCTCAAAAAAGTGACACGCTCGATGAGGCAGGTCTCAAGGCGGTGTTGGTTCAGACGAGGCAACCCGCAACCGCCAGCGAAGCCCGGGCTTTCGCCAGCTCGATCCCGGTGCCGCCGCAGAGACACTCGCTGCGCCACACCTCGAGTGCTTCGTGCAGAACAAGTGGATGAGAAGAAGGTGACGCCCGCAACAACTTCATTTCAACGTGGCGTACTTACGCTAGCCCTGCTGCACCAGCTGCGTGACAGCGACTGTATCGCGAGTGGGCTGACAGTCTACACGGGCCGTCATCACCAAAATGAGCATTTTGTGGGCGGGAAGGCAGCGCCAGAGGGGCTCAAGCTGGGATTTTCTCAAATCCAGCGTCGGCGCGCATCCGCTGCCGCTCTGCGCAGAGAGGTCAGTTGGCCGGGGAGGCGAGCTCCTATTCCGCGCCATCCGTAATTTGGCGCTGTTTTGGAGGGTGAGGCCGCGGCGAGCGTGATGGGATGCAGTTCCCCTGAGCCTGCATGCATCTTTTAGGAGTTGAGTTGGGCCTCTCCAAAACAGCCGCCTGGATGGACAGCCGAAACCAACACCACACACCAGCCCGCAGCCGCACAACCCACGGCTCCACCCCCGGTTGGGACTGCAGCATCCACTCCAGCTTGCCTCTCGCTCTTCCTCAACTTCTTCCCACGCACTCTTGCTGTCTGGCTCAGCTCGGATCTTCCATCGTCACGCCTGTTCTGCAAGCCGCCATACGAGAACTCTGGATCTCCCATCGCCTGCACCGTGTGATTGTCGGAAGCTGATCCGACAACGATAACAATCCCCACGCCACTCGCCTCGGCATCACAACGACGACGGCTCGCCTTCGACCACCGTTTGGCGCCATCCTGCAGAGGACCGAAGCAGACTCGACATCGACGCGCTACTAATTCAGCCTTTGCTGCTGCATCCTCATCCACCATCCAGGCTCAATCGCTTGTATCGGCTCATCCAACGGAACTCATCCACTCCCGGAAGACCCCCGAGTCAGCGTCTTCTAGCTCCTAAACTCGCCAGGCACCCGTCCTGCGACCTGCTGCATCTCTCGTCACCCCCGCTACACCTGCACGCGTAGGCTGCCGACGCGTACATCCATGCCCCCCATGAACTTTATCTTCAAGTCCAAGTCGCGCACGCCGCAGGAGCTCGTCCGCCACCTGCGCGACACCATCCTGCGTCTCGACGCCGCTTCCGGATCCACACCGCTCGGCGGAAGCAACTCGTCCAACTCGCTCCACTCGCACTACGCCGGTGCCAACGGCGCATCCGGCTCGTCGGTCTCGGCCGCCTCCTCTTCCTCCATCACCTCGTCCGGCTCGTCCGGCTCCAACTCGAGCGAGGCGAGACGCAAGGCGGTCGACGAGGTGTCCAAGACGCTATGTCAGATCAAGGCGGTGCTCTTCGGCGAGGGCGATGCCGAGCCCCAGCCCGACCAAGTCGCGCAGCTGGCGCAGGAGGTCTACTCGCACGACGTGCTCCAGCTGCTCGTCGCGCACATCGCCAAGTTTGAGTTCGAGGCCAAGAAGGACGTCAGCCAGATCTTCAACGTGCTGCTACGCAGGCAGATCGGCTCGCGCAGTCCCACCGTCGAGTACCTCGCCACACGACCGGACGTCATCTTTTCGGCGCTGCGCGGATACGAGAATGCCGAGGTGGCGCTCAACACGGGCATGATCCTGCGCGAGATGCTGCGCCACGAGCCGCTCGCCAAGATCCTGCTGTACAGCGACCGCTTCTACACCTTCCCGGACTACGTCGAGACGACGACGTTTGGCATCTCGTGCGATGCCTTTAGCAACTTCAAGGAGACACTCACGCGCCACAAGGCCATGGTGGCTGCCTACCTCGAGGCCAACTACGACCGCTTCTTTGCGACGTATACGACGCTGCTGCAGTCGCCCAACTACGTCACCAAGCGACAGTCGCTCAAGCTGCTCGGCGAGATCCTGCTGGACCGCACCAACTTTGCCGTCATGACGCGCTACATTGCGAGCGAGGACAACCTCAAGATGATGATGAATCTGCTGCGCGACCGCAGCAAGAACATCCAGTTTGAGGCCTTCCACGTATTCAAGGTGTTTGTCGCCAATCCCAAGAAGCCGCCGCAGATCGAAAACATCCTGCGGCGAAACCGCGAGCGTCTGGTCAAGTTCCTCGCCGACTTCCACAACGACAAGGACGACGAGCAGTTTGTCGACGAAAAGCAGTACGTCCTCCAGATCATCGAGGCCACGGGCAAGACCGCACAGCCTGCCCAGCAGCAAGGCGCCGCAATAGGCGCAAAGTAGAACCACATCGCCCCCTGCAAATGTCTCGTCCTCTTCCATTCCTGCTAAGACCTTACGCCCCCGCTTCCCCTTGCCTCTCTCGCATCCGTTGTACTCTTTCACACTCCTCGACCGCGCACACTGTCTTTGCCTCCAATTCCAGCGCTTCCCCACCCAGCTTTCTAACCTCTTCGGCCTGTCCACACTCGCGCACCATGCACCATTCACTGAGGAGAAAATTCCATGGCTCGTGCTGTTTTGATTGCTGTCACGGTAAACGCCGACACTAGCCCGTGGCGATGAGCGCATACAGCTCTTCGGCGAGCACGCCGTCCAGCTCGTGCGTGGCCAGGATATCCACCACGCCATCCTCGTCATTGAGAAGTAGGCCGATCTGCTTCTTGCCCAACGAGCTGGCTGCATTGCTTTCGCCCAGCCCGAATCCGAGCAGCGCCGGTGCGCCAAACATGTCCTGCCCGTCCGAGATCAACCGGAGCGCCTCGACCAGCCGCCTGCAGAGCACCGAGAATGGGTTTTTCGAAAACTCGGGCGTGACCCGCGCGAGCTTCTTGACGATCCGCAGCACAATGCCCGCCAAGCCAGGCCTATTGCGCAGCCGAAGCTTCACTGGAGGCGGAGCGAGGAAGGCCAGATTGTACAGACACATGGCGAGGCGTTCGCAGTAGCCCAGTCGATGCTCGGTGCTCAGCACCTTGAAGTCGGCCTCGGTCATGGGCAGCATCTTGATCAGCTCGTCCACCACGCGCTCGATGTCTTCGCCTGCAAGCACCTCGCCCATCACCTCGCGGTTGTCGTCCGGCAGCGCCAGCTTCGACAGCGCATCCAACGCCAGGTCCGCATGGTAAGGAGTGCGCCGGATCACAGGCGGCGCCGCCGCACCAGGAGGCAACGTCGCCGCCAGATCCGCAATCTCGGCAGCATGGTCGATCTCCTCCACAGCAGCCGCGTCAAAGACGAACGAGGCCAGCAACTCAAACAGCGCCTTGACCGTCTCGGCGCTCTGGCGGCGCAGCGAGAGCGCCTCGCCGGCCAGATTCGACACAATCACCACCACCTCCTTGCGCACCCTCAGCGCCTCGGCCGTCGTGAACACGGTGCTCGCTGTGTCGCCATCGTCTTGGTCCGCTTCCTCGCCGAGAGCCATGGCCCGGACGCGCTCGGCGTCGCTCTGGCACAGTTTCACCAGGGTCTGCAGCAGCGCAGGCGTGCCGTTGAAGAATGCCGTGTTCTCCGGCATCGTGCTGAAGTTCTTGAGGATGGTCAGCACCGTCAGCGCACACGCGGCCCTCTTCTCGGTCGACCGCTCGTGCTCCGACTCGACGCCATTCGTCGAGATGGTGCCATCCAGCACATCCTGGCTGAACGCTGTTGACGACGAGGCAAACGAGCGCTCGCTTCCGCTCCCCGCGACGCTCCCCGCGGCTGAGCGCGACCTTGGCACCTTTCTGCGCCGCCAGATCCGCAGCTCTGCCTCCTCTTCCGCGGCCGCGGTGATCCAGTCGCGGTAGGTCGGCATGGAAGCAATCCCAGCTTCGCGGCGCACGCGCTTGGCCGCAGGTCGTGTTGCAGCTTGGAGTGCGCCGAGCCCCTGCGACATCTCCTCGTCTTTCGAGACGAAACAAGACTCGGTGAGCACCTCCAGCAGCTCGTCCAGCAGATCCTCGCAGGCTGCAAGTCCGAATTGGAAGTTGGGCGCAGCACCGACGCCGGCCGACAGGATGAGCAGCGCATTGAGCGCATACGACACCTCAAAATCGAGCCGGGAGCGCAGGCTCATGACGAGCGCCTGCACATCCACGAGACCCAGCTCGCGCAGCGTCCTTGGTCGGCCTCGTGACTGCATGGCAGGTGCGTACTGCGACTCCACCAGCGACAGATCCCAGCCTCCGTATGTGTGCAGGTCGCGGCGGATGGGTAGGTACTCGATCTTGTGCTTCTGCGGCGGTGCCGGCGGGCCGATCGGCTGCGACGTGCCGGGCACCAGCTGCCTCTCGGGCTGCGGTGGAGGACCGGCCGAAGCAGGCGAAGCAGTGACAGCCGGTTGTACAGGTGCAGCTGCGCCATTGGTGGTCTCGCCCATGTGCGGCATCGGTGGCTTCAAGTCGAGACCACTCGCCGGCGGCAGAGCCGTTGGGACGATGCTGTCCGTCTTCTTGCGCTTCTTCTTTGATGGCCTCGGCTCGGGCTTCGACCCCATCGTTGGTGTCTGTGGGCCGGCTCCGTTGATCTGCGATTTCGTCGGGGACGGAGGACCGCCCATGCCGGGCTGCGTAGGCCACTGCGGCACGCCCTCGGCACTCGACTGGTCGGCACCTGAGGCTTGCTGCTGGAAAGCTTGCTGCTGCTGCTGCGCCAGCAGCTTGGAGGGGTCGTTGAACAGCTCAGGGTGGGCGCCAGGCATCGTTCCAGGCAGGTTGGCTGCAGATGATGCCTGTGCCATACCGGGCATACCTGGCATGCCGCCTTGACCTTGACCTGGGGAGGCTTGCGAAGGCATAGCGCCCATCCCCGGGAAGCTCGCATTGCTCCCTGCCGAAGGTGGTTGCTGTTGCTGTTGCTGCTGGAATTGTGATTGCTGTTGTGCTGCAAAGCCGTCGGCGGTTGCTGATGTCGGCGTCTGTTGCTGCTGCTGTTGCTGCGGCTGCTGTTGTTGCTGTTGTTGCTTCATCATCATCTGTCGTGTCGCTTGCTGCATCGCTACGAATCGCTCTCGTGCCTGCTGGGAAGTGATACGACCCGTCGCGACCAGATGCTGCAGCTGGAGCATTTGCTGATGCAAGTTCGCTGGCAAGTTGGTGGGCGCTACTGGCGTCTGGCCGTTGGGTCGGTTGGCACCAGGCTGCCCCGGGCCGTTGGCATCCTGAGCTCCCGGCTGATGTAGCTGTTGCTGTTGGGACTGCTGCTGCTGTTGTTGTTGTTGTTGTTGTTGTTGTTGCTGCTGCTGCTGCGGTTGTTGTTGTTGCTGTGAAGGCTGTGGCGGCTGCTGTGGGTTCTGCTGCGCGCCGGAAGGCTGTCCCTGATGCGGCATCTGCTGTGGTGTGCTTCCAGGTTGTTGTGATGGGTCCTGCGTCGATGCACCGGAGCCTGAGGCGGATGGCGAAGCTGCAGCTCCCGCTGGACCACTGGCCTGGCGCTGGGGCATGCGTGATATCCAGAACTGCTCGAATGCAGACAGTCGATCGCGATAGAACGACGACAGGCGATCCGGGATCTCGCCAGGACTTGGAACAGCGTCTGGTGCCGACTGGGTGCCATCTGGAGGACCGACCTTAAGGCCCAGACGGCTGGCGATGACGGCCCAGAAGCCAGGGATCTGTGCGGCGCGTTGTGAGCCGCCAGAGTGGATGACGGCGGCAAAGAGCGCCTGCAGCTCGATCGTCTTGGTTTCGCCGGGCAGATTCGATGACGCTGGACCGACGAAGCTGAGCGGCAATTGAGGCGGGAAAGGCGTCCCGCGTTGGAGCATGAAGTTGCGGACGGTGCCGACAAAGTCTCGCTTTGGCCCACCAGCCGCGCCAACGCCCTGCGATGCGGCCGGCTGCATTGACGCGCCCGGCGTAGACATCTGAGCGGGATTGAAAGTTGAAGGCTGCCCTTGGTTTTGTGGCGGCTGCATGGGGTTTTGACCGAAAGGCGATTGCTGCTGTGTCTGCTGCTGCAACTGAGCGAAATCGCCTTGTTGTGATGCCTGAAAGTTGTGGTCCGAACCCATGCCGTCCACGGTCGGTTGCGAACCGGGGTTGTCGCCCTGCATCATCATGCCCTGTTGCTGTTGTTGCTGCTGCTGCTGTTGTGGTGATTGCTGCTGTTGGGGCTGCTGCTGCTGCTGCGGCATCATGCCCATCTGACCAGGTTGCTGAGGTTGACCGAGCTGAGCGCCTGGTGGGATGTGTGCACCCATGGACTGGATGGCGGACTGCTCCATCATTTGCAAGCGCTTCAATTGCGAGGCCAGGTGTTGTTGCGCGTTGGTCTTTGTGGGCCCGTCGGGCTGGCTGGAGATGACTGCCCATTGGCGTTGCAGCGCGGCGATGTTGCCACGTATTGACTGAAGGACATTCGCGTTGTTGGGTTGCATGTTGTCGACGGACGTGTTGGTAGAGGTCGTGAAGAGTGCGGGTAGGAAGCAATGGCGTCAGAATCTATCCACGGGTCGAAGAAGAGAAGGCAGAGCGTCGCGTGCCGCCGGGGAACGCGGGTATCGAGGCGCGAGGGGAGGAGACGAGGCACGGCACGACCACACAGAGCGCATCCGCAGCTTCCTGACGGCGCCGGGATCAGACCACAGCGACGCGGCGATTGCTTTACGCGTCGGAGGGTCGGAGTGATGCAAACACGCAAACACAAGGGCGCGCTGCTATTCTGCTGCTGTCGGCGTGGCCGTGGACGCGGCACGATTTGGCCTAAGCTGGCACGTAGACACGAGAGTCGCGAGGGAGCGCGAGCCTAGTCGGTGCTCGTCGCGCGTGCCAAGGAGCCAAGATGGATAGAGGAGCCGGAGGAGGGAGAAAGGGAGAGAAGGCGGGAAGAAGAGGGGAGGGCAGGAAGAAACGGAAGCGAGGGTGGTGGAGAGGCCCGGGCGGCTAGAACACCGAGGAGAGGTGCGAGATGATGGGGTGCAAGAGCAACTGGGCCAGCGGGGCGAGGATCCGACGAGACGCGCGACGGCTACGCCGATCCACGATTCGCGCTCCTTTGGCTGTGGTGCAGATGCGAAGGGGCCGATTCCAGCTCGGAAAAATGGGTCGATTTCGAGCCCATCGCGATTTGATCAAGATGAATCGAGCTGGATCGGGCCGATTCGCATCATGTCCACCCCGCCTTTCGAGCCAGTTGCACCGGCGCCTCGTTCTGAGCGCTTGAGATGGTGGGGAGGGCGGTAGCTCGTAGGACTCACCTGAAATACGTTGGCAGCGTTCTGCATCTGTGCTCCAGCGGGTGCTGGAGGATTGCTGGCTGTCGGCATACCCATTTGACCTGCGTTGGGCTGAGCAGCGGCAGGGAAGCCCTGCTGCTGGCCCTGAGGAAAGCCAGGCGGGAACTGAATGCCCTGTGGATTCATCCTGACTCACGATGGTCGTGTGAGAAGCCCTTCCTGAGCGACTTGGATGAGCTCGCTCGGCACCAGCCTGAGCTTGGGACGGACCCGAGGTAGACGTCTGCGTTACGATCATGGAGCAAGACAAGGTTTGCGTGTCAGTGAGCAGTTCGACGAGCACAGTCGTGCGTTCTTTCGTCAAGCGCAAGGGAGCCATGGTCACATCCCGCCAGCCGGTGCCAGGACACAATGTCAGAGCTCGTTGCCGTTCGAAAGGACCGGCAAGAGTGGTCTGCAAAGATGCCAGGATCGAAGCGGCAAGGCGTGCCCGGGCTTCAGGACGAGGCGACGGAAGCCATGGGCCGCTCAAGAGATCATCTTAGACAAGGAGGAACGAGGGAGGATCTGCGACGATGGTTGGCAACCAGACTCGGCCAGAGCGTGTATGGAAAGGCGCAGAAGCCAAGACCCGGCTCAAGAGCACAGACAAGAAAGCGGAAAGTCGATGCAGGCGCAGGGGGATGCAGGGCAGAAGGGACGTGTGATGACGTGCGGACAGATCGAGCGGAGGCACGACAATGCCCAACGTGACAGTCTGCGGGACGACATCTGACAGCTTGTGGAAGGCATCATGGATGCCACCACCCCGGCCGGCAGAAGCGGGTCGGAGACCGCCGAGCGAGAAGGGGAGGGGGGACCGCACACACTCGCGCACACAGAGCCGATAGCAGCAGGAGAGGGAGGGAGCCGACAGCGACATGGACTGCCCGCCCCCGGGCACCGTCGGCCGAAGCGAAGGGGGCGGAGGGCATGGGAAGCCGTCAAGAGGGACGCAGGCACGAGGGACAGGACGAGCGGAAGAGGGACAGGGAGGTGCGTAGCCACGATGGTCGCCGCATCCACACCATCGGTACGCATGAAGGGGCAGCGGCGCATGTGGGTTCATGCCACCCGAGCTCACGGGGGGGGCGGGAGGAAGGGGCACAGCGGACGCAAGGCAGCAGGCGGATGGGGACGGATGCATGTGGCGGGGCGGCGGCGGCGGCAATGCGGCGGATGAGGACGAGGAGGGGAGCGGACGATCATACGCAAACGCAATGCAAAGCGAGCCAAACAAGCTTCGGTGACAGGCAGGAGGAAGGTACGTACCGGAGCGGGATCGGCAATCGGCGCTGACGGGCGGAGGGGCAGCGGGCCGAAGGAGGGAGGAGCAATGTCCAGGACGCCGGAGGTGTGATGGAATGGCGGGCGCGGATGGGGGGGATACAGAAGCGCTAGCAGCGGGCTGGTCGGGTGAGATGGCGAACGGTGAGATGAATGAAGGAGCACCTCGGATTTCAGTTTGGCCAGCGGCAGCGGAAGCGGCGATTTTCCAGCCCTGCCTTGTCTCTGGTGGGCTGGGCTGGGCTGAGCACAGGCGAGGCAGGCGAGATGAGATGAGACCCGAAATTACGATTGGAGCGCTGCGCAGCGCGTGCACACGCGGCCCCCCTGCCAAGTGCATGCGAAGCCGTCGTTGCGCGGTGGGGCGGCCAGGGCTGGCGCAGGAATCAGTTTGACGCTCGGGCACGTCACGAGAGAGAGGCGCGGCCAAGCCACGCATCACCCTGTTAGGCGGCGCAAATCGAGGGCCGGGCAAGCAAATGCCTGAACCTCGTATTCGGTCCCTGCATCTCTGGAGCGACAGAGGCGAGAGCCACATGCGAGCTGCGCTGCAGAGCCAGCCGTCGCAATCACGCATCGGAGTCTCGGTTGCTGGCTGACTAGACGAGGCCTGCCGTCATGCGTTGCCACCATCATTCGGTATGCAGGGCCACAAAGCCACATGCCATTGTGCACCAGAGCGGAGGTGCGGCGGGCTCTCTTTCTCTCGCGTCTACCGCGGTATCACGATGCAATCACAAACTGCGTTTGGACTGCGGAAGGATTGGCGCGGCAGGCAAGGCAAGCAAGTGCCGAAGGTAACTGCCGACCGAATCGAGGACGAAACAATGCGTCCGATGGCTTTGGACGGGATTGGTCATCAGCTTCCGAAGCCTAACTTGCCGTCCAATGTCATCTGGGTTGTTGGGGGATGTGACCTGGACGAGCCCGTCAAAACGGATCAACCGATCTCAGGGGGGGATCCAGTTGACATTGCAAAGCGGGTTGGCGTGGGAGCGCGTTTTCGGAAGTCTCCGCGGTGCAACACGGCCACGCATCCAACGGGAAAGCGACGAGACCTGGTTCGTTTGACACCTGAACCCACCCGGCCCTTACGGCTGCGTTGGGCGGATGAATTGGGGGGCTGATTGTTCTGCGTTGGTCAAGTGCAGGCGCGGCAAGCGAGGCCACGCCAAGTCGCAGCCGATACGAGATGCGCTTATGCATATTTCAGCGGTCGGGCCGGCCATGTAGCGCTGCAAATTTGCTCTCCGAAGCTTGGAAACGTCCTCGAGGCTGCAGGCCGCTCGCTGCATGTGTGCCTGACCAGCCGCTGCAGAGCATGCCGACGCTCGGTTGGCATCCGGCAGCTCACTCTTGTCATTGCTTTGGGCGTCTCGGGAACCCCGTCTGCCACACTGCATGCCGTCACACTGAGCGCCAAATACACCAGAGCCTGGTGTTCGAACATCTGTGCGTCTTCGCGTTCCATCGACTCTGCTCTCGGCTGAGACGCTACGTACCAACAGCGGCAGCCGCTTCGAATCGAGCATGTATCTCTCAATCCTCCATCGTGGATGTGGAACTCGTGTACGGCACCTTTGCAGCGCTGGGTTGACTCTAGCGCAGATCTAATGACATGCTCTCTTGCGGAATTTTTGACCGCCTTTCGGAGCCTTTTTTTTTTTCCCCTTTCGGCTCTTTACAAAAAAAGCGGTGTCGCAGCAGTCCCTCTAGTCGAAACACGGAGACGTCGTGGGCCATGGAACTCGATCTTTTGTTGAACGATCGGATGGGCAGCAGAAGGCAGACGGCAAGCCGTTCAATCGGAAGCCAGTGAGGATGTCCGCATGTCTAGCAGCGAAGGACGCCGGAGCTGGAATCATCCGGCTCCGTCGAGAGGTACCGCCCGATATCGACCTAGATCTGCTGGAATCGGCATACCCGATGAAGGATTTAGGAAGTGATCTGGACGGTGGACGAGAGAGGCCGCAGGGAGCGAAAAAGGCGTCTTCGGATGCTGACCTGACCGCGCCTCGAAATTCCCGCGTGCGGCGGCTGAGCTCAGCCAGAGAGAGAGCGGCTGGAGGGCCTCGTAACGCGCGCCACTCTGCGCTCCCAAAGAGCTCGGCGGGTTTCTCCACTCTCCGTCTGCCGGAACAATTCAGGCGAGTCAGTCAGTTGTCGGAGATACCAAGCGTCCGTCAATCACCACTACCATCACCATCACGACCCCCATCACTTCCAGCTGAGCCTCTGCTCTTCACGCTTTCGCACCGCCGGCTCGTACACCAGCTCGACGTCACCGACCCTTCGCGTAGTACCCACTCGAGCATCCGAGGCACACAGCCACCTCACAGCCAGCAATGCTGCGCTCCATAAGCTCGCGGTCCGCCGTTAGCCGCTTCGGTCTTGCGCCATCGCGATCAGCTCAGATCAGCGCAGCGCTTCCGTCCACCGCCGCCACCCGCTCTTTCACCCACCTCTCGGCCTCTAGATCGCAGATCGCATCCTCTTCCAGATCCAATGCAGCCAAGCTCGCTCTCAACAAGTCGGCACTGTCCCTGCAATTAAGGCAGTATGCGACGCCTGCCGAGGACGGTGACAAGAAGAAGAATTCTGCCCAGGAGCATGACGACGACGACAAGAAGAAGAAGGAGTTCGAAGAGTCTGTAGAGCGCGGTCTCAAGGAAGCGCGCCAGGGCAAGGCGGGCGGCAGCCTTCCCGAGAACCTCAAGCAGTTCTTCGACAGCGATGACAAGAAGGCGCGAGCCTCCAAGAGCGACAAGGAACCTGCGCGCGACGAGGATGACGAGGTCGCCGAGAAGAAGAAGAAGAAGGCCGACAAGTCGTCAGGTGCCAATGGCTCCGCCGGCGGCGGTCCCAACGGCCAGTACACAGAGATCCGCATCAACGCCAACACCATCTTTGCCACCATCGTCTCCACCTACCTTCTCTACCGCCTCACCTCGCCCGACCAGCCCAGCCGCGAGATCACGTGGCAGGAGTTCCGCACCGCCTTCCTCGACAAGGGCCTTGTCGATCGTCTCGTCGTAGTCAACCGCTCCAAGGTCAAGGTCTACCTCCACTCGAACGCCACCGGCTCCATGTACCCTTCGTCCGGCGGCTCGAGCAGTCCGGCGAGCGGCAGCGGCCACGCGGCCTACTGGTTCAGCGTCGGCTCGGTCGAAGCCTTTGAGCGTCGTCTCGACGAGGCTCAGCGCGAGCTCGACATCCCCGGCAACGAGAGGATCCCCGTGGCCTACCACGAGGAGATCTCCACCGCATCCACCTTGCTCCACTTCGCTCCCACCCTCCTCATTGCCGGTCTCCTCTTCTGGATGTCGCGACGAGCTGCTGGTGGCGCCATGGGTGGCGGTGGAGGAGGCGGACCTGGCGGCATCTTCGGCATCGGCAAGAGCCGCGCCAAGATGTTCAACCAGGAGACCGACGTCAAGACCAAGTTCAAGAACGTCGCCGGCATGGACGAGGCCAAGGAGGAGATCATGGAGTTTGTCAATTTCCTCAAGAATCCCGAAAAGTACGAGAAGCTCGGTGCCAAGATCCCGCGAGGTGCCATCCTGTCCGGCCCCCCCGGTACGGGTAAGACGCTGCTGGCCAAGGCGACCGCAGGCGAGGCCAAGGTGCCGTTCCTGTCCGTGTCCGGTTCCGAGTTCGTCGAGATGTTTGTCGGTGTCGGTCCGAGCCGAGTGCGAGACATGTTCGCCAACGCCAAGAAGCACGCGCCCTGCATCATCTTCATCGACGAGATCGACGCCATCGGCAAGAGTCGAGGCAAGGGCGGCAACTTTGGCGGCAACGACGAGCGCGAGTCGACGCTCAACGAGCTGCTCGTCCAGATGGACGGTTTCGGCACCGAGGAGCACGTCGTCGTGCTCGCGGGTACCAACCGACCGGACGTGCTCGATGCCGCTCTCATGCGACCCGGCCGATTCGACCGACACATCGCCATCGACCGCCCCGACATTTCGGGACGCAAGGACATCTTCCTCGTGCACCTCAAGCCGCTCACGCTCCACTCGTCGACGGATCGCGATCTGCTGGCGGAGAAGCTGAGCACGCTCACGCCCGGCTTCAGCGGTGCGGATGTGGCCAACGTGTGCAACGAAGCGGCGCTCATCGCGGCGCGCGGCGGTGCCGAGTCGATCGAGGAGCACCACTTTGAGCAGGCGATCGAGCGAGTCATCGCTGGTCTCGAGAGGAAGTCGCGCGTGCTCTCGCCCGAGGAGAAGAAGACGGTGGCGTACCACGAGGCGGGCCACGCTGTCTGCGGCTGGTTCCTCGAGCACGCCGATCCGCTGCTCAAGGTGTCGATCATCCCGCGTGGCGTGGGTGCGCTCGGATATGCACAGTACCTGCCCAAGGAGCGCTACCTGTTCTCGACCGAGCAGCTGCTCGACCGCATGTGCATGACGCTGGGCGGACGTGTGTCGGAGGAGATCTTCTTCACCACCATCACCACAGGTGCGCAGGACGATCTGTCCAAGATCACGCGCATGGCGTTCGAGATCTGCGCGTCTTACGGCATGAACAAGGAGCTGGGTCCGATCAGCTACCGTACGGAGCAGGAGTCGATGCACAAGCCGTATTCGGAGCGCACGGGCGAGATGCTGGATCTCGAGGTGCGCAAGATGGTCTCGGAGGCGCACAAGCGCACCACGCAGCTGCTGAGCGACCACCGCGCCGACGTGGAGAAGGTGGCGAAGCTGCTGTTAGAGAAGGAGGTCATCACGCGCGAGGACATGCGCAACCTCCTCGGGCCTAGGCCGTTCAGCCACGCAGACGAGGCAGACCAGTACCTGGACAAGAAGGGCATGCTGAAGCGCAAGGGCGAGAGCTCGGCTCCGCCCCCGCCGCCCGAGGACCTGCCCACGCCCGGCCTCGCTGCATCCAAGGTGCAAGACCCGAAGCTCTAGACGAATCCCCTTGCGCCTTGTCTCTGATCCAAACCTGTATTCTTTCGTCCCAGTCTCTCCATCACAACTCTCTCTCTCTTTGCTCAGATACAATCCAATCATGTCTCTTTTTCACTCGGTGGGCTGATGCGGTGGCGAACGGTAAGAATTGGAAATTGGGACGCTGGAGATATGAACTGTGGATGCTAGCAAAGTACGAAGTAGACGGGTGCGGGTGGAAGCTGTGACATGACGCAGAATCTCAACGGAGGTTTGGAAGTTTGGCGCGCTGGAAGGGGGTGGGAGCATGCGAGATGGAACGGCTTTCCCACTGCTGCACTGCCGAGCCGACGATGGAACCCTTTGGTCGATCTGCGTTGGGAGGCTTGAGGTCCTGGGCGACTGCTTCGGACAGGCCAAGGATGCGCTTGGAAGTGGACGAGGACGGCATGCCAGGCGACGAGGGCGGCTCGGGTGCAACGGGCGCCGAGGGAGCGAAGAACTGGCTGTCGAGTCGACGGTCAAAGCCCACCACCTCTACCTCGCGACTGGGCGCGGCCGTGTCAAAGTCCCAAAAGTCGCCCGTGGCGGCTACCGCCGGTGCTGGCTCGGCCGTCGTGGTAGGGGCGAGCATGCGGTCGCGCTTGCTGGGAGACTGCGATGCAGAGCGCATTGCGTTGGATCGGCTGATCGTCGTCACTGCCACTGGCGCCTTGTCTTCGGTGCCGTTCTGAAAGGACGACTGACGAGCCGGCGTGGACGGGGCGATGAACGCGCCTGCGATACCGTATCCGGCCTGAGGCGAGGCGCCGGTGTAGGGCGAGGCGCGCGCCTGCGAGCTGGGCAGCTCAAGCGGTGGCAACAGCGGCGCCGTCTTTGTCTTTGGGCTCTCGATCCAGTCGGCCAGATGGTAGGGAACCGGATGGCCAGCTTGGTTGGCCAGACTCAGATACCTGGCGAGTTCGAGGTGCGTGGTGGGATAGTAGTGCTGCGAGGCCCTGCGCAGCGTCGCGAGGACCCTCTCGATACCCGAGGCAAAGAGGTTCTGGTGGAACAGCTGCGCCGTCATGGCGGGTCGAGGCAGCTGATGCGCCTTGAGCTGGACGAGCACGGTGGCGATGGCATTGACCAGCCTGAGATGCGCGGTGAGATAGGCCATTGCCTCAAACTCGACGCCTCCGGTCATGCCGCCGGGCACCTTGGGCCCCTGGATCGAGTCGATGCGATCCTGCAGCTCGTCCCAGCGCCAGAAGAGGTTCTGCGAGTGGCAAAAGATCCAAAAGTAGTCGCGACACACGCCAGCGATCTCGACGATGTACGTCTTGAAGGGGCGTGGCGCATGGGTCTGCTTGATGAAGTCCACCACGGCGTCCTTGGCCGGGTCCGAGGGGTTCTGGAGGAGCTCGAGGAGGTAGTTGAGCGACGAGTGCGAGTGAGCGTGAGAAGCGGGCAGCTGAAGGTCGAGCAGGATGGCGAGAAGCTCGATCATAAGCTTGCGAGTCGAGAGATCGCCAGGCTTCTTTTCGGAGAAGAGGAGGTCGACGAGCTGGCGGAAGGGCCGCGGAGCGTGGGAGGCGAGGGCGTCGCGGCCGACCTCGGTGGTGCTGAGGGCGACAAAGCAGCGCAGGAGCTCGTGGAGGAGCATGTCGTCGTGCTGCTCCTCTCTCCATTCCATGGCAAGCAGCTCATCGAGACGTGCGAGCATGGCATCGTAGCCGGCGCACGCGGGCGAGATGAACGCCGAGATCCAGGTGGGGGATTCAGCGGCGAGTACGGCGCGCATGCGCTTGACTCGCGCCACATCGATGCGGCTGGCGTCTGTGCACTTGAGCATAGTGGCGAAGCTCTCGGGCGTCTCCTTGCCGAAAGAGGCGGCGACATCCTTGCCGAAGGACATCGAGCGTGGACGGAGCGTAGAGGGTGTGCTGGTCGAGCCACCCGCGGCAGACGCTGCAAGAGAGATGAAGGACCCGCCCTGGCCGAGGTTGGGGTTGGACTTCTTGAAGGCGTCGCGGATGGCACTGCGCGACGTGCTGCTGGGCTGCTTTGTATGGCCAGCGGAGCCAGAGGAGGCCGAGTCGATGGAGCCAGTCGAGACCTGTCGAGGGGGCCCGGACCCAAACAGCAGTGCAGTGTTGGGGGGCGCCATCAGCTCGGCAGAGTCAGCGGCAAGGTTGGCGTAGTTCGAAGCGGCATCGTGCCCCAGCAGCGGAGAGGAGATGTGGACTGAAGCAGGACGCGAAGCCGGCCGTGCCTTGAGCAGATCCGGGATGGGCATGCGCTTTGTTGGCGAAGAGGGCGTGGCTCCAGCGGTGCCGTCTCCCAGCCCGAAAGCAGCGAGGCTGAGCGTCGCCTGACCCTGCAGCATGGAAGCCTTGACGGTGGAGTTGAGCGCGAGCAGCTTGCGGCGCAGGTCGGGCTGCACCTGCAGCTCATCGAGCAGATCGACAAAGTCGGCGTCGATCTGGTCGGGGGTGCGGGTGGCTGCGTAGGATTGGGGTGCATCGGCGTGGTTGTTGAGCGTGTCGGTCTTGTCTTTGCCAAACAGTCGGCTGCGACTGCGGCTGCGACTACGCAGCCCCTTTTTGGTCGGGCTGGACGACGAACTCAGCCTGGAGCGCGACTCTCGCTCGGTATCCTCTGGCGATGTGCCTCGCAGGCGGAACTTCGGATCGATGGCGATGGGATGAGCTTTGGATGGTGATGTGGTTCGGCCCCTTCCCGATGTGTGTGGCTGGGGCGAGAGCGGCTCGTTTTCCTTACCGCTCTGTGGATCGGAGGAGCCGGAGAAGGCGGAGTGCTGACGCGAGTATTGGCCCGGTCGGATGCGAGCCGACTCATGAGGCATGGCGGCGGCCATGATGGCAAGCAAAGACGCCTGCTCGCTGCGTGGCGTGGAGGTGCTGTTGGTGCCGATGTCCAACGAATGGCGAGAACACCGAGTGGATTGTGATGGAGAGGTGAAGATGAAGAAAAAGAAGAAAGCGATCCAAGGTGGTCACGGCGCTTGGTTGTTGTGGAGAACTCTGCCTGACCAAATTAGGCAGGGTTGCCGCCACGACCTTTGGGCAGCAAAAGTGTGTGCAGCCGGCAGGGTTTGACGGTTGCTGGGCGCAGAAACAAGCACCGCGTGCATGGGCGCTGCTCGAGCCAGGCAGCAATCGGCGACATCACAAGCAGCGGGCCTTCCGGCTGCGTCTGCACGTCTCTGCGGCAGAGCACCAAAAAGCGCAGCCTCGTCCGTCACAAGTTGGTCAACCGCCAACCAACTCCACCTTCCCCACTCCAAAGTCACACTCGGCCCGCGACGTGAAGCGCGACCGAGCATCACGTGAAATTTCTCTTTCGACCCAACTTGGCTGGCTCGCCGCTCTGCCCCCTCCTGGGCTTCCATCACTGCTCATTCCTCTGTCATCTTTGATCTGCTAGTATACAGAGCGGTGGGTCGAACTGTGACATCTACGAGGCTTGGCTGCGGACTGCGAAGCCGAAGTGAGAGCTACGGGGGATTTTCTTGCTGCAGCTAGTGTCGAATCTTCAAAAGCAACACAGCAAAACATCGCGCGCAACTGGACACCACGTGAACTCGCCACGAGAAGCGCGCGTCTGCTGAGCTGCAATGCCGCTGCGCAGCGCTGCAGAGGCTGGAGATTGACTCAACATCAACACCACACTGCTCCACCGCCGAGGCTGCCTTGTCGTACTGCACGCACGACCCCACGATGCAGCCGCTTCTTCTGAAGCTGACCCGGCAAGATGGGACAAGTCGACATCCAGGCTCGTCTGCCAAACTCAAACCAATCGACCTGCCGCATCCTACACTCCGGCCCTCGGGGTTGACACACACTTCTACCACCATATCAATCGTCTTGCCGCCTCCCACCAGCATCTTTCTGTCCCCCAGCTGCAGACCAAGCTACCGTACCCTCTAGTCTTTCTCCCTCGCATACGTCCACACAACGACGCCACTGCACAAGTTGCCGGCTGCACACCTGCCCCCACTTCATTTCGTCGCGTGCTCCATCAGCTGGCCTGGTGCTGCACAGCTTCGACAGCCGCCTTCGCCCTGCCGTTCTTGTCTCCCAGTCCCACTGCAAAGCCCCTAGTCCCTGTCACACGAGCTCCAGCCGTGCATCTGTATCATGTTTCGCTTCCGATCCTCCGCTTCTGTCGCCTCGACGCCCCCCGGCACCTCATCTCCTTCCTCCCCATCCTTCGGACCCAAGGCCAGCGCGCCCGGTCTCACTCCAAGCAGCTCGGCGACCTCTGCCCTCTCAGCTGTAGACTCAGTCGCATCATCCCGCAGTAGCACGGCAGGCAGCACGAGTAGCATCCTCTCCCTGCTGCACGCTCACACTTCCGCCTCCACCTCATCTCCGAACTCGCCTGCACCCTCCCCTTCCACTTCGCTCGCCTCGCTGTCCTCAGAGCCTTGCCTCACCGTGCAGCCCTTGGCCGAATCAGCCACGCCCTTACCAGAGCCCGTCAAGCCAGCTCCCACTCCTACTGCCACTACCACCTCCACCTCCCAGCGTGTCAAGCGCCTTGATGAACCATCACCATCCCGCAGGCCCTCCCATCTAGCCTCACCCCGCACCTCCAGGCCTTCCGTCAGCGCCAAACCGCGCCCATCTTCCACCCCGCAACGAGCTTCGCCCACCGGTCCCACCACCAGATCAGCCCATAGAAGCTCCACCGTCGCTGCCATGGCCAAGAAGGCCAAGGTGGGCTCGGCCGCCAAATCGTCCCCCTTCACCAAGTCGGCTGCATCGACAACCGTATCGACTGCCACCCAGAATGCCTCTATAACAGGCGCCGCAGAGACACTCAAGGAGCCAGACTCCACACTAGCCACGGTCACAGAGGAGGGCTCGTCGTCCCCGACACCTTCGACCTCGCCAGCCAAGCCAGTAGAGACAGCATCGACCTCCTCCGACTCGAAACAGAATGTCGTCGTCTGCGTGCGCATGCGTCCTTCGCGAGCCAGCGCAACAGCCACCGAGGCTCCGGTGTGGAAGTGCGACCTGGACAAGAGCCAGATCGTCCCCACCGAGCACCATCCCGCCATCGCCAAGAGGACCACCTCGTCTGAGCGAGCCGGCGCCGGCTCCTCCATGGTCGCCGCACCATCCTCGCACGACCTCGACGACGACGCTTCTTCTTCCACCTACCACTTCCAGTTCGACAAGCTCATCGCCGATGCGCAGACCACCGACGACATGTACCACTCGCACATTGCGCCCGTCGTGCGTGCAGCCATGGATGGCTACAATGGTACTGTCTTTGCCTACGGCCAGACCGGAAGTGGTAAGACGCACACCATGTCCGGCAGCGACACGGAGCCAGGCGTCATCCCGCGCGCCGTGCAGCAGGTGTTTGACATGATCAAGCAGGAGCCCGACCGCGAATTCCTGCTCCGCGTCAGCTATCTCGAGATCTACAACGAGACGCTCAAGGATCTGCTGGCTCCCCTGCCTCCGCTTTCGGGCGCTGGGGCGTCGCTGCAGACCACCGATCGTCCGGCATCGCCTATCAAGGGCGGCTCCTCCCATGCCGCGGGCGCGGCACAGTCGTCGACGCTGCGCATCATCGAGGACCAGAGACAGAGCCGCGTCATCATCACCGGCCTGCGCGAGGAGATCGTCACGGACGCAGACACCGTGCTCGACCTCATCCAGCGCGGACAGGATGAGCGACACGTCGGTGCCACCGACTGGAACGAGCGCAGTTCGCGCTCGCACTGCGTCTTCCAGCTTACCATCGAGTCTCGCGCGCGTCAGACCGCCTCGGCGGGCAAAGAGGTGCGCATCAGCCAGCTCAACCTCATCGACCTTGCCGGCTCGGAGCGCGCAGCTAGCCAGGCCGAACGCCGCAAAGAAGGCGCCTTCATCAACAAGTCCCTCCTCACCCTCGGTACTGTGATTGGCAAGCTCACCGAGCCTGCCGACACCGCCGACGCCCACATCCCCTACCGCGACTCGAAGCTCACGCGCATCCTCCAGACGTCGCTCTCGGGCAATGCGCGCATCGCCGTCATCTGCACGCTCAGCCCCGACACCGAGCATGCCAACGAGACGCTCTCCACGCTCAAGTTCGGCAAGCGCTGCAAGCTCGTCGTGACCACCGCCAAGAAGGGCACCGCCATGGATGACAAGGCGCTCCTGCAAAAGTACCGCAAAGAGCTCGATGCGCTGCGTGCGCGGCTCGAGGCCAACGGCGTCTCGCCCAACCCGGACGAGCCCGCGCCCGTGGCGACGATCGATCCGGCCCTGTCGCTCGAATCGCAGCAGAGGCTCGACGAGCTCAATGAGCAGAAGGCGGCGGCGCAGAAAGAGGTCGAGAGCATGCAGAAGCAGCGATCCGATCTCAAGTCGCAGATCGAGCACCTCACGCGCCTCATCCTTACCAGCCAGACGGTGGCTGCCGATACGTCGGATGCGGTTGCGGGTCCGAGCACTCCCGTCCGCGCCCGCCCTCACGCCTCGGCACTTGCACGTCGCGGTCCGCGCATGAGCGACCTGCACTTTGCCAACGGCTCTGCCTACAACAGCCCCATCGCCGGGCCCAGCACGGTGCCCGAAACGCTGAATGGCACCAAGCCGTTTGAGCTCGAGGCGGAGCTGGCTGCGCTGCGCCGGCAGCTGCGGCAGCAGATCGAGGCACGCCAGACACTCGAGGCGGCGCACACGGCCGAGCTCGCGGCGCGCGACGCGCGCCACGCCGAGCTGCAGGAGGCCATCCGGCTCAACGAGGAGGAGCTCGACGAGGCCGAGGTCGCGTACGACCAGCTCAAGGGCGAGCGCGACGAGGCCCGCAAGATCGCGCTCAAGGAGCAGGAGAAGGCGCGCGAGCACAAGAAGAAGCTGCTCGAGGAACAGGAGGCCAACCGGTTGCTCAAGCTCGTGGCCAAGGCGCGCGCCGACGACGGCGACAAGGCGCTCCAGACCGAGATCGAGGCGCTGCGTGCCCAGCTGGTCGCCAAGGAAGCCGAGGCGAGTGCAGCCAAGCGCCAGCTCCAATCGGAGCTCGACGAGGCGAGAAAGGCGCTAGAGGCCCAGCGCAAGGCGGCGGATGAGGCGCAGCTTCAAGGTCGCCAGGCGGCCGAATCGGAGCAGGCACTACGTTCCGAGCTGGACGCGGCCAAGCACAGCATCGCCGAGCTCGAGAAGCAGGCGGCGTCAGCTCTGGCGCCGAGCGAGGAGGACGACGTCAACGCCGAGTTCCGCGACCTGGTGCGCGGCCAGTCCGGCCTCGACCAACGCGTCGCCGAGCTGGACGAGCGCGAACGCCGACTGGAGCGTCTGCAATCCGAGCTCGACGAGGCGCAGCGGGCGCTCTCGGCATCGGCGACTCCGCAGGCGGAGCGCGAGCTGGCGTCGGTGCGCGACGAGCTATCGCAGTCCGAAGAGGAGCGCCGCACGCTGCAGGTGGACCTAGCCAAGGCGCGTGCAGCTGGCACGGGGCGCGACCAGGATGTGCAGCGGCTCAGCGCCCTGGAAGCGCAGCTGGAACGGGCCAATGTGCGCGCAAAGCAGCTCGAGACCGAGCTGGCTGCGCAGAAGCAGCGTACGGCCGAAGCGCTCGCCACGGTGGCGCGACCACTGCCTGTGCCCGACGCGGGCACCACGCGCACGGGCGGCTCGGTGCCATCTTCGCCGATCAAGGCGTTCACCACTGGTGCGTCTCGGCTGCGCAATGAGCTGAGCACGCCGTCGGGCTCGGGCGTGCACCGTGCCGGCTCGGTCAAGGAGTACCGCCGCTACCGTGCAGGCGAAGAACCTTGCTCTCCCGCGTCGCCCTCGGTGGCAGCGGGGGCTCGGAGCGTTCTGCTGGGCAGTGCGGCAACGTTCAGTGCGGGTGCAGGCGCGACTGCGCGTGCCGAGCGCGAGGAGATCGAGCGGCTCAACGCGGTGATCGCATCGCAACGGGCGATCATGGCGGATCTGGAGGCTTCGGTGGCCTCGTGGAAGACGCGCATGAAGGCGCAGGCCGATCTGATTGCGCAGCTCGTCCAACACTCGCCATCGCACCCCTCACCACCTGCATCCGATGGCGAGCACGACGAGCCGGTGTCTCCCCGCAAGCAAGCCGCCGCTCTGCCGCGCACGACGCATCTGGCGCTGTCCAACGACCAGCCGTACTACGGCGCACACACGTACAACCGACCGCCCACCATCGGTCTAGGCATGCTCCCCACTTCGCCCAATAAGCTTTCCGGTGCTGCATGGACCAATGCCTCCCCCAACCCTCTACCTTTACCAGCTGCGGCTGGTGGTGGTGGTGCGAGTGAGAGGAGGAAACCGCGCAAGACGATCGAGATGGATCTCAAGCTGCTCAAGTCGAGCCCGCGCGTCGAGACGAGCAAGTCGCTATTTGCGCGCGACTCGTCCGCCGTGCCCGACTCGCCCACCAAGCGTAGAGGCACCAACGCCTCCGCTTACTACATTTGAACCTCTGTCCCTGTCTCGAGCTCTTGTTGATTCGTGGCTGTGTTTGTACAATGCATCTTTCCATCTCATCCAGGCGCAACGCGAGTCTGTCGGTCTCTGGTAAATGGATCGGTTCGCATAAACAAATACAACGAGCGCCGCCTGGGGCTTGGTGAAGCAACCAACGGCGGAGGCATCTAAAGTACAAGCAGGGTTCCACCACGTCGAAACGAGTGGGTGGGTAGAAGTACATTCCATACACGTCCGGTATGGACGGCATGGATTCATTTTTTGGGGTGTGATTCACTGCGACTCATCTGCGACGCCGTGTGCGACTGCAGCCTGAGCTGCGGCACGAATGGCGTCGGCGGTAAGCACTTGGGCCAGGTCAATCGGTTGCTGTTCGCCTCCCAGGCCGTGATTGAACGCCTCGTTCTTGTCCGCTGGCGGTGTTTGCGGCAGACTCGACTGGACGAGCTGCTTGTACAGTGCCTCGGACACCACCGACTCGATCGTCTGCAGTGCCGCTGCGCTCACGCTCGGGTCCAAATCCGGATCGCCAGATGTTGCGGGTACAGACACTGCGGGTACACTAGCCACCGCCGCATCGGACGCAGGCAGCGATTGCGAAGTGAGGTGCGCGCCCGTACCGCCGGTGGTGCTACCGATGGTAGCCGCAATCGCACGGCTGATCGCATGCGAGACGGGAAGCGGCAGCGCGTTGGCATCCACGGCGGGCACGGCCGATGTGGCCTGTGCGATGGCATCGAGTGCGATCGAGACTGCAATCGAGTGCGCCGCATCCGCGTCTCCTGCACCCGCGCCTGTCTCGGCCGTGCTCGTCACCGCTGCCGGCGTCGACACCGCCACAGCTCCATTCGCGCTGACCGGCGTTGCGTCCGCTTCGACCTTGACGGCAGCAGCGGGAGCCGTGGCTGGCTGCGACTTGGCTGCATCTCCAGCCGGCACCTCGCGCTTTGCGGGCGTCGAGCCTGCCGGACTCTGCGTTCCCTCGATCGAAGACGGACTCGCGGTCGCGCCTGGAGTCACGGCATGCTCGGTGCCCACCGCTGCAACCGCAGCCGCCTTGGCCGCCTCTTCCTCCTTCCTCTTTTTGCTGTTCTTGCGATGCACGCCAGGTAAGCTTCCGCCGCCTCCGCCGCGGCTCTTGGGCACCACGCTCGGATCGCCCGTGGGCTCGATGAACTCCACCTCGCCGTCCTTGCCCTTCTTCTTCTTGCGGCGCGTGAGCGAGCGCGCGTACCGCAGGCCGCACGCGTTGCACAGCGTCTTGTGCCCCGTCGGCCCACGTCGCCACTCGGGGCTGTTGATCTTGCCGCAGCCCGTGCATGCCTTGTTGACACCGCCACCAGGCGAGTCGCTGGCACTGGGCGATGCCGTCGCACCCGTCGCCTCGCGCGGCGTCTGCGCAGCTGCAGCCGGCCGCGCCGCAGCAGCAGGTGTGCTTGGCGCTTTGGCGGGCGCATTGGTGTACATCAGGCTCGGGTTGGCCAGCGCCGCCAGCCCTTCCGCCTTGGACGTCGGCTTGCTGTACTTGCTCGGCGTCTTGGCCATGTGGCCGTTGGCGGCCTTGGCCGTCGGCGTGCGCGAGCCGTTGGTGGCTGGCGTCGACGGCGCTCGAGGCTGCGCCGCGGCGGCCGCACCGACCTTGTCGGACGCCTCGGGCTCGGTCTTGGCGCGCTTGTTCGGCGAGGCGTGCACGCCGTCATCTTCAGCCTTGCGTCGTGCGTCGTTCGAATGAACGTTGGGAGTGACAAGCTTGGGATCGGCTGGCGGGAGCTGCTGCTGGAATGTGGTGTGGAAGCACGCGAGGATGACGCCGCCGTAGGGGATGAGGACGCTCTCGATGCTGCGCACCTTGCCCTCGGTGGTGAGCGTGTGCTTGGCGCGGAAGCGTCGGGTGCAGCTCGTGTTGGCGTCCGACAGCGACGACGACCCAGGCGCAATCGAAACGCCCTGCGCCAGCCGCGCAAAGTCATCGGCAAAGTACGCGGCATCGTTGTACGTCGCCGTGTCCGAGTTGGGGCCCGCCTCGATCTCGCGCGGGAAGAAGCGCGGCGGCGGCCAGCTGAGCAGCACCTTTCTGTCGCCGTGCGCCTCGATGATCTGGAAGACGTGCACCGGTCCGGACTCGGGCACAGGCTCGCGGGGCACGGCCTTGACCTGCTTCCACAGCACGTCGCACTGGCGGAGCGTGAAGCTCGGGCCCGGGGTGCCGCACCAGTTGGTCCAGTCGGACTTGTGCTGCTCGTCGTTGTCCTCGAGCGCCTTGTCGATGATGGCATGGAAGAAGCAGAGCAGCATGCCGTCGCCGATCCAGTTGATGACAATGTCGATGGCGACGAAGCTGTCGTCTTCGACGTACCTGTCTGCTTCCGGGTCGCGCGGCGGCTCGACGGCGCCGAGCAGCTCGCGGATGCGCGGCACGCGCGAGAAGCGACAGCGCGTCACGCTGCCGAAAAGCGTGCGGCTTTCGACGATCTTGTGCATGTCGTCGCACACGCGGTCGCGCTCCTCGGGGTGCACATAGTCGTAAAAGTCGGAGCCGACCAGACGCTCGGCCTGCTCGGCCATGTGCTGCTGCAGCACGGGGTCGAGATAGACAAAGTGGAGCTTCTCGCCCGTAGGACCGTTGCCCTGGGAGTGGTCCGCTGAGAGCAGTGCCCAGTAGCAGCGCGTCTTGCCGAGATCCACGTTGGCTTCGGTGAGAGGCAGGGTTTGCAGCGTCTGTGCGGCCGACTGCGGGTGGGCCTGGAAAAGCTCGGCGCAGCCTCCTGGTGTGCGCTTGCCGATGCTGAGCGGGAACGGCGTCGGGTCGTCGGTGTACCTGCGGCACTGACTGACGATGGCCGAGCGCGAGTCGTCGTCGTCGGCACCGTTGACCGAGGTGGCATTGGTGTAGATGCTGCTGTTGGGTATGGGGGTTGCTGTCGAGTCGAAGCTGTCTTCAGATGCTGCGGCGCGCTCGTCGGGGTTGTTTTGCTGCTGAGCATGGACCGAGGCGGCGGCAGCGGCAAGCAAGTACGAGTTGAGATCGTCGGTGCCGTTGATGCCGCTGGAGGCCGCGTCGTGCTGAGCCGCGCCGTTGGAGGTCACCTGAGCTGCGGCCGCAGCGGCCATAGCAGCTGCAGCTGCAGCAAGAGCTGCTTCGTCGGGCACCTGCAGGGAAGCCATGGTCACGTCGTCGGCTGCATCGACGTTGGCTGGAACTGCGAGGGCGTCTGCTGAGGGCTGCGTGGCTGGGGCGAGTGGTGGTGTCTGCGGATCCATGATTTGTGTGTCGCCAGAGAGTGGTAAGGAGGATGTAGGTTCCGATATGGACGAGGAAGGGTCGACGAGCATGTCGACTTGGGTATGCGTCGCCATGGCTGGCTGGTGTTACCACGGGTCCGTCAACCCGAAAGCGCGTTGGGATGCGCAGGTGCAAAGGGATATGATGTTTCGGAGAGAGCCTAGGCACCAGGGGTGATGCGCGTGGTGTATGCGGTGATAGCCTGTGCTAGAGTGTGTTCGAGACGTTACTGTGCATCAAATCGATGGATGACATGCGGATCGCCGTCTGCCTGAGAAGGTGTTGATGCAGTCGCTCGTTGTCGTCGTCAACCTCCGCGGATGGACCGGAAGACGTTCGGTACGTGTCGTGCGATGATGCCTCGGGATGCTCTTCGAGTGGGCCCACACCCACGGGATGGGGATGGCGGCGCGGGATGCGCGCGCCGGCTGGCGGCGAGCCACAGGTGACGAGAGGGCTGGATGGAAGTGAAGGTCCAGACGAGCGCGTCCGTCTGGGGCGGCAGCGGCGGCGGCGGCGGCTCGCACCCCCGGTAGGGAAGCGGCGAAAAATGCGCAAAGGGGCGGGCGAGCTCCGGGTTGAGGAGCGCGGGCGTAGGGTGGAGTTGGAGAATATGCGGGGGAGTGATCGTGACGAGAGATCGGAGGAGGTGATCAGCATGCGCTTTTGGCTTTTTGCGAGGAGGGATGGAGGGCTTCGCTCCTTTGCCGGTTCTTCCTGACTGGACCTGGCGGGCGGTGGGAGAGCGGCGCAGCGCAGTCGACTCTCAATAAATTTTCTTCTCGACCGTCGAACGCATCCGCCAACCATGGCGCGGCCTGCGCCAGAATTCGCAGACGGCCCGAAGAAAAGAAAGGAAACGGGAGCCAGGGCCCACGCGTCCCTCTCTGCGCCGGCTGGTTGCATCGGGACATTCCAGCCGCGTTTTAGCGTGATTCGATCTGGACATGCATCGGGTCGAGAATGTGCCTCGAAAGATGGAATTGTTAGACCGGCGCCTCCAAGTGTGGAGCAAAACTCGCGGCGGAATCCCGGAATTCGCCAGTCGTGGACCCCGCTGAATCTTCCTGGCTCGGCGAAGGAGCAAAAAAAAGTCTGGCTGTGGCTCCTCATGGAGGCCAACACTTCCTTCTGCCTCCACTCGCCATCCAGGGAGACCTCTTGACCGTCGCATCAGCAACGCAACAATGGCGACGACACTCACAGCCGGCGCTGCTTCGACGTCGGCGCTGCCCGTTGCTTCCACCTCGACCTCGAGTGCAAATCTCAACTTCGCCCGCGATGCCTACATCCAACCGGGCGATCTGGTCATCATCTTTGCCTCGCGCGACAAGACACCGATGCCGCTTACGGTGACGCCCGGCGAGCACGTATCCAACATGTTTGGTCACTTTCCGCACGACGATATGGTGGGCATGCCGTACGGCAGCAAGATGGTTTCGAAGCGCGGACGCGGCTACATCTACCTCCTCCGACCCACGCCCGAGCTCTGGACGCTCGCCCTGCCGCATCGCACCCAGATCCTCTACGCACCAGACATGTCGTTCATCTCGATGAAGCTCAACATGGGTCCTGGCAGTCGCGTCATCGAAGCGGGAACTGGATCCGGAAGCTTCAGCCACTTTATCGCGCGCTGTGTCGGACGCGCCGATGCGGGCACGGGCACGGGCAAGGCCAAAGCCACGTCGGTTCAGATGCAGGTGCCGAGGAACTGGGGTGGACTGCCAAACGATATGCAGCAGAACCTGTCTCGAGGAAGAGGTCAGCCTCGCGACACCGAGGACGAAGCCGCCCCGGCCGACAGCGCAGAAGGCACTCCCGGTCCGAAGGCCGTTCAGCCGGACACCGATGCACACGTGCCCGAGGAGCACGGTCGGGTATGGAGCTTCGAGTTCCACGAGCCACGTGCACACAAGGCGCGCGCCGAGTTCGCTGCGCACGGCATGGACAAGGTGATCGTGCTCAACCACCGCAACGTGTGCAAGGACGGCTTCGGCCTCACCGACGCAGCCGACTCGGTGTTCCTTGACCTGCCGGCGCCGTGGGAGGCGGTGTCGCATGCGGTGCAGGCGTTGCGGCGCGATGTTGTCACGCGCATCTGCTGCTTCTCGCCGTGCATCGAGCAGGTGCTCAAGACGGTCACCGCGCTCAACGAGCACGGCTTCACCGATGTCGAGACGTTTGAATCGCTCGTGCGCACCCACGAGAGCCACGCCTCGGCCGGGCCCCAGGTGAGCATCGACGAGGCCGTCAATCGCATCCGCGTCGTCGAACAGCGCAAGGAATCGCGCCGTCTGATCCAGATCGAAAAGGCACGCGCCGCAAAGGCGCACGCACAAGCCAACGATCCCGACAGCCCACAACTCGATTCAGGCCGCGACGCATCGACAGCGGAAGGCGAGACGCTCAAGCGCAAGCACGAGGGCGTCGAAGCTAGCGAGCAAGACGACGACGCCGAGGCCGAGGCACAAGCGCAGACCAACGGCACCGACACCGACGCTGCAGAGACACCGCAACAGTCCGGTGCCGAGGGATCGTTCCAACGCGGCGTCCAGGGCGGCGTCGCTATCACCAAGAAGAAGGCGCGCCTGTTGCAGATCCAGTCGCAGCAGAACCAGCCCATTCAACCAGCGAGCGTCTTCTCGCGGCCCTTCTACGAGGTAAGCCTACTCATCGCGCCCTTGACTTTCAGCCGCGCCGAGAAGCGATCCACTGACCCTTTTTTTCATCGCCCTCTTGTTGCCCGATCTGCTTGGATCTGTGCAGATGCGAGGCCACACGAGCTACCTCACCTTCGCCACGCTGCTTCCGCGGAAGATGACCGGCGGGCTGTAGGCGATCCACCTGTCGCGTTTGTCTCGTCGGCGATGCTTTTGGTGTAAGCGCGGCCGCAATGGAGCTATTTTCGTCCTCCAGTATGAATTGCAGCGGGAGTGTGGGTGCGCCGGCGAGTCATGCGCTGCTGGATCGGATCGGATTTGTGACCAGATTGGCTGCAGTGGCGTCGTTGGCGCGGCGGTCCGGTGATCGCTTCCGAGCGCGCGCGGGTTCATGCCACGCTTCCAATCGGTAGCGGGACGCTGGCGTGTTCCAGTGAATTGCAACGGGGCAACCCGAGTTGCGGGCACGTCTTTGAACCCTGGACTGCGGTTGGCGTTGGGCGGGATTTGCTGAGATAAGTTATCGTACCCGATTTCTGCTCGCTTAGGCCAAGGCGTGACAGCGGTACGCTTCGGAGATGGGACCGCCCCGAAACCGATGAGATGGGGCGATCTACCGTCGACGGCAAATCCGAGCCAGATCTTTTCTCCCACGGCTACGAGCAAGACGATGCAGGTGGCGCTTCCGTGCGCCGAGGTGGTCAGGCGTCTCGGCTGGGATGTCGTTGCAACGTGGGATACTGTAGCATGGCCGCGAGTCGTCGATGCCGGCCATCTCCCGACAAACTGGACAGGGTCGGAGGATCTTCCACGCAAACCCGGCGCCAGAAAGTCGGAGCGAGTGTCTGCAGCTGGTCTCCGGTGGGAAAACGGACTGGAAAGAAAAAAAAGGAAAGGCGGGGGCCGACATCGCCGAGGCGCGTTGCGCCATCTCTGTGGGTTGCGGGCAGAGACAGTCGAGCAGATGGCGTGGACTGTACGTTCCGACACCGACAGGGTGAACTCCGATCCCGACCGTCCTGATGATCCATACCCCGCAGCCTCGTCCAAGGTAACTCTCACGAGCAAGAAACAAGGAACTTTCTCCTCCGGAAGATGTTCCTGGCACGGTGCCTCTCGTGGCCGCGCCGAATTGTTTGTCGGTGGCGCCCGGTGAAAGCCGGTGTGTTGGCCCATCATGCGGGCATGAACACTGCGAACAGAGTTCATGCTCGCATTTCCGATCAAGCCATTGTCGAGCTTACGCGCAGACCCAGGTGCAAGCCCATGGTTCCCATGTGTCGGCTTTTGTTACGCGCGGCTGTTATGATCACCCGGCAAGATTAGGGTTTGCTCGAATCGGCTTCGTGCGGGCCAGCCAGAAAATCTTTCGCCGTGGTCCTTTTCACGGGATCGATGGTTTTCAGGGCGGGACCAAATCGTCGGCTCTGCCCAGAGGATGCCCGAGGGACTAAGTTGTAACAAGCTCAAGCGACGCTTGCGTGGCGATACACGCTGCAAGCGGTGCGGGACTTTGTACCCGACGCTTGCGCATGCAATCATGGCGTGCCCCGTGACGCGATCGGATCCACATAACCCCGCTGGCGATCTTGACCATCTCTGGTTGGAGGCCACCGTGTCGATGCATTGCCGCGGTTCACTGCGCGCCATCTCAAATGACCGGCGATGTCGGGTGCGCGGCTCTCTGCTGAGCTGCAAATGCACGGCTGCACGGCTGCTGCATGGAAAGCGACAGGAAAGGTCGGTGGATTCAAGCGACCGGGGATGATTCGGTGATGGAACGCTCGCTTGACTGATGGTTCGGTGCGCGCCGCACGATGCACGTCGAGCTGCATGGGCTTCTGGTCCCAACTGCGCGACTACTGTATTTGCGGCGATACCGCTCGCCTGTGATCGTGGGTCGGTGTCGGCAGACTCAGACGAAACTGACGAGAGGCTAAGTTAACTCACAGTGCGCATAGCCGAGAAGCCCATGCACTCGGGCGCTGGTCCGTCTTTTTTTTTTTTTTTTTTTTTTTTTTCATTTCGGGCTGGAGCCACCGTGCAATCCCACCGATGACGGCTTCCCTTGAAGCAAATTACGGCGCCGTCCTCTTGGCGGCGGTCGTGTTCCCGCCTGGTTGCCAAGCGGATGCACCGAGGACGAGGCCGACGGAAGCGCCTCGGTATGCGCGCGGATGGGCACGAGAGCTGGCGGGACTTTGCGTGCGTGCTTTGCGTGCCTTGCAGATGAGTGGTGCTGGGCGCTGACAGAAGTCGGAGCGCCAAACACACACGCACGAGGGCAAATGCACCAACACCACCACCAGCTGCTCTGCATCTAACCCACTTGCAGCCACATCCTCCAGGCGTTGTTTTGGTTCCGTCTTTTCGAATTTCCAATTTCCCATTTCCAATTTGCAATTTTGCAATTTTGCAATTTTGCAATTTTTTTTTTCGTCGCTCTCGTCCACAGGGACTATTATTTATATAAAAACGAATCAATCCGGAAAAACTTGGCTCTCCCTGAGGAGCGGTACCGCGATATTTCAGCTGGCGGGTGCGCGTTGAGGCCCTGCCAGCACCAGCCCGGAACGGCGGTAGGCGGTCTTGGCTCTTTTTGAGCCTCGACGCAGAGACCAAGGAAAAAAAAAAGGTCTTTGCGCCCCGCCCCGACCCGAATGTCTGGACACGCCAGGATGATCCCAGCCTCCAGCATCGCTGTCGTCATCCTAGGAAAGCCGTCTCGCGGCTCCGAGTCGATCTGCACGCGCTTGCCCCCCCTTCCCACGAAGCGAGATCAACAGATGCGTGCAGAGATGCCGCAGACGACAGCTGCCGCGGCGGATGATCCGATGAGATGCAGTCGCGGCTGTTGCATGGCGTCGGTTTCCTTCCGCGACCGTTTCATTGAGCGGAAATGATGATCTTCGGCTAGACCGCCCATCTCAATATCAAAGAGTGGGGTCTGTGTGGGCAGCGCAAGCGTACTTGGATCGCAATCGCTGGATGAAGCAACGGACGGCAAGTAGTTGCACCAAGCTATCGCTTGCGAAAGACGCCTGCCTCAGCAAATTCCGTCTTTTTCACACTCTGCCTTTCTTTTTATTCGGAAAACAGATTGTTTAAAAATAAATTAATGTGGGAACCGGGGGGACGGCACCGAGTCCAAGTGCACGGAGCGTGTCTCTGGCGCTGTTGGGTTTGGGGTTCCGACTTGGGCTTCTGAGACCGCCGCATACCGATGCGAGGCTCGCTTGATCAAAGAGCCAAGAATGCTCTCAGCCTGTGGACCCAATGCAAACCCGACACCGGCACTCCCATTCGCCTCGCTCGTGCGCGGATGAAGCTACGATGCTCGGTGCCTGTGAATGAGAGACAATGGGAGAAGGCAGAGAACAATGGACCACGTTGGCCGGTGGATTTTGTGCTCTGATTTTCGGATGATCCGTTGAGAGAGACAGCAGTGCTGCACTGCACGAAATTGGGTGGATTCGCTTCCAGAACGGGTCACTCGTCGCGCCCTTGTAATGCTTCTCGCTTCGGCGCCGGCCAGCCGAACTGAGCTTGTGCAGCGGCTCAAACTGTCACCCTGGCGGCTTGACCGAACTCGCACCGCTCCACCACGCCGCTCTGGCACGGCGAGCTTGCGGCGGCGTCTACGTACTCACCGGACTCGTGCTTCGGCTGCATCAGCTGCCACTGCTGCTGCTGCTGCCTCACCTGCAGCTGGGAAGTCTGCTTCTGCTTCTGCGTGTAGCCTGCATCCGGGTTCCACTCCGCCTGCTTGGCCTGCCCACCGCGCTCCGCTCCTCTGCGGTGGTCTTCCGAACGCCCCGCTCCTTTGACGGACGGACGGACGGACGGACGGACGTCTCTGCTAGACCTGTGTTTCACCTTGGCCAAGCCACTGTCAGGCCGTGTTGGTCGACGAGTCAACAAGAATCCTGCAGGTGTGCGTGCGCTGGCGTCGGTCGCCTGTCTGAGCACACCCAATTCCTTCGGTTGGGCCACTCCCAACAGCATTTTCCGGCCGTGCCCACCCACCAACCACCCATCTTTTGGTCGGCCGCTCCGCTGCTGGACGGCGCGCTACCGTGACTTGCCGCTTGGCTTCACATCCCGTCGCGCGAATCCCTCATTTGTCTCATCCTCCCTTCTTTGCCTCGCTTCGGCATCCTTCCGCCCTCCTCCCTCCTCGCCGTCACAATCCCTCCCTGCTCTCGCTTCGTCACCACCATCCTCGACATCACTCGCTCCACCCGGATCCGATCAGCTCGACCGCCTCCCTTGTTCCGGCTTGGATTGGGCCTTGCTTCTCTTCGACGCGCCCAGCTTCCACCACGCGCACGCACGTGTCAACGTCGAATTGCCCACTTGCCGTCCCCACTCATTTACCTCCTGCACGCCTCTCCTGCACTCGCGCCATCGCTCTTGCCGTCCACCCTTTGTTTTCTTCGTCCTCTTCTTCTTCTTTCTCTCCTTCTTCTCCTCTTCCATCTCACGCCGTACGCATCGCCCCACTGCAGCTTCGGTCGAATACACGGCTCTCGAGGACGCGGATACGCTCACTTACGCTCTTTCAACATCGCACCGAGCTCGTCGCATCGCCCTGGTTCGAAGCACTGCATCTATCGTTCTCGCCATCGAGGTCAGGTACCCAAGCACGTCTTCATAACATCGCCTCAAGCTCCGCCGCGTCCCGACTGGCTCTCGAATTGGCGACGCATCAAGCCTGCAAAACAGCAAAGCTCTTCGGTCCTTGTCACGCTCCCAGTGCCCGCGCTACCGTGCGCACTTCCCCTGATCTTTGTGGCCGTCTCCTTCCGCAGGTCGACCGCGCCCGCACCGATTCGAGCGCTTGCGTCTTCCCATCCGCATCTGCCTCAGGCGCATCGTCCACCACCAACTCACGTTGGCCCGCTCCCTTCCCAAGCCGGGCTTCTTCCCCCTTTCGCATCACAAACCCACGAGTCTCGCTCAATCGAGCATGCGCGACTAGTCGAGTAACGCGCTCATACACGCGGCGCCCTTTCCCCCTCTTCTACGGCTCCGCTTCGGCCGCTCGAGGTGGCCCTCGCACATCAACGCGAACGCGCGCCAAACGACAACCCACGACGCGCCTCTCTCGCCAACAATGAGTCGCATCGACAGCCGCGCCGCTTCCATGACCCCTCAGCACAGTGCCAACATGACAAAGACCGACGACAGCAGTTCCAGCCTCACTCCCGCAGGCACCTCGGAAAACAGCGTCGCCTACCAGTATGTCGCCGTCCAGCAGATGACCACATCTCGCGATCACATCGAGTACCAGCTCACCGTCCGCGAACAGCCCAAGCAGTCGCGCATGTGTGGCGTAGGTGAGAAAGCCGACCGACGCCCCATCGATCCCGCTCCCATCGTCCAGCTCCGCGTCATCACCCACGATCGGCCCGTCCGTCAGTCCGACGTCGTCGAAGACTCCTCGGTCGCACCGCCCATCGAACGCAAGCCGGGTCACGGTCCAAAGCAGCCCCAGACGCCCGGCGTCCGCAGGGGCGTCCCCGTAACCACCGCCCTCGGCGATGGCTGGGAGGACAAGGCTTGGTACCTAGAAAATCCGTACTTTTTCATGTACGCCATGCTCTGCAACGCCGATACCGACGAGGAACTCCACTTGCTCAACGATGGCAAGACTCGCTACACCAGCGGCTCGTGCGTTTCGTGCCTATACCACCTCAAAGACATCGACGGCTCGCATCAAGGCTTCTTCGTCTTTCCCGATCTCAGCATCCGCGTAGAGGGACGCTACCGGCTCAAGCTCTGCCTCTTCGAGACCATCGGCCACTCGGTGCACCACTGCAAGTCTGTCTATTCCGATCCCTTCCACGTCTACACGGCCAAACGCTTCCCGGGCATGGAGGAGTCGACCAAGCTCTCCAAGTCGTTTGCCGAACAGGGCCTCAAGGTGCGTGTTCGCAAGCATCCACGCTCGCGCCGCCGAAGCTCCAAGCGCACAAAGGACGACAGCGAGGCATCCGACCTCGAGGCTGCGTCCAGCCGCGCTCGTGACCGCAGCCCGAAACGTGCTCGTGCCTCCGACATTCTTCCTCAGCCATCGCTCGCAGTGCCCCAACCTACGGCTCCGAGGTTGACTCGCACGCTCGACTCGCGCTACGAACGCCCTGCGTTCGACCGCAGAGCATCCAATGCATCTGTCTCGACAGACCCACAAGCGGCCGGGGCGTCGCACCCCTACTCGCTTCGCGACGAGGAAGAGGCGATGCGAGTGCGGGCTGCTCGCAGCAGAGACGCGGGCTTCGACAACGCGCTCTACGCGCGCCATGTCCGCGACGAAGGGCTCATGGACCCGCCCGCTCACATTCGAGACTTTGCCGACGCACGCTATGCAGAAGAACGTGTGCCCCGCGATCGTCCGCCACCAGCATTGCCTAGCATGCCGCTCAGGGCGCCGCACGAATATCCGGAATACGGCCGGGCTGAACCTCCACGGGACGATCGCGGGCGGGCTCTGCCACCAGCACCGCAGCCCGCAGCGACATCGCCTCATCATACGCATCCGTCGCTTGCAGGCCAACGGTATGCCCCGGCACTGCTGAATGCGCCCCCATCCGCGCGTCCGTACCGCGAATACTTGCATGCATATGGCGCGCCGGAACCTGGGCCGTACGAGGCTACGCGAGGGTACGACGCTTATGCGGCATCGCGGCCTGGTGTGCGGTATGGGCCGCCGCTTGCTCACGAACGACGAGACGCGCAGATGATGCCTGCTTCTGCCACCCCTCCGCCTCCGCCTCCTGGCAGTCTTGAGCCGAGTGGCTGGCATGCAGGCGCGCCTTCGTCGCGCTCGCACTGGCGGTCGGGCCCGCCTAGTCCGCGCCGAGCCGCCGAGTATCACGTTGGACCGGGCGAACGCGAGTATGCATCGCGTCGATCGCCGGTGCCGCCCGGACTGCCGTTGGCTCGCGGGATTCTGACGCCGCCAGCGGCGTTTGTAGGCGAGGGCAGCGTGTACCACAGACACGGCCATGGCGCCGGCGAGCTTGCGCGTGGACCCGCGGTATACGAGTCCGAGATGGGCGCGGCGCGACCGATGCGCTACCTGCGCGACGATTTCGGGCCGGAGCGCGCAGGCGCTGGTGGCCGCGGGATGGGCGGTGAGCGACCGATGCTGCCGCCGCTTTCGGCACCGCCACCTCTGGCGCAGCGTCGCGACATGGGCATTGACCGCGATGCAGGCTACGGAGCAACCGAGCGCTTCATGCCTCCGTCCGGACACGGCGCACGCGCGCCTCCACCGCTTGCGTCGAACGAAGCCGAGCTGGCTGAGCGCGAGCGCGAGCGCGAGCGCGAACGAGCGTGGGAGCGCGAGAGAGACGAGGCATACGGAGCACGCGAGTGGGAGGCGCGCCGCGCTGCGCGGCCCTACGGCGGTTCTAGGCCGCCCTACCAGTAGCACTGCTTAGTAGCTCTACTTTGTAAGACTAGACATCCATCGCCATACGCGCCAATCCACCTGTCACGCTACAGGGGTGGATCCATCGCTGCTGTGTCGTGGTGCCGAGTGTGCATGCCGAGTGAGTCCGTAACGAAGGTTCAAGCGGACAAATGTGGTTACTTTTCGAGTGCGGTGATGTACATGACTGTTTGCGGGAAGGCGCGAGCAGATGCAGCAGCGCGGGCGTTGAACAGCGCAAGCAATGGAAGCGGGCAAACCAGGGGTGGGACGAGTAAAAGAGCCAGAGGTCAGTTTGCGTATCCTGCATGCCGAGTCGCCAAGTCGTCGTGAGAACGTACCGTTGTTTCCACGGATGAAAGCGTCGCCGTAGTTGTTCTTCTTTACGCCGTCTACGTATTCGGTTGTGTTTTCAAGTGCAATGTTCATGTATCCGTCCAAGCACGACAGGACGCCCTGGTAGTCGATGCCCGAGTTGAGGCGGACGTTGACGCTCTTGCCAATGACGCCCTTGAGGAAGTCGTTTGGACTGCCCGCCTTGGATGATTGTGTTGCAGACATTGTGTCGACCACGTCTCGTGTGTGCGGATTGAGGATGGTGATGGTGGTGGGACGGTATGCCGAGTGCATTGGTGTGCGTGGAGACAAGCCTCAAAGCCCGGGATTCGGGGATAGCCTGCGTCAAAGGCGAGTCCCGAATTTCGCCCAAAATGTGGAGAAAAAGTGCAGTTGGAGAGCGCGTGATCGAAAAGGCGGAAATGCAGTTGGCTAGAAAAAGTGGGCCGGCTGCGTTCGGAGCTGCCAACTAGCGCCGTGGGTCGAACGAGGCTTGCCTTCAAACCACCATCGCCAGAAGCCAAAGCTGCACCACTAGACCCGTCCGACTGCATTCTTCGTCAGCCGGGCTCCAGCGCCAGAGACACAGCCTGCCCCTAGACCTTTTCAGCTCCGTTCCGCGTGCGACCGGACCTTCGACAGCCCAGACCGCGACCGCCGCTGCCTGAGTCCAAGCACCCAAGCTCTGCATCGACACAGCCGAGCCAGCCAGCTAGCCCGCCACTGCGCTTCAGACTCCTCGCTTGCGCCGCCAGCCGACCTTTGAAGCCCAGAACAGACTAGGCAACGCAGGCTGTCCAGCCACTGCGAGACTGAACCCCGTCGATCGAGCTCCTCCTGCTGCCGAGAAGCACACAGCAAGCCCAGCCTGGCCAACTCTTGCAAGCTCTGTCTCAGCTGGCGCCTGCTTTCAGAATCCTCGTCCGCTTCGCCAAGCAGCCAGAGCTCCCAGGCTAGGCCAGCCACCGCACGGCGCCTCTTTGTTCGAACTCCTCCTCGTGCCTCAAACCGCCCAGCAAGCCCAGCCAGCCCAGGCCCCCAAGGCACCGTCCAAGCTCCGCCTCGAGCCGCACAGAGCCTAGCCAGCCTAAAGTCTCCAGCCACTGCGCAAGCGAGCTCTCCTCATCTGCGCCCTCTCCCGTCGCCCCTTAGGATTGCATCGCGTCGCGTCGCGTCGCCTCGCGTCTTTCCCTTCCTTCAAGGTTCCCCTCCGACGGCCGCTTTCGTCCAGGAAAGGCTTCAACTCGCCTAGCCTCTGCGTCGGCTGCTCGATCACCTCCCTCCGCCTCTGCAAACGCCAGCCCAGCTCAGCCTAGTGCAAACTCGCTGTGCAGCCACAGCCTCCCGCTGGCCGTTCGAACTCCTCTCTGCCGCCTCGACCCGCGCTTAGCTCTCCGAAACGTCTCACGCCATGTCTCGTCCGGCCAAGCTCACGCTTGCCGCCTCGGTGCTCGTTTCGGGCCTCACGGTGTGGGGCGTGCACTACATGCAGGAGCGCGAGCGCGAAGTCATGTACCGTGGCGTCGAGCGCGACGAGGCGCGCCAGGAGGAGAAGCGCCGCAAGCGGCAGCTCGACCTCGAAATCAACCAGCAGAAGGAAAAGGAGTACCAGAAGCTGCAGCCCACCGCTGGTGCGCAGGGGTCAAGTGCCAAAGGGACCTAGTACTGCTGCGTGAAAGAGTAGGCTGCCTTTAGAGATGTTGGCATACATATAGGGGGGGTTCCTCGCTGGTCCTACTCTCTTCCCTCGTCACACATTTTCGTAACCTCTTCCCTCGAGTTGTCCAAACTCGAGCTCAACGCATACGCAAGCAACACTCTACGCCTTTGACGACTTTTGCAACGATGTATGCCGATGCACGCATGGGTTGGGTGGGTTCGACGAGCCGCACGGGGCGGAGTGCGGTGAATGCTGCCGGTGATACGGCTGGGGTGGGGCATACAAGTCAGGCATCGTTGCATGCGATTTTGGACTCAGCTGTGCGTCGGCAGGACGCAGTGTCGATGGAGCAGCTGGGAGTGGGGCCTCACCGCAAGCCGCGCACTTTTGCGAGTCTGTACGATGTGGTTGCGCGCATCATGTGCACACCCACCACCGACGAAGCTCAAGAGGTGGATCCGACTCGACCTCGATACGTGTCGTTTGACGAGCTGCTCAACACCACGCACACCATCGAATCGCCGCAATCCACCGACGACCACGACGTCGAGCAGACAGAGCAGACAGAGCGACAGACGAGGTGCAAGAGGCCCCGCGGCGGATGGATGGACGGACTCAGGGCGCTGCGAACGTACGAGCACGAGTGCGTGTGCTCCGGCCAGTACTGCTTCTGCTACGTGCTAAAGCCCAACTTCACCAAGCACGTCAAACCGGTGCCGAGACCACTTAAGCTCTGCCCGCGCTTTGCACGCACCCCTCTGCCCGACTGGCCGACGGCGTCGGTTGAGGAGTCGTCTGCGGCGTCGTCGAGTTCGAGTGGACGACTTAAGCTTTCGCATCTGCAGCCGTTCCTGCGCGATCTGGCGCTGCTGTACGACGACGACGAGGATGAAGACGAGGACGAAGATGAAGACAAGTAGGGGCGGTGCTTTGAGTCGCCGCACTGCTCACACATGCCAACGAGACAAGCCCTCCCCGTCACGACCGGAACAAGCTTTCTCAAGATGCGCTTCTCCCGCCCTCGCACGCTGCGATGCTGCATCCACTGCAATTCGAACAGCTCCGCGCTCCGCAGTCTTTCGGCTGCTGTACCATACACCCCGACTCTATCCTGCTTTCCAACTTCTGCTTTGCTCGTCTATCCCGCTTCACGCCTGTAGATCTTTAGCTCTCGGTAGCCTCGTACGCCTCTCGCCGCTTTCTGGACAATCACAATGCTTTTCTTCTGGAGCGTCGGCGTGACACGGCCTGAGTCTCAATCCGGAGTTGTGCCTCGTTGCGGCTGGTCATCGCGTCGTGTTCTCATGCAAGGAAAAGGCACGTCGTCATACATGTGCGTTCGAAACCTTTTGGATTGCCGCAACGTGCAATGCTCGGGCTCTTCATCGCACCGAATGGCCCGCTAGAAGGTCTTTGTAAAGTCGTACAAGTCGGCGCTGTTGGAGTTGGCCGACATGTCCTTTGGCCTTGCAGCAGCCTCTGGGTTTCGCTTTGCCAAAAACTGCTGGCGCGCCCTCCTAATGTGGCCCAATCGCGAGACCCAGTTGCTCGAGTACGGCTGCATGGCCTCGCCCGTATCGAGGTAGATCTGGCTCGCCACGTTGCTGTGCAGCGCGAGCACGCGCACAAACTGCGCCAGCGCATCCGCCGACAGCAGCTGCCCATCGCCCACGGGCGAAAACTCGGGCATCCCTACGCGTCGCTGCAGCGTCACCTGGTAAAAGATCGCATCGTCCGGATTCGCCGCGCCCAAATTCACCCCGCCGCGCGTCATGGGCGAAATGACCACATTGACATAGTTGAACTGCCCTGCGATCGTGCCGAACCGATATGCCTTGCCCGACTCGTTGTACACAATGTGCACAAAGTCGTTTCCAATCAGCGCCTTTTTACTGCGTCGAATAGGGTCCCGCTCGTCGTTGGGCATGAGCGTGGCAGTGTGGTAGACAATCTGACAGATCTCGTCCGTCCACACGTACGCATGCTTGCCATGCTCGTCATTGTTCCGATCCAACCCGCCCGTGTAGACATCCTCCTGCCCGCGCAGCGAGACCAGATGGCCAAGACCCTGCAGGAAGCGCGTATACGCGCGCGAGCCGTGGCGGTTGCTCAGGATCGCCACCTCGTCGTCCTGCCCCGGCCCGACGTACAGCACGCCGATCTTGTGGAAGTCCACCACGGGCGTCAGATCAATCGCGCGGATCAGACGGTCCGTCGCAGGCTCGTCCGGCAGCAGGAGCGGCGCTGTGTCCTCAAGCATGTCCGGATACGTCGACAGCTGCAGCGCAAAGAAGCTCGGATCCACCTCGGCCTCCTTTGCCGACGCCCGCGGCGCCGCTTTCGACGCACTGCCACCGCCAGCCTGCTCCGGGCCAAGGATGTCGCGCATCACCTCGCGCATTGCCAGCGAGCTTCCCGCCAGCGCATCGGCTCGAGCGCTACCCGTCGCGGCCTCCGACGAGCTGAGCGCGCCCGAGAACGACGACGACCGCGGCCGCGATCCCAGCCCAAAGTGTGCTGGTCCCAACGGACGACGCGCGCGCAGACGCTCGCTCACCTCCAGCCGCTCCTCGACGCGTCGGCGCAGCGAGCTCGCATTCTTGCCTTCCTCCGCCGCATCCGCATCTGGGTCTGCAGCCGTGGCCGCAGCCGCCGCCGCGGCCGCCGCCTCGTCTGCCGCCGCGACCCCCTCTTCCGGAGCCGCGAGAGGCGGCTTGCTCATGGTGTCCGGGTTGCGGTTCATCATGAGCATCGCGGGCAGTTGCGCCTTGTCGCCGTTCTCATCCGTCAAAATGCCTGAGGGCACGTTCTCGAGCTTGCACAGCATCGTTGCCGTGCCCGAGGGCCTGCGGATGACGATCTCGACCCATCCGGCCTTCTTGGCCGTCGACACGGTGAGCAGCCCGTTACCCATGAGCCACGTCTTGGAGTGCCTCGCGCCGTCCTTGCCGCGCACCGGTCCGGCGGTGGGCGCGCCCATGATGAGCTGGTTGACAAACGAGCGCTTGGGCTTGGACTCGGCGTTCGAGTGCGTAAAGCGCGCAAGGAAATCAAAGCACACCTGCGTCTGGTCCGAGAGCGCGTCCATGCCCTCGTTGGCCTTGAGCAGGCCGCGCGAGATGTAGGGCAGGTACTTGGGCCGATCGCCCACCTTGAGGATCACAAACCACAGCGCAATGTTGTAGAACGCCATGAGCATCACGTACTGCGAGAGCGAGAACGTGGCGGGGCTCGCGCGGTAGTCGTCGCGCGTCGCCGCCTCGGGGCTCTGGTGGTACTCGATGTACTGCAGCACAATGCTGAACACGCGCTTGTAGTCCGTCTCGGTGAAGTTGGCGTAGCACGCCGGATGCTGTGCGACCGTGGCGATGAGCTCGAGGATGTGCACGCTCATGGTCATGTGCGAGCGCACCGCGGTGAGCGTGAGCAGCATGTTGGAGAAGAAGCGCGTAAAGCTCTTCTGCATCTCGTAGCACGCGATCGAGAGCGCCTTGATGCACGACCGCGCCGTCGTGTGCGACTTTTTGAGACCGCGAATGAACGCATCCACCATCTCGTCCTGCTCGGCGCGCGAGAAGAGCGTGCGGTAGCTGATGAGCGTCACGAGCGTGTCGTACACCACCGCCGTCACGTCGGTCTTTTTCAGATCGTCCGGAAGCACCACTTTGGGCAGGAGTGCATCGTCAAGGATGCCCTGGCAAATCTCCTTGCGCAGGTGCAGCACCTGGAGCTGCGCCTTGGGCCCGCAGAACAGATGCTTGTTGCTCAGCTGGTGCGGCAGGTGGCACAGCAGGTACGACACTACCTCCCAGTCCGGCTCCGAGCGCAAGATCTCGATCGCTGCGGCCAGGAATTCAGACACGGGGATGGGCGCCGGCACGCGTTCCTTGTCGCTGTGTAAGTGCGTGTTGCCGGCGCAGCACTCCATGTCGCTGCGCTGGTGGATGTAGGTGTAGATGATATCGCTGCGGAGCGAGATGCTGGGCATCTCGAACGAGACCGCCTGGGGTAAGCGCCACAGATGCTCGTACGTCGCTGGCCGTACAGCCCTCTGCTGGCTGCTGCTGCGGTCTCGTGGTTCGGCCTGACGTCGCGCTGGCTCGCTGACGCGTTCGGGCCGCCCTCGCTCGCGGGACAACTCTCGCAGGCGGGATTTGGACCTTGCTGCGGCCTCTGCATTGCGCTGAGCCTCGCGGCCCTCGCGCTCGTTCCGAATAGGCGCGGTGCCTACCTTGGAGCCAGCCCGCGCGCGCGCATCTGCGCTGCTGTTCGACGATCCTGCTTGCTTGTTGGCACCGAGGTCGGCTTCGGTGTCCCTGGGGCCTTTCATCAGCACCGTGGCGCTCTCGCTGATAAGTTCGTCCAAGTTGCCCGCGAGGTAGACACGGTGCTGTCGATCTGTGCGGAAGCGGAGCAGCCATTCCAGGATGACGAGTCTGGTCGAGGTGCACACGGTGCCAGTGGTCGCCGCTGCCGAAGATGCCGACGTGGTACCCGCGCCCGAGGACGGCCTGACTTTGAGCAGCTCGAGCAGGTCGCGGAAGATGGCGATGCAGCCGGCACGCGTCTTCTTCTCCCACTGCTGGCGGATGGACAGGTCGATGCCGCGGTCTACCGAGTTGGCGATCCACGGCGTGCTGAAAGCCATGCGGTTGAAGATGGCGATCATGTCGAGCGCCGCATTGCGCGCCTTGCCCTCGCTGGCCGATGAACCAAGCTGCGCATGCGACGGCGACTTGCCCTCTTCATCCTCTGCGGCACCCGCAGGCACATCGAACGCCACCGCCTTGTGCGAGGCAGAGCGCGCTAACCGGCACAGCAGCTTGCGCACCTCGACAAACACCTCTTCGAACTCGGAATCGGGTAAGTCCTTCTGCTTGCTCTCGACCGCCTCGGCGTCCGGGTCGACGGGACCCGGGATCTGCGATCCGCTGAGCACGGCGGCGTGAACGAGCACCGAACGAATCAACGATTCGGTGCGTGCGTCCGTCTCTGAGGAGAGCGTGGAATTGGCCAGCGGCAGGACGATCTCGGTCATGAACAGGTTGCGCTCGGCGTTGAGGTCTTGCACAGCGTTGTAGACGTGGTCGAAAACGAGCGAGACGAGGTCGTATCGCGCGTTGGGCTCCGACTGGCCCTGCGGCGACGTTGGCACGTTGCGGTAGAAGAAAGCCTGGAGGAGCGCGCGGATGTTGGCGAGCCAGTCTGGATTGCTCGGCAGGCAGAGGTGCTGCGACCAGTAGTACTGCACGAGCTTCGAGACGGTGGCGTCGGGCAAGATGGGCGAAAGCGTGAGGAGGAACGATGCTAGCTTTGGGCTCCAAGGCGGTGACGGCGATGCTGCTGCTGACGCGCTTGCTTCGCCGCTCTCTGACGGGCGCCTGTTCTCGGCATCCTTGGCCTCCGAAGACGCTCTTGGCGGATGTGCAATGTTGACCTTGTCCAAGAGCTTGAGCATCGCCATGACCGTCGTCGTGTGAGTGGCGGAAGTGCCTGTGGCAGACTCGGCGGCTTCGGCCGAAGCATGCAGTGACGCCGATCCGCTGAGACCGGACGAGGCGCTGAAGAACGAGCTGCTGAGCTTGAGGCCTTCGAGGTGCCTCTTGGCGTCGATGGTGAGTTCCAGGAGTGCGTCCCAGTCGGAGCGGGCAAAGGCTCTGTCGCGTGTGTCTTTGTTGCCTTGCGAGTTGGAGCGGTCTAATGGCGTTTGCTTGTCGCCTACGATGCGTGCTTTTGGTGCCGAAGCCTGTTGGGCAGCTGCCTGTGCTGACGGGAGAAGATCCGAGATGAGCAGCAGCACCTCGAGGTCAAGCACATCGCACTGTCGTTTGAGGGCGGCGCGTAGCGCGGGTGTGATGAGTGCAAGGGAAAGAGTAGGAGCAAGCGCATCTTCCTTCTGCGGCTTGGACGAGGCGTTGGAGGCGGAACCTTGGCTCTTCTGCTGCTCTTGTTCGGCCACATGGGTCAGAGCCAGACGGAAGAAGTTGACGGCGCCGACGAGTACCGCCGGATCCTCGAGCTGCGCTGCCTTTCCTGGCTCGGTGGACGAAGTGAGGATGAGGCGGGCGGATCGGATGGCAGCATTGGCGCAGTGGCTGCGGAGGATGTTGGAAAGGATGGGCAGCACTTCCTGGTGCCAGTCAGCGTCTTGGTCGTGTGCGTCGGACTTTGGGCGGATGAATCCGGGCGAGCGAGGATCCACGCGGCAGTAGCCCAGGAGACGGCAGAGCATCTTGACCACGATCTCGATGCACGCGGGTGGGAGGTGGCCGTAGCGAAGCGTAGCATCCAAGAGCTTGAGACAGCTGCGCACCTCGTCGAGATGGAGCTCGGGGCCGATCCAGTAGTGTGAGGTCGTTTCTTTGGACGGGGTGGCGGCGGCCGACTCGCGACTAGGGACGAGGGTTGCCAAGGTCATGGGCGCGGCGTTGGAGGGTTTGGCAGGTGCTGAGGATGCAGATGCGGATGCGTGCAGCTGGGACGCCAGGGCATCGATCGAGACGAGTTTTGTGGAGCGCGGCGTTGCGGACGGCGAGGTCTCCATGCTGCCTGGCGAAGGGCTGATGGTTTCGAGGCCGTAGTAGGAGTAGCCATCGAGGAGAGGGCGTGCGTCACGGGAGCGTGAACGGCGAGAGGCTGGTGTAGCGCTGGCCGTCATGCGCTGTGGGCCCAAGAGGGGCGTGCTTTTGAGGGGCGGCGATGCGATGGCGGTGCTGGGCAAGGCGGTGGTTTGTGCATTGCCCTCGCCGATGACGAGCTCGGCTGCGCTTCGAATGACGAGCTCGGCATGCGAGAGAGGGATGCGGGCAAAGCTGTACTTGAGAATGCCCATGAGAAGCTGGAGGCAGGACTGTACGTCCCACTCTGCAGACGAGAGGCGGGCGATGGCGAGCGTCTGTTCGGCGGCAAGCTCGTCTGCATTGTCTTTGGAGCCCGGTCGACCGATCCTGCCGTTGTCATCGACAAAGGCTTGAAGCTGAGTGCGGAGACGCTGTACCTCGCGCCATGCGACGTCGAGCCAGCGTGTGAGGCAAAGGATGAGGCCGGGGAAGCCGACGACATCTCTGCCGTCCTTTGTGAGCACCTCGATGGCGCGAAGCTGTGTTGGCAAGCCGGCGAGGATGAGGTGGGTGTTGTCGTCGACTTCGTCATCGTCGATTTCGCTGGCGGAGACGCTGAGGACGAGGCGATAGAAGAGGGAACGGTCGATGGCAGCTAGCGGCTGATCGCTGTCGGAGACCTTTGAGGAAAGGGAGCCTGGAGCGCCGTTGCGCAGTTCTGTGAGAGCGGGAGAAGCATTGGCGGCGCGCTTGTCCGCGAGCTTGACGGAGAGGGTGAGGAGGTTGCACGTCTCGATGCGCAGTTTCTGGGGTTGCTCTGCTGTGAGGAGGGCGGTGCAAAGGCGAAAGACTTGGGCGAGGGGCACGTCGTCGGCAAAGATGGGTTTGGGAGCGCTCTGGCGTTCTACGGCGGCGGCAAGAGCGCGGATCTTTGGGATGCGCTGTCGGACGGCGTCGTCGCGTGCTTTGGCAGTGGCAGGGAGAGGTTTGCGCAGATCGTCGAAGAGTGCATCGTAGGTGGCGCCGTGTGCGGGTTCGATCTTGGTGAGATCGTAGGGAGATATGGGTTCGAGCCAAGCCGATGCACCGGACTCAAAAGGGTTGCGCGACGGAGGCAGTGCGGTGGTGATGGGCGCCAAGGGGGTGCTGGGCAAGAGGCCGTTGCCTGTGGCTGCTGCTGAGGTTGCGGACGAGGTAGCCGAGGTGGAGCGACCGCCGCCACGAATGGTGCGGAGGATGTGGTTGAAGCTGCTGCTAGCCTTGGAGGAGCCTGCGGAAGACGACGAGGCGGCCGTGCCCGCCGCCGTAGCGGGCAGCGACTGTGCGGCGGAAGAGGGCGAGCGCAAGCGGTTTGGATCCATTGTGGAGAGGGGGTCGGTCAGGACATGATCGCGAGCGAGAGGGTGATGGGAGCGAAAGAGATGAAGGACGGGTGGGTATGATGAGGGGCTGTCAGGGTGTGAAGGCGCTGTTGCGTGCGTTGATGGTGCGATAACGCAGCGCTTCGCTGCAGGGCGGCGCTTAAAATCCGCCGCCAGGCACAGTCAGCTGTCGACTCATCCTCGAGCGCTTGAGCCTTGGCCCGTCCAGGCACACAGGGCGGATGCTAATTTGTGGAGGGGTCGAGGGAAAAAGCAATCGGGAAGGCAGCGTCTGGAAGCTGCCGATGAGATCGTGATCGGATAGCACGTGAGCCGCTGTGCTTGCTGCCTCTCGTACGAAGCGACTCGACCCGCACGCTTCCGGGCAGGCTGTGGAATTTCTAGCCATTACAAATCCGCCTACCGCTGTGTGCTGTGAGCCGCGCTGAAAATCGCAAAATTGAGCGCCCAACAGTGGACGGCAGCTGCGACGAAATCGGGGCCACACACTGCGCTGAGCAGGCCTGCTGCCCCAGTCGACTCGGGTGGATTCGAGACGGATTCTTCTTGCAGCAGCGAGCGCTCGCTCGCTCGCTCGCTGTCGGCCGTCGCTGCCGGCGCGCGGGCTGCTGCCATCGAAGGGATCTCGAGCTCGACTCACTTTGCAACTTCATCGCCATCATCACCAACCCTCTCGCCGTTGTTCGATCGACACACATCCATATCCGCCATGCCGTCGTCTTCCGTCACACTCTCGCTTCCCGCCGCGGCCGACGAGTCCGTGTTCAGCTCCGTCTCGAGCTTCTTCTCGTCGCTCTTGCCTACCGTCCACGCCGAGGAGGTAAGTTTTGGTATACTGCCAGCATCGACAGCAGCATCGCCCCGCCCCCTTTCGGAAGAAGACGAGATCGAAAGTACCAGGCATCTCGTCCGAATGCACAGTGTGTGCACTTATCCGACGGTTCTGGATCAAAGTGCCTCGCTTGGACACTTTGCGGCGCAGTTCAAGCGCACATCTACCGCGATCTACCGCTGCCTCACTGCGTGGTCTGCGGCATACCAGCACCGGAACATGCCGCTCTGGCGCACGAGCGAATCATCTCTGCACAGGACAGAACGACTCGCTGCCACAGATCTCGAAAGGGGGCCGACGCGCTGCTGCCGATGCACCTTGACACTTTCCGACGGTTGTCGGCTGTTCCGAACATGAAATGCTGACCACATCGTCTCTCTTTCCCGACCGTTCATACTGCTGCCCCGCCGCAACCCGCACATGCTTGCCCTTACGCTTCCGCCCACGCAGGAGTCCTCGGAGGACGCCGAGTCCGAAGACAAGGAGGAGGCCGAGGAAGAAGAGGAGGAGGAGGAGGAGGAAGAGGAGGAGGACGAGCCCGAGGACGTACGTATCACCGCCCCATCTCTCCTTACAGGGATGTGAAGCTCACCTTTTTGCATTTCGTGTTTTGTTCCGCTCTGCTTGCTGCGTCTTTAGCCTGCGCCTGCGATTTACGAGGAGTGCGAGAAGTCCAAGGCATGTGCTCCGCTCAAGCACCACTTTGACGAGTGCGCCAAGCGCGTCAACGAAGGCAAGGGCTTCGAGGGCGAAAACTGCATCGAGGAGTTCTGTAAGTTGTCCATCACTCCCACATCTTAGTTTCATATCGGAAAGATTTTAGCTGACCTTTTGGGAGTGTTTGCACAAACAGTCCACCTCTCGCACTGTGCGCAAGAGTGCACCGCACCCAAGCTCTTCGCCAAGCTCGTCTAGACGCTTTCATGACAAGCGCAAGCGTCCGCAGCGTCGGCTCATCCGTGCATCGCCCTTTCAAGCTTGCTGTAGATCCCTCCCTAGGACGTCGCCTGCAATTCTGATCCACATCTATACATCCAAGCCTTGCAAAGCGCTGTCAACCATTCCTTCCTGGTGCGTTTTACGGCGTGGTGCACAAAGCAGTGCGCTAACAACCAAAGCTTTCGAAAAGTGTGGCGTCTGAACACGGTACATCCGTGTGCTCGTGCAGCGTGATTTGCCCATTCGATGAGCCTACCTTTTGTGCACAAACTGAGCCGTGTGCAGCTTCATCTTTGCTTGAGTCGACACGCTGCCGGCGCACCATCTTACCCCACTGCCATCGTCTACTCCCGCGCTCAGCCTGCACATCCGACAGCTTCATGCCTCGCGTCATCGCCACTCTCACCCAGCACAAAACGCTCGCACAATTTGGGAAGCCTGGTTTCATACAAAGCCTTGCAAGACCATCAAAAGATACAATGAGAGAATGGGGGTGGAAAGCTGTCTACAGGACTGAGGAAAAACGCCGATGCCGCTTTGACCTTAGTTGATGGCATCCTCTCCGTTCCAGTGCACCAAGTCAAGACACCTGTCGATGACCTTGTCCACGCTCCACCTTCCGCCGGGACCGCCGGAGCCGTACTTGAGATGCAGCAGCGAGCCGACCTCGTCGCAGGCGCGCAGCACGTCGTCAATGTCCTTCTTGGTGTGTGCTGCACTCACACAGAACCTCACGCGCGACGAAATGAGCGGCGTGGCAGGATACGCCACCACGACCACCACAATCGGCGGACGCGCAGGACGCTCAATGTTGGCCGGATTCGCCGGATCCTCAATCGCCTTGAGCTCGTCGCTCGACATGTCCGACTGCTCCACCGCAAATCGCTGCGACGGAGGCAGCACCGCCGAGCGGTCGAGCATCATGCGCGAGAACAACGACATCTTGGCCGGATGGAAGATGAGCAGCGGCACAATCGGCGAGTCGCGATGGCCATAAACGATAAAGCCGAGCTTGCGAAGTCCACTGCTGAGGTAGCGCGCGTTGAACGCAAGACGACGCAACCTCTCGCGACCCTCGCTGCCATCGAGCAGCGGACGCGGAAGCTGAACCCAGCTAGGCAGCAGCGCCATCTCGTCCGGGTTGCGACCCACACCCATGATCGACGCCATCGACGCCACGATCTGCGTCAAGACGGGCGGCGACAGCGTCTCGCCGTACACGTTGGCGTGGTTGGTGAGCCTGATGCGGTCGATGATCGTCTTGTCGGCCGCAATGTAGCCACCGGCCGCACCAAACGACTTGGTAAACGTGCCCATCAGGATGTCGACCTTGGCCGGGTCGACGCCAAAGTAGTCGCACACGCCGCGACCCTTGGGACCGATGGCTCCGACCGAGTGCGCCTCGTCGACGTACAGGTGGAACTTGTACTTTTCCTTGAGGCGCATCACCTCGGGCAGGTTGACGAGCGTGCCCTCCATCGAGTAGAGGCCCTCGACGATGAGCAGGATCTTCTTCCACGGACGGTGCGTGCGCGGCATGCCCTGGCTGATGCACTCGCGCAGCAGCGACTCGAGCTTCTTCATGTCATTGTGCTTGTACTGGCGGATGTGCGCGCCACTCAGACGCGCGCCGAAGCGGATGGAGCTGTGGTTGTACTCGTCCGAGATGATGAGCGTTCCGGGCCCGGCGATGGCGGGGATGGTGGTAGAGTTGGTGGCAAAGCCCATGCTGATCACCACGGCGTCTTCTTTGCCCATGAAGCGCGCCACGAGCTTCTCGGTCTGCTGCTGGAGGTCGAGGTGACCGGCGCCGAGGCGGTTGCCGTAGCTGCTCACGCCGTAGGTGCGCAGGCACTCCTCGACGGCGTCGGCACAGCCGCCGTGCGACTGGGCGAAGCCGAGGTAGTTGTAGGCGCTGATGTTGAGCGCGCGCGTCTTTTCGCCCGTGAGACGGAAGGTGGAGTAGTAGTCGAGGGCGACGCGGTCGAGGCAGACGACGGTCCTACCGCATACGCCGGTGACGGGGCGGCTGAAGCAGTCGTCCATGCGTGCCTTGAGGCGGCGGGTGTAGAAGCTGTCGAAATCCGAGTTGAGGGCGGCGTAGCCGTCGCGCTCCATGAGGTGGTGGTACGACTTGGGGAAGAGGCGCTTGCCGACGTAGTCGCGCATGTGGCCGATGAGGATGAGGATGATGTAGGAGATGTAGGTGGTGAGGACGGTAAAGTAGCTGGGCTCCTCCTCGACCGGGTTGGGCAAGGGGTCGCCGCGACGGTGCTCCGAGGTGTAGCGGTAGTCTGGGTTGGCGCAGTAGCCGAATTCCGAGTGGATGAGTTTGGCGCCATCCTGGCTGCTGTCGTAGCTGGTAGGAGGCTGGGCGGTGCCGTTGCCGTAGACGAAGCCGGCGTCAGCGCTGTAGGCGGCGTCGCCCTTGCCTGCGTTGAAGCGCGCGTTGAGGCTGCGATGATGCGCATCCTGGACGGACTCGAGGCTCTCGATGGAGGCGGAGGTGGAGCCAGTGGTGAGACTGGGCGCCTGGGACTCTACGTCGGGCGAGCTGTCTGGGCTCGAGGCAAAGCCAGACCAACCGGCCTGGTTGGCGGTGGTGGAGTCGATCTGAGCGACCATGTCTGTGTTGGCGTGAGCGGGGGGCGAGATGGCGACGATGGGAGCGCCCTTCTTGAGGAAAGAGGACAGGGACGGGGATGAGGCGAGGGGCGATTTGGAGGGAGCGTTGGATCGCTTGATGCTCGCGTTGGGGTTACGGAGCGAGTCGGAGTGGTGGGCGTCGAGCAGCTGAGGGGCCGAAGACATGTTCTACCCGTCTGCAAGAAAAGCTGGATCGGGGTCGAAAGCTACCTGGGGCTTGTCCGAGGAGGGGTCCGATTGAGCAGAGATAGCAACGTGTGCAAGATTTTGGCCACTCGAGGGTCGGTCCGACTGAACGGGCGAGAGTTCGAGTGCGAGCCAAACGGCGGGATGGTTTAGCGCGGTTGACGCCAAGGGGTAAGCTGTGCAGTGAGGCTCTGAGGCGTGCAGGGCGCGTATCGAGAGCGAGCAAGGCTGGGTGCGAGCGTCGGTCGAGTGCGCTTGACAACCGGGTCAAGGTTGGCTCGAGGGGACGTTGCACCTGCTTGAGCGGGCAGCGCTGATTGCGTCTGGGTGTGCAGTGCGTTGTCGACCGTCGGGTGGGTGTGGAACGGATGCAACTGCTAGTCGATGTTGAGTAGGAAGTGTGTATTCCAGCTCGAGACGGGTGATGGTGGAGAGGTTCGTGGTCGAGTGCGAGAGCGAGTGCGAGTGCGTGTGCGTGTGTGTGTCGAAAGCAATGCGGCCTCGGCGGCCCACGGCCTGGCTTTGCGGATGGACGCCGTTTGCAGTGCGTTTTTTTGAATTTCCGGCAGTTGTTGAACCGCGCTCACCGCTCCGATGCGGCTCAGCAGGGGGAACTCTTTCTCCCCCCAAAAACTCTTTTTTTTCGCGAGCGTGCGTGTGCGTGCTGTGCTGTGCTGTGCTGTGCTGTGTCCTGTGCTGACACGCTCTCCAACCGCCAGCAGCGCATCGCAACAGCGCATTACCGTTGGCACCGCAGTGTTGGTGTGCGGCGGCTGTCTGTGCTCGCCTAGCCTCGGCGATCTGCAAGGCGCTGCTCCAAACCCTCTTTGTCGCTCTGTCTCTTTCCCTTGCGCTCGCTCGCTACTGCCGCCACTCAGAAGCGTCACTGCAACTTACACACGTCCCACCCGAACTGTTCCGCTCGAGCCTCAGGTGTCGTTGATTCGCTCGAGGCTACAGTGCAGAGCTTGCAGCAGGTATGAGTGTGCCATGCCGTGTACGTGCGTACGACGTGAGGCATGCGCCGGTCAGCTGGCGGGCGTTGTGCGAGCGGAATCCTAGCTCCGGCCACTTGCGTCCAACTCCGCGCACTTGACGTGCCATCCGCGATCCACTCGAGCGCTCTGCTGACACCGCTGCGTCACGTCTCCTCGGATTTTGGCTTGAATTTCGAGCCACTTCCAAACCTCGAGCTTGTCGCAGCCTGCCTGCCTGCCAGCCGGCCAGCCAGCCAGCCAGCCAGCCAGCCCGGAAGTAAGCACGGCTTGGTCACCCAGCCCACGCCTCACATAAGCAGGTCGCATTCCAAATTTCGTGTCGCGTTCAGCAGTACTTCCGGCCGAAACATCTCGCACTCGCGCCGATTGGATTACCCGATCCACTCCAAGCCTTCATTGTCCCTTGTGCCCGGTGCTTCCATCTGGACACTCGCACACTCGTGAAACACAGCTCAGGCCACCCGGGCGTGCGAATTCGGGTCAACACAGGATGTGTGATTGCTTTTGGTGGGCATGTTGCGAACGCGCGAGGCGCTCAAGGTGGCGCACTTGTAGCTCTTGCGTTGAATAGCAAGCTACTGCAAGCGACCGATGTGTGATAGGAGGGTTGGAGATGTGAGAGGAGCATCAGATGCAGTGCGTCGCTGACGTGCTTGGCGCCACGCTCAGATGCAACTCCTCCATAGAGCTAATGTAACAGATGCGGCGGAGCAGACGGGAAGTGGAAAGGGGGGTGCACATTTAGACACGGCCCTTGCCGGCACCACCCTTCATCTGCTGGCGCGAGATCTGGGGACCAGCACCACCGGAGCCGACCGACTTGGCCTTGGTCGCCTTGCGTGCCTCGGCCTTGGACTTCTTGTCCTCCTTGCTCTTGGCAATGGCGGCCTGGCGAGCGGCAGCACGAACCTCGGGCTTCTGGTTGCGGCGGGCGTTGATCACGTCGAGCGAAGCGCCGACGATGCCACGCTGGTGCTTGACAGTCTTGCGCGAGCGCTTCTTGGCGACCTCCTCGGTAACACCCTTCTTGTGAAGACGACGGTACACAGTGGTCCAGGCGATCTTACGGGGGTTCTTGCGCTGCAGGAAGAGCGACTCGTTCTTCGAGCTGACAAAGCGGAACACCTTGTTGTCACCGCGGACGTAAAGACGACCCTTACCACTGTTCGTTGTGCGAATGATGCATCAGGTTGGCGGTATCAATGGTCAGTAATGCACGTCGAGCATGCTTCCACGTGCTGATGAATGGGCATGCAATCCAAGGTTGAGGCTTCGACATGTCGAGGGCGTCACGTAAAGACGGCGAATGATCTGATCCGATCGGCGAGCGGCACTGATTGTAACAAGTCCTGTTCCTCCGTTCCATCCCCCATGCAATGCGGTTGATGAGGTGTTGGCTCCAACCATGCCAGACAAGCTGTCGACATGCTGCACTGCAAGACGTGGCACCGAAACTGCGATCATCCGACGTATGCTGGGCGTGCGAATGCGCAGCACGTTTGACCGGTAGAGCGAGTAGGTGGTAGCGATGCACTGAAGACTCGAATGTCCTAATATGCCCATGTGTCCACCTTATGTTCCCAGCGCATTCGCAAGTGTGATTCGTGCAACGATCCCTGACTGCCCAAGAATGCGACCAAGATCTGACCACTATCCCTGCCATCTGGTCTCTGCCCTGCCTTCACGACGCTGCTGAGCACATCTCCATCCCGCTGCGAACCGTCCAGGTGCGTCCCTTCCCATGCTCCATCCCAACTGGCCTCGTCCCATGCTCCTCTGCCCTGAATTGCCAACGTCTGAACACTGCTGAACGTCGAAGTGTCTCCGATGCTGCCTCCGATGCTGCCTGGGTGCTGGTGTGCTCTTCCGAGTCGTAATGATGCGATTGTCGAGGAGGTGGTCGAATGTGCTTTGGCCGCCGGAGTCTGTGCAGCGGTAGTGCTGCAACCTTGGAGTGCATGTCCATCATTGCAATGTCGTAATTGGACCACTTACGGGTAGATCTTCCTTTGGGAGAAAGCGCAAATCTCGACCTTCATCTGTGCAAGAGTGGAATGCGACGGTGACGGTGGTGGTGTTGGTGGTGGTGCAACAAGATCGAACACAAGCGAAGGGCCGTATGTGGTGAGCGATCGTGGTCTGGATTTGGTGTGGGTGATGAATGTCGGCTGTGCGTGACGTGCTGGCGTTGTCGTCGACAGTCGGCGTGGTGTGTTGGCGAGCTTACCTTGACGATATCTTAGGTGATCTTGAAGCAAAGTTGGTCGATGAGGAAGGTGGAGACGAGGCGGTAGCAGCACGGCTCTAACGACTTGCCCGACAGCGACGGCGACGCTCGCGCGCTGGTGCCCAGCCTCGATTGAGCGGCCGACTGCCTGGCTGAGCTGGGTCGCTGCGGTGTGCTGCCAGCTGCAGCTTCACTTGGCCCACAGCCTGGACATTCTGACTCAAAATGAAGGGCCCGATCCAGGCCGGCTCCGGTTGAGGATGCGTCACGTGAATATCCTAAAGCTCGGCCGAGGTCCGGTCCTCACACCATTTCGACGCGACCCCGCCCTCCCACTGCCTCTACTCATCTCGCGGATGTATTCACTTGCTCTGCTCGTCATCGTCACAGCACGTACCCCAAGCAACGTCAACATCAAACTTCCAACGCTATGCAGAGCGGTCGATGACTCTATGTACTGGAGCATAGCAGCTGTGTGAGGAGCCACTTTTAATAAGCGATGGAGACATTTGTTAGACCCTCAAACACTACAAATTTGTGAGATTTTCGAGCCACGCGAGATTCTGACCCTGTCACTCATGGCAACGCTGCCTCTCTTTGCTCGTCTTGAGCATTGGATGGATCTGCATCCTGTACGGGAGTCGGTGACACCCGACGCTATGCTGCAGCTATGCGGCGACATGCAAGCTTCATGCGTGACATTCCGCGCTGGTGTGATGTACGCACGAAGGTCCCTTGCCTTTGGCGCAGCGCCGGGGCCGACCTCGTGGTCTTGACGGCGCCAAGTTTGACCGGCGGCTGAATATACTCATTTGCATGCGCAAAGGCCGCACTGCCCGAACCCTGTGGGCGCTGCTGCCACCACCGCGCGGTCTCCACCACATGGCGGCGGGGCTGTGCCTGTTGAATCCACCGGATGCAGTGGCACAACGCCGCCGGTCGGTGCTAACTTACTTCGGGTCCTGGCGCGTGGGCCTCGTTGATGGGATCATGCGAGGAGATGGAATGCATCCGTCCTGCTCGGTTCGAGACGACATCTGATAAACCTTGTGCCGCGATGAGCGTGATTGGATCCGAATGGCCAGCGTGGCGGCGACAGGCGGCGACGAGGTTGCATCTCCCGCGTGGCGGGTAAACGCCTTGGCATCGCAGCCAATCAATCGCTGCAGAGAGTGTCTGTCTGCACTGGGAAGCCGACATTCGAGCTTCCCTCGACACGGATTCGCGGCTGTTGGGCCATGCTGTCGTCCCGGTCTCCGGCTCAACTCTTGGTGGTCCCTGACCTTTGAGCGCTTCGCCCGCACTGCCAGACACCATGCGCCGGGACCTGGGAATCCCGACGACGTCAACTCAGGTTTCATACGCCACGATGCCTTTGCGATCGGGAACTTACTCTGACCTTTGACTGTTGAGCTTGTGACGTCTTACGTCGACTCGAGCGCGCTGCACCGAGCCTTTCCGAAATCACCGCGGAGCAAAGCGTCGTAAGCGCGTCAGAGCGCCGTGGACGTTCCGCGGCGACGGACCTGTCTTTTTTTCGGCGATGCAAGTCCGAAGCGCCTGGCGGCGATGGGATTGAGCTCGTTTGCCCGGTCAATTTTACGTGCCAAACCCTTGGCAGCGACAGGAGATGGCCGGGGAGCGCCGCGTGTGAACCTCGAACTGCGGCTGGCATTGCGGGAGTGCGGGCAGCAAAAGTCGCCGAGCTGCAGAGCTGGGCGGATCGTCGCAGGTTGTGTTGGAGGCAAAGACTCGATCGAGCCGGGCTCCACACCGAGGAAGCAGGCACCGGTCAAAAGCGTTGATGCGACCAACGTCGTTTTTTTGCTCGGATATCGCGCAGAGAGCCGACGGGATGGGGCTCTTGGCGCCGACGTAGAGCAGATCGAGGCAGGAGATGAGCGCTGCAATCGCCTCTTTGACACCGAAGGCCAGGCGAAATCTGGCATGCCAGACGACTCAGGCACCGGCACAGAGGCACGACCAGCCGGGCTCGGCTTTCTGAGCTCGGTCGCCAATGCATGCCGCCTCCGCGTCTGGTGCTGCCAGCTCGCTTGCACCGCCCCGTTCAGGAACTCGCCAGGCTCGACACACTCGCATCAAACATTCGGCTCCCGCCTCGCCAGGCCCGCAATGCCGCGGCGGCGCAGAGCTACCGTGATGTAGGCACCCGCCATCAGTTTGCAGCTTCGACGACACAAGGGCCCTCCGAGCCCCAAAAATCCACAAAGTTGGATCTTGCGAACTGACCCTGAGCCTGCTGCTCGAGTGCACCGCTTTTTTGGTCGGTGACTGCTGTTGTGCGCCTGCTATCGGCGTCAGCTGCATACCGATATTGAACTTGCATGCCCCAGTGCATCTATGCTGCCGCCTCGTTTCCCGTCATGCTGGGTGGCACCATTGTTGCGCTTATTGTGTGCGATGCAGCGGTATTCTGTTCGGCGCTCAATTGTCTCCAGGACGCTGAGATTCGGTCTGCAAACGAAAGGTGTTGGTGATGCATTAGCGAGGCAGAGCGAATATGGGGCGTGGCGTCAGTGCCCGCTGTGACGGTTCGGATTGCAGCCGATTTGCAGATGCAATCTGTGCCCAAACTGCAACTCCAACCCTGCACCTCCAATCCGCCTGGCCAGCTGAGCCGGACGGAGATGGCGCTTCCGCTCTCCCGACCACCATCCTCCGCCATCCCGTCCGCTGCTGCCGCCCTCTCGCCCACCCCTCCCACCATCCCTCAGAGCTTGTGGTAAGTGATCGCACACATTGCTGTGGCCTTCTTGGACGATTTCCGAGACGACGGTTTCGCTGGCTTCGAGCGACTCCAGGTGTTCCGCTCGATGACTTTCAACGGAGAAGGCGACGACGGCCCAGCTGGCTACTCGTACCATTATTAATATGGCCGGACATTGCTGGCACTTCCAGTGGCCACACATTGCTCGTCCCGTTGTCGCCATGATTCTCGCTAGAACTGCATCGCTTGCATCCCCGCAACCCGGGCGTCGTTACGTTGCATTGCGAAGGGCTCGCCAATCAGTTGTCTGTTCTATCCGACGTTGCGACTGGGCGACGTCGGCTAGACTCGGATACATCGAAGCGTAACCATGCTTGGCGGGCTTAGCCATCGGCTCTGCTCCGCACCATGTTCGGCTTGGACCTCGACCGCCTCCAAGTTGCGGAGAAGCCGTAACCACTCGTCTCCGATGGCTACCTCACTCTCGGGCACTAGCCGATTCGAGCTCGGCTGTCCCGAGTACAGCCATTCAGTGGCTACAACTAGCCAGCACAAGTGCCTGATTACTGACATCTTCTTCCTTTCGTGTCTGTCTGCTGCCCTCTTTCCATGTCTCTATCTTTGACCACTATCTTACGACACCACCATGCATGCGATCCCGCATCTACAGCCTAGTCCGCTTGAGTTTTACTCGCGAAACAGCCAGCTCGCATCATCCGCCTCATCATCCCCTCATCCTCCTTCTCCCGCCTACCGCCTTTCACCACCAATCTTCGACATCACCCCTATCCGCCTCATCACAAACATCACCTCCTCCACCGCCTTTCGCCCTCCAACGCGAGTTTCAACCTGTAAAGGCTCGAAGCTACCCCTCCGACCAGCTTGAAGTTAAAGATACTCCGCGCGCCTCGAGTCGCTGCACATTGTATCTGTAGCTTTCAACGCTGAACGCTCTCGCTTGCAACTCCGAGCCCGGTCCTCAGCCAGCTTCGCATTGCTCGATCCTCCTCCGCAAACGACCATGGACTCCACCACCGCACCTCGGGTAGACGCTCAGCCTGCCGCCGTCCCCGCCTTCCAGCGACCCTCTGGCAGTGGCGGAGGCAACAAGAAGGGCACCAGCGCAGAGCGCCGTGCCACCCACAACGCCATCGAGCGAGCTCGCCGCGAGTCGCTCAACGGACGATTCCTGCAGCTTGCCGCGTCGCTGCCGTCCATCTCGGACGTACGCCGACCAAGCAAGTCGCTCATCGTCAACAAGTCGCTCGACTTTGTCGCCGACGCTCTCAATCGAGAGACCATGTACCGCGTCAAGATCGACAGCGTGCGTCAGGAAAACATGCAGCTGCGTCAGCAGCTCAACAAGTTTCTCGCGCAGGCCGGCCTGGAGCAGCTCCCGCCTCCGCCCGTTGACGAGTTGCCAGTTCCGATGGCCGAGATGCGCAACAAGAAGCGCGCGTCTGGCATGACTGCTTCGGCCAACTACGGTGACCTGTACGACCTCGACGACGACGATGGTCCTCTAGCTCCGGGCAGCGAAGGAGAAGGCGGCAAGACGAGCCCCACGTCGTCTTGCTCGGCAGCTTCGAGCCTGCGAGGCTCGCTCTCGAGCTCGCAGCCTGCTGGCGTGGCTGCCTTCACTCCGCTCTCGCACGGTGGTGTGTACGGCCCTGCGGCTGGCTTCCTCGCTACGCCGGCCACCTCGCTCTCTGTGAACGGCACGTCGCCTGGCGCCTCGACCAACTCGGACGAGATCGGCGCCAGGGAGCGTAGCGCCGGGTTTGAGGACGCCGCGGGCAACTGGACCATGGTGTCCAATGGGGTGGGTGTGACCCAGGCACCCACGGCTGCACCGCAGCTGACCTATGCCGGACTTGCCTTCTCGTCGGCCGGCGTGAATGGCGGAGTGGCCGCAGTAGCGCCTGGAGCTCGCCTCGTCAATGGCGTCCCGCAGTTTGCGACCAACGGCAGTGGCGAAAGTGGCAACGCTGGATTGTCTGCTGTTCCTGCTGTGCTTGCTCAGGACGGGCAGTCACACATGTATTCGATGAACGCGGGCAACTTCATCAACCTTCGCAACGCGCAGCAAATGCAGCAGCAGCAGCAGCAGCAGCAGCAGCAACAGCAGCAACAGCAGCTCCAGTACCAGCTGCAGCTGCAGCACCAACAGCAGCAGCAGCAACAGCAGCAACACCACGTTGCCAACTTTGCCCACTTTAATCCGTCGTCTTTTTTTGAACAGGCGCCGCTGCAGTCCGCTAGCTTCATGACTGCAGTGTAAGCGCGACATTCCGACTGTTGGCGATGCTCGCGCTCGGCCGCTAGCTGTCGTGCTGGCGCTTGGCCGGCCGGGCGCAGCTTCCGATGCGTGGCGAAGCGGCACTTTCCGGTCGATGGTGCGCCGCAGCTCTGTTAGCGTGCTGTGGCGCAACAAGAGGCATGGTGTCGCTCGCCCTTTTCAATCTCCACGCTGCCAGGCTGCAGGTGGCGGACGTTCCTACTACTACTTTGTGTATTGCTACACACGTTCTTTTGCTGCTCCACAATCCGGTGCTCACTCTGGGCCCTGCTTTGATGGCGGGCTCGGCTTCCTCTTATGCACTGGACTTGCTTCCCGCTCCTTGACCCTCTTTGTCGTTTTCAACTGTACTCTCTTGCTGCTGTCACAATCTTTACTCCGTGTCTCGTAGAGCAGAGTGGGTGGTTCTTGCCCGTGGTTGAGGGGAGAGGCCAGCGTGACGATGGAAGCGAGGCTGCAAGGGCGCCGGGCAATTGTGCGTGTTTGTTAGAGCGGCATGCGAGTGTGGGGGAATCGGAAGGCGAGTCGAGTCAGACGTGCAGATGTGCGGCGACGAGTTGATTGGCCGGTGCGCGGCGGCGTCGAGTGGGATTCCAGCTGGCCAAGTCCAAAAGGCGATGGTCCGTGGTTGAATTGATGGCCGCGAGCCCGCTAGAACTGATAAGCCCCTGCGAGGCCCAAAGCCGATTGGATCGCTCGCTTTGATCACCCGCTGCTGCTCCTGCTGCTCAACGCCTTTTTCGCGCTAGCTGCCGGCCGCCTCCACTGCCCCTCGCCCTCACCCTCAACCTCAACCTCGCCTCGAGACTAGCTAGCTTGGCGCGTCGAGAACACCCGGAACCCTCCCTCTTCACATCGCTTCCATCATCCTCAGTCCGTCCCGCAGAGTCTGAGTCTCACATCTCTCCGCGACGTCTTCTTAAACCCACCGCTTTTCGAGCCTGGCCTTACTCGCACCCGTCTTCCCGCAAAAGGTTCTTGGCAACATGGGCGTGCTTGCGGCTCACCGATCTTCGTCGCGCGGCCTGGCGCGTGCCGCCATCGCATCCCAGCGATGGATGAGCAGCAGCGCTTCCGCATCGCGCGTCGCTACCGCCTCGACTGCCGCTGCTGCTGCGGCTCCCGCTCAGGCTACCAAGCCTCGCGCTGCTGCTGCTGCGGCCACGACCGTGCGCCCGTACTCGAGCGCGGCAGCTCGCGAGAACGCATACGATCGAGAGACCATCACGCGTCTCTTGTACTCGCTCGCATCGCGCAAGGAGGTCGAGAGGTACCTGCGCATCTTCTCCGCCGCCGACAAGTTCGCCGTAATCAAGGTCGGCGGCGCCATCCTCACCCACCAGCTCGAGGAACTCGCGCTGAGCCTCTCCTTCCTTCACCGCATCGGCCTCTACCCCATCGTCCTCCACGGCGCCGGCCCCCAGCTCAACGAGCTCCTCGAGAAGGAGGGCGTCGAGCCAGACTACATCGACGGCATCCGCATCACCGACGCAAAGACGCTCAAGGTCGCGCGTGGCATCTTCCTCCAGGAGAACATGCGCCTCGTCGAGAAGCTCGAGTCGCTCGGCAGCCGCGCCCGCCCCATCCCCATCGGCACCTTCACCGCAGACTACCTCGACAAGGAAAAGTACGGCCTCGTCGGCAAGATCAACAAGGTCGACAAGGAGCCCATCGAGAGCGCCATCCGTGCAGGCTGCATCCCCATCCTCACCTCGCTCGCCGTCACCAACGACGGCCAGATCCTCAACGTCAACGCCGACGTCGCCGCCTCCGAGCTCTCCAAGACGCTCGAGCCGCTCAAGATCGTCTACCTCAACGAGAAGGGCGGCCTCTACCACGGCAAGACCAAGGAGCTCATGGAGGTCATCAACCTCGACGAGGAGTACGACGACCTCATGAAGGAGGAGTGGGTCAAGTACGGCACCAAGCTCAAGCTGCGCGAGATGAAGGAGCTTCTCGACCACCTCCCGCGCTCCTCGTCCGTCGCCATCATCTCGGTCGACCAGCTCCAGAAGGAGCTCTTCACCGACAGCGGTGCGGGTACGCTCATCCGCCGCGGCTACAAGCTCTACCGCAAGAACAGCATCGAGGAGGTGGGCGCTGAGCGCATCCGCCAGGTGCTCAAGGAGAACGACGAGGAGATCAAGGACGGCCGCAAGTCGGTCGCCGAGTTCTTCTCCGAGATCTCGCACCACCCCTACACCGTCTACGGCGACGAGCCGTTCGACTGCGTCGCCTTTGTCTCGCAGCCCGAGGGCGAGGTGCCCATCCTGCAGAAGCTCGTCACCACGCGCAACGGCGTGCTCAACGGCGTCAACGACAACATCTGGAAGCAGATCCGCAAGGACCACAAGCGTCTCGTCTGGACCTCGCGCGCCGACGACGACCAGCGCGCCTGGCACTACGAGCGCGCCGATGGCTCCTTCACGCGCAACGGCCGCTCGCTCTTCTACTACGGCATCCACGACGTCGCCGAGGTCGAGCAGATCGTGCGCGGCCTCGAGGAGAAGAGCCGCATCGAGCGCGCCTACCTGCCGCTCAAGCCCGCCAAGCCCACGGGCACGCGCGGCTACTCGACCATGGCGCGTCCCGGTCTGACGAGCGCGCGCGTGCTGGGCGAGGGCCGCCGCGGCTACGCGACTGCCGTGGAGCGCAGCGGTCCGCTGCCTGCGTCGACGACGGACAAGAAGCGCGTGGCGCTCATCGGCGCGCGCGGCTACACGGGCCAGAGTCTGATTGCGCTGCTCAACAACCACCCGCACATTGAGCTGTCGCACGTGTCGTCGCGCGAGCTCGCCGGCATGCCGCTCGCCGGCTACTCCAAGGCGGACGTCAAGTACACCAACATCGGCGTCGAGGACCTCAAGAAGCTCGAGCGCGGCGAGGGACCCGGTGCGCCGCCCGACGCGTACGTCATGGCGCTGCCCAACGGCGTGTGCAAGCCCTTTGTCGAGGCCGTCCAGGCCGGCGGCAAGGACAAGCCCAACGGCCACGGCGCCATTGTGGACCTCTCGGCCGACTACAGGTTCGACGAGCAGTGGACCTACGGTTTGCCAGGTCAGTAGAGCGCGAGGTTGCGGCGCAGTGGGGAGATGGCCAACGCACGTTGCAGGCTCAGTCTGAAAGCCGGGAAGAATGGAAATCAAACACAATTGCCACTGTTCTTCGCGCGGTTTTGGGCTGGGTCTGTGTGCGTTGTTTGCGCGTCATGAGGGATGAAGAGTGAAGCTGACGTTTGTTTCTTCTTTGTGGCGAGTAGAGATTTACGGACGCAAGAGTGTGCGTGGAAGCAAGCTGGTTTCGAATCCGGGATGTTATGCTACGAACAACCAGGCTTTGATTGCGCCGCTGTTGTCGGTGCTGGATCTGGCGCGCGGACCGACGGTGTTTGGCGTTTCGGGATACTCGGGTGCGGGCACCAAGGCTAGTGAGACGCCGACGGGCGAGAGGAAGACGGTTCCCAAGATTACGCCCGAGGATCTGGCGGGCGGCATTCGCGCGTACGCACTGACGGACCACATCCACGAGCGCGAAGCCGGCTACCAGCTCAGCAAGCTTGGGGAGAGCGAGGTGAACATCGCCTTTATCCCGCACGTCGCTCCGTGGTTCCAGGGCATTCTTAGCACGCTCTCGGCTCCGCTGAAGACCAAGCTGACCAGCAAGCAGGTCAAGGAGCTGTACCGCGAGTTCTTTGCGAACGAACAGCTGGTCAAGGTGCAGGATCAGGTGCCAGAGATCAAGGATGTGGCGCTGCAACACGGCGTCAAGATCGGCGGATTCCAGGTGAATGCGCGTGGCGACCGTGTCGTGGTGGTGGCCGCGATTGACAACCTCCTCAAGGGCGCAGCTACGCAGTGTCTGCAGGTAAGTCGCATTGCCCAACGCAGAAGGGAGCTCGAACTGCTTTGCTGACCGCCTTTTGAATTGCTTTACCGTGTGATGCACGCCAGAACCTCAACATTGCACTCGGATACGACGAGTACGCCGGAATCCCCCCGCTCAAGTAATCATCCGCGCCAATGTGTGCGAGCTCTTCGAAAGTCCTGCTCCAATTTGAAAGATGTTTCCCAATTGCGCGTGTCCACTGCCAGCACATCCCAGACGTGAACTGGGTGCACACTGTCATCACAACGCAAACATGCAAATGTGGATCGTGTGGGTACACTCCAGCGGCGAATTCACAGGCTGTGTGTGTCGCCAACGTCACCCACAGAGGCTCGGCCAAGCCGACCTGAGGAAGCAGGTCAACTGCGCCCAACACAGACCGTGCAGATGCTCGTGCATGTGCACAAAACACCGCAGAGCTTTCCCACTGAGCTCGGTGCTACCCGCAGATCATACACAAGCTGCATGAGGTGATCTCAAGTGGTTACGCGCGCTTCAGCTACTGTCGGCGGAACGGCTGGATCAGGCTCTGGATCCAGGATGCGTGTCTACATCGGAGAGGAATGAGTGAATGTGATGTGTTTCTGTTGCAGAGGATGGCACACGGACTCGCCCTTGACACAGAGGCTGATCCCGAGCACAGCAGAGCCTTTCATTAAGCTCGGTGTCAAGCGCAGCTCACACGCCGCCTCTGTATAACCTTCTGCGACAGGTTTCAACATCTTCTGATGTGTCCTCATCTTTCCACTATGGATGTCACAGAACAAGCTTTGTATTACGGAGCCACGAGCGGGAGTCAAGAGGGAGAGCCAAGTTCGCGCCAAAGCGGCGCGGACGAGGGTGTGAGAAGACCTACATACAGGGGTGGAAAAGCGGCGCGTGTGGCGGGGAGAGGCCACGCTTGCCCAACGACACAATTATGAGAGAGAAAAACGGAGCACAGAAGAGGTATTGTCCGAGGAGAGCCGAGGCAGAGGGGAGAGGGAGAAGAACGTCTCGTGCGTTCCAGCTTGGTCAACCGGAACGCCGCGAGGCGAAGTGAAGGTCCGTTGGAGGCCAGGGAGGGGAGTCCAGCTGTCCGTTGAGCGGTGAAGCAGACGCACAGCTGCTCCGAATGTCGCGGTAGCTAAGCAGCGGCGTCGGGTGAGACGCACGCCTATGCACCGCTCTATGTCGGGAGACCATCAAAGAGCGCGGACCGCCCGACCTGGGGCGTGTCCACCACCGAGGTCGCCCGAGCGGAAAGGGGAAAAATCCAGCGTCGAGTCCCGAGTCCGCAGATGGACGGGACAGGATCGCCAGAGCAAGAGGCCGAAAGCCGAGACAGAAGCGCAGGTGGTATCATCAGAATGGCAGTCCACGGCAGCAGGTGCACAGTGGACGCCGGGGTATCGCATGGGTGGTGAGAGGATCCAGGAGAGCAGCAACAAGAGAAGCGTCGAGGACATGCAGACAGCGCGCGCGGGCGCCGTGCAAGGCTCGACCGTCCGGGATGCAAGTTGGAATCCGCAGTAGACTACTCCTGCTTGATCTGGTGGCTCGGACCGGATGCGATCGAGATACCGCCCTGGGGACCTGCGCTGAGGACCATGGGGTGGGCAAGGGGGTGGTTGAGGTGCGACATGGCGTGGCCGGACGCCGCGTCAAACTCGTCGCCTGCGACGCCGGCGACACCGCCCATCGAGGTGTGCACGCGGGCGTGCTGGTTGAGGTTGTCGTGACGGCTGAAGCGCTTGTTGCACGAAGGGTAGGGGCACAGGAAGGGCTTCTCGTCGGTGTGGATGGAGCGGACGTGCCTCTTGAGGTGCTCGCTGCGCTTGAAGCACTTGCCGCAGCCCGGCACCTTGCAAGTGTAGACCTTGCCGCTCTTGCCGAGGTTGTTCATCTCCTCGGGCTTGTTGGGCACACGGCGTCCACGCGAGCGCTTGGTGATGAGGCCGGCGTACGGGTTGGCGAGATGGGCAAAGTGGCTGTACAGGCTCATGCCCTTGGGCAGCATCGCCAGACCGGGAGCCTGGGCCGGGATGTGCTGGATCTGGATCTGACGCGAGGCGGGCGAGGCGAGCACCGAGGGCATGCCGGCGGGCATGCCGAAGCCCGAGTAGGGCGACGAGCTGCTGGCGCTGTTGGGCGACGACGGGCACGAGGAACCGTGAGGGTGGATGCACGAAGCGTCCGGGGCGCTCTGAGAGAAGACCATGGGGTAGGCGCTGCCGTTGCCGAAGAACGATTGGACAGGGTAAGGGCCCATGGGCATGGGCATGGCTCCGACGTTGGGGCTGTCAAAGAGACCGAGGCTGGACTCGCTGCCGCTGGAGCGGATGTGGCTGTGGCCGCCGTCGCTCGACACGTCGGCGAAGGTCAGTGGCGAGATGGACATGTCCTTGGCCCTGATGGTGCCCGAGTTGGCGGCGTTGTCGCCGTCGCCGCCGGTGGTAGGCTCCTCGATGAAGTCGTGGAAGCTAAACCCGGCCGGGGTGAACATCTCTTGCTTGTAGAGGGAAAGCTTGGACTCATCGCAGGGGGAGCCAAAGCCGATGCGGTCAAAGGCGGTCTGAATCGAGTCCGAGACGTCGACAGAGCCAAAGGGCGAGTCGTTCCAAGGGGCGCTGCACATGTCGTCGGCGGAAGGGGACGTGACGTTGCTGTGATCGGCCTCGCTGTCGCAGCCACCGTAGTCGAACTCGGAGGCGGTGGAGGCGGCCGAGCTGGCGACGGAGGGTGTGAGGGAGAGGCGCTGGATGGCGCGCGGTCGTCGAGGCGTGTCGGTCAGGAGTGTGGCGCCTTGGAATCCAAAGTCGTCCCTGAACTCAAAGTCGGGTTTGAGGGTGGTGATGGTGTCGGCGCGCTTTCGCTGAATCTCGAGCATAAAGGCGGGGGTCTCGAGGTTGTCGCCAAAGGTGAGGGGCAGGTTGCTGGTCATGTCGATGGAGGGAGAGAAGCCGATGGGTCCGTTGGAAGAGAGGGGCAGGTCGAAGAGCTGCGAGGCGGCGGTGGGGCTGAAGAGCTGGTCCTCCATGGCGAACGTCGAAGAAAGATTAGAGAAGGCGAGGGTTCTGGTCGGACGATGGGGATGCGGAGAGAGTTGAGATGGTGGAGAGTAAAGAGGAGCGGAGGGAGTTGCGCGGTAGAAAGAGAAGGAGGGAGGGTAAAGAGATGCGGAACGTAGGGAGGTCGTAAAAAAGGTCGTTAAGGAACTCTCCTCTAGAGTCGGAGGAAGAGCCACGGGTCGTTACAAGGTCGTTACAAGGAAATCGATGCACGTCAAAGCTGGCATGCAGTGGTGGATCTGCTTGGCACACAAAGAGGCGGGTGGGAGAGTGCAGATGCGGTAGCGTGCAGGAAGCACAAGCGTCCGTGCGGATGATGCGGATGGAATTGGGTGTAGGCGTCGAGGATGGTCACTTTGTGGCGTTGAGGATAGCGGTGAACTTGGTGGGATTGGAGAATGATGGGTGGTTCAAGTTTGCAGCCAAAAGCTGGAGAGTTGGTTCGTTACTGGGTCGTTAAACTGTGTGCGAGTGAGACGAGGCAAATGAACGTGACGGATGAACGTGCCGAAGCAGAAGCGTCAGTCGACCTTCCTATAGCGAAGTGCGAGCGAGATGAAACGATGGGTTCGAGAGGCAGCGGCGGGAGCCAACCGAGCGGCGCCAACAGGGCCGTCCGGCGATTGATGCAGGGCGATCCGAGTGCCGAGGGCTAGGTCTCGACGTGGTGGGCGATATGCGTGTGACAGCTCGGGAGGCATTTGCGCGTTCTAGACGGCGTGGTGGGCGTGATCTGCGAGGCGGGAGCGCGAACGGTGCGTGCGGATGGCGATCCCGCTAGGCATTGTCCACCAAGTGTCACGGGGGGGACCCTGCGTCTATGGCCACGAGCGTGAGCGCAGCCACCCACTGCCAAGCGATGTGCTTGGAGCCTATCCATGTCGAGCGTAGCAAGGCCATTGTTCGGGCGATCGGCGTTACTGAACGATGCGCGTGCTGCGGTCCGAGCGCCATTATGTCGAGTGTGATGGGCCGCGCGACCAATGTGGGTCGATGGACGGTCGTTCCTGCGTACTTACAAAGAGTTCGTTAGCCTGTGAAAGGCACGTTGCAAGAGTGGCCGGAACGCGATGGGTGGTGACGATCCTCGACGAAGATGTTGGAGATGATGGTAGGAGGCAAAGAGTGAAGACTGCAACGACCAGGGCTGGCTGCATGGGCGAGCCAGGTGAGCCAGGCGGGGCAGACAGGGCAGCGCTGCCAAGAGAGCGAGACAAGGGGAGCCGGCGAGGCTGAGCATGGCCTCGAGGCGGCAGAGAGACGAGTGGGTGCCATAAGCGGCAGGTGGACAGAGCCGTCAGACCTGAGCCGATGCACTGCACTGCACTGCCCTGCAACTGCACTGCAACTGCAATGCGAGGCGAGCCAGAGCGGCAAGGCGCCTCGAGGCGGTCGAAAATCAGACTCAGACTCGAATTCACCTCGAGCCTCTCTGGCCGCTTTGGCACGGGAGGGCTGCAGTGCCTGGACGCATGAGTCGCGGGAAGCCCGACTGTGTGTGTGCCTCGACGCCAGACGCCGCCCACCGCGCCAAAAAAAAAAAAAGAGAGAAAAAAAGGGAAATTGAAATCAAGCATCGTCATCTCAACGGCGTTGGTGAGTTGCATCGATCGAGGGCTACCGCTCGATGCAACCACGTCGGCACGCCCGAGCCTTTTGTGCAGCTTTTGGCCGGGTTGTCCGCGTCTCCGTTTGAAGCTTGGATGCCAAAAAGCGGTCGACGCCAAGCTCTCGCTCTCCCCTCTCATTCTCACTGGCTCCCCCCTGGCTCCCCGCTGGACCAGTCGGCGCTAAGCTAGACCGTCGAGAGCATTGTCGGCTGATCCTCGCTTCCGCTTCACCGCACTGTTAGCCCACCAGCTGCAATGCAAGCTGCGCCGCCTCGAGCCAACTTCATTTGAGCCTCACGCATTCACGGAGCAAGGAACCTCGTTCAGCCTGCACAGAGCGAAACTCGTCAGATGAAGGCGACCGCCAACAATGTGCGGAATTCGTCGGCGGACGACGAAACTACGGCGATGCAAATCGAGGTACGCCACGGCTCGCCATTGCGGCCACTGACTCACCTGGGCGCGATTGCGACGCAGCAGCGGGCTGGCGGGGCCGGTCAAGCCCCGCATCGCCGTTTTGCCGAACGCGGGAGGCGACGAGCTGGGCGGATCGCGACGCTCACGTTTGTCCGTACGGACGGCCGAGCTAGCGTGCCCAGCAGACTCCGTCGCGACGGCTTAAAAGTTGAGGTCCGGAGGCGCGATGGGAGCGGTTAGCTCAAGCGTCGACCCAGCCGGCTGTAGCGCCATTCAAAGCACGGCTGGTGAGCAGCTGAGCTAGCGTAGTCCGGGCCGAATGAATGCTGCGGGAGCGCTCCAACGGGTCTAAACTTGACGGGCTGCGAGGTGCGTGTGACTTTCCAGAATGGACGTGGAAGCGCAGTGACGACACGCATGTCACTTTTTTGGATTTCCTTTTTTTTCCTGCATGCGCATCGTGGGCGTATGGATCTATTCAGGTGGGCTCAGGCGAGGTGCCTGCAGAGCGTGTGGAGTTGCAGAGCATTCGCCTAATGTGGCAGGCGGCGAGGATCGCGCGGTTAGCCGACCGACGCCAGGAATCGAGACCCCAGTGTCTCGCCAAGCGCGTTTGACAGATGATTGAGACCCTTCCTCTGCAGCCCACGCATGGCTCGCAGTTCCGTCACTGGATTTTTTTTCCCTATCCCACCAAAACGCCCCGTCCGGAACGTGATCATGCCTTCCCGTGGCCCACACTCGGGCCTCGTCGTTTGCAGAGAAAGCCACAGTAGCAACTTGGGTGACGAACTCGCTCTCGTGGTCACGTCGGCCATGCTCGCAGCCGCTGCGGCCGAGATGCATGCAAGAACGACGCGGGTGCAGGTCCACAATCGCTTGATATGCTCGCACCATGCCGCCATCCTTGGTCGCCTCGGACTTCTCGCTCTGACCGCTCGTCGCGGGATCGAGGCGGCTCGAGCGCCCCGCTGCTGCCACTGCCTCATCCAGAAGTCACGTAATGCAAGCACATCTAAGATAAAGCGCTGAGAAACCTGCGAACAATGCCCGACTCGAGCCGCCTGAAGAGGGCTGCTTCCTTTGTTCGCGTTGTCCAGGCTGGTGGGAACACTGCATCGGAGGTCCCGTCGAGTCGATGGCCAGGCATAGGCTAGACGAGGCGTGCTTGAGCTCCAGCTCGAGTGCGTTCGAAAGAAAAAGTTTTCAGCCAACTGTCGCTTTCGCCGACGGGATGCATTCGCTAGTGCACGTCGCTTTCGACAGACCGTCGCTGCAGTGACTGAAAACGGAGGCGGCTCACGGCGGTACGCGCTGCATGCTTGCAGGCCTGCTTCCCTTCGAGTCCATCTGCACGGTGGTCCATGAATGCGCTTGCAGCGGCACAACTTGCGCTTCCTTCCTATTCTTGCCGTTGAGCGCCAAGCGAGCAGCTGCAGCCCATCATACTGTGGCACACACTCGAGGGCATCGGGGACGCTTGCGACAAGGCTACTCGAATAGCCCGCTCGCTTGGGCTGGCGCGCTCCGCTAACACGCGCAGCCGGACACGAGTAGCAGCCTCGCTAGCGTGGGCGTGCAGCCTGTATGCACGCTGCCAACGTTTCGCCTCGGCCTGCATCCCAAAAAGAATCGCCTGCCAGGTGGCTTCCCACAATCTCTCGGCCCTTTCATCTGCTTCTAGTTTGGCACACTCACCTCACAATGCCTTGTCGCCTTCCCTCCCGGACTTGCGACAGAGGCAGCGAATAAGGTCGCACACTGTTGGGGCCAGGCCAGGCGAGGCGGGCGGAAAATAAAACAAAATTCATTCCGAGACAGGGGTAAAGGTGTGGGAAAAAAAACCCCGCCGGGATTTTACGTGTTCTGGCTGCGGAGAAGGTTGATTTCGCGCACGATTTCGGCCGCGATGCGCGTCGAGTCGGCCTCAAAGTCGTAGCGCTTGGTATCGCGCGGCGACTCTCGCCAGACGACCAGCTTGAATGCGTTGGCCAGCTTGCTCGACAGCTTGCACGCCACCACGCTCGACACGTGGAATGACGCCGCCTTGCCAAACGTCTTCATGTCTGTAGGCATAATGTGCAGCCAGTCGCCGTCCAGCGTGAGGCTGCGCTCGTTGTGCCGCCCGCCAAACATCGGCGACCTGCGATACACCGTATAGCTCTTGTAGGCCGCCGCAATGTCGAGCGCCTTGGTGTACTTGGGCTGACCTCCCAACGCGCTCGCGTCCGAGTTGGCCGAGTACCGTTTGAAGATGGAGGCGTTCGGATTCGTAGATGAGCTGCTGAGCGCACCCGCACCCCCGAGCGCACCCAAGCTCGAGCGTCGCACCAGCGCCAGGTCGTGATTCCCCTGCAGCGACTCGACGGTCCGATCGAGCGGCACAACGATGCTCTTGTCCGGTACGATCAGCGCCCAGTCGTCTACATTCGACAGATGGCGCTTGCGACAGATCATCTCGAGCACGTCCGCAAGGTACATGTCCGACGGCACCTGCAACGTCGTCTTGTACCGCACCTCTGGATTCGGCGTCACCAGCACGCGCAGGAAGATCGACTGGGACGAGGATCCCAGCGCACTGCGCGACAGCGCGCCCGACGCAAAGATCGGCGTTCCTTGCACGTTCATCACCGAGCCCGCAGGCACCTGGGCGCCCACACCGGGCACGCCCAGCCGCGATGCCAGCGCTGGATTTGCCGAGATGGCCGTCGCCCCGCTCTTGGCTCCTCCAGCGAGCATGCTGTGAGTTGCATCCATCCCCGAGCCGACCGCGACCGACTCGCCACCCGCTGCTCCCTTGACCGCCGTCTTGTTGGGCGCCGGTGGCCGAACCAGCGTCCTTCTTGCAATGCCCGCATAGGCATCACGGTGCTGCTTGATCTGATTCGGCGTTGCCTCGCAAATCGCAAACTCGTCGCCGCCAAACTTGCCCAGCAACAGACTCTGGTCGATGGCCGGGAAGTCGTCGTCCACCTCGCCGTCTTCGACGATCATGAGCGTCCAACCGATGGTGGTGAGCCTCGCCTCGCGCTCGCTCTCGGGCCGCGACGAGCCGGGCGGATCGAGCTCGGGCTTCCACCGCTCCTCGACAAAGCAGTACAGCCCATAGCCGATGACCTCTTCCATCGTCGCGTCCTTGCGGATGTTGAGCTTCATGCACTTGGTCTTGGCGTGCACCGACACTGCGCCGCTCGATGGCGGGTTCGCCGATGGTGGCTGCCCGCCCTCTGCCCATGGAAAGTAGATCTCCACTGTCATGCTCGGCGCCGTGGCAGAGCGTCCGGCGATGCCCGCATAGAGCGCCGCAAACGGATTCTCCGGGCTCGAGTCCTGCTTCTGCAGCATCGAGCTGAGCATCGACGCTTTGGGCCGACTGGCGTGCCGGCTTTCGAGCTGGCTGCGGCTCACGCGGATGGAAGAGAAGTAGTCCGACTGTGCTGCATGGCGTGTGCTGATGGAGTGGCTCGGTCGACGGTGCTGGCGGCCCTTGGACGGGCCGAGAATGTGCGCAGGCGTGTCGGCATCGCTGTTGTCGTCGCTATCGCCCGTGGCGGAGATGATCATCTTGGGCGGTGCGGGTAGCCCGGGTGCGTTGCCGAGTGGCGGCACAGCTGGACGCGAGAGCACGGGCGATGAGCGTGCCGTCAACGTCGGATCCATGCTCTGGCTCGCCGAAGAGTGCGGCGAGTGCAGTCCGCCGGTGATGGCCGCGTTGATGGTGGTGAGGCCCAGGCTGCCGTCCTGGAGCGAGCCTGCCGAGCCCAGGCTGGAGAGCGCCGTATTGGACTCGGTGGAGCTCTCCGCATACACTGAGTCGCTGCGCCCAGCAGTCGAGGTGGCAGGATGTGGAGACACGGATCGGCCTTCCGACGAACGGTCTACGTCAAGAGAGCTTCGTGAATGCACGGGAGGCGGGTCGGCAAAGTTGACGCGCTTGCCCATCACCGTACCCTGCGCTTCGCCGGCGGCGACCGAGGCTGGTCCAAGTGAGCGATCTGCTGCCTCGGACGAGTCGAGTGGTTGTGGTTGGCGAGCTCCAGCATCGCTTTGCTTGGCTTCGGCGCCGGCAAAAGCTTCCGCGCTGTCGTATTCCGTTGAGGCCGCATCCTTCTCTGCTATCTCGGTTGCCTTGGCGCTTGCGCCGCTGATGCTGACGCGCTTGCTGGCCCTGCGTCCGTTGACGCGCATGCCAAGAGCGCCGCTGCGTCCTGGCCCGTAGATGGTCTGCGTGTAGGAGAGGCCTGTGGAGGGTTGCTTCTTGTCGAGACCATCGTCGTTGGCTTTGTAGTCGCCGGACTGCTTGTGTGCGCTTCCTCGGCGGTGGTTGAATCCGCCAAAGGGACCTGCCCCGCCTACGGTGGGCACGGGCGAGTAAACGGTCTCGAGCTCTGGGTGGCGCGAGGCATCTGTGAGGCCGGCGACCGCAACATAGGCATCTGCACTGAACGGATTATAGTGCGAGTACAGCGCGCCATTTCTGCCACTTGCATCATCTCTCTGTGCTGCTGTGGACGAGGATGCAAAGAACGATGTGTTGGACGATGATGTCGATACTGATGCGGTGGGCGCGTCACCGTGGCTAGCGGCTGTGCTGGTGGTCGGGCGATTAGTATTGGTGACCGAGGGAAACGTGATGATCCTCGGACCATAGTGATCGTCGATACGCTTGAGATAAGCAAGCCGCAGGGAGTGTATGAGATGGTCGGGATCCACGATGAGCGACATGGCTGGCTACCGAGACAGCCGTCGCACAGGCTTCCATCGAAGATGTTGCGAGTGTTTTGGGGGAAACAGATGCAACACTTGCCAAGCCGAAATGAGAGTGATTGCAGCGAAGGATAGCGAGAGGCCCTTTTTGAAGCACCGGCAAACGCCTTGTGGCGCAGTGAGGAGGGAGGCCTGAGCACGATGCGGCGAGGTCGAAGGAGACGAACCAAGCTGCACGCCGCTTTGGACCCTGGCCGAGCAGTGCAGCGTTGCTTTGGCTCGGCCTTCGCAGCTTCGCCTCCACCTCGCTTTTTTCAGATGTGTGAGATCGCTCAAAGTACCATTTGCGACTCGGCCGAAAGCAGTTGGGCAGTCTCAGGGTGTGCCGCTCCCCTCATCCCATCTGCGCGCCTCACCTGCATCATTCTTCGCAAGCCATCCGCGCCATCAACCCTCTGCATCACAACCACTCAAAGCCACTACCAGTGGCGCAATACTTGGGGACAGGATGACTTCGAACGATGTGCGAGACATCCTCTCGCTGCCGGAGCGCTCCGGAGCGCGGCCGTCGTCCTCGTCGCAACCCTCCGGCTCGTCTTCGCGCAACCGCAAACCATCCGGCTCGCATGCCAACCCGCATCCATCCACCACATCATCGTCGCGGCAAAAGCCAAAGTACGACGGCATGACGCGCGAGCTTTTCGCGCTGCTCGGCGACAACGCGCCCACGCTCGCCATGGCTCAAGGTTTGGGCAGCGACGGTAAGCACGGCGCAGGAGCAGGATCTCTGTTCAAGCCCAAGTTCAAGCGGCGCAAGGAAAAGGTGCGCCAGTGGCGCTGGACACCGTTCCTCAACGCCGCGCGCCAAGACACGCACATCGACCACGAGACGCCCGAGGTCAACCACGGGCTTGTGCTGCACCACTGGGCACCTGCGCCCGCCGCCTCGGGCGCCGATGCGACACCAGCCGAGCCCGAGGTGGAATCCAGATACGCATTTGCCGAGTTCAATACAGACTCGGGCGTGTACAGCTACTCGAACGACGAGTACATCCAGCACCTGCGCGACGACGACTGGACCAAAGAGGAGACCGACTACCTCATGGAGCTGTGTGCGGCGTACGATCTGCGCTTTGTCGTCATCCACGATCGGTACGACTGGGCGTCTGCGCAACCATCCTTCGTGTCCGGGTCGACAGGCGCGCTGTTCCAGGCGGTCAAGGAGCGCAGCATGGAGGACCTCAAGGCGCGCTACTACGCGGTGTGCAGGCGCTTGATCCGCTCGCGCATCTCGACCGACGATGTCGAGACGCGCCAGGTGCTTCTCAGCACGTATGCATTCGACAAGCAGCGCGAGATCGAGCGCAAAAAGGCCGTCGCACGCCTCTACACCCGCACGCCCGAGCAGCTCGCCGAGGAAGAGGCGCTCTACGTCGAGATTCGGCGCATCGAACAGAACGAGGCCAAATACGCCTCGGAGCGCGAAGAGCTGCTGCGTCTGCTCGGCGGATGGGAGAGTCTGCCGAGCTCCAGTCCGCACGCCGTCGCTGCAGCAGGGTCGGGCATCGCCAGCCTGCTTGCTGCTGATGACGACCATGCAAAGGGTCGGGCAGGCAGCTCCAAGAAACGTAAGCTTCAACACGACGACAGCACCCCGGGAGCGGAAGATGCTACATCCACCACGGCGACACCCGCCGCACGCCCGTCGGCGAGCTTGACGTCCAAGCAGAGGGCCGAGTTGCGACAGGCGCAGTTTGACGAGATGCAGTGCATCGTTCGGTACCCGTCCAACGCTTCGGCTGCGGTGCCGGATGCGCTTGCGAGTGCGCTGGGAACCGCACCGACTGCGCCTGCTTCGGCTTCCACCCGTCCGCCCTATGCGCATCTTGTGGGCACAGCATCGACACTGCCTGCCGTCACGACCAATCCGTCCAACCCAACGTCGAGTCACGGAGCGTACATGCGCTCGACGCGTATGCTTGCTCCTCGTCCCAACTTGGTGCTCAAGACCACGCAGACGCTCGCCGAAGGCACGCCCGCCGTGGGACCACGACTCATCTTCCCCACGGCCAAGAACGTCGAAAAGTGGGAGAATCTGATTGGCGCCGTGACGACGGGATTGGAGCTGCGCAAACAGCTCGAGCGCGTCAATGCCGAGCTCCGAATCGCAAAGCAGCGCATCGCTGCTGCCATTCAGTCGACAAACAACCCAGGCGGGCCAAAGCTGGCGGACGTTGAAGACGCCAAAGACCCACAGTCGGAGGGCAACAAGCCAGATGCAGAATCGGCACGCTCGCAAGATCCAGAGTCTTCCCCACCTCCCTCGATCAAGCCTGAGACCTGACCTGCCCCACATGTACACTAGCTCCACCTCTACCGCTCTGGAATGATTCATGCACGTCATCCAGACGAAGCGCTCACATCATCGCCCAAGGCAGCCAGATCCGAGATCATAGAAAAACAAGTTTTTGAACCGAGCGAGAAGGAATGGAAGGGGGAAACCGAAACAAAGCGGAAGATTACAAATCAAAGTCAAGCCCCTGCGCTTGGACTGAGAGGCGAAACACCACCAAACTGGGCCGTTAGAGAAGCGGGTATATCGGACGAGCAACAACGGAACCAAGACGCATGACACGGCAGCGTTGCATCAGCGACGCTTGGTGAACGTCTTGTTGAGCAGCTGCAGGATCTTGGACACGTTGAGCTGCACGTACTCGAGGTCGAGCAGCTGGACGTCGTCCTTCTGCTTTTCGAGCAGGTCGTCGAGCTTGAGGTCCATCTCGAGGATCGCCTTCTCGCGGCCCTTGTAGTGGAGCGCAATGATGAACGTGCCGGGCGAGGGCGAGGTGATGTTGAAAAAGATGTTGGCGCGGCGGTTTTCAGGCACGTTGCTCTCGACGATGATGCCGTCCTTCTCCATCTGTGCGTGCGTGAAGCGGTAGGGCCCCAACGCCTGGGTCTTGGGCGCCTTCTTCTCCTTGCCGCCCACCGAGATGACGCCGACGCCGCCGGCGCTCTTGTCCTTGGCGCTGCCGCTCGTCATGCGCACGTTCTGCAGGTAGCTCTTGTAGGTGTCGAGCTGGCTGCGCATGTAGTTGTTGTGCTCGCAGATGGTCTTGTACACGGCCTCGAGGCTGCGCATCTCCTGCATCACCTTTTCGCGCATGTTGCCGAGGTGGGTGAGCTCGGTGGCCACCTCGTCGGTCATGAGGCTGTAGCCGTCGCGGCGATCCACCACCTTGAGCTCCTCGAGCTCGCGCAGCATCTCCTTGACCTTGATGCCCTTGCGGACGAGCGTGGCGTCTTTGGTGGTGGCGGCGCGCTCGGCGATCTGCGGCAGGTTGATGGGCCGCTTCTCGGCGAGCGTGGGGATGGAACGCAGCAGCTGCACAAAGATCGACTTGGTCTCCATGTAGAGGATGTCGTTCTGCGTCACGTTGTTCTCGGACATGAAGGCGGTGGTGAGGTCTTGGATGGGCGTCTCCCAGCGCGAGAAGAGGGGCAGGTCGAGCGTGCGGTTCTCCTTGCGCGGCACCTGACCGGGCGAGGCGCCGAGTTCGTCGATGAGGATGCGGAGGTGGTGCTTGTCGTTGGGGGCGAGGATCTCGAGGTGCTGTGCGACGAGCGAGTGGGTGTTGTAGAGCTCGTTGAGGGTGATCTGGATCTGGAGGTCCTTCTTGGAGAGCGCCATGTACTGGTCCATCTCGAGCGTCTCGTAAAAGTCGCCGACGTCGCAGAGTGCGTTGAGGAAGGCGTTCATGCGCGTCTTGTTGTTCTCGACAAAGGGGTTGAGCGACATCATGTACTGCTCCTTTGCGTACGAGGGCTTGTTTGCGAGGTTCTGGAGCATCTTTGCGATGAGCGTCAATGTGCGGCGCGGATGCTTGGCGGGCGGGCCGTCGACGAGCATGTAGGCCTGTGGCGTGACGATGGCCGGGTTGATGAAGCGGAGGAAGAAGAAGCCGCCGATGAGGGAGCAGATGGCGAACTCGGTGGCGTCGGGGTACTTGCGCTTGGTGAGGCTGCGAATCTGCTTGCAGATCCAGCGGATACCGTAGGGCACCTCGTCGATGGAGTTGATGATGGTCAAGAGGAAGCTGTTTGCGATCTCCATGAGCATGGTGAGCCTGGGCGCGATGATGGCCTGCACGTCGGCGTTCTCTGCGGCCACTTCGGCGGGCACGCCGCGCGGAAGGTTGGGTGGCAAGCTGCCGGTGTCCTCCTCGATCTGGTTGATCATCTGCTCGTACACCTTCAAAGGGTTGACCTCGAGGTTGAGGTCCTTGTGTTCGATGAGGCTGTTGATGCGCTCTGCGAGGACGCTCTTGAGGTAGGACTGACCTGGACCGCGACGGGTGTAGGTGGTCATCATGCGGGATACGGGCGTGTTTGCGCGGAGGAGCGATCCGAATTCGGTGGCGGTCTCGAACTGTGCGGAGAGGACGGACTGGAACATGGTGAGGAGGAGATGCTCTTCGCGGCTCTCGTACTGGTTTCCGTAGAGGGTGAACATGACGGTCTGGAGGAGGGTGTCGATCTCTGCCAAGCTGACGAGACGGCAGAGGGCGGCGATGTGTCTGGGTTCGGACTGGAGGAGGAAGAAGAGGTTGCCGTACTGCTGCATCTTGCGGTCGTCGAGGGCGGTTGCGACGGCGGAGGAGTCGGTCTCTTCGAGGGTGGATGCGACTTCGGACTGTTCGTCGAGGGCCATGCGATTTGCGATGAGGAGGGCGATGCGGCTGTCGAGGTAGCGGACGTCGCGTTCGAGGACAAAGTTCTTCTTGGACTGGGCCGAGATGCGGCCCTTGAGCTCGCGCAGGCGCTTCTGTGCGCGGGCAAGGTCGTCCTCGACTTCGACGTCCTGCTCTGCAGCCATGGAGTAGAGCGCGGTGACCGAGTAGCGGTTGGTGTTGCGATTGCTAAGGCTAGCAGCGGTGAGCCTCTTGTTCATCATGCCGCTTCGGTCGCGGCCGCTGCCGCTGGCCTCTGCCATGTTGGACATTGGAGCAGCAGGCGGCGACTGTTGCAGTGACGCCATGAAGGAGTGCGCAGTGTGGACGACGCGGTGGTCCGGGTGGAGTTGGAGCAGCTGGAGCAGCTGGTGAGGGCAGTCGAGTCGAAGCCTCGCGTGTGTTCACGATGCAGAGCTGGCCCGTATGCTGCTTCAAGTGTGACGGATGAGGATAGTAGGGCAGCGATGGCCGACGCGTCGACGACGGGCGATGTGGACGGGCAAAAGGTGTCGAAATGACCGGGTATGGGATGGAGGAAGGGTAGGATGCCGATCGCAGTGGGCGCTGAATTGAAGCAAAGAAAGGGACGGCGTTGGGTCGGGAGATGCAGACGCAGGCGCGCCTGGGCGATCCGTTGGATTGAGAGTGACAGCAGCAGTGGCGCCAGCGCAAAGTGGCAGCAGCAGCAGCGAGCAGCAGCAAGCAGCAGCAAGGCACTCTCTTTGGCTGCAGGCAGGCAGGCAGGCAGCCAGGCAGACATGCGTGGCAGCAGCGGCGGCAGGGCAGCAGAGCGCGAAGCGAGCGGCACGGGTCCTCCGAATCTTTGGGCGTAAGTTAACTTTTAGCGCGGCGGAGAGCAGCGGGCAGGCACCGACAGCGTTGGGAGTGGGCGCGAGCTACATACACGCGTGCAGCCGCCTCTCGCGCCTTCCTTCCCTTTGAGCTGCAAGCGAGCCGGGTGCAGCCCCGCTCGCCGGTCTCCAGCTGGGAAGATGCAAAACAGCAGCGGTCGCAAGCACACACGCGCGCGCGCGTCTTTTCTCAATCAATTTCATTTCTATGCGAAATCAGACCAGCCAGCCAGCATACTCTGTAGAGCACACACGAGCGCGGCAGGCGTGGCCAAACGAATCTCAGATTTGCCTCGGAGCACACGCATAGCTTGCAGATGGCGGCGCTCGGGGCGCTTTCCGTTGGCAAGCTGCGAAAGCTCTTCACCCTCTGAGCCTAGGCTAGGAAAACCAGCTTACTCCACCGCCTCCAAAGCCAAGCAAGACACGCTCATCTCAGCCAGGCCACAGCGAGCTGCATCTCAGACACGCGCTTGCCCTTGGGCTGAGACACGGGCGTCCACACCTTTTTCAACGCCTTACGCGACTCTGTTGGATTTCACAGCTTCTCCATTCTGCGCTGCCCCGCTTGCCCGAGATGGTATTGCCCTCATCTTCCTCGTCACGCATTGCAGTGATGAAACTCATGTCTGGGTATTACTTCTAAAGGACGTCGAGCTGGTCACGAAGCAGCCACAGCCGAAGGCGCAGCTGCCTCCTTCTTGCGTGGAGCAGTGGTGGCGGCGTGAGTGCCCGATCGATGCGCCGTCACCTCGTAGCGCCCGTTAAAGTTGAGTCTCACCGCCAAGTCACGCACCGTCAGGTTGGCGTGCTTCTCCAGCGCACCCACGATCAGCACCATCCTCTCGTGGAACGCCGTCGATGCCTCGCTCAGCCGCTTGGCGATCCGACCCACCTCGGCCGGATCAACAGCCGCTAGCGTTGAACCTGCGCCCGCCGCTCCCACCGCAGCCAACGGACGCGACCGCGCACCACGCTCCGTCGTCGGTCGCGCCGTGCCCTGTTCCATCTCGACGCGCGCCACCTCGCGCGTGCTCAGATGCGCCAGGTCGTCCGCCGCCACAGTGAAGCTCAGAATGCAGTCAAACTGCGCGCGCAGCTCGCCCGCCAGATAGTCTTGCGATCCGCGCTTGCCGCCGCGCAGCAGCACCTTGCCGATCAGCGCATTCAGATACGCACGGTGGCTCGAGATCAGCTCGTCCAGATCGCCCTGCCGCCGCGAGAAAAAGTGCAGCAGGTCGTTCCACGAGTACTCGATCACCTCGAGCTGCGCAAATCCTTGCATCTGTCGGATAAAGTGCACCATCTCCGACAGCATCAGCATCGTCCGCTGCGACTCGCGCCGCAGATCCGACACCGCACCTCCAACCGTACCGCGCTTGATCCGACACAGCGTCGTTCCCGTCTCGTGCAGGCGCAGCCAGCTCGTGTTGAGCGCCAGCTCCACCCGCTTGATCTTCCACAGATGTGTAAAGATCGTCTGATACCCCACCATCGCCTGGCTGTCCAGCACCGTATTCACCGGCGAGTCCAGCTTGTACTCGAGCGTAAACGTCTCCCACCCCGTGTCGCCCGTGCTAAACTCCAAGATGCGCGCGTCCAGCCGCCGCAGAATCTCGGCGTCGTCGTACTGCGCGTTCGACCCCCGGATCGCCGTCTCGAGCGACGCGGTCAGATTGTGCCGGAACAGCGAGTTGGCAGGCCGGCTCAGGCTCGGTCCTAGCGACGCCATCAACAGATCTACAAAATCACCCCGCGCCAGCATGAGGTAGTCCTTGAGTGCCCGCAGATGCTCCAGCAGCCGGAATCGGTCCAGGAAGATGTCCAGCAATCGCTTGCTTGCCGACGTGAAGGCTCTTTCGATCGTGCTCTCCAGCCCGGGCAGGTCCGTATACCGCAGCACCGTCGCTGCGCCCGAAACTGTATGCCTCGTCGCCACCCAGTCGCCGTCGCCGCAGCTCTGGCGGATAAAGTTGAGACTCTTGCCCGTCGAGAAGATTTTGCGACCGAACGATTCCTGCAAGAAGCTCGGTAGCATCTCGCTGCGAAACAGAAACTTATTCTGCCACAGCGACGCCGCATCGCCCTCGAGGTCGCTGAAACTCGGCAGGTCGCCCTCGGCCGCACCAGCGTTTGATCGACTCTGCCCAGCCGCGCGCGGATCGTCATTGAGCTCCACAAAGAACTCGCGGAACGGATCCTGCAGCTCGCCCTCGTAGATCCACAGCGACAGCGAGTGGAAGAACGGCTTCGACACCTCGTCCAGCAGACTCGACGTGAAGCGTCGGATGAACGGATCGCCGTTAAAGGTGTAGGAATGGATCAGCGACACGAGCGAGCCTCCATGCGCATCCTGGCAGCTCTCGATGATGGTGCTCATCAGCCGGAACCGCAGCGTCATCTCCTCCGTCCACAGCGATAGCCGCTTGAGTGTAACGTACGTCGTCGGTGTGTTCTGCGCGTCTCCGTCGTGGCCTTTGCCACCTGACTGCTGGGGCCCAGTCTGGCTATCCGCGCCACCGTCGCCCTTTGGTCCCATTTGCGCTTCGAGGCTGGCCACCAGCCGATAGAACCCTGTGAGCTCGTTCGAGATGAAATGGCAGAGACTCTGCATGATCAGGCCCGATGCTGGCATCGTGCTCCTCTCCTGGGAGAAGCCGGCCACCCTCTTGTACAGTTGACCCAGCTCGGCCAGGCGATGGAGGATCCGCTTGGTCGGCGCATTGATGTAACCTGCATCGCCCTCGTTGAACACGACACGCACCACCTTGGTAGGACCCGCAGCCTCTGCAGCGCCACTATTAGCCGCCGACTCGTACTGAAACTCTTCCTGGAAGCGGACATGACGGCCATTGATGCCCTGCATCAGAAAGATGACATCGTGCAGCAGCTCGTTTTCGGGGATCTGCTTGCGACCTATGTGCTGCCGCAGGTTGGACACGAGCTGTGCTTTCGAGAGCGGATGCCCGCTATCTCGCGTCAGATCAGACATGGTGATGAGCTGATCCTTTCTTGTCTGCGAGCCCACGTTGGCGGAGCGCGCGTCGCTAGTAGGTTGGGCGGATGCTTCTCCGCGGATCTTGGCGGCCGTGGGTCGGGACTCGGTGGAGGTGAGTCGGCTGTCGACCGGTGCTGGCTGGGCGCGTCTGTGCATTGCATCGGCGCGCTCCGTGGCGGGCGCGCTGGTGGCGGGCGTGTCTGCAATCGTGTAAGGAGTAGCCTTGAGCTCTGATTCACGCCGGTTGCCGTTGGACGAGACAGCGCGAGAAGCCGCGCGCGATGCGGGCGTCGCCGAAGCGCCCGCATCCGACGATGTGAACGCAAGTGCATCCATCATCTCGAGCATGCCGCGAAGATTCCGGAGTTGATTCGATGCTGTTGGATCCGAGAGCCGCGCAAGGATGTTGGAGAAGCGATTGGCAGACTCGTAGCCTCCATCCGCAGACAGACGGGTGATCTTGCGCCGCAAGGAGTCGATCACCATGCTCTGGTCCAGCCGACGCGCCGACGAGGATGCTTCGGCCTTGAGCTCAATGATGTCGTAGCTCATATCGTCTAGCGCATCCTTGAGCTCCTTGCGTGCTCGTCGCTCCTCCTTGGTTTCGTCGCGCTTCTTGCGCGTGGCGGGGACAAAGCTTCGCGTGAGGTTGCCGAGCAGTCTATACATCTCCTGCACGATGTCGGCGTCATCCACCGGCTGGCCCGGGGCCGCCGCCGAGCCTGACGGACCAGTCGGCTGCTGATACGACGAGGCCATAGTTGATGGTGCGATGGATGATGCTGGCTCTATCGTCGCGGTACGAGACTAGATGAACCGCCTTTTGCGGAAGCAGGATTGCGGACTTGGTCACCACGCCGAGGCACAAGCGGTCGATTCCGTCTACGATTCTTCGCCTTCTGTGTGTCCTCCTATGTGGTTTTAGAGGGCGTAGCTGCCCAACGAGCGATGCGTCGTGAGGTATAGGATGTGGGATGGTAGCCTGACGGTCCGACAGCTGCGAGAGGGAGCGTGTCACTTTTCGAGCCAACAAGTGGCAGGTGCGCCCTGTTTGCGCACGCGTCGCGCGCCTTTTTTTGGGCAGTGAGTCTTGACTTTGTCGGTCGAACATTGTCGACCGATTTTTCAGTGGTGTTCCTACTTCGGCTTAACAAATTTACCCTTTGAGAACGTGCGTGTTGCTCTCCTCCTCTCAGGCTCAACAGCTCGATGGCGGGAACGAGAACGAGCTTTCACATCCTCAGACGACATGCAGGCGACATGTACGAGGTCAACTCCTCTTGACTGATCGTCATTACAGGTTAATGGTCCATTTCGTTCCACGCGGTCGGGTGTCGAGTCGGCGGGGTATCATGACCGAGGTCATAGTCTGCCGAAATGACTCGTGCGAGCTAGGCCTGGAATAGAGGGCGAAAGGGAGGACGAGAGGCGGGTGGATCAGACTGTCAGCGAGGATCTCGGCGAGCATGGATGGACACCACATGAGACTCACCATGCTTTGAATCGCAGCGCAGGCCAAGGTGGCGGTCACCACAGCCGCCCAGCGCCAAGCAGTTCCAGGGTGACTCGTAGCTGCTGACGAGGTTGCTTGCTGGACAGTCCGGCTGGTGTCTGGACCGTTCCTGTTGCAGACGCCATACGGTACTGGAGTGGTGGAAGAGCAGTGCGACTCTGTCACGTATTGGTAGCATGAAAACACTGCAGGGCGTTGGCGGCAAAGTCGCAATGCGGATGGAAAGCGGGACGAGGTCAGCCGGACACGTTGAGCTTCTCCCGGGGGAGCCAGGCGGAGCCGATTGTGGATACTCACTGTCTGCGTAGTTGGACGTGGCGCAGATGGGATGGTCGAGCGCCATTGCCTGTGCATCTGGCAGGCCGACTGCTTGGAACGTTGCATTGTAGATGCCTCCCACTGCGGCGCAGCAGTAGTCGGTAACGTCGGCAAAGTACGACGAGCAGGAGCCATCTGGCGTCTCTGGTGTGATCGTCATGACCTCTTCCTTGGTGCAGGTGCCATTGAAATCGCCGCGCTCGTTCATCATTGGCGAGATGCGCAGTACCTGGTAGCCTGCTCCGTCAGCGGTTGAGTTGGACGAGGACGACGAAGAGCTGGCTCTCCTGAGCACGTGCCACGCGGGGCCTGAAGATGGAATCGGAGTGGCGCTGAGGCCAGATCCGGGGACCAGTGCGCTCGGTGCCATTGCGACCCGTCAATTTCGTCCGGAGGTTCGCGTGGATAGAAATGGTAAATCAGATGCTTCGCCGAGGAGCTGTTGCGTCGCGAGCGTCGGCTGCTCAAAAGGATTGCGGACGTCGAGTGCCTGCGGATGCGTGTTGCTGTTAGCCAGCTTTGGTGAGCCACGAATCAAAATCGATAGGCGACGACGCTCATGTCTGAGCTGACGTTGCGGTCCTCGAGATTCCACGGTGCCGCTACAAGCAACGAGCTGCGACGATCGTCTTGCGGAAGTCACCACTAGGAGCCGCAGCCGTGTGCGATGGAAGCGAAGAGAGTCCTTTGGCACCAGCGGACACACAGCTTTATGGTAGTGTGGCTGTGGCTATTTGCTGTTCGGTAGGTCGTGGTCCGGCACAGCTGGCTGGGCGTTGTTGTTGTGGTCGCGCTGTGGGCGGGAAGGAGTTGGTGTCAGTGGTGGTGGTGATGATGGTGGTGGTGGTGGTGACGGGGCTTGGTGGGGGTTGGTGGTTGCTGGATGCGAAGGAGGTTGTGACACGCTGCTGGCTCAGCACGATGGCCAAACTTGCCCGACTGACCGGTGCCAGATGCTGCCGGCCAGGTATGGAAAGGTGAGCATGTGCACAACACGACACAGCAGAGCATGGGCAGCTCTACCTGAGTTGTCAGCGCGTGCCATGGCCGGAGTGCGAATCAAAAAAACGAGGTGCAGCGCCGGGGCGGGCAAAGCTTGGCCGTCTTGCCTTGGATTGGCCTGCAGATCGACTGCCTCGCCTGTGCCGTCGAGATGCTGCTGCAGGGCCAAGCCCAGAGGCGTGCATTGAGCCAAGAACTGCAGCTGCATCCGCGTGTAGTCTTGGCGAATACAAGGCTGCCTTAATCGGCCTTTACGCGTTCAATCGCGAATATTCTTGGCGCATAAAGCCAAGAGCGGCCAAAGACCGCGCAGGCCGGCACGGGCTGCCAATTTCTGCCAATTTTGGCGCTTCGCCTGCCCTTCCCCCGTGAGCGCTCCGATCCGATCCCATCGTCCATCGAGCACTCTCATCGGCTAAGCCCCGATCGATTCGGAAGGCCATCGCAGATGCCGCCCTGCCATTGCTGTTCAGGAGGCGAGCCCGTCACCACAAGACACAACCTGTCCGAGCAATCACAGAGGAGAAGCAAGCACCTGCGGCTTTCTATCAGACGGATACACACGCGACCAAGCGATAGTCACCCGAATCGGATGAGGCAATTGAGAAGGCTGCCTAGTGCGAGCGGCCGGGTATGATAGTGGGCAATAGAGTCGATTGCTCGGGTATACATGGCACGAATTTGAACGGCTCTCAGATTTCGAGGCGAGGGGCGAGGTACGTGCGCTAACTTAGCGGGCGAGGAGCGTCAAAATCGACTTCGCTTGACACCCTGTTGCATCTGCGGGCCCGAGGACCGCGCCGACGGCTCTGCCTTCCTCTTCTTCCGCTCCAATTCGTCGTGCATGATCTTCTCCGCCATGGTCATGCTGCTCGGCGGTTTGCCTTTCGCTACAGAGCTGCCCTTCGACTGCAACGAGGAGCTCGAGTCACCCAAAGCCGAACGATCAGCCTGCTTGAGTGGATTGGCCGCCTTGGACGTCGACTTGAGCACATTGAATCCCATCTTGAAAGGTGCTGCGGTCTGAGATGTGCCTGCAAGAGTTGGCTTCGATGCTGCACTGGACCCTGAAGCGAGCGGTGCAGTCCGTGCGCCATTCTGGCTGGAAGCCTCGCCGCTCTTCTGCTCTGTCTTCGAAGCCGATGTCCCGAGCGAGAGACCGATGCGAATGGGACCAGCGCCCGTACGCTGAAGGCCTTGCGACGCTTTGTCCGCTGCCGCTGCAGTCTGATTGGCATCGCCAGCAGAAGACCCATCGGCGGCAGCTACCGAGCCACCGGAAGCTCTCGCGATCTGCTCTTGTAGCAGCTTGCGCTGTCTTTGCTCGTCGTCCATCTTGGCCCGTTCCAGTTTCTGCAGCGCATCTTGACGCGCCAAGGCCGCTGGCGAGTTGTCGATCCATGTGATGAACCAGCCTTGCTCTGTATCCTCGGCTTGAACCACTCCTTCTCGGCCGAGGTGCTTGACAAAGTCGGAGAGACTGCCCCATTGCGTCGCATTCATATGCGTGTGGTGACGGTCGGCGATGTACTCCTGGTATACCTGGTTGGCCCGGACGCGCTTGGTACCGAAGCGCCGGCTGAGCAACTGCACGAACTCCTTCTGGAACGTCGTACTGAAGTCGTCGATGACCCTCTTTGCGCCTCCCGAAGATGCGATGGCGTCGACCTGTCTGAAGTGTGCTTCCGATTCTAGATGACTGCGGTATCCGTTTTCGTCTCGACACGCCTTTTGGCACAGTTGGCAATAGAAACGTAGCTTGGTCAATCCCCTCGCCTTCATGGCGTTGGAGATCGCTTTGAGAGATCCGGCCTCTGCTTTTCCCATCTTTGCCTCGTTTTGGAGCTACTGTTGCGTCCGCAGCTTCGATGCTAGTTGCGGTAAGTCGCAACTGCGGCTCGAGATGGATCTGGTCGTAGGGGAAAAGATGGACCCTTGCCTCGCGCGGGAAGTTCGAGTGCGGAAGAGTGTGGAGGTGGAAATTTATGGTCACGTGATGACACCTCCGCGGAACTCTGCTCGCATCGACACGGCCAACCAGGCTGCCTCTCACAGTGTTTGAGTTGGTAAGGCGGGTGCACATGTCTTCTGATCAGCGCTCGGGCCGATCATTTGGGAGAAGCAGGAAGAGTGCTGCACCTGGCTGCATCTGTGAGTTGCTTGTTCGAAAGCCAAACTCCCACGAAAGTCCCCACCAGAAAGTGGGCACCGAAATTGTGGGGCAAGTAGGTTTCCAAAATTTGTGTGAAGGCTGGCCAACTGAGTTTGAATGTGGGCGTCAAAGCCACTCGAGGGTTGTCTCTCGCAGACGCCCACTACCATGGAGCGACCTGCCTGCAGATTCGATCGCGTCGAGGGCGGGACGTGCAGGTTCCGGATGAGCGGTATGATCGCCCGACGTCGAACTGCGACACACGAGAGACGCAGGGATGTCTCTGGCGTGGGTGACGGGCGGAATGAGGCTGGGTGATGAGCCGATACGCCGCCAGTCACTTCCCGAGACGATTGCTCGCACGGTCCGTCCCACATGGCTCCCGACACCAAGGGGGATCATCATCGGATCGTAGATAGAATCATCGAGAGCCCGAAGTTTTTGTCAAGCACAAGCAACGTGGACGAAGCCGACTACTGCAGCTTTGTGTGTCGAGCGATTCGAGTTTAAGCTCGTACCGACGTGACACGGCGACCAGTTCATGCTTTGGCGCCCAATCGCTACTGAGCTCGCTGTGTGGAACCGTGTGCCGTTGATTGTCCGAAACTTTCGGACAGAAGCCATGCAGTCAGACTTTGCTGTCGCTGCCGCTGCCGGCTCGAAGGCCTTGGCAGCCAAAGCCGACAAACAGCGCGGACAGCATCCTACGCGCCCTCATCAGCACAGTCAAAAAAAAAAAAAAAAAAAAAAAAAAAAAAAAAAAAAAAAAAAAAAAAAAAAAAGAGAAAGAAACCAAATTAAAATATTTTTTCTCTGTTTTTATCGACAGAACTGCAGCTCAGCTGCAGCGAGGCTGAGCGCCCTGGCAGTTGATGGGCACATTTCTGTCGTTGCTGCCGCTTGGCAGAGTGGGGAATAGCAGATACACAAAAATGAGCTGCGCTGGAGCCCGTGCCGCGCCCGCCGCCGCCCGCCCGCGGCAAGCGTCTGTTTCGTCGCGACCCTGCTGCTGTTCACGTTCCTCGACCCTTGCTGCTCGAGCAAAAAAAGCGATCTGCGCCCGCAGCAGGCGATTTCATCAGCCGCCGCTTCTCTCGAGCCTTCCCTATCCCCGCCCCTGCCTCACCACCACCAAACTTTATCGCGGTCGTCACACTTCGCACTGCTCCGCACGCTCGCCTCCGTACATCTTGGCCACTGCCGTCCGGTCTGGATTACGCGGAGCCGCGAAGGAAGCTTATCGACTTAGCCAACAGCGACGCGACGGCGATCCGAAGGCGTAGAGGTCACGGACCCAGCTTTCAAGCGCGTTCTGCCTCATCATCCGACAGCACAATCCCGTAACTCAGCCAACGGCCGCACCGCTCCTCATGACCCTGTCGCGCTAAGCCGAGCCATCCACGGCGCTCCACCCCTATCGGCTCCGCACCAGCATTGCCGCAAGACACCAAAGACCTTGTCCATTACATCTAGAGCAGCGCCAGTCCTAGCACCTCTCTCGACGCCACCACCCGCCGACCTTTGCCGTACGGCATCCGTGATCAGTATCGCCAATGTGCTGATATACCCTCGGCCACCCAACAGCTTCCCTCGCCAAGATGCCTCTTGAACAGATTCGACCCGTCGCGGGGCTCAACTCGTCCGAGTCGCTGCGACGCGCCAGCTACTTTGGCGAAGCATCTACATCCTACACGAGCCAGAGCCAATCTCGCGACGACCATGGCAGCGATTCGGATCGGGATCATGCCGATCACGATGGCGACGATGACGATGCCGATCTGAGGCGGTATTCGACGTCGTCTCGCAAAAGCGAGTCGATGAGCCTATCTAAGCTCGGTGGCGTGGGTGGTGTCACGCGATCTGGCAGCTGGGGCCGCAACTCACTGTCCGACGAATCGCATTCTGCCCGGCCGCACCGGGACGAATCACGTCAGTCGCTCTTCCGGCCACTCCGATCGTCTCTCGCACAGTACCGCGAAGAATCCGACGAGGAGGAATGTTCGCACGCCCGCACCACCGCGCAATCTTCGGGTCTTCCGTCTGCCTTTGAAGTCGACGGAGCTGCCGATCGGCGAAGCTCCGATGGCGACCAGGGCAAAGCCGCCGCCACGCTCCGTTGCGACCCACAGCCCGATCGAGCCACCTCCTCAGGGCCGCCAGCATCCTCACGAACCTCGACTGCCTCTTCCGCGGCCGCCTTCTCCCTGCGCTCTCTCTCCAATCGCAATTCGACCGGCAGCGTGTCGAGCCTGGCATCCTCGGTCGTCTCTCGCGGCGAATCGGATCGACTGACTCCTGCGCCCCCCACCGAATCGCCTATCGCGCTCGATCCATCCTTGTCTGCCAAATCTCCGGCCGAGTCCGCCCTCACAAGCTCTTCGTCCTCGACCTCGCTCACCGCTCCAGCGAGCCCGACAAGAACCGAGTTGGCCGATCCGTCGCTTCCTGCTCCGAGCAATGCCCCGCACGACGACGAGGCTCAAAGGACAGCTCCTTCGCCACCCGCAGACCAGATGACAACGAAAAAGCACCAACTCGGCACACACGCTGCTGCGATCACAAGCGATGACACAGCGTTAGCATCACCGGATCAAAAGAGCTATGCGCGTGAACAAGACAGCCCAGCGATCAACCCAGCCACCTTCTTGACCAGCCAACTGTCTCCTCCACCCGACAAGATGAACGCTCCAGCCGAGTCGCTCAGTCCAGCAAGCTGCCTCCAACCCAGCGCTGAAGAGCTCCTCTCGACTTCGTCCACAGGCATCTATTCGCCCCTCATCCCGCGTCGTCACTCGGGCATGATTATGCTTCGCTCGCGTTCCCAGCTCGCGCTGCATTCTGGTCTTGCCATGACGTTTGCCAACTCGGGAGGCGGCCGAGCCGCCGCGCGGGAGCGCGCCCGCAAGCAGACCGGATGGGAAAACGCGCCCTTCAGCGTTCTAGAGGCGCAGCGACACGCCCGAGGCTTCGCTTATTCGCAGCCTGCGTCTCCCGGCACTTCGACAACGACCATCGCCTGGGACCCTTCCGCAAGCCCTGCATTACTCCAGCCAGCCGCAAGCGTCACAGAAGCTGTGCTGATCAGCTCGCCCCAGCTAGCTACACGCCCGTTGGACCGAACGGTGGCATCACCGGAGTCGTCTCCTTCCACCCAACTGCCTGTAGAGCCTATCGTATCTACTCAGCGCCCAGCTCCCCCCCTGCGTCAAAAGTCGGAACACAGCCTCTCTCGAGCCGCTCTGTTGCGTCTTGACACGATGCTGGGCTGTCCCGTCAACGAGCCAGCCGACGCAGCCTTGCCGTCCTCTGCTGACGCTGCCTCGTCATCCGTATCGGTCGGGTCCAGGATGCAGCCTGTCCGATCGCCATCGGGCTCCGTGATCTTGGGGTCCAGCAGCCTCCTGCGCACCCCAACGACGGAAGAGTGGTCGCGCTACCTCGAGAGCCAGGGGGTCGGATTGGCAGGGCGAAGAAGCCGGACAGGCACCAACCTCAGCTCGGGCTCTTCCGCACAGCGTATCAACCGGATGGCCATGTCGGGGATCCAGTCCCCATCCAAAGCCGACATGGATTCTGGCATGGCTGGCGGCGCAGAGTATGGAGACGACAGCGATCTCGACAGCGACGACTCGGACGATCACGATCTCGGCGTCGAAGTGTTGGAGAAGCTCAAGCAGCTCGGGCTGAGCCGCGCTGCAAGCAGGGCAGGCTCGGTATTCGGCGATGAGCTGGCGAGCCTGCATGAAGAGGACGAGGACAATCTGTCGCCGGTCTCGCCTCAGATCGACAAGGTCCAAGCTGTCGAGGATCTGACGCCGCTCACGCCGTTGGCGTCCGGCGCCAAGACCCTTCCGCCGCAAGCCTCGCCTGGGCTTTTGTACAATGGCAGCCCTGGCACACCTCAACCCGCCATCGAGCGCGGCGCAACGCTGCGTCTGCCGCGAAGCAAGCGACCCACCATGTCCATGTCGGGCGATCTGCAGCCTGCAGGCCAGCTCTATCCTTCGGACTACAAGGGGCAGAAGGGCATCGCGGACTTCGAGATCGTGTCGGACGTGGGCCGCGGCGCATACGGTTTGGTGAAGAAGGCGAGGAAGAAAGGGCCTGACGGACGTCCGCAAGGGAAAGAGGTGGTGATCAAGTACATCATCAAGAGCCGAATCCTTGCGGACTGCTGGCGTCGGCATCGTGTGCTCGGGCCGATCCCCGTAGAGATTCATGTCATGGATCAGCTACGGCGTATCGCTTACGTGCCGCCTTCCAAGCCTCGACCGTGGGCGCCTCGGCGGCCAAAGACGCTGGAGGAGTATCGTGCACGCAAGAGAGCGGAAGCCGAGGGCGAGCAGGTGGCTGTCACCGAGGTCGCCTCGGCCGATGGCGCGCTCTCGCATCCCAACATTTGCAAGATGCTCGACTTTTTCGAGGACCACGAGTTCTACTACCTCGTGATGCCCTGCTTTGGACGGGGTCAAGATCTGTTTGACTTTGTGGAGAGCGCGCCAGATGGACTGGCAGCGTCGCAATGCCGAAGCATCTTTGGACAGGTGGCGGATGCGCTGTGGTTCCTGCACGCCAACAACATTGTGCATCGAGACATCAAGGACGAAAACGTCGTGCTGGATGGCGAGGGCAACGCGCAGCTGATCGACTTTGGCAGCGCCGCGCACGTGCGTCCGGGCAAGCTCTTCGACACGTTCAGCGGTACGCTCGACTATGCGGCTGCGGAGATCCTGCAAGGCGAAAAATACTCGGGGCAGGCGCAGGATGTGTGGGCGCTGGGCGTGGTGGGCTTCGTGCTGCTGTGTGGAGAGTGTCCCTTCTGGAACGGCGAAGAGGCGATCCAGGGGCTCGAGGAAGGTACGCGCGCGGCGCAGACGCTGAAGGAGCGCTGCCTCATTGCACGTGTCACCCCTGCAGACGCGGACAGCGAGCTGACGAGGGAGGAGGAGGGGGAGATGGCTCCGCTCGATCCAGCCTGGTCGCGGGGCAAGGACAAGGAAGGCGCCGAGCCCGACGGCGGCGGAAGGGTGGACGACTTTGTGGACCTCATCTCGCGCTGTCTCGAGCTCGACGTGGATGCCAGGCCGAGTGCCGAGCAGATCTGCCAGCATCGCTTCCTTGCCGGTTACGCGGGCTGGACGGGGCGGCGCGGATGGCAGCGGCTCAAGGCGCCGCTAGTCGCTTCGTGCAGCGTGCCGGCTGAAGTCAAGATCAGCGCCGCACCCACGACTCTGACCCCTTCTCTATGACCGCATCCCCGACGCGAGTAATGGCCCTTTATGATTTGTATGTATTCATCATGTCTCAGTTAACCGCAAAGCATCGTATCGTTTCGCAACGGGCGTGTGAAGTGTTGGAAGCCCGGGAGGTCCTGATGGTAGGGTTCATTTTTTCGCATTTTGAATTGTTAGGCCGAATTGGACCCTCGAAATGAAATGGGCGGCTGAGGCACGAGGCTGGAATGGCTCAGCTCCTGAATTGAGCTCCCGAAGCCGCATTTTTCGAGTCGACTGCCGTGTGTGGTTACTTTCTGTGTGACGGCGCAGACTGGCAGGGTAGCGGGTGTGTGTGTTTCGGAGAGGCCGTGTATTTGGACTTGACACCAACACCCTTGGCCTCACCTTTCCTCACATCCTTCATCTGCTCGTCGCTCTTCACACTTCTCCGCCTTTCCATCATAAGCCGACATTCTGAATCGCTGCACTCCGCCACGACAATCTGAAGGGCGTCGCACTGCCTGCGGAAGGTGAAGTCGCACCACGCTCTCTAACCCACCCTTGCAAGGCCTAGCGAGACTCTCGGTCGACCACAGCCAGTCCTCTGGCCAAGCTCAAACAACATGTCAGAGAAACGCCCCCTCTCTCTGCAATCATCACGTACGCGCCAGCGGCTCCCAACACTTGCCGAGGTGCTGGCGCGTCGTACGCTTCCGCCTGTCGACCTGTACTGCTTCTACCTGTATCTGCAGCGCGAAGCAGCGGAAGATGCGCTCGACTTCTGGCTCGATGTGCAGCAGCACGAGAACCTGTGCAGGGCGTACTTCAAAGACCTGCGCAAGTCTGGAAAGTCGGTCAAGGAGGACTGGCCCCAGTACTACGCAGAAGCGCTCGAGCGCGGCAGCATCTACAACAAGATCAACGGCATCAACGAGCAGAGCGCCGACACGGGCATACCGTCGCGTCGTGGGCCCGACAGTAGCTGGGACCATCAGAGCCGAGTCGAGAGTCCCGATGCCGCCTACTCGACGATGTCGCACGCACCCAGCCCAGTGCCTGCTGCTGCCACTGCATCCGGCGCGCCCCTTGCAGCCCCACGCTTCCCGGGAGACCCAGACTACCTTGCGCAGCAGACACGCGCAGAGAGGAAGAGCATCCTTGCAAAGCGCGGATCCGTCGCACCCACCGTCATCTCGCGCTCGGCAGCGATCACCAGGACGGACCTGATCGCCTCGGCGGAACGCATCTACGCGAGGTACCTGCTGCCCGGATCCGAAAAGGAGATCTATCTGCCGGGACCGCTGAGGATCCACTCGTTCCCGGTCTCGTCGTCGACCTTGCCGCATCCGCAGGATACGGAGCAGCAGAGGGCGCTGGCCCGGATTCCCGACATGTTCCACGCACAGAAGGAGTACGTCTTCCGCACCATGGAGGCGGACATCTTTCCGCGCTTCCTGCGGGCCAAGGCGTTTGGCAATCTCACGCCCATCTCGGTGCTGGTGAGGCTCTCGCTTGGACTGCTGGCGTTGTGGGCGGCGTTGGCGACGGCGTTCAGCTTCATCTTCTTGGACGTGGGGCGTGCCAAGCGTTGCTGGGTGATTGTGCCGTTTGCGGTGGCAGTGCTGTTGCTCATGTCGCACCAGTACGAGCTGGATCCCATCCTGGTGCTCTTGGCACAGAGCGAGACCACGCCCTTCCGTCTGATTAGGATACGCGAGCACTACGTGCACAGGCTGCTGCTCCAGCGTGCACTCAGCGTCCTCCTGCTCGTTGTGCTCATCACAGCGGCTCTGACAGTGCTCTTTGTCTTTGTCCCGGGTCACAGACTTTAAGCCCCCCGTCCCCAATTTCTTTCCATCTCTTGCTTGCTTCCCCTTGATACCTGTCCTCATGTAAGCACGGGATGACACAGATCCCGTGCCGCGCTGGTCGCCCTACCCACACTCGTTTGCCAACGTCCCACTGCTGTCGTTCATTTCCTTGGCCTCACTCTAATCCATTTGCTGTGCCAGATCGACCAAGCGCCGTGGCGGCTGAAACGCCTTTCGAATGTCGCGTGTGCGATCTCAAAGCGACGCTTTGATCTGCTCCTGTCTTGGTCTCATCGACGTAAGGTCTCATCGTCGTAAAATTGAACACAATCACACTGAGGTATGAACTGGGATGACCTGAATTTTCGGTGGCGTGCGATGTGCGCACTGCGAGGTATATATACAGCCCGACGCCGATCGACCTCACCGGATCGAGCGGCGCGTCAATGCAAAGATTCGGAACACAGGGAAGATGCAGAGAGGTGGTGATGAGGGGAATTAGAGGAAACGACCGAACTTGGTGCCATCGACCTTGGCGTTGGCACGGAGCTCGCCACGCTTGACGATGGTGTATGCCTCACCGGGCGTGACGTAGGTGGCGGCCTTGTCGCTGATCGACTTGACGCCCTCCACCGCCTGCTGCGACTTGAGCTGCTCAGAGGCAGCAGCCACGGTCGAGGTGGTGGTCATGGGAGTCTCGTCGGTAGGCGTGGCGGGGGCGGCAAAGTCCTCGTCGTCCGAGGTGACGGGCGAGGGAGGAGCGCCGGCAGGGCGGTGGGCCGAGGTGCCGGTGGCGCGGTTCTCGCGCTCGGCTTTGGCAAGCTCGTCCTTGGCGAGCTGGTAGCCGCCGTCGAGAACACCGACGCGCATCATTGAGAGCAGGTTGTGCGCCGCATTCGAGTGGTCGTACACACCGCCGAGGAACGCAGTGGTGGCGTCCTTGCCGATCTTGCCCGTGAGGAGATGGCGGCCACCCGGGTGCTCATCGAGGAAGGACGAGACGTCGTGGATGAAGCCGTGGACAACAATGAGGGGGCGGGTCTTGGACTCCTCGACAAAGTCGTCCCAGGAGATGACGGGAAGGTGAGCCGAAGACTTGGGCCACTCGAGCTGCTGACCAAGCTCGTGCGCCTTCTGGAGCTGCATCGCAAGACGACCCTTCTTGACCTCGTTGTCGGGGAAGGTCTTGAGGTGCGAGGCGAGACCGAGCTTGCTCATGGTGCCAATGAACCACTTGGTGGGGTCGAACTGGTACCACTGAACAGCGTTGCGGTAGTCCATAGGGAACTGGTGGTGGAAGTTGTGATAGCCCTCGCCGACGGTGACGAGAGCGGTGAAGAAGTGGTCGCGGGGCGTCATCTTGTTGTCAAAGGTCGCCTCGCCGAGGTAGTGGGCAAGCGAGTTGACGCAGAAGGTCGAGTGGTGCACGAAGAAGAGTCGGAGCATGCCGGCGAAGAAGAAGCCGCCGCGCCAGTCACCCCAGCCCAGGCCGGCAACGAGGGTCGGAAGACCGAAGCCGAAGAAGAGGAGCATGGGGATGTAGAACTTGTGCTGGAACTTAATCACGGGGTTCTTGCGCAGATCCGAGATGTCCGCAACACCGGGCTTGCGACGGGGCTTGATGAGCATCCAGCCGAGGTGCGACCAGAAGAGACCGAAGTGAGCTCCGTAGGGGTCAAGGTCGGTGTCGGTGTAGCGGTGGTGAGCGCGGTGACCGCGTGCCCACCAGTGGATAGAGCCCTGCACGGCACCGGAACCCATGCAGGCAAGGAAATACTGGAGCGGGAGCGATGCGTTGTAGGCACGGTGGGCCCAAAGACGGTGGTAGCCGGCGGTGATGCCGAGACCAGTAAGGAAGTAGTAACCGAACGTCCAAGCGGCGGTGTACTTGTTCCAGCTGGTGGTGAAAAGACCGTAGAAGGCGAGGACGGGCGTGATGGTGAGCGCCAGGAACGAGACCCACTGGATCTCGCCGAGAATGTTCTTGAGCTGAACGGGGGGAAGAGGCTTCTCGGTGGCGAGCACTCGAGAGACGTAGTCGTCAGGAATGTTGGCGTCGGCGAACTCCTCCTTGGGAGCGGCCTGCGCATCCTTGGTGGCGGTCGTCGTCGACCTTTGCTTCAGTTCGGTGGCCATCTTTGCGACGAACGTGAGTGTACGGGTGGTGGTGAGGAGACAAGACAGAGAAGGTGGCTTGCTCAAGTCTTATATATGAAGCGGGCCACGAGGCTTTTGCGGACGTGGACAGACAGGGCAGCACAGCACTACATGCGCGTCGGTCAAATGTCGAGCAGGAAAAAAGTCGGTTGCACGGCGCAGTCTTCGGTGGGGCGGCTTGGCGCGAGCGAGTCTCTCTCTCTGTTGGCTCGGGCATTGGACTGTGTCGAGGCCGGCGCACCGGGCAAGTGGCGACAGACGAGTTGCTCAGCATTGCAGCAGCCGTCAGGGGCCACGAGTGATTTTCACAGCAAGCTAGCCGCAGGAGCATCACGACAAGGCTTTGGGTGTCACTTCGGAGGTTCCGAGACCGAAGCAGAAGGTGAGGATTTGGGACGGAGCATCTTTGGGCTCTGCTGAGTGGTGGAGACTCACAGGGCTTTAGCCGAGTGTCTTTGCGTCGCCTGGCTGCCCGCCCGTCCATCTGGCAACAGAGTCGCCACCGAACACGTTGATGCCCGCTGGGTGCGAGGCAGGAGGCCAAACAGTGCGGAAGGCTGGGGTGGCGGCGGCGGTCATGGTGGGGTCTTCGGCCGTGCTGGCTTGAGCTGCTGCCCCAGGATTTCCGCCCAGGATCCGTTTCGCAGGCGGCTCATCGGACGTCAAACTACGCCGTGTCGATGGCTCGACGCGAGGTTTTCGGTCCCCGGCGGCGAAATGTGACTGCCTCAGTGCCTTTGCGCACTCAATCCTCCACCGGTTCTGAAAACTTTCGCTTAGAGTCTTTGGGCGCAAGTTTCACGCTGGGTTGCCCTGATTTTGAGGTGGAGCTACGCGGGGCTTGGGTGGCAGTTCGCCCTCGCTGGACGCGTTCTCTGTCCGCCTGGCCAAAGCAATTTTGTTGGGGCAAGACTGCTGCACATCGCTGCACGCGGGTGCATGGGCCTCACTCATTTCATGCGGCCCTGACCAAGAAGTGTGTCAGGCCCACAAGACGATGATACGCCCAGGGCCTGCATACGGTATATGCGTAGACACCCGATCCCATCGCTCGTTGCATCGTCGGCGAGAACCGATCAAATGAGAAGGCGACAGGGCTGACCAAGCCCTGTCATGCCAACGTGTGAACGATGGAGGAGGGTAATCAATTGTTGCGCTCAAAAAGTCGCCGTCGCCAAGATAGCCACGTTGATAGCGAGGCATTTGAAATGGCTACGTCGGACAAAACGGCCTCCGCCGTTCTTTCCCGAGCGAGCCAGGATATTCAACTCCTCAATTCACGGCAAGCTCATTTCGTGTGGCAGCTAGGAGGCCTTGCGTCAACAGCATCGAGCAATAGTGCTTCACCCCGCCCCTGCCTTTCACACCCAGAGTTCCAAGCGGGGGAACATCGCAAGGTTGCGAGCAGGTGTCAGTGCGTCACTGTCGTCATGGTCACCGTGCACCAGATTGGCGAGATGTTAGAGCGACAACAGAAACGAATTCGGCGTGGCCCGGTTGGTCGAGCTCTCGGAGGTTTCTTCGGAGGTTGCTGGCGTGGCAAGAACCTCCGGCCGAGCAGGGAGCTTGCGGTGTGGCTCAGAAAGATCCGGACCCTCGACGTGCAATTTTTGTTGGGGCGGGGCCTCCAGAATTACGGCAGCCCGCCAGCAGCTCGTGTAGAGACAGATTGTCCTTACTTTCGTACGAGAAGTTTGCGGTTTGGCAAGAGACGGCGCTGGTGCATTACATAAGAGATGGTCAGCACGACTTGCTCCTGTGCGTAACTTGTACAGCTGTTCTTACTCTCTCAGAATCTCTCAGAGGCGCTTGCTTTCGGCCAGGATTGTTCGCGAGAGGGGAGAATACTTGACCCCGCTTCGGTTGAATGAGATTGCGAGGCTGCTGCTGATGTTGGACTGATTGTACATAGGAGATCGGGACGTTTGGATGATATGATCTGAGAACGAGGGACAAGGAGAGCACAAGGGAAATGAAACAGAGAGTATAAAGAGGTGCTCGGCGCAAGCTGCCGTCCGTCAAACGAATGTCAGACGAGAGCTGGTTCGTTTGAAGGCGGACGGGGCCAAGCGGGAGCGGGAATCATGCACAGGTTGAAAGGTGCTCATGGACAAGAAAAGAAAGGGTTTTCATGCAGGGTTGGATCGCGGTGACCATGCCAGGAAGCGAATCTACGGCAAAATGTGCCGAGCGAGCTAACCATTTAGTGGGCAGGCTTCTTGATGACCGAGGTGTCGGGAACACCGGGGAGAGGGAAGCTGGTGGCGAAGGCCTCGACGTCCTTGTTGAGCTGCTTGACGGCGTCAGACTGGCGGGCGGCGTTCATGAAGTCGACGAGCTTCTTGCCCGAGGTCTTCTGGATGTCGAGCGAGATCTGGACGACGCGGTCGAGGAACTCGGCAACCTTCTCCATGTCGCTCTCGGTCATGGAGCGCGAGGTGAGCGCGCCGGTGCCGATACGCACACCACCGGGCACGAGGGCCGAGGTGTCGCCGCTGACGGCGTTCTTGTTGAGCGTGATGTGGGCAAGGTCGCAGATGTTCTCGACCTTGGAGCCGGTGAGGCCGAGAGGACGCAGGTCCCAGAGGATGAGGTGGTTCTCCGAGCCGTCGGTCTGGAGCTTGTAGCCCTTGCCCGAGAGGACCTTGGCGATAGCCTGCGAGTTCTTGATGACCTGGACGGCGTACTCCTTGAAGGCGGGCTCGGCGGCCTGCTTGAGCGCAACGGCGATACCGGCGATGGTGTTGTTGTGCGGGCCACCCTGGCAGGCGGGGAAGACGGCGGCGTTGACGCGGCCCTCGATCTCGGCGTCGCGGTCCTTGCGGAAGAAGATCATACCGGCACGGGGACCACGGAGGGTCTTGTGGGTGGTGGTGGTGACAATGTCGCAGTACTCGAAGGGGTTGTTCTGCACCTGGGCGGCAACGAGACCCGAGATGTGGGCGATGTCGGCCATGAGGTAGGCGGACTGGGTCTTGGCGATCTCGGCGAGCTTGGCGTAGTCCCAGTCACGAGGGTAGGCGGAGCCACCGCAGATGACCATGCGGGGCTTGAAGAGGTCGGCGTTCTTCTTGAGCTCGTCGTAGTTGATGTAGCCGGTGGCGGGGTCAACGTTGTAGGGGAACGACTGGAAGTAGATGGACGAGGCCGAGATCTTCTTCTTGGCGGTGTAGTAGCCGTGGGTCAGGTGACCACCGGAGGGAAGGCCGAGACCCATGATGCGGTCCTGGGGCTGGAGGAGGGCGGTGAAGGTGGCAAAGTTGGCGGTGGAGCCCGAGTAGGGCTGGACGTTGACACCCCACACCTTGGGGTCAAGGTTAAAGGCCTTGAGGGCACGCTGCTGGCAGAGCACCTCGAGCTGGTCGATGTACTCGTTACCACCGTAGTATCGGGCGCCGGGGAGACCCTCAGAGTACTTGTTGGTGAGGATGGAGCCGTTGGCCTCCATGGTGGCGAGCGAGGTCAGGTTCTCGGAGGCAATGAGCTCGAGACCGGAGAACTGACGGTAAGTCTCATTCTCGATGATCTGCTGGACCTCGGGGTCAGCCTCGGCGAGGGACTGGTAGAGAACCTTGTTCTGTGGGGGCGTGGCGTGTGATGAGGTGGAGCGCAAGTCAGCAATCGAGTTCTTGACATTGCGAGCGCAGGGACGGACCCAAAGGGGGGAGCACTTACGAAGTCGGTGGGGACGGCGACGGACATCTTGGAGGCGGAAGTGGCGAAGGTGCGGGGGATGGAGATGGCGGAAAGAGAAGGAAGAGTGCGAGCTACGGGAAGAGAAGTGTTCCTAAGAAGGTTTTGAGCAAGTCTTGCACAAGGGCGACGGGCAGCCATGGAAGACAATGTGAAGAAGTTGGTGGTGGCAAAGGATGAGGCGGAGGTGGGGGGTGGGATTCAAAGAGTTCGGAAGCCTGGCGTGAGCGCGCGTCGGCTCTGGAGCGAGAATGTGCGCGGTGCAGTGCACGGATTGGCTGGCGACTTGACCGATGCGGAGACTGCAGTCGGGTCAGGTCGAGTCAGGGCAACGAAGGGGCGGGTGTCTGGCTGGGCCTCTTTGCGCGGGTTGAGGAGAGACGCTGTGGAAGAAGTGCCAAAAAAATTATTGGCTGGTGGTCGTGGAAAATTTGACTTATTGGGCGGATAGCGAGTCGGGTCGGCTGGTGTACCTAATCTGAACGCGTCTGTGGCGAATAGCGAGGCAGAAGAGCACGAGCGCGGGAAGATCCAAGCGAGGTGAGTCGAGGACCCTGTTTTTTTTTCTTCGTTCGTGACAAACGGTGGGAGGCAACCAACCTTTTTTTTTTTTCGAGCGGTTTGAGACCTGAGTCGGGAAAGCCGGTTGGAAGTGTGAAACGAGACAGGAGAGAAGGCAGCGAGCCGAAGATGCAGCGGTGGGAAGGTTAGATCTTCTTAGCCTGATTGAACGTGTCGCTGGTGCCGCAGACGCTTCTTGCGGGTTGCGCGAATCACGAGCCAGACTGGAGAGGCAGGGCCCAGCCCCGCACCTGCTTGCTTTCTTCTCTCGCGCCTCCCTGCCAGTGAGACGGGGCTCTTGAGGCCATACAAAGCGGAGAGTGTGCGAATCTGGCGCGTCCCACACCGAGACTTGAAACTTACCTGTTCTACGAGATGACTTCTAGTTTGAAGGCGTGAGATGATGGTTGGTGTGGAAGATGAATGCTAGCGTCGGTGGTGGATGTGCCGTTCTTATCCATGTGCCAGCCAACGCCCGCAGCGACGAAGGCCAGCGTTTCGAGACCGCCAAAGCCTTGGGAGGCTGGCCGACGAGATCACATTACCCTGCTGGCGAACGACGACTTGGGTTACCATAAACGGCAGGTGTGCACGCGCGCCGCAGCTTGGACGGTGCGGATTTGCGGAAAAAGCGGCGGTGTAGGCCGCGAGCTCCTGTCAGAAGAAGTGCAAGGCCCTCGTCCGCCCGTCCAACTGGCGACGCAGCCCTGGAAAGCACCGGGACCGTTATCGCACTTCAGCTCGAGTTGGTCACCATCATGGTTGCGCAGGGCCCAATTCAATGCGCGCCTGACCAGGCGGCAAGCACACTGGCCTTGAAGTCAACAGGATGATCGACAGCATTGCGTACCCTGCGCGACAAGCAGCCAAGTTCGGCTTGCGGATAGACTTGCTCTGAGCTCTGTATCTTGGTCCGAAGCCATCTGGTCAGGGCAGCCCGGCGCAATCGTGGTCTCGGCAGGCTGTGGTCCAACGCGACGAGGTCGGTCGATGGCATGTGTGTGAGATCAAAGTGTTTGCACAAAGCCCGCTCTTTCCCGATCGATCCATTTATCGGTCGACCGGGAAAATGAGCCCCGATCCATCCATCTGCATGGACGGAGAGAGCGAATTTACAGTCCGCCTCGCCAACGCCGACTCGCCGGCGCATGCTCACGTCACTTCTTTACGGACAACACCTCAGCTTGTTGAAGTATCAAGCTTGTCTAACTCGGTGGCAGCTGTGTTCCTCGGCGCCGCATGTACAGTACTGTACTGTATGACAACACAAAGGGGACCGAGAGCGGCCCAGTGCGCGGCGCAGGTTCCGAGAGCATCCAAAGCACCGCTCGGAGATTTATAGGAGGCGTGAGGTGCGCGCTGCGTGCGTGCGTGCGTGTGCGGAAGACAGGCGTGTGCACGCCTGTCAACGTTTCAACTCCACCGGAATGTCATTTCCGAGGCAGTCAAGGGCCCTTTTGGCTCGAAAAAAAAGGAGGAAAAATTCACGCTGCAGCGCAGTGGTGGAGCATTGGAGCAAAGGTAAGCGATGCTCACCTAGAGCCATCTCCGCGGGTCCACGGACATCTGGCCCGCGTGCCGGCTCACAGGCAGCAGCAGCGCGTGTCCACTTTGGCCTTGGCACCGCAACCGGCTCACACACACATCCACTCCCTCGTTGCCAGCATCTTCCACCTCTCTGCTTACAACCGCATCCACCCTTGCCTTGGGCTCCCGATTTGTATGCGTGTCTGCTAAGCTCGACCTCGACCATGCTTTCGATCTAGGATCCTTCACGACGCTGCACGAGCAAGCTCATCTTTCGGTCGCACCGCGCCCCCTTGGCCGAACGAGCTGTTGCACCTCAGATTGGTCGGTCATCGCACCTTGATCTTCCACCACCTCTCTAGCCGTCATCATGGAGTCGAGGCCCACCTCGAGTCCCGCATCGCCGCCGAGGCTGTTGCGATCCAAGACGGAGCATCCCATGTCGCATAGCTCGGAATCCAACGCAGCCTTTGCATCTTCGAGTCCCGTCGTCGAAGCATCCGACCTGCTCGACACACAACCAGCTGCTGGATCATCAGCAGCTGCGTCCAGCTCCTCCTCGGCACGAAAGGGTCGCGCCAATCGTGCCCGCACTCGCTCCGTGTCTTCCAACGCCGTCCCCGTATCTCAACTCTCCAGATCCACCCTCTCCTCTCTGCAGACCGAGCTCGATGGCGCTCTCGACCGCGGTCCAGGCACTCCGGACTTCACCCTTTCCGCCAGCACCCCGCAGTGGCGCAGGGCAGACGTCGAGCGCGATCGCACCATGTCGAGCTTGGGTCAGGGCTTGCAGCTCATCTCCGAAGCAGAAGCCTCCGCGGGACCATCGTCGAGCAACCCACCCAATCGTCAGCGCTCCGCAAGCGGTGCTTCTCAGGCCTCCGCCTCTTCCCATTCGTCGGACTCTCACAAGAAAAAGTCGCTGCCCGCCAACTCCTTCACCCGGCCAAGACTGTCGACGCTACGCTCCTTCCTGTCGTCGTTCACTGGCGGTAACTCCGCTTCCGCTCCAGTAAGCTCGTCCAACACGCCTCACGACGAACAGGCTCGAATGCTCGACAATGAGCCCCCGACTGCCCATCGACTTGCTGTACGCCCGCAGGCGCTTGTCATGCCGTCCGCACGACCGGCAGCGCACGGCCTGATCGGCCTCAACGAGGACAGTCCGCCGCTCACTCCCACCAGCGATCCGGACGAACAGAGCGAATACCAGCAGTACGTAAACGCCTTCCGCCAGCAGCTCGTCCCAAAGCAGGCCGCCAGGCCACTCGGCGCGCCCAAACACCAGTGGAGTGCTGCTCAGGCTGCCGCCGACGCTGTACAGGCAGATTTGGACGAACGCAACCGCATCACACCACCCGCACTGGCTCAGTGGCCTTTCACTCCGCCACTCACAACCTCCAACGTCACCTCGCCTGTTGCTAGCAGCCGCGCCTTTTCGCCCCCAACACGACCGGACTCGACCATCACCACAGTTAGCGCATACCAAGGCATCCTTCCGTCGCATCTGGTGTCGGGCACCGCAGTCGGCAGTCGCTCCACCACGCCCACCTCATCGACCACTGCGTCTGGCACCGAGTCTGCGCGCTCCTACAACTTGTTCGACGTCGACACGTACCGCATCGAGAGTGCGGGCAAGACGCTGCTCGCACTGCTGCCGCGCATACAGATCAACCTCAGCTCGTGGCGGCTCTCGATGCCCAACGTGCGTCCCTATTTGCCACGCCTCTTCTTTCTGTTCGTCATCTTTGCAGCCTCGACGTGCTGCATCGTATTCATGCTCTGGACGCTCCCGCTCACGCTGCCCAAGCACATCACCAGCCTCACGCTCGCCGAGATCAAGCAGCTCGCCACGAGCCTCAAGGTCTACTCGCAGAGCAGCCCGCGTGCATTCGTGCACACGCTCGTCGTGCTCGGCACCTTCTTCACGTGGAAACAGTCGTTCTGCGTGCCAGGCAGCCTCATCATGAACGTCGTATTCGGCGCCATGTACGGCACCTACTCGGGCACGCTCTACACCTCGATTCTCACCGCGGTCGGCGGTGTGTTCTGCTATCTCCTGTCTGCGCCGCTCGCGCCGCTGATCACATCGTTGCCAGGTCTCGCCAAGCCGCTCGACGCCATGCGCCGCGCGCTGTCGCCAGGGCGTGCGAGGGCGTCGGGTCGCAGCGTCATGCTGTCCACCCCGCACACCGGCAGCAACGGCAACGTATGGACGTACCTCCTCGTGCTTCGCGTGCTCCCCATCGTGCCGTACGGCCTGATGAACATCGCGTGCGGCGTGCTTGGCGTGCCGCTCGCTCCGTACGCAGGCACGCTTGCCGTTGGCTCGATCCCGTGGAACTTTGTCACATGCCAGGTGGGCGACCTCTTGCAGGAGATCGTCGAGGCACTCCCCGTGTCCGATGACACCACCGTGGGAGGGCTCAAGGACAAGGCTGCGAGTAGTGCTGGCGGCGGCATGCGTGCGATCGTCGACCGCATCTGGAACCGCGAGATGGTGGTCAAGCTCATCCTGCTCTCCATCGCCAGCCTGCTACCCATCGTGCTCAGCAGGTATCTCAAGTACCGACAGAGACAGCAGGCCGAGGCGGAAGGATACCAGGCGGTCGATGCGAACGAAATGGACGACGATGGCGTCGACGATGAGGAGGCGGATCGACCTGCGTCGCGCCGCTCTTCGCGTATAATTCAGCACAACGCAAAGACGAACGCGCTTCCCATAGAGAACGTGCCACTGGACGACTTTGAGCCCTCGGCTTCGGCTCACAGCACCAGCACCGTCGGCAGAGGCAGCAATCGCCACGCTGTCCGCAGCGCCTGGCTGTAAGCATCACGCCGAATGATCTTTCCATAGGAACCATGAGTCGCATTGTCATGCAATCACATCTACATGCACAGCTCGCGAAACCAAGTCGCGTTGGCTGCATTCCAGGAGAGCGAGACGAGGTTTAGGGAGAGATCCAGCTTTTGACGGCCCGCTCGACGATGGGTCGCACGACCTTTCTACCGGCGTCCTTGCGTCCATGGACCCACACCATTTGCCGTCGCTTCTTGCCCGCATGATGCTTCATCTTGGGATGCTCCTCGAGGTCGAAGCTCTCGTTGAGGGCGGAGCTGAGCACGCGGAAGAGGTCGTCGGCCTGGGTGCGGTTGATGCGGTGGTCGTGTCGAACAGTCAGCACGATCTCTCGCACCTTGTTGCCCTTGTGGTCCTTGTACTTGTTGAGACAGATGCTGACGTCGGCGCGGATCTCGGCGGTCCAGCGGCGCTCGACTCGGAACCAGTCCTTGAGCGTCTTGCGCTCCGTGCGCTCGATCTGGTCGTCGATCGACACCGGCGTGGATGCAAAGCCGAGATGAATGGCCGGCGTGGCGGTGTCGGTCGTCTCAACCACATCGCCCTTCCAGTCGCGACGCAGAAGGTCGCGCACGCTCAGGTGGGAGAGATCGCGCTTGGCCTCGCCCAGCTCCTTGTCGAGTCGGTCCATGACTTGCGACAGGCTTTCGTTGTGCCAGTTGCTGCGCTCAAGGACGCGCCGCGAGACGTCCGCATCGGTCTTGGTCGACTTCTTGGGGTTTAAGCCGTCCGAGTCGATGGCGATGGCGTCTAACATGAGCTCGAGCAGCTCGTGGGGCATGTGGTATTCTCCTGGCCCGTCCGGGGGGCCGGGGATCGCCTCGAGCTCGTCGAGCATCTGTCGAGCAACCAGCGTGGTGCAACTAGCCACTGTCTCGAAGATGCGCGGGTTGGCATGCGGTGCGACGCCGCGATCTGCGTGGTGGTCGATGATACCTACGACCTCAGCATCTGCCCAGACGCTTAACGGCAAAGGGTGGTCGACCAGGACGATGCCGCGGATCTGCTTGGCAACGGCTCTTGGGTGTGCGGGCAGCTCATCGATGGTCAGCAGATCGCGATGACCCGAACTCATCTTTGAGTTATCGAGTGCGAGCTTGTTCTCGGGGCGGAGGTCGAGAGCATCGAGCGGGGTCTGGAGGAGGGCGACGGCCTTGCGTGGCTGAGGATGATGCAGCGTCGAGTGGGACAGGTGGTAGGCCCATGAGAGCGCTGAAGCCATACTGTCGAGGTCGCCGCCCTCGTTGCCCATGACGATGGTCCATTCGTTCGCCTTGCCCAAGGCCCAGTCGGCGATAAAGTCGTGCTTGGTCGACTTGGACCATTCCGAGAAATGGCCGACGCCTTCCTCGCTGGCCCAGTAGTCGGCAGGTCTGAGCGCTCCATCGGCAAACGCTTTCTCCGAGGCTCTGTACGTAGAAGCTGAATCGACCACGAGCGGCTGTTCAACGAGCCTGTCGATCGAGGTCGGTGCAAGCTCGCTCTCGACGGCAAAGACCGCCTCCCGTGGTTGCGGCAGAGCGCGGCCGTGCGCGAAAGTAGACGCGAGAGCCACTATCAGAGCAGCAGCGGCTCCGAGTCTCTCCTTCTTGCCCCTAAGCGAAACCATATTGAACTTTGGTGATGATGGCGACGCGGTGCGAGGGAAGAAGAAGGTTTGTCGGTTGATAGCCTCGAGCCAGAGGCGTGGGTTAGGGGCGGAATACGGCAGGCATGCATGTCGGCGCTTCCGCCCTTGCTTCCGCATTTGACGAATTTTAGGCCCGACGCCCAGCCAGCTCGCATCGGTGAAAGTGGAGGGCACGGGACGATTTTCTACTCTAACATCCGCTCGTTAGGCGCACCGCACCGAGACCTTCTCGAAGCAGCTCGCCACACAGGCAGCGACGGATGATCCGCCTCGCGACCATCATTCTGCCGACACAAGATCCTTTGCGTCTCGTCCGTGCCTGCGAATCTGTTCTTGAGCCCAGCTCTGGTCGAAGTGCGCATCCGTCGAACGGATGATGAACTCATTTGGAATCTGATGAAAGTTCAACTATAACTTAGCTGCAGGATTCAAGTGGTCCTGGGGTTCATTCGGACCCTCACTTCCGACCGAGCTTCTCCCATCCGTGTGAGCCTATTCACAGGCCCCTCTCGACGGTCGTCACAAGGATCTCCAGCGAGACCTTCGCAGGCACGAGAGCAAGAACATGTTGATGACATGAAGGGGATGATGATTGCGAACAGGGATGCTATGGACATGACATGACAAGACAGCGCGCTCGACTCTAGAAAGGAGCGACCGTGAAGGAATCGTATGCACGGCGTCAAAGGGTGCGTTGCGAGGGGACTCTTTAGTAGTCCTCCTCCCACTCGGGGGAACGCTTGACCTGGGTGGCCATGACGGATCGCTTCGAGGGGGTCTTGATAGCGGGGCCGTTCGAGATGGAAGGGTAGTATCGGCAGTTGGAGCTCTTGCCCGCGGGCTGGGCAGCAGGCGTGGGCCTGACACCCTGGTACCAGGTGGAGCCCGAGTAGACACCGGGCCACTGGCCCTCAATGCCGTCGCACTGCTCGAACACCCCGGCGTCGTAGTTGGCGGGCTCGTTCCACATGCAGCCCATGACGTCGTAGATGTGAGGGCACCAGTTCTTGGCCCAAGGACCGGCACGGCATGCACGGAAGCAGTACTCGTTGGCCGACATGAAGTTCTGCCACTCGGGGAGCTCCTCCCAGTTGCCAGTAAAGGCACGGGTGAAGACGTGACCACCGACGGGGTTGCCCGAGCCAGTGGCGCCGTGAGGGTCGAGCTCTCCGCCCTCGTCACCGGCGCGGATGTGGATCTTGGTAAAGTCACCAGTACCGGTGACCTGGACAAAGGAAGGCGTCTTGAGGAAGTGAGCGCCCTTGATGGTGCCGTCGGGGATGAGACGGGTACCGTAGCCCGACTTCATGCAGTAGGCGACCATGACGGCCTCGAGGTTACCCACAGTGTCGGACGACTGGGTGTTGGGAGGGCCCCAGAGACAGAAGTCCTTGACCGAGTTGATAAAGACGTTCTGGCACTTGGCCTTGGGGTTCGAGGCACCGTAGCGCTGCTGGCAGTCGTTGTAGCCAGTCTGACCGCCCTGGGCGTCGGTCTTGGCAGGCATGTGAGCCGGGTCGTAGGCGGTGACGCCGATCACGCCGGCGAGCAGGGCGAGGAGGGCAGACTTGGCGTACATGGTCGAATGCGATGTCGGATGCGAGGTGTGCGAGACGTGGTCGGGTTGGTGAGGTTCAAAAGAGTGTGTAGGTTTAAAAGCTGGGAAGCGGACACGAGGCAGAGGGACAAACAGGGAAAGGGTGGGGAGGCTGGTCGGGATAGGGGGAGGAGGTGGGTGGTGGTGGTAGTGAAGGGACGAGGGGATGCAACCGACTATGTAGTTCGAGGAGCTGCCCGGTTGGACGTTGGGTCGAGGTGGGCAAGAGCACTTCGCCGGGCAGGGAGCATCGAGCGTGGCGCTGCGGAGAAAGTGTGCCAGAGCCTGAGAAAGGGAAGCGCGGTGTAAGCGCGGCTGAACAGCGTGAGGGGCGGAGCGGGCCAGGCCAGAGTTGCCCAAAAAGGGTAGAGCACGGTGGCATAGGAGACGGGCTGGCAATCCCAAGCGAGGGGTGCAGCCCAGTAAGGCGAGGAGGGCTCTCAGGAGGGAAGCAGGAGGGCGAAAGGTGCCAAAACAACACGAGTTCCCGGCGGAGACCAGAATGATCTGCACCGCTGCAGGCCACGGCACGGCGAAGAAGCTGAACCGCCGCGCGCGCGGGCGGAGGCGAGATGCAGAGTTGTGCAGCCAGCGGCTGTTGATGCCCGAAGCCTCGCTCTCTATGCGCATCAACGGGAAGGTCGGTCGAGCGCTCTGCAGCAGTGTTGCGTGAGACCAACACGGGCATCACCCTCGGCTGCCCATCCTCGCTGGCCTTGAGTTTCCAAAAAAAAGGGTTGCTGCATGCTCAAGTCCGAGCCAACCCTTCTTTTCAGCTTTCCTTTTGTTCTGCCTTGCCACTCCGGCCATTGTGCATGTCGCTGCTTGTGGGCGACGCTCCACGCTCGTCCACCGTCTTGAGCTCTTCTCCTGTGACACGAGCGCGGTGGGCAGAACATAGACATGCTTCGCGCTCCTAATCGAGGCGCACTGGGTGAGCCTTGGTCTCCCGAGATCTCGCTCTACATGCATTTCGGTCAGGTGGGTAACAAAAAGCTTGGATCGCTGTGGCCGTGGGCAGCGCGCTGGGGACGCATCGCAAGAGGCGCACTGGGCCCGTGGAGGGCCTCGGACCGTCCCTGCCTAGGCGAGTCAGCTTTCTGTCAGCCGACCGGTGGCAGGAATCCCCCGGAGAACGCCAAAGGGGCTTGCGCAGCTCAGTTGCGCTGCTACGGTAGCCACGTTACGAGTCTTGCTGAGCTGCTGCTGCGACTCCGTGCAGTGACGCGGCTTGGAAATGCATGCAAAATTTCGCAGGTGATTTTACAGAGTCAAGTTGCGGGAGAACTGACAGCTCACAACGTAGATCACCTCGGCTGCGAGGATCGACAGCGCGCGTCGCCTCAACCCCGCCCCGCGTCTTGGACCTCGAGGAGTCGAGAAGCGCCTCATTCCTCCTCGATCCGCTCGACTTGACCGACCGACCGACCGACCGCTTCTCTTGCCCTGGAAGGGCTGTTGTCAGCAGACTCGACAGTCGCTTGGCCGAAGAGCGCCTTCATCGCCGGGCAGCTTTGCTCTCGACGCTCCAGTTTTCATCTGCTCTTTCTGGCCGAGGTGTGGCTGCCCTTTTCGGCCAGCATCCCGTCTTTACCACTTGTCATCCCGTCCGTCAGCTGCTGTCAGCTGCTGTGTGCAGAAGATCGACGTTGCCTTCCGTCGTGCAGGCTGCAGGTGGACTCTTGCTAAGTTAGTGCCGGCGACTCGAGGTGCATTCGGTGACTTGATCGACACCGACAGGTCGCTAGTCATGGCGCAAGGACCATCCGCTCGGCAGCATCCTTGGCGAGCATCGCTGCATCAAGCTGAGCTCGACGCGGTGCAGCGCCAGCGTCAGCCTGCTTGCGGTGGCGGGTGAACGCATGAAAGATCCCTCGGCTGACTAGTCGTGTGGGGCTGGCTGCCGAGCGACGCCGCTTCGGCTCGTCAGCGCGCAGCATGCAGTCCCTCGCCCTGATGCATCGCCGATATCGACGTCCCGCCCTCTACTTGCTGCTGATCGGTGATTCGGGATGTGGCAGTTCGAATTTATGGGTCGAAATTTCACAGCCATTGTTGTGCGCAACAATTTTGGCCCGGCCAAAAATTCAATCGACACGAGGACGTCGAGCAGACCCTTGCGTGCCAGAGCACAGCTTGCGCTCCAACATTCCGGTCATCTGGATGACGACCCTGCGCTACAGGGCCACGAAGCACGCCATAGCTTGATTGACCCCACCCCATCGGTGCGCGTAAGCCACACCCCACGGACCGCTGTATCAGATGGCTAGACGAAGCTTTTCCGGAGCACTGAATCGGGCGAGATTGAGACGGACCCACCAGGTCCAAGAGCTCTCGAGTGGCTCGAGCTTGGCCCTGGCGAATTGATCGGCAATGCCAAGCAAGATTTCAGCCACCGGGGCGCGGGCCGATGGCAAGACGGTCCAAACGGCTCACGAAAATCACCCAGGCCAGGCTAAAGTCCGGGTACCGGAAGGACCCTGGAGACAGGCAAGCACTCGCTGCAGGCCCATTTTTTTTTTTCTGCCACGGCAAAATTTGTGACGCACTCTTTTTCCGCCAACCGCGTCGCTTGCGGTCGGTCGTGTTCCGGCTCAGCCAGGCCACGGAAGGGAAAAAAAGGAGGCAGGCGCCAAACGAGTCGCTTGCGTGATTTGGGCTCCAAAGTTCGCAGCGGCTGTCAAACAACACTTCGTGCCCTGAGCATTATCGCCGCAGTCGTGCAGTGCGGTCCTGTGACGGTATGTCGGCGAGAAAGCGAGATCCCACCCTCGAGCTGACCAACGTGGCGCCATATCATTACTTCCGTCCAGATCGCTGCCATTGTCCCCACACACTCGAGTCGAATCGCGCTGCCTTTATCAAGACGCGATCTCGCTGCTTCTTTGCTTTTCTCCCACCACCTTTAGCTCATCCTACCGGCCCGTCGTTCGTTTCCGCTTGAACAGCGTACCTCTCCCTAACCCAATACTGCCAGCAAGATGACGGTCGCAACCACCAACGGCGCCTCCAACGGCCACACTAACGGCCACAGCGACGCCCACTCGTCGTCCATCGGCTTCTCCACCAAGGCCATCCACGTCGGTTCCGAGCCCAACGCGGCCACGGGCGCTGTCATTCCTCCCATCAGCCTCAGCTCCACCTTTGCCCAGGACGGCATCGGCAACCACAAGGGCTACGAATACTCGCGATCCGGCAACCCCAACCGCGACTCGTTCGAGCGTGCCGTCGCGGCGCTAGAGGGCGGCAGCCGCGGTCTCGCCTTCTCTTCCGGCTCGGCGGTCACCGCCACTGTGCTCAACTCGATGCCCTCGGGCTCGCACATTGTCAGCGTCAACGACGTCTACGGCGGCACCTACCGCTACTTCACCAAGGTCGCCACGGTCTCCCAGGGCATCCAGACCACCTTTGTCGAGATGGACGGCACGGCCGACGACGTCTCGGAGCGCGTCAACGCTGCCATCCGCAAGGAGACCTCGCTCGTCTGGATCGAGACGCCCACCAACCCCACTCTGCGCGTCATCGACATTCCTCTCATTGCCAAGCTGGTGCGCAACCACCCCAACGCCAGCAAGGACATCAAGATCGTCGTCGACAACACGTTCATGAGCCCCTGGTTCCAGAACCCGCTCGCGCACGGCGCCGACCTCGTCATGCACAGCGTCACCAAGTACCTCAACGGTCACAGCGACGTCGTCATGGGCGTCGCCGTCACCAACGACGAGGCATGGGCCGACCGCATCGCCTTCCTGCAGAACAGCATCGGTGCCATCCCATCGCCCTTTGACAGCTGGCTTGCCCTGCGTGGCCTCAAGACGCTTGCGCTCCGCATGAAGGCGCACGGCGAGTCGGCGCTCGCCATCGCTCAGTTCCTCGAGGCACATCCGGGCGTCGAGACGGTCATCTACCCCGGTCTCCCATCCCACCCTGGTCACGAGGTGGCACGACGACAGATCTCGAAGCGCGCGGCCGCCGCGGGACCGACGGGAGCCAACGGTGCCTTCGCGTACGGCGGCATGATCTCGTTCCGAATCAAGGCGGACCCTGCCGACGATGCTCCGGCTGACAAGCTGCTCTCTAGCCTCAGCGTCTTCACCCTTGCCGAATCGCTCGGCGGTGTGGAGAGCTTGATCGAGCTGCCGTCCAAGATGACCCACGGCTCCGTAGCGCTCGAAGACAGGATCAAGATTGGCATTGGCCACAACCTGATCCGCGTCAGCGTCGGTATCGAGGACACGGCGGATCTCATCCAGGACCTCGAGCGTGGCCTCAAGGCGGCTGGCCTCTAGACATCTCCGATCCGGCAAGTGCGTACGCGCATAGAGTTCGCGAACCTCACACGCGTCAGATACCTGTAGAAGAGGTCCCCAATCGCATATTCTGGTCAAGGTCATCCCGCTGGTTGCTCTCTTCTTACCCGTCGGCAGTGCTGCAGGGCTGCAGTGCTGCCCCATTGTAATTTGTTCCATCCTCTGCATCCCTAGTCATACCAGTTTTTCCCCTTCCAAACGCTGGATTACTTGTGCAGGTGCACGCATTGCTGTGTGTATGCTGGGTATCTTACGGCGAGTCTTACCTGCCAGGGAGAGGCCGTCGTTGGTTTCAGAGGGTCTTGGGCCGAGTATCGCTGCGTGAGGCGCGGGTGATGTCAGAAGCGACGCAAAATCGGGCTTCCCCGCCTCCACACGAGCGGAGCCAAAAATATCGCGGCGCGCTGCTTAGGCGAACTTTTCAGTCATTCTGCACCTCCGCATCTGACAGAGCCAACGATAGGATGACTGCTGCTGGGGTGGGATAGCCCGAATGCCATACACCCTGCCTTCCTTGCCTCCATCCATCATCATCTCTGGAATTGACGGGCTCTTTCGTCTAAAACGCCTGCAGACAACAGCGCTCCTTTCATCTATCTAAACCACACGATCGAGCTTTTGCTGTTGAGCGATGCTGAACCGATCCTTCTCGACTTCGGCGGCCCGCGCCTGCGTCCTGGGCGACCAGCGCGTGGCGTCCAGAGTGCCTCGCCTCGCCACCAAGCCTCTCAGCGCCGCTGCCTACACTTCTGCAGGTGTTCACGGCCATGCCCGCGTCCAGTCCCACGCCAATGTCTCCGAGACGTACGCTTCCAGGCGCAGCGTCTCCGAGGCATTCAGCCTGCTCGCCGGCTCCAAGGTCACCGCTCACACCGGTCTGCGTGGCCGCCACGCCTCGACATGGACCAAGGCTTCCCCGGCTCACGTGCGAGCACTCACAACCACGAGCGCCCGCAACGACCTCAAGCAGGATGCCAAGGACAAGCTCGTCGAAGAAGGCAAGAAGTTTGCGCGCGAAAAGGTCGACGAGAAGCTCAGTGGCGAAGAGGTCAAGCAGCAAGCCAAGAACGCATCGTCCTCGCTCAGCAAGATCCTCTTTGGCGCACTCGCCGTGGCGGGTGCTGCCTACATGATCATGGGCGGTACTGCCCATGCCGAAGAAGCCCCCAAGTCCAAGGATCAGGGTGAGTCTGGCCCGAGGTACTCCAAGGACAAAGTGTCGCTACTATGTCTCGTGGGTCCCTCGCTCTCGGGAAAGACTACACAGGCTAAACGTCTTCTCAAACGCTTCTCTTCCGATATCGACGACATCGTACAGCCCAAGTCGCTTGATGATCTCAACGCCATCCTCTCCTCGCGCACCAAGGGCAACAAGAGGGTCTCGCTCATCCTCGACAACTTTCCCTCCACCCTCGAAGACGCCCAGCGCATCGAAGCCGAAATCGTTCCCATCTTCTGCTTCTCCTTCTACGACCTTCCGCTGAAAGACTTTGAACTGCGTCTGCCCGAGTCTCTCGGCAAGGAGGACAGGCAGAAGCGCATCGACGAATTCAACAAGTACTCCAAGCGCCTCGAACCGCTCATCCACAAGTATCGCGACCAAGGCAACATCTACGAAATCAGCGCCGATTGGGATTCCGTCGACGAGGTGTGGGAGCAGGTCGAGGCCAAGACCGAACAGATCCTCGAGCTCCGAGAACGCGGCGATCTCTGAAATAGCATCGATACCATCGCATAACCTCACGTCAGTCCTCCTCACGCAAGCAAGCCACTCAGCAACCGGTACCCGAGTCTCTCAATCCCGACGCCCGCAGCCATGCCACACGTATGTTCTGGCCCTCCAACGAAACCTGTTCTTCGCATCCATTCTTCACAGCAGTCTCGCAAAGTCAAGTTCGCATGATGCTCTTCAGCCCGAGTGTGTGTTCGAATTGCAGAGCGCGAGTCCGATCAAGCCGGCGGGGAGGTTGATACCGGAGAAGGTGCCTCACGGCCGTCGGTTGTCTGTTCAGTGGCATCCGCATGGTCGTCTTCCGATTCACCGTCAGCCTGCACCTCGGCCAGAAGCGCAGGAAGGCGGCCAGGCTCTGCACCTTCAAACAGCCAAGCGTGGCTGTCAGACGCGGGTCAAAACAAGACATATTAGTACGTGACGATCCGAGATGGCTAGACAGCGTGTATGTTGCGACTTACCTACTCATGAGGCGCTCGGGATGCTTCAGCTCAGCATCGTTACTGTCGTGGACGCCACTGACGGGTTTCGAGTCCTCCTCGTCGTGCAGCTCCACGCGCTCGCGAGCCTGTTCGGCAGCTGGGGTGCCGACGACCTCCTCGTCGGGCTGGATCTTGGGCAGTGGCCATCGCAGCCTGCGGCAAAGGTACTCGACAATGTGGTCGCAGTCGCCCAGAAGCATAATGTCCGTAGCCATGTGCAGGATGGGCGTCTTGTTGATCAGGATCACGGGCGTCGTGTGAGGGATGTGTCCAAGAACATCCGACACCGGAGCGACTTTGAGCGAGGTGCCCATGACCACAAGCAGGTCGACATGCTCGCGGTCGGCCAACAGCGCACGATCAAAGTCGTCCGACAGCTTTTCGCCGAAAAAGGTGATGTCCGGCTTCAGAATGCCAAAGCCCGCCAGCGCCGTCTCATCTTCTGCATCGTCGTCATCGTCGTCGTCGTCGGTGGGACGCCAGCTGCCGCCATTCCCGAGCTTGCGCTTCTTCTTGCTGGGCTTCTCGGCGGCTTGGCGCGCCTTGCGTTCCTCGCATGCCGGACACGCAGGCACGGTCTGCGCAAAGATGTCCTTGGCAATCTGACGGCCGTTGCACTTGTAGCCGCAGGTGGGATCGGTACAGCTTGCGGTGGCGAAGCTGCCGTGACACTGCAGCACGCGCTCGATGCCTGCGAGCTGTTCGAGCGTGTCGATGTTCTGGCTGTAGTTGCGCAGCAGCTGGTCGCGGTCCTCGAGCAGCTTGATGAAGCGGTGTGCCGAGCTCGGCACGAAGTTGCTCGGAAAGATGCGGTGCGCGAAAGAGTAGAACATGGCCGGGTTGTGCAGGAAGTAGCCCTTGTCGAACATGTCTTGTGGGTCGTCGAGCTCGTACTTGCCCTCGGACTGGAGCTGCGAGTAGATGCCGTCCTTGGAGCGGAAGTCCGGGATGCCGCACGAGACTGAAATTCCGGCACCAGAGAGCACCATGATGCGCTTGCTGCGCTGCAGTAGCTCCAGCGCATCGTCCACGGTATTGTACTCGGGCAGCTTTTCTCTGCGCCGCAAGATGCGTGCCAGCGCCGTCTTGAGGATGGGCAGCAGCACCTCCAGTGGCGTATCGGCCTCGCGCATGGAACGCGGAAGGAAGACGCCGAGCGCCAGCAGAAGATGCTTGATGCGCCGTGGCTGCGGATCCGGCACGACGTAGCGTTGTAAGAACGTGACTACGCCGTGCTGCTTGAGGTCTTTGGTCATCTGCGCTACTGTCTCGGGGGAAAAGGCATCGGCTGCCTCATCGAGGAGCCGGTCGATCTCGGTGTCGGATTCCGACTCGGCCTCCGCCATCTCTTCCAATGCCGACAGCTCTTCCGAGTCCATCGACTGGTACGATACGTCCTCTTGCGCTGCATCCACCGACGTCCTGTCTTGCGTTACGGCTCCTTCGCCAGCATGCGGGACCGTCGAAGACGTTGCAGGCGCCGCTGCTGCTTTGGATGACGATGTCTCGCCGCCGTTGGCATGGGCTGCTGCCGTGCGAGCGCTGGAGTCGGAAGCGGCTCCCGCTTGCATGGTGCCTTGCTTGCGACCGAGGCTTTGCGATGCTAATACAGCGAAGTGGATTGGTGCATGACAGCTGATGCCTCGGATGTCGGTTGTGCTCACAACGCTTTCTTGACGTGCCGATCCTTCTCGCCCGATGGAGTTGTAATTTTATTATTCGCGCGACCCTCCAAACTCGAAATTCGGTTCTGTGAGCATCCATCCTCTGACTCTACTTCACGCACACAGAAAGCCTGTCCGGAGCCACCATTTTTAGCGGTCAGGCTACGCGAAGAATTGGTCCATCGATATATACCGACTCGAGCCGCGCATCTTCTTCTCTGCCCTCCATGCACTTCCTCCTTCCTGATTCAAGGTACTTCAAAATTGCCTTTTACCATTTTGAACCATAATTCGGGAAGGGCTATATGGGAGTTGTCCCCAATTTTTCTCCTCTCTTCATATCAAATCCAGCCGCTCGCCTTTCGAGAGACGCAGCTGGGCTGAACTACGATCTTGCCCCACGTTACACGCTCGGTCGGCGCACTAGTCTCGAAGACTTCAGTGCCTCGGCTCGAGGCGGTGGGTGCCACGGGTCTACGATCAGCTCGTTGTCTCTCGGTAGTCCGCACGCCTGGTCCAGGTTGGGTCGCATTGGTGTCGTTGACTGGTCTCCATCGCAGCCCATCCTGGTTGTTTCTACTTTTAGTCTTTGCAATTCGTAATCACGCCTCATGCTCTGCTCCCGCTTGTGTGCAGTGTGACCTCTGCCTCAATCTCAACTCGCAAATGCCGTACACCGTGAGAGAGAAACTGAGCCACAGAGGGAGGGCCAGGCTGGGGCGACCGCAAGCGGTGCCTTCTCACAAGTCTCGTCGCAGTGATCGCCGTATCGAGAGCACAGCACACGGCACCTCTGGACAATGAAACCAAAACTTGCGACGAATACAAATACATGGGCATGCGTAGAATGCAAAGAAGCTACAGCGAGATGCGAGATGCAAAGGAGACGAGACGATCGATGACTAGGACAGCAGAGAAAGAGTGGGCCTACTTGCGGCGCTGCTGCTTGGCGCCCTTGCCGTTGGCGCCGACCTTGGGTCCGCGCTCCTTGGACTTGGGCTCGGCGGCGTCTGGCTTGCCACGCCTGCTCTTGTTCTTGACGTTGGCGTGGGTGTAGTAGTTCTCGGCCTTGCGCTTGCTCGTCTTCATGCGCGGCTCCTTCTTGGTCTTGCGACGCTTGCTGTCGGCCTCGTCGCTCTCGTCGTCGTCCTGGGCGGCGCTGGCTCGCTTGCCAGGCGATGACTTTGCCGTAACGTCTCCTGCGTCCTCGTCGTCGTCCTGGTCGACCTGCTGCTCCTCATCGCCAGAGCCGCCTTGGAAGACGTCGTCCCAGTTGAGGTCTTCGAGCGCATCGCCGTCCTCCTCCTCGGAGTCTTCATCGTCATCGTCATCGTCTTCGGCACCATCGTTGTCGCTGTCAAAGGTGGCATCTTCGTCGACAGCAAGCTCGGGCACGGGCTCGTCCTCGTCGCGCTCCATGACGTAGTCCTCGGGGCGACCGGCCTCGATGTCCTCGCGCGTGAACTTGGTGGCCACGGCGATCTGCTTGAGCGGCTGCTCGACACCCTTGACCTTCTTCTTCTTGAGCAGCTTGTCGATCGCTGCGTCCTGCTCTTCGTCCTGGGCACCCTCGGCGGAGGCAGCAGCGGCCGTCGCCGCCTCGACCTCTTCGGCAGAAGCCTTGGCCTTGCCCTTGGCAGCCCTGGCGGCGTCCTCGGCCGGCGCGACGAAGAAGGGAATCTTACCGCGGATCCAATCATTGAGCACCATCTTGGCCACGGTCTCGAGGTCAGGCTCGCCGCCCTTGAGCAGCTTGCCCATGCGCTTGGCGATCTGGCCGAGGAAGTCCTCGGAGTTGGTCCACTTCTCGAGGTTGTACGTGCGGCGGATGTATTCCGGCTTGACTCGCGAGAGGAGCGCCGGGATGTGCTCGGCGGGGGTTTCGAGGTTCTCGACGCGCACCACACCCTTGAGCACCGTGCCCGTCTCGGAGTCGTGCGCGGAAACGGGCACGATACCGGGGCAGTCGATGAGGTAGATGCGGCGCATGAGCGTGATGTACTGCCACACCTTGGTCTCTCCGGGGATGGGTGCGACGTTGCACACCTTCTTCTTCTTGAGCGTGTTGATGATAGAACTCTTGCCCGTGTTCGGGTAGCCGACGAAACCGACGCTGATCTGCTTCTTGTCCGAGTGGAGCACGCTGAACTGGCGCAGCAGCTGGATGAGCGAGCCCTTACCGAACGAGTTGTTGATCGAGGCGTGGAAAGCAATCGTCGGATACTCCTTGGAAAGGATCTTGACCCATCGAGCCTACAAGCGGGCAAAGCATAGCAATCGATGCAGAGGCGATCGAGAAAAAGACAGTCAGTAATCGACGTTCTCTCCTTGTGAGAAAGCCCGTGTGAAGCGATGCGATGAGTGCGAAAGGGATGTTGGTTCCATGACTACGAGCACGGCGTGGCGAAAAAGCGCCGTAAACTCAACTCATATAGGAATCCCGACGCCGACGCTCCAGGCCCTCCCGGTCTACCCAGCCTTTATCGGCGGAAGAAGGTCTGGGAGTGGGCACATCCCAAGCCCTTCTCGAGGGAGTCGTGCAAGGGATGTAGCTATGAGGGGGAGATCGTATCGACGCCGTTCTTCTTCCACATTCGTAACAGTCCTTGCGCCACTGACGTCGTCCTGAAGGACAACGGCGCATTACTTGACATGATTGTGGGGTCTCTTGAGGCGGCGAGGGGAAAGAGGAGAGGGAGAGCAAAAGGAAGGGCAAGAGAAAAACTTACAGTGACCCAAGTCGGGACGAGGTCGACCTTGTTGAGGAGGAAGACGAGATGCTTGTGCGGCTTCTCATCGCGAATGTGCTTTTCGACACTGCGGCAGCGGGTGCCGAGCGGGTCACGGGCATCGAGTACGTGGATGATGACGTCGGACGAGTCGATAACCTTGTAGAGCTCACCCCAGATACGGCGGGACTGACCCTTGCTGTAGATTGGCTCGGATCGGCCACGCGTGACGGGAATCTCGTAGAGCTCGTCGGCATCGGCGGTGAAGCCGTTGGCGGAGCGCTGAGCGCTGGAACCGACCTCGTAGTCCGAAGGGACGAGGCCTACGCCGGCAGCCTTGGCCTCCAGTGCAGTCTGCTTCTCGTCGGCTGCACGACCGGCCTGCTCGCTGCTCTCGGCGAGCTCTGCGAAAGAGCTCATGCCGCCATCGAGACGCGGACGCTTTCGCTGAGCGCCAGGTCCGAAAGTGTCCGAGTAGGGCTCAAGCGTGGTGAGCGAGGGGGCCTTGCCCTTGCCCGGGTCCTGAATGAGGGACATGGGGAGCTTGTTCCTGCGGAGCAAGACCGAGTAAGGGTCGTTGACGCGGGAGCCGAGCGAGGTGCGGAAGTGGTCGAGCGCATCCTGGGAGATGACGCGCGTGTTGCCGAACCATCGCTTGTCCGGCTGGACACGACCGGGCTTAGCTTCGCTGCTCTGGAATTCGGCAGCCTGGATGATCTTGCCATTCTTATCGCGGATGGCTTTGGACGCAATGCCGTCCTTGGAGAGGAGCTTTACGACCTTGGCCTTCTTGGCATCACGGTAGAAGTTCTCGCCCTTGACGCGCTTGATGCCCGTGGATTGGATGTTCTTCTTGGAGGGACCTCCTTTGACGACGGCCATATTGGGATGTCGAGGAGAGGCTGAGCTCGAACGAGCGCCTTTCCAAGGGTATAGAAGGTGGTGAAAAGGGGAAGGTTAGAGGAGGGAGGGTATATCCAGGATCTGGCGGCGAGAAGAGTAGAGATGCAAAGACAGAGAGATGTAGCCGACTCTGTGCGCCGTCTCAGCTTGTGCAAGAGAGAAGCTCAGCGACGGAATGGAGAGGTCGGTGGGGGTGCTTTGTGAGGGGTGACCGGGGGGTGGGGGAGAGGTGAGAAGGAGGAAGGGGGCTGAGCGCTCGCGCTTTGACGGAAAAGAGGCGTTGCAAAAATTTCTACGCAGCCAGCGGCAAATTTTCCCAACTGAACCCTTCCTCCAGCGCTGCTCTCCTGGAATTCTTTCCTTTTCGCCTTCGCGAGGCTGAGGCGTTTTGTGTGGGAACTCAAAATCAAAAATTGGGCAAGCCCAGAAAAAAAAACTGCGGTTTGGTTGCAGTGCCAGTGCTTGAAGCGGCTGAACACAGCCCAGCCCTCATGCATCTGCCCGCACTCTTCACGCAGACCAGTGACGATCATCGTCAACGGTCGTCGGACTCGCATTGTCTGCTGAACGTGGATGGAGGGTGGATTCCAGGAGTCCAAAGCTGGCAGGATTGGCGCTAAGTTCGTGAACAGGAGCGCGAGAGGTTGTCTTTCACCAACCCCAGGTACCCGCGCCTGATTGATCAAAAGGCAAGAAAAAGTCAGTATCCCAATAGCGAGCCAAGATCCGTTACGAGGGAGGGCCGGTGGAGTAAGGGGCAAAGTTGGGCTGGGGTGGCACGAAGCCCCACGGTGTTGGAGCGCCATGGGCGTGACCAGGGCCGGGCGGCATGGATCCCATGTGGAATGGATGCGGTCCCGCACCTCCTTGCTGCATCATGACGCCTGGAAGCATGTGCGGCGGTGGGGGTGGGAAAGAAAACGGTGGGTTGGGCTGGAATGCGCCGCCCATCGCAGGACCATAGCCGTGCCCAGGTCCAGGCTGCGGCGCGTTGTTCGGGTTTGGCCTGGGGCCCCCGGGCAGGCCAGCAGTCAGAATCGACAGCAGATCATTCTTGGTTGCGGCTTGCGAGGGAGGCGACTGAGAGCTGCTTGGGGGCGAGGATGGCTGCAGCATTCGCAGCAGCGCATCTGACTGGTTGCCCGGGCCGCGCGAGGTGTCTTGCTGCGGCGCGCCTGCTTGCGACGGAGCAGAACTACCCTCGAACGAGGTGAAGCTGCTCTGCGAAAGGCTTCGATCGTGACCAGCGCTCAGCATCTGCAGCAGCTTCTGTGCCTGACCAGACTTTTGCGGACGTGGGGCGGGCAGAGGAGACTCGCTGCGAGATGGATCGTTGAGCATGCTGAGGAACGGGTTCGCCGGCGCAGCTTCGCCAGGTCCTGGTCGAGCAGCGTTTGCGCTCGCTGAAGATGGCCCATTCAAGGCCGCCAGCAGAGATGCAGCACGGTCCTGCGTGTGAGGGCTGTGCTGGGGCGCGGCTGCCGCAGGTGCCTGCGGCCCCGCATTCGGCTGATTCATCAAGAGGCTGAGCAGTTGCTGACCGCGTTCATCGCCCGATGCCTGGATCATGTGCGCACCGACTCCCGGGAACATCTGCTCAAATACCCTTGCTTGGTCTTGCTGGTTCGGGGCGTCGGCCATCGCAGCACGTGCTGGCTCGGATGCGGGCGACGACAGGCCCAGCAGCGATTTGAGCTTATCGCTCGTAGGTGGGGCAGGCAGCGGCTCGGACGGCTTCTGCGCAGCCTTGTCTTCTCCGGAGAAAGAGGGGAAGAGCGAGGTCGTGTCCACAAACGACGGAACGGCGGCCGAGGATGCTTGGTTTGATGAGGCCGCGGTCTGCGAGATCGCGTCAGGGGCCGCATCGAGCGCATGCCCCGGCTTGCCGGCTGTCTGACCTGAATGCGATGCTTTGTTGTTGTGGATCCACTGTTTGAGCCGGCCGATGAAGGGCGAGATGAGATAGAACTTTCCGCCCATGCCTGCGGGCGGATCCTTCGACTTTTTCCACGTGGGCAGATCGCTGAGCCTGAACCAGGCGATCTTGGAGATTTCCTTGCGCGTGAGGGTTTCAAACTTGGTGTTCTCCTTGACGCCCGGGACGATGTAGAGCCGGATGCGCTGTTCGCGCATGGTCAAGTCGAGGTAGTCTTGGCTGTCCTCGGGCAGAAGCGCACTACAGTCGTAGCCGGTCTCTTCGAGCACCTCGCGGATGGCGCAGTCGCGCTCGGGCTCGTTCTGGTTGATTTTGCCCTTGGGGAAGCCCCAGGCAGCCGAGGACTTCCAGCCTTTGACCAAGAGACACTTGTTCCAATCTTCGGCGAGGAGGATGGCGCCGCATACGGGGACGCGGGTCTTGTACTTGAGGAACTCGTCGAAGGCTGCTTCGAGGTCTTGCTGACCGCTGCCGCCGGTGATGTATCTTTGGATGAGAGGCACGATCATGGAAGCGGTGTGAAGCAGATAGGACGAGAAGCGGCGCAGCGCGAGCGAGGGTAGGGAGGAGTTGAGAGGTCGGAGGAAGTCTTCGTAGAACCAGTGGGCCTGTTCGACCTGGAAGCAGATGCGCTCGATGCTCGAAAGCTCGTCCGAGGGCAGGTTGACGATGAAGCGACTGCTGAGGTCTTCGAGAGTCTCTGCAAATGTCAAGCCCTTGTAGGTGGCCAGAGGGTCGCGTTCCAAAGTGCTCGTGCTGGCTTCCGTTGGAGCTGAAGGCAGGAAGAGAGCGAGTCAGCACTGCTTCTGGCCAGGCGAGACGCAACGCGGTGGGCGGTCGGAACAAGAAGCGGAACCAAAAAGGGGAACGCCCTGCGCGGACGATGCGAAGAAACGAAGTAGGCAGAAGGAGAAGAACAGAAAGCACTAGACTGTGCTTACCCTTTGCTGGTCCGAGAGGCAGCGATGCCCGCGCCATATGCGAGTGCGTGCATGCAATATCGAGGGGTTGTGGATGGGGGAAGAGAGCGCTTCACGGCGTGATGCGCCGAGCAGATGGAACTTACCTCCTTTGAAGCCTCGATCACCGCCTGTGATTTCGGGAGTGATCCAGGAACCATCTGGGAATGCGCAAAAGGTGACGATGGTCAGCTGAGTCTGACGACTTGGGGCAGAGATGGGCTCGGTCGGCTACTTACAGAAGTCGCCCTCCTGCGGCATGACCTCATCGTCGTCGACCATCTGCGAGTGAGGGGATGAAAAAGCGCATCAGCATCAATCGTGCACTAAGTAAAGTGGAGATGGGAACGACGTACGCATTTCCAGTGTCCGAGGCGCTCTGCATCCGTCTGGCTGGAAGCGTAGAAGCAGAGGTAGTCCTTGATCGAGGCGAAAGCGGGGGTGGGCTGCGGGTAGGACCAGATGCGGCCGCTGACGACGGGGCCGTGGTCCTTGCTAAACTGGAGGTCGTGGTAGGCAGCCATCCCCTTCCACTCGCACATGGTGCGGCGAGCCTTGGAGGGCTTGATGAGGTCCATCTTGACGCTCGAGGGAGGAAAGTAGTAGGTGGGTGGATGAGAGGTCTCGAGAACGCGGTAGCCCTGGGTGGTCTCTGCGATCACGAGCTCCTGCTTGGAAGGCGTGACCCAGACGACCCTGAGCCTAGCCGCGGTGGGCTGGAGCGCGGGCGGTCTCGGATAGTTCCAGACCTGTTGTTGAAGACAGGAGCGAATTTGGGATGAGCAAGAGCTCTCTCACAGGACACGGCAGAGGGTGGCGATAGTATGCTTACATTTTCTTTGGGCCGCGGAGGCATGCTGTTGGAGCGAAAGGTGCGCGAGGTGCGTACTTGGTCGGCGGTCGGCGAACGTTGAGGTTGGGGATGTTGGTGTCGAGAGCGAAGGCTATGACGGGACGAGCGCGCGCGGCTTGGACAGCACCGACGAGAGAGCCGTGGTTGGCGCGCGCGTCTGTGCATTTGCCTTCGAGCAAATGAAGTGGAGTTGCGGCTCAGCCGCTGCTGAATTCGTCGTGCCAAATCGACTCGTGCGGATCCAGCTGTGACCTTACACTTTCCAACCTGAGCGCGGCAGACACCAGCAAGCTTCCCCGCAGCGATAAGTCAACTGCGCCTCACACCCTCATTCCACCCGAACAAAGGGTCCTGCTGGCTTTCACCTGTCTCATGTGAAGGTCCTTGGTCCTCACTGCTGTTGCGGCGCCTTTTGCCGTCCGACCACAAACATCGATCCCTCGAGCACATCCAAGATGCAGGAGACAGCACCAAGCACCAGTGGCTCCGCTGCTTCCAAGACCGCAAAGTCGAGCAAACCATGCAGATACTACTCCCGCTCTGGCAAATGCAGGAGGGGGAACAAGTGCCTCTTTTCGCACGAACAGGCACGCCCATCCGAGCAGTCTGTAATCCCATCTCCGACTGCTCCCGCGGCTTGCAGCGTTCGTCTCTCTGCCGAGGCTCCCGAGTACACGCCAAACACCAACACTTCGAAGCCGCTGTCGGCTCGCGCTCCAGAGTTCGAGCCGCATGCATGCAAGCATGACGAGGAATGGGTCGATGTAGCTGCTCCAGAGCCTGCGTCGAGCGAGACGACAGAGGAGTGGGAGGATGTAGCCGGTTCAAACTCGCTGCCGACCGAGACAACAGCGCTCTCGACTGTCGAGTCGGTGGCCCCCACTCCGCAGCCCGAGACCACTGCCGAGCCACAGACCTGTGGCGTCTGCTTCGAGGTGCTCAAGGTGTTTGCTCAGCATCCCAACTGCGACCACTACTTCTGCCCAACGTGCATGCGCGAGTGGCGTGGTCAAGGCGACCAGGACAACCGCAAGAAGTGTCCGCTCTGCCGCGTCGGGTCCAAGTACACCTTTGTGACCGGTCAGCCCTTCCAGGGCAGCGCACGCATTCTGGCCGTCCAGCGCTTCCGCGAGCGCGCCGCCGCCACACCCTGCAAGGCTTTCACCAGAAGTCTCTCGCTCAGCAAGAATCGCAACAAACCCTTCTGCGCCTTTGCCGACGACTGCCTCTTCCAGCACCACATCGACGGCAAGCCTCACACCTTTGGCTATGGCCGTCTGGCCGTGCGCAAGAAGATAAGGAAGCGCACTCGCCGCCTCGTCCGCCCCGTCGCCCGTTCCGAGAGCTCCATGCGACCCGAGTTCCTCCAACGCGTGCGAGACATCGACCAACGCATCCTCCTTCTCTTAGCCGCACGTCAAGCTGCCTAATCATTCTCATCTTGCAACTGCACCTCTATACCCTTCTGTTTCTTCTGTTCTCGCACCTCGTCCTCGTCCCACAACCTCAGCAATCAATTCAGCCGCCTTTCGACACAGCGACGATCCAGTCCAGCTACTTGTTTCTATTCGCCAGATGTATTTGTGCAGGGGTATAATACAGTGTGCATCGCCAGGCACGCAGGCTCAGGCGATAAGCAGCTCGATCTTGCGCTTGATCCACCAAGCGCCAATGTGAAGTGGATCTGCCAAGAACGCGGCGTAGACGTGCTTTGCTGACGAGAACTTGGACGAAGCTGCTTTGCCGGGTGCCGTGCAGAGTGTGGAACCGAGCTGCGACGCCGAGAAGGGGTCGGCATGGGTGACCGATTGCGCCCACGACCTGATCTTGGCCGGGTCGATGGGGTTCTGCTGGGCGATTTGGTCTTCGGTGAAGAGCGTGCCGTGTAAGCCGTAGGGTACGCGTTGGGGCAGCTTGACGCGCGCCACGACCGTCTTCATCTCGCGCGCGTCGATGATCCACAGCTCGCTCGTGGCTCCGGGCAGCACCTCACCCGTCGATGGATGCAGGCCCGCCGCTTCGTCAAACACGTAGCACACCAACCAGCCATCGTCCTCCTCGTGTGGTCCTGCGCCCGAGCGGCGCGGAACAAACGTCGTCTCTTGCGCGTACCACCCACGAGGCATCTCGAAGATCCGGATCGCATCGTCCGGAGCACCCGATCCATCGCGCTGCGCCGCGAGGATTTCCTCGACGCTACGCGTGTCGACGCTGTCACCAGGCCCCAATCGACCTTGGCTCCACAGTGCCTTGCCTCGACGAATGAGCGTTTGCGCATCGATCTTGACGAGCGCGTCGATCTTGGCGGCTTTCCCCAGCCCGGCATCGAAGGTGCCATCGCGCATGCTGGTGCCGTACACATATCGTGCGTCCCGCATGGCGTATTCTTCGTTGATCGTTGGGAACTCGAACGGCACCTCGGATAGCGCAAACTCGTGGCTGATCCGCTCGGCGTCTACATCCTCCAAGTCAAACCGCCAGTAGTAAAGCTGGCACTTTTCGGGACAGTTCGGTGGCGGCAGCACGTGCGATGGCGGCAACAAGTTGCCTGCCGAATACACTAGGGTAGCACTGTTGAGTCGGCATCCGAGCATGTTGATCCCGGTCGGTTCAGATCGTCCAGCCTCGGTGGGCTCGACGAGCTCTGTACGCGAGGCCCCAAACTTGCCGTCGTCGTTCCAGCTGTTGGCGGTGTGGTAGACGCAGCATGCCTCTGCGCTCTCAAACCAACGCACCTGCTCAGGTGCATATCTTGGCATGACGCCAAAGCGGATGGGCTGAGCCGGGTCGTAGTGCAGGATGGGTCGGCCGCGCACGAGGTTCATCAAGTCGAGCGAGAGCGGCACGTCGATGATCACCGTGTGCGTGGGTGTGGCGCCAAAGTCGTGCATCATCTTGGGCTGTTTGAGGCCGCGCACCGCCTGTCCTTTGATCGTCTTGGCCTGCGGCGGCATCTTCTTTGCGACGACCTCGGCGGGTGCAATCACGCTGACGCGCAGGTACGGCGGCTCGAAGCACATGTGGTACAGCAGCAGCTCCTGCGTGTGCGGGTCGACCTTGGGATGCGCAGTGGTGAATTCGCGCAGCATGCTCACGATCGGCGGTCCTCCTCCGAATCCCTCGGATGCTTTCCCGCGCTTCTTTTCCGCAGCCTTGTCGACGGTGCTGGGCTCCTCGTCCTCGCCCGTATACCAGCCGGCAGTCTCGAGGCCAGGAAGCATGATACGCATGGGCGGCCCGCTCTCGCAGCCCGCCATCGCCTTGCCGTCGTGCCAGAACACGCTGGTGTTGGCCACGCTGATGCGGCGCAGCTTCTGATCGCTTCGCAGGCCGAGCCCTGGCAGCCAGGTGAGCACGGTGAGCACAAAAGTGCGGAGAATCCCGAGCATGAGCCAAAGCAACCCGACATGCGGGTTGACCAGCGTAGCGATGCTCGGCAAGTAGGGGAGGCGAGAGTGCTCGGGCGTCGAGAGTAGCAGGTCGGTAAGGATGAAGCGATTCAAGAAGCACGGTTGGATGGAGCCGTCCGGCGTGCGCCGAAAGAGCACGCCGGCGAGCATGCCGTCTGCGTCGAACCAGTGTGCGTCCCTGTCCAGCTCCGAATTCGCTAGAGGATTGCCGCCGTTACGCACGTACTGGCTGCCTGCAAATTCCTCCGGGATGGTGCCTTCGTACAGGCAGTCTGTAAGCGGACATTCGGTAGTGACGGGCGCAAAGTTGCCGGACAAGTACGGATGCACGTAGTCCTTCTTCGATGTTCTGCGTCGGGAAAGGACGGGGCGCCGCGGAATGGCCTTTGGCCGCGATGGACCTGCCTCGGCACTGTCGGCCAAGTAGTCGGATGGAGGATATGTCGGGCCCTCGGAGAGTGCTGGCGGTTGCGGAATCGAGATGGTGGGTGCGGTCGGCTTCTGCCCCGTGGGTCGCTTGAGCGAGCCCGAGCGGTGCATGGCGTGCTGTGAGACCACCATCGTTGAACGCTGAGAAGTGGCTCCACGAAGGCCAATACGGAGCAATGCACGGCAGACACGTCGCAGGGTCAAGAGTCAAGATGGTGGTATCTCGTTGCGACCATCAAGACGACAGAGGCAGGATTGGAGCTCCGTTCCGAAGCCGGCCCATAAGCACCTTGAACCATAGCGCATCGGCTGAACTGGTTCGGGCTAAGTCAGCTTCCATGTGCGGCGTGTCGCGGATCGAGGGTGCGGAAAATGACGTTTGGGCCTGCAGCTCATCAGTCACTTTTTTCGGCGGCCCGTGAGGTGTGGAGGCAGCGCGCTGCAACCGAGACGAGGGTCTGTACGATCCTGTGGCCCGAATCGGCGGGTAAAATAACGGTCAAGAGCCCAGAGCGACTCAAAAATCGAGTCCAGCCGCGTTCCATGGCTTACGAGCATGCCATCCGTCGACGCTGACTTCCGTCTAGACTCGGTTTGATGCGACCGTTCGTAAGCTGATCCTGCATCACCCTTCAGCCAGATGCTTTCCAGTGCTTTCCATCCGCCTTCCGCGACCAGGCGCTCTCAGTCCAGCCATCCGCATGCCACTCACAGGTAGAACTGATCCCACAGCATCCTGTGTATCCGTATGATGAGCACCGTACGCATGTCAGACGCGTGCGATCCAAGGAGTCGTGCTCAAGCATGACAGCCCGCATGGACAGAAGGAGAACGCGGCCTGCAGCTGCCATGACGTCAATGCCTGCCAGCAGCGCGCAGCTTCAGACACAGAGCGAGTGCAGAAGGAGGAGAAAGGAAAAGGCAGGAAACTAAAAATTGGTGGTTGGAATTTCTAGAACTGGCGCTGCTGTATCTGCCTGCGGCTGCCTTTTGCCAGAGCGTCCTGTTTCCGATTCCACCTTTGCAGCGCCGTGTCGAAGAAGGCCTTCTGCTCCGTTGCCGACATGGCGTTGACGGCCGCAGCCATCTCGACCTCGCTCACGTTCTGCAGCCTTGCCAGATCGGACAGATCGGGCAGCCGGCTGGCGCCATCGCCTTGCGATGCTTGCAGCAGCCCCCGCTCGGCAGCAGCCGCCGCGATGGATTGTGACTCTTCCTGTGTTTTTGCCGCTCCACTGCCGGATGCAGGTACTGAGCGAACCGGCGGCCACACGCTGGTCGAGGTGAGAGCGGCTTCACCAGCCCTAGAGCCGGTAGCACGCTTGCTCTTGCTGACCGCGCTTGCTTGGCGAGTCTTGCGCACTTTGCCCTCTCGGTAGAGCGCAGCCTCGGCGACGCTGTTGCCCACCAGCGCCGCATGATCGTGGCTGTAGCTGATCCCGCTTCCTTCGAGGATGCCTCGGATCGGGTCCGTGTCGGCTGCGGTCGGCAGCGCCATCGTCGCTCCGCCAGGTTCCTGCCTCTGCGCCGACTCGGGCGGGCTCGCCTTGGGGCTGTGTGCGCGCTCGACCAGAGCGGCGTCGGCACTGAGCTGATCATCCAGTGAACCTGTCTTGAGATACTGCGCCAGAGCATAGGTGACTTCAGAAATGTTGCACTCGTCGATGATCGACTTCATCGCCAGACTGCTCTCGTGCAGCGTGAACAGATTCTTGCATCCGAACAGCTCGCCGAGGCTCCCTTGATCGCCCGCGACGCCCTCGAAGTAGCGGCGCTCCTTAGTGGCATTGTATCCGATCTCCATCTGTTGCTGCTTGTACAGCTGCCGACCGTACACCACCTCCTCGAGCGAGCCTGCTCCGATCAGGCGGTACACGAAGACGTCCCTCGTCTGCCCGAATCGATACGCACGGTCCATCGCCTGCAAGTCGTGCGACGGGTTCCAGTGCGGGTCGAACACCACCACGCGATTCGCAGCGGTAAGGTTGAGACCGGTGCCGCCAGCCGTGGTCGAGATGAGAAAGACAAAGATGCTGCCATCTCGATTGAACTGGTCCACTAATTGCTGCCGACGGGGCTGAGGCGTCGAGCCGTCCAGTCGCACAAAGCTGTGTCCCTCTCGCGCCAAGAAGAACTCAATGAACTGGAGCAGTCGCAAGTTGGTCGAGAACAGCAGCACCTTGTCGCCATCCGCGTGCCACTGGTGCAGTAGTCCAGCGAGTACCTTCCACTTGCCGCACAGCTCCGGGTTCATGCCATTGGCAGCATTGCACCGCTTGAGTTGCCAGCTGTCCGGGAACATGAGCTGGACGTAGGAGAGTTGACGCTCGTACCTGTCCATGCGGTCAGGATCGCGTGAGCTGAGGTCCTCCGGGTCCGGGAACACCAGAGCGACGTGGTTCGAGCACTTTTGCAAGAGGTAGACGTACTTGAGCATGTTCTTGTTCCATGCTCCGCCCGCTCCGTCGCGCTTGAAGCAGCAATTCTGGCGGCGATATGCCAGGCCTGTGTCTGGGTCGATGCGACCGCACGGACATGGGTCGGCGTGATGCTTCATGAGATCGACCTCTGGCTCCGCCAAGATCCGTCGGTATACCTCGAGTTGGGTCGGTGTGAGCGGGCAAAAGACGATCTTGTCAAATTTGCGAGGCAGCTGGTCTGCGATGAGCGCTTTGGTGCGTCGAAGAAAGAAGATTGGCAAGACGTTCTGTACGAGCTTCTCGGCGCGCGTTCTGGCGTCTGCGATGCGTTCGGGATCCGCGCCTCGCTTCTGACCGTGCTTGAGCGGGTCTTCGATCTCGGTGATCCACTCCTTGACGGTACCGAGCAGCCCAGGATTGGTCCAATCCGCCAGAGTGTAGAGCTCTCGGTAGCTGTTTTGGATCGCCGTTCCCGTCAAAGCGAAGCGCACCTTGCATCGAAAGGTTTGCATGGCCTGCGTCATCTGCGAGTTCGGATTCTTGAGCTTGTGCGCCTCGTCGATCAAGACGCACGAAAAGTCGAGATCGCGCAGCTGCTCGATCGACAGAGAGGCCGTTTCGTGGCTCGTGACAAGGATATCCAGTCGACCTCGGCGAAAGGATTCCAGTGCCTCTTCCTTAGCTCGCGCACCGCTGAATGCGGCATGCTCGAAGTAGCCCCAGGTGTCCAGCTCGTGCCGCCAGTTGTCAATGACGGAGCTCGGGCAGATGATCAAGCAGGTCGGCCAGACGCCATTCGCACAGTGGTAGCCTGCGCGTTGTCGGTCGCTGCGTACCGCCTCGATGCGGCGGTCCGCGTCGCTCTCTCCGCCGGTCTTCTGCATGATGGCTGAGAGGAAGGCAATCACCTGAATGGTTTTGCCAAGACCCATGTCGTCACCCAGAAGCGCGCCTCTATTTTGAGCGTAGGATCTGTAAAGGAAGCGGACGCCGTCTCGCTGATAGCTGCGGAGGAAGCGATTGATGGCTGCAGGAACCTGGATGCCTGGACCCAGCATCAGAGGACCGACGTCTCTGAGCTCCTTTGGGACAGGGAAAGAAGGCTTTTGACCTTCTAAGAAGGCGGCAGGTGCGATCGAGCCGTGTGTCGCGGATGCTTTTGATGCTGATTTCTGGCTCGCCAGTGCTTTGGGCCTGATGGCCAAGGCCACTTCATCATCACTTTGACTGCTTTCGCTTTCGTCACCTACAGGGTGAGACTTGCCCGCGGGATGTAGGTGAGACTTGCCCGCGGGATAAAGTGGAAGCGACGCAGAGCCTCCCGTACTGATGCTTAATGCCTGCTCTTCGTCCTCTTCCGGGTCGGAATCCAGCGTTACCCCAACGCGCGGGGATATCTTCGTTGGTGCACTCATCGTGTCCGCCGGAGCATCCTGTCGAGACACGGGATTGGGAAGATTGCGGACGATTCGCTTGATTGGCAGAATTACTTCCTCCTCGTCTGAGGACGACGAATCCGAGTCCGAAGCCGAGCTGCGAGACTGGTCGAGTGCATTGGGATGGACTGAGTGAGTGACTCCGCGGTCGAGAGCATCCTTATGTGACGCTTCTGCATCAGAAGGCGGATCCGCGGTCTCGATGTAGTCGTCGGCTTTGGTCAGGCCGAGCAAGGCGCGAAGGGTCTGCTTGGGCGGGGCTGCGTTGGACCGCTCCGGCTGGATCCGACGTCGTTTGCGGGCTGTAGAGGGGTTTGGATGCTGGTACTGGTCATCCAGAAAGTCGTCATCGCTATCGTCGTGCTGAAGCTCTGGCCGGCTGGCGGCTGAGCTCAGCGGTCCGTTACGCGCCATTCTCGCTGCTCGTGGACCTGTACATCTCGGCACAGGTCACCTCGACAGTTTCGGCAGGCTTAAGAGGCCGGCCTTACAAGAGACGGTCGAAGATAGTATGTGGTGGACGAAGTGGCGCGGAGACACTTGAGTGGGCGTCAATGCTGCAGGATAGAGTGCAAGAAGGATGCAGCACGGTAGGCGAAGAGGTGGCCGCACTTTGGTATTCAGGGTCCAGCGCTGCAGCTCATGCGGGCGAGTCGGGTGCAGGCTGCTCTTCATTAGTCATGCTTATATGATACAAAATCGGCTTCCGGAATCGGCTTCCGGGAGCTTGATGGCGGTTTGGGCAAAAGAGCGTCTGGAACGGGTGGGTGCCGTGCATGACGACAGACTTGCAAAGTGCATGTGGACGACCCAAGTCGGGACGCTGCCGAGGTCTATGCGGCTAGTCCGGATCCTGGATGGCTTGCTCGAGGCGGCGTCAGCGGAGAATTGGACCGGAAGCACTCAGGGGGGCGGGCAGCGTGCCAAAAGAAAATCGAAGACCAAAACACGGCAAGCCACAGGCCAATCGGCCATGCGAAGAATCTTCGGACATGCTCGAGTGGTGCAAGCGCCTGCATCACGGTGCACAATGCTCTGTTCCTCGCGGCGTCGGCGAGGCTCAAATCTGCATGCCTCTTCCAATGCGCTCTTCGGCCACAGCGGATCAATGAGTTGCAGCCTTGCCATGGCCAACGATAAGGTTGCAAGCCGTGATGCACGTTTCCAATCAGCAGAGCACAGTGGCTCGCGTGATTTTTTCAGGAGGTTCTTTGTCCTTTGCGCTTGGGTTCTGCCTCTGCCAAGCCCTGGATGGCTTCTCTTTCGTCTTGGCCAATCCCGCCAGCAATGGAAGTCCGAGGTTGGGCACAGCGGAAGGGGACTTGGCCGATTTAGCCTCTCAGGGGTACAGTCGACCTTCCGGCTAGCACCAAAGCGGATTGATATTGGGTCAAGTTGCTGTACAAAGTGTGACACAAAGCTGTGGGCCGAGATATGGCGACTGCGCGCGTCTGACCGGAGCGGCGGGGCTGCACCCTGTGCATGTGTTGCTCCGTCTCTGGCTTGCAGCGCCGTTTGTCGGAGGCTTGGGCCCCACCTCCCTAACTCTAGGCTCAACCCACGCATCAGACTCTGGAGAGATCAGTGAGCGACTGCGAGCAAGTCGTTGGATTTCGGTCCGGCACAATGCAATCAAGCTGTCTCTACAGTAGGAAATGGAAAAAAAAGAACCTGCCCCGTCCATCTGGTCGGCAGCCGGATGTTCTTTTCCGCTAGCTTGGACACGATCCACGCTTGCTCATCAATCCGCGCAGTGAAACCCGTGCTTGGCTAGGCAGATGCGTCTGGCCAATTCATTTTCAAATGAAAGTGCGTATCGATGCGCCGTCGACTTCCGAGATGGAGAGCCGTTCGCGTTGGCAGGGCGTAGGGCGTGGCAGGGCATAGCAGGGGACTGGGTGCAGGGAAGGGCGGAGGCGTGGCCGGGGCGAAGCCAAAGATAGCTACACCGGGCATCGACAGTTTGCCGCCGAAGTTTCGCGATCACCACCAACGGCACAGCGCGGACGAGGGAAGATCGAGCTTCGGGTGAGGGCGAGCCAGGATCGACAGCGGCCGCCTTGGACCCTCCCTCGCTCTTTCTGGGCAGGCGGCGTGTTTTGGGCACGGCTCGCGGGTGCCGGCCGGCGCCTGCGCCTGTGTGTGTCGCGATTGGAATTGAATTGGAATTCCACTTGGCGCAGCGCAGTTGCGCGATCGCAATACCTGGGCCCGGCCCTGCTCATCTCGCTTGGGCTCCGCTGCAGTTTCCAGCACTTTCGCCTCGCCTCGCCTCGCCTGTGGCCCCCGGGTCTGCTCGGCCGTCTTGGCTGCGTTTGCAAGGGCGTGGCGAGCGCCCCTTGCTCCTTCCCCTGTGGCCGCTGTGGCCACCATCCGACCCAGGCTGTGTTGCGCGTTCACGCGGCTGCAGTGACCGATGTAGAGTTGACCAACCGACCGACCTCGTTCGTGCCCGTCCGTCCCTCGTTGGTTCTGGCGTGCCGCTGCTGCGCATGCGCCTGCACCTCAATCTGAGCCTGAGCCTGAGCCTCATGTGCGACAGCTCCTGGGCAGTGAGAAGGGTTCGAGTACTGTCTGCGAGCCCGTTCTGCCGCCCTTCGCTTGCCTTCGCTCGCCCCCCTGCCTTTCCCCCCTCCCTCAGTCGCCTTTCGCCTAGAGTATATATGTGAGCCGCCATCGAAGCATCCATCCACCCTCTCCTCCATCATACCTTTCATCCCACCTCGCTGCATCTTGCCCTTGCTCCCCAAACAATCCCTTCTTCATTCTTCAAAATGGTCAAGATCTCCTCCGCCGCCGCTGGTGCCGTTGTGTTCGCTGCCGCCGCCTCGGCCGCCACCATCAACACCCCCGCCTCGATCACCCAGTGCCAGCCCGCCGCTCTCTCGTGGCAGGGTGCCACCGGCACCGTCCGTCTCAGCATCCTCCCCGGTGGTGAGGTCTCGGCCGCCCCCATCGAGAACCTTCCCGACCAGACTGGCGCTTCGGGCTCGTACGTCTGGACCGTCAACGTCGCCGCCGGCACCAACATCACCATCACCATCAACGACGGCAGCGGCATGCCCAACTACGCCTCGCCCCTCGTTGTCCTTCCCTCGTCGGACAGCTCGTGCCTCAACGGTGGCTCCAGCTCGTCGGCCGCCGCTGGTGGTGCCGCCACCTCGTCGGCTGCCAGCTCCTCGGCCGCTGCCTCTAGCTCGTCGGCCCGCTCTTCCTCCTCGGCCGCCGCCTCGAGCATGAGCTCGGCTGCCTCGTCCACGTCGGCGTCGGCCACCGCCTCGCGCTCGGCTACCACTTCCGGCTCGGCCCCCGCCCAGACCTCGAGCCGCGCCCCCAACGGCGCCGCCGCCTTCTCGCCCTCCACCGCCGGCCTTACCGTCCTCGGTCTCGCTGGTGCCCTCCTCCCCTTCCTTTAAATGGGATGCACGGCAATCTGCCTTGTGACGTTGCCAGCCGTCCACGTGGCTCGACATGATGCGACGACAAACTACTGCAGCAGCCAAGCCGCAGGCCCGTGCTGCCCGCTGTTGCTCGTTTCGCTCGGCTTGCTATTCTCCATCTTCGCCTTCTTTTTTCAACCTGACCTGTCGCCTGTCAAATACCTGTATAAACCCCAACAGCTGCCACGCTTTCCTCCCTCTTTTCTCCTGCACGTCCACTGTCTCTTGGCTTCAAGAGCTGGCATGCAGTCTTGCTCCATTCTTTTTGGTTTGCAATACCACCATGAACATTGCCTTTTAATCTTGTTACCGCGACGTCAAATCTAGCTGTGCGGATATGGGTTTTGAGACGCCTGGCATCTCTTGCTGCAATTCTTCGCTTTGCAGCCCATTCAATGATGGAGACGTTCTTACAGCCCACTCAACAATCTTCGTGTGCCTGCATCGAAGTTAATATTCTGTGCCAAATCTCGCACTTAGGCGGCGGATGTTGCCACCGCTGTCCAATGCGATGGCGCCGAAGAAATGGATGCGGGCGATACAAGGAGCTAGGCGGACGATGTGATGCTCCGGAAGAATTGGGCACGAAGATGGCGACGATGGTCCGCGGCACGCAGCGCAGGGGCCACCTCTTGCGCCGGGTTTGACCTTTTGACACCTTGCGTCGCACTTCTTCCCGAAACCTCGCCCTCGCACCCCTTTGGACCCGTGATCTTCACTCAACTCACTTGAAGTTGTCACAGGAAATTGCAAAAAAAAAAGAATAATCTAATTTCAACAACAAACTGGATGGATATCGATCAAACCCTTTGGCCGCCCTCCGCCTCTCTTGATGTCGTTGGGTTTGATTTGACCGGCCATCGTTCGTCTTGCGCGCAGCTTGGCATTGCCGCTGCTCACCAAGTCTTGCCGACAATGGACAGGCGCAAGCCGGTCCCAACGGAAAATGATTTCAAGGTGGCCAATGGTGGCGAAGGGACTGGGCCGCTGCGCGCGCAAGCTAGTGTGTGTCTCAGGTTGGTAGCAGGCGAGGGCCGTGAGGCTGTGCACCGCGTGGATGAACAGGCAACGCTCGGAGCGCGTGTCGAGGTGCCCAACTCCATGGCGTAATCCTGCGCCTAGAGTAGCCGGGCTCGAATTCAATTTGCAAGTCGATATGCACGTCGCTGTACGCTTCGATCTCGCGCAGATGCCTCCCCGAAAAGCTGCAGCCGAACCTAACATGCGGCTATGGTTGCAATACATGCTACTTCCGCACGGCTTTGCCGTGGATCTGAACCGGCTACGGGTGGTTTGGGGTGCTTGTCTCGCTCCGAACGAGGGGTTCGACTACGATCCTTCGGAGAGACCCTAGTCTCAGTTGCGTAGCCGGTTAGCAACCGCGCGCGGAAGCCTACACCCAGCTCACCGGCGCACTGCTTGACACCTGGCTAACTCACAGGGTCCATCTACCGTCGGGTAAGATATCTGCCTGCGGCCTCGCCTGGACCAGACACCAGCGTGCCGCACGTAAGGTCACGACTGCGGCCGTTGTCATTGCTCCAGTGCAGCGTGTCGTTGAAGCGGTACGACGCCAACAGTTCATAGCAACCGGCTGTGCTCTGCATCGGCCAACCTCAACACCGCCATCACCATCCCCTTGAGTCTTACAGCCGCTGAGCTTCCGCCGGGTCGAGCTGGAAACAGCCTGCCATAGCCATCGCAGGATCGTGGTAGTGTGGTCGCCCAACCTATATCACACGGTCGCCCGCGCAAGTCCGAAGCTCGCTCGAAAGTGATGCGTCCAGAACCACACACCAGCATCACCGATTCGGTCAGGTCTTTTCGGCGATCTCTAGATCAGCGCCGAACACAAGACCGCCTTCCAGCACCGGATGTCGGGCGTCGAGGGTGCACCCACAATCATCTCTTTGCGTGCGCGAGAGCCGCACCCTATCGACAGCGACACAGGGATGCTCTTTCGGCTAGTGTAGACCAACACACGCGCGCGGCTCGGACGATACGAAGATGGTAGGTTGTAGAAGTACATGAGAGTCGATACACGAGACGAGAGAAGCAAGATCCGGGTCCGTTATTGGGTGTACCTGCGGCCGTGCTCGGAAGATGCAGTCGCACAAAGAAGACGGTAAAGGCGTGCGTGCGGGCTGATATGCTATTGTGCTGTCACCGGTTCCCGGCACGTCGAATGGTGCGAGAAGGCAGCGAGCCGCGAAACTGGTCGACGCGAGAGAGTGGATGATGACTCGTGACCCTTCAGCGCTCTTGTTCGTTGGCAACGTCCTCGCAGGCGTCGATCCAGAGCGAGTAGACGTCGATGGGCTGGTCGAGAGGATTTGTGTCCGCCGAGAACTTCTGTCCGCAAATCTTGCACGAGAGATAGCCGATCCTTGCCTTTTCGTCACTGCAATCCATGCCATGGTCATGTCCAAAGCATGTCTCGATAGAGTCAGTACCTTGAACGTCGTTGTGCGTATTTCGGAGATGGGCCGACTTACATCTTGCACGAGACTGCCTTCTCGTGGTTGCAGAAGAGACATGTGAAGACGGTGTCTGCGGAGCAAGAGCAGAGAGGCGAGTGTCAGCTTTACTGCGCAGCTGCTCGCGGGCGTCTGTTCAACGTGGACCTTGCCAGCGATGTCGGCGAGATGTTCGACTTACCGAGCGGAGGTGGTCTCTTGGAGCCCGTGGGCTTCTTGCTGGAGCTTTTCCTCTTGCCCATGATTGCTGAGCTTGGCAACTGCGGAGCGAGCCACGGATGGATCCAGCAGACGGCAACAAGCTTGTGGTCAGGAGTCAAGAGCGGGTGTCGTGTCAAACTGCGCCTCACGGCCAAAAACGCAGCTTTGTGTCGTGAGGGCGCGCAGCTCCACATATCTCCGACTTCCGCGTTTTTGATAACAGCAGGTCAGCACCACATAATCCAAATTTGAGCTTCTCCTGCAGCCACCTCAGCCACGCCTTGCCTTCTTCCCACTGCTACCCTCGATCCCAACCACTCCAATCGAGGCGCTTCACTGTCCAGCGATTCACAAAAGATGCCAGTACCGACAAACTTGGATCGAGCCGTTGCGCCGGCTGGTGCATCTGCGCCCAAGAACATCTGGATCGCCGCGGGCGAAGGCGATCTCGACCGCGTCAAGGACTGCGTTGAACGCGAAGGCATCTCTCCTACTGCTGCGGACGAATTCACATACACGCCTCTGCACGCTGCTGCATCGTACGGCCACCTCGACATTCTGCGCTATCTGCTGTCGCATCCTTCTGCGCCATCAGATGCGGTCAATGTGACCGACTCGGATCTCGACACGCCGCTGTTCGTGTGCGAGACGGTCGAAGCTGCTCGCTGTCTGATCGAGGAGTTCCACGCCAACGCCAAACACACCAATTCCGAGGGTCTCACAGCAGCGCAACAGGCGTTCGAGAACGAGCACGAGGACTTGGCTCAGTACATCGCTTCCGTAACGGGAGAGTCGCTCCAAACTGAACAAGAAGAGGAGGATGTACTTGGCGAGGACGAGAATGGTGATGCAAGGACGGATGGTCGAGAGTTGACGCAAGAAGAGCAGGCGGCAGAGGACGAGAGACTGGATGCGCAGACCGACCAGCTCATGGCACGTGTGGGAGAGATCATGACCCGCGCAGAACGCGAGGGCTTCGATCCGGAAGACGAACTCAGAGCCCTCGTCAGCGACTCGGTCGTCCGCCAGATCCGCGAGGGCATGCAGACATCCAACCTCACAGACTCGGCCTGACCTTGTGCGGACTCTATACCATCCCGGAAACGCACTTTTCTACCCACACATCCCTCGCATTCCGCGTAGACATGCACACCAATTCAAACTGCCATTCCGGGACACGTGCAAAGGTTCTCGACTGCGCCTGCACAATCCGCCTGCCTGACTGCGACACAAACACAGTATGCACCAAGGCTGCTGAGCGCAGAATGCGTACGCAAGTCGACTGCCAGTCTCGGGCAAAGAGGCGACGACTGCTTTTGCAGAACGCAGCCGACGACCGTTGCACCAAACGGGTCACATCCGGGCCTTATGCGTCGACCACGCCAGTGCACACACATTGTAGAACACGACCATTCGGAAAGATTCTTTTGATTGACCGCATCCTTTTCAGATGCAGACATGTTCTCACTGCAAAGTCCTGCCGAGTCGCTCTGCGAGCATTGTCTCGCACGTGGTGCCAGCATGCAAGCAGCTAGAGTCGCGCAAGGCCCGTGCTGCCACATCAGAGCCTGTCTAGAGCTCGTCGTGGCCGTAGTTGAGAGGCTCATCGTCGCCACCGGCAGCGCCGCCCTGGTAGATCTTGGCGGTGATGGGGGCGACGGCAGCCTGGAGCTCGCTGAGCTGCTCCTCAATGTCGGAGCCCTCGGCGGTCTGGCTGTTCTCGTCGAGCCATGCCTCGGCGTCCTTGAGGCTCTGCTTGATGGTGTCCTTGTCCTCCTTGTCGAGCTTGCCACCGAGACCCTCCTTGTCGGCGATCTGGCTGCGGAGCGAGGCGATGAAGTTCTGGAGGTTGTTGAGGGCCTCGATGCGCTTGCGCACCGCCTCATCCTGCTCGGCAAACTCCTCGGCCTCGGCGACCATGCGCTCGATGTCCTCGGGGGAGAGACGGCCCTTGTCGTTGGTGATGGTGACGGACTCGGCCTTGCCGGTGCCCTTGTCGGTGGCGGAAACCTTCATGATTCCGTTGGCGTCGAGCTCGAAGGTGACCTCGATCTGAGGAGTGCCTCGCGGCGCAGGGGGGATGCCGGTGAGCTCGAACTTGCCGAGCTTGTTGTTGTCCTTGGTCATGGAACGCTCGCCCTCGAAGACCTGGATGAGCACGGTGTTCTGGTTGTCGGCGGCAGTCGAGAAGATCTGCGACTTCTTGGTGGGCACGACGGTGTTACGGGGGATGAGCTTGGTCATGACACCGCCGTTGGTCTCGATACCGAGGGTGAGGGGGTTGACGTCGATGAGGACGACATCGCCGAGCGACTCGTCACCGGCAAGGACACCACCCTGGACGGCAGCACCCCAGGCGACGGCCTCGTCGGGGTTGATACCCTTGGAGGGCTCGCGGCCGAAGTACTCCTTGAGCATGGCCTGGACCTTGGGGATACGGGTGGAACCACCGACAAGGACGACGTCGTCGATCTCGTCCTTCTTGACACCGGCATCCTTGAGGACCTGCTCGACGGGCTTCATGGTCTTGCGGAAGAGGTCCATGTTGAGCTCCTCAAATTTGGCGCGGGTGAGGGTCTCGTCGAGGTCGTTGCCCTCGAAGAAGCCGTCGATCTCGATCTTGGTGGACATCTGGCTGGAGAGGGTGCGCTTGGCACGCTCGACCTCGCGCTTCAGCTTACCGACGGAGCGTTTGTTGGACGAGGCGTCGAGGCCGGACTTCTTCTTGAACTGCTTGAGGATGTAATCGGAGACGCGGTTGTCGAAGTCCTCACCACCGAGGTGGGTGTCACCGGCGGTGGCGAGCACCTCGAAGACGCCCGAGTCGATGGAGAGGAGCGAGACATCGAAGGTACCTCCACCGAGATCGTAGACGATGATCTGCGACTCGCCGTCCTTCTTGTCGAGGCCGTAGGCGATGGCGGCGGCGGTGGGCTCGTTGACGATGCGGAGGACGTTGAGACCGGCGATGGTGCCGGCGTCCTTGGTGGCCTGTCGCTGGGCGTCGTTGAAGTAGGCGGGGACGGTGACGACGGCGTGGGTGACCTTGTGGCCGAGGTAGGCCTCTGCGGTCTCCTTCATCTTCTGGAGGACCATGGCGGAGACCTCCTCGGGGGTGAAGGTCTTCTTTTCGCCGTTGACGTTGACCTGGATGGCGGCCTTGCCGTTCTTCTCGACGAGCTTGAAGGGGAGGTGCTTGGCGTCCTTCTTGAGGTCGGACTCGCCCCACTTGCGGCCGATGAGACGCTTGGCGTCGAAGATGGTGTTCTCGGGGTTCTGTGCAGCCTGGTTCTTGGCGGCGTCACCGACGAGACGCTCGGGAGTGAATGCGACGTACGACGGGGTGATTCGGTTGCCCTGGTCGTTGGTGATGATTTCGACACGGCCGTTGACCTGAGCACCGACACACGAGTAGGTGGTTCCGAGATCGATACCAATGACGGTTCCGTACTCGCTGCGCTTGTCAGAGGCAGCGGCGACGCCCATGCCGCCGGCGGAGGAGGCGGGGGCCATGAAGGCGGAGAAGGTGAGGAGGGCGAGGATGGCCATGATGATGGTCATGAAGGCGGGTCGGGTGAGGCCAGTGGCACGAGCAGCCTTGCGGCGCTGTGCCACCGCGGTTGAGCGGCTGGCGAGAACCATAATGACTTGTACTTCCGACTGTTGACGCCGTCAAAGGTTGAGGGATAGCGTTGATCAGCAAGGTTGTCCGTGCGCGTTGTGGGTATGATGCGAGAGGGCCGCGACGAAAGCCTGACCAGCGAGTGGGTCACAGCGACGGGTGGCGATGGCGACGATGGCGACGATGCCAAGGCGGGGTATCGGTGGCAAGGCTGACCGAGCAGCGATGCAAAGTGGACGCTTGCAAAATGTTTGGGGCTCGAGAAGGAGAACACTTACGAGACTCGGTAGTATTTATCTCGAGGGAGGAAAGACTTGATGGTGTGGAAAGGGAGGAAGGATGGCGAAGGCGAGCGAGGTGGCTTTGTGTGTGCGCGCGTCCGCCAGGGTGAGCTGGAAGCTTCGGTTGCCGGTTCGTGTCGACGTGGACGGGGCGGCCGGGCTGCAGTGCAGCGCTGCGGCAGCTCTGACAAGGCGCTGCTGGGACGTGGCAGCCGCCGCTGGAGGCCCGAGCCAAGGCACGCGGGGCTGAGTGTGTGTCTCTCGCTGCGTGCATCTCAGAGGCGAGTTCTTCTCGGCCAATAAAGTGGGCTCGTTTCAGCCTCGCTTGCTTAGCGCGTCGTCGGTCTGTGCACTGCGCCCTCGCCTGGCTCGATTTTCTTCGGCCTTCTCTGCCAGCTGGCCAGCTCATCATCGCCACCCCCTCCCCACCGTACTCAGCGCAGGCATTCTCACTCACAATGCCACCTTGGGTTCAAGCCTCCTTTTCCATGCCTATGCATATGATGTCTTCTAGGCCGGGCTCAGCAGTGCGAGTTCCATACGCAAGTGGCAGGGGCTCCGGCGAATGGGCAACAAAATAATTCGTATTTGGCGGAAGGATTGCCACCTCAGCGCTGGCGCCAATTCGCCAGCGACGGTCGCGATGCCGTGACGTGGAAGCAACAACCCATATTTAGGCCGCGCATCGGGTCCCGATCAAAGCCCGAATCACAGATCGAGGGTCTGCAGCCTTCTTCCATCCACAGCTTCTTTGGCTAGACGACGTTTGGCCATTCAAATCACTGCTCTGACCCTCTTGCTGCCGGCTCCAGCACCCGGGCGACGCTTCTTGAACAAGCCGCCGCCACCGTTGGATGCGCTGGCCGTCTTCGTATCAGCGCCGTCCGCATCTGATTGGTTGGAATCGGCCGGCACATTGTCCCCCAACTCCTCCTTCTTGACCTTCGCTTGTGTGTCTATCGATGCAGGAGATTCGGCAGCCGATGTGTGGATGTGTTCGACCTCGGGACGAGTCAATCCTGGTGCAGGATGAGATTTCGCTTCTGCCTCGGTTCGTGGTCTCTTCTTGACCTTGATTGTGCGGGCCTCGAGACCGTCATCGTCATCGCTGTCGTCTAGTCGCCCCACCTTTTCTCTCACTCGGAACGACCTCGCCTGGTCGCGTTCCGTGGTTTCTGTCGGCTGTGATCCGAATGCTGATGTGGACGGAGCGGCCGGCTGAGCTTGCTCCACCTGTTCCCATTGACCCGCCTCGGCGACAGGCTGCACATCCGGCACTTCCGGCTGAGCGCTCGAGGAAGGCGGGCGACGAATGCTTGACTTTGGAACCTTTGAAGAAGAAGCAGCCGCCGACGGAGCTGTCGTGCGGGTTGCGGACGGAGCTGTGGCCGACGCCGACGTTCCAGCTGCTGCCTGGTCTTTAGCATAGCTCGCTGCTGCAAGCGCCTCGATCTGCTCCATCTGCTTCTTGGTATGCTCGGCATCCTTGCGACCCTGCTCGCTTTTGCGGTAGAGATCCTGAAGCGCATTCTGCACATTTTGCTTGTGCCTTACACCGGTCTCGTGGTGCCGCCGCGAAGGCAGGTCATCGTTGATCGTCACATCGCAGTACTTGCACGTCCACTTCTTGCGCGAGATCCACACGTCCGCCATGGTGGGCAATGTCGAAGCTACGAGGGGTTAGTCTGTCGGCGCTCGGATTGGCAATCAAGGATCCGAGATAAGCGTCGGCAAGATGGACATGCCGCTTTGCGATTGCTAGTTGCGAGGCGTCGGTGCAAAGAATGTGGAGGCGGAAACGAAAGAGCGCGGAATGCCTCCGATTTTCGACTGGACCCTGCGCTGAGCCACCCTCTGCTGGGCGCCGCGCTAAGTTACGTGACGACGGGAAGAATGCAGAGTCAGACAGACAGCCAACGTGGACCCGCGGCAACCGATCCATGCTACCCTGCAGCAGCACCAACACCCGCATCCGCCCTCTGCATCGGCAACATCTCCCTGCTCCCCGCCCGAGCTGCCCGAGCTGCTGCCCGCGCTGCACACGATCGCATCTGGCCGTGCGTCTGCGCAATTCGCACTTGCCGCGTCGGATCGCTGCTCCCTCCCTCAACACCACATTCTTCCTGTCCACCATCCTAGAATTGCCTCGCCCACTTCTTGCAAGATGAAGAGAGAGTCGTCGTCTTCCTCTTCTCCCGGCTCCAATCCGTCCCTGCTGCGGCGTCTCAGCCAGTTTGTCCAACCGGGACAGTCGGCCGCCTACCAGCCTAGAAATCGGACGGCTTCCGACGTACCTCAGCCGGCCCTGGCTACGCCGGCGACCGATCCTGCTCAAATCAAGTCGGTGTGGCTCGACTGTGATCCGGGCCATGACGATGCTATGGCGCTGCTCATGGCTCTCCACCATCCCAGCCTCGAATTGCTCGGCGTCTCCACCGTAGCAGGCAACGCCGGTGGCCGTGACACCTTCCTCAACGCTGTTCGCCTTATGGCGCTCTACCGAGCCGACCCTTCCATTCCCGTCATCCGCGGTTCCGACTGCCCGCTCGTCAAGGAGGTCAAGGTGGACGTCGGCATCCACGGTCAAGGTGGCCTCGGCGGCGTGCAGGGCTTGCCCTCGCTCTCGTCGCCGCTCTGCCAGCCGTGGCTGCATCCCGCACACCCACGCACAAGCTCACCAACAACAGGCCCCGAACCCTCGCTCTTTCTATACACGCTCTCCACCATCCTCACCGAGCGCCTCAATGCAGGCAAGCCTGGCATCCACCTTGCTGTCACGGGGCCCATGACCAACGTGGCGCTTTTCATCCGCTGCTATCCGCACCTCGTGCGCGGCATCGAGCAGATTGTGCTCATGGGTGGAGCTGCAGGCGTGCGCGGCAACCGCGGCCCGCTGGCAGAGTTCAACATCCTCAACGATCCCGAAGCCGCCTCGATCGTCTTCAATACTGACATCAAGGTGGTCATGGCCGGTCTCAACGTAACGCACCAGGCCATCTTTACCGCCGAGCTGCACGATCGTCTTTTGAGTGGGCGGGTGCGCTCGCCCTCGTCCCGCCGGCAGTCGAGAATCGCGCTGAGCCCCATCTCGCCGTCTCACTCGCCTGTCGCTTCGCCCGTTGCGCCAGCCGCGGACATGGCCACTCAGTCTGCCTCTGGCCCGAGCGACCTCAAGAGGATGCTGAGTTCCACCCTCACTTTCTTTGCCAAGACGTACGCGTCCGAGTTCGGCTTTACTCGCGGGCCGCCCGTGCACGACATGCTGGCGATCGCGTATATCATTGATCCGACGCTCTTCCACCGCCGCGTTCCGTCGCCAGGAGACGTGCCGAATGTGGGCATGTTTGACGCCGATCCTCACAGCAACAAGGATGTGCGTGCGGCTGCGTCGTCGGGCAAGCCGCGTCGCCCACGCGTGGTGACGGACAGCAACTCGCTCGGCCTCGAGCCCTCGGCGATAGACAGTGCCGACGCGAGCGATGTGTCGGACTCACAGGCTGAAGCTACTGCGTCCGCGGATGCGATGCCGCCCAAGCGCTACCGCGTCGACGTCGAGTGCAGCGACGGTCTGGCGTGCGGCGCGACGGTGGTGGATTTCTGGGGTGACCGCGTCGAGCACAACGGCTGGGGCCGCGGCGGCAGGAACGTAGAGGTGCTCGAGAACCTCGACTGCCCGCGCATGTGGGACATCTTCTTCCAGGTCATCGAGCGCGCCGAGGCACACATCGCCAATAGCCCTGTCACTGGCCACGGCTCAGCAGACAATACCGCCGCCACATCACCTTCTGGCTCTCCGTCCAAGGCCTTTGCCAATCTGCGTCTCGACGCCGATGCGAATCCCAACAGCCAAGTGCAGGCCTAAGGAGCATCCCCGAGCAAGGAACACTAGGAACAATACCATCTTCCTTACAAAAGAATGCTTACAATGCGATGCTACGCGTACACAAGTCACATGGAGTCGCCCGATTCGGATGGAAGCAGCAAGGTGTTGAGCACAGCAGCGAGTCGGATGCCCGCCATGGCGAGCTGCTTGTGAATGATCTTGTCGCTGTGGAGTGTGAGCAAGGGTAGTGGGGGAAAGGAGATCAGCTTTCTGCATCGCATAGTGCCGAGATCGCTGGACTTACTGTTCGATGCGCCCGACGTATTCGGGGACGTCGAGTTCTGGTTCTGGTGCGGGCATGGGCGATGGAGTCTGTCCACCCCGCAGCGCACGGGGGGTTGGTTCCCATACAGGCACGGGCGGTGCAAACGCGTACTCGCAAACGAGCGGGTGCATGGACTTGGTCCACTCGTACGGGCAGATCGGCAGATCCGTATCGTCCACCGCAGCTGGACTCGTCGCGTCTGCAGCGAACATCAGCTGGCCCTCTGCGGCCCACGTCGCCTCGGTGTCTTTCCGAGCTTTACCCTCGCAAGTCGCCCATCGCTCCGATTCGTCCCGCCACCATGCCTTCTCTGCCTGTCCACGCGTCGCAGGCTGGCCCAGACCCTCCTTGAGAATATACCTCACGAGCGGATCGTACCGCGCGCCCACCAGTGCGCTTTCGATCCTCCGCGACGCCAGCGGCGTGGTGTAATTGGCCAGCTCTCGGATCTGCTTGTCGATCAGCAACGTATCCCAGACCGTATGCAGTCGGGCTTTCCTGCCTTCAAAGTGCACCCACACATCGTTGCCGCCACGTGCCCTGCCCGTGAGGTGCAGAGGCTGGTGGGCGTCACCGAAGAGATGTACGACGAAGCGCAGCGCCATGTCGCGCTCCCAGCCGGACTGCGTCACGACGCGCGACGTGTAGTTGACCAACGCACTGAGAACGTTGAGCTCCGACGTCCAGCCAGTCTCGCCGTAAAAGCACTGCGCGGGCGGATGGTCGTCGACCGGGTTCACGTAGTGCAGCTCGCCACTCCACGGATATCGGTAGCGGATCGTATCGGGCCACCCAGCTAGGACCGCCAGATGGCAGTGTGTGCGAGGCGTGTCGGAGGCGGATGTTGGCCAGTGCGACGGGTACTGCGTGTAGTTGGGCAGGATCGTGCAGAGCTGCTCGCGAACGGCCGGGTGCAGCTGCGTTTGGGCGATTGTGGCTACGATCTGGTGGCCCGTGATGCCCCACGCCAAGCCAGAGGGCACGAGGCAGAGAGCCGCGCTGATGAGAGCGGGGAGGAGTGCGAGCCTCATTTTGGCGACCTAGAGCTGGTTGATGCTGCGGATGGTGGTGGTTCTGACCAGCATCGACATTGGGCACGCCACCCGGGGGGAGGCTCAAGGCGGCGCTCGATAAGGCCGTGTGACTTCAGGGTCCAAGCGTGGCCCGGCTCGCCGCGCTTCGGCTCAGCCGGGCTGCATTGGGCTGATGCGCCTGAGAGAGCGCGTTTGCGGAGTTGCTGTCAGAATGTGGAGGCTCTCCCCCAAAAAACCACTCGAGGCAGCTTGCTTGGCATTGAGCTGGCTGCCTTCCAGCAACCAACAGCATCCCTGCTCGCACCGGTCACCGAATCGAACAAAGACCGGCTCGGCTGGAGATGAGCGATCTCGATATTGACGATGCGTCGCTGCCGTCCGATGACGACGTCAGCTGTGCGCGGCCCGCCCTCGACAGCAGCAGGCGGCCAGCGTATGGAACGCTGTCTGTGCAGGCCGAGGACGAGCCGGTATCGGCCTCGCGAGTGCTACAAGACATGCGCAGTAGCGCTGGCAGCCACCATCGCCTCTGTCTGCAGCACGCGGAGCTAGGGGATGACAAAACCGCCAAGGTTCTTCAAGCGCTATTCGAGCACGAGCCGCGCCCTGACGCAGCGGAACAGCCGACCACCACCGACGACACCGACTCTGCGGCTGCAAGCCAATGGGCTGCGTCGGACAGGGCTTGGCGGTACTCGAGCTCCCTTGATCTGCCGCAATGGAAGGCGTTCCGCATCGTCGAGCTGGACAACAACGAGCTGACCTCGGCCAGCTTGCCTCCCATCTGTACGCTGCTGGAGCGCAACCCTTTGCTTCATACGCTCAGCCTCAAGGGCAACGAGCTCGACGGGGACGCGGCCGCATACATTGCTCTTGCCCGCGTGCTGGCCGCGTCGCCGCTGCGACGGCTCAGCCTGTCTTCGAATCCGATCTCGCACCGTGCGCTCGCGGCGTTTATGGATTCGCTTCCGCCGGCCGGTACCTCGCTCGAGTGCCTCGAGCTTTCCAACGTGCTTCCTGTCGAAGACGACGCCTCCGAGCCCGGAGAGGAGCGAATGGTCGCTGCCAAGGCTGTGGCGAGCTTCATTGCGGATGCCGCTCGCTGTCGGAGCGTCAAGACGTTGTTGCTGAACGGCAATGGATTCGGCAGCCGCGGCGTGCGCTCCATTGTAGCCGCGCTCATCGGCTCCGCCTCGTCACTTGACTCGGCTGGGGACGTCTCGGAGGCGACGATGGAAGATGCGTTCTACGATACGGTGTTTCGCGCGCGGCTGCGGCGTCCGAATCGGTCGCTGGAAGTGCTCGAGCTTGCGGGCAACATCGAGCGAGGCTGGCTGCCGCAAGATCCGCAAGAGCAGCGCGAGCGTTTGAAAGCGATACGCAAGAGGTATGCGTGCGTCGCGCACGATGAGATCGAAACCATCGTGGCGTTTCTGGACCTGCGTGCACGTAGAGCAAGGCTGAACGAGCCCGCACCGTCCGAGCAAGAGGTCCCGATCGAGATCGCGCGACACATGAAGGCGGTGGGCGTGCAACTTGACGAGTGGGAGCGCGACTTTGAGGAGGCTGCCGAGATCGGCGCGGGGCTCACGGTGGGCAATTGGCAGGCACTCAAACAGTTGCGGCTCGAACAAAACGCTGCCGATGGAGAGAGATGCAGGCAAGCAGCCACCGCCGTTTTGGCTGCGGCGAGGATCGTTGGATGCACAGCACAGCGTGTGCACACCGCGCCCGATGGAGCGCAGCAAGGCTTTCACAGGTTCCTCGACTTGCCGCCCGAGTTGCGCTTGATGGTTCTCAAGAAGCTCGACACATACAGCGTCATGTCGGCGCGCCAGTTCACGCGCGCGATCAGCTTCGCATGCGAGAGGACCACCATCGGATATGGCGAGCCGCACTTTGACGGGACGCGAGTGCGCGCTGCTTCCGACACTGTCTCGCACAGCACCACATCCTCCGCCACGCTGCCGGCACAGAGATGGTCGTGGCAACAATGCTTCGAGGAGCGGGCCGCGGCGCGCGATTGGGCTGCCGACCGTCTCGACGCTTCGGACCAGAGTGCATTCCTGCGTTCGAGGACGACGGGTGCGCACATGCACGCCACCGCCAACCATCCCGGCCTCTATGCGTTCCTCGAATCGACCATGTGCCACCGAGCTGAATAGACGTTGCCGACTGCTCCCTCCGTGTGACTTCCTACAGTTTGTTGGCCCGACGAATGGTGCTCTGGTCGGCCAGCCATTGAAAGATGAGCATGTGGGAAAGCGGGTTTCTGCAATTGACACGGGCGATGATGTGGACAAGCGCATCGGAATGCGGTCTAGTGGGCGTGCGAGTGCTTGGAGGTGTCGAGCTTGTAGCCGACGAGCGATCTGCGGCCGATCATCTCACCGATGGTGAAGATGCCGTAGGCCTCGACGGCGTAGATGCCCACCTTCTTCCAGTCGCCCTTGGTAAGCATCTGGGCCCAGAAGGCCTTGTCGGACGCCTTGGACCAGATCTGACGGTATGCCGAGACGATGGTGTTGAGCGAAGTGGGTGGGGCGAGAGCCTCGGCGACGTACACCTGCTTGGCGACCGAGCTTGCCACCGAGAGGTTGTACTTGATGGGCTCCGAGTAGCCTGAACGGGAACAAGCAAGAGACGCAGCAAGAGTCAGTATTGGATGCGAGAATTTGTGCCGGGTCGACTAGCGCCGGGCTAGCGTCCGACGGGACTACATACCTCCGAGAAGACCCTCGACGCGCTTGATGACGGGGCCGCCGATCTCCTGCGCCTTCTTGGAGATGTCGTTGATGGCGGACGAAGCATTCTCCTGTGCGGTGGCGCGGGCGGCCGAGGTGGACGAGAAGTGGCGACCCTGGCGGGCGACGGAGCGGACTGCTGCTGATCTGGCGAACATGATGGGCTGGATAAACGACTCCGGAGAACGAGATCTTAGACGACGTGGGAGAGATAGAGATCGATGCACTTGAATCTCGAGCACGACCAACGACGACGACCAACGCAAGCGGCTCTCGGCCAATTTGCATAGCAGGGTTCGCGGCGGCACTCTTTCAGTCATTCGGGGCGGGCAGTGGCGATGGGCACTTGAGGTCCAGCTCTCGTGCCGTTTCTTCTCAAAATTTCGGAAGACGAGCGAGCGGCCCCAAAGGCGAGACGGATCCGACTCTGCCTTGTCTCTGGTGCAAAGCCCTGGATCGGCGGGCACAGAGACACAGCGCCAGGGTCTGTGGAAGTTGGGAGCGCCTCGAGATCCCCCGCATCGGGCCCAGCCGGGCTCGGATTCGAATTTTCGTTTTTCTTTCGATTTCAAATGTTCGATCATAACAAATGCACACCAATGATGGATCGAGCGATTGTCACGTGCGAAACGGCACTGCTCGCGCTGGGCGTGGGCTGGCGTCACACGCTGGCAGACGGTGGCACATCTGTGAGAGAAAAGAAAGGGGCGACGGTGCGAAAAAGCGCGCGTTGGCTGCGTGGAGTTCAGAGGTGTTGGTTTCCCAGCTGGGCAGTTGGATGCACAGGGGCCGCTGAGCCCCTTTTTTGGGCGGGCATCGTTTGCGCGTCCCGATGCTGCCCAGTGCCCACTGCTCTTGGCTCGAGGCAGGCGTGTGTGTGTCTTGGGCCAAAGCGCAGTTCGAGACCAACAGGCGCACAGCCATGCACGCCCGCCAGCCTGCCTTTGCACACCGCTTGTGGAGACGCTTCCGACCTGCTCACCACCACATCACTCACCTCACATCATGGTAAGTCGCCTCTCCTGATCACTTCATTCGATGCTGCACCTGAGAGATGCGATGCTGACCCGCTCCAATTCCTCTGCGACAGTCTGACGCTGAATACAAGGAGGCCTTTGCGCTGTTCGACAAGAAGGGCACGGGGACGATTGCGCGCGAGTCGCTCGGCGACCTTCTGCGTGCGTTGGGACAGAACCCTACACAGGCCGAGGTGGCGGATCTGGCCAACACGGCGCCCAAGGACATCGACTACAACTCGTTCCTCAACATCCTCAACCGTCCCAACGGCTTCAAGCCCGCCGGCACACCGGACGAGTTCATCCGCGGCTTCCAGGTGTTCGACAAGGACGGCAACGGATTCATCGGCGCCGGCGAACTCAGATACGTCCTCACCAGCCTCGGCGAGAAGCTCTCGGACGACGAGATGGACGAGCTCCTCAAGGGCGTCCAGGTCCACCCGTACGTTCAATCGAACCAGCTACATGACCGAACACACAACCGCTGACATGACATCCTCCTGGCTTTGCTCCTTGCTTTGGTTTCCATCAGTGACGGCAACATCCACTACGAGTCGTTCGTCCGCCAGATCCTCAGCCAGTAGTCCTTTGATTCCCGCAATGCCCTTTTACGAACCTGTTCCCGCCCGCTAGTCCTTGCCGTTCCCTGCCGCTCTGCTCTGTCTCTTCAACCGGCGCCCCATCGGCCCAACTGTATCCTCGCTCTCCTGCCGAACAACTGTGGTGCACAGGCTGCCCAATACCAGTCCACATTCTCAGCCGCAAGCTCCTGCTCTCCCCGCACACGCGACACACACACAGAGGTTAGAGACAAGCGGTGGTTTTGATCGACTGCGGCTAGGTGCAACTAGGATCCAAGGAAAACGCGCGGCATCGAATGTGCGCTGATGGGGCAAGGCTATACTTGAGCGGACGAGCGTCACTCGCGACCGGGGCAGATGGGCTGTGAGCTTGTCTACAAAGTGCCCGGATGGTGGCCGTTGGAATTGTTGGCCGTGTGGGTGGAGTGGGTGTAGGCCGATTCTTCCTCGGAGCTGCGCGCGCTTTCGTCGACCTGGGCGAGTTTGCTCGACTCGGACGCGCGCGGGCGCGACTGGGAGCGGTTCTTGGGCGATTCTTTGCCGCCGCGCGGCTCGCGCGATCGAGACCTCGAGAGCGACCTCAGTAGCTGTTGCCAAAGTCAAGAAAGGATGTATCAGTTGAGCCAAAGTTCTTGTTCGGCAACTCGAAAGCCCCCACTGCCTGCATTTCATAGTCGGCGTCCGACTGGCCCCCGGCAAAGCACACGAGGTCGCAGCGCATGCAAGAGCAGGGAGAATGGTGGGTGCGATTTCTGCCAAGTAGAGCCGGGAATTGGCCGAGCAACACGAGATCATCTGCAACACCGCACCGTGCGCCAAGGAGGGGGAATCAAGACCGAAGCTAGAGCGGGCTGTTCGGCAGCGGGAGGGCATCGGGGTATGTGTGCGTCTTTGCGGAGCCAGAAGGCGAGCGCTGTCATCCAGCGGGCACGACAAGCGCAAGGGAGGGAAGGGTGGGCGAATCGTTTCATTCACTTACACCTGAGACGCCACCGCCTCCTCCGCCGTTGGAGGAGTCGCCGCGGCCGCGACCGCGTTCTTCAGCGTCGGCGGCAATGTTGCCGGCGCCACCGCGACCGGTCGAGTGCGGGGCCTTGAGGTCTTGCTGTCGGTACTCCTCCTGCAGCTTGTCCTCGCGAGCCTGAACCTCTGCGGCACGCTTGCGGTCCAGAGGGTCGCGCGAGGGCGAGCGAACGTTGCCAGCGCCACCTCGGCCGCTCGAGATCATGTGCGAGGGCACTGCAGCGGCAGCAGCGGTCTGCTGAGGGATGGCATTGCCTGAGCGGTCACGCGATCGCGAGGGCGAGCGAATGATCTGTAAATGAATCGAATGCATCCCCGCAATCGTGAAAAAGTGGGTGCCAAAGTATAATTGTCAGTCGACTGCGTCTTTCATCTTGACAGTCGCCATCTCGCAGCGCGCTCTAGCCGGGCAGCGTCCTAGCACTCTGACACTGGGCATGTCTAGCCAGATGCGTGACGGGCGATGCGATCGAGCTTGCGAGGCTGCTGGCTGGAGCTGCGGGATGCACATCTACTCACGTTGCCCGCACCACCGCGGCCTGTAGCGATGAAGGGGTCGCGACCACGCTCCTCGCCCTTAACGTTGGGGTCGCGCTGAGAGTGGTGACCGAATCCGAGCACCATAGTGAATGCTTGTAGCGTAGGTTTCGCCGGTTAGCGCAGGGCCGGGTATATAGGCTCGAGATGGGGTGGATCCGTTGGCGGTGTGATGTGCAGACACCAAGCAGCTGGTAGTGTGTGGTGGTGGTGGGGAGAGTCGAGGGCAGGGAAAGATGATGGATAGGGATGTAGATGTGAAAGAGCGACGGCGAGGGCTGACTTGCATGCGATATCTCGAGGCTCGCAGATGGCGAGGGGCGCCGCATCAACGGGGCGGCCATCGGGCTCAGATGGCCAAAGCCAAGAAAAACGCAATCGCGCAGCCGAGCTGGCGGGCCACTCGAAAGGAGCCAAAGGCGTGATAGCCTGTCAGCAGCTCAGCAGCAGCTCCAGAGCGGATGCAGCCGAGCCAATTCCGACTTTGCTTTCTTGGAGATTGGACCTGCAGAGATAACGAGAGAGTCCACATGCGCCCCCGTCCCTGCCGTCCATGCACTGGCACTCTAACCGTCGCTCTCCAGCAGCGCTTTGCAGCGGCCTCCGCCCGAACAAAATATCCACCACACAATCACAATAGCTCAGCTCAGATCCGGCGTCAACAAGGCACGGCTCGGACACCGAACTGCAATGGTGTTGTGAGCGTCGTTGGCCGCCATGGCCGAGTCCGGCATGGAGTGTACCTCCGCATCGCCTCGAGATCATGACTGCACGTGGCCTTGAGATGGTACATACGGTACCCGCACTCTCGCGCAGGAGCCCCAGCAGATCAAGTCCTTGCTTTCCCTGCGCCGGCTTCCTCTTCATCCTGGTCTAGCTCGAGTCAAAGACCATGCCAAGAAACTCGAGCTCGCCTGCGCTGCTGTCACCATCAGGAACGGCCGATCTTGGGCACACTCCCCCAAGAAGTACCGTAGCAGGCGCTGAGCTCGATTTCATTTTTCTCGAGAATGTCTGAATGCGTGAATCCGCAGATAAGCCTCCCTGCCTGCCAGCCTCCGCTCAGAGATAAGCGCTTTCTTCGACCCTCCCTGCTTTTCCCTCCTCGGCAGCTTGCCAAGCCCTTGCCGTTCACCAGGACCTATGGTGCGCTGATCAGATCAACGGATGCCGGTACACCTTATCTTGGACGAATCATCGGCCACGACGGTCGCTCAGAGATGCTCCCCCCACACGCCAAACACGAACCCTTCCCCGCGATGACACGCTCTTGCACCGCTCGTCAGGAACGCTCGCTTTGCAGATCCGATCCGTCAATCATTGACCGTACCTCGGTCTTTGCATCGCCTGTACCACTGCATGCGAAGCGTCAGATCTCCTGTACTTTCAATGTTTCAACGATTGCACTCGATTGAGCATTCAACAACCTCGACTCGACGTTACGCTCGAGCTTTCAGATGTTAGACCGACATTTGGTTTGCGCTCCGTTTTTTTTTGCTCGCCCTCCACAGTGCGAAGAAACGCGGGTTGCGGTCTCGTCCCAAAGATTTTTCTGCGGCAACCTTGATCATCGCGCAGGGACCTTGGTATCGACGCCGTGACCCACCATCACCAGCCTGTCTACTATCATCGGCTCGCACGGTCGCCACACATTCCGATCATGCCGCCCGGACAGATGCTCGAGCCCTCGGAGCCCGAGGCCGAGTTCACGCTCGCTTGCCTTCAAAACGGCCTTCGCATCGATGGACGATCCTTCCTTGCCGCGCGTCCGGTCGACATCACCTTTGGCGAAGAGCTCGGCAACGTCACCGTGGCCATCAAAGGTACGCGCGTATCCACATCCGTCAGAGCGACGCTCATGCCTCCGCGCTCCGATCGACCGTATGAGGGCTTCTTGCAGATCACCACCGACATCTCGCCCATGGCCGGTGTCGAGTACGACTCGACAGGCGGAGGAGCCAACTCGTCTGCGCGCGCACGCGAGGTGCTCTTTGACCGTCTCATCGAAAAAGCCGTCCGTCGCACGGAAGCCGTGGATCGCGAAGCTCTCTGCGTGGTGGCAGGAGAACAGGTGTGGAACGTCCACCTGACCGTTCATCTTTTGTCGGACACGGGCGCGGCCTTGGATGCAGCCGTGCTCAGCTCGATGCTGTCGCTTCGACACTTCCGCAGACCGGACTATTCCATCGAGAATGGCAACCAAGTGCGTCTCTACAGCGCCGACGAGCGTGTGCCTGTCCCACTTGCCATCCATCACACACCGCTGTGCGTCACGTTTTCGATCTTCAACCTGCCTTCCACCAGATCTGCCCAGCCCGAGAAGAATGACGACGACGATCTGATCGACCCGACATCGTCCACACCAGCACAAACGGCCGACAGCGGCTCGGTGGCACTGCTGGATCCGAGCCTGCTCGAGGAGACTCTGGCGCATTCCAAACTGACACTGGTGCTCAATGCGCAGCGCGAAATCTGCGTGCTCGACAAGTCGTACGGCAGCCCCATCAACCCGCACACGCTGCTCGAGCTCATCAACGTCGGCCTCAACCGCATCGACGTGCTCACAGAAACCCTCGAAACCGCACTCAAAAACGACGCTGCTACTCGCATCATCGAAGTCATTTGACCTCCCTCACACACACTCTCTCGCACTTGTATTTGTACCACACTCACATCAATCCCTCACAATCTACCAACACACAGAAGTTGTAAGAAAGCCAAATGGGTATCATTGTGAAATTTCCAGCACGACAAACAAGGCATGGCGGTGGAGGAGGCTAGGCAGTGGCGAGGAATCCGGTGCAGTCGTAGAAGCCGATCATGGCAACGGCGGTGGCGGTGGAGCGCGAGCTGGAGCGCGACTGGCGCGGCATGGGACGCGGCGGCTCGGCGATGCGAACCATGTGCGCCAGCGTGGCGGGCATACTCACCGATCGATCCGGTACGGCATGCGCAGCCGCTGCAGCTGGCGGGTGACTCCCCAGGCCCGTCTGTACAGGAGCGGGCGCTGGCTCGGGCGCCAATCTCGACGTCGGGCTGACGGGTCGGGAAGGTGCGCGATCGGCCTCGCTCGGATGCATGTGGTACTCGTGCTCCAGCCCATGCGACACTCTCTGCTTGGCGGCGTACTCGGCAGCCGGCGAGATCGCCGGTGCCGGCTGCACTGCGCCTGGCTCGAGCGCACGCGGCTTTGCATCTTCCTTCTCGGTTTTGCCCGACATGGACGAGCGGTCGCTGTGCGATTTGGCGCTCGAGCCCTTGCGTCCAGTGACGCGCGCCTTGGTCGCGGGGCCGCGGAACATCGTAGCAGGGTCGGTGGCCGGCGGCGCAAACGCATAGCCCGCCATGAACGCCGGCGCATCTGGCAGCGGCACGGGCAGCGGCGCCCCGCCACCCACGCCTCCGCGTCCAAACGCACGTGCACGCCCCGTCGACACGCCCGCCGCTGCACCCGACCCCACGCCGCCACTGCTGCTCGGCCGCTTGGACCGCTTCTTCTTCTTGTCCACGATGGTCGAGGCGCCGTCGTCGTCGTCGTGCGTCTGCAGCCGTGCGGGCGCCTCGTGTGCATGCGTCGTGGCGACCGCAAACGCGCTCGAGCCATCCGCGCCCAGCGCCTTGTCCATCTCGTGCATCGCCTCGAGCGCCTCCTTGCGCTCCTGGTCGTCGTGCGCCGCCGCCGCCGCCTCCACCGCCGCATCCGCCCTCAGCGACTCGAGCCCCAGCGACGGGATCGCGGCGGGCGTGACGCTCATCTTGCGTCTGCGCTCGGCGTACTTGCGGCCCTCGACGGTAAGGTCCTCGTGCGCCTGCTCCCAGCCGAGGTACTTGTGCAGCATGTTCTCCGTGTCGGCCGAGGCGCGCACGCTGTCGATCCACGCATCCATGGCGCGGTAGAACTGGTCCTTGCTCTTCCACGGATGCGCAAACGGCTTGAGCGCCGCCGGGTTGCCGTGGCCAAACCGACGGCTGGCGTCCATGCGCGTCAGCTCGGGCTGCGCCATGCCGTGCAGGCTGCGCTTCTCGTCCTCGGCCTCGGCCCAGATGAGCTCGCGGCTGGACGAGATGTGGTCGAGCTGCTGCAGGATGACGAGCGCACAGAAGAGGTCGGCGTCGGTCATGGCGAACTGCGAGTTGAGCGGCTTGCCGATCTGTCCGCGGCTGGTGAACTTGCCCTGGCGCTTGCCCTCGTCCTCGCTCGAGGTGGCGTTGTTGGACGAGCTGGCGCCGTCGCGCGCCTGGCGCGCGCGTGCGCGCTGTGCTTTGGACTCGGCATACACGGGGATGTGGCGCGGATTGCCGTTGGCCACGTTGGAGAAGCCGGGCAGCAGCAGCGCCGAGGGGACGACCGAGAGCGGCGTGGGGTTGATGAAACGGCGATGCATCATTCGCTCCAGCACGATCTCGATCGCGTCGACATCGGCCGAGTCGGATGCGTCGTTGAGCACCTTGAGGCGGCGAGGCAGTTTGACGCCGACGCCCTTCTTGCTGGCGGTGCGACCGTGCTCGAGGTCCTTGAGCTCGTTGACGTCGACGAGGCTGGCGTGGCCAAAGAAGCTGTAGTTGCCCTCGACGACCTCGAGCACGCCGCCGGGCGCGAGGATGCGGCGAGCCTCGGAGAAGATGTCGACCCACTTGTCCTCGGGCACGCCCTGGAGGATGAATCGGATGTGGATGTAGTCGAAGCTGGCGTCGGGGAAGGGGAGCGGCTCGAGGAAGTTGGCGACGACCCAGCTGACGCGGTGTTCGAGGTCGGCGTCGCCGAGCTGGTGCAGCGGCGGCTGGATGGGCACGATGTCGAGGCCGACGAACTCGGACGCCTTCCACTCGCGCGCCATCTCGAGGCACCACACGCCGCGTCCGCAGCCGAGGTCGAGCACGCGGCACGGACGCGAGCCCTCGGGGAAGTCGCGCAGCGTATTGCCGTGCAGCGCTGCTTGGACGTTGAGGTGCGTCGACATCTCGGCCTCGATGGTCTCGGCGTTGTATCCGTGCCAGTAGGGCACGACCGAGGTGGGGAAGGCGTGGTGGACATACTCGCGCATCTTGCCCTTGACGCGCGCGCGCGACACGCTAAAGTAGGCGTCGGGATGCCAGCAGTCGGGCGAGGTTGGTGGTAGGCGCGGGCGAGGCGAAGTGGCGCCGGGATTGGAGCCACTGGATGCGGTCGTGGCATCCACCGAGCTGCTGGCGCGACCGCGGTGCGCGGACGCGATGCCGCTGCTCAGCGTCGAGACTGGGCTGGAGGAGAGGAGGCCTACCGAAGACAGGGTGGGTTTTGCCTGGGCCGAGATGGGCGATTCGGCGGTGTCGGTGTTTCTGCGCTGCATCTGCACGCGTGTGGACGACTTGGACGAGGTGGATCCTCTCCTTATGGGCGGAGGCGTGTAGAAGTAGTGACCATGACCCACGCGTGCCTTGTAGGTGATCTCGGATGCGGGCAAGCCGTGCGAGTGCGAGGGTGGTGCGAGCCCAAGACGGACAGGGAGTTGTTCGCCCACAAGCGAATCGGATTCGTCGAACGTGAGTGGCAGGTGGAAGGTGTCCGGCTTCTTGGACGCGGCGGCGGTGGGCGGCGGGCCAGAGGCCGTGGTGGACGCGTCTGCGGGTACGGCGATGCTGCTGCGGCGTCGACCTTGGCTGAAGAACTCGGAGGTGCGCGGGTAGAACTCGGGCATGAGTGGCGAGCTCTGTCGAAAGTGTTCGAACTCGGGCAGCCTGTGCTGGAGCGACACTGCGCTGGTGGAGCTGCCCGAGGAGCCGGCGAGGCTGGTCTTTGTGATGTGGTCTGTGGACGTGGTGCTGGCGGGCGAGAGGCTCTCACCGCCGTTGTACGAGCTCTGCTGCGACTTGGAGTCGACGGAGCTGCTCTTGGACGCCGAGTTGGATTCTGATTGTGTTGCTGCTTTGGACTTGGTCTCGGACGCCCGAAGGCTCGGACGACGCGCCAGATACATGTGGAAAGGGTCGATCATGATGTTGCTCTTCGTTCCCTCGTCTCTCTTTCAAGCACGTGTAGCTGCGGTTCAGGGCAGGGATCAAGCCGGTTGCTGCATGGCTGGAGTGGAGATGCTGTTGAATAAAACCCAGAGCAGATGAAGAGCGGCGGAGCTGTCGGAAGGAAAGGCGGGTCGCCCGGATGGGGGATGGACGGAGGATGACGACGAGAGGGAAGCGGCGGTGGGGTGGATGGAGGCTGGCTGGCTAGTTGACTGTTGACTGACTGTTCACCAGGGTTGCCAGGGTTGCAGCTGCATGGATTCCAGATGAGGCTGCTTTTGCGCACTTGCCAATCTGAGTCGAGACTTTACTCATGCCTTTTGTCTGCGGAACGATCCGACTTTGGTGCGGGGCCACATCCGAACTCTTTTTCTTTTCTCGAGAGTGTCACTCCTCGTTTGCATGCTCAGGCTCAGCAACGTACGTTTGTGTCGCAGATGCTGCACGCCCCGAGCGCAAGCCGGAACCCCAGAACGGTGCAGCCGGGCAGGGTGGCAGCGATGCGGCAGCGGCGGAGCCAAAAAAGCAAAAAGCTTGAGCGTTACGCAGCCGTGGGAAAGAAACGCTTTGTTTTCGGTGCATCTCTCGCCTATGCATCCTGGCAGTGTGTGCTCAGCCGCCTCCATGTGGCCTGTCGGTGCGATGCTCTGCGGTGCTGTGCGGTGCTGTGCGGCCTTGGCAACCCAACCCCATCCAGCGCGAAAAATGCCCCCCCGCTTGAACCTCCAAGATGACCAGAGCAGCCATGTCTCACCTCGTCGCTCTGGAGCATCCGCATTCTTTGCGGCACCTCCGAAATCGGCGCATCCTAAAGCCTATGCGCCGCAACATTCGTTGTGGCTCGGAGCTCATCCGAACAACGCGCGGCGGGATCCGAGCGGAGCGTCGCTCGCGGGTTGACGTGCAGCTTCCGTATGGACATGTATGAATCGCCCCACCCACCCAAATGAACTGCAGGAATGGCCGGAAAGGCCGAGATTTCGGTCGGATCTGCTCAGCCAAGGCGCTCCTTGCTGGGTGCTCTCATTAAACAGCGGACCGACCCACTTTCCTTCTCCCATCGTCTGCCGCGTCAGCGAGCGACCTGGCGCCCATCCGCGCCCATCACTGCTTGCTTGTACAAGTGAGTTGAGTTCTGCTCTTTGTGATCACACTGAACGCAAGAGAGATCGAGACAGGGACAACAGTCAGTCCACGCTATCTTCTATGCAGCCACTCGCACTCCAAATCAACTTACACTCCAAAAAGTCGGCTGCCATGAGCCTGCATCAGCGAAATGCAAATGCGCGCTTCGTCAGCGGCCTTGCTCCAGGCAACCTTGTCTTCGCTTCCGCAGTGTGACTTACAGTTCGAGTGCGATTTCGGGCGGGATGCGATTCTTAAAGTCGGGGATATCGACGTCGGCTGCGGCGCCGTATTTGGTCTTGAAGTGCAGATACTCGATCACCTTCTCGAGCACCTCTCCTCTGTATGCATCCCCAGAGCATCGTCAAGTCAGCTTCCTTGCAGGTCTGTGTGGCGCCACGCTTGAGCGTACCGGATCTGCAGACGCGCAGTGTTGCTCTCGGCCTCGGCGAAGCCGCCACCCTCGCCCATCGACAGCATGGTCTTGATCGTCGGCGAAGCCATCACGGTCGTATTGTCCACGAGAAATCGGTATCCATCCTATACCCGCGACAATTCTGCGTCAGCAGCCTAGATAGTCAAGTGCTCATGGTGGCAATCAAACTTACCTCGCTAACCAGCGTTACCCACTGCACGCTCTTATCAGCCTATTCACCCCGCCAAACCACAATGCAAGCAGTCAGCAACTCGAACACCATTCCAGAGATCGAACAGCTGCATACGTACCGACATGTCTGCAACTTGACACCTAGCAAACTCGTTCGGATCGCAACATGTGGTCGAGAAGAAATCAACGACGCGGCGCCCAAAGTCGCGTTTGGCCTGGACCCTCCTGCATGTGGAGGTTTTCGCCCCACCAACGCCTCACTCGCGACTCAGACCGTCATCAACCCTCATACCCCACCGCCATTCTTTTGCACCTAGCCCACATCTTGTGACTACTCTATACGCACAAGAACTACTGTATCGTACAGGACCGACATGTCGTGGACCATTACATGACATCTGCTGAATAAATTACAAGGATTCCGCTTCATTCTGGGTTCCTGTTCGGTGCATCGTGTCCGCGCGGACGCTGGGGGTACGGCCAGTACCTCGCCTCCTCGCCCGTACCCGCCGGCCGTGCTGCTCCGCCCAACCCGCGACCCGGTGCAGGGAACGAGCCCAAAATCGGCGGCAACGACCGACCCGCCGCACCCAACGACGGCAGATGCGGTGCGCCCTTGGCCGCGCCCGCCGACAGAGACGGCAGGCTCGGCCGCGGCAGACTCTGCGACGGGAAGCTCGAGTAGGCACTCGCCGACGATCTGTACGCGCTGCCGGTCGAGAACCCACCCGCGATGCCGCTGCCTGCACTGCTGGCCGCCGCAGTTCCAGGCGGACCGGGCGACTGCGAGTACCTCTGCCACCTCTGCTCGTACGCCGGCCGCTCCGACGTCGCAGGCAGCGGTGCGGTCAGCGGACCATTCGCCGACCGGCCTCGTGCACTTAGCGCCGTCGTAGCCGCCGCACTGCTCGCGTAGATGCTCCCCACGCTCGGCGGCGCATACCTCCCGTACGCATGGCCCGCTCCGAAGCTCGCGCCCGTCGGCGAAACTTGCTCGCCGCTGCCGTGGCGAAGCTCACCCGGCACCGCAGGCGGCATGCTGTGCGCCTCGTACTCGCGCGTCCGGCCCGCACCGCCGTACGTGCCGTACAGAGAACGATCGCGATCGTGCTCGGCCTCGTCGCTCGCGTGCGCATGCGTCGACAGCGGCGGAACCGACCTCGCCACATGCCCAGGCCCAGCCACGCTCGGCGGCCCCGGATATCGCGATGCCGCCATGCTGCGCTCGCCCGGCCGCGGCGGCGGCGCCATCGCGCTGTAGCCCGGCGAAGGCGAAGGTCGACGGTGAGCTTCGTACGGCGCCTCGTACGCCCACGACCGAGAATCGACGCTGCCCTCGCGCTCGTACACACGCGGCCGCGACGCCACATCCTCCAACCCAGGACGACCGTCCGAGCTGAGCGGACGCGGCGCCTCGGCTGTAACCGGTCGACGCTCCAGCTCGAACGGCGGTCGCGCATACAGAGCAGGCGGCACCGACGCTTCTCTGCCCGCTCCAGCGTGTGCGGCCACCTCTCGTTGCTCCTGCCACTCGTGCAGCGACGATCGACGCTTCACATGTGTGTCGCTCGTGTCGTTGAGCAGCGAGTTGATCTGCAGTCCGCGTCGCTGCACCAGGACCTCGGGCGACCCTTCGCGCATCTTGACATCCGGGCCATCAGCCTGCGAAGTGACGATGCCCGGCGGAGGCGGCAGATGCGTGGTGCGAGGCACGTCGCCGTTGAACCCGGCACCACCGCCCGCCATGTTCGTCGCGGCATTGGGCGCAGCCGACGCAGCCGCAGCTGCCGCATTGTTGGCAAAACGCTGTCGCACAAACGTCAGCGCGGCCTCCTCGCGCTCGCTGACGGGCAGCTCGGCGTGGCTGCGCGCAAGCGCCGCCGCCTCGGCAAAGTCGGGCTCGCTCTCGTTTCGCGCAAAGTAGTTCCTCGCCTGCGCAGCCGACTTTTGCGCCAGCGTCGACGAGACAACATCCCATCTCGGTCCGTGAACCACCAGAGCGCGCAGGAACTCGGACCGCTCGGCGACAGACCAATATGACGAGGTCGGTTGTCGTCCTCGTCCTTTGGGAGTGCCCTCGGCCGCAGCGTCCTCGCCGGGCGCTGCCGTCTTGCTGCGTCGCTTCTTGCCTGCTTTGGCCTCGAGCGGAATCGCTGTCGGGTCAGAAGAGGCGGGTGCAGCTGACGAAACGCCTGCCTCACTAGGGGGCGCGGCTCCGAAGAGTCCAGCGAGCGCCCCCAGCGCTTCGGCTGCGGCCAAGTCGCTGTCTTCTAAGCTGCCCTTGACGGGTGCACTTGCATCCGTGACAGCAGCAGGCTGAGCTGCACTGTCTGCCTCCGGGTGCACGTCGGACGGCTCTGTCTTCGCCACCGCGGGGGAGGGCGCTGCGGTCGAGCCTTTCCTGTCTTCGACTGCCGCGCTGTCCTTCTTGCCTCCTGCTTTCGATTTGCGCGACTTGTCCGTTGCGCTCGCGCTGTCCGATTTGGCCCGCTTCGACTTGGATCCAGACTTGCGCTTTTCCGATGCTTTGGTCTCGGCCGGGCTAGACTCGGATTCGATCTGGTCGACATGGCGCTTACGGCCTGTTGCCGCGTCGTCCGAGTGGGCACCTGCGCCACTGTCGACAGCCGCGAGGCCAAGGCGAGAGCGACCGCCCCTGCGTGAATTGGCAGATGCAGGCACGTCCGCCGATACTCCGGACGGGTCGGTCGCATCCATGGGCGACCTCATGCCCGGGCTGTCTTCCACCTCGTCCACCTCCTCGCCCTTGGCCGACTTCAGGTCCGCCATGAGCGCACTGCCCTTGACCTTCTTGGGCTTGACACGCGCCTTGCGCTTCCTCTCTCTGTTGCGAGCGGCGGCGAGCGCCTTGAAATCGTTGCCCGGCAGCTTCTTGTTGAGGTAGTAGTAGCGCACGCACTGCGCCGGCGTCTTGTGAGGCAGCGCTTGAGCGATCTTGCCAAACTGCTTCGGCCAGAGCGCATAGCGTCGAGCAAAGATCGCCTTCTCCTCCTCGGACCAGAAGTCCGGATCAAACTCGTCCAGGTAGAACGCGAGAGGATCGGCGACGGAGCCGTTGATGTCGTCGTATCGAAGCTTGAGTGGCTGGTCCGAGTCCGGGTTGATGTACATATCGGGAGCGGTTGCCGTGGTGCGAGCTGCACGCATGTTTGGATCTTGCATGTCCGCATTCTCCAGGCTAGCCAAGATCTCGAGGAACTCGGCTTCCGATCGGACTGCGTCGCCGAATCCAGCAAAACCTGCCTGCGCGCTTCGTCGGTTTGCTCTGCCGGTCGCAAACGATGCGCCGAGCAGACTTGCGCCCGCGGAGCCGGGTGTGGGATCTTCGACACCTCCAAATGCACCTGGTGTTCCAGCTGGCGTGGTAGCTGGCGGTCTTCGCGCCATCTCGCGACGCTCGGCGATGCGGTCCAGACGGGAGCAGTGCTGCTTCCACTCTTCGTTGATGCTGCGGTAGCGCTTCTTAAGACTCTCCGTCTTTTCGTTGAGCCTCTTCTTGCGGTCGAGCAAACGGTCGAACAGGACTGCCTTGGTCTGATCGGTCAGTCCGTCCTGCTCGTCGAGCCACAAGGGCTTTCCCGAGCTGACAATCTGAGGGATGCCATGGATTCTGGCAGTGAGCACGTCCATCGTGGTCTTTTGCGCGACGCGCTGGTTCTCCTTCAAGATCCTCTTCCAGTCGTCCTGACCAGGCGCGAACTCGTGGATGTGCAGTCGCACAGCCGACCTGATGGAACGTTCGAGTTGCTCTTGCGTTGTGGGCGTCATCAGGGGCGGCTCCACCTGCGTCTCGTCGTCCGCCTCGGCGATGCGCAACGGCGCGGGCTTGTGGTTCTCGGACGGCATCTCGACCTCCTCGATTCGAGCGTTTTCCTGTTGCACAAGCGCCTGTGCTTGCTTGTCGTCGCCGTAGTTGACTTGGGGCAGGGTGATCTCCTTTGTGTGCTTCTCGTGGTCGATCGTAGCGGTGACGTGCGGACCCGAGACTTGGGTCTGAGAGGGTTGTTGAGCAGCTGCCTCGCTCGTGGGGACGACCTCGTCCGAGACCGTAGCCGGTGGCGCAGCCTGAGGAGCTTCAGCTAGACCATTTGATACGGGCTTGTCAGCTGCCTTTGCTTCTTGCATTTCGACGTCTTCCGCGCCCTGGACCGCGCTTTCCTCCACCTTGACGTCCAGCTGAGCGGTCGTCTCGGTACCAGGCGCCACTTTGCTGGTGCTAGCATCATCAGCGTTCGGGCCGACGTCTGTGCCTGGCAAAACAGCGCTCGACTCAATCACTGAAGCCACAGCTGTGGGCTGCTCGGCTGGGGCCTGCACCTCCGCTTCTTGTTCCTGTAGCTTGTCGTCAACAGGCATAGGCTTCTCGATGTCGCCTACTGGAGGCTCCGAAACCCTCCTGACGCTGTTGTCAGCCGCAAGCAAGGGCTCGGAAGCGGGCTCTTGAGACATATCCACATCTTGTTCCAGACGAGGCTGTGTGTCCTGTGTGGTCGGTTCGTTCACAGACTCCTTCGGCTCTGCCTTCGACATCTGATTGGGGCTGGTTGTGGGCGCCGAAGCGTCTGCTTGCGGAACGACGACATCTGTAGATGCAGAGGGTTGTTCTGGCACCGCATCCGCCATGTCGACATCCGTGGTGTCCACGACTTTCGGCTCGAACACTGGTTGCTCGGGGGCCTGGACGCTTTCCGAAGGAACGGGTGCCTCGGGACGTGCTGGTGCCGCATCAGTGGAGGGGGTTTCCGCTGGGCCGCTGATTTGGTCTGTTTCAGTCGACGCAACGGCCTCTATCGGCGACGCCTGACTTGGCTGTGGCTTTGACCTTGCGTCATCTGCATCTGTGAGCGGCTCTGCAGGTTGGGTATCCATAGAAATGTCCTGCGTCTCAGGCGCGGTGGGACCCGCACTGATGACCGCATCATTAGCAGCATCCACTGCGGGCTCTTGATCGCTGGAGACATTCTGGTCGGCAGACGAAGTCTCGGCATTTGCAGGAGGTTCGTCGCCGGTCGGTTCGCTTGCCTCTGGCGCTTCCACTGTTGTGCTTTTCGGCTCGGCCTCCGCAATGGCTGGCGCGACGTTCGCCTCTCCCTTCTCTTCGTGCAATGCGATGTCCTTGTGCGGCATCTCAGCGAATTCGGCCGCTAGTTCGTCCTCCTTCGCTTGGTGAGTTGTTTCCGATGCGAGTGATGTTGGTTGCTGATCGGCTGCAGCCTCGGCAACTAAGGCAGGCGCGGTACCACTCTGTGCGTCTGTAGAACCGGGTGCCGCAGGGGTCTCTTGCGCGCGCTCGTTCGTCGCAGCATCGGTTGCCTCCTCGGATTGCTCTTGAAGCTCTTCCGCCGGCGGCTCAGAAGATGCCGCCGCTTTGTCCGACGAGGGCTGCTCCTTTTGCGTTGGTGGTGCAGACGTCGGCTCGGGCTTCGCTACTTCACTTGCTGCTTCTGTCTCAGCTTTGGCAGTGGACGCAGTCTCGGGTGCTGTCGAATCAGATCCCGCGTCGGCCTTCGCGAACGGCTGCTCGGAAGCAGAAAGTTCCTGCTCGACAGTCTCTTTCTTGACGACAGTAGTAGAGCCATCGCCATCGCGGTCGGTCGCGCCCTTGCCCGGTGCTTCTGTAGCGGCTGACCGAGCGCGGCCTCCATGAGACGCCGACTGCGAATGCGGCGTCATCTCCCTGCTGCGATTCTCGCTCTTGACCGAGGCGTTGTCCGAGCCGATTGGCCGGCCGGGTGCTTCGCTCGAGGTGGCGGGTGGCGGCGTATTGTTGGATCGCGACAACGACGGACGTTGCGATGCATCGGAGCGTGCGTCGTCGGAGGTCGGGGGTCGGGTGGAGCGATTGTCCCAGCCTGCGTCGGATGGCTTGCCCCATTGCCGCATGCCGTTGCTCCATCCTGAGCTAGACGCACGCATGCGAGGGTCTCTATCGCTAGTTCGCTCGCGGTCACGGTCTCTAGACCGATCGGCTTCGAAGTCGCGCTCGCGTGCTGAAAGCGGTTGTGGTGACAGGGGCCGGCGGCCTGGAGGATCGCGCGAGCTGTACTTGCTGCTGGTGGATGGTGGATAAGGAGCACTAGGGTCGGCCATATCGTAGCTGAAGGGCGCAGAACCTCTTTCTCGAGCCGGCCAGTCGCGACGCTTGTCCACCATGTCTCGGTACGCTTCCCGCTCTCGGTCCCGGTCGATGGCCGACCATTCGCGCTCACCCCGGAACGACTCCCACTCGCGATCTCGTTCGCGTTCTCGAACGGCACCTGGGCGATATGTGTCAGGACCCCGTGTCGCAGTGGCCGGAGGATACCATCCTCGCCGGGTGTCGGCACGAGCTGCCCCTGCGGCTGCGCTGAAGCCGGCTCGCGAAGCAGAAGAGAAGGAGTCGGCACGGTGGGGGTCGCGGTGTCCAGACGGGTACGAGTACGGAGCGGGTGCGCCATACGCGCCGGCAGTGTCGGAAGGGTGGCCGTATCGTGAGCGAGAGGCGCCGAATGCCGAGGATGGACCGGGTGAAGTTTCGAGATACCGATCGCGGTCGCGGTCGCGCTCTCTGTCCAAGTTCATGTGCCTGGGAGATACGTAGCCGCTGCCGTTGGAGTGTGAGGGTCCTGCGCCGCCGTTCTTTGCCGCAGAAGCGTCCGGAAGTGGCGTCAGACGATCAGCAAGGGATATGGGACGCGCACCATCCCCACGGTAGGAAGGAGGGCTCACCTGCTGGTCGGCACCGTCGTCCTCGATCTGGCCTTCTTCGTCGACTTTGAGCATACCCTCTTCCTCTTCGTCGTCGTCATCTGGTGGATTGTTTCGGAAACCGGCATTGCTGGATCCTGCTGACGCCATCTTCCCTGCCTCTGCAGCTGCCGGAGGCCGGGAAGAGGTCGATGCTGCTGGCTTTGCAGCCGAATCGGTGGAATCCATCACGAGCCGTGCGAGCTGCACATTAGGCTTTCAAAGCGTGTGATGCATAACAGGGCGGACAAGCTTAGGGCTATCTCGGAACGTTGTCCGAGTTGCAGGGGATGTCGAAGCTGAGGCTGAGTTGCCCGTCGTCTGAGCGTTGGTCGTCTGGGTGGATGGCTGAGGGTGCCGGTTTGCTGTGTCTTTGCGAGATCTGCGGACGCACTGCGCACGGTTGAAATGTCCTCAGTTTGACGCAGAGCCGGGCGTGCAGATGGAAGGATGAATGGTAGGATGAACGGTAGGATGAACGGTAGGATAGATGGATGTCTGGTGAGGGGATGGATGGAGCGAAGGAGCTGGCTTCCGGCTCAGTCTCGAGAAAGGTGGTAATCGCGAAATGCGCGAAACGCTCGAGGATATGCGCGGCAGCAGACCCCTTCATGGCTGCAGTTGGCGAAAATTCGGAGCCGAATTTCTAAGCGCGTTTCGCCCCGCACCGCCCATCTCGACTCCATCTTTGTCCTGCCTCACCTCAACTCAGCGGGAGAAGGTCACCCATGCGAGCAGGTGCAACAGCACAGCGCAGGAAGGAACATCGGGGCCGTCCCAGAAGAGCGAGCCGAGGCCCACAGTCTCTCAACAAGGTGGTTTCTCAACAAGGTGGAGCAGCGCAAAAGCATCGGGACGAGAACGAGAAAGCCGCGGAGACGAGGTCAGACGAGCCGTCCGCGTCTCCACACTCGACTGGGACCTTTTCAGAGAGAAGGCTTTGAGCTGGGGTTTTGCAGCGTGAGATTGCGGGTGCATGATGCAAGTACACAGGGTCGTATGATTGGAGGGTCGTGATGCAGTCAGGCGCGGACGGGAGTGGAACCAGCTGTATTGGAGCCGAAGACGACTTTACATGGCGTATCTGCATTGGCGGAGCAGACGATCAGAGGTGCAGGCAAAAGAGGGCGGCAAGACGACAAAGGGAGAGAGGTCAGTATCAGGATGGAAATGTAAGCTCGGCACGATTGCAGTTGGGTACGCACTTTCGGGTCCATTCACGAGCGGTGCTCTCGTATCGCTGGCGGTCCGTCTTGTAGAGGTTGGCAATCTCTGGCACGAGCGGGTCGTCGGGATTTGGGTCGGTGAGCATGGAGCAGATGGAGAGAAGCACCTTGGAGATGGTGAGGGCTGGGCTCCACTGGTCCCTGAGAATGTCGAGGCAGATGCTGCCGTTGCTGTTGATGTTGGGGTGGTAAATCTTGGTGGAGAAGGAGACCTTGGGGGGCTTGAAGGGGTAGTCGGTGGGGAAGGTGATGGAGAGGAAGAAGACACCGCCCGCATACGGCGAGTCGCCGGGGCCCATGATGGTTGCTTGCCACTGGAACATGTTGTCGCCGGTGGGACCGGCGGAGCAGGACGAGGGAGGATCACGGCCGAGGTCGGCGAGCTCCTTGTTGATTCTTTTCATGGCCATTTTCTATCGTTGTGCACGAGATGGGTTTGCGATACGATTTGTGTGGCGCAGATAAGGGCGGTCGAGGCGAAGTGGTTGCGATGGGTTGCGGTGGTGGGAGAGGGAAGCAGAGCAAGGTCAGAGTCAGTATATGCGAAGTCTGGCACCAACAGATCATGTGTCCATCGGCGAATCGACACTCGATGCTGTGCGCGACGTCGGCTGAGTCATTCAGACATGCCGTCTCCGATCGACTTTGGTATCGCGTCCAGCGGCGGTGTCGTCTCCAATCCAATGCGGCCAAACAAATGCGAGCCCCGTGTCATGTAGCAGCGCATGGAGCGCTTTTATTTGCTCCAATGCATCCAGGAGGGCCAGGTACCGCTAGGTCTAGTGGCGACGCACCACCGCTCCCTCCGATGCACCGATAGTGAGCATGCATACGATAGGGTGCAGCTTGCCGGAGTGCGTTACAGCATCGAGGAAGGAGCAGCCGCTTGGTTGGACGATTGTCGATGGAGTGGCGCCATGTCGTTGCGCAGAAGCGGGGCACTTACTGCTAAAGTGTTTGCCTTGCCGGCAGATGCGAATCAGTGGTGTTGTGTTGTTGATTGTGATTGTGATGCGTGAGAATCGCAGGAGTATTGCGGACTGCGAAGGCGGCGAACAAAGCTGGACGGGGTGTTTGCCGAAGGGAGTCCTTGTAAGATGATGGATGTGTGCAGAGAAGAAAGGGATGCGAGGTGGGCGGATCGAGTGACTGAACCCGACGGGTGCCAATCACGAGCCTGCGTGCGGCTGTTGCTCTCTCTCTGGATGGCAGTCCCACTCGCCTCCCTCGCTCCCATCACACTTCCGCGCCAGCTATCGTTCCCACAGCAACACAGCCCGGACATTGAGGCAGAGCCTGTTGCTCTCTCTCTCTCTCACTGCTGACCGCTGCTGCGACCTCTGCGGTTGCCGTTGCGTGTGTGTCTCTCGGTGCGGCCTCGATCTCTTTGCCTCACCTCTGCCTCTCTCTCTTTCTTGGCTATCAAGCCTCAGCTGCGCAGTCACACTTTCGCCAAGTCACACGCAGTTCAACCCGGCGGTGGGCCAAATTCAAAAAAGGCGCAGTCGAAGTCGATTTTCTAATCATCCGGGGGACAGCATTGAGCCAGATTTTTTTCGCAGTACAGTGTTAGGCCTGTTCGAGGAAGCGGCTTCGGCGCTTTCAGAAGATCACAGAAGGACTGCTGTGGTGGAGGTCTCGACTGCTTGCGTTATCGGCCGGAACGGTTCACCACACTGGGCCTAACACTTCTAAATGTCGCGACTGTGACATCAGACTCCGGCGGCGCTCGCCTATCTAAGTGCGCATCCTCGCGACTCGACCATCACCTTGAGTATCTACGAGGCTGACGAAACGCAGGGTGCACCAGGGTTCTGCCCCACACACACATTCAACTGATGCGAATCTGTGCTTGATTTGCGCTGAGGCAATGATTATCTGGAGATACGAGGTACAAATACAGAGCGAGCCCGGGCTGGCGGGACTCGGTGCGGGACGATGCAGTACGATGGGATACGGGTCTAGACTAGCGAAGTGTTTAGCAGCCGGCGAGGTCCTTGGCGTCGCGAATGCGAGCGGAGACGTTGGCCCAGTTAGGCTCCTTGGCAGCCGGTGCCGGGGCAGAAGCGTCAAGAATGACTTGCATTCTATTCACGAAAAAGAGAGGGGAGGGTGGTCAGTATCGCGTTCTCGTGAGTCTTGGCCGAGCATTCGTTGACGACGTACCTGTTCTTGGAGCACAGACGGCCGTCCTGGCGGCGGAGGGTGGTGGAGGCCATGACGGCGGAGGCGGCCGAGGTGCGCAGACCAGCGGTCTTGGTGGTGGTGCCAACTGCGAGGGCGGGCTGGCGGCCGAGGGCGGCAGAGAGACGGACGGCGGAGGCGATCATGTTGGCGTTCTTTGGAGGAGTAGATAGGGTAGCGTAAGAGCAGGTTTTGGGGAGACAAAAACGAAAGCTCACATGGAGCCCGGTGCGTATATATCTCTTACAGACAAGGCGTGCCAGCTCAGTCGACGGATGTGCTTGTCCATCGAGTCTGTACAAAGTCCTCTGCTGATGTACAGCAGCTTGAAGGCATCGGGTAGGGTTAAGACGCTGACACTCGACTTCATCTGCGCGAGCACGCCTGCGGAAAGCGCTGATGTGCTGCACCAGCACACTCTTTCATCTCGAGAAGCTGATGCACCCACTCGCCAGGGCGGAGGTGCGTCTGAAAGCTCGCTGCGGTTGAATCTCTCGACGATTAGACGAGGCTGTCGTTCCTCGAGCGATCTCGCCATCTGGCTCGGTTGAGCTCGCAGGCCAAGGGCGTTGGAAGCGGTAACGTCGGGCTGTAGTGCGACGATCCAGCCAAGCCTCTATCAACGCAGGCACACACACACACACGAATTACCACCACACCCTCATTCTGCACGAGGCGCCAGCCGACCTGCAGGCTCCATCTGCGATGACGGCACTGCGCGCCCTCTGCCCAGATGCACTAGCCTCCGCTCACCACGGGGGATTCCGCCCCAAAGGAAATTTTTTGGCATTATTTTCCCGTCCTGGCGGAATATTTTCCAGGCGGCGGCTCTCTCACACTTTCAGAGTCCGGACACCGGATGGCATTGCGTTGGTGCGGCCATCGAGGCTTACGAGCCAGAGACATGACGACGAGCCCTCCCAATGCTTTTTGGTTTTGGCGAACCCTCGATTCCAGCTTCCCGCTCGCTACTGAGCCCTTGAAGCTTTCATACCCCCCCGGAGCAGCTTGGGGTGCAGAGCCAGGCGCTAGCTCGAAAAGTGATGCGTGCCACCATCTACCGACCTTGCGCAAGCGAGCTATCAGTAGCACCTCGGCTTGCGGGACCCGTCGGTGCGCGGCACTTATGCAGCCCCATCCCACCCTGCGCCCTGCGCCCTTGCTCCATGCTCCATGCGGCTAGCCATGTTGTGGTGCATGCTCCTTAGCGCCGCTTGCATTGCATCCACCGCTTGGCACGGCAAAACTGCACGCATCGCTTCGACGCTTGGTGAGGGAGCGTGGATGCATCACAAGCGCCTGGCGTCGACGAGGTGCATGTGCGAGACCTTGGGCAGCACCCTGAAAAATTACAGCTGCAGATGGCGTCGTCCCAAGCCTGCGCACGATGACCTCGACATGCGCTGGCGGGGGCGTGGCGACTTTGACCCGCTTTGGTCCGGCAGCGGGATCCCACCGAGCTCCGCTATCGACGTCAGTAACCGACGCCGGACTCGACCATTGTGCGGTCTTACGCACCTTGCCCACTCCGCTCTCCGGGGCTTGAGATTGCGGAGAAAGAGATGTTCAGCTGGCTTTGCGGGGTCGAGCAACCCCGGATAGCGATTCGTGGCGATTACTGCGCGTGTGCCGTTGCGAAAGCGGGGTAAAAACCATCGCGCGGCACCGTACGCGAGACGAGCTCGGCATCAATCGCGCCTAGCTTGATCCTGTTCGGCTCGCTGATCTTGATCTCTGGAATGCGGACCAGTCTTTCCCGCTCCAAAGAGCTGCCCAACAAGTCGAATCCACTCCCACACTCGAGCTCAGTAGGATGCGCGCAGGATGAGGCGCGACGATGGTCTTGGCGCACCCTGGTCGGCCCGGCACCCTCAGCGTAGCGTGTACCCGCCGGTAGAACCGTCTCCAGATCAGTGTGGACATAACACGAGCTGCATTGCAAAGGTGATTGTTCGTGGGGGACATACATGCGAATCATAAGCAGGGATAGAAGCCAAAGTCGGCGACGAAGTTACATGTCACAACCAAGGATGAAGGGGGAAAGGGGGAAGTCCGGAACAATAATTTACAGTGGTGGCGGCGCCGCTGCTGCTCAGAAGCGCAGGAACTTGGGCCAGTCGAATGATCTGTTGGAGCGGTCTGCGTCCGTGTCGTTGGGCCCGTCGCCCGCGCTGTTCTCTACGTCGGCTGAAGTGTCAGCGGGGTCCTGTCGGCGGAAAGTGGTGTCGAGGTCGGCCCAGTTGTATGATGCGCCTCGTGCGCGTGCATCGGCGCCCGATGGTGAGGCAGCCTGTGACCTTGGCGGTGTAGGGCCTCCAAACGCGCTTGCCTCGGACGCTTGGGCGCGCAGCAGAGCAGCTTGAGCCTCAGCCGCGCGCTGCGAAGCACTCGCCACGCGCGGCGACGGTCGCCAGCTCGCCGACGCTGGCACCGCCGACAGATTCGTGCTGCCGAGCGAGGGCATGGTTTTGTCCGATTCGGAAGCTGCCAGTTCGGCCTGCTCGCCCGAGTTGAGCGATGGCGTCGACAGCGACGGTGCCAACGCGGTCGGTGCAGGAGCGGCAGTACCGGGCTGGAGCGAGCGGATTCGACTACGCTGCGGCAGAGGCTGCGGCTGCAGGAAGCTGCTGTCCGTAACCTCTCCAGGCGAGCTCCTCTCCTGCCGCAAGTCCCTGGCGACGGACCTCGACACCGCCGCCCCGAGCGATGCGCTTGGGTAGTGGCCGCCTTGTTGAGTGTCGGCAACGCGTTCGGCATCGCTGAAGGGATCGGAAGCCTCGCGCACCTCGCGCAGGCTGTCGAGACGGCTGAGTCCGTCGACGCTCGAGCTGCGCGGCCGTTTGCGTCTCTCGAGCGAGCTAGCCCCACCCTGCGTCGCCATGCTGCTTGCCACGTCCGCATCCGCATACCGTGCATCCGTTGCTTCCGTCATCAGGCTCTCCGCATCGCCGCTCGGGCGCGAAGCGTAGTACGTCGCACTGGCCGTGGGCGCCGACGCATCGCGCATGTCGCGCGTGCTCGTCGTGTTGCCTCGACTCAGCATGCCGCTGGGGCTGTAGCTCGCCGCGCCCGTCGAGGCGCCGCTGCCCATGCTCACCTCGCTCATCCCGCCCGACCGCCCGCCGCGGCTGCTGGAGCGGAAGCCAGAGCGCGTCGAAGCGCTGCCCGTGCTGCGCGAGCTCAGCTGCGCTACCGCACTGAGACTGTCGAGCCCGGTGCTGTCGCTCCCCGTGCGCCGGCTCACCGAAGAGTTCGACTGACTCGCCGCATATCCGCCGCCACGACTCGACACGCTCGGATACGACCGCTGCCTCGCCGCCACCGCGCCCAGACCGGCACTCAGCGCTGCAGCTCCCGCCACCTCGCCACTGCCTTTCGCCTGCTCGCCGCTGCTTCCCGAAGCTTCTTTCGACGATAGGTGAGCGACGGGCGAGCTTGTGCTCGTGGCGTGTCCGAGTGCAGACGGGCCGTACACGCTCGCATGCTCGCTCCGCACGTCCGACAGCCCCATGTCGCTCGGCTCGAGCCGCGATGCGCGTCGCTGGTGCTGCAGACGGCTCGAGTCCTCGGATGGACGAGCGTTGTGCTCGTAGCTGTACCTGCCCTCGGCGTCGTTGAGCTCGCCCGACGAGTCCCGGAGCGATCCCGCCTGCGTTCCTCGCGCGGTCGTAGTGCCGGGTATCCAAGCGTACTGACCCATGGTGAGACGGCGCCATCCCGCCGCCACGCCACCCATGATGCCTGTACTGGCAATACCGGCGCCCGCCAATTCGGCTCGACCATCCTCGTCGCCCGGCACGCCACGCTCGCCCAGGTCGCTGTCCTCGGCGTCGGCGTATCGTTGGGCGTCCGAGCTGGGCCGTCCGCCGCTGCGCACGCTCATCGCGCCGCCGAGCGTGTTTCGTGGCGAATCGGGCGGCGTTACAAACCGACCCGGACCTTCCGAGATGGGACTCTGGATCTGCTCCGGCTCGCCCAGGTGCCCCTGCTGAGTCGACTGGTTGTGCAGCGTGTAGTGGGGTAGAGTCTCGCTCGCCCGCTGCTGCGGTTCGTAGACAGGGAGTGGCGAGACGACGTTCCTCGACCCAGTAGATCCGCCGCCGAGCGAGCCCGAATTGGCACCCACCGCATGCAGCGACGAGAGTGGCTGCGACGATCCCGTGCGCTCGCCCGTGCCCGTGCCCGTGCCGCGCTGGCTACCGCTGTCGCTCTTCTCGCCAAACTCGCCGACACTGCGAATGGTGGGCAGGCGTGTGCGCTGGCCCAACGTGGCTGCCGCCAACGCGTCGGATCCACCGAGCTGCTTGTCTTCGCTGTCGATATCTGGCGACGGCTGGTAGTCTGGACCGAGCAGATTCGATCCGGTCGAGATGAAGCGGCTGTATCGCTCGGGGTCCGTGGATCGGAGGTGTCGCAACTCGTCGGCGGACATCTCGCTGGCGTGCGATGCGCGCATGTCAGGTGAGAGCGTCGAGCTGTCGCGATGCCCAGCAGCAAGCGCACCCAGCCCTCCCAGTGCGCCTGCACCGCCGAGTCCGAGCAGCGCGGCGTTAAGCCCTCCGCGAGCAGACGCATTGCTGTCCGCCGTGTCTACCGAGTAGCGCGCGTCGTGGGCGAGAGAGGGTGCGGGCGCCGACGATGGCTCGAGATTGGCGTAGCTCGCCACAGCCTGTGGTGAGCCACGCGGCGCTCGTGGGGGAGGCGGCAAGCTCGCTCCGCTGCCAGATGTGGTGAATCCGCCCGTACTGTTGCTGCTGCTCATCGCTGCTCCGCCCGCCCTCTGCGTTTGGGAGCTGGTCGTGCCACCTGTCGCGTGGCTGCTCGCCTGTCCACCCGACGACGCTCCAGAAAAGGCGCTTGACGCCGGACGTGACATGGACGCGCCTCCGTATGCGCGCGGTGGACTGGCCGTTTCGGGTCCAGATCCGCTGCGATGCCTCCTGTCTGCCTTGAACGCAGCTCCTCCCGCACCGGCCGCTGCACCGAGAAGTGCAGCTGTAGCACCCGAGCCGTGTCGTCCCGCCTCGCGCATCTCTTGTCCCGACCCATACCCACTGCCGGGCGAGTCGTGGAAAGGCATGAGCCCTCGACGTTCCGCCATGCTGCCATCGGCATCTTCATCGCTCAGCGGCTGCTCTTCTTCGAGCTCCACGCGTGGCTTGTTTTTCTTGCCGCGTCCAAAAGCTGCACCCAGCACTCCGGCTCCTGCAGCCGCAAGTGCGGCCATCCCGCCCTTCCTGGCTCCATCGCGCGAAGACGGTGCGGCATTGGCAGTGGTGTAGCTCGGACCGAGGCCTGCGGAAGAGCCTCTCGATCGGCGAGAAGCGATACTGGCGCTGCGATTGGGGCCAAGACGCTTGCCGCCAACAACGAAGAAGCCCGAACCAGCACCACCACTAGTGAGGTGGTCTTCCTCCCAATCGTCACTGCCAATGCTTCCGCGCCGGCCGGCAGCTGCTGCCCCCGCCGCTCCGAGTCCTGCAGCACCCGCGGCGCCTGCAGCAGTGCCAAGCGCGGCGTAATTGCCACGAGCACCACCGCGGACGCTTGCGCCTCGCCCGAAGCCGGAGGCGCCCGTCTTCTCAGCCGTACCAGTTCCACCGGTCGCCGCAGCGAGGACAGTCTGTTGCTGCCGTCGGTGGCGTCGTCGGCGCAAGCAGCACAGAAGAAGAAGCAGAAGCAGAAGAAGCGCAAAGAATGCGCCGAGCACGATGCCAGCGATCTGCCCGCCAGAGAGTCCCTTGGCAGCGCGCACACCCGGATTGGGCGCGCCAGCTGCAGTGGCCGAGGGCTCTCCAGAGGTCGTCCCTGTCGGGCTTCCGGTAGAAGAGGATGCTGTTCCGCTGGAGTTGGTGGCTGGAGGCGTGGTGGCTCCTGGGGTAGATGAAGGATTTTGCGATGTGTTTGTTAATGCTGATGTCGGTGAGGTGCCGGAAGAAGGGGTTGCGCCAGGTGTGGATGATGCGGTGTTGTCTGTCGCTGTCGGCGAAGCTGGAGGTGCCGACTCGGCTGTGAGGGTTCCCTGATCAGTGCTAGCAGCCGTCGCTGTATCGTTCGGATTAGTCGAAGGTGCGGCCGTCTGAGACGCACTTGCACCTGTATTCTGTGTTTCAGTTGCATTGCTCTGGGTCGGAGCTGCACTTGTTGGTGTGGGCAAGATCTGCCCCGGTGTCGTATAGAGCGTACCCAGATCCGGAGCTGGAAAGGGGCCCGTATAGAGAAGTGGAACATTGACGACGGAATAGTCGATCGAGGTGGAAACGCCTTGAACGGTGCTGAGTGTCTGGTAGGGTGCAAAGCCTCCCTGTGGGTCGTAGACGACCTGGGTGATGATCGATGTGTACGGAAAGATGCTGGTGGCGATCGGCGAGTAGGAGAGGTAGGAAGGCAGGGCCTGAGCGGTTGGACCCGGCCCTGGAGCCTGTTGTGGAAGCGTCGCCATGCGCGGGAAGGATTGGAGGTGGCACTGGATGAATGGTCGGTGTCGTCAGCGAGCCTATCGAGACCAGCTCGAAGGCAGTGGTACCTGGCTAGAGCAGGAGGAGTGCCGGGCACAGCCCGCAAGTGACCGCCTCACGACAGCAAAGCCCTGCACGAGAGTGATGTACCGGCGTCATCAGGCGAGTCGCGGATGCGTTAGGTTCGTGCCATGCATGCAGAGGTCGTGTGAGGTCGTGAAGGCGAGCAATTCAGGTTCGTAAAGATAGAGGCGAAAGAAAGTCGAACGTCAGGGTCAGGGTCCGAGACTCGGGATGATGGTGAGGGCGTTGTGTCAAGCCACTTCTGGACGAACGTTGTCCAAGACAGATTGCTTCCAAGCCGAGTAGAAACAAGCTCGCGTGGAACGACGCCAGATTTTGCCTCGGGCGATGCCGAGACGATCTGGGATTGCACCAGGTTCTTGCCTCACCCCGACTTGGAAGGCGACGTTCATCATTCGGTCCAGACCGGCAGGACCTGGCATCGGCAGTACCGCACTTACCTATGCTGAGGGGTTGGGCTGACGTGGACTGGCAAGTCTGATGGGCGGGGCTTAGGTGGGCGGGGCGGATGCGTTCAGCTGTGGCTTGCTACGCCGGCCGGGGCTGATGCGCCGTGCGGCTCTAGCGGGGGCGTCGGCGCTGTCAAACAGATGCTGGGCTGGAAAAGTGGGCGATGTGCCATGCGTCTCGAACCAAGGATACGGGTCAGTGGTCGAGGAGGCTCATCGGATGGTGGAGAGGAGGGATGATAGAAGTTGGTGGAGCGATGAGGAGACGACGAGCAGGCTGCAGACGGCAGGCACCGCAAAGGCTAGAGAGAGCCTTGCAGCGGACATGCATGCAAGCTTCAACGTCTACTCCTTCGCTAACCCACCCCTCCCGAGCGCGGACTCGAATGAAGCGGCCGATTTACTTTCTTCTCCCAGCGAACCGGGCTCAATCAGGCAAGTCACAGACATCGGAAGCATTTTCTCCTCGCGCAAGCCCTACTGCCTCTGCTGCTGGCATCAGACCGTCAGCTGAAGCTCGGACTTTGTCGTCAAAGTGACTAGCTTCCCAAGGCAGCAAGTGTAATGGACTATACAAGTCAAGATCAAGGTTCGAAAAAGTCAATGTCAAAGAGACCCGACTCACAGCCGAACGTCGGACAGGAGTGAAGGATGGCAAGGGGGAGAGAAGCAGAACGACACTGAAACTCGTTGGGCGCTGACAGCAGCGGACAGGTGCCGGTCGGGGCTGATGCGACCCTGTCAAGACTCGCGAGAGGTGGAGACAGGGGCTCGAGCGATGTCATGGGAAGAACAACACTTGCGGCCGTTGGCAAACTGCCGGGGAAGGACAAGCTTTGGGCAAGGTAGACTCTCGCTGAACGCGGCGGGGATGCACGAGGCTCCTATCCTGCATATTCGGCCCAAAAGGCTGTTCAGGGGCCGTCCAATAGCGGTGCGCAGTCTGACGTGTGTTTTTCCAGCCCGGCTTTCCTTCCCTGTCCAACCAACACTCTGACGCGTCTCGCCTCGACTCTCTGCATCGAGCCCCTGAGGCAAGACCGAGCGACAGGAGTACTACGGTAGGGCATCGAACCTCAGCGGCCGTGCCAGGCACAAGTCCCCGCGATTCGCATCGAATCATGCAAACGCGTGTATGGCAAAGGATCAGAGCATGCGTGCCTGACTTAGAGCAGCAGGACTTCATCGACGAGGCTGGTGAATCGGGCCGGATCGAAATCGGGAAACGGCGCATGCGTAGCTTCGCGCGCTCGTGCCACATCCTTGACCAACGAGTCTTCCGAACCGACGGTCAGGAAGCCGTCGTTTCCGAGCGCTTCGGCAAGCTCGACCTGGTGATTGTCCATGAGCGAGGTGTTGGGCACCACGACGAGCGCAGGTGGGTGCGGCCGCACCCGCAGCGTGTCCAAGATCGTTCCCGAGCCTGCGTGGCTGATCACCACATCCGCTGACTCGATGTACGACTTGAGGTCCGGAGAGAAGGCGAACAGCTGCAGCTCCACACCACAGTCGAGCTCCGCTTCCACTGTGATGTTTTGCTGCTGTGATGCCGTCGTCGCCGCGCTACTCGTCCCGGCAACAGCCTTGGCCTCTTGGACGATGCTGTCGAACATTCGATCGACGGTGCCACGCGGGTCGTCTTGACGCATGGGATTGGCGGCCGTCCGAATGCGCATCCCCGGAAGCGTTCCTGTTCGGCCTGGATCAAGACCGGGGATGTTGGCGCCGCTCTGGTACACCCGCCGGCCGTTGACGATGCGAAGCCCGGGCTCGGGCACGATCTCGCTGCCTGCATCCACCGAAGCCGCGTCCATCGCAGTCAGGACATCGCTGATGGGAGAGGTTCCATATTGGACCACGAGCTTGATCCAGTGCTTGGAGTTCTGACCTGGAGCTGGTGGAAAGGTCCGTGCGAGTGCGCGAAGGAAGCGTTGCGACACGACGGCGCGCACCAACGAGTCGAATCGTGTGGTGCCGACCGTGACAAAGATGGTGAGCTGGCCATCCTTGGCGGATGACGCCGACGCTGAGACGTCCGCCGCGGTCATGGCCAGCGTGAGAAGCTCATCGACGCGATCGTGAGTGGCGAGCAAAGTGTGGTTGGGATGGTGACAGTTGCGGCTCTGCGGTGCGAAAAAGGCACAATTTCTCCACACGGCCCGCAAAGCATCGGCAGCAGAATGACGCCGCACGGACACCACGGAGATCCCGACAAGACGGACGGACCCTGACTCGGCGAGGTGGGCTGAGTCTTTTCTGTCCTCCACTTGGCCACTCGGTCATCTTTCTGACGTCCACCATCTCGCTATACAGCCATCGCCACCATGGAAGCCATCTCTCGCGCCGGCAAGGCGTTCCTCTCCTCGACCAGCGACATGCTCCAGAACGCGCTCGTCTCGTCCAACGCCGCCGCCTCCAACGCGCACGCCGATTCGCTCACCAAGGACCTCGTCGTCCAGCAGATCCTCATCCACCCCATCAAGTCGTGCCGCGGCACCTCGGTCCAAGAAGCGCCCTTCGACCACCAGGGTCTCCAGTATGATCGCACCTGGCTCATCATCGACGCCGATTCCAAGAAGTTCTACACCGCTCGCGAGCTGCCCAAGATGGTGCTCATCCACCCCGAGATCCAGTCCGACTCCAACACGCTCGCCATCCACATCCCGCAGTCCGAGACCGGCACGCCCGCAACCACCGTCAAGGTGCCGCTGCAGCCGACGCAGCAGGAGGTCGCCGATTGCGAGGTAGTCGAGGGCATCTTCATCTGGGGCGCCTACGTGGACGGGTACGCCGTGTCCAAGCAAGCCGACGACAAGCTCTCGGCGTACTTTGGCAAGGCGGTGCGGCTGGTGCGCAAGGGGCCCTCGCCGCGCGAGAGCGGACCCACGGATCCCGACGGCAACGTCGAGTGGAAGGACGCCGTGCTGCGATACCAGGACTTCTACCCGTGCCTCGTCGCGTCTGCCGAAAGCCTGCGTGATGTGCAGCGCACGCTCACCGCCTCGGTCTACCCCTCGATGCAAGACGGCGACGAGGCGGCCAAGGCGTACAAGGTTCCTCCGTCGGTCAACCGCGAATACTGGACTCCCGAAGAGCTCTCTTCGCTCCCCATCACGCGCTTCAGGCCCAACATCATTGTCGACGATGCGCCCGGTGCCGAGTCCAAGCTCTCGCCGTGGGAAGAAGATGGCTGGACTGCAGCTGAGCTGTTTGACGCCAAGGCGGAAGCGCCGCTGGGTGGCGAGGCGGAACACAAGGGCAGGGCGGGTATCTATATGCTCGCCAAGTGCGCGCGCTGCATGGTGCCCAACATTGACCCGGAGACGGGCGTGCGCGACAACTACCTGCCGTATAGAGTGCTGCAGGAATTCCGACAGGTGGATCCGGTGGCGGCCAAGAAGGGCAAGCCGTGCTTTGGCATGCTGAGTGTGCCGCGCGAAGAGCACGGCGTGGTGCGTGTGGGCGACCGCTTCAGAGTCACAAAGACCACCGACCCGCAAACTCGGCCCTCGCCTGCCTAGAACACTGTGCTTCTTAATCTCATCACGCTCCGCACCGCAGACTGGCTCGAAAGTTGATCCTTGCCTTTGAACTTGAGAGTGTCGAGAGGGGTATTGGGGGTGACAGCATACAGTACAGGGCGGGTGCAGAGGGAAAGCTTTACTTTAGTGGCGGGATCGTTCTTCGCGCGCGCGGATCTTCAACCTGGCCTCGTCGGTAAGCAGAGCCTTTCGGGTCTTTTCGTACCACTTGAACAGCATGTTTCTGTCGAAGCGCAGGGCCTCGAGCCACTCTTGCGGCACCATGGTGCTGTTGAGCAGCTCGCTGTCGCGGTCATCGTCGATCTTGGGCACGTACACAATGTCGTCGCGCATGTGCGCCTTGCCGCCCGCCGACGGCGTCACCTTGGACGACGACTCTTCCAGATCCATCAGCACCGAGTAGTAGTCCTCCTGCGCAAAGATCGCCTTGAAGCGTCGGAAGGGTTGCGCCGCATCGATGCGCTCCACGCCCGTCACCACCAGTCCCGTCAGATCCTCGTACAGCTTTCGAACCGCCTTTTCGTCCTCCATGGCTGCCAGCGATGCCGAGGCTGCCGACGGCTCCGCAGCCACCTTGGCCGTGCTAGTAGAGGAAGAGGCAGGGGCGGTGGTGGCGGCGGCAAGCAGCGCTTTGGATTGGGCGATTTCGTGTTCGAGCTGCAGCTTGTACGTGCGCACATCCTCTTCGAGCCGCTTCTGCATGCGCGTCGCTTCGGCCATCTCTTTGCGGTGTTGCTTCTCGAGCTCCTCCAGCCGGTGGTCGGGCGTTTCGGGCTGGACGCTCTCGCGCAGCGTGGCATTGAGCATGCTCATGCTCCTGTCCGAGCTCACCGCCGCACCGCCCTCGGCCTCGCGCGCGCGCTTCTCGGCGGCCTCCACCTTGACCTTGAGCGAGTTGATGAGGTCCTTGTCGTGGCGGTAGCGTGCTTCGGCCACCTTGCGGAACTCGTCGAGCGCGTGCTCGGCGTCCGTGTTGCGCAGCTTGCGCAGCTCGTCGTACTGCGCCTGGATGTCGTCGCGCTCGGAACGCAGGTGCTCGACGCGGTCCTCGAGCGTCTGATCGCGCTTCGCCTCGAGCTTGCTGAGCTTCTTTTCGACCCATGCATCGTAGGCACGCCTCTCCATCAGCAGCTCGTCGGACAACACTCCTGCACTGGCCCGCTCGGGCTCTTCTTCCGAAACCGCGTCGTAGGCTTCTTCGTTGCGGCGTGTGCTCGCCTGACGCTGCGCAGTGGATGAGGCGCTCTTCTTGGCGGGACGCACGTGGGCGTAGGCAGCCTCATCTTCATCGGCTGCGCGCTTCGACTTGGGTGCCGACTTGCTCGACGAAGACGACTTTTTCACCTTGCGGTAGCTGTCGTCCTCCGAATACGCCTCTTCGTCCGAGGCGGCGCGCGCGCGGTTGGCATGGCGCGACGACGCCGACGAAGACGACAGCCCAAATGCTCGTGAAGAAGGCATGTTGTCCGTGCGGGAGCTGGATCCTCGATGTACAAGCTGGGGAGAATAGATGTCGGGTCGATGCGTTGCCTTGGTCGGGGAAAGATCAATGATGGTGAGGATCGTGATAGCAACACCACGTCTTGCAGACGTGCCCAGCCCCACTTTCTTACGCAGCTCAGCTCAGAGGTGCTGCTGCACTTCAGCCCGACTTGCCTCGACCGAAAGTGTTTGTTTTCCCAACCAACACGAACCCGTCAAGTTTACGTCGCGTCGAGCTTGCCTTGGGCCAAAATTATGTCGAAACTTGCTAGATCGCGGCGCTGCCAACAGCTGTTTTCGCGGCTTCAGCGCGTCACGTGACCATGTTGTTACCTCGAACCTGACCCCGCACCTGCTTCGTCCATACAAACGCAACGCAGCATCGAGGGCATGGCGAGGAACAGGCGATGGCAGCGCGAGTGACGCTCTGCCTCGGCACCACAGAAGGAACAGCCGCAGGACGTTTGAGAAATGGATATCATTGACAGCCAGAAGGGCGTCAGTTTTGGACAGAACATGCAAGTTCGGCTGCAAAGATCGGGAACATCACCGAGAGCGGGGCGGTAAGGAAAAAGGAAAAGGACAAGCTGAGCAAGTGGTTCAAAAGCGGTGACGGCGAGTGAGCCTCACGACGCACTTGCTCGGTGGAGCACATGCTGTTCGTGAGGCCAGACAGGGTGGCAAGGCAAAGCAGGAGGGGCTAGGGAAAAAGAGTGTTGGTGAGGCTCTCGCTCGGATGATGCAGGAGACGTCTATGATAAGAGAAAGAAGCGAGGACCAGGATGCGATGGAGCGCTGTCTAGAGCACCACGCAGCCCTTGCAGCACCCGGCGTCGTGCGAGCCCTCTTCGGTCTGGAAACGCTCCATGCCACCGGCGCCGCTTGTGGCGCCTGCCGCGCCGGGACGCCCCATGGTCTGCTCCTTGTTATATCTGCGGATCTCGCGCACGAGGTTGCTGAACGCCTCGTCGACGTTGATGCGCTGCTTGGCCGAGGTCTCGATGAAGCGGCATCCAAAGTGTTTTGCGAGCTCGCGACCCTCGTGGCTGCCCACCTGCCTCTCGTATTCCAAGTCGCACTTGTTGGCCACCACAATCACGGGGAACGAGTCCTTGTCCTTGACTCGCAGAATCTGCTGGTGGAACGTCGAGATCTCGTCAAACGAGTTGCGCGATGTGATGCTGTAGACTAGCAAGAAGCCCTCGCCTGTTCGCATGTATTGCTCGCGCATCGCACTGCGTCAAAGATTGAATGGGTGGAATGAAATGAAGTCAGCCATCGAATGACGGCGCCGACGGTCCGTAGCGCTCCAACTTACCTGTACTCCTCCTGACCGGCGGTATCCAAGACGTCGAGCAGGGCGACCTCCTCGTCAATGACGCATTGCTTTCGGTACGAGTCCTCGATGGTCGGGTCGTATTCGTCGACAAAGTGGCTCTGGATGAACTGGATCGTCAATGCCGACTTTCCGACACCACCACCGCCCACGACGACGAGCTTGTACTCTCGCAAGAATTGAGCTTTGGACATGATGTTCTATGATTTGCTGCTGTAAGATGTTGTGTTTGGTCGAAGGATGCGACGTTTGCCGAGATCGGTTGATTGTCGTCGAGATGCAGATGTGGCGGATTGGCAGAGCGAAGCTGCTGCTGATTCGTATGTACGAGAAGGAAGAGTCCGGATGCGTGATGCCGTTCGGTAAGCGGTACGAACGGATGCTATGGATTGCGCGATACTGCAGCCTTTTCCCAGTGTGTCGGTCGAGTCGGATCAGTCGACGATGCTGGCGATGGGTGTGATGCGGTCGGCAGTAAGAATGCAAGGTGAGACGGGGGGATGCTGGATGCTGAAGTCGGTGGTCAACAAGGGCGGATGGACGGGTGAAAGGGTGGTGTAGGTAGGATCGACGACAGGGTCTATGGGAAGGGTAGGGAGTGAGACCGCGGTCGAGGTGGGAGACAAGACAGCTGGATGCAGTGTGCGCAACAGTGCAAGCCGAATGGGCAGCGCCAGGTTCCGGTCTGCTTGCCTGCTTGCCTTGCCTTGCTTGCCTGCGTGTGGGTTTGAGTGTGTGTGTGTGTGTGTGTGTGTGTGGCGGGTTCGCGTGCGCGTGCGGGTTCGAGGCGTGAGGCCGAGGCTGCAGAGAGCGGATTTAGCGTGGGTGTGCGTGTGCGTGTGCGTGTGCGTGTGGGTTTGGATGGCTGGGCAGGTGCGGAGAGCAGCTGACAGAAAGGGCGCCCAAAGCCAGCCATCCGTCGACTCTGCCTCGTTCGGCTTCGCCGTTGCGGTGCTGGTACTTGCAAGGCCGACTGCAGCGCGCAGCGTGTTGCGCCTGAAATGCAGTTGGCCTGCTTCGGTTACAAAATCTCGGGCGAAATTTGATTGAATCCAAGCTCGTTACGCGTTGGCTGAGAGAGAAAGAGAGAGCGCCAGAGCCCCGAAAATTAGGGTCGCGCGCTCTGGGCGGTCGACATGCACGTCGCCACCCCTGAACAAGCAGCCGTGCATGCTCTGCCCATCTCGCCCTCTGCCACCGGGAGCATCTGCCTATTTTAGCTGCTCGAGCCGATGCTGCGGATCAGGCTTTTTCTTGCAAGATGCATGGACTGCAGATCTATCCTTCTGGTCCAGGCAAGAGGTCGCGGGTGGTGAGGCTGGTAGCAAGGGGGAGCGGATGGACGCCTGGGGCCGGTCGAAGGAAAGGGGGGCTGCGAGGTGCTCACAGTTGCAGAGACACAGTCCACTTCACAGGCTTTTGTCCGGAAGCCAGCACATCACTGCTCCACGACGCTGAAGCAGCGAGCAGGACTGGGCGAGTCATGGCAACACCAGCTCCAAAGCCACAGTGCATACGAGACGAGTCAAGAGCGATGACAAGAGGAGCAGCCTCAGCGTCCAAGCCGTGGATCTCGCATCGGGTGGATCGAAAGGACACAGGAAGGAATCGGGGCCATACGTTTACATCCCGATCCGGTCCATCGTCTACGATTTTCCGATGAGAATTCGTTGGATGGCACGACGTCATAGGTCGGAGCCTTTTCCAAGATACGAGCCTGGAGATGCGGAGATCCTCCGTTGTGCCGCGTGGAGCACGAGGTGCAGCCGTCGTTGAGCTTCCAATGAGTCGGAGTCGATCCAACTTCTTTGCTCGGCGAGCTCGGTGAGTCTACTCGAGTGTTGGGATGCATCGACCGTCGCAGCTGCAGCATCGGAAAGGCGAAAGCGGCGTGAAAATCTGCGTTGGTCGCACGTGCTACAGAGCTCGTTTCGGCACAATGACATGCGTACGCCATGCTCCACGCATCCAGATTGAAAGATCGCCGAATCCATCGCCCAGATGGGCATTGGGCATCGGCGAGCTGGGTTTTTATTTTGCGCAGAGATCTGCCCTTGGCATTCGATCTTTGTCCAGGAACACGGGGAGCGTGGTGCCCCGTGTTAGCAATCGGCAGATGCCGGGCGTGCGAATGGAAGAGATGCCGCGAGGCAAGACAAGCTTGGTTGCCGAGCTCGCGAAGTTGGGCAAAGTACGACCCGACCGTGCAGGCATGTTCGGAGGTACAAACGCCGCACCTAGTGACGTGTCGTTGTCACACATCGAGCCCGCTTGCGATGGCCATCTGGGGCTCCTTGTCGGGCGTCGGAGCATTCATCGAACCTACAGTACTGACGTACGTCTAACGATTTGTGTCAATGGCCGCACTGCAATTTGCAATTGGAGTGGGCAGGGGCCATGCAGAGCACATGTCATACCGCGAGCCGATGCTGATCCATCGTAGCTCCGGTTGATCCCACATGGCCATCCGATAGCAACGCAAAGCAATAGCAGCGCGACGGGCTTGGTGGGATGCGGGGCCACTTCCGTCATCGTCGCAACCACCTGCTCCTACATGACCTCAAGGATCGGAAAGAACGCCGCACGACGATCAGGCGGATCGGAACACCCGCCTCCGTTGGCGAGCATCCGGACGACGATGAGACTGTTGCCCCGGCGCGGTAGCGACAGCAGTCTCGCTCGTGCAGTACAGTATCTGGACAGGTGCACTTTACCCCGCTCGAGAAAAAAGTGAGGGGATCTCCACAAAGCCACCTCCAGCAGGACAGCATCCACGACTGCACCTCGGCGAGATTGCAGTGCGGATGCCGCGGGATGATTCCAGGGTCAGGCCCGCCGCGAGCACGCCAACCGGGAAAAGAAGAGAGGTAAACAAGCTCTACGTGCAGGCGGGTGCCGATGGCTGCAACGCCGTCGCAGACGCGGACGCGGTCGCGGCGGCTCGCTCCCCCGTGTTGCTGGATGCGAAGTTGGCACTCGATCCACGGATTTTTCGCACGCGAGGGATGGGCTGTGCAGGCGATTGATTCACCTCCTGCGCTAGCGAGACCCCAAGGCGTGCGCGTCGCCCGTTCTGGCGGCACACATGGCAAAAACATCCCTCGAGGACGAAAAAAGAAATCAGAGGGCGAGCCCTTCCCTCCCACCGATTTTTCGAAATTCTGAGATACGGTTGTATCAGGCGTATGGCCAGTGTCGGAGACAGCCGACGCCGGTCGAGCTGCACCTCGCTCGGTCGGTCCGAATTCATGGCATCGATTCGTGGAACGATCCCCCCCTTCCTTAAATTACTTTTCTACTGTGCTGCTGCTGCGTGCTTCGGACACCCGCCGTCGGTTGGCATGGGACCTGGGGTGGAGACACGGCGCTTTTTCGATTTGAAACCGCCGTGGCCAAGCACACTCAGCAGCCAGCCCCTCCCCCCACGTTCAATCACTCCACCGGACTGTACCGCTCACCCAAACCCGGAGCGGCCTCGGCGAATTGGACACACTTGCTCCTGTGCCGTGCTTTCCCCTCGTGCATGCTCGCCGAATGGCCTGCCTGAGGCACATCCTCCCCCCTTTCCCCCTCTTCCTCACCAAATGAGCTTGCGTGCATGAGAGTGTGGGTGTCAAGCAAGGCTGCCTGTGGGGGAGAAGGGGGGGCCTGACCACTTGTTTTGAAAATGCAATGGCCCTCGGATCTGGATCCCTTGTCTCGAATTTTTTGTGGTTGCTGCGCGAAGAAGCAGGGCCTTGCGCCACCGCGAATCCCCTGCGCCTGTGGCCCGCCTCGTTTGTGGTCCCCGGGCGTGCGCACGCTCCGCACCCGACTCACTTCGGCGTGCGCTGCTGCGAATCTCGCTGGGGCTGCACGCCGCCGCTGCCCTGCTCTCCCACTCGCTCGGCCTTCCCGACGCCCGACCACCAATCCCTCTTCCAACCCTCGCTCGCCTCTCCATCCCCCCCGGCCTTTCCTTCTTACACCCTACAGCATCAGCTTCCTCGTTGCCTGAACCAGCCTAGCTGGCTACGCGCCCTTGCTCAGTCGAAGCAACTGCGAGCATCTCAGGTCGGAACTCGCCCCTTCGCCACCTTCTCTCCCGTCACATCATCAGCATTTGTTCATCTCCATCACCCGCGGACGAGACTGGCACTCCAGCTTACGACCGGAACCCCTCGCGCACGCGCTTCTACCGCCAGAAGGTAGCCGCCATCATTCGCAACCTCACTCTCACATGTTGTGGTGAGCTCGCCTAGTCTCTGACTTATTGCACCCAACACCCCGGCGCTCCTCGCTCGCATTCACTCCAGCATTCGCGATGAGCTACCCAATACAGGGATCCTCATCCCAGCCGTACGGCGCTTACACATTCAACACGCCGGTCAAGCAGCGCCAACGGCAAAAGCTTGCCCAAAGAGCGAACCAGCAGCGGTCACAGCAACGACAGCAACCGCGGTCCGAACAGGTCGCCATCCGCGAGAACGTAGCCGACGCCCTCACGTGGAATGCCGCGGCCAAGGCTGCAAAGCCCAAGCTCAACGAGTCGCCCCTCAAGGGCGCTGCTCCTGGCGCTGCTCAGCTCGACGCACCAGCGTCCTGGCTCGAAGGCCGCAAGTATGCTGTGCTCGTAGACGCCGGCTCGTCCGGCTCACGCATGCAGGTCTACTCGTGGAAAGATCCCAAACTGGAGCGCGCGTTGAGAGCCAGCAAAGGTCTCGACGCCACCGTTCTGCCCAAGGTCGAGAAGGGAACCTGGGAAAACTCGGGCGTAGACTGGAGCATGAAGGTCGAGCCAGGTCTCTCCTCCTATGGCGACCACCCTGCTGATGTAGGCAGCTATCTCAAAGAGCTCCTTGACCATGCCGAGAAGATCGTGCCTCCGTCCGCATGGGCCGAGACCCCGATCTACATCATGGCCACCGCTGGTATGAGGTTACTCCCCGAGAACCAGCGCCAAGCCGTTCTCAGCGAGACCTGTCGCTACATTCGCGAGCACACTTCGTTCAGCATCGATGGCGGCGGATGCAGCGAGCACGTCCAAGTCATCAGCGGCGAAGAGGAAGGCCTGCTCGGCTGGATCTCGGTCAATTACCTCATGGACGGCTTCCACATCCGCGGCAAGCAAGCCTCTCTCGACGGCGAAACCGACGTGGTCGAGGGCAAGTCCACCTTCGGCTTCCTCGACATGGGTGGTGCTAGCACGCAGATCGCCTTCGAGCCCAGCAAGAAGGCGCTTCAAGGCGAGGGCGTCGCCGCCGAAGCCGATCTCACCGCCGTGTCGCTGCGCATGCTCGACGGCACCGAAGTCTCGCACAAGGTCTTCGTCACCACTTTCCTCGGCTACGGCACAAACCAAGCTCGCCAGCGCTACCTCGACCTCCTCCGCCACGACAGCAGTGCTTCACAGGGCAGTCCCAAGGCCCTGCCTGACCCGTGCCTCAACTCGGGTCTGCAGCTTTCCGATGCTGCGGGTACTCACGACCTCGCGCTTTCTGGCACCGGCAACTTCACCGCCTGTCTCGAATCGCTACATCCACTCCTCGACAAGGAGGCCGCGTGCACAAAGCCGCCCTGCTTGTTCCATGGAGTCCACGTGCCCAAGATCGACTTCAGCGTCAACCACTTCATCGGCGTCTCCGAATACTGGTTCAGCTCGCAAGACGTCTTTGGCCTTGGCGGCGTCTACGACTTTGTCGACTTCCAAAAGGCTGCCGTCGACTTTTGCGGAAAGCCCTGGGCCGAACTCAAGCACCATCTCGACGTCGGCGACCTCTTTGGGCCCGAAGTTCAACTCAACCGCCTGCAGACCCAGTGCTTCAAGGCCGCCTGGATGACCACCGTACTTCACGAGGGCATCGGCATTCCGCGCATCGTCGACCACAAGGGAGCTGGCGATGGCACCGACCACGCCGACGAGGCGCAGGGCAAGGGTGAGCAGAAGAACCTTTTCCAGAGCGTCAACGACATCGACGGGTTCTCGGTCAGCTGGACGTTGGGCAAGGCGGTCCTCGAAGCCAGTCGCGACATTCCTCCGGCGCCGGGCTCGCTGCCTTCGCCCTTCGACGAGCTCAACAAGGCCAACTCGAAGCTCGGCAAGTGGGACCCTTTCAGGCCCAAGTGGCCGACCACCGGAGAAGGCTCGGCGTTCCCGCCTGCGCTCGGTGAAGCGAGTCGCCACGTGAGCCCCGTCTACATGATCTCCATGGTAGCCGTCTTCCTGCTGCTGCTGGTGACGTGCGTATGCACGCGCGGTCGTGGGCCGCGAGCCACAAGGCGACGCGCCGCGATCAAGGAGATGCTGCCTCCCCCGTTCGGGACGTTTGGAGGTCTCTGCAGCTCGAAGCGCACCGGCCGCGGCGACTACGTGCTGGCCAACATGGAAGAGGCAGCCGGCGACGCGCAGAAGCGGGGCTTCTGGTCCAAGCTCGGCAAGCGGGCCGATGGCAAGGACTACAGCCCGACCATGGAGGCCGAGTTCGGCTTCAATTCCGAGGGCAGCTCCGAAGAGAGCAGCGGCTCCAGCGGCTCGGCTGGCCGCGGCACGCGTGGATCGACGCGCAAGCACGGCAACACTGGCATTGTCGGTGCGCTTGGCTGGCCTGTGCGCCGCGTGGCGCTCACGCTGTCTTCCACCTTCCCATCGCTGTTCGCGCGGCGCAACACTCGGACCAAGAAGCGCAGCTCCATGCTGCCAAGCAGCCGAGACGAGGGCGCTCGCATCTCGGCCAGAAGAGGCGCAACCACGCCGACGATGGTGCGCATCTCGAGACCAGCATCGCCTACGTTCACCGGCATCACGTCGGGCACGGCGATCTCGCGGCCGGCGTCGCGCACGTCGAGTCGCGCACCCACGCCGGTTCTTGGACACCGACTCACGTCGGCGACGCTTACGACGCGGTCGGGCGTCAACACTCCCGGTGGCACTGGCAGCGGCGGTGCGGCGGGCGCACTCTCGCCCACCGGACCTGGCTCGCCGCTGGGAGAGCGGCATGCAAGGACGGGACTGTTTGCTGCGTCGCTCAGCCGCGCACACTCGGTCACGGACATGGCGTCGATCGAATCGAGTCTGCTCGTCGCACCCACCCGTACGCCATCCAGGCAGGGCTCGCCCGCTCCCCACCTCAGTCCCATGTCGGAGCTTCGGCCCTCCACCAACGCACACGACGCCTAGAGCCTCCGCCCCCTTCTCAACCCCAACGGACAATCTTTCCTGGCATCGGCTTCGTTTCGCTTTCGCTCCTGCGCAATTGCTTGTCCGTCTTTCGCTTTCTCTGTCACTGGTATCTTCTCTCTTATGTCTGTCATGCCCAACTTCGCGTCCAGTTTGACGCCGCAATTGCAACCGCCACACACGTCTTTTGCAACATGCACTTCTTTTCTGCCGATGGCTGTGCAGCCGCAGAGTTTTGGGATGAATGCTGGGTTTGGGGATTGATGCTGAGCTGCATGGGACCGGGGGAGGGAAAGGGTGTTTTACAGAGAGGGCGAGCCGCTGAGAAGGCTTGGGGAAAGGTATGCATTTTGTTTCGGAAAGGCAAAGATCAAACGGCCATGTTCCGGATGCCGTTGGCGGCTGTGTCGGCGTCGTCTTCGTCTTCCGAGATGCCTTGTTGTGCGTCGTCATCCTGTCGCCCTTGTTCCCAGTCCTTGGTGATGTACTGGTTGAGGTCGAACTCTCCATCGTCATCGTCGTCATCGTCATCGACAAACATGTCGGGATTGAGCGAGAACATCTCCCTGCCGGACAAGCCGGCCATCTTGTTGGCAGCTGCCTGAGCCTCCTTCTTCTTCTTGAGCATCTCTTGTTCGGCCGTCTTCTTGTCCATCCTCTCCTTCTTCCACTTGGCGAACGACTCGGCGGTGACGGGCGTGAGGTTGGATCCGAGCTTGTGGCGTTCCGTCTCGAGGAAGTCCTCGAGCGAGATCTCGTTGGCCTTTTCGAGCGCCTCGAGCTCCTTCTTTTGCGACTTGAGCACGAACCCTGGTGGCAGACGATGACGGTACATGCACTTTTCACCTCCGTTGGGACACTCCCAGAACCAGCCATACTTGCCATCCTCGACGGCTTGCAGGAAGAACTTGCACACCTTGTCCGTCGTCGCGCGTGGGTTGCCGTGCTTGGACATGATGACGTCGTTGAGCTTGGCATCGTCCCACTTGTCCATGGTGTCGTTCTTCTTGTCCTCATTCTCGTCGCGCATGTCGACGTACAGATCCTTCTTCTCCGTCTTGCGTCCGGCATCGTTGCTGTGGCCGTACTTGCACTTGGTGCCCTTGTCGCACCGCCCAGCCTTCCAAAAGGCACACGTGACCGTCTTGGGGTCCACTCCGAACGGCACCTTGGGCTGCACTATCGCAAAGAGCGGATCCGCCGCAAGCTCCTTGGCCGCCTTGGCCGCCGCCTTCTTGTCGTCTTCCTTCTTCTTCTCCTTGGCAAGCTGCTCTTTGGTTTTGCCCGCCATCTTTTGCTGCTGCTGGATCTGCGCCACCGCCTTCTGCGCCTTGCCTCCCTTCTTGTTCTTCATACCGAACGTCTTGTCCACCGCCGTCTTGCTACCTCCCCCTCCCTTGTCCTTTCCTTTCGGCGGCATGTTCGGCTATGCTGTGTTATCGAGCTTCCAAATGAAGTTTGTTTCGGAATATGTCGAAGTCAGGCCAGAAGCGAGCAGCGACCTTTGCAAAGTTGTCCCGTTCGAACGTGGGCTGGAAAGAGTTTTGGAGTACGCAGCTAGAAGTCGGTACTTGATACGGCTGTTGCGCGAAGAAGTGACCAAGCTTGCGCTGGATGATTCGTATAGTTGCGCCTTAGATTCAAGCAGCGTTGGCTGATGCTGCCTGCTCGTCGATGTCGGTGTTAGGGAAACGTAGGAGTGCCGAGGGCGTTGATGATGGCGAGAAGGAACGGCTTCTGAAGGAAAGCATGGAAGACGGAGGAAAGCGTTCAAAATTCCCCAAAGTCGTGTGCCTCAGCGATTTGGAGCTTGTAATCAGCTTGTATTCGAGCGGCCCTCCTGCCTGCTGCTCCACTTCAAAATTTTGCTATTCAAGCCTGCCTCATCGGGGCAACACCCCGATCTTGTGTCTTCGTCATCCTGCATCTCGCGTCGCCGGACGCCCTCTTGCCGGGATGCCAACCTCAACGTCTTCTAAATTACACATCCAGCTTCTCCTTGCTTCCTTGCTTTGAGATGGTCGAAACGACGAAACAGGCTGTGCAATTCATGATGGCATAGGTGCAGCTCATTGATGCGACTCTGGTTCAAAGTTGAGCCAGTGCGGTGGCGTTGTTCTGTACAGAGGCGGCAAGCGGGTGCGGGTGCGGGCGGGGGTGGGAGAACGAAGATGAAAAGCATGAGCAAAGGCAGAATAACGGATAACGCAGCAACCTCAGAATGGGCTGTACTCACCCAAGGCGTGTCTGACGAGCTGTACTGCTGGAGCGGTCGATGGTAGACGATGGCACGGAGCGACTCTGCTTCCACACCAAAGCGCTCCACCTCCGAAGCGTAGATAGGCAACACTACGCCCCTGTTCAATGCATGCAACGTCGTGTTGAGAACAGGTCAAAGTCAGCAATCGCTTGGCGGGCCCATCGAAAGGAATGATAGAACTCACAGCTCCCAGTTGAGCGTGCTCATGGTCGGCTTCGCTGCGGTCCCGCTGATATTGCCGTGGGCAGCACGTGTGAAGTTGGAGCTGCCCATGTATGTCCATCCGATAGGCCGCTCGTCGTCCGTTGGCGACCAGCTCGTATTCTCGGGGATGTCAACGAGCGCATGCGTACCCCTGGTGAGCTGTGCCTCTGAAGCGTCGTGAAAGGCTTTGTTGACCAGACCTGCCCCTTCCGGGGTGAGCGCCAGGATCGACTTGGCATGGATCATGACGTCGCCTCTGCGGCTCTGCGGGCTAAAGTACAGCTTCTTGATACTGTCGACACAAACAAGAGACGTAGAAGCTCGAGTTGGAATGAGCTCACCTACCTCCGAGATCGAGCGCAGAAGGTACTTACGGTGATGCTGCAAACGTTTCTGCCTTGCCGAAAAAGCTCATTGCTCCGAGGGGCCCTTCGACCGTTGTTTCCTCGACGTACCTCTGACTTGGAAAGCAGATTTTGATAGGTGGCAGTGATCCCGACTTGCTGCCGGCTGCTTTGAAGTATTCTGGGTGCGGGTCGTTTGTCTTGCCCTTGAAGGGAAGCAGGCTGCGTGGATTTACACCAGACGCGAGCAGATGAAAGTGCTCAATCCACTTGATGTCGTGGTTTGCCAGTGACGAGCCCTGGCATTCTAGCTGCAATGTTCCTGGCCGCTTGACCTGCATGCCGAGGTCTCGAACGACCTTGCCGAGCCTGCCGAGCCCCTGTGTCTCCATGCGGTCCCATTCGGCGAGGTTCGATGCTTCAGGCCAGCTGGCGACGATTCGAGCGCGTGTCGCCTGCGAGAAGTCGTGACGGTCAAGAGCAGCATAGACCGGATGCGAGCTTGGCATACCGAGCGAGCGCAAGATACGCACAAATTGTGCTTTGAAGTCGTTGGTACGGCCCAGGCTCGAGCCCTGAGCAGGTGTGGCTGCCTTTGCGGTGTCTGTGATGGGCGGAAAGTCCTGGATGTATGCGGTGTTCTCGATCCTTTCCCAGTCGATTCCGTTCAGGTTGCCCGACAGAACCGCAACACGGAGAAAGTCTGGGTGGACCAGGATCAGGAACTTCATGTGCTGCGTGAGCCATCCTCCCTTCGGCTTGCTTGGGACGCAGATCTGCCATCCTGGACACCGAGCAAAATCGCCAAAGATCTCGCTGCGATGCAAACCTGGCCGCGCTACCGAGGGATCGGTGCGGTAGTCCTCCTTCGGCGGTGGTAGGATCAGAGTGACGGGAAGGCCCTTCGGGAAGAGAGAGTAGAGCCAGTCCATGCGAAGATCGTAGGTCGCGAGTACAGCCAGCTGTAAGCCGTTGCGGCTGGATGCGGTTGCCGGAAGCAACATCTGCGAGATTGTGACGCCCGAGGCGGCTGTGTCGGCGTATGCGTTGAATCCATGCTTGATGGTCCCTGTCCAAAAGCGATTGTGAGGCTCGATTGGGTCTGTGGCGCGAGAAAATTTCGAGCCAGAGCTACTTGGGATGGCAGGAGTAGTTCGGATGCCCGTCGGCTGCGGAGTGGGTTGCGCTTCATTCCTTGCTCTGCCTTTCTCTGACAAGAGCGCTGGTCTCGCTCGACTGTCTGCTCGTGTTCCATCTGGCTTTAAGCGCTTGGCGCTTGTCTCGACCTCTTCCTCATCGCTGGAAGTGCTCGGTAAATTCTGCTGCTGCTTCCTCTTGCGTGCGCGTTCCTTACGCTCTAGCTCGAGCTGACGACGATCTGGAAGTAGGCTCAGCAGACCAGTCGCCGAAGTCGCGGCGCTGGTGGAAGGTCCGTTTTGCGACAGCGCCTCATGCGACGTTGAGGCGGTAGGTTCTTCGGCTTTGGGTGGCTGACTTGCAAGTTGCGGAGCAGGCGGTTTCGATCGCGACGTCTCTTGCACCTTCGGTCGCTCGGACTCGCTAAGCGTATCCGAGTCGGAGTCTGATATGACGATGGGCTTCTCACGGGTCATGATCGACTTTTGCGGGAAGACGGTGGTGGACGAAGAAGAGAAGGTTAGACGTATGAAGTTGCGGGATCGAGGCCACCGCTTCCGCACAAAGCATTCTTAAGCCAGGGTCCCGACTGCGCCTCCACACCGCGAAATCACAGAGTCCACACTTGGACCCTGCTCCACCTTTGTCGCCGGACAAAATGCCGGTCCACCAACCCTCTCGACTTTTTTGCCATTTCTTCTCAACTTGATCATTCCCGTATGACGCTTTCGTCTCATTCATACGGCATCCCCGCACATACCTCGGCATGACTAGCGAGCATCCACTTCTGCGCTGGCTCGCAGCGAGCGGCGTAGAGCTGCACGATAGCCTGTATCTGGAGCAAGATCCATCGACGGGCCTCTCGGTCTACACGGCCGAGCCACTTGCGCGCGACACGACGGTGATCCGAGTACCAAAGAGTCTCTGCATCACCTCTGTCACTGCTCGCGAGAGGATCGAGGCTCTACTCGCAGTGTTCGGCATCGCAGAAAGCGGCCTGGAGGCATCAGCGCTCCCAGCACCCGACTGGATCTTGCTGTACATTGCGACGTGCCGACTGGCAACCGAGTACCTTTCGACAGCATCCGAGCTGTCGGATGACTTGGCAGCGGCGTTGCCGCATCTTGCTTATGTTGATTACATCCCCAAGACCATCGAGACACCGCTGCATTTCTCTCCAGCCGAGTTGATGCTGCTCTCGGCAACGCCGCTCGTCGGATCGACCGAAAGGCGCCTGCAAGAAACCATCGTCGACTACGAGAGAGCACGGTCCCTGCTCGAAGCTCCTTTGCAGCAGGTATCGGGTCACCCTTTCGCGGCCTTTCTGGCGACCAGGCTCGGAAGTGTCCCGCAAGAGCAGCTCGATGCGGACGCGCTGATGGCCAAGACCTTCCACGAAGGGCTCGAGCTGTGGCGCTGGGCCGAGTCAGCATTCACTTCGCGCTCCTTTCCTGCCCGACTCGTCGGCATTTCCGATGCACCGTCGGAGGAGGCGTCGAGCGGCGCATATCCGTCGGCCAGATCAGCACCAATCCTTATCCCGGCCTACGATACCTTCAACCACGCGCGCGCACGTCCCGTGACATGGACCTTCTCCGCCGCCTCCGAGGTCGACTCGAGAGACATGGTTTGCATGACGATCAACTATGCGGTGGAAGCAGCGCCAGCTCAAGTGTACAACAACTACGGGGGCAAGTCGAACGAGGAACTGCTTGCGGGGTACGGCTTTACGCTCGACACGATCACCGAGGACACGCTTGCACTCAAGATCGGCTCGGACGATCCGAACGCCCAGGCAAAGACTCACTACTGGGCCATACCTTCGGCCAGCACCGAGAGTGAGAATGACGACTCGATATCGACGGGCACATCGGAGCTATTCACAAGGGCACAGTGTGCATGCCCCTCGTTACTTGACGAGATCGAGACGCGAGTGCTGCAAGGTGAAGCAGCCCCGACTTCGGACGAGGACCGATTGGATCTGTACGGCAGTGTGCTCGAGACGCTCGAGGCACTGCTGCTGTCCAAGCGCAAGGCCTTTCGAGCGAGCCAGAAGCAGATCGAGGCTCTGCAAAGCACGTTTCCATTGCAAACTACCCATTGCGAGTCACCGGGCTGGCACAGGTCATCAGCAGCAGCCGATCCAAGCCAGCCATCCTCCTTGCGCCCTACCGTCTGGCACAATGTCATGCAGTACCGCGCCGGCCAGCTTCACCTGCTCAACCATGCCGTCGAATGGACACGCACCGAGCTCGCGAGAGTCGCCGACGCGCTCGACGATCTCGAGTAACGCTTTGACACTCACATCATTCTCTGCCAGCATCAGTCTCGAACCAATACGGACGACATGAAAAAGTATTACAGATGACCATCTTACCCGGCTCGAATCGTCTAATCAAAACTAGGCACCACGTCAGTCAGATGCTCGACCTGCTCGGTTTTTTCTGCCGCCATCTGTGCCCTGTGTGAACGCTCGGGCTCGGAGCGCTGGATGTTCTCCGCCACCTTCTTTGCATTGTCTTCGTCGCCCAACCTGGCCGCCAGGGCGAGTGCGCTTCCGGACGAGCTCGAGCTTCGCATCGGCGGTGGATGAGCCTCGAAGCCATTCGCGAGCTGCTTGGCCTGAGTCTCGGATAGGGGTGAGATGACGCTCTGGCGAGAGATGGAGAGCTGGTCGTGGTCGAGTGATCGGAAGGGCGGCGACATGACCTTTTCCTCCACCATCACGTTGGTTTCGGCTTGAGCCGCTGGTGACGTGCCGGCGAGCACCGAGCTGCGCTTGAACCAGCCAAAACCCTTGAAGCCGCTGCCCGCGCCCTCGTCCGCCATGGGCTGTGGCGACGCGATGCTGTCCGCGATAGGTGCTTGCGACTGCGACGATGACGATGCGGCAGAAGACTCGTTTGGCGTGGTGCCTGTACGGCCGAGCAAGTTGCTGAATCCGGCAAATCCGGATGCCAATGACTTCGGAGGCGCAGGACCACCAGATGCCGCGCCGCGCGGCGACGAATGCCCGGATCCACTGGCATCGGCCTCCGAGGAGGGCGTTGTGCCTGGCATGCCTGAACGCGCTTCGTCCGAGGGCGTTGGGCCGTTGGACGCGCTGGCACCGCCTGTGCTCGAGGACGTCGCTTTGCGCATGAGCGTGGGCAGCTTCATGCTCCAACCCGCCGTGGCTGTCTTCTGGGGACTTGAGCTGGCTTTGACATGGGCTGCCTCCTCGGCATCATCGATGTTGTCCGTCGGCAATGGCGGCAGCTTGACGCCCTTGAGCAGACCTGTGCCGAAACTGGCGCGCTGCACGATGCGGTCGGCATCGTCGCCCATCTGAGCGTTGGCATCCGCCTCGGCATCGTGGTTGGCGATAAAGTCGCGCAGTGCCTTGAGACATGCCTCGCTCGCCTTTCTGGCCTCGAGCGCTTCGTCCATGGACAGCCGCATCTCGGCCATCTCTCGGCTGAGACGCTCGATCTCCACCTCCTTGGCGCGCAGCTCGCGATCGTACATCGACGACTCCCTGGTGGGCAAGTTCGGCAGTGCTTTGCTGGCAACGGCAGCAGACAGGCTAGGACCAGCCTCCTCCTCCTCGTTGTCCTCGATGATGGGCGATCCGATACCCGCCGAGCTGGCTGCGCCCTGCGACAGGGCTGGCGAGCTGAGGAGCGACGTGCGCGGTGCACCGAGACCTGCACCGGGCACGGAAAGACGCGCGCCGAGCGAGGAGGCCATGTCGGTCGTCTCCTGGGCAGGCAAGTCGTTGGGCCCGATTCTGGGTGACTTTCCACTGTCGCTGCGGAAGGAGCTGCGGCGCGAATTGGGCGCCGAGCCACTGTCGTCTGCAGCGGTGGTGACGGGAAGGAGGAGCGAGTTGGATGTGCCGTTGGCGCCAGCTGTACCCGACAGTCGAAGGCCGCGGAGGCCGTTGGCGAAGGTGGGGCTCAGAGGCTCCTCGACGTCTTCTCCGTCGCCCTTTGAAGCTCCCGAGACGCTGCGGCCGCCGCTGGCGGTACGACGGTGGCCGAAGCCCTGGCTGCTGCCGGGACGGGAGGCGAGGTTGAGCGCATTGGGGCCAAAGGCGAGACTTGCGCGCTTGGACTTCCTGAGCTCGGCCTCTTCGTTCTCGTCTCGGACTGGCGGAGGGTTGGTGGCGGCGGGAATCCAGCTGCGGCGATTGTCGACCTTGGCCTTTGTGCGCGCATCGGACTGCTCTCCTTGGAGGCGCATGATGGCACGTCGACTCTCCTCGGCTCGGATGCGGAGGTCTTTGACGCGATCCGATTCGGCTTCTCTTGCTTGCTTTTCGGCTCGGAGCTCCTGCTCGAGATGCGGCACACGCAGCCGGAGCGTTTCCAGCTCGTCCTGCCACTCTGCGGATCGCTGCAGCACGACCGAGTGGGAGGCCTTGACCTCATCGACTTCCTCCTTGAGCTTTGCGAGAAGCTGATCCTTTTTGGCGATCTCGATGCGCATGGTGCCGACGATGGCTTTGAGCGCGGTGGCGTCATCTGGAAGATCGGTGTAGAGAGACTCGAGGTGGTCCGGAGTGAGGCCCTCTTTCATCATGTCCTCTTTGGCAGAGCGGGCCTGCGAGGAGAGGTGGGAAGCCGCGACGGAAGCGACCTCGTCTTTCTCCGACATGGTTGCGTTGCAAGCGCGAGGCGGGAAGCGAGTTGGACTGGTGTTGAAGGCGCGCTTTCAGCCGAGCAGGCGCGTTGTATGGCAACGTTGGTGAGTTCGGCGAGGTGCGCAGGCAGCTTTATAAGGCAATTGATCTGGATGCAACGTCTCGAAAGCTATCAAAGGGCCGAAGGGGATCCGGTGCAGAGTGCAGATTGCAAACGTCCCGTGGCAAGGCGGCCCGCGTCCGTTCGGCTGACAGATGATGTCGGTAGGGAAGCGTGACCGCTGGTAAGATCTGGCGGAGCGAGGGGTGGTGGGAGAAAGGGAAAGAAGTGACGAGGGGCAGATGAAGAAAGCGAAAGGAGATGAAAGGTGGTGACGTGGGTGGGTGAGAGGGAGGTAAGTGGCATCCCGGAAGCGGCATGGCTCTGCGGTGGTGTGGCTGGATGTCGGACGTACGCGCGGGCGTGCGGGCGGGCGGCGGCGTTGGCGCATGGCGGATGAAACACACGCGCAAGGAGGGCAAGGTGCATGCGAGATTTTGGTGTTGGTCTGGCGCCGCCTTCGGAAGCCAAGCAGTCGGCTGCACGGCGATTTTTGAGCGGTGCCAATCGACAATTTCGGCACGACGGGCTGGATCGCGGGAAAGCGAAAGAGGGATCAGACCCCGCCGTGCTTCCAGCGGCAGTATTACTGTATGGCAGTTTGCGTGCGACAGGCTCGAAGCGAGACCCGGCTGCAGAGCCCATCACTATCTGCACGTACGATGCCTCGCATCCAACACAGACCTCTTTTTAGGCCCTCGGACCCTCGGTGGCAGCACAGGAAAGGACCAAGTTGACAAGCTACGAGTATGGAGGCTACAACAGGCTTGAGAGCAACATGGCGCACATGCGAAGCAACGGGACGGGAGAGCGCCACAGCTCGAGTCGCAAGGGCGGCTGCGCCTCCCAATCGGGGCTGCATACATCCAGATGGGGGTGAGGATCCGAGATGAGCCACGGCCGTAAAATAGGAACCGATGTTAGACCGTTGCTTTCAACTTGATGAATTTCTTGGCACGATGCCGACGCGTGCAAGATGCGATGGGTCGGGCCATCAGAAGAACGTCGAGCGCATATTTTCGGCACCCGATCGGCCACGGCCGCGAAGAACGAGGTGAAGCTGCCGTTCCTGGTGCGAAGCCGAGAAGGCGCATGAGAGGGAGCCAATTTGGCCCGTCATCGGTCGTCTGCTCGTTGCCCAAATTTCAAATTTTTCTACCCACAGCCCACCAGTCTTTTGCACCACTCGATAGTGCTCTGCTCCTCTGTGTGTCTCGCCCTTTTTTCTGCTCGCCCCGCCTTTGGCTCGGCAGGATTCCGTAGCCTCGACACCTGCTCCCCATCCTCCAAGCTCCTTCTTCACCAACCAAACCATCTCTATTCGTATCTTCACTTGTGCACTCTCCAGCTCAAAGCCCGACTCGCAAGGACAACCTTCTCGTCCTTCGTCTCCATCTTCGCCGCCCAAGCGCAACCCCATCTTACGCCCACAGCCGGCACCCGTCATCCTTCCTCCTGCACTCCAGGAGCTAGCAACCCTGTTGGACCTCATCCACGCCTCGCCTTCCTTCCATGCCGTCAGACGACTCCGACGATAGTAGTGGTAATAATAGATCCTGCATACACCGTCCATCCTCGTCGCCATACCCATCTAGCGCTCCGCTTCGCCCTCTGCTGACGTCGTCCAAGCAGCTCGCTTCCACCGCCCTCCCCTTCCAGCCCATCCACGCCATCCTTCTCCCCCTCCCCAAGGCTCCCGATCCGCCTCCCACCAACCTCCAGAACCTCCAGATTCAACATCACACCCGCCTCCCCTTTGACATCAGCCTCAACCTCCTCACCTCGGCCCCACTCTACCTCCATCACCAACCACGATGACACCCGCCATCGACCTTGAGGCTACTGCCAACCGTATCGATTCTTTCAACAACCACCAAAACAACCACCATCATCACCACCTCCTTCACCACAAGGACACCGCCGACCTCCTTGTCGAGGCCAAGGAGGCGCAGCGCATCAAGTCGCTCGAAATCATGGACGCTCGCGCCGAGCTGCTGCGCTCCAAGTTTCAGGACGACGCCTCGAGCATCATCACCGCCGTAGACTCCAACAGCGGCAGCCCTGAAAAGGTGCACGAGGACTTCCACGATCCCTGCGGCCCCTTTGAGGGTCCCGAGAAGCTCCTCGAGCTCTGGTTCGCCGAGGAGCCCGCCGATGTGAGCGCCTGCCAGTGGCCCGACGCCGACGCACGCCCCGGCTACTTTGGCCTGCGCACCGTCCCCAAGGCCGTGTGGGAGACCATGCTCGACGTCGTCAAGTGCAAGGTGCTCAGCGTCATCGAGAGCTCGCACGTCGACGCTTACCTGCTCAGCGAATCGTCCATGTTCGTCTTCCCGCACAAGCTCATCCTCAAGACGTGCGGTACCACCACGCTCCTGCTTGGCCTCGAGAAGCTTCTGACGATCGCGACCAGGGCGCTCGCAGGTCTGTCGGTCTCGCCGAGCTTCGCCAAGCTCACGACGGTCGAGTCCAACGGCTCCAATGGCTCGGACGCCTCGCGCGACGACGACATGGACGAGGCCTCCACCGCCATGTCCGACTCGAGCTACGTGCACGAGCGTCAGCTCGGCGCTGTGGTCAAGCACGCCTTCTACAGCCGCAAGAGCTTCATGTTCCCCGAGCGCCAGAAGGGACCGCACCGCGACTGGATGCTCGAGGTGGCGGTGCTCGACCGCTTCTTCGACTACGGATCCGCCTACACCGTGGGCAAGATGAACGGCGACCACTGGCTGCTCTGGATGGGCTGCGAGGGTGCGCGCGAGGCCGAGCGGCCGCTCGTCACCGCCGCCGTGGAGCGTCCGCTCGCTCTGCCGGCGCCGTGCGTGGAGGACCAGACACTCGAGATCCTCATGACGCACCTCTCGCCCGCCTCGTGCGCTCGCTTCGTCTTTGACGAGAATCTGCCGCACCCGAGCGTGGTCGAGTGCTATCCGGGCAAGCAGCTCAGCGGTGTCGAGGCGGAGGCGGCCGTTGGGCTCGACAAGGGCCATGCGCTCGGTCTGGCGCTGTCCAACAAGCTCGGACTCACCCAGCTCTTGCCCGAGACCGAGATCGACGCGTTTGCGTTTGAGCCGTGCGGCTACTCGGCCAATGCGGTCATGCCGCGTGGAGGCAAGAACGACAATGCCGGCTACTGGACTATTCACGTGACGCCCGAGGAGGACTCGTCGTTTGCGTCGTTCGAGACCAACGTGGCTCTGTGCTCCAACAGCACCTCGGGCGGCGAGCAGACCACGCTGGCTCTGCCCACCAGCCTGCCTACGTTGGTGAGGCGAGTGGTGGACATTTTCGAGCCGGGCAAGATGTCGGTCACGCTGTTCGTGTCCACTTCGGACGACGATGCGATCGAGGCCGAGGAGGCGGCGGCGGCTGCGGTGGCTGGGGCTGCCAAGGCGCCGCTGACCAACGAGGACATCCTGCACGCGCTCACGCTCAAGGGATACAAGCGCACCGACCGAATCGCGTACGAGTTCGAGAGGTACAACCTCGTCTTTGTCTCGTTCGAGAAGCGTCGTCTGCGCTGAGCGCCCATAAAGACTCCCTGGATCCGTGTTTCTATTCAACGCTTCGGCTCTTTCTACTTGATCGATCGCCTACGATCTTTTTTCTTCAAGACTGCTACATCTTTGTTGCCTTGCCTCGTCAGATCGTGCTCGTACCGATCCGACGACCTTTTGATGAGCTTGTCGACTTTGCACGCTTGCCCTATGAATTCCGACTTTTGATCCGATTGATTATTGCGATTATTGCTGGTGATGTGACTAGATGAGACGGTTATGGACGAGGATTCCTGCAAACTCGTCGAGACCTATGCTGGGGCCGGCGATGCCCTGGGCGGTGGCGGCACCTTTGATGGCCTGTGTGGATTTGCGCGTGGCTTGGGCGTCGTCGTCTTGGTCCGCGGCGGTGGCGGGTGCAAAGAGCTTGGCGCCCTCTTCTACCATCTCTTCGATCTCCTTGGACGGGATCTTTTCGCCAATGGCTCGGATGATTGTAGTAATTGCGTCGGTTCCGATGCGTCGTTGCGATGCGGGTAGTGTGGAAGCAGGCAGTCGGTCGAGCAGAAGCGAGAAGAGTGCCGAGGCGTTTTCGCGCTGCAGCGGATTCAGGTGTGTGGTGGAGCGGATCGAAGATGCCGCGTCTTTGCGTCCACGTCGCTGCCGCTTGGTCGAAGGACCCGAGTCAGTACCACCGTCGCTGAGGTCGTCCGAGGGAGTGGGAGAGCGCTGTGCACGGCCACCTCCACGTCTGCGTCGCCGAAGCGATGCATCGCGAGTCTCAAAGTCCTCGTCTTCGTCATCGTCATCGTCGGTCAGATCCGAGCCTGTATCGAGTCGCGCCGTGGTGCCAGATTGGCGCCGACGCCGCGAAGTTGATGCTGCAAAGTCGTCTTGCGAGTCGTCGGCATCGTCGACAATAAACCCACCCCCGCCACCGGCCGCAGCATCAGCTTCAGCATCGTCCGCGTCGTCGATGATCGCCGCTGCCTTTTGTCGCCCTTTCACGGCAGCCCGCCGCGTGGGGCGGCGCCCCGTGGTGGAGGATACATCATCTTCGTCCGCTTGGCCTCGACCACGACCTTTTGGGCTGCGCCGCCCCTTTGTAGACCTGTCACCCTGCTCTTCGAGCAGCACCGCAGCCACCTGCTGAAACTCTTGCCTGCCCACCACCTTGTCCGGCTTTACACCCGGAGCCAATCGCCGGCGGGAGGCTGAGGAGGGGACATAGGCCGTCTCAGCGAAGAGCGATAGGACGGATGAATCGGTCGAGTCAAGCCCGAGGTTAGCGAGCGCCTCGGGGATGGCGCTGAGTGGAATCGTGCTGGGCTTGGTGACACGCGGAGATGAAGAACCCAGGCCGTCGTCGTCGCCATCTGGACTCTGAGCCGACTCGGTGTCGTCGTCATCCACCATGAATCCACCGGGTGCATCGTCGGTCATGAATCCACCTCCGGCTCCTTGGTGTTCGTCTGCATCGTCGACCATGAAGCCTCCGCCGCCTCCCGCACCTGTGTCGTCTGGACGAGCTGCCTCCTTGCCGAGAGTGGGCCGCGAGTAAGGATTCGGAAGCGTCAGGGGATCGTCGCCCGCCTCGATGCGGTGGGTGCGGTATGCATCGTCGAATGCGGCGTCGATGTCGGCCATCTTGATCAGCTGGCGATGCGCCAAAGCGATTGTCGGGATGGAGGCCAGAGCAGGCCTTCTTGAGCGTGCTGAGTCGTGCATCAAGGCAAGAAGGTGGAGGTTGGGGGCAGAATTATCGGACTTGTTAGATCGAATTCGAAGCGATGTGGAGCAGGTGGGCGGCCATGCATGCATGCGGCGGCGGCTGTTGCGTGTTGATCCCGGCGACCCCTGAGCCCGTGTGCCTGGAAAAGGTCCTCCGGCTGCGCCTCGTCCAAATCTGAATTTCGTAGAATTGATGCACAGCTGCGCGCCCAACAGCGCTCTCAGTCCATTGACCGACCGATGGAGGCTCAACTCCCAACCCACTCGGCTGCTCGGTTGCGTTGTTGCTCTGTTGCTCTATTGCTCCCACGCGCTTGGCCCAGGCTAGCTTCGCCTCTTCACCATCCCGCTTCACCACCACCCAGCCGACTCGAAAGACGAAATTGACGATGGCAGCGACACGCACAGGACTCGGGAGCTCTTGATCTTGCATGTCCTCGCACCGTCTCGACACGGCGGGACAAGACAACATCATGGCCGGCTCTCGAATGAGCGGCTACGAGGCAGCTTCGCCCGACGCAGCCACGGCGAGCTCTTCACTTTTGCCAATAGCACCCATCAAGCCGACACCACTCCACCCATTGGAAGAGGACCCTCTGGTACTGCAGGACACTCGCTCATCAACACACAGTCTCGCAGACGACCGCAGACAGACTCCAGACGATGAACCTCAATATGGCATGTGCCGCCTGCCCAAGCGGGCGCCCGACCAAGACGCACAGGCAGCACGAGACAAGCTCGACCGCATTGCAAAGGCACAACAAGCCAAACACAACTGGGCAAAGTCCACCGGCATCACCATCGCAGCCAAGGCATTCGGCCGCCACGATCGTCGTATGCGCAGGCGAGCCCACGGTGCTTCTTCCGATGACGACAGCAGCGACAGCACTTTCGATGACGACGAGGCTCGCGGACACATCGGAGAGGTCAAGCTCATGATCACGGGCAATCCCGTCGTCACCAAGGTCGTTGATGCTGCCTCACGCGCAAAGGGCCGTCTGCGCGGCCAGACCGAATCGCCCGACGCCTCGCCTCACAAGGAAGAATCGCACTTCCGCTTCTCCATCGGCAGACCGGGCAGCTCCTTGGCCAAGCGCCTCCGCCCTCCCACCGTCACACCAGCCTCGGAAGCTTTCACCACATCCGCTCCGTCCCCAACGTCAGAGGCGCCTCGCCCTCCTTCCATCGATGCACCCACTACCCCTACCACCGATCGTCCAAGATCGCGCATTCGTCCCAACCTCGGGCCCGAGCTGCTCGTCGTCGACGAAGAGGGTCGTCAGCATCAAGCCACACAAGACTCGGATCCTAAGCGCTCCAACCGTCCCAACCTCCCTCTCTCCAATAGTTTCAACAGCCAATCACCCAGCAGTCTCATCTCGAGCGCTCCCAGCAGCCCAGGCAATCGCCCACCACTCGACCAGCGCAAGCAACCGCACAGTTCCGCCTCCAGCTTCATCGGCGGACCCATCCACGACGAGCCCGACGCGCACGAGCCCGACGGCGACCTTACAGCGCGCACGCTCGCATCGCCAGGTCCCAGTTCTACCGCATCGAGCGTCTCTAGCGACGACGAGCTCGGCGACAGCGCCTTGGCGTCCGACTCGGACGACGGCCAAGACAACATGCTCAAGATCCAGTCGCTCAGCCTCGAACATGGCGAGACTTTGACAAAGGAGCAGCTCAAGCGCCGCAAGAAACTCATCCGTCGCGAAATTCGGCGTCGCAAGGCCAACGGCGAGCTCTTGGACGACCTCGCTCAGATGCAGGGCAAGGCAGGTCAGCTGGGCAATTTGGTCTCTTCACGTGTCTCCAAAGGTCTCCACTATGCCTCCAGCCAGAGCCGCAATCGCCGTGCCATGGACCGCTACTCGCCTCATCCCATGCAGCTCGCCCTGCAGACCTCCGATCTGCCACGCAGCACCTCGGCTCAGAGCGCAGGATTCGATCGCACCAACACGCCATTTTCCGCCATCGCACCGTCGATCTCGCGCGGCAGCAATGCCTTCAGTCAGCGTAGAGAGTCGGTCGCCACCGTGGCCAGCAGCCGCAGGAGCTCCATGACTGGCGCCGAAGACGACGATCTGCAAGACCCGGATGCGGCCGGGCCGACGCGCAGATTCAGCGGCGTCGATCGCTCCATCTTGAGCTCGCGCAACAGCATCCGCAAGTACCTCCACGCGCCCAACGTGCTCAAACGCCATCGTCGCAAGAAGTGGGAAGCCGAGATGGACGCTTTCGAGCGCGCAGCAGAGGCAGAGGCGAATAAGACCGACCCTGACGCCGAGTTAGACCAGATGCTCGCCAAACACGCCCAGCAGCAGGCACCCTCGGACGCGGACAAGGTCAAGTACGAGTTCGACGTGCTCTACGAGAATCAGCGCGGCCTGCTGGTGTTTGGCATCCCAAAGTTCAGCCCTCGCACGCTCTTCCAGTGGGACCCCTCGCCCTGGACCGCGGCCAACGGCAAGCGATCGCCCTACAACATCGCCAACGCACAGCTGCCCGATCCGTCGTGGGAGTGGGCGTATCACGAATGGTACATCGACATGACCGGCGACGTCGACGAGGCGGGCTGGCAGTACAGTGGCAATTTCGGGCGCAGGTTCTGGCCCAACGTCCACTTCCCGCACGGCAGAGTCGGCCTGCCCAAGACGGGCGTCGAGGGGATCAAAGAGATGAATGCGCGTCTTGCCGAGAAGGAACGAAAGCGCGAGGAGAAGGAGGAGCAAAAGGAAGATGGCGGGTTTGAGGCACTCAAGCGCACGGCGCGCGCGCGCTCGAGCAAGTGGACAGGCTCGCCAGACGCTTGGACTTTTGTGCGACGACGCCGCTGGATCCGCCTCCGTCGTAGGAAGCCGCTCTTTGGCGCTCATGCTGGCAAGACGCCTACCACAGAAGGACAGGAAAAGCCCGGAACACCTGCACAGGAAGTTGGTCTGCCGGATCTCGGCGGCAAAGCACCAATATCGCCGGGTAAGATCGGCGTCAAGCCTGGACATAGCGATGACGAAAACAACGGCGAAAGCCCCTTGGGTGGGTCCGACGAGTCGGACCTGTCTTCAAGCGAAGACGACGAGGTGCTCCATGCGCCTGCCTTGGGCGGCTCGTCGGGCTTCTTGCCGCGGCGCTTGCCTGGCGGCCTCTCGAACGGCGCTGACCCGACCAAGACCAAGGATCGTCTGCAGAGGCGACGCGCACGCAAACACGCGCGCGAGTTCACGGGCACCATCCGCGAGCTCAAGAGTCTGCTGCCGAGCATCATCGCCATGGACCGCAAGGCGGGCACGCGCGGACCGACCGGCCTCACGGCGAGTGCAAGCTCGTACAGGTGGGCCATGCTCAAGATCAACAAGGTCGACGCACGCAATCCGTTCATCAGCTGGCACTTTGTCAAGCACCGACTGCAGGACGAGGACATGGCGTTTGCGGCTTCCACACTGCGGACCATGGAGCGCAAGTATCAGCAGCGCCAGCTTGCGGCCATACGCAAGAAGGGTGGGGACCAGCCAGATGTCGGCACGGCACCTTCGCATCCGCCCATCCCGTCGAGACTGCTCGATGCCTCGCGAGGCATCCGCTTTGGTGACGGCGAGCCTTCCACGGGACTCAAGGCCGGCAACGACGAGACATCGCCGCGTCCGGCGACGCTGGGTTTGCAGGAGCCGTTTGCGCAGAGTCCAGCCGAGGGCCACGAGCTCACGCGCGAGGCGCTGGTCGAGATCAACTTTGTGCGTGTGCTGCGCGTGCTGCGTGCATGCAAGGTGGATCGGCAGCGCATGGATCTGTGGAAACTCTGGCTGGGCGTGATCACGCTCGACTCGCTTGTGGAGACGGTGCGGCGCGAGGATCTTGTGGCGCTCGGGCTGGTCGTGCCCGCCGAAGCCGGTACCGAATCTGGCATGCCCGAAGCAGCGTCGCCGTCGTTGCTGGAAGCGGCGAATGCGAGCGGAGGCAGTTCGTTCCGCTACCGGCAGCGTGCCGAGAAGGCGCGTGCGCGCTGGCGGAGTGCGTTGGCCAAGCCGGATGCGTCGGATGTGTGGGACGTGCTGGAGCGCAAGCTGGACGAGGTGCTGCTGCTGTTTGAGTTCCAGAGCAACCGGGCGCAGCTGATCCGGCTGCTGCTCACGGTGCACGAGCAGCTGCATCCGGACCATGTGTATCGCGATCGGTCGCTGCGGGCGAATCCGGTGGAGCTGTCTCCGGCGCACGTGCATGGCGATGCGGCCGAGATGGGCGGACCCGAGGTGGGCGGTGCGTTTGGATCGCGCCTGGGCGGATGGAAGAGGGCGGGCGTGCCGAGGCTCGAGTTCTTTTCCGACCTGCAGCGCATCCTCGCCGCACTGCCGGGCAACGATGCCACCACCAACTCGCAGTACATCCTCAGCCAGCCTTCGCCGAGCGACGAGATCGTCGCCATGCCGCTGGGCATCCACAGCAATCCGCTCATCGATAAGCTCGAGGCCGAGGCCGAGTCGGATGCGTTCCTGGACGGCGAGCATATCCCCAACGCCAGTCCGGTGGAGATGCGGGGGGAGGGGAGAACGGAGTTGTTGCAGGCAAGGGAGGCGGCGAGATTGGCGGTACCGAGAACGCCGTCGCCGTTGGGAAGGCCGCCGTCGGTGCCGCTGCCGTTTAGGAACTCGCCGCTGTCGCCACCCGTGGTGCCCGAGTCGCAGACTACCGCCTCGTCCAGGCCGCAGAGCACGGCGTCCGTGCAGGAGCGCGCACCCGCACCCGGGTCTGCTGAGCTCACACCCGCCTCGTCATCGCCCGGCGCAGAAGCTGCAGGCCAGCGCGAGGATGTCAACAAAACAGTCACGGCTGTCGAGCCCCACGTCGGCACACGACCAGGCAGCGGGCCCCGACCGCCCATCCCGGTGAGATCCGGATCCGTATCCCCCGTCAAGCAGAGAGGGCCGCTCTAGACTTGGCCCTCAGCGCCACTCGGACGCCCATTTTTTATACCACGCACTTTGGATTGCTGCAATGCACACACACACATTCGTTTTAGCATTGCACGGCGCGCAGTCGGATTTGCGAGAGAGGGAGGATGCGATTGCAGTGATGCGGGGGATCTTCACAGCACAATGTCGTCGGCGTGGTAGTTTTCCTTGACGAGTCTGTAGACGTACGAGGGCGGATGTTCGCCGACGTTTGTGATAAAGACATCCACCAGATGCGGCGGGACGTAGTCGAGGGCGTTTGAAGCGATTTCGGTGTTCTCAACGATGCTGGTGCTGGTTGCATAGTGCATGAGAGCTGCTGGACCGAGTGCGCCCACGGATGCGGCGTTGGAAAACGTCTGGATCTCGGACCACTCGGGGCAGATCTTGTACACACCCGTTGTGATCACCACGGGCGTCGAGTGTTGTCGTGCCGCCAGCGCGGTGGCAAACGCGCCCGAGTGCGCCATCAATCCGCCGTTGGCCAAAACAGCATGCGCACCAAGCACCACCTTGGACACGCGCGGCATCACGCCAAAGATCGAACTGTCCGGAATCAGCAGTACCGAAATCCCCGCCTGACTCAACGCGCGCGCCAGATCGTGCCCCGCATACGAAGGCGCCGTCTCCGGCACAATCACCGTAAACTTGCGGTCCTTGGCAGCAGCAAGGAAGAAGCTCTGCACCGTCGCAGACGCTCCCAGCGTAAGAATCACCTCGCCAGAATGAATGTGATCGCGCGACACTTTTGCAATGTTGTCATCCACTGTCTCCAGCTCGTCGATCAGGTCCTGGATCGCCTGGATCAGGAGCGGCTTCAAAAAGTACGCGCCCGCCGACTTCTTGCCCGTGATCAGCTGCGCGTCTCCCTCGTCGCTCTCGTCGTCGTCCTCATCATCATCGTCCTCGTCATCCTCGTCCGACTCGGACTCGGTCTCATCGTCCCCGGCGCGAAGCGTGGATCTTCGCGACCTGGATTCGGCCTCTTCCGCCTCAGCCTCACCGGCGGCATCCTCAGCCAAGCTGACCGTCGACATGTGCTGCTGGAGCTGCGAGAAGCTCGAGTCGAACACGCCGGAGCCCTTGCGCGAAAGCGATGCGTGCGGCGTGGAGGCGTAGCTGCCGTCGGCGGGCGTGTGCGCGAGGCTGCTGCTGCTCGAAGCGGCCATAGCGCCCGCAGCCACCAGATCCGAGATGGAGAAGCTGCCGTGCACAAAGGCCGACGAGCCCGAGCTCGCGGGTCCCGACTCGGATCCGCCGCGCAGCGGATGCGGACCGGGCCGCGTCAACGAATGCGAGCCCACACCGGCCGAGGACGACGACGAGGGGAACTGCGAGTGCAAAGTGCTTCCACCCAGACTGCGGTTGAGGCGCGCGCCTGGCGACTGAACGATGGGGCCGGAAGAGTGCGATCCCGAAGCGGCCGCCGAATGACCAGGCACTGGCGCTCCGAACGCGCTCGCCAGATGCAGATCCGAGATGGAGTTGCTCAAGCTGTTGATGCCACTACCCGAGCCACTGCCGCGTCCGCTTTCGAGCTCCTTCTCGCGTGCCTCGATGAGCGCTGCTTTGGCCTCTTCGCGCAGCAGATGCACGATGCGCCTCGTGATGTTGCCGATCGACTGTTCGGCGGGCTGCGAGAGCTGCAGATGGCGTCCGGCAGCCTTGATGATGTCGATGAGCTCCTGCATGGACGAGTACTTGGCCGACGACACGACGCTACGCAGCGTCTTGGCCGTCGCCTCGGACACCGCCTCGGGCCCCGTGATCTGGCCTCGTCGCAGCCGCAGCGACAGCGCGATCAGCAGCTTCTGCGACGACTTTTCCTTGATGATCGTCTCGAACGGCGCATGGTGCGTAAGCTTGGGCGTCGGCAGCCCGGCTCCGGACAGATTCGTAGAGGCTGTCATGGCGGCCGATGTACTGGTGTCGAGAGATGTGCAAGAGGAGGTGGTGGTGCAAGGTGATTGACTGCGTGAAGGAAGTCTCGCACAAGTGCAGCCCACCCGCCGCTTTTTTCTCGTTGGCTTCGCAGTCGCCAACTCGTGCGAAAATCGGGTGGAGCAGAATTTCTAGCTGTTAGAGTAGAGCCTTGTGTATGGCCAAAGCATGCGAAAATAAACAGGCAGCTGCAGCGTCGTCTTTTCTTTGCCTTCTTTTCCGAGCTCATTTTCGTACGTCTTTGCTCGAACACAAACTATTGCAGACGGCGCATCTCACAGAGCCATGGCCTCTACGGTGCTGCTGTGGTCGCAGGCCATACGAGTAGTCACACTCCGTCGCACGAGTTCGGCTCTCGCCCAAGTCTCCAAAACACACTCGAATGCATGGGCAATGTCGCTGGCACGATCCATTCGAAACACATCCTAGAGTACAAAAATCGAGACCGGAACACAAAGTAGCGAAAAGATAGAGAGATCGAGGTGCGGAGCTATCGTCGTGTAGCACCGAGGTTCATGTTGAGCGGCGTGGGGCTGGGAGCCGAGTAGGTGTCGTCCCTGTCGACGAGCGGTCTGCCGCCGTGAACGGTGCCCATCTCGTCGACGTGGCCCCAGACCTTGAACGACTCTTCGCCGCGCGCGTCGCCTGCTCCCGCGCCTGCCGGCTTGGTCTGGGCACCGGCCGAACCGCCACGCGCGGCCGTGGCGCCGCGCGCCTGCGCCGGGTCTCGCACGCCAAAGAGCGTGTCGTCCTCGATGCTGCGCCCCGCCTGCTTGGGCTGGTTGAACGACGAGATGGTGGAGCTGGTCCAGCCCGAGTTGTCCTGCTGGCTGCCTGCGCCCAGCCGGCTGTTGCTCGACGCCGACATCTTGGCTGCCGACGACAGCATCGAACCCGCCATGCTCTCGCCGCCATCATCCGACTCGCTGTCCGACGACTCGTCGTCATCATCGTCATCGTCTTCGTCATCGTCGACAGGAAGCATGCCCGCAGCTCGCAGGTTGAGTCCGCCAAACCGGCGATGCACCTCGCCCGCCTCGTCGCCAGCACCGGCCGCGTTGAGCTCCAGCCCCTCGTCGGCGTCCATCAAGAGCGCAGCCGAACTGACGTTGGCCGAAGACGCGCCCGGCGTCGTCTCCGGGGCGACGCTGATGCCGCGCTTGGTGAGGGTCGGCGGTGTGGGAATCGAGTTGCGTCGTTTGGCGGAGCCACGCTGCTTCTCGAGCTGCTTGGCCTCCTTGCGGCTCATGCGCAGCGGTGTCGACACGGGCTGCTTGCGCGAGCTCGCTGATGGCGCCTCGTCATGACCGACGCGCGATCGTGATGCGCTCTTGGGCCAGGCTCGCGGCGCCGGGCTCGAGGCCCCGACGCTGCGAAGCAGGTCGTCGACCATCATCTTGGCCGCCTCCTTGGCAGGCGTCTGGGCGTACCGGCTCTGGGGCACCGAGAACTGCATGGTCACAGGAGGCGACATGCCGGCGGGCCATCCGAGCGAATCCTTGTCCGACGAGTCCGAGTCCCACTCCGAATCGTCGTCGGCACGCCCAGATTTAGCCTTGGACGCGTGCTTGCTGCTCCCCGGCGCCGCGCCCTTGGACGAGCGGGAACCCTTGATCTTGGAGGTGAGCGGTGTCTTGCGCAGATCTACGATGCCGTCCCACATGCGCACGCTCGGCGGCGCAAACGGATTCGACTTGGACTTGGAGCTCCTCGGCGTGGCCTGGATCTTGGTGTAGCTGAGCCGGCCCTTGTTGCGCTTGTGCTCCGAGTCGAGCACCTTGTTGAGCAGCGCTCCCTTCTTGGGCGTCGACGACGTCTTCATGCGACCACCGGCCGAGGCCGCCGACGGCTTGAAGTGTGGGAGATCGTGGAGCGACGAAGCGTTGGAGCTGTCGGGGTCCACGTGACGAGCGCCACGGCCAGCATGCGTCGAACCGAGGTTCTCGATTCCATGTGCCAGAGCGGCACGGTCACGTTCGGTCTCGCCGTTTCCAAAGGCGCCATTGCCCTTTGTCGATGCCAGCATGGAGCTCTGGTCGAGCGTCGACTCGGCCATGTCTCGACCGAGGTTGGTGGTGATGTCGCGACGCAGACGCTCAAAGGGCGACTCGGCGGGGTCGAACATGTTTTCTTGGTCTTCGCGGTCTCGCGGCTTTTGCTGCTTGCGCTGAGCGGCTTCCCTGCGAGCAGCTGCTGCCATGGATGCATTGCTGAAGCGAGGGGGTGACGCCACGCGTGCTCGGTCGGTAGGCAACTGTTCGAGGCCGCTGTCGTCGGCGGCGTCGTTGGCATCGACGTCGCGGGCATCCGAAACGGCGGAGGCGTCCACGTCCGTGTAGATGATGGAGCCCGTCTCGGAACGCGGGCTGCGACCGTCGTCTTCGGAAGTGAAGGAGGCATTCTCCCGCGAATCGTTGGCGCTGCGAGTGACGTCGCCGTGCTGCGAGTTGGCATCGTACTCGGACTCGGTCTGGACGTGTGCTGTGAGCGAGACGTTTGCGGCGACCTCGTAGAAGGTCTTCCAGAACTTGGCGCCCTGCCACACGCGGGCGCTCGCCACGCCGTACTCCTTGACAGCGGGCAGGATGCGCGAGGTGACGATCTGATGTGCGGTGGCGAAGTTCTGGTCGATCTCTTGGAGCGTCAGTGTGATTGCCTGGTCGAGCTCCATGATCTGACCGGTGACCGACTGATTCGGCAATGCTACATGAGCATTCATGGCTCCAGGATGGAGCGACTGGCGTGGAGGAAGCGACATTGCGATGGATCTGCGGCTGTGTGGCTACCGTCGTCGCCAATTGGCACAGGAAGATGGCTGAGGTCCGACCAGGGTTTCGCCGGTGTCTGCAGTTGAGCGAGTGGCACGCCTCGAGGTGTGGTCGCGAACTGGATGGTGAAAATGCTGGATCGACGAGGCGAATCGAACTCGGAGGTCGAGATGGTTGTCGTAAGGATGCTGGTCGCACCTTCTGCGCTCTGTTGATCTCTGCGTGTGTTGCTCTCTGGCCAATTGGTGTTTTTTCGCCCATCAGAACGCGTCGAGACGGAATCTCAGGCACAGGAGCAGTGTGTGTTTGTTTCCGCTCGCAATCGAGACGCGTCGCGAGTGATGGAAGCAACACTGCCGCAGTGCCTGTCACTTTGGCTCACCTCCGCAGCTTTCGAGCCAGAAATGCGCTGCTCCGCTCCCGCAAAGTCTTCTCCGCCCATAGACAGCGCGCGCGCGCTCGTCCGCGAGAGATCATCCTCCCGCGCCACATGTCCTCTCGCTACCGACCCTCAGGGCTGCCGCGTATGCCTGTATCGCTCCCACCTTGCTGCTCAGGTTCACCACATGGCTGAATCAGCGCACAAATGTGAAATGGCAGGAGATCTCTGAAACGGTTGAAAACGGTATCCGATGCGTATCGAGACAAGAGAAGAAACTGCGACAAGACGAGATACTGAGGACTAGACTGAGCCAAGTGCATGCGGGAGACGGAACAAGAGAACAGCGTGAAAGCAGCGGAGGAACCATGGCGGCGAGGTGACAGGAGAACGTGCGAACAGAACGGATATGAAATTTTGCCCAGCAATCACGTCTCGAGCGCCTCTTCATTGGCAGCACCCGTGGCGGCGAGCAGCGACTGCAGGATGGTCTTCATGGTGACAACGTGTCTAGGTATGCCGTTCTGCATGGCTTCGCCAAAGAAGCCCGATACGAGCATGTTGCCAAACGGCGACGACGGCGATCCTGCCGACGAGGCTGCCGAGCCTGCGGTTGGTGTGACTGGTGTCCAGGATCCTTGGCTTCGGTGCGCTGCCTGCATACCGAACTGGCGCGACGAGTTGGTCTCGTCCAACGAAAAGTGGGCGAGCGAGAGCGATCGCGGTCGCAGCGGTCGGGCGGCCGAAGACGTTCTGATGTGCGCCGACATGGCGGCACTCCCCGACTTGGGCAGCGAGGCGAGCGAGCTCGACAGCGTCAGTTCGGGCTTGTTGCTCGCCCTGCGTTCTCGGCCCGTTTCGCCACCAGTGGCGACGGCAAAGGTGGGAAGTGGCGGACGCGAAGTTTCGGACGAGCCACCGCTGAACGAAGTTCGCGGTGCGGTCCAGAACTGCGTCGACGAGCGTCGATGCTTCTGGGCAGGTGCCGGAGTGAAGCTCACCGACCTGCTGAGCGGCATCATGTCCGTGTCGAGCGAAAGTGCCGGTAGCTCTTTGCCCGGCGAGGCCGACACACACGACAGCGGAGGAGTCATGACCACCTTGGGCTCGTCCACCACATATACGCCTCCCGCCTCGGTCGCAAGCAGGATGGCAGCGACCCTCGCCACGCTGGCCGAGTTGCTTACCGAGACTGCTGGATGTGCATCCTTTCCGTCGGTGCCCTGTGGATGGCGCGAGCGGAGGCTCTTGACCACGGTTGAGAGCGGCGTGGTGAGGATCTTGCGCGATGCGGATCGGAGGATCTCCTGCGAGATCTCGCGCGACGAGACGGGCGAGATGAGGCCTCCGACCGGATCCATCACTGCCAGCACCGAGAGCTGCTCGGCCTGCATTCGCACCAGCGCATCCACCGTGCTGCGATCGCCCGAGATCACCGCAGCCGGCTGCTGCAGCACAACGGCGGTGAGGGCATCGAGCGTGGTGGAGAGCGCGTTGGCCAGTACAGAGTCGCGCTCGGCCTCGGCAACGACGAAAGCCACCACGTCGGTGGCAGTCAGGATGCCACACACCGCACCGTCGTCACTGCGGCGAGCGTCGGATACGACGAGACAGTTGACGTCGGGCTGGCTCAGCAGGCCCAGGATGTCGGCGAGCGGAGTGTCGAGCGACACATGTCGAAGCGCGTTCTTGCCCGAGAGGTTGGAGATCATCGAAGCGGCCACGGCGCGCTTGGCGTCGAGTTGCGCGCGGACCTTGCGAATCTGAGCGACGCGCTCCGTCGGTGCTGCATGTGCGCCAGGAAAGACAAAGTCCGAGGGACTTGCCATGGGCGACGCTGGCGGCGAGACGGGATCGTGCACACTACTTTTGGAGAGTTGCGGTGCAAAGACCACGGCGAAGAAAGCCGAAAGATCCTCGAGGCCCAGCAGACCGACGCAGTCGGATGTGGTGAGCTTGGAGAGGCCACGGGTAGTGCTGCTGGTGTGTTTGCGCTCGGGTTTGCGCTCGAGCAAAATCCAGGTCTCGGCGTGGTCGGCTTCCGCAAGCCTCTCGCCTGCCGATTCGATGCTTCCATCATGCGGAAACACGACAAGGCGCGAACGCGTGCTGCTGTCGCAGGAGAGCACATCTTCGGCGGTGAGACATGCGAGTCGATGGTTGAGCTCTACCGCTGCAAACGGATCCTGCACTGCAGACAGCGGGAACGCGGTCGCGCCGCCCAGTGGGAAGCTGATCGAGAGGTCGGATCCCGCATCCGAGCTGCATCGAAAGTGGCTTCGAGGCGAGCTGTGCGACGGCGACGACGGCGTCGGAATCCAGATTGGCCTTGTCTGAGAGAGCGCCATGGCGATCGTTCTGTTGTGCGAGCCCAGGCCAGCGTCCTTACGATCCAGCGTTGAGCCTGAAGTGGGCGAAAAAGATGCTGGGAGTTCCAGGGCAATGTGTTGCTCGAACCTAAAGGCGCGGCTCGGTCAGGGCCGAGGGCGAAATGAAGTCGATGGCCTGCTGACGATGCAAGTGAGCCTAATTGCACGCGCGCTGATACCGATAAGGGCGACGACAAAGATGGCACGACGCTAACAGCTGGCAGAGAACCGGGACGGGGATGGTGGAACAAACGAAGGCGAAGCTGGAGGAAGTTCAAGCTTGGCCAGGACGAGAAGATGCATAGCCTCGAGGCAGCTCACGAGGTCTCAAGGTAGCGCCAGAGCCGGCATCGCAAGCATGGCAGAAGGAGTGGGTGTGAAAATGCGCAAGCTATGACATCTCTCGTGACCTGCAGGACAAGGGACTTTCGAGCGGCCGCCTATGCCTGGGTGGCTTTGGCAACGCAATCCAGCCTTGTGGAGCAGCGAAGGATACCGAGTTCTGGACACGCCCGTTTGCGAAGAGGCAGCGGCTCGGCAAGGAGCAGAGCTATTGTTCACCGATGCGCCGGCCACAAACGCCATTGTTGCGAATGCGAGCTTGGACCCACGACAGCTCGCAGGGTTGCGGAGGAGGTCTAGTGGCTTGAAAAGTGGCGGAGTTTTGCACGTCTGGGAAAAGTGGCAACGCAAAAGCAGAGGCCAGGTGGCCCGGTTGGCCAGGTGCCCAATGCAAGCCAGCGCGGGACGTATGCCGATGGTCGCAATCAGAGCAAAGACGCCGGAACAATGGCAGCCAAGAGACTACGTAGCGCGGCGGGGCTTGAAGAGGGTGCATTGGTTGCTCTGCGCTGCAGGTCGCTTGGGCGGGGGAAGGGTGAGGCGACAAACAAGAGCCAACTTTTTTTCGGTGCGTCGGCATCAAGCTAGGCGAGCGAAGGGCTGCAGCGGCCAAGTGGGAAAGCCTCGGCAGGAGCAACAGGGTGGAATGCTCCAGTTTCACCAGCACCTTTGGCCGAGAGGCAGCAGCAGCAGGAGCTTGAGCAGCGGCTGTCGTGATTTACCCCGCAAAAGCATGGTCGAAGTGAAACTCGGCAACGTGACAAAATCGAGGCCAGGCAGGGCGACAGCTTAAAATTTGGAAGGCGCCAGGGCTTGAATGAAGCCTGCACGACCTCAGTGAGACAGACCCACTCACCCACCCCAACAGCGCGGGTCTGGACACGCGGCGGTGGATGCAATTCTGTCAGAGGCTTGACTGCGCAGGTCCAAGCGGCACACCCATGCAGGGACACGCATGAATGAGGACACTTCGAAAGGGCGGACCACCAAAGCCCAGGGTGAGCCGACAAAGTGCGAGAGAGAGAGAGCAAGAGAGAGGGCTGTCCAAGTGCCGTCGAGTACGGATGTTCCCATGGGATCTCGCTTTGCAGTGTCATAGCGCCAAACTTTGCGTTTCTGCTCGCTCGCAAGCGGAGTCGGCAGCTGCCCGAGCTCTAGCGACGCCCAGCGCTTTCGCGTGCGTGAGCCGAGCCGAGCCTTTTTTTTCACCCGGACCGTGCCAAAGCCAACTTCGACCCAATTTTTTCGGCAGCCTTCCCATGGCGGGCGTCCAAGCTTTCGGCAGATCATTCGTTCAGGGGGTGTGAGAAAGCCAATCGCAGCCATCCATTGTGCCGGTCAAACCCCCGAGATTGTGTTGCTCCATGGAGTCGACTTCCATCGCATAGCATCGCTCGTCGAAGTGGGTAGGTGCGGATCCGTGTGTTTTGCATTGCCTGCGCATCCGATGCTGCGCCGCTTCTATGCACAGAATCAGCGCACTCGCAGTCGGGTATTCAGCGGATGAGCCTGATTGGTGCAGCTTTCAAGCGGCTGTGAGCTTCAGATTTAATTCGAATTGCCCGCACGTGATGCTTCAAGGACGAGAATTCGTTGAAAGCGGCACGAGATAACCAAGCTCCACACCTTGACTGCGAGCCAGAGTTGCTTCCGACTCCCGATCCTAGGCCGAAAGAAATTTGGAGAAAAGTTGGAAGGATCTCGGGAGTCATGTCGAAGCCTCAAGCGGACATGGGGACGATCCAATGAGAGCAGAAGACATCTTGCCGCACACCTTCTTCCCCACACTCTACCATTATACACCGGTGACACGCACATCGCTCCGAGCGACTCCCCACAACCAAACTTCGTCAGACTTCGGCAAGTGCATCTCACGGCGAACGACATGGAGCAAAGGGTGGTCGGAGTGCTCGGCGCGGGCCAGCTCGGCCGCATGTTCGTCGAGGCGGCTGCGCGACTCAACGTGCAGGTGCGTCTGCTCGACGTGGGCGACACGGCTCCAGCCAAGCAGATCAACTACCTGCCCGGGCCGGACTGCAAGTCGCAGCACATCGACGGCAGCTTTGCCGACCCGGAAAAGATCCGCGAGCTCGCATCGCAGGTGGACGTGCTCACCATCGAGATCGAGCACGTCGACGCCACGCAGCTCCAAAAGGTGCTCGATGACAAGCTCGTCGATGCGGTGCACCCGCTTCCGTCCACTATCGCTCTCATCCAGGACAAGTACCTCCAGAAGGTCCACCTCGCCGCCAAGGGCCTCCCGCTCGCAGAGTACCTGGCTGTGGGCCCCGAGGACATGTCCAAGGCCACCGATGCCTCGCAAGCACGCGCAGCGCAGATCGAGGCGGTGAGCGAGATCGGAAAGGTGTTTGGATTCCCGCTCATGCTCAAGTCGAGGACGCAGGCGTACGACGGCAAGGGCAACTACGTGGTCAAGTCGGCCGACCAGGCTGCCGAGGCGGTGGCGGCGCTGGGCGACGGCAAGCGCGGGCTGTACGCCGAAAAGTGGGCGCCGTTCGAGCGCGAGGTGGCGGTGATGGTGGTGCGCAGCGCGACGGGCGAGGTTCGCGCCTACCCTGCGGTCGAGACGGTGCACAAGAACAGCATCTGCCACACGGTGTTTGCGCCGCTGCGCACCGCCGATCCGGGCGTCGAGGCGCGCGCGCGCCAGATCGCCGAGCAGGCCGTGGCCACGTTCGGTGGTGCGGGTGTGTTTGGCGTGGAGATGTTCCTGATGCCCAACGGCGAGCTGCTCATCAACGAGATCGCGCCGCGTCCTCACAACTCGGGCCACTACACCATCGAGGCGGCGGACACGAGCCAGTACGAGAACCACGTGCGTGCCATCCTCGGACTGCCGCTCGGCAGCACCGCTCTCAAGGTGCCCTCGGCCGCCATGATCAACATCCTCGGCCTCGCCGATCTGGACAAGGACCCGGAGGCGGTGGCCAAGACGCTCGTCCCGGGCGTCGTGAGCCTCGACGTGCCGGGCACCACCTGTCACCTGTACGGCAAGACGGGCTGCCGCAAAGGCAGGAAGATGGGCCACATTACGATTGTGGGCCAGAGCGACGCCGAGGTGCGCTCGCGCCTGCGTGTCGTCGAGGAAGGGCTGGACCGCGCTACGCAGCTGGCCGAGGAGGGCGGCAAGCTGCCTGCCGAGCTGACGCTGCCCGGCGTCGTGGCGCAGAATGCGTCGGCATCGTCGTCGGCATCCAAGACCGGCTCCGTTTCGGCCAAGTCGGCGCAGGACTTTTCGCACCCGCAGCCGCTGGTGGGCGTCATCATGGGATCGGACAGCGACTTGCCGGTGATGATGGCGGCGGCCGAGATCCTCAAGAAGTTTGACGTGCCTTTCGAGCTGACGATTGTGAGTGCGCATCGCACGCCGGACCGCATGCGCACCTACGCTCGCAGTGCGGCGGCGCGTGGACTGCGAGCGATCATCGCAGGTGCGGGTGGCGCAGCGCATCTGCCCGGCATGGTGGCGGCGCAGACGGCTTTGCCCGTGATCGGCGTGCCGGTCAAGGGGAGCACGCTCGACGGCGTCGACTCGCTGCACAGCATCGTGCAGATGCCGCGCGGCATCCCCGTGGCCACCGTGGCGATCAACAACAGCACCAACGCCGCACTCCTCGCCGTGCGCATCCTCGCCGCCGCCGACCCCACCTACCTCGACAAGATGCAGAACTACATGCACCAGATGGAGGAAGAGGTCAACGGAAAGATCGACCGCCTCGCCACCGAGGCCTGGGACTACACTGTCAAGAAGTAGACTCTCTGCTTCACTCGAGCCACGCAATAGAGTAGAATGATTCCGTATCGAAGTCTTTGCTATCCGCCATGACGGTCGCCGTCGTCGATGATGGAATGGCAGCCACGATGCGACATCCGACGGGATTTGCATGCGGTGCCTGCATGCCCACTTTGCGAAAAATGGCACGCAGCGTCATGGGCATTCGAGCCGAGATTCCATTGATAAAGGTTCGCACCGGTCCGGGCTTTAGACCCAGGCTATGAGAGCGGTTTGTTCGGCGACCACCTGTCGCGTGGACACACACACAGAGGGGTGGGAGCCAAAAAAAAAGGTGGGCGACGCGCGGTTCGGGTTTTTTGGCCTTCAACATCGATGATGCTCATGCTTCGCTGCTGTGCTGCTTTGATGCGCGTTGGGGGCGCTTGGTTTTTCCCACGGCAAAGGCGTGGCTGAATTTCGCAAGTCGGCGCGGGCCAAGGCAATCCGCCAAGGCAAAGTGTCACTTCGTCGGCCGCTTGATTTTGTGAATTTCCTGCCTCACTGCCAGACTGCAAGCGGCGCTGTCACAGATGCAGGGTGATGTGGGCTCGGCCTTTCTCGCTCCCCTATCTTTCGGGCGGCGTGCGAGTGTTGGCCCGCGCCGCCCTTGACCCTGCGTTCCAATCTCTGCAGCACGTCGCTTTCCTTTTTTTGTCTCAATTCGCCCTGTCCACCTGCAGTGTGCCGAGCTGTCAAGGATGAGTGTACCTAACCACAACCGCCCAAGCGAGTCAAAGCAGGCGGCACCAGCAGCACAAGCAGCGGCGGCGGCGTGTGACTTTGGACAGAAAGGCCAAAGAGCGCATGGCCGCTGCACTGCCTTTTCCCCCCACCCCTCAGCACAGCGCTGCGACTTAATTTCGCCGCCCGTGCCTTGGCCCGCCTGCCTAAGTTACCTGCCAAATTGGAGTGAGTGGATGCAGCCGGTGGTGCGGCGCTGTCCGGCCTGCTGCGCAACCCCGCTCTAATGCAGTGTCCCCTTGTCGCTCTGTGCCGCCCTCTCCTGTTGCGCAGCTGCCCGGCCGTCATTCCAGTTTTGGTTCCAGAGCCGGCCCTCTCAGCCATATGCCGCTGCGCTGCCCTGCTGCGCTGCTGCCCTTCTCCGCCTCTGCTCTGCATCTGTACATCCGTTCCTTAGCCGCTTCACCCGCAATCCGTCTTTGCATGGCGCAGGAGTCGACAAAGTTGGGCATGGCCTCCTCCTCCTCCTTCTCCTCATCCTCGCCGCACGCACTCCTTCATCTCGCGCTTCCTCCACCACCGCGTCGCATTCCGGTCTTCATGCACTGAGACCACCGCTTCGCTCGCTCACCCCATCAAACCCCCACCACTCGTTCCAACCGGGGTTCATCACGCGTTCATTACAAGGGCCACTTTGTTCGCCGCTTGCGTCCCACTCCCGCTAGCTTGGGTCGAGTCTCACCCACCCACCCTGCCACCCACCCCTCTGCATTCCCGTTCCGACCCCTGCGCTGGGTCAATGCAACGATCTCCGTCCTGCGTCTCACTTTGAGCACTCGAAGCAGCTGCTCACCGTTACCGACAGAAGTCGCCGCTTCTTAGCTGCCCCTTGGCGAGGCGCGTCCGGCATCATTACCCCACCGATCGGCGCCGTGCGTGCTCGCATCCGCATCATCGCCACCACCACCACGCACTTGCCTCGCATCTCGCATCTCGCCTCTGCCTTACTTTCACCCCAAGCCCACCCACCACGCCCCCCACACGCGTCGTGCATCAGTCCAGCTTCGGTGGTACAGTAACGCTCGCACGACCCGTGCCTGTACCCCCTTCCGCCTCAAGCGCGTCTGCCAGGCATCCGTGCCCTCCTCCTCATCATCTGCACGAGCGATCCCTTCAACGTCTGTTGCTGCCGCTACCTTTGCAACCACCATCTCGCTCAACCATCACAGCTGTCCCACTCATCAATACACATACGCCCGACCTTCTTTCGATCCAGCACCAACTGGCTGATCGCACACTGATTCCATCAGCCTCGCCACCTCGCCAACCTCTTACTTGCTCTGCGCCATGTCGCAGACTGCCGGCCATGCGCAAGTGTCGTTGCATCCTCTAGCTTCGCGCCACGGCGGCGTCTCGTCCACTCTTGTCTCGGTCAACCTTCCAGCTGCTAAAGCCGAATCGCCGCGCCATGGCCCTGCGCAGTACGCGCAAGATCCGTGTGCTTCCTCCAAGCAAGACCATGGCACGCCGCGCTTGCATCCATCCTCGCCTACCCACACTGCCTCGCGTCGCTGCCGCGCTCGATCGCCTTCACCCAAGTCGCTCCCATCGCCCGCACAATGTTGCGAGCCGCCATCGTACGGTATCCAGCATGCGGACCTCGACGACTATCCCATCATCTCCGACGAGCCTCTCCCCTCCGACTCGGCCAGTGATGACGAGAGCCAGGACGACGACGACAGCATCGTGGCCACCGTCGACGATCGCTCTTCACATCGTGGCTCCCGCCGCCTGTCCAAACGGAACCTGGCTGCACCCATCCGCGCCATGTCCGCTGCCCAGCTCGCCGCACTGCACGACCAGTATGTTTCGCTCGACGTGCCTCACCACGTCGTCTTCCCCTACCTTCATGGCGTCGATGGCAGCATCCCTGCGCAGAACGCCTTCTTCGGCGCTCCCTTGAGCGGTCAACCCACGCCTGCCTACCGTGGCCTCACCATCCTTCGCGCCGACATGCCCACTGCCCTCGAGATGGAGCGCATGCAGGCCTCCCGCAATGCCTATGCCTCCACCGGCTCCCGTGCACGTGCTCGCACCTTCTCCAGCGTCACCACACACTCTTCCGGCAGCTCGCCCGACACCGACGACGGCTTCGAATCCTCCTGGAATGGCCTCAAGGTCCCCGGTCGCGACTCTGAACTCACCGACACCGCCGCATCCACAGCCTCCGTCTCGGCTTCCACCGCATCCACCGTGTCGTCGCAGACTTCGAGACCTTCGCTCTTCTCGGTCGCGTCCGGCAGCTTCAGCGCCGGATCTCGCACCAGCGTTTCCACCGAGAGCAGCATCGTCGACGAGGGCCCACGTGCTTCCGCCAAGGGCCTCCGCTCGCTCAGCCCCACGCCCGTCGAGCCGCAGCCGCGCCATTCCATCCTCAACTCCACCGTCTTCCCAGTCGAAATCATTCGACCCCCGTCGGTTTGCAGAACCGTCTACGGACGCACCTTCTACAGCGACCTCTCCGAGTCGGGCAGCTGGGGCGACGAAGAGGAGACCAGCAAGGTCCGTAGGATCGCTCCTTCCTTTGTCCGTCCGCAGCAGGCTTCGGGCGTCAGTCTGCGCAACTTCAAGATCCAGTGCGCCAAGTACGCCACCGTCTCCGACATTGTCATCTACTGCCCCTACGGCTACCATTCGGGCGCACTCACGCTTGCCAAGTGGGTCCGCGAGGCTCAGGCCGCCACCCGCCGAGAGCGCCTGCTGCGCGGCTGGGGTGGCCTGCAGTACAACGTCTTTGTCGTCACCGATGCCTTTGACGTCTTCGAGCAGCGCTTCACTTCGCTCGTCTCGGTCGACAGCCACGGCTACGACCGCAACCGCGTCGACTTTGTCGACCGCGAGCGCGAGGAGATGGAGCGCATGACGCGCGCCTCCGAGATCCACGACAACGTCTGGCTCGGCTGCACTGCCGATGCGCCTGGTGCGCTCAGGAGGTCCGGCTACGGCGACGATAGCGATCCTCCTACGCCCGATGAGCAGGCAAATCCGCAATGCTTTTCGGTCTGCATCAATTGCGAGGAGGAGCGCCAGCCGACATCCAGCGCCTGCACCCCCGAAATGCTGCGCAACGCCGCACAGTATCTCGACTCCATCGATGCCTCCTTGCGCCTCGAGGATGACACCGACAAGATGCTCGGCAGCCTCAGCCGCGATGCACTTTTGCGCCTTGACGGTAGCGCCCTCTGCGAAGCTGCCTACGATGGCTTCCGCGATGCCGAGTCGCGCGACGGTTCGTTGGTGCTCGGTCCGAATGGCTGGACTCCCAAGCCGCGCTCGGTCCCCGTGCGAACCGACGCTTCCGCCTCTCACTTTGTCCGCACCCGCGCGGCAGACGTCGCCCGAGGCGCCGACGCTTATGCCAGCGACTCCAATCGCCGCGGTGTGCTCCATCTCGATGCCGCCAGTGTGGTGCACCTCGACTACCAGACCGGGAGCGCAGCAGCATCTCGTGCCAATGGCTGGCAGGAGAAGGCCGCCAAGAAGCTGGTCGACCTCTGCGTGTGGATTCAGCAGCAGGCGATGCCTCCCTCGTCATCGTCCCCCGTCAGCTCCGACGTGCCAGCCTTCAACTCGATCTCGTCCACGTTGCGCACTTTTCGAGACGGATCGCGATCGCCCACGCGTTCTTTCTCGCCCAACCACACCAGAGACCGCACTTCGCACGTCAGGACGGAACGCCAGTCCGCTGTGTCCCGTCGACCTAGACGAGTGCTGCTCCACTGCCCGGACGGCTATACCGAGACCTCGGTGCTCGCGCTCGCTTACCTGATGTTTGCGCGTGAGCTCAGCCTTGCCAACGCCTACCTCGACCTTCAGCTGCGCGTCAACCGATCCTTCTTTGTCTATCCGGCTGATGTCGCTGTGCTCGAGGCCGTCGACAGGCTTTTGCAGCAGATGCGCGCCGCACGCTCGCGAGCCACGCGAGAGGATCTGGACGAGGCGGCACATGCTCGCCGCTCGCGCCACGCCACGTCCAAGTCGTTCAGCGGTGCCACCTCTGGTGACGCACACCACGCCGAGATACGCCGCATGTCGCTTTCGGCCAACTTGGGCCGCGCCACACCGGCAATCCCCGTCAAGAACGCTGGCGGACTTGTCCATGGCGTCGACTTTGCCGCCGAGGGAATGCGCTCGTCGTTGGCGATGACGCCGTCGTCGGAGCTTGCAGGTGGAATCTGCCGCACTTCGACGCCGACTCCGCGCAAATGCCGAGCCGGCGTGGACACGGATGTGGTCGAAAACCACGCTTGGTTCGACAAGACACGCTTCGACGGGTCGTTCCCCTCGCGCATCTTGCCTTTCTTGTATCTCGGCAACCTGGACCACGCGTCCAACGTGGACATGCTGCGCGTACTTGGCATCACGCACCTCGTGTCCGTGGGCGAGACTGCGCTCGCACCTCCGGATCACATCTCGGCCAAGATCACTCCGCCTCTCAAAGAGAACGGCCGCACTCGGTACCAACGGGCGTCGGCCAAGGCCGCCATGGCCGAAGATCCATCGACGGTGCCGTCGCTGCATTACCAGTCGCAAGGCATCACGGTGCTCAATGTGCGCAACGTCTCGGATGACGGCATCGACTCGCTCCGCGGTACGATGCGCGAGGCGGTGCAGTTCATCGAAGCGGCGCGGTTGTCCGGTGGCAGGGTGCTGGTGCACTGCCGCGTGGGTGTGAGCCGCAGCACGACGATCGTGCTGGCGTATGTGATGGCGCACCTGGATCTGGGTCTGGTGGAGAGCTATCTGCTGGTGCGCAGTCGCCGACTGAACATTGTGATTCAGCCGCACCTGCTGTTCCTGTGGGAGCTGCGTGGATGGGAGACGTTCCTGTTCAAGGCCAAGCAGGCGCAGATCAGCCTGGTGCGCGGCCAGCAGGGCTCGCCGGATCTGCGCCGTGGCAGCGACAGCCGCGAGGCCTCGCACGCTCTCATGGCGCTCTCGCTGCGCAGCGGCTCGGGTAGCGATCAGGGCTCGGGCTCGTACAAGTCGGCGTGGTCGTCGCCCTCGAGCTCGCCGCGGGCGACGTACGCGCTGAGCGCGGCTGTGCCCGAGCTCGACGTGGCGAGTGGCAAGGAGGACGGCGCGTTTGAGCACCATCTGCCGGGCGTCGAGATCGGCGCAGGCGCCGGAAGCATCCACGGCTTCGACATGGCGCACTCGGCCACCATGCCGTTCGGCTCGGGCAGCCCAAGTGGCCTCTCGTACCGAGCCTCGCGCCTGACCTGGGGCCACCTGGCGCGCGAGATCGCCGAGCTCAACTCGCGATACTTTGTCTAAACTTCACGGACTCTTTGCTTTTCTCTCTGCCTCTCTCACACTCGTCTATTGTCCGCTTCGTCCTTGTCGTTCGTCTTGTGGCTCTGCACCCTAGTGGTTGGCAGGGCGAGCTTTTAGTTGTTCTTTTTGTTATGGGTGCGAAGGTTGATAGCCTCGCTTCACCGTTTGTCGTCACTGGGGTCTTTTGTCTTTGCTCGTCGTTCCTTGTTCCGCATGTCTTTGCCCGCTCGCCTTTTTTGCCTCTTGCACTTCCGGTTTCGCACGTTTGTTCTTTCCTCTCTTGTTTTTTTTTTTCGCATGTCACTAGTCACGTTGGGCCGTTTCACGATCGTAATGCAACAAGCGTTGCTCCCCCCAAGCACCCGGCGTGTGGAGGTGGATGAGGAGGTAGGGCGTTGCCATGGGGTGAGCACTGTCACAGCGGAATCAAAGTTCTCGTGTGGATTTTTCGCCCAGAGGTTCATACTGAGGTTCTGCATCGAGCGAATTCACTCATGGCACACACGATAGCGAGGCTCTGATCATGTTACGAGAACTGGGCTAGATGTGTTTAGGGCTGTATTTTGTTGTCGCTGTGATCGCGGCCTTGGGGATGGCGTGTTGAAAGGTGGTGCTGGCTGTTGATGCCTGACCTTTTCTCGTGTCTCTCGCAGCTGATTTTCGTGGTCACCAACGCTGTGGAAGCTTGCTGGTCATCTTCTGGGGTAACTTAAAGGGAAGAAGCGCGACTGATGCTGCCACTGGCTGCGCCACTCTGTGCACAAAGACCAAGTGATGTTTTGGCGTCCGAGCCATCGCACGGCTTACTCTTTCGAATGAGGCGATCCACGCGTATTACACGCTTCAAACAAAGACGACGCAGTGTATGTGAATGCCTTGCGGCAATAACGGGAGTTTCTAGGCCATTTCGACGTCGTGTTGCTGCTGCGTGGGCTGTGCTTGCGCTTGCGTTTGTGCCGAGTCTTTGGCCGGCGCGTTCATAAAGGCGTCTAGTTCGGAATCGAGATCAGCGGCGGTTTTAGGTTTGCGTTTCTCCCTCGGTGTGTTGCGTTGGCCATTCCCACCCCTCGTMGAGGTGGTCTTGTTGCCCTCCCGAGCGTGGCGTACGGGTCCAAGACGGTCGCCAAACTTTCCCGCCGCCTCCTCCTCCTCACCACTATCAAAAACCTCAAAGTCAGCACGACCCAAGCAGGCAAAGGTGGAAAAGATGCAAGGCTCACCCTTTGAGGCGCGATCCGAGATCGAATCGAGAAAGCAGCGACTTCTGCGTCTGTACTTTGGGACGATCGGCACGCATCTCCTGCGTAATACTGATCACCTGTCCCTTGGCCTTCGCACCATCGTACTCGTTCTTGGCCTGGAGTGCATGGTTGGGATTGTCGTACACCACCACTGCCCGACCCGTCGATCTGTCACTTCGATCGTACTATACCCCGCTACATCATCAGCAAAGGACCCCTTCTCGCCAATCGTGGGTGAAAGGCTTACCTTGATATACGCCTTTGTGACGGGTCCAATTTGTTCGAACAGCGTCTTGAGGTCGTGTTCGGACACGTCCCAGTGCAGGTTCTCGATGAACAGCTTACCGGTCGCCCTGACCTCGTTCGTCTCGGCAGGGTCGCGGGGGAAGGACATTGGACGACCAGAGTTGCCGCGACGAGGGCCGCGGGTGGAGGCGTTTTCGTCGTATCGATCGTGCTTCCATGATCCGAAATCGTCTGCTGTGCGTGACCGCGCGTTTCGCTGCACAGAGATCGAGGGTGAAGAATGTCAGACGTGGGGTCGGAGAGGCTGCCCAGGTGGGGGGAAGGTGAGACTTACGCTGTAGGGGGAACTTCGGCTCGTGGCACCCGAGCGCCGCGGCATCGGCGCGTCTGAAAGCGGCTGGTCGAGGCGGTCCATGCTGCGCGATGTGTTGGCGAGGAAGGAAGAGGGATCCGAGGATGGTGCGTCGAGTGACGAGAGGTGCCTCGAGACGAGGGACGATGCGGAGCGGAGCGTGTGCAGAGGGACGGCGCCTGCAGCTCGGCCGCGCGAATGGACCCTTGACGCGTGCGCATTAAACAGCAGTGTTACAGCGTCGTTTCGAGACAAAGACTCGAAAAATCCGCCACACGCCTCCACTTTTTGCGTGCTCAACTGCGGGATCAATCAAAACAGCTTGTTTTCCACCCAGATACCGCAACGGTTTGACGCTGCAAAAAGACGAAATTGATTGAGACCGCAGCCGCGACACGAGAAGACGACAGATGCGAAACGCTCAGCTCCAACGAATCCGCACCTTCTGTCCCACCCAGAACCTTTCGACATCCGTCTCTCCATCGCCTCAGCATGACCGAGGCCTCCTCTTCCTCCCGTAGTGGTGACGACTCCGCTGCGGCGGAGCGCTACACGCTCGCCAAAACCATCCTCGGCGCGGACGTTTTCCAGCGCATCAACACCGCCAAGATCCTCGTGGTCGGCGCAGGCGGCATCGGGTGCGAGCTGCTCAAGAATCTCGTGCTCACCGGCTTTGGCGACATCGAGATCATCGATCTGGACACCATCGACCTGTCCAACCTCAACCGCCAGTTCCTCTTCCAGAAGCAGCACATCAAGAAGCCCAAGTCGCTCGTCGCCAAGCAGACCGCCGCGTCGTTCAACCCGCTCGTCAACATCGTGGCGCACCACGCCAACATCAAGGAGCCTCGCTTCGGCGTCGCCTACTTCCAGCGCTTCGACCTCGTGCTCAACGCGCTCGACAACCTCAATGCGCGCCGCTGGGTGAACCGCATGTGCATCGCCGCCGACGTGGCGCTCATCGAGAGCGGCACCACGGGCTTCCTCGGCCAGGTGCAGCCCATCCGGCCGGGCGTGACAGAGTGCTACGACTGCGTGCCAAAACCCACGCCCAAGACGTTCCCCGTGTGCACCATCCGCTCCACCCCCTCGACGCCCATCCACTGCATCGTGTGGGCCAAGAGCTGGCTCTTTACACAGCTGTTCGGCGCCGACGACGAGACCGAGGACGAGCAGCTGGACAAGGCGATTGCGGACGGCGAAGACGCGGCCGAGATCGACAGCCTGCGCAAGGAGCAGCGCGAGATGCGCGACATGCGCGCCGCGCTTGTCAAGGCCGCAGCCGAGCGCAACGAGCACGACGTGCGCAGCGTCGCAGAGCGCATCTTCAACAAGGTGTACAAGAACGACATCGATCGACTGCTCGGCATGGAGGAGATGTGGACGCATCGTCCGGTCAAGCCGGTGCCGCTCGTGTTTGCCGATGTCATGGCGGGACAGTGCGATGCCGACGACGGCGCGGCCACCGCACCTGCGGGCGGCGAGGGTACATCGAACGGCGCAGCACCATCCGCTACGAATGCATCGACGCTCAAGGACCAGCGCCAGCTGACGCTGCGCGACAACGCCGAGCTGTTCGTGCGTAGTGTGTCGACGCTGGCGACGCGGGCTGCTGGCGACGTGTCGGTGCCGCTGTCGTTTGACAAGGACGACGATGCAGCGCTGGACCTTGTGACTGCGGCGTCGAACCTGCGTTCGGCGGTGTACCACATTGAGCGCAAGACGCGGTTCGAGGTGAAGCAGATGGCGGGCAACATTATCCCGGCGATTGCGTCGACGAATGCGATTGTGGCGGGCATGCTGGTGGTGCAGGCGGTGCATGTGTTGCAGGGCGCGTGGGATCGGGCGCGCAACGTGTCGCTGGCGCGCGGCTCGGACCGCATGCTGAACGCATGGCCACCTGCACCGCCCAACCCGCACTGCGGCGTGTGTCAGGACGCATACATCCCCGTCTCGCTCACGAGTCTCGAGATGACGTTGGAGGAGGTGGTGAGTGCGGTGGCGCAGGCTGTCAAGCTCGAGGATGTGGTGGTCTATGATGGCTCGAGGATTTTGGCGGATCCGGATTTCGACGACAACAATGCACGCTCGCTCGCCGCACTCGGCCTGGTCGACGGAAGCATCCTCACGCTCACCGACGAGGATCAGCACTTCCAAGTCGTCAATGTCGTGCTTTCCCTCAATGCCGAGGCAGACCAGCCAGTGACCATCATGGGTAAGGTTCGCACCCTCGCACCGCGTGCCCAACCTGCACCGCAAAACGAGCCCGACAGCAGCGACGACGAGCTGCAAGAGGTCCAGCCTCCTCCCCCGCGCAAGCGTGCGCGCGACGACGATCCCGCCCCCGCCGCCAAGAAATCCAAACCCACCGAACCCGCACCCGCCCCACCCACGGGTACATCCTCCGAATCCGCAATCGCGCTCGAGTAGCAATCAGTGTAGAAATAAGAATGCCATTTCGCACTCGTGCCGCGCCCTGTTCGTGCGTCTGTGGCTTTACTTGAACATGGCGTCGAGATCCGCAAATGGATCGTTGGACTTTGGTTTCGGCTGAGCCTGTTGCTGCTGCTGCTGCTGATGTTGTGGTGCCGACGGTGTGAGCGTGGCAAGGTCGGCGAGGCTGCTTCCGGCCTTTGGTGCCGACTGCGGGATGCGTGGCGAAGTCGACGTCGAGGTGGCAGTGGTAGGCAGCTGGAGTGCACCCCAATTGCCTAGTCCGTTGGCAGGATTCGAGCTGCCCGTAGCCGAGCGAGGCGTTGAGGAGCCACTGTCGTTCGAGAACAAATCGGCAGGCAATCCACCCAGCGCCGTCGCCGCTGTCGGTGCCGTCGACCCGGACGCCGCAGGTTGGGAGGCAGGGGCATCGTCAAACGTCAGCGACGCAAAGTCGTCCATGATGTTGCTCGATGCTGCCGCTCCGGAAGCGGACGCAGCAGGTTGTGCCGCATCGTCATCGAAGCTGATCAGGTCCGAGATCTTGGCCGTCGGCACGGCATCCGCGCCGCCCTTGGACGGGTCGATGGACGGATCAATGTGCGCCTGCGCCGCATAGTTGCCTTTGGTGAACTGCTTGTAGCGCTCGACGACCTGGTTGATGAGGTCGTTGACGAGCAGCAGCCGGTCCATGTTGTCCGAGCCCGCCGCATCGCCCTCGTCGGCATCGCCGATCCACTTTTGGATGCGCGGCTGGACGCTGCGCAGATGGCCGGCGATCTGGTCGTACGCATCGCCCTGCGCAAACTTCTCGCCCGGCTTGGCGTTGTTGAGCATGTCGTTGAGCAGGATCGCGCGCGACTGCACCTTGTCCAGCTCGCGGCGCGTCTGCTTGGTGTAGTCGGGCTTGTTCTCCGGCTCGGCGCCCGACATGATCTTCATGAGCTCCTGCGCCTGCGCGAGGTCCTTGGGCGTACCTCTGCGGATGAGCTCCTGCAGCTTGGCCCCCTGCGCCGCGCGGTCCTCTTCCTCGAGCTCCTCGGGCGACTTGAGGTTGTTGTCCGAATTCATGACGCTCGCGGCGCGCGAGTCGACGTTGGGGAAGCGGTAGCCCTTGTAGGTGAGCAGACGGTGCATGTCGCGGATGTGCACGAGGTCCTCGCGGTGCTTGGAGGTGACGCAGAGCGTGAGCTTCCACTCGTGGATGAGCTCGAGGATCTTGGTCTGCACGGGCGAGGGGAAGGGCGGCGGACGCTCGGGAAAGCGCTTGACCATCTCGTTGAGAAACTCCTTGGTGGCAATCTGGAGGTGGAGTGGATATCCGCAGTTCTTGACGAGGATATCGAGCAGCGCAAGTCCGAGCATGCCCACGTGCGGGTTGCGCGAGTTGACCTTGCGCACCGTTTCGAAGGCGGCCTCGCGCGGCGTGTTGGCCTTCTTCTGATTGACGTAGTCGGCGAGCTCGAGATTGAGCGCGAGGTTGGGCTGTCCCAGCGCAGGATGGCAGCAGCGTTCGACGTACACCGACACGGGCGAGGTCTGCATCTCTGGATCCAGGTTGCGCGCCGCCCAGTCGGCGAGCGCATTGAGCGCGCCCTGCGGAGCTATTGAGTCGGAGGCGCTGCCGGACGAGCGCGAGCCAGAGCCATAGCGGCCCTGCGAGTGGTGGTTGTACATCAGTGTGGCTGCCGTCTGTCGAGCGAGCGATGAGGCGACTGGCGGGATGATGCGAAGAAGAGAGGGTGACAGTCAAGATTGATGTTGTTCTGCAGCTCAGACTGGGCTGGCTGTGTGGGAGAGAGCTGAGCTGTGAGCGTGCGTGTCGCTGTGTTGGCCTCTCACGCTGTGCTCTGCTGTGGCTCAGATGCAGCGCTTGTCTACACCGAGGCCGAGGCGCGTGGATTTCGCATTTTCGCATCGCCTGGCTTGGCCCGCCCGCGCCTCCTCTCAACTGCCCGCCTCGCTCCTTCCAACTGGACTGGCTCGAGCGGCGCGCATCGGCACTCCCATCTGCATTCGATCGGGCTACTCCACATCCGATGTCGCCAAAAGTGACACTCTCTATTCTCCACGCGTCTGCAATGGCTCAGGGTCCAGGCTCGATCAGAAGCTCATCACCCTACCATGACCATCGCTGCTGCGCCACCGCCATCCTGATCCGCAAAGCTTGGATGCGCACATGCATCGGCAACCCTAACGAGCTCCATGTGGCTGCTCCAGGGTCGCTTCGCTGAGGACAGCCGCCAGGAGCTGAGCAAGCTCCTCAAGTACGGACAGACCTACACCATCGGTCGCAAGATCCCCGCCGACATTGTCGTCGATAGCAAGTTCGTGTCCCGCAACTCCTGTCACATCACCATCGCCTCCGAACAGTCCATCGAAGCTCGCCTTGCAGCTGTCACCGATCCGCTCGCCTTTCACAATGATATCTCCCTTCGACCGCGCGTCACCATCCGCTTCGAGGCCAACAAGAGCAGAAAGACGTTTGCCGTCACCAAACAGTCCGCCCCTACCACCAGCACCGCCACAACAGACCCCACAGATGCCATCGAGGTGCATGTACCTCCAGACCAGCAGCACACGCTCGAACATGGCGATTCCTTCGCACTCACCACCACCATCTCCCTCCGCCTTGTGTGGCAGCCATTCGCCGTCTGCTTTGCTGCACGAATCAAGGACAACGCCATAGCGCCTCTCAGAAAGCCTGCGCTCCAGCTCGGCATCCATCTCTCGCCAGCAAAGTCACGCTGGAAGGACGGCTACACGCATCTGTGTCTTGCGCAGCTCAACTCCACCGAGTCTGTCCTCTGCGCCTTGCTTCAGGCACGCCCACTCGTCTCCATCGACTACTTCCACGAGCTCTTTCGCAGAGCAGAACTGCCTCGTCATGACCCCGCCTCACTCGAAACCACATTCGACGATCTGTCGCCCGCAGCCTACGCACCTCCCGTCGACCCAGGAGAGTTAAGCGAGCTTATCGACACCCCCAATCGGCTCGTACCCGACCAGCGTCGCACCTACATGCTAAAGGCGACTATGTGCGTCTTTTTTGCGCTTCCCAGTGATCAGGCCGAGGTCACCATCTACAAGAACGTCCTCGCAGTGGCGGGTGCACATGTCTTCACCCACAATCCCGTCGCTGAAAAGCTCGAGACCAAGGCCGACTTTGCCCAGCTCCTCATGCCGTACAAGAATAGCGCGCTCTCCTACTGGCGCAACAGCAGCGCACAGGCACGCAGCGAGGCGCCCGATGATGGTCTCGTCGTGCTCGTCAGCGGCGAGCATGCCGATTCGGCGTGGGGACAAGCGTGTGCGGTGGCGTGCAGCAATCTACGCATCGCCATGCCCACAGGCTTTCATGGACTCACCAGCGCCATCCTCACAGCCGACGTCCGCGCACACCTCAATGTCTTCCCGAAGATGCCCGACGACGGCGGCGCATCCATGCTTCCTCCTGCCACGATGCCCGTCTCTTCTCCGCCTCCTCCGCCTTCCACGCCACAGATCCGTGAGGAGACGCGTTCGAATGATGCATCTGCTCGGAAGCAGCCTTCGCCCAAGCGAATTGAAGCGCCGGCAGCAGCCCCAGTTGAGCGAAGGGAAAGCCTGGCCATCGATGCACCGATATCCGAAAATGTGCCACCCCCACAGAGCGCAACGGAAGGGCAGAGGAGACCACTGACCCGCAGAACACGCAAGCCAGTCTCGGAAGCAAACGAGGCCTCCTCCCACACCACAGCGATGGATCCGCCTTCTATCTCGGCACCCACAGAGAGCACAGATGCCCATGCGGCCGGCGCCGAGGCCTCTGAATCCTTGGAACCGCAGGGTGGCTTGCAAACGGCTCGCTCGGCGCGCAGTGGGCTCACCAGGCGTACAGGTGCAACTCGCACCAACTCTCGTCGCTCCGACATTTTCGATGCCATCTTACAGCCGGGCGATGCAAACGCTTCCGCAGATGCGTCCGCAAACACCAGCGGCTCCGTCGAGACGCAAGCTGGTGGCACGACTTCGGTGCCGCGCAGCCGACGCTACAGAATGGATCTGGACGAGGAGGACCGAGCCCAGACGCAGTCCTTGGTGGATGCGCAAGCCTCGAGTCAAAGCCAAGCGGTCGATCTCGGCAAGAGAAAGTCGCCGCCGCCCGTGGTCGGTGATGAGACCGCACATACCTCGAAGCGGACGCGCACCGAGGCGACTGCCGCAGACCCAGCACCGGAAGCGACACGCATTGTCCGCGCTGATACAGATGCTGCACAGGGACTAGCCGAGGGCGCACAGCCCGACACGGAGCCTCATTTCCTGGCGGCGCTCAACACGCAGCGCGCACAGGTCAGCGCGGTCGACGACTTTGACGCCGACTTCAACCGGCTCACCATCGCCAAGGGCGCGTCGGGTCCGTTGGACCGCCACGTCGCCTCTCGATCGACGAAGGCACAGGCGCAACCAGCACGCAAGGATGCAGCGGTGGATGAGAATTACGAGGCATTCAAGCGGATGGCGGAGGAAGAACTGCGTATGCACGTGCGCGGCAACTTTGTCCAGGTCGACTTTGTTCCGCTTGTCCGCAAGCCCACAGCCCGCACAGCCACGGCGACAAACGCAGGCCCGAACTTTAAGAAGTTTCGACGCAAGGCCGAGGCAGGCACGCCGCGGCAGGATGCGCAGGTCTCGCGCACCCAGGTGGCGCTCACGCTGCCCGAGAGCAACGACTACGGGCTGGGCGAGGCATACTGGGAGCAGAACGACGAGACTTCTCTCCCGCACGAGGGGGCGGCGGCCACTCGTCGCGGTCGCGCAAAGGTCGCACTGGATCCAGCCTCGGTCGAAGGTGGGGCTGTCGATCTGGGACTCGATGGTCTGGACGAGGAGTCGGATGACGGCGCGGATATGACGACGCTGCTAGAACGGCGGCATGGCCGACCATCGCAGAGAGCGTCGCAGGCGCGCGGCAGGAAACGACCCGTGGCGATGGTCGACGAGAGCGACGACGAGGTCGTGCCGTCTCGAGTCGTACCGCGCGCGGCGGTGAAGGCGGCCAAGACATCAGCGGCCATGGTGATTGACGACGACGAGGATAGCGACGAGGATGCGGACGACGACGGAAACTTTGCCGGCTTTGGTCGCAGCTCTTCCACGCGCCGCAGACGCGATGTGCCTGCTACTGCGTCCGGCCGCACGCGGCGCACAGCCTTTTAAATCCCCCTGTCGCGTAACACAGTCGTTGGTCGAGCGAAAGGTGTGGAATTTACCAGACTCTGCAGCTGGCGACCATGTTCATGATTGTCATGTATCTCGATCGTTCCGCCTCGCTGGACATGAGCGAATCATCCTCATCATCCTGCTGCTCCTGAGCTGTAGGTTTGAGAGCAAGCGTGACGATGAGGGGGCGTTGATCTGTGGGTGCGGCATGCTTGACGATGCTGGCGAGTTGGGCGATGTAGAGGTGGTAGAGCGCCGTGTAGGCGGGCGAGGGTTCGGTGCCCACGAGCTTGGTCACTGCCGTCGTCGGTAGTGGTGCCGGCAACGCGCCTGCTTCATCGTGCTGGGGTAGTGGGTCGGCAGGATTGATGGAGGTGGTGGCCTGGTAGATGCAGCCGAACTTGTTGAGCTGCGTGATGGTGACCATGATGCGGTCTGCGAACGACTGCGTGATCACGGTGGTGGGCGTGCCGCCGATGGTCTCGCTTGCCGTGCGTGTGGGAAGCACGGGCGAGGAGGACGGGATCTGAGTAGCTGAGATCTGCATCTCAGAGCCCGAGGCTGGATTTGAGGCCATCATCGTTGGGGATAGGTACCAGAGACGAGAAGGAATGCAGGGGTTGGTAAGGAGAAGCGTAAAGCGTCAGTGTGGAGGCCAAAAGTGTTGTTCTCGTCGTGACGACGCAACCCATCAACGACCCGACTTCCGAGCTCTGTCACCGCACCTCCGTGCGAGCCTAACATCGTCGGCAAAAATCAACACTGGATCGGGCTCTAACACGCTGGAAAACGGCGGCGATGGCATGGGCAGTATCGATGGCAAATCGATCTGGCTCGGTGCGGTGGCGTATCGCACGCGCGCTTCGCGTGCAGCGGAGAATTTCGTCTTGGCTTCACGCAAGGTGACCCCCAACAGAAACTCGCCAGCCCTGATCGAGCTTCTATCGCCAGAAAGGGCGGGCGCCTGTCGATATCCGCACAAAGCGTAGTCGAAACTCTTACATCGGCAAACGCATCTCACGTGTATAATAGAATCGCCCTTGAAAGGTTCCAGGTGCAGTCACACTCAGGCCCTGGTGAGATCCGCGATCGTCTCGAAGCAGCCGGGTCAGCTCGGGCTATGGCGGTCGCTCTCAGTTTTAAATTTCTAATTGTTTTTTTTGTTGTTGATAAATTCCCAACGAAGTGTGAGCGATCATCCCCAAAATCTGTGCAGTGAGCGGTGCGGGTCTCGGTGTCGATCCGACAAGGACGCGCGAAGCTCTGTCTGCAGGGACCCTGTTCGCCTCAAATCAGCTATCCGGCTGCTGTCCCTGATGGCCGGCTCTGCCGACTTTTTCACGCACGCGCTGTGCAAAAGACCAACTTGCTCGCTTGCGGCTCGGTGCGCATAGGCTTGGATTCACACTGATCTGCGTTCTGCCTGCCTGCTCTACAGATTGATCAGGGGCAATTGGGTAGCGCTTGCTCTTCAGCAAAAAGCTTGTAGGATGAGCGACACCGAGAAGCGGCCGGGTCGAGTGCATGATGCGGCGCAGATCAGGCCACCTCTACGCATCGGACGATGTGCGCTGCCATTGGACGGAGGAGCGGAAGCGGGCCGAGGCAGGCGTGCAGCACCGCAGTGAACGCGGACTCGGCCGTGGTGATCCTACAGCACCTCGAGTCTCTGCTCCAGGGCCGACCGTAGGAAGAAACAAACAGATGCGTGCCAGATGAAGGACTAGGCTCGGGCGACATTCGACGTCGACATTTGAGCCAGGCACTTGCAGACAGTGTGTGTGCTGCACCCAGTCCAAGTTTGATTGCGTCGCATCGATTCGGATTCGTCCCAAACCTTGGCCTCTGGCTCGCTGCAGCTCCTGCTTTGGTGGGAGTGCCGTCGGCTCTCGGCGTCATTTCGTCGTTTCCAGGGTGGCAGGCGTATCGACGAATGCTGCAGGGCACGCACGGCCACGCCGCGTTCGCCTCGCGTGAGGCAGCCCACCGCCTGCTTGCTGCTCGATTTTTTGGTGATTGGACGAAAAGGCGCTGCCAAAATTAAATCCCAGGCCAGAATTTCGTGCATTTCGTCACGGGCTACCCTACGCTTGGGGCAGCATCGGAAAAGTTGTTGGTCCCAAAGCCGGCTCAGGGTGCCCATCTCTCAGTCACGCGGTCGGCTGCTCCGAATTCCAGCGGTTTCGGAACGTCGCGAAGGGTTGCCACCCTCGCGAACCCGCCGCGACGCACACGCCAAAAAAGAAAAAGAGCGAAAAAAAAAAAAAAAAGTGTTGGACTGGCTGGTGCATTTTGAGTTGGGCACGCCTGCACGGAAGAAAGCGCCTCGGTTGCAACCTTTTTTTTGATTCGGCAACTTGGGGCAGAGCGAGCGCCGCACTCTGGCTTGTTGGGTCGTCGTTCGTCCCGGCTCCACTCGAGTCCGCGCTCCTGCGCAGCGCAAATCCGGCTGGCAAGCTGTCAACCCTCTGATGGCCTTGTTGGCCCTGCAACCGTGCGCCGCCGCTTCTGCTGTCGGTGCTGCTGTTGGTGCTGCTGCTGCTGCGTCGCCAGGCCTCGTCCGCTTTGCACTGGAGCGCGAGCCAGCGTGCCCATGCGTGTTGCACTGCCGTCAGGTTCCGCCTGACCTGGCGAGACGCTCAGACCCCAATCTCGAGTTGGCGCAGGCAGCCTGGTGTTTCCGGGCTGGAAGACTGGAAGCCAGTGCGTGCCGCTCCTCACCGCCCTCGCCGCCCCCTCGCCCACCAAAAGTGTATTTGGCCATCGAGTCCAGCATCTCACTTCTTCTCCATCACCACCGCCATCCGTCATCCCTCCTTCTCCGCTGCTCCTTCTTCTCTCTCTTTGCCTGCCAATCATCCTCGCGAACGTCGTCGCCTTGAGTATCTAGCCTTTACTCACCGTCGCCGCACATCGCCTCGTAACCTTCGTAAACGAGTCAGCTTCACTCGTTCCTCAGCATCGCTGTCAAACTCGATCAACACCCTTTCGTTTCCACCAAAACTTCACACTTGATCTTTCGCCATGTCTTCCAAGGGTAAGTTTTCTCTGCGTAGAATGTTTTCTGCGGGCGTAATGCTCCAGCCAAGTTTCGAGATCTGCGGGGTCGTCTCGAGAAGATGGCACTCGAAGCTGCGCTCTTTTGTGGTCTCGAACGACTCGGAAAAGTGCCGGTTCTGGCCTGGTCTGACGGCCTGCACCCGCAGGGAAGCGATTCAGATCTTCCCGTGAAGCAAAACTGACACGTATGCTTGCCTTTCCATCCGCCAACTTGTTCTTACAGCCATCCGAGAGTTCGACGCCAAGCTGCTGGTCAACTACTGGCTGCCCCGCTCGCCTCTGGCCCACGCCGACCTCAAGGTCAACGCCGACTTTGTCGCTCCCGCGCCCAAGGTCGCCCAGATCGCCTGGGACCCCACCACCAACTCCATCACAGACGAGTCGCAGCTCCCAGCATGGGTCCAGTCGACCAAGCTCGTCGCCAAGCCAGACCAGCTCATCAAGCGCCGAGGAAAGGCCGGCCTCCTCAAGCTCAACTCGGACTGGGCTGATGCCAAGGCCTGGATCCAGGAGCGCGCCGGCAAGGCCCAGCAGGTCGAGTCGGTCACCGGTACCCTCAACAACTTCATCGTCGAGCCCTTCTGCCCTCACCCCGCCGACACCGAGTTCTACGTCTGCATCAACTCGGCGCGCGAGGGTGACTGGATCCTCTTCACCCACGAGGGTGGTGTCGACGTCGGCGATGTCGACGCCAAGGCTCTCAAGCTCCTCATCCCCGCCGACCCTGCCGCGCCCTTCCCCAAGCGCGAGGTCTGGACCAGCACCCTGCTCACCGGCGTCCCCGCCGCCAAGCGCGAGGTCCTGACCGACTTCCTCATCCGCCTCTACTCGGTCTACGTCGACCTCCACTTCGCCTACCTCGAGATCAACCCGCTCGTCGCCACCGACGACGGCCAGATCGCCTACCTCGACATGGCCGCCAAGCTCGACCAGACCGCCGACTTCATCTGCGGCCCCAAGTGGGCCATCGCCCGTGACCCTTCCATCGTCATGGGCATCGCCGCCGGTGCTGCCGGCAACAAGGGCGAGGACCGCGGCCCGCCCATGTACTGGCCTGCCCCCTTCGGCCGTGACCTGACCAAGGAGGAGGCCTACATCGCCAAGCTCGACGCCGGTACCGGTGCCTCGCTCAAGCTCACCGTGCTCAACGCTACGGGCCGCATCTGGACCATGGTCGCCGGTGGTGGTGCCTCGGTCGTCTACTCGGACGCCATCGCCGCCCACGGCTACGCCCACGAGCTCGCCAACTACGGCGAGTACTCGGGTGCTCCCTCCGAGGGCCAGACCTTCGAGTACGCCAAGACGCTGCTCGACCTCATGACCCGCGGCGAGGTCAACCCCCAGGGCAAGCTCCTCATCATCGGCGGTGGTATCGCCAACTTCACCAACGTCGCCTCCACCTTCAAGGGTATCATCCGCGCCCTCAAGGAGTACAAGGTCTCGCTCGCCAAGCACGGCGTCCGCATCTTCGTCCGCCGTGGTGGCCCCAACTACCAGGAGGGTCTCAAGGCCATGCGCCTCCTCGGTGAGGACCTCGGTGTCGAGATCCAGGTCTTCGGCCCCGAGACGCACATTACCGACATTGTGCCCCTGGCTCTCGGTGTCAAGACCTTCGAGGAGGTCACCCTCGCCTCGCAGCAGCAGAACGCCCTCCCTTCGGGCGCCCAGACCCCCGTCCACGGCGGCGCCAACGGCGCCAAGGCCGAGGACAAGGCCATCGGCACCGTTGACCACACCACCGGCGAGCGTGTCCAGCCCCAGGACCAGATCGTCCACTTTGGCGCTGGTGCCGCCGGCGAGCGCCCTGCCTACCGTCCCTTCGACGCCAACACCCGCTCGCTCGTCTTTGGTCTGCAGCCCCGTGCCATCCAGGGCATGCTCGACTTTGACTTCTCGTGCGGTCGTCAGACCCCCTCGGTCGCTGCCATGATCTACCCCTTCGGTGGCCACCACATCCAGAAGTTCTACTGGGGCACCAAGGAGACGCTCCTCCCCGTCTACACCAGCATCAAGGAGGCCGTCGCCAAGCATCCCGATGCCGACGTGGTCGTCAACTTTGCCTCGAGCCGATCGGTCTACTCGTCGACGCTCGAGGTGCTCGACTGCCCCCAGATCCGCGCTCTCGCCCTCATTGCCGAGGGTGTGCCCGAGCGCCACGCCCGTGAGATCCTCCACCGTGCCGAGAAGGCCGGTGTGCTCATCATCGGCCCCGCCACCGTCGGTGGTATCAAGCCCGGCTGCTTCCGTATCGGCAACTCGGGTGGTATGATGGACAACATCCTGTCGTCCAAGCTCTACCGCCCCGGTTCGGTCGGCTACGTCTCCAAGTCCGGCGGTATGTCGAACGAGCTGAACAACATCCTCTCGATCACCACCAACGGCACCTACGAGGGTATCGCCATTGGCGGTGACCGTTACCCCGGCACCACCTTCATCGACCACCTGCTCCGCTACGAGCAGGACCCCGAGTGCAAGATGCTCGTCCTCCTCGGCGAGGTCGGTGGTATCGAGGAGTACCGCGTCATCGACGCCGTCAAGAAGGGTATCATCAAGAAGCCCATCGTGGCCTGGGCCATCGGCACGTGCGCCAAGATGTTCACGACCGAGGTGCAGTTCGGCCACGCCGGTTCCATGGCCAACAGCGACATGGAGACCGCCTCGGCCAAGAACGCCGCCATGAAGGCCGCCGGCTTCATCGTGCCGGAGACCTTCGAGGACCTGCCTCAGGTGATCCGCGAGGTGTACAACAAGCTCGTTGCCCAGGGTGTCGTTGTGCCCAAGCCCGAGCGCCCCGCTCCCGCCATCCCCGTCGACTACAAGTGGGCGCAGGAGCTCGGCATGGTCCGTAAGCCCGCCGCCTTCATCTCGACCATCTCGGACGAGCGTGGATCGGAGCTCATGTACTCGGGTGTCAAGATCTCGGAGGTGTTCGAGTCGGGTATGGGCATCGGCGGTGTCATCTCGCTGCTGTGGTTCAAGCGCCGCCTGCCGGACTACTGCACCAAGTTCATCGAGATGGCGCTCATGCTCACCGCCGACCACGGCCCGGCCGTGTCGGGTGCGATGAACACCATCATCACGTCGCGTGCCGGCAAGGACCTGATCTCGTCGCTCGTGTCGGGTCTGCTCACCATCGGTGACCGCTTCGGTGGTGCGCTGGACGACGCTGCCACCGAGTTCTCGAACGCCTACGACCGCGGCATGACCGCACGAGAGTTTGTGGACAGCATGCGCAAGGGCAACAAGCTCATCCCCGGTATCGGCCACAAGATCAAGTCGGTGTCGAACCCCGACTACCGTGTGCAGGTGGTGAAGGAGTTTGTGCTCAAGAACTTCCCTTCGCACAAGATGCTCGACTACGCGCTCGCCGTCGAGAAGGTGACGACGGCCAAGAAGGACACGCTGATCCTCAACGTCGACGGCTGTCTCGCCGTGTGCTTCGTCGACCTGCTGCGCGACTCGGGTGCCTTCACGATCGAGGAGGCGCGCGACTACCTCAGCTACGGCTTCCTCAACGGCATCTTCACGCTCGGTCGCTCGATCGGCTTCATCGGCCACCACATTGACCAGAAGCGCCTCAAGGCTGGTCTGTACCGCCACCCTGCGGACGACTTCCACATCGAGATGGCCACGCCCGCGCGTGTCATGGGCACTCTCAAGAAGTAAGCAGGTGGTAGCGGCCGCCGTCGATGTCGCAGCAGTAGTAGCAGCAGCATACAGGTTCTCGTGGGTTCTCGCTGTTTTTTCCGTTTCTCCGTTCCGTCTCTCCGTGTACAATCCTTCTTCTCCTTTTATGGCTCGCTGATGCGGCGTCGTATGGTCGGGAGGTCGATGCTGTCGGCTCGGCTGGTAAGGCTAGTCAGCCTGGCTCGGCAGTGTAGCACCGCTCCGATACGGACCCGACCGATGCAATTCAGTCTCGTTGCACTTTCGTCTTGTTGGCGACGACTGTGTGTGTAAATTTAGAGCAGTGGGGATGGGCGTTAGGTCATGTGCAGATCCAGGGGCCGGTCTTTTCACGCGGGCCAGAGAGCGCGCGGATGGCGCAGCAGGGGCGGTTGGCGGCGATAGGCGTGCTTTGAGTTGAGTGTGGAGGTGCGTGTCATGCGTGGATGCGCAGCAACACGAAAAAAGAGAGCGAGCCCCTGAAAGCTTGGGCGTACGGGTTGCGAGCTGACTTCCATCCGCTTTAACCTGCGCTACTCTTTCTTTATCTGGGATTTCATCGAAACAATGGCGACGACTACGGCAGTTACCGCAGTGACGGAAGCTACGGCTGTGATGTAAGTTCGCCCGACATCCACCCAATCAACTCTAGTCCAATGCATGCTGATCTCCTTATCTTGGGTCTTAGTCTGGGAGCTACTGGAGCGGTTGGAACGCCACTTCTTGGGCAGCTGGTTAGCGAGTCTTCGCCGTACACGCGTGTGGTGTCGTTTGCACGACGCGAGCATCCTGCGCCACCCTCATCGGGCAAGGTCAAGTTCGAAGAGGTGGTGGTGGATTTCGAAAAGCTCTTCCAGAAAGACGTCTCGGAACAAGCCAAGTTCGCAGACATCAAGGCAGATGCGGTATTCATCACGATGGGAACCACACGTGCCGCGGCTGGATCCGGTGCTGCATTTGAAAAGATCGATCGAGGCTATGTGCTTGCTGCTGCCAAAGCGCTGCACGACCCCAAGCATCCAGCCACGATGGTCTACTGCTCGAGTGGATCAGCAAGCAGCGCATCTCGATTCCCTTACCTCAAGAGCAAAGGTTTGACCGAAGAAGGTCTGGCCAGTATGTATGCCAAGACGATCATCATACGTCCTGGATTCCTGCAGAATGCGCAGAGAAAGGAGTCTAGGGTGCTCGAAAGACTCTCGCAACCCTTGTTCAACCTCGGCGCAAAGATCTCGGACAGCCTCCAGGCGGATGTCAAGGACGTTGCTGCTGCCATGGTCAAGGCAGCCCAACTTGGACCCGAGAAGCTCAACGACCAGGTACTTGCTACGCCACTCCCGAACAACTTCCGCCTTGAGCCAGAGGCGGCGGGACACCAAATCGCCATCGTCCTCAACAACCATATCCTCCAACTCACCCGTCCCCAGCAGTCTTCCTAAAGCTTCGTTGCTCGATTCCTGACTCGCTTCGCCCTTATACCGCCCTTGCTACGTGTATAGCTGCCAATACCATGTAGATCGAAATATCAAATGCTCTGTCTAGTAAAGTTTGGAGGGTTGAGGGTTTATGCAAAAGTGACACCGGCAAGTTGCCAGATGGCGGCGGTGTCGGGCGTCGAGGGATCGCGTTGGCGCTGCTGGCTCACCGTAAAGCGCGCCAGGGCCAGCTCGTCCTCCTTGAGATGGGCGCCTGCATCGCGCAGCAGCTTGGCTGTCGCTGCATGGCCGTGCTGACACGCCAGAAACAGCGGCGAGTGACCGGACGTCGTCTCCCTTGCGTGAACGCTGCATCCGGCCTGGAGCAGCAGCTCGACGACGCCGGTGAAGCCCTTGGCACTCGCGACGTGCAGCGGCTGCAGCTTCTCGATGGGCGTCGTCGCCTCCGGGTTCGCCACGCTCTCGCCCACAATGTGGCTCGTCGCGGCAGCTTCGCCCGATGCGCCGCCGGATGCAGCAGGATGCAACGTGGACGGGTGGAAATGCTCCTCGTCGATCGAGATGGTGGGAACCGTCTCGAGCTGCCCGAGCGCGTAGATGTGCCACTGCAGCAGCGCCACGTCGTTCTTGGAGGCGGCCTCGTAGATGAGCCATGGCAGCACCGCCATGGCAGCTGCAGACACCTCGTGCTCGGAGCTGTCCCACGCAGCGGCGCGCACGTCCCTGGAGGTGGTCTCGACTCCCGACCGAGACTTGTCGGGCGACGCCGCCGACGCCGCCACCTGCGTCTTGGACGGGTTCTGCAGGATGTGCGCGAGCAGCGTGCGCACGTCGGCCTTGATCGGCTTGGCTGCGGGCGTGAGCTCGTGCGGCAGCGCCTGCGCCGCACCACCGCGGCTCGACGTCAGCTCACCGCGCAGCGGCCTGCCCATCAGCTCGCGGATCTCGGCAGGCTCTAACCCCTTGGCGAGCAGATACGACAGCTTGGCGAGCGCACACTCGGGCGTCATGTCTCCGCCAGCCACCACGCCAACCGCCTCGAGCTTCTTGCCCACCGCATAGATCGCCGACACCTCGCCCTGGACGCACTGGGTGATGTTGACGATGACGAGGCCGCGGTCGGAGGCCTGCTTGAACACCTCGAGCAGGTCCGGGCGCGAGGGTGCATTGCCTGCGCCGTACGACTCGAGGATGACGCCCTCGAGTGGAGGTGAGAGGAAGCTCTTGACGGTGCTGGTGGGGAGGCCGGGGAAGAGGCGGAGTACGGCGACGTTGGGCGACATGCGGTCGTGGGCGCGGAAGCTCTTGACGCTGCGCGAGCGCTCGACGAGGTTCCAGGCGACCTCGATGTTGATGCCGACGCGTGCGAGCGGGGCCATGTTGGGCGAGTCGAAGGCGGCGAGCGCATTGTTGCTCACCTTGCTCGTGCGGTTGCCGCGGTAGAGCGTCGAGGCAAAGTAGAGCCCCACCTCGGGGATGATGTACGAGCCGGCGAGCATGAGTGCGCCGAGCACGTTTTCGATGGCGTCGTTGCGCAGCTCCGATAGCGGCACCTGCGCGCCCGTGACGATGACCGACTTGCCCAGATTCTCGAGCAGCATGCTCAGCGCCGACGCCGTGTAGGCCATGGTGTCGGTGCCGTGCAGCACGATGAACGCGTCAAAGTTCTGGTAGTTGAGCGAGATGTCCGAGGCGAGGCGGATCCAGTCGGGGATGTCCATCTCGGACGAGTCGAGCAGCGGGTCGTACTCGAGCACGGCGTAGCGCACGCGCTTGGCGTGCGCACCGCCGCGCGGCGTGATGAGCGTGGGCAGCTGCAGCTCGAGGTGCGCGCCGTCGGCAGAGAGCGATGACGAGAGCGCATGGTGCGTCGAGGTGCCCTTGGGTGCCGAGGAGCGGACGAGCACGGGGTGACCAAAGGGTGGCGCACCCGCCGAGGCAGCGCCGGAAGGCGAGCGGGAAGCCGAGTCGGCGAAGAGATGATCGAGGTGCGTCTGTGTGGAGGGCGTGAGGGGTGTCGCGTCGTGGTCGCTCTTGCGCTTCTTGGAAGGCTGCACGGCGCCGTTGACGTCGAGCAGGCTGTTGTTGGCCGACTTGTCTGCCACTGCCTTTGCGAAAGTGGACTCGGATGGCAGTGCGGTGGAGTCCTTGGCATGCAGCGGTGTCGAGGCGCCCGAGCCCGGACGCGTGTAGGCCTCGCTCCACGCCTTGTAGCGGTCGACGGAATCGGACCAGGAAAAGATGGAGTCGCCATGCGGGTCGTGGAAGCGCGACTGGCTGCGCAGCGTCTCTGTGAGGAAGGAGGGATACGGAGCGAAGCCGGACGATGCATCCTTGCGCACCATTCCGATCGTGCCGCCTGCGTAGAGGCACAGCACCAGCGCCTCGTCCGATGTCGACATGGTTGTATCGTAGTTGTCGGCGCCCGTCCGAAGCAGGGTATATCACAGAGCCGGCGTTCTTTGATGGTGGTAGAAAGAGAGGGACAGAGGGCAGGGGCGAGCCGGCTTCACGGCTTCATCAGCTCGAGAAACGCCCAACAAAGCCTGAGAAGAAGCGCACACAATCAACGCTCGGCCCACCCGCTGCTCGCCATTTTTTCTCGCCGATTTGTTCGGAAGTGGGGTCATCTGACAGCTCCACCTCGTTTCGGAATCTTCCGAATGCACACGAAGGCGATCCTCTTCATCTCCTTGTCTCGACGCTTCATCGGCACTGCTCTTACTTGGCTCTCGGCCGATCCACCGGAATCATGATGACTCAAGCTGTATCGCAGGGGATGCAGCAGAGGAGCGTCGTCTTTCAGAAGCAGCAATCTGCTCTACGATCCCTGCCCCCGAAGCGATGGACCCTGACCGTGGACTCACAACTTGCAAGGCCGGTGAATTCGAGCGCCAGTCTAACATGCTCGCGCGCCGCGACACATTTTGTTTCAGCAAGTCGACTCGACAGCGTTTCCCCTTTCCGGCGACGCGAACGCGCCAGTCGCGCTCCTACTCAACGCCAAATCCACAACCGCGCAGCATCAGGCGCGGCAACGCTTGCAGAACGCGTCGTGGGCAAAGCAGCCGACTCGCAAATGTGCTGCAGGCGAGCGAAAGAGAGGTGTTGGTTTGGCCCAAAATTCGAGGCCAGACAAGCTAGCTTTCGGGCCTTCGCCTCATGCTCGAGCTCCACCGCCAAACAGAGCGCAGTGCAAGCTAGCCTGCCTCGTAGCTTCCTGATCATCAACATCATCTCCATAGACATCTCCTTATCCGCTCCGCTCCTCCAGATAAAGCGCTTTACTTCCACTCTCCAGCATCGTTTCTGCAGCCAAGCACCCTCCTCATCTCTTACTCTTGCCAGTCTCCATCGTCCAGCATCTTCTGCATCATCGTCAACAGCATCTGCATTTCTGCTCCATACCCATCCATGCTATCCATCTAAGCCAATCCTTTCTGAACAAGGTCCACCTAGAAGAGCGTACACTGCCTCGGCGCGAGCGACATCTTCGCCCTAGACGATCTTCGCCCACCTCGCTCTCGTCTTCACCTCGCACGACAGACATACACATACACAGCAGCCGTCATGCCCAACACATTCGGACTCACAAGTCGCGGCTCCAACGTCCGCTCTCGCGGCACGTTTCGAAAGCGCGGTGGAGGACCACGATCCGGCTCCTTCAAGAGCGCCACCGAAAAGGCCATCGCCGATGCCGCCGCACAGCTCGTCAAAGGCGTCGAGGACGGCACCGCCGTCGAGGAGCGCTTCCAGGAGGTCAAGGTGCGCGACGACATCGACGAGAAGCTCGGCTTCCACCGCCTCGAGCAGGGCGAAACGCGCCAGGCATGGCTCGTCAACATGCACCCTACCCTCATCCGCGATCCCGACCATCCCACAGGCAAGAGCGGCGTCGATTTCTACTTTATCGAGGACGATGCAAGCATGTTCAAGGCAACCGTCCTCTATCAGCCATACTTTCTCGTCGGCTGTCGACCAAATTCCGAAAGCTCCGTAGAGGAATGGCTCAGGAGAAGGTTCGAGGGCCTCATCCAGTCCATCCAGCGCGAGCGCAAGGAAGACCTCAAGCTTCCCAACCACCTCATCGGACACAAGCGGCTCTACCTCCGCCTCACCTTCCTCAACGTCCAAGATCTGCTCTCCGTGCGCAAGGAGCTTCTCCCCCTCGCAAAGGCAGCCCAGAAGAAGCTCTCCGCCGTCGACACCTACGCCGACGTGCTCAGCGCCGCTTCGGCAGCAGCCGCTGGCGCATCCATCGAGATCGAGATGGACGCCCACGGCGACTCCAGCGGCCTTGTCGGCGAAGACGGCTGGACCGGTGGCCGAAAGAGAGCAGCAGCCAGCGCGCTCGATCCCGCAGAGTGCCTCGTCGACATCCGCGAGTACGACATCCCCTACTACCTCCGCGTCGCCATCGACCAGGACATCCGCGTGGGTCTCTGGTACGACGTCAGCTTCAAGGACGGCGTCGTCAGCCTCGACATGGTCCCCAGCCGTGTCAAGCGTGCCGACCCCGTCGTCATGGCCTTCGACATCGAGACCACAAAGCAGCCGCTCAAGTTCCCCGACGCAGAGTCCGACGCCATCATGATGATCTCCTACATGATCGACGGTCAGGGTTTCCTCATCACCAATCGTGAAATCGTCTCCGAAGACATCGAGGACTTCGAATATACCCCCAAGGACGAGTACGAGGGCCCCTTTATCATCTTCAACGAGTCCGACGAGCTCGCCCTCCTCCAGCGATTCTTCAGCCACTTCCGCGAGGCCAGCCCCACCGTCGTCGCCACGTACAACGGTGACTCGTTCGACTTTCCCTTCATCGATGCACGTGCTCGCGCTCACGGCATCAACATGATGGACGAGATCGGCTTTGCCAAGGACTCGGACAACGAGTACAAGTCGCGCGCATGCTCCCATCTCGACTGCTTCCGCTGGGTGCAGCGCGACTCGTACCTCCCGCAGGGTTCTCAGGGCCTCAAGGCCGTCACCGTCGCCAAGCTCGGCTACGATCCCATGGAACTCGACCCCGAGCTCATGACGCCCTACGCCATCGAACAGCCCCAGACGCTCGCACAATACTCGGTCTCCGACGCCGTCGCCACCTACTACCTCTACATGAAGTACGTGCATCCCTTTATCTTTTCGCTCTGCAACATCATCCCTCTCAATCCCGACGAGGTGCTGCGCAAGGGCTCCGGTACGCTTTGCGAGACCCTCCTCATGGTGCAGGCTTACAAAGGCAACATCATCATGCCCAACCGTCACGAGGATCCCGTAGGCAACACCTACAGAGGTCACCTGCTCGAGTCCGAGACCTACGTCGGCGGCCACGTCGAAGCACTCGAAGCCGGCGTCTTCCGCTCCGACATCGAGACCGACTTCCGCGTCGACCCAGCCGCCATCCAGCAACTCATCGACGACCTCGACGCAGCGCTCCAGTTCAGCATCCGCGAAGAGGGCAAGCTGGCGCTCGACGACATCGAAAACTACCAAGAGGTCAAGGCCGAGATCCGCTCCATGCTCGAGGTGATGCGCGACGACCCCAACCGCAAGGATTGTCCGCTCATCTACCATCTCGACGTCGCTGCCATGTACCCCAACATCATGCTTAGCTACCGGCTCCAGCCGGACTCGATGGTCAGCGAGGCCATGTGCGCCACCTGCGACTACAACCGCCCAGGCATGAAGTGCGACAAGCGCATGGATTGGGCCTGGCGAGGCGAGTACTTCCCCGCCAAGCGTGACGAGGTCAACATGATCCGCAACGCCTTGGCTAGCGAGACCTTCCCGCCCAGGTTCCCCAACCAGCCTCGACGCACGTTCGAAGACCTCGAGGTGAGCGAACGCACGGCGCTGCTGCACAAGCGACTTGGCGACTACTCGCGCAAGGTGTATCGCAAAACGCACGAGACCAAGACAGTCATCCGCGAAGCAGTCATCTGCCAGCGTGAGAATCCGTTCTATATCAACACCGTGCGCGACTTCCGCGACCGTCGCTACGAGTACAAGGGTCTGCACAAGACGTGGAAGAAGAACCTCGACAAAGCCGACTCGCTCAACGATACCATGGAGGCCAAGAAGATGATCGTTCTCTACGACTCGCTCCAGCTCGCCCACAAGTGTATTCTCAACTCCTTTTACGGCTATGTGATGCGCAAGGGCGCACGATGGTACTCGATGGAAATGGCCGGCATCACCTGTCTCACGGGTGCCTCGATCATCCAGATGGCCAAAGAACTCGTGGAGCGCATCGGACGTCCGCTCGAGCTCGACACGGACGGTATTTGGTGCATGCTTCCTGGCGTCTTTCCGGAGAACTTCAACTTCAAGGTCAAGGGCGGCAAGAAGTTCGGCATCTCGTATCCGTGCACCATGCTCAACCACCTCGTGCACGAAAAGTTCACCAACCACCAGTACCACGAGCTCGTCGACAAGAAGATCGGCCGGTACGAGGTGCGCAGCGAGAACTCGATCTTCTTCGAGCTCGACGGTCCGTACAAGGCCATGATCCTGCCGTCGTCCAAGGAGGAGGACAAGCTGCTCAAGAAACGCTATGCCGTCTTCAACGAGGACGGCTCGCTCGCCGAGCTCAAGGGCTTCGAGGTCAAGCGTCGTGGCGAGCTACAGCTCATCAAGGACTTCCAGAAGCAGATTTTCGAAAAGTTCCTGCTCGGCACGACGCTCGACGAGTGCTACGCGGCGGTCGCCAAGGTCGCCAACCAGTGGCTCGACGTGCTGTACAGCAAGGGCTCGACGCTGCACGACGAGGAGCTCATCGACCTCATTGCCGAGAACAAGTCCATGTCCAAGACGTTGCAGGAGTACGGCAGCCAGAAGTCGACGGCCATCACCACGGCAAAGCGTCTGGCAGAGTTCCTCGGTGCGCAGATGATCAAGGACAAGGGCCTCGCGTGTAAGTTCATCATCAGCGCCAAGCCCTTTGGAGCGCCCGTCACGGAGCGTGCGGTGCCGGTGGCGCTCTTCAACGCAGAGCCCTCGGTCAAGCAGCACTACCTCAAGAAGTTCCTGCGCGACAACTCGATCACCGATTTCGACATCCGCAACATCCTCGACTGGAACTACTACATCGAGCGCTTTGGCGGTGTCATCCAGAAGCTCATCACGATCCCAGCGGCGATGCAGAAAGTGTCGAACCCGGTGCCGCGTGTCCGACACCCGGACTGGCTGCACAAGCGTGTCGCAGCGCGCGAGGACAAGTTCAAGCAGAGGAAGCTCACCGACGTCTTCCGTCCCGCTGCCAAGCCGTCCGCGGTCGAAGCGAGCTCGGCCTCGAAGCCCGTCGCCGCTGCTGCGCCGCCAAAGGAGGTCGAGCCGGAGATCGAGGAGATCGCACCAGACATGAACGTCGACTACCCCGGCTGGGTTGCGGTGATGAAGAAGAAATGGCGAAAGCAGCGCCTGCAGAGAGCCAAGGAGCGCAAGGCGAGGGCGGCAGGCGCGAGCGTGTTTGGATCGTCTTCGCTGGGCAAGGGAACCGTTGGGTCGCTCTTCTCGCAGCGTTCTGCCAACATGGCAACGGCCGTATGGGACGTGGTTCAGATCTGCCCATCTTCACGCCCCGGCGAGTACCGCATGTGGATCTCGATCGACCAACACCTGCAGGCGCTCAAGCTCAAGGTGCCGCGCCAGTTTTACGTCAACTTCAAGAGCAACCCGGGCAACGAAGTCTTTCTGCCGGGCGTGTACGAGGCGGAGCGACTCGTCAAGACGCTGCCGCGCGATGCGCCGTGCCGCCACCTCTACCGCATCACCGTAGACGAGGACGTCTACCAGGAGCAGGAGGCACACTTTAGCAACCTCATCCACCATCCCAACGTCGAGGGCGTGTACGAGAAGCAGCTGCCGCTGGATGTGCGTGCGCTGATCCAGCTCGGATCCAGCTGCGTCTACGGGCGCAACGGCGCGTCGCAGAAGCTGAGCCGCGCACTGGATACGGGCTTCCGCCTGCACGATCTGTCGCCGCCCACCTCGGTCGATATCTCGCCCAGCCACAGTTACCTCTCGGGCGGTGCAGGTATCCGCTACTTCTACCTGTACCACGCTCATCGCGATGGGCGCCACGTGCTCAGTGTCTTTAGCCCCGAGGGCGACGTCAAGGTGCACATTGTCGACAGCGCCGGGCTGCGCCAGGTGCCCAACCTGGAGACCATGTATGCGGACCGCGTCGCGCACATGCGCAAGCGCGGCACGCTCGCCGAGGTCAAGGGTGTCTTTGAGTACAGCGACACGATGCGCGTGGATGTGCGCATCCACACGTCGGCATCACGCGCGTTCAAGGCGCTGGCCAAGGATCTGACCACGCTGCGCACGGCCAAGCAGGGCTCGGCGCTGCTCGCCATGTGCACGTCCAAGGACCAGGCGTACTACGAGACGCACGTGCCCAGCGTCGCCGAGTTCCCCATCATCAAGATCGCCGCGGCGGCGCTCGAGGACGAGCTGCCGGCGCTCGGATGGCAGCTGTATTCGGCCCGCCGCATGTTCCAGTGCTACCTGCGCGCGGCGAGCTGGGTGCGCGGATGGATCGATCTAGCGGGCCACTTTGACCTGCCGCTTTGCAACCTGGAGAAGGACTTTACGATCTTTGGCGCAGACATCGACTTTGCACGCAGGCTGGTCAAGCAGGACATGGTGCTGTGGTGGTCGCCGCATTCGCAGCCGGATCTGGGCGGACGCGAGCAGGATATCCATGCGCAGTCCAGGTGGGACGAGCAGGAGTCGCTCGAGCTCAGCCATCCGGGCGCGTATGCGACCGTGTGTCTCGAGGTCGGACTGGTGGATCTGGCGGTCGATGCGGTGCTCCAGTCTGGAACGGTCAACGACATGGAGGGCAGCTCCTCTGGCGTGGCGTTCGAGGGTGCATCACACAACCTGGACGAGTACTCGCGCGGCACCGTCGAGAGCTCGACGATTCTGGGCGACTCGGTGCTCACGTCGGCGGTGTTCTCGGCGGTCAAGGGCATGGTCAAGGCGTGGTTCATGACCAAGCGGCGCGGCCGGTCGCAGTTCTCCTCGCTGCTGTCGGACAACTTTTGGCGCTGGGCGTCGTCGGACGCATCGGCCATGTTCGAGCCCGCGCTGCAGCGCTTCCTGTTTGGGCTCATGAAGAAGACGCTGCTGCAGCTGCTGGCCGAGTTCAAGCGGCTGGGCGCCAGCATCGTGTACGCGTCGTTCAACCGGCTTTTCTTGCTGACGACCAAGCCGAGCGCAGCGAATGCCATGGCGTACTCGCGCTACCTACTCTCGGCGGTGACGAGCCGCGAGCTGTTCAAGCACGTCCAGCTCGACATCATCCACTACTGGGAGTACCTGCTGTGGATGGACACGGCCAACTTTGGCGGTGTGATTGCGGATGTCGACTCGCTCGTCGCGCCGACCGAGGAGGCGGAGGCCGAGGCAGCGCGAACGACCAAGTCGGGCATGCCGACGTTCAACGTGGAGATGAACTGGAACATCCAGACGTTCCTGCCGCTGGCGGTGCAGGACAAGTTCTCGATCGCGGTGGGATCGTTCATCTTTAGCATGTACGAGCACAAGCAGCAGGCGACGGTGGCGGGCGACCTGGACCGCACGCCTCTGCGCGCGGTGGCGGAGCCCAACACGCCGGCGAACGGCGAGGCGTCCAAGGACGACGCCGAAGACGGAGGCAAGGATCGCGACGAGGTGGTGGGATCGGCGGCAGCGGCGGTGGCCAAGTTTAGCACGGATCTGATCAACCACACGATGACTCGGAAGATGCTCAAGCAGCTGGCGTCGCTCAAGACGGCGATGCAGACGTCGTCGGACGAGATCAATGCGGCGGTGGCGCGCGACGAGGACGAGGAGTATGTCGACATGCTGACGGCCGAGCACAAGCGCGCGTGGGCGTTCCCCGTGCTCCCGGGCTCGTGGTTGGCCATGTCGAATCCGCTGCTCGAGTTTATCAAGACGACGACGGCGGTGCTGGCGCTGTCGCGCGAGAATGCGATCGAGGTGCAGATCCTCAAGCGCAACCTGCTCGACATGATCAACGTGCGCGAGTTTGCGCCCGAGGCCGAATTCCGCAATCCGTGCGAGCCGTTCAAGCTGCCGCTCGTCATCTGCGCCTTCTGCAACGACGACCGCACGCTGGATTTGTGCCGAGACCCTGACCTGATGCCCAATCCGAACGCGGTGGCACAGACGCCCAAGTGGAAGTGCGCCAAATGCGCGTTCCCCTACAGCGTGGCGCAGCTCGAGATGAGGCTGGTCAACATTGCGACGAGCTACCTCGAGTCGTTCCATCTGCAGGATCTGCGCTGCAACAAGTGCGGTGCGCTCAAGTCGACGAATCTGCAGCCGCACTGCGAGTGCTCGGGCAGCTTTGGATTGATGGTGACGCGCAAGGAGACGCTCAAAAAGCTGCGCTCGCTGCATACGATTGCGGGCTTCCATTCGCTGCACACCGTGCAGGCGGCCGTGGACCACATCATCGCCATGGTCTAGAAGACTTGTTTTGCTAGCATTTGCATTGTTTAGAATTTGACCATTGTGATACGAGAGAAGCCTAATTTACAGCCGGTGCGGGACGGAGACAAGAGCGGGAAGAAGCAGGCACTTGCGACAGAACGAGCTTGCGAGGGGAACGCAGGACGATTGAGCGCGGTGGTTTCAGTGAAAAGTTGGTTGGCGGTCCGATCCGATAGCGACGAGTGGTGGCTGAGAGTTGTGCTTGGGCGGGCTTAGATGCCGCCACCGCTTCGTTCGGGACAGACCATGCGGCCACCAGCGGTCCTGCTTGCGACGGAAGCGCTCCTGCGCGCCGAGATGACCGAGATGGAGGCGACGACAAACGCGGCCGACGCAGCGAACAGCGTGCGCTGACGGGTCAAGATGGACTGCATACCGAATGCACTCTGTGAACTGGCTTATCTATGAGCAGCGATGTCCTCTTGTAAAGGCTCGCTGTTGCGCACTGCGTGTTCGTTATTGTCTGTGGCTTCACCGCGGTACCGGAGGGCTGATGGTGGGAGGGTGGAGACAACAGCTGCGAGTGGCCACGTAGATAAGCACGGGTGGATGCGAGCTGGTCCGTGGGCCGTGTCCGGTCTAGGCGGTGGCGGTTGGAGCCGGAAAGCGACACTGCAACACGTCAGCGCGCCCAAATGCTGCGCCCAATGCTGTCCTCTGCTGCGCCCCCCCAACAAAAAAGAGCGCGCAGCCGAAAATGCGGGGTAAGCAGCGTCAAAGCCGCCGTGGATGTGTGGAGAAAGAGGCAGGCAGGCAGGGTCGCGTGAGCTCGAGATTCACCCTACGGTCGCTGATTCGTACGAAATCGAGGTGTTGATCGGGAGTGAGATCGTGAATCGGGTCGGGTGCAAGATGCGAGAGGTCCCAGGGCGATCAGGCAGGAGTTTCGAATTTCCGATAGCGCGGATCTACAGCTGCTGGTGCTGCACCGAGGTATCCATCTTTCGGCCTCATCCGATCCGTCGATCGATGTGCAGCCTGCCGTTGGCCATGACATCCGGGCGCACAGGGTGGTAAAGGGCGCAGAGTTGATTCTTCCCGAGCACCATAGCATCACAAAAGGGTCCGCTGTGTGTGTGGGGAAACCTGGTAGAGAAGCACAGGTTTAGCCGCGACCGAGCGGGGCCCAACTTCGGTCGAGCGTCGGGTGCCCGCACTGTCGGAAATCTCTCATCCCTCCGACGCCGACGTCAACAAAGCTAGAAATAGGATTCCGCAAGACGCAGGGACCATTGCTGACCGCTCGGACATGTGACACACAAGCACTCGCCGACCGACGGCTGACACCATCTCCCACCTCGTCTGCGAATTGGACAGCCTTGCACTAATGGTGTGAGATCGGCAAGCCCGGCATTGGTCGGCACTGCCGCCGCATTTCCCCCCACTACGTGACTAGGCTGGAATTCCTCCGAGGCGTGGCGTTGCGTGGTGCTGTGATGTTTGGCCAGAATTCGCCGGTGTGGCTTCCAGCTGCAGGCGGCAAGGTTGCGCTGCACTCTCGCCCCGCCTCGATGGATGCAGTCTTGGCGGTGCGTGCAGAGCGGCAACTTCTCGGAAGGGCGACATGCGGAGCAGCCAAACGCTGATTGGATCGAGACAATCCCTTCCGCGGTCCTCGCGTGTGGGCGAGGGCTGGCCGGCCCACGGTTCGAAATCTTGTAGACTGCCAGGCGAGGGCGATATCGATTTTGGCTTGGGGGTTTTTTTTTCGGTCGCTGCACACAACGAGGTGCTGATCAGCCGCGGAAGACGGGCTGAAATCGACGCTCGGATCCCCGCCTGTCAAACTTGCGAACCCTGAGCGAACGCCGTTGCTCCCGCCGCTGCTTCCTTCGCACGCGACATATGAGTGTCTCACACTAACCCTCGTTGCACCCGATGGGTCCCATCGATTAGAGCTGTGGCAATGGCCGTTCACTACCGCATTGTCAATGCCTTGCCGACATTGTTTCGCCAAAACCGTCGAGAAGGAAAGGAAAGGCACAGGAATTCGAATTCCTGCCAAAAAGCAATCCAGTCCTTGCTGCTACACCCAGCAGCGAAAGAGTGCGGGGAGTGAGGCACGCCACAGCGACGACCGAGAGTCAGAGCCTAAATTTTGGCACAAGGGCAAAGCAAAACACGTCGGACATGGCCAGGGGCAGCGGTCCGTCTGCAGGTCGCCGCGCCTTGGAGATCGACCGAGAAGGAGAGATTCTACATTTTTTCTCCCCCCCCACGCCTGCGCGCGCACCGGCGCATCCGTGCGTATGTGGCTGCAGGGCTGCCTGGCGCAAATCTGATTGGCGTGTGCGCAGACCTTGGCCTCAGGCGGGAGAGCGTGGTTGCCGGTGCTGCGCCTCGCTTCGCTCCGCCTCGCCTGGGCTTCGCAAAGCGGAGTCTCCAATGAGGAGCTCCACGACGCATGATTTTCCTCGTCTCCAGCCCGGGGGGCGAGACCGTTGTCGAGCCGAATGCGTTGATCCTGGCCCAACTTCGGCGCTTGCTTCTCATTGGCTCTGGACCGCCTGCAGCTCGCTGGTCAGCTGGCTGGCCCGCCTCCTCCTCCTCCTCCACCCTGCACGCCGCCTGCTCGGTCTCTCTCGTCCCCGGCTCGCGCCCGTGCACGCAGCCGGCGCCGACCAAGCACCAAGCTCCCCGCCCGCTCCATCAGGTCCCTCTGCGGAGAGTCGAGTGGTACAAGCAGGATAGTGTTATTATACAACGCCGGCTCTCGTTGCAGCTTCGGCGCGCGACCCGAACTTTGACTCTCGCCTAGCCGGGTGGCGCTCGCTCGGGCGGAAGGAGTTTTCCAGTCGGTGGTTCGGAAGAGCCGTTCTGATGAGGCTGGATAAGTCATGCCGCGAGCCCGGTTCCCAAAAGTTTGCTGCTGTGCGCTGGACTGCCCTACGGTACTCGGCGCTGGGCTGCTCTGCAGAAACAAAGTGGATTGGGGACGAAGCGGTGCGGGAACGAAGCGAGGTGCCTGATCCACTCAATCGCAACAAATTCCCGTTCAGTCGCCACTCGCTTTGGCCACTCTTTCTCACCCCACGCGCGAGTTCCGCCGTCATCGCGCCTGGGTTTCAGTTCTGACTTCTGAGACGCCTGCCCGCCGTCCCCCTCGCGTTGCCCTCGCTCAACTTGACCGCCTCGGTGCTCTTCCGTCCCTGGTCTGAGTCCACATAACCCAGCCGTCCGTTCTCTTGCCTTGGCGTCCCCGCTCCCCTTCATCTTTCTGTCTTCCCACCACCCCATCCACTCGCAACGCTCCTTCGACTGGCCTATATCCATCGCGCACCCATCGCGCCTTTTGCCGTCGTCGTCGTCACCGTCGTTGCTTTCTTTTCTCCCCGGTCGGTGCGATTTCTCGCCGCCGCACGCACATCCATCCACACACGCGAAAGGCCCTAGCTCGCTAGCTCGTCGTCATGGCTCCAGACCACTCGCAGTCCCCCAAGCGGGACGTGCACAACCCGCTGCTCTTCGAGTGCGCCTGGGAGGTCGCCAACAAGGTCGGAGGCATCTACACCGTCATCAAGACCAAGGCGCCCGTCACGCACCAGGAGTATGGAGACCGCTACACGCTCATCGGCCCGCTCTCGTACAAGACGGCGCCCATGGAGGTCGAGGCGCTCGAGCCCGAGGACCCGCTGCTCAAGGAGACGCTCGACAGCATGCGCGATGCCGGCGTCAAGTTCCTCTACGGTCGCTGGCTCATCGAGCGTGCGCCGCGCGTGCTCCTCTTTGACACCTCCAGCATGTACCACCGCATGGACGAGTGGAAGGGCGACCTCTGGAATCTCGCCGGCATCCCCACCCCGTCGCACGACCACGAGACCAACGAGACGCTCGTCTTCGGCTACCTCACCGCATGGTTCCTCGGCGAGTACTCGAGCCGCGAGCGCAAGCGCGCCATCATCGCCCACTTCCACGAGTGGCAGGCGGGTCTCGCCATCCCGCTGTGCAGGAAGCGCCACATCGACGTGACGACCATCTTCACCACCCACGCCACCCTCCTCGGCCGCTACCTGTGCGCAGGCAGCGTCGACTTTTACAACAACCTCCAGTACTTTGACGTCGACCACGAGGCGGGCAAGCGCGGCATCTACCACCGCTACTGCGTCGAGCGCGCCGCCGCCCACTGCGCCGACGTCTTCACCACCGTCAGCCACATCACCGCGTACGAGTCCGAGCATCTGCTCAAGCGCAAGCCGGACGGCGTCTTGCCAAACGGCCTCAACGTCGTCAAGTTCTCGGCCATGCACGAGTTCCAGAACCTCCACGCCGTCTCCAAGGCCAAGATCAACGAGTTTGTCAAGGGCCACTTCTACGGCCACTACGACTTTGACCTCGAAAACACGCTCTACTTCTTCACCGCCGGCCGATACGAGTACCGCAACAAGGGCGTCGACATGTTTATCGAGTCGCTCGCCCGACTCAACTACAAGCTGCAGAAGAGCGGCTCCAAGACCACCGTGGTGGCGTTCATCATCATGCCCGCCGCCACCAACTCGTACACCATCGAGGCGCTCAAGGGCCAGGCGGTCACCAAGCAGCTGCGCGACACGGTCGAGCAGATCCAGGCGCGCGTCGGCGAGCGTCTCTTCGACAAGATGGCGCGCTACCAGGGCGAGACGGGCTCCGACGTCATCGACCCCGCCACGCTGCTGTCGGACGCCGACAAGATCGCGCTCAAGAAGCGCATCTTTGCGCTCAAGCGCAACTCGCTCCCGCCCGTCGTGACGCACAACATGCAGGACGACGACAACGACCCCATCCTCAACCAGATCCGCCGCGTCCAGCTCTTCAACCGCACCAGCGACCGCGTCAAGGTCATCTTCCACCCCGAGTTCCTCAACGCCAACAACCCCATCCTCGGCCTCGACTACGAGGAGTTTGTGCGCGGCTGCCACCTGGGTGTCTTCCCCTCGTACTACGAGCCGTGGGGCTACACGCCCGCCGAGTGCACCGTCATGGGCGTGCCGTCGATCACCACCAACCTGTCCGGATTCGGCTGCTTCATGGAGGACACCATCGAGCGCGGCGAGGACTACGGCATCTACATTGTCGACCGTCGCATGAAGAGCGTCGAGGACTCGGTGAACCAGCTCACCGACCAGATGTTCCAGTTCAGCCAAAAGACGCGCCGACAGCGTATCAACCAGCGCAACCGTACCGAGCGTCTTTCGGAGCTGCTCGACTGGAAGAGGCTCGGTCTGGAGTATGCCAAGGCGCGCCAGCTCGCGCTGCGCAGGGCGTACCCGGACTCGTTCGAGGAGGACGACACGATCGAGAGCTACTTTGACGACATCCACGGCGACGGCAAGATGCCTCCGCCGCTCTCGATGCCCGGCAGCCCGTCGGGCGCGGGCGCCAGGACGCCCGGCGAGTTCGGCACGCTCACCGAGGAGCTGCAGGGTCTCACCACCGCCGACTACAAGGGCCACCAGCAGTTCTGGAAGACCATGAGCCAGCACGGCTCGGACGACGAGGAGGAGGCGTACCGCTTCCCGCTCGTCATCAAGTCGCGCAACCGCGGCACCTCGGTGGGCAGCATGAGCGGCGCATCCACCCCGGGCCTCGGCGGCGGCAAGTTCCTCTCCAGCGCCGACCTGGACCGTGCCGATGCCGCGCTCAGCAACCACGCGCCGAACGGCCATTGATCTCAAATTCTCTCACAGCATAGCCACTTCACACACCTTCATTCGCTCCTTTCTCTTCCCGGTCACAGCGCCTTTTCTTCTGTCCCTCGTTTGTACGTCTACAATTCACTCACAAAGCTGCCTGTCGTCATCCATGGATTCGTCTTGCCCTTTGCTGTGTGCATGCGCCCGTGGGCCCGTTGGGTGAGGGTGAAGTTGTTGAGAAGATCGCACAATCGGGGTATAAGGGATCGGGAGATGAGGATCTCGACCACGTGATGGGTGCGAGCCCGATTTTCGTCGGAAGTCGCAGGAAGGAGGCGACTCGAGAGCGGGAAATGATTTTCTTCCAGCTTTGCTGACCTCGCCTTTGCGCTTCACCTCACACCAACACCATTCGCACGACACCCTTTGCTTGGACCACACCGACTTCGAAATCATGCGCTCGCATACGTTGGCGAGGGCGGTGCTGCGCGCTGCTGCTCGTGGCCCTGCATCGCGCGCCCTGGTTCGACCGGCGCTTCCCACCGCTGCAGCGGCTGCTGCTACCCCCGCATCGCAGTGGGCATCCGCACAGGCATTCAGCTCGTCGAGCCGCTCGCTCAAGAAGAAGGCCAAGAAGAGCCTGGTTGTCGAGGAGGATTTTGCAGCCGAGGAGGAGTCGGACGAGTTTGCGATCGAGGACGATGATCTGTTTGGGAGCGTTGCGGATGCGGGCACGTCGGCTTCGGCGACGCCTGCAGCGGCCGAGACTTCGCGCGTCGAGATGGTCAAGGCGCTGGAGGACTACCGCACGTCGTTGGAGTGGGACGTGCTGGATGCGGGACGCTTCCCGAGTCTGTCGCGCTTCCGTGCGCTTGCCGGGCGCATGGGCACGCGGGAGGAGCTCGAGCAGATGCTCGACATTGCCAAGCTCTACCGCGACCGCGTGGGCAGCTTGGGTGTCGAGTGCGGTCGAGCACTTGCAGCGCGCGCGGCGAGGATCCAGCTGCCGGAACTAGCGCTCAACTCATTTTTGGACAGGTACACGTACGGGCTCGAATACGATATGGAGTCGCTGTACCTGCTTCAGACGGCGCTGACCAAGAAGCTCAACCGCAACGACCGTGCGGAGCTGCTCGAGAGTGCCGAGTTGCCCGGTGCACCCACGCACGAGACGGACTTGTTTGGCGTGGTTCCCTCCGAAACCGCTGCTGCGGCTGCGGAGGGAGAGGAGGGGAAGGCCGAGGCGATTTCGCGCAAGCACGAGCTGGATATGCCGCTCGCCCGCGCGCAGATCAGCGTCATCGACCGCATGACCATGCTCACCACGCTCGCACAGACGCTTCGACCCAACTCGGGCACGTACGATGCACTGCTACTGTCGCACCTGCCGCACGCGTACATTACGACGTTCCGTCTGACGTCGAACCGCAATGCGCCCACCAACCCGCTGCTGAAGAATGTGTTTGCACAAACGGATGCGCTGATTTCCATGCTCACCAGCGCTGCACACGACGCACTCACGCATCCGACGCAAGAGGCGTATCTGATGGGCAACGAGACGCTCGTGCATGCACGCAGCGTAAGGCTCTACCACAACCTCGCAGCTGCACTATCCTACGTCGCCATGCGAGGCACCGACACCGCCAAACGCACACACAAGGATCCCGTCAAAACGCTCTATACTTACATGGACCACCTCGCACCCAACCAGGCCAACACGCTCATCCGCAAGATCGAACCGCTCCTCCAGACGTACGAGTCGAAGAAACCGCTGGCCAACGCCTAAGCCCCTCCCTTCTTCCCACTCTCGAAGAATCAAAAATCTGTATGCTTTTTTTTTTTTTTTTGCCATTGGTGCGTGGTGGTCGTGGTGTTTAGCCCGTGCCTTCTTTCCAGCGTGTTTGCGACTCGTCATCATCAAGCCTCAGAAGCCCATCTGCCTCCGGTGTGTCAGTGTCGAAATCGTCCATGTCAATCGCAACCGCATTGGGGTCGATCCACTCTTGTGGCGGGTGGGAAAGAGGGGGGGGTGGGACAAAATTGGGCATGGGAGATGGTTGGTAGGGACGCGGGTTGATCTTGTTCGGGATGCCCGCCAGGGCGCAAAACTGTTCGGTCTGCGGGTTGGTGTACCAGGCCGGTTGACCGGTTGCGTCTCCACCGGGCTCGTGGAGTGCGGGAGCGGTGCGCACGAAGCGCTGCACGCCAAACACGTCGAGTGGATCATCGCTCGCCTCGTCCTGGTCCAGCTTTCGTTTTCCCGCGCGTGGGGCGAGCGAGGCGAGATGCTCATCCACCGCGCGAAGCTCGGCTTGGATGCGAGCGGCGAATTCCGGCTGCGTGGGATCCGGAAGTGGTAATTGGCGGTAGGACAGCGAGAGGTGCGGATGAAAGGCTCGCGTGATGGCAAGCCAGCGTCGGCTGAACCGAAGCCGCGGCATGATGCGCTGCTCGTTGTTCAGCGCCGCCTTGCGTGCGGCCAGCTCGTCATCCAGCGGCGAAGCGTGCTCGATGACCTGGAGGAAGGGCGTGTGCGAAAGACACTTGTGCAAAGCCAGGAACCGCGTCACGTCCGATCCAGACGCCGAGTCCATCACCGACGCTGACTTGTCCTCGACGCGCGCGGTGTCGCCTGCAGCGGGATCCTCGTCGAAATCAAGATCGATATCGAGCGCTTCTGGGTTGGCGATTCCGCTGGACTTGGCTTCCTGTGTGCCGGCAGCGGCGGTACGGCCGTGCGGATAGATGGCTGCGAACTTGACGTGGAGGTGTGCCGAGAACCAGAAGGCCGGCTTGAGCTGTTGGAGCAGCTGCATGAGCGGCGGCGATCCGAGACTCTGTGTGCTGATCTCCTTTTCAAAGAACGGTTTCTTGCGAACCAGCGTCTGAGTATCGCCCCACTGCTCGATCGTATTGGGCCAGTCGTGCGACATGACCACATCCACCTTGTCTGTCGCCAAGGCGCTGAGTCTAAGCACGTCGAACTCGCGCGTATGGTAGCAGCTGCGCAGCGACCCGGCATCGTACGGCAGCCTCTCGTACCTTCCTTTGGCGTAATCCTGGCTCTTGTAGATGCCCGAAATCCCCGCCACCAGCAGTCCATTCAGCTCCACCGCCCCAGCTGCGCCGAGAAAGTAAATGTTGGGTGCAAGCCAGCCGCCGTGGTAGAGCTCGTGCATGTAGTTGCTCGCCTCGTGATTGCCGCCGATGACGAGCGTGAGCACGGGTGCGATCTTGTGCCCCGCGTAGTAGGCGTGGAACTCGCCCAGCTGGCGGTACTTTGGCGGCACCGAGAGCGCGTGCAGATCGGCGCGGTTGCGCACCGCCTGGAAGTCGCCGCAGAGCAGCAGCGCGTCGATGTGGATGAAGCGCTCGCGCTCGATGCGCAGCACCGACGCATAGATCGCATCGAGCTCGCCATGGCTACACCCCTGGATGGCGAGCTTCATTGTGACTTTTGGCGGCGATGGGGCAGCGAGAAGAAGTGCGCGCGGCAACGGAGAGCAGCAAGATGTCAGCTGCTGGACCCTGGCGGCCCAAAAACAGCTGAGCGCAAATTGAATCGCCGATGAAGGTTGAAATCGAGTAGAATGAAGCCGATGTGGATTGGAAGTTGAGGCTGAGGCTGAGGGCAGCAGCAGCTGCAGGAGAGGCAGACGCGGGTGCAGGGTCCTGAATGGGCGAAGGCGCCAACGCGTGATGACAGAGCTGGTGCTGGTGCATGAAGACGAAGAAGAAAAAACAGGGACGCCCTCCTTCGACTTTGGCTCGCTAACGCTGGCGCGAGGCGCGGCTGAATCGCGTCGGGCAACGAGGCCAACAAAGGAGGCGCGTGGGCTCGGCGTGGCTTTTGGTCGAACCCCCCCTTTCCCCCCTTTTTTTCCGCTCAGGCCTCGGCCTCGAAAAAGGTTGCTTTTTTGGCTTTTGAAACGAGAGTGCCGTGCCGTGCTACTGTAGGGTGTTCTGTCTCGGGCTGTCACGACGTGCCTTTTTTTCCAAAATCGACTCGGACTCGGCCAGCGAACACGCAAGGGTTGATGAGAGCGAGAGAGAGAGGGAGAGGGGGGGCAAAGCTGTCAGCCTGCACCACCGCACCAGAGCAACAGCAAAGCGTCAGGCCGGCGTGGGATTGAGAGCGTCGGCGCCTCGCCCGTGCTGTGCTGTGCTGCCAGTCTAGCGGGAGGCGCGCTTCGTGTCGCAGGAGCCGCACCCAATCTCGGCTCGTCCGCCAGTCAACGCATCGACGACGCCAACTCACATTCAAGGCATCCTCCTCCTCCGTCCAACCGACCGACCGACCGATCGACCGTCCTCCAATCCGCCATCCGGACTTCCACCACCACTTCCACTTGCAACACCCGCGACAACACCATCGAGAGCCGCTGCGCTTTTGTCCACCCACGCGTGCTCTCGCGCGTCCTTGGTGCCAACCCAACCCCACTGCATGGTCTGCACATCCGCTGGATCCTAGACGCGACCTCCATCCATCCGCTCGATCTGCTCTGTCTTCGCTGCGCCTGGCTGCTCGCTCATGACCGCACGCACCTCGTGATCATCGGTCATCCGAGGCGCTCCTCCGTATCGCATCCCTCACGCCTCAACCCATCCCCTGCACCACCGCACCCACCATGGCTCAGGTCAAGCCCGCCTTGACGCTCGACGTCAACCTCGGCTCCTCCACCCACGCAGGCATCGGTGGCTCCGGCACAAGCACAACCCCGCGCTCCCACCACATTGCCGTCAACAACAAGATCCAAAATCACATCCACGCGTCCACCTTTGCGCCCCAGTCCGACTACCAGAACAACGAGTTCGATCAGCACGACAACGGCGGATTCAGCAGCGACGATGATGCACAGGACGTCTACGCAGCCGCCACCAGCAGGCTCAAAGCAGGCAGTGCAAGCGCTGGCGCAAAAGCAACCCGCGACACTGCACACTCGGCCACACAGCTCCGCTACCATCCCTCGGCATCCGACGCCGCCGCCGCCGACTACGATGGCGAGCTGGATACCTACGGCGACGATGCCTATGCTCAGGAACAGCACTACCAACACCATCACATCGCAGACGGCATCCACGACGAGATGGACTACGACGACGACGATGACGACGACGACCAGGACGATGCACAGCACCTCGACGACGACGAGTCCGACCTCAGCTCCAGCCCGTCCATCCCAGACGAGAACATCGACTTTGACCTCGTCTACGCCCTCCACAACTTTGTCGCCACCGTCGAGGGTCAGGCCACCGTACACAAGGGCAACAGCCTCACCCTCCTCGACGACAGCAACAGCTACTGGTGGCTCGTCCGCGTCCTTCGCACCCAGGAGGTCGGCTACATCCCTGCAGAAAACATCGAAACCCCCTTCGAGCGCCTCGCACGCCTCAACAAGCATCGCAACGTAGACCTCACCTCCGCCACCGACGACGACCACATCCAGGTGCCCGAGCGAATCTTCACCAGCCACCTCGTAAAGGCACGCAACGCGTCCGGCACCGCAGGCGTCTCCCACCATTCCGGAAAGCTCTCCGCCCTCTCCCGTCGCGCACAGGGCGCGCCCGCTCCACTCACCAAGGAGCAGCGTCGCAACAAGCGCGGCGTCGTCTTTGGCCCCTCCACCTACCTCGAACACAGCGGCGACGAGTACTCGGACTACGACGAAGACGATCCAGACGAGGAGCGTCTCGAGTACGAGGAGGACCCCGATGCTGTCTACGACGACGAGCAGGACGACGACCTCGATGACGACCAGCAAGACGCACACCAACACCGCACAGACCAGCTCGGCTTCAACAAGATGGAACCCGACGACGGCATGGACTGGGACGGTCACGAGGCAGAACGCGTACAGCAGCAGCACCAGGACGCCATGCGCGCCGCCGCCGCCGCTGCCTCCGCACAATCTGCCACCGACGCCAATGCATCCCACTCGGAGCAGCAGACGCATCCCTACTCCCAACAGTACCAGGCCAACCCCGCCGGCCCATCGCACACTCAGTCGCAAGACCAGCAGCAGCAGCTCGCCCAGGGTCCAAGGCAGCAACAGTACGCCACACAACACCAGCAGCAGCAGCTCAACGGCGATCCTCGCCAGTCTGTCAACGGCCGCAACTCCTTGTCCTCGCAGCAGCAGCAGCAACAACAACAACAACAAATGGCCGGCCCAAGCTACGGCTCCCTCCAGCCCTCTCGCGTACCCGGAGAGCACATGCGCACCACCTCGGCAGAACGCTCCATCTCGAGCGTCTCCAGCCTCTCCGCCTCCGACGCCGGCGCTCGCCCCACCTCCACCTCCATGAGCCGCAACAGCACATCCAGCAGCAACGGCTTCCTCCCCTCCCAGATCCAGCGCGAGCGCGCCAGCTCCGACGCCAGCGCAAGCTCCACCATCATCGGCGCAGACTCGTCCGCAGCCTCGGACAAGGACAAGCGCAAGAGCAATCGCACCAGCAAGTCCAACGACAGCCTCGACACCAGCAACGACGACAAACAAGCCAAGAAGCGATCCGGCGTATTCAGCCTCTTCTCCAGAAAGGACAAGAAGGATCGCAAGAGCGCCAACTTTGACGAGCGCGACTCCATGGTCGGAATCAGCTCCGAGGACAGCCACAACAGCTACATGCGCGGCCGCTCCAGTCCCGCCGCAGCATCCGCGCCCGTCAACCCCGTCGTCCAAGCCGCCAATGCAGGACTCCAGCCCGGACAGAGCATCGGCATGGGTCGAGCCGTCCAGGAGCGCGACCGCGCCACCCAGGAGGCGTACCAGAGACAGTTCCTCTCCCCGCAAAACGCCAGCTTCGACACCTCCTCCATCGCAAACTCGAGCGCAAGCGACGACAAGCGCCGCATGCACCAACGGCCCGGCTCCTTGATCGGCCCATCCGGATCCACGCCTATGCTCAGTGTGCTTCGCGTCTTTGCGGGCGAAGGTGTCGATTCGGACTCCACTTTCAAGACCGTCTTGCTCAACGACAGCACCCGCTCCATGGATCTGCAACGCCAGGCACTCCAGCGCTTCGGTGTCAATCCCGACGATACGCACAAGTACGTCTTGACCATCAAGCGCCTCGAAGGAGACGAGCGTCCGCTCGACGACGACGAGCATCCGCTCCGCCTCTTCAACACGCTCACCGAGATCCTGCAGCAGGGCCAGGTGACCGTGCCCAGCGTCAAGCGCTCCAGCGTCGGCTCCATCTCGTCCATCTCGTCCAACCTCAGCACCCATCCCGCCATCGCACGCCTCGGCAACGACTTTAGCGACGACCACGCCGTCAAGTTCTACATCAGCAGGCGCGACCGGCTGCAGGGCTACGTCGATCTCAGCGGCGGCCGCAACATCGACGAATCGGTTGCGCCCTCGGTCAATGTGTCGGATCTCTCCACCTCGCAGGACGTCAGCAACGTCACCTCGCTCAGCCTCGATGGTCAGGACGGCGCGCGAAGCAGCCACTCATCCGTACTTACCGCCGAGGCAGGCGAGACTGTCCAGAGTCCGACGGCACGCTTTGCGCTGCGCCTCATCATCTACGCTACCGACCTGCCGGACGGCATCGTGTTTGATCCTCAGTCGAATGCACTCATCCCCTCGGCCACGCTGCGCGAGAGGCTGTCGGCTCGCCCCGAAGGCGCAGCAGAGACAGGCTCGCAGCCTCGATTCCGCGAAAAGATCCTCACCTTCCCTCGCAACACAACGGTGGCCGAGGTGGTCGAGGAGGGCCTCGACCGATTCGGCATCGCCGAGGGTGTCGTCGAGGGCGGCGACGACGTCGAAGACCGCCCCTCGCGACGCAAGAGCAAGCTTCACGTCAAGTACGGTCTGGCAGTCCAGGCGGCCGACGGCGAGCGTGCGCTGGCGACCACAAGCAAGGTGCTCGAGGCGTACCCATCGCCGCCCGCTTTCAAGCTCGGCATTGGCAACCGTCGATCCGTGGACGGCAAGCGCCGCTCCATCGATGCCGCTGCTCTGCTGGGTGCTTCGGACGACGTCGCTGCTCACGATCCGGTGTTTGTCCTGCGCCAGATCACGCACGCGCACTCGGGCCCCAAAGCGCGCCAGCACCTCAACACGCTCGGCGCGCGTGCATCGAGTCCCACCGACAATGCTCTGGCTGCATCGCAGGACGCGCGTCAGGCACATGCAAAGCCGGCCACTCAGGCGAGTCCGCGTCTTGGTGGTGTGAGGGAACTCGCTGCCCAACCGTCCGCGGCCAAGCAGAACATGACGCCACAGGAGATCATCGCCGCTCAGCGAGCTGCCGCGGCCGAGCGCAACGCAGCCGTGCTTGGGGCGCAGCGCAATGCGCAGCAGGGCGTCGACGTGGTCTTGTCCAATCAGGCACGCATCCGCTCGTCTAAGCTCGGCCCTTCGAACAAGTTCCGCTACTCGTACGTGCCCGCCGATGGGCAGGAGCGCGATATCAGCTCGATCATTGAAGATGTCATGCGCGACGCACAACCAGGCACCGCCGGCACCACCAGCACCGACTCGGGCCTCGCCCCGCCCGACGCAAGGCCGCCGTTCGGCACCAAGAAGAGCATGCAGAGCGACATGACGCTGGAGGAGTATGCATCGGCACGCAGCTCGTCTGGCGCCGAGAGCCCGTTGAGTCTGGACCAGGTCAACTACGAGGTGCGCAGTCCCACGGCCGAGCTGGAAGGCGTGGCGCCGCTTTCGATCGGGCGGCAGCGCAAGCCGGCCGAGGCGGCGGCGTCCGTGTCGGACGGCGACCTGCTGGACAATCTCCTGCGTGAGACACCGCAGAACGACGGCGGGATGGAGGAGAGGATCAACGCGGTGCTGGATCGCGTGCAGACGCCCACGCCGGGCAAAGACACACAAACAGGCGGACAGGCTTCGGGAGCGCGGTCGGTGGCGGCGACGCGCGCGGCGCACAAGAAGCAGACGTCGGTTGGATCCGAGCTGAGCAACTCGCGCGAGACGTCGAGCCCGCTGACGGTGGGGACGAGCTCGGTGGCGACGCATGCGACGCAGGCGACCAACACGAGCGGCACCATGCTGACGCCGCTGTCGACGTTTGTGACCAACGCGAATGGGGCAGCGCAGGCTCGGACGGTGCCGGTGGGGGTGCGTTCGGGAAGCGCGCTCGGTGGTTCGTCGATGGGTGGTTCGCGATCCAACACGCCGTCTGCGTATCCTTCGGTGGCTGCGCTTTCGTTTGGAGCGGACGATGCGTCGCTGTCGCATCTGTATACGATTGTGGAGGCGGCGGCGCGGCGCGATCCGCGCAAGGCACGGCTCATGACGCACGCGAGCATGAGCTCGATTGCGTCGACCACGTCGCCCGTACTCGGGTCGTCGGCGCTCATGGGTGGTGTTGGGGTGGCAGCAGATCGTGCCACGCCTGGTGGGGGGCTTGGATCACGACCGGGCTCGAAGCTGTCGTCGTCAGCCGCCTCGTCGCGCCTGGCGCAGCTGCTCGAGGACGACAAGGATACACTCAAGCCGGAGCCGGGCGGACTGTTTGCACCGCCCATGCCGTTTGTCGAGGACACCAAGCTGCGCGAGGCCTACTCGGGCATCAACCGGCAGCTGGGCCAGATCGACGACAGCCTCGACGAGCTGCTTGCGGATGTGATTCGCATTTTTTAGTCTAGACGCCCGGGTAAACAGACTTTTTCTTCTTCCCAAGTTACCAGAGCCTTGACTGTGTGTGCTTGTGCGAGATGGACGACGTTGACGACAGCCTGCAATGAGCTGTCTTGCGGGATGTGATCCGGATTTTTCAGTCTAGACGCACGAGTGAACCGACTTTTTCCTTTCTTCCTACCAGAGCCTAATTTGCTGTGTGTGCGTGTGTGGGGCCCGGTACGGAGCACGAGGCACTCGAGCGCCGCCAGCCACGCCTTGTGCCTCTTGCGATTTTGGCGGCGTAATCTTGACCTTGCTCGTGGAATGACGATGCTCTGACGATGCATTCTGGATGCAGGTCCGGCGCGGTGGGTTTGGATTGCTGTCGCCTTGGCCTCCACCACCCGCGAGAGATGGGCGAGGTTGGCGTGAGCTGGTGGGGCTACTCAGAAGACAGCCTTGAGCCTTGAGGAGCTGCTTGCGGATATGATGCGCACACTTTAGTCTAGATCCGCATGTTTCAGTCTAGACGCACGAGTAAACAGACTTTTTCTTCTTCCCAAGTTAGATCCTTTGTTGTGTCCGTGTGCGAGATGGGCGACGTTGGCATGAGGCTGCTGGTGCTGTTCAGACGACAGCCTTGAGCCTTGAGGAGCTGCTTGCCGGAAGTGTTGCGCATCTTGTGCCTCACGACGCACGAGCACCCGGACTTTTTCTTTCTTGCTGTACGTTATCAAGCGCACAGCAGAGCGGGAGAGGATTGAGTGAAGCGTTTCTGTGAGACACACGTCGGAAACAGTTGGGTTTCTC